TAAATTATTTGCTAAGCATTATTAGTAAAGTTAAAGATTATTACTTAGCTATACTATATTATTATCTAAAATATATAGCTATACTTAAAATATAGAAAGAGTTTCTATAAAATACTTAACTTCTTTCCTAATAATATATTAGAAAATTGATAAATAAAGTACTTCTTTATATCCGAAGTCATAAAAGTTAAATACTCTTTTAGATTATAAAATAGTACTTATACTAATAATAAAGATTATAAAAAATAAAGAAGTCTTAGAGGAAGAGCTAAAGGAAATAATTTATTAGTTTTTATTCAAGAAATTAGTTTTCTAAAGAATCGTCTATTAACTTAAAATAAAGAATTAATAAGCTTATAAAAGAAACTAAAAGTTAAATACCTTTAATTAAAGTTAGTAAAATAATTATAATATAACTTACCTTACTTAGAATATTTAATAGTATTATTATTAGTAAAGTATAGTATGTTTAAAGAACTACTAGTAGTATTAGTATTACTAAAAGCTTCTTGGTTTTTCCTTTAAGTAGCTTTACTAAAGCCAAATTATTTTAAGCTACTAAAGCTACAAAAAAAAAATCTAAATTAGTAGCTAAAAGTTATTAGTAATATAAAAAGAGCTATTAACGCTAAACTAAGTAAAGAAAGAGCTTTAAGCTTAATATTAGCTAAACTAATAGTTAATAAGTAAAAGCTTTTACTTTAGAAGTAGTAAAAATAATTTTAATAGTCTAGTTACTATTATAAAGAGTAGTTAAAGCTTTAGTTTTAATAGTAAAGCTAAGTAAAAAAGATATATTAATAAGACTTAATTGAATTCTAATTGTAAAACCTTTAAATACTAAGCTTAGAGTATATTAGTTTATAAAAACTTTCTATACTAAGTACAAGCTACAGAAAAAGAAAGTAATAAAAAAATACTATTAGTAAATCTAGAATCTAAATATAATTAGTAAGATTATAAAGGAAGTAGCTTAGTAAAACCTATATATAAGTATACTTATAGCTAAAAGATTACCTTCAGTACTACTAACTAAATACAACTATTAGATAAAAGTAGCTAATAAATAAAGATTATATATAGCTTATAAAAGTCTTTTTTTTTTAGATTTATAGCGTGTTTATACTTGTTATATAAGTAGATAGACGTAGTAAAGTAGGACAAAAGTATAATAACTTAGTATAGAAGCTAGTACAGAGCCCCTTTATACATAGTAAATATTAGTAAATGTATATAAGAATAGTATTAGTAAGTAAAGACTCTATCTTTTAGTAATTATATTAGGTTTATAGCGTTTTTATACTAATTGTATAAGCAGATAGACGTAATACAGTAAGACTATAGTATAGTAACTTAATGTAGAAGCTTACACTTCGCCGGTTTGTACACAGTAAATATATATAAGAGTATATAATAATAGTATTAGAAAGTAGAAATATAAACTATCTCTTCTCTAGAGGATAGAGATTAATATGTAATCTTATTATTATATTTTTGTATTTCTATTTTAATTTTGAATTAGTTTTTACTATTTAGACTAACTATGGCAGCTAATGTCTAAGCTAGTTATAAGTTATTAATTCTTTACTTTTTGTTACTATTACTATTACTATTACTATAACTATTACTATTACTATTACTATTACTACTACTTTAAGATTAGCTAGCTTGTTTTTTATTTTAAATTAGTTATATAACTCTATAGTAAGGTATTATACTCTTTAGATTACTATTAAAAAATTTCTTTTCTAGGTAGTATACCTAGAGTCTATAAAAGCTTACTTAAAAAAGCATTTATTTTTAGTTAAAGTAGTAGTATTTTACTACTTTGTAATAAGCTAATTAAGTTAATACAGCTAAGTATTAAAAAAAGCCTTATTCGATTTATAAACTTATATAAAAAAAAATCATAAACTTTAACTTTATAAAGCAATTTCTTTAAGTCTTATATACACCTTAAAGTACTATAAAATATCTTAATCTTAAAAGTAAAAGGTATTTCTATTATACTAAGTTATAACTTTTATTTTTTTTAATACTTTATTAGGTTTTTCCAGATCTTACTAAGGATATCTAAAGTACTATACGAGTACTAGTAATTACCTATATTATTATATAATTATTAATTTAAAATAGAATATAGTATATAAACTCTTAGGCTATTATAAGAAGATTATATTATTAATTAGGCATAATTTTAGTACTAAAAAAAAGCAAAAACAAAATAAATAGAATAATAAACTAAGTAATAAAAATAATACTTTTAGTGTATAAAGGAAATTTATATACTAGTTTATTTATAGAAACTATAATTACCTAGCTTTATAATTAGAATTACTAATTAATTAAATTCTTTCCAACTTAGCTATAGTTTATAGCTTAAAGCTAAATTAAACTTTAATTACTACCTAGGCTTTTGAATATATATCTATTATAGTATATTAATTATCTAGCTATTAAGAGAAAGTATACTAATTAGCTCTTTATTACCTTTATTTTATATATCTACTAATATTTACTATATAAAAAGAAGCTAGGTAATAGCTTTTATACTTAGTTACTATATTAGATTCTTACTATATTGCGTTTATCTGCCTATACTATAAGTATAAATACACTATAAACCTAAAATAATAAACTATTTCTTAGTAATAATCTGCTTAATATTCTAGTTTAGACGCGTATCTAAGACCCTAGGTAGCTATTAGTTAAAGTTTAGTTTAGTTACAAACTCTTGATTATTTAGTAATATTCCGCTTTATATACTAGTAATAATACGTATTTTAAGAGCCTAGGTAGATAATAGTCTAAGTTTAGCCTAGTTATAAACCTTAGTTTATAATAAATACTATAGCTAGGTTATAAAACTATTAAGATTACTAGTAAATTTAGAAATATAATAGGTAGCTTTAGAAGAGGTCTAAATAAAAAAGTTTATTTAGTTAAGCTAGTATATAAAGATTTCTAATACCTTAATACCTAGATACTTTTATCTTATCTTATATTCTATCTTTAATCTTATTTTAATACAACTTATATGCTATTCTATTAGTTTAATACTATTACTTTAGCCTAGAAAGCTAGGTGTATTTACTTACAGTGCTTAATAAGTTATAAGTTTCTTTATATAAATCTTAATACTATTATAATACTCTAAATATTTATAATTAGATTTTAAAAGACTTAACTAGAGAGTAAAGAAGGGTAAAGAGTACTATTTAGTATAATAGTAATATATATAATTTAAAGATCTAATTAATTAGTAATACTTTAGGTTTAAAAAAAAGACTAAAGTAAAGGTTAATAAATTAAAGGTTTAGTTTCTTTCTAAATAGGTTTATAAGGCTAATAAGGGATCTCTTTATACTAAGCTTTTTAAACTTTACTAGCTAATTACTAAGTAGCGTAATAATACTTTTTTAACTCTAAATAAGATCTAGTTTAAGTAAGCTTCTATAGATTTTAAGTTTATTAATTAAAGATAAAGATTTATAGAAGTAATTTAGTAGGTATAGAACCTAAATACATTATTAGAAGTAAATAGACAAGTAACTATAAGAGTAATAGTAATAGTTATAGTAATAGTAGTAGTAATACTAATAAATATAGTAATTTTTAGGTAGAGCCTTATAACTACGTTATACTTTAGTAATAATAATTACTTATACGTAATTAGAACCCGTGCGTAACTAGAATTAAAAGCTAATGTAATATATTAATTTCTATTTTTTAGAGAAAAATTGCTTTTAAAGTAAGAAAAGTACTACTTCTTATAAGTAAACCTATACTAACTATAATTATTTTTTTAGGTTATACTAAAATTAAAAAATCGAAAACTAAGCTATAGAGTATTATTAGTATAAAAAATATAGTAATAAACACTAATAAGATTAACTAGAGTAAAAACAATATTATTATTCTACCTATTAGTATAAAGCTTTTATTTCTAATATTTAATTCCTATTTTTAAAGCTTTATTTGTTTTTATTTTAAGTAGGTAAAGTAGAAGAAGTCTAAAGCTTAAAAAGGTTATAATAGGATATACTTTCTATAAGTAAAATAAAAAGACTAGGCTTTATTTATTAGTTTTCCTATTATTCTCTTTAGAAATTTAGCTAGCTAATAAAAGAATACTAGTTTTACTTTAATTAGTAAAAGACTCTATAGTATTAAAGTAATAAGTAAAAATACTTTATTACTTATAAAAATAGAGAAGTTTACTAGTTATAAGCTAGTTTCTTACGCTATATATAGAAATTACTATAAGGTTTTAGTATACTAAAAATTCTAGGTACTAAGTATATAAGCTTTATTACTATTTAGATTATATTAATAAGCTATATTCTACTTATTAGGTATATTATACTACTATAGTACTTTTAAGTACCTACTAAGAGATTTTAAAGCTTAAAGTAACTATTTTACTACTTTCTATATAGTATATATAGTTACTTTAGAGTTAGTTCTTTGTAAAGTAGTAATCTATATAATAGATTACCTAAACCTACTATTTCTAGCTCTATTTTCCTGTACAAAATACCTTTAAGAATAACTAAGATTAACAGTAAGAATAAAATATAGAGTGTATACCCCCTAGCTTAGGTGCCTAGCGCAGTTTTCTTAAATACTAAGATTCTAATAGCCCAAATCCCTTGCTATAGCCTAACAAATGGCTCCTTACCTGTTAACTCGCAAATACAAACCTTGTTTAGAAGTTTTAAGCTCTACCTGTGGCTAACATTGGATTAACTGATTGGCTAAATTGGTTCGAATTTTCGCGCTAGGCACCCCAGCCCGGGGGGGGGGGGGGTATAGGAAAGAGTTGTGAAGAGTACTCGAAGAGCAAGTCATGAACTATGGTATAGCCGACAGGAATCATCCTGCTAGCGTTATAACGTGTTCTCGGTTATGTTTACTACATAATTTTTGTCGAGTCCGCAGCTCCTGCTTCTCTCCAGACACCCACCTTAGAAGTAACACCAAGAGCACTACAAGCGACCATGACAGCGAACACTGAACAAGACGCGTTTAGTCAACTTCCCGAGGAGCTCAGGATTAAGATAATCAAACTCTCTCCGGACCCTTTTTCACTACGGAGCTTGGCCCATGCATCGCCCGCTATGGGCAGACTGCTCAACAGATATTCGCTCGAAATTGCGGAGGTGGTCCTAGAGGTTACCGTTCCCTTGCAGACCCGTCGCCTGATGGGCGCGGTCCTTAAAGCTCGGTTCTCAAGCTTCCCAGTATCCTTGTCCGAGGCTCAAACTGTTGCTAAAACTGACTCGACTATGGCCACCGACGAAATGCGTTCGTCGGGACTAGACCGAGCCGCCGCGGCAGTACGGTCTTTGCTCACCACCGCCGCGAATGTCCATGCCTGGTCCCATACCTGCCTCGAACATTTGATACGAAAATCTATGGAGCTAAGGCCCTCTACGCTTGTTAAAAATGGGGATGGCCGTACACGCCGGGAGGAATTCGAAAACGCCGAGAGTCGAAAGGACTATCTTCCACAGGATACTGGCCCGCCTTCGTGGGTGGAGGAGCAGCGGATGATTAAATCATTCTGGCAACTGCAGTTCTTCCTGGAACTCCAGGGCGCCGGACACAAGGGCCGCCTGGGCACCAATTGGCCGAGACAGGAAGTTGACGTGTTGACCCAGAGCAGCGCGGATGGCTTTTACGACGTGTTCGGCTGTGAGCGGGAGCAGATCTTGACCGCCTGCGATTTTCTCGGCGCAGTCACCTCTGGGACGATTACTTCGGTGGAAGCTGTCCACGACAACAACGCTTATGGGTTGCCAACAATATGTTGGGTTGAAGGGGCAGTGCAAAGGTGTTCCTGTGCCGAGCCGCTCTCATTCGAACGCAACAAGGACACCTTCAGTCAGGGACCAAAAAACCTCGACCAAACGCCATGGTCGTACCGCTTTCATCACGCCATGTCCACCACCGATGGATGGCATGATGGGTACATGCTTACACTTGTGTACCCCTTTCAGGCCTGGCGCAAATATGGGTTTGCCATATGGGATGACAAGCGCATGGTTGATCTGGGAATGCGGCACCCGAGAAAAGCGTCAGTTATTAGTAACTCTATACCTTACTCTTTTCGATGGTGGAGCATCTTAACGGAGGAAGACATGCATTAGGACTTGTGTGCAATTCATAGGTACCTGCATCGTCGAAACTCCACAGAAGGATTCAATCCATCATCGGCATAGTGAACCCGACCAAACACAAATGCTGGCCTAGTACCTACACCCTAGTGCATGTGCTCATCCAACGGCTATCCTTTGCCTAAACTTGGATCTACATGAGGTTACATCACTCATTCTGCTATCTCCGTCGGGACTGTCTGGACGTGCCACACCTGCATCGTTGACTGCTCGCGAGAGCTAGCGAAGGAATGGCTACAGTAAAGCCTGTCTAGATTCAAGCAACCTTGGAAGTTAAGCCGGGCCCACGGTCAGGACACACGGAAACATGGATTTCTTGCCACTCAACGAAGACCGAGGAGCGGACATGGCCCGGAGAGCGTTCTGTACCCATGTGAACGCTTGACGCATACACTTTCCGAGACGATGGATCATGTGTTACCGGACCAAGTAGCTCATAAGCTCGTCTCGACAGCCACGCATGTCTTAGGTAGTATATATTCCTAGACCGAGGCTTCTGCCCATGCCTGCGTCTTTCTTCACTCGCTGTTCATTTCGTTCCTTCAGCTGTTCGTCATGATTTCCATCGGCATTCTCAATGGCGCCGGGCCAATTGGGGCTAGAAGACGTCTTCCTTGATACCGTCTCTTCGCTCTTATTGTGGGTATCTGCCTTGCTGTGATCACTGGCTCGCACTTCTCCCACGGTTCGCATACTCAGCAGCCATCCGACGTGCAAAAACGAAGCCTTTTCGACGAGCCACTTGGACTCAACGACTCGCTTGTCTCGCTGCCGCAGGAGCTTGTTCCTCGTGCAGCCGACGCAGCACTATGGGCCAGGAAGGTTGCAAGTGGAAGATGGTGAGTCAAAGTACTTCTCATTGTCATGTAGGGGCGAAAGCGAGCTATTGAATCAACTTGTTTTGAATCTATACAGGCTAGTCTAAGCCATGCAGCTATTTGCTGATACTAAGGGCAGGTAGCCTACCTAGTTTCTTTGCTAACATTCATGTAGTAAGCGGTTCGATACAGAAGTTCTCTCCATCCCATCTGCTGACGACGAGAACAGCCATCTGGTGCATGATGGACAGGGATAACGTGGTAGCCGGGACCGTGACGCTGAAGACACTCTTGTCGACTGGGTGGGAAGAAGATGACGAACAAGATGAAGAGATACCGGCAGACTACCACAAGTCACTAGGGAGGGCCGATGGTCTGTTGAACACGGCTAACGAGGTCTCTCGAGGCTGGGATCATTCAAACCTATGGACGGGCGATGATGGCAGGGAAAGAAACGTACGTGGTCACAGTCGTGCTAGCGCAACCATTTACTTTACTGACTTGCATGGCTTGGCTTCATAGCCCACCACAGCTATAATGGGCAACATTGTTAACGGCGATGATGGTTACATGATTGCCGGCGGCAATTTTGGGCCCGCGGAAGCTGTGAAAGACTTGCTCAATCCTCCGCCGCAATGGATGTGGCCCACTACAAAATGGACCGACGTCATGGCAGTAATGTGGGGCCAGTACGCGGCCGGCAAAGACCTCAAGCGCGTATACCGATCCGCTGTTATCATGCCCGAGACGAAAGACCTCATGGAATCGGCCCTGTTGAAGGTCAACAAGCTGCCGAGCGGTGACCTGGATGAGTTGCCGCAGTGGCCTGGCGTTGATTTCGTGCCGGGAAGAACCCCCACCAAGATGCCAATGACGCCTGCAGTCGAGGCCTTCATGGGCTTGCTCGGAAGCTCTCATGCCGCTGGTCCTGCGTACTTGGTCATTCAATACCGGGCCATCTTTGGCAAGAAGAGGATTAACAAGATCAAGATTTGGCGATCTGAGAACAAGCCGGTGGCGAACATGCTGCTCTACATGGAGAGCCTTTGATAGAGAGGGAATCTTGACGAGTTCGTCAAATGGGTATTGCTACTACCCTTGAGTATATATGGTGAAGAGAAGTAATAGAGACACCCCAGAATCATGCAAATCGCATCAGATCAGTCCCACTATCTCATCTATCCAACATAGCGTGCTTGATATAATTAAGCGCACTACCAGCTCTCCTCCACTTCAACTGACCCTCACTTTAACCATGATTCAGCCTAGCTTCCTACTCTCCTCCATTCCTACTCTTCATCCACATAACCACTTGGCTTCCCGGCTCTAACTCCCCCTCCTCAACACCAACCAGCGTGATGCAATCGCCCTCTCTCACACGATCGTAATCCTGAGGATCCGCAAACACCAACGGCAACATACCCTGCTTCTTCAAATTCGTCTCATGGATGCGCGCAAACGAGCGTGCGATACTTGCGACGCCCCCGAAATATCGCGGCTCCAGCGCCGTTGAACAGCAAGAAGAGACTGATAGGAAGTCTGGCTTGATTCCACATGTACCTACTCTACTATATGTACAATATTGCTGATGCAGTTGTTTTTCTCGATATTGTCCTCTCTATTGCGTGGCGAATAGAAACATACTGGCTAGTCATAGAAAAGGGGACTGCTAGCATATCGGAAAACTTATTGAGCAGTGTTTTTTGCGACCGATCTCTACGTGAAAAGTGGCGAAATGGTTGACCTATTTCTTCCTCTTCAGGGGCTTGGTGTACCGCAACACCTCTACAGAGAAGCACATTACTTTGTGCGTATCGTCCATGGTAAGAGAAATCACCATAGGCAATCACCTCAAGAGACAGCAGACCCTGAGGTCCAAAAGCCCATTGAGCGAGGTCATGCAGTGGCTTTGTAAGCTCCTGGGGCTTACACTCGTCACCTGCGCTTAACATGCCTCATCAGATTAATTGTAGCTTTCTCTATACCCCAGCTCTTGTAATGTTTAAGGTCGTTGCCTAATTGCTGGATGTGTAGGACTCTCAGCGAGCGATTTCTTGCAAGAGGTGATACAACGCTCTCCTGTGCTAACCTTAGCTAATCACGTAGAAATCTAGATTTTAGGCTTTATACCAGCATTCCAGGATAGCAGCAAAACCCTATGAATTCCAGGCCAAGCTTGCTTAAAGGATGTTCCAATATAAAGCTATCCCTTCGTGTAGTGAGATGAACCCGCGGATTTCGGCCCGGCTATTGACCAATTAGAGCGGGTTGGTAAGTCGGTGTAATGCCCTGCGTTAGAGTTCGAAATCTGATTTTGATGTTCTTAAGACTTGTGTTACACGATTCGATTGGCCCAAAATCCGCGGGTTCATCTCACTACACGAAGGGATAGCTTTATAATCTTATATATATCTTATATAGTTTAAGATTCAAACCGCAAATCAAAGTTTAATCTATCAACTACTTAAGTTCTTTCATATTAAAAGAGCTTTTTGGTGTTCTATACCATGAATATAATAATAAGGATTTTTTTCTAGTTAATTTTGCTCTTGTAATCTTAATGAACTTAATAAAGAAATTATATAAGACTTATAAGTAATTCTTGTTACTACTATACTAGCAATTTCTTAAGTCTTTTATAAAGCTTAATTAAAGTCATTATGTTTAGAATACTTACAAGTCGTGACGTCATGAACTGTTCTGCCAGTACTTGACTTCATGTAACTTTCTTCTCACTCTTCTCTTTTTATATGCAATATTTTTGTTCACTTTTCTATTTTCAATCATGGATGACTGGCAAGATGCAGCTTTCTCCTCTCGACACATGCACAACAGAGTGGGCCGCAGCGGTGGGAAAGGGGGAGTGAGATCAAAGCCATTTGATGTTCGTAAAACGTTTGGCAGTTATGAGTGCAAATGTGCAGCGTGGCAGAAGATAAGCAGCGCGACGGCGGCAGATGATGACCGTGATCTCTGTGTGGAGTTGGAAGTATATCGCCTCACGGCCAATGGTCAGGGCGTTGTAGGCGAGATCTCGTTTCCTGGAGTCCTACGAGGAAGTGTCATTCTGGCGGCGAGCAGGAAGAGCTTACAAGGCATATTGGATACACTAGATGCTGTTGACGACGAGGATGAAGAGGAGGAAGAAGAGGAGAGTGGCGGGGAAAGTGATGAGGAAGAACTGGAGTCAAGTCGCTTCGACACCTTTGAGAAGAACAGTTTCCGCTCACCAAAGTTCTGGTTTCGATGGAGTGGCGTTCCAACGGCTGGACAGAAATCCGAGAACGTAGAGTCGGGGTTGGGATACGTTGTCTTCTCCGGCAATGATTGTCGCAAGTTTAAAGGGACTATCAACTGCGCTTCACTGGGATGGAAAGACGTCTCCTTGACTGGGCACAAGACTGTGTCGCGGTCCGAGTCTGACATTCCCGTCACTTGGGGGGAGTCTGAGGTGGCATTGTGAGACGTCATTGTAGGCTACTTGGTTAGTCATAGATGCAATGACCAAGGTAGTCTTTACATCCTCGGGTATCATGCATATCCACTTTGGATAACATTATAGAGGCAGAAAAGGAGAATGACTTTACAAGTGGAAAACAATCTGAGCTTACTTATGTGATGGATTCAAAATATTACTGAAGAAGTTCATGATATTACCTTGTCAATAGGACACAACCTTTTCAATGTTGAATTCCCGGAGTAGCCCAAATTATATAGTAAAGATTGAACTCACACAATGTCAATCCTATTGATATATGTCTTGTCCATGATTATTTTATTCACATTCATCCATTTCTACGTCATACCCGCCTTCCTATCGCCTCCCTTCCGGCCTCCTTTCTGCTGGGCTGCCTCATGTTTCCTGAGATCTTCTGGCACCTTGCTGAGCTGGCTCTTGGTAAGCATCTGTTTGAGATCATAGAGCACATCTGCATCCTCATTGCCACAGAAAGTGATGGCCACACCACTCTTGCCCGCACGACCAGTTCGTCCGATACGATGGGTGTAGCTCTCGATGTTAGTCGCCATGTTGAAGTTTACCACCAAGCTCACATCTGTGATATCAATACCACGACCAGCCAAGTCGGTGGCTACGAGCACGTCAACGTGTCCATTTTTGAGCGAAGCCAAGGCAGCTTCTCGTTGTTCTTGTGTCTTGCTGCCGTGGAGGGTGACGGAAGAGAAACCCATGTGTTTGATATCGCGTGCAATGGCGTCACAGTTGCGCTTGATGTTGACGAAGACGATGATGGGTCGTGAGAACTCTCCACTCTGTAGGATCTCCTGGAGACGCTTCTTGCGCTTCTCCTCGCCGGCGATGAATTCAACACGCTGCTCAACTGATTGAACAGCTTCACCAACATTACCAATTGTCACGATGGCAGGGCGTCTTAGGTATTTTCTGGCTATGCGCTCGACGGCTGTGGGCATGGTGGCTGTGTACATCATCGTCTGTCTGTACATGCCGCGCTTCATCTGATTGGGGTCCTCTGCAGCCTCCGTGTCAGGCTTCTCATTGCCCACGGGGAGGGCGTCGAGGATCTTGTTGACGGGCTCCTCGAAACCCATGTCGATCATGCGGTCGGCCTCGTCCATGATGACGTAGGCGCACTGGCTGAGGACGAGGACGCGGCGCTCGATGCAGTCGACCAGACGACCTGGGGTGGCGATGATGATCTCGACGCCGTCGCGCATCTGGAAGGCCTGCTCTTCGATCGAGTGGCCACCGACGATGACGGCCGTGTTGAAGCCGAGGGGCACGGCGAACTTGCGGGCCTCGACCTCGATCTGCTGGGCCAGCTCACGTGTCGGGGCCAGGACGAGGGCGTAGGGGCCGTCGTTGCGGTTGGCGACGGTCAGCGGGGGCAGCTGGGAGATGTAGACGAGCAGGGGGAGGACAAAGGCGGCCGTCTTGCCGGAGCCGGTGACGGCGACGCCGATGAGGTCGCGGCACTGCAGGGCGATGGGGATGGCGGCGCGCTGGACGGCCGAGGGCTCCGTGTAGCCAATGTGGTCGACGAGGCTCAGGATCTTGTCGGGCAGGCCCGACTCCTGCCAGTTGCGCATGGGGTTCGGGATGGCGCCGCCCTTTGTGGCGATGTTGAAGTCCTCCTTGAAGATGCGCCAGTCGCGCTCGCGCATGTGCTCCAGGCGCTTGTCGCTCCAGTGCTTGTCGAGCTGGGCGCGGCCGCCCTCGTCCCGGCGGCGGCGCTCCATGTCGAGGATGGCCTCGGCGCGGGCGCGGCCGGACTCGGGGTCGCGCTCGACCATGGCGTCGATGAACTTGTGGCTGCTCTCGTCGGTGGTGGCGTCGGTGAAGCCGCCCAGGCGGCCGCGGCCGAAGAAGTTTGCCTCTGCGCGCTGCTGGTAGATGGGGTTGTAGTCGAGGCTGGTGTCCTCGTCCTCGTTCCACTCGAAGTTGAACTTCTTGTCCGTCGTGCGCTTGCGCTTCTTGCTGGCCGAGAAGGTCGACTGGCTCTTCTCCGCGCCCATGTACCGCTGCCGGATCAGCGACGCCTCCGAGTCGCCCGACGCCGCCCGCTTGCCCGCCTGCTTCTCGGGCACCGCCGGCGGCCCCATGTCGCGCTTCTCTCGCCCGTCGCGCGGCCTCTCTCGCGGCGCCGGCCCGGCTGGCGTGTCTGGCCGCATCGCGCGGGGGCCCGTGGGGATCGAGTGTGCGCCGTTGGAGCGCCCATGGCCGTGGCCGTGGCCGTTCTGCGAGATCCCGTTGGTGCTGCCCTGTGTCGTGTGCGGTGTGCTGCCATTGGCAATCCCGTCCGAGGCTTCTCGCCGCCGGCGCGCCTCGTCGACTTCCCTCTGCCGCTTCTCCAGCGCAATCCGCTCGCGCTCGGCCTTGGAGAGGAACTTGGGCTTTGCTGCCGCCGCTTCCTGGTCGCGCTTCGCCTTGAGTATGTCGTCGATGCTGGGCGGCTGCCTCTTCTGCGACGCCCAGCCCTTCTTCGCCTTCCGCGCCTGCACCATCGCCGGGCCCAGCTCTTCTTCGGGCGGAGGCGGTGGTGGTGGGCCAGGCTCGGAAGTCGGCGGCGGAGGAGGGATGTTGCTCTCGAGCGGACGAGGCGGCGGCGGAGGTATCGTCGACATGGTGGCTGGACCTGGTGTGCTGCAGGAACTGCTGATGTCGTGAGTCTGGGCCAAGCTTCACGAATGCGACACCACGTCGAGCGCAGCCTAGTCGCGGCATCACGTGCGCGCGTCTGCTTATCGATTCCCGGAGTTCAAGACCCTGTCAATTCTCATAGTTCAAAGCACGACTGGTCGACTTCATACCAAGACATGACCGAGTAAAGCATTCTAACTCTGTGTGCCATCCTCACATGGTACAAACCACACCTCTTCGCATGTCTAACATCAAATGTTGGCATCTTCATCGTCATATCATTGAATAGATAATATCCATCCGACATATCATTGACTTGATAATGTCCATCTAACATGTTCATCATATCCGACTATCTCGGCCACACTTGGCTTGTCGCGCCACGGCCGTGGTGTTTTGTCCAGCGATCCGTATACATCATCGTCGTCATTGTCATCCTCCTCACCACCACCACCACCACCTCAATCCTGCCTGCCCTTCAATAACCGCTTCGTCACCTTGTCCTTTTCGATTATGTACACGTGTGCACCCCACCCAGACAGCGCATCTCGGTCGACGGCGTTGAGCAGCGCTTGTGAAATGGTCTCGAAGAGGTCTTCAGGTCCCTGTCGCCGTCATTAGCTCTCTATCCGCCCAATCTCGGCGCCTGAGGGGACCTACCAGATCCGGCTCCCAGAGCCCCTCGCACGTGCCAAACAGCTGGTCGCTTGCCGTGCCGCTGACGATAAAGTCCTTCGCAAAGTCGATGCAGCCAATGCTGTCGAAGCCGCAGATGAAGGGCTTCCCCGTTGTCTGGTTGATGCCGGCAATGACGGGGCTGACAAAGTAGGGGCCGAAGCGCTTCTCGTACAGCGACGACGACACCAGATTGGCCATGGTCTGCGGCGAGATGTTGCGCTCCTCACGCAGGCGGTACATGTTGACCTTGTAGCGGAACAGGTCCGACACGGTCGCGACGTCGGTGGCGAGGCCCGTCAGGCCCAGGAACACGTCGCCGTACTGGAAGATCTTGGGGAAGTTGTTGGAGATGGTGAGGGCCTGCATGCCCAGACGCAGGTCGCAGGCAATGGCGACGCAGTCCTTGCCCACCATGGCCACGGCAGCGCCGCCGTCTGTGCACGAGTCAGAGCCGGGTCATCGGGGGGTGCAGCAGGGCAGGGGCGTCGTACTTATCGAGAATGGCGAAGACTGCGGCGGTTAGCTGGGCCGATGGGTAGGGTGGGAGAAGGCGTACCATGGTGTGTTTGTGCCTTGTCCAACGTCTTCTTGCTGTTCTTCTTTTTGGCCTGCTTCGTTTACTTATCGAGCGCTACTGCTATCCACAACACACAGGCAGAAGTCGAGAGCACGCCGGGAAATGTCGTCGTGTTGCTCGGAGCGGTGTTAGGTGACAGCTACCCACGCGGCGGCGGCGGCGGGCAAGCTCCACCACCGTCGCGCTAGCCAGATCCCTTGGCGTCAATTTGTCTGGCCGCCCATTCGACAAGCCCGACATCTCCCATCCAAGACAGTTCCCGCCCACCATGAGCGCCCTCAAGCAGATGGAAGCAGCGAGATCGCTCCCCCCGCGGCTGCTGCGCTTCTTCCAGAAATACCCCCCGCCGTCGCTGTTCCCGAGCATCACGTCCCAAATACAAGCCGACCTTGCCAGCCCACCAGCCGTACCCGAGCCCGTATCCACAACACCACCCTCGGACCCCAACGCGTCCATGGTCGAAACCTCTTCTCCCGCCTCCGACCTCTCCCCTGCGCCTGTCCTCTACACCAGCGAGCCGTCGTCTCCCCCGGACCTGCCCTACCCAAACCCTTTCCTCCCCACCAAGAACTACACAACCGGCCGCTGGCATGGCCCCGTCTTTGGTCTGCGCAAACAGGCCGATCTCGTCAAACTCGCCTCCTCGCATGGCGTCGTCGATCTCTTACCATGGACCATCAAGAAGCCTGGGGAGAAGGAGAAGCGTCGCATCGAAAAGGGACTGCAAGTAAAGGGCACGGGCGAGGGCCAGAAGGTCAAGGGCAAACTGTGGGAGAGGACCATGAAGGGACGCTTGGAGATGAGAAGACAGGCCATGTTGAACATGCCAAGTTTGATCCAAGAATGGAAACAGGTAAGTCGCCTGTTTTACCACAAGTCGGCCTTGGGCATGCATGCTAACAAGTCCGTAGAAGGGTCATGGCCGAGGGTGGAAGAAGTGGCCAAGTGGCAAGGCCAAGTGATGAGAACAAAGTTATGGCTTCATATGACATGCCGTGTGTCCCACTGCACAAGCTGTGTATATCTACATCTATGCGAAATTCAACATGTGGTACGAGAGTCTGCGCTCAAGCAAACCTTGTATTGGTCTCTACTAAGACCTAGACACCTCATACACTTCACGCTGCAACGCCTGTCAACGACCAAGCCCATCAACATTCAAGGTAAAAATAACAAATTTGTGGACATGGGTATCTTATTGGTTTGTCTTCAGAGCTCCTACAGCAAGTCGAGTCCTTGCCCCCCTGGTAACATGCTAAACGACATTGAACCCCTCAACACCAGCTCGTCTAGGTCTTTACATGACCATCTCCTCGTCGCCATATGTCTGTTGCATGCCGTACTCTCTCGCGTACGCAAAAGACCCGTAGTTATCCTCCATATCCAATAGGCTCCCAACGTTCTTCTGCCACAATCCACCGTTCGTTCCACCGATGTTGTACACCGGATCTGTTGCTTGGCAATACCTGTCCGTCTCGGTGGTCGACTTGTTCTCAGCTGCGTGTGCAGATTCATCGTATTCGCGCCTGGCCATCATCTCGTATCCCGAGGCCATGTATGGCTCTGCCATCTGTTCTGCTGCACGATCCATACTCTGATTTAGTTGCTGTTGGTGGCTTTGAATCTCCTCCTGTTGGGCACGCTCGGCCAATTGTGTCTCATATCTCAACTTTGCCATGGCCTCTTCTTGCGCCACACTGGTTGGCGGCCAGTCGTAGAGCTGTCTCGACATGTTGTAGTCTGTGCCAGCTGGGTACCCCTGACGGCCCGTCGGAGGCGAGATACGCCATAGCTCGAGTAAACGCAGTCGTTGATCGTCGTCTGCGTTCTGGAAAAGATCGAGTTGAGAAGGAAACAGCAGCGAGGGATCAATGCTGTTGCGCAAGAGCACAGCCTCTAGCTGAGACGACTCAATATGCGTCTTGTTTGACGGTTCCGAAGTAGACCGGGAGGGAGCCGCGACATGGTAAGAGTGGGTATAATGTGAAGAAGCGTAAACAATCGGTTTCGGAGTCTCTTGCCGTTGCACAACCTCTTCCTGCACCTGTTGCTGGACTTGTTGCTGAACCTGTGGCATTTGCTGAGACGCTCCATTGGATAGGTTCATGTGAGCTGAGAACAGCTGCGCAAGCTCGTCTTGCTGCATGTTTGTATCCGCTTGAGTCTTTGGTCGGATATTGATGCCCGTTGATATGGAGCCGCACTATGACGTAACCATCAGTGGATGCTTTATAGGTAGTCACGACCAAGGCGTCGTAATCTTACATTTGAGCAGGCGATATTCTGGGAAAAGATGGACGAGCTGTAAGGGACAGACGTGTTGTTATTACAGTTGCAGTAGTGGATAAGCATAGGCTGCATGTTTCGAGGTATCAACTAGCAACTGGTTGGCAACGAGATTTTTGACTTTTGGAAATCAATACAGCAAGTTAGTCCGAGACGTAAGTCCAGTGCGATTGCTGGACGTTGAACTAAAAACAAGTACGAGATTGTCTGTCGAAGAAAGGCGTGTGTGGGGGAGAAACGGAAGGTGCTGGCAGAGGTCAGTTGCAGGCGGCGTAGTGGCAGTCCCTTATGTAGGGTCGCAGGTGACAAGTCAGGCAGAAAAGTCGGGCTGATTTTGTCGCCCACGTACTGTTAGTGAGGGCCTGAAACATAAAACGGTAGGCTAGCATGCGTACAGCCAATGAAGAGTTGCTGTTGTCTGCAAAAAAAGGTCGACAACTCATCAAGTCAGTATCGGTGGGCACGCCTTTGCGCGTAGTGCTCCGCGATTGACCTGTAATTGGCAAGAAAGCTCGACGATCAGAGCAGCAGATGCAGCTCTGGTGTTCCCAGGGCAGGAGCAGGAACCAGCACCCAGCACCGCAAACGATTTGTAGGGAGCGCTGGTCAATACATGTCCAAAGGGTCGTCTTGGTGGGGTGCTGTGGGGAAGCTCTGGTGACAGCCTCCAGCCTCAATCGGCTTGGCAGACTAAAGCTTAGCTCCGACCCTACGCGCATCTCTCGCATCTGCCACCATCACCACCACCGAGCTCCGCAGTCGACCTCTCAAGCGCCATCACGCCCGCTGCCCGTCCATCTGCCGTCCAGACCAAGCTTCCCGGACGTCCCCCGCATCTACATCTCGCGCACTCACCATGGTACGCCGCCTCGGCCATTGTTTGGACAAGCTCCGTCCAACTGACAGCCCGCATAGACGTCGATAGGCACAGGCTACGACCTGTCCAACTCGGTCTTCTCGCCCGACGGCCGCAACTTCCAAGTAGGCCCCTGCCACCCGGCACCGTGCGGGGCAGCAGCTCACGCAGTCAGGTCGAATACGCAGTCAAGGCGGTCGAGAACGGTGGCACAGCAGTGGGGATCAAGTGCAAAGATGGCGTTGTGCTGGCCCTGGAGAAGCTCATCACCAGCAAGCTGCTGAAGCCGGGGGCGAACAAGAGGATAGCAACCGTGGACAGGAACATGGGCATTGTAAGCAAGCATGTGCGGACGAGCGTGCCGGCACTCGCTTACCGCGTCACTGCAGGTCTCTTCTGGTCTTTTGCCCGACGGTCGCCATTTCGTGTCCCGGGCCCGCGACGAGGCGGCACAGTGGCGGCAGCTCTACAAGGCACCCATCCCCGCAGCATCTCTTGCCGACCGCATGGGCAGCTATGCTCAGGCCTACACCCTCTACTCGAGCGTGCGACCCTTTGGCGTGACAGCCATCATCGGAGCATGGGATGCTGAGGCAGAGCTGCCAGTAGATGGCCAGGTCGGCTCGGGGCCCAAGACTGGCTCTGGTGGCAAGAAGGAGGGTGCAAAGCACGGTGGCCCGTCTCTATACATGATCGAGCCGAGCGGGCTCTACTGGGTATGTGGAAGACGTTCTGCGTCTATCGTCATCAGGCTGACAGTCGGTATAGGGCTACTACGGTGCGGCGACGGGCAAGGGACGACAAATCGCCAAGTCGGAGCTCGAGAAGCTGAACCTCGCCGAGGGCCAGCTCTCTCTTGAGGAAGGCGTCAAGGAGGCGGCGCGCATCATCTACGTCGCACATGACGACAACAAGGACAAGGAATTCGAGCTGGAGATGACTTGGATCAGCAATCTCGACGGGCCCACCAAAGGCAAGCACGAGGAGGTACCAAAGGACATCATGGAAGAGGCAGAGAGGCTTGCCAAGAAATCGCTCGAAGGGGACGACGAGGATGAGGACGAAGAGAAAATGCAGGAGTGAGAGTATTAGATCACGCTGTCGGTGGATGATAGACGGCCACGCATGATAACGAACAGCTCTTCAAGCGACTTCACGAATATCCAAAACACAAGCCTTTGAAGGCAGCAAACGCCTCATACTCTTTCCACGTGTTTCTCGTATGTGTGAAGTGAGGCCGCTATCGTGCCGAGTCAGGGACATGCAGGTACGCCCGCCCCACTCTGCGTCATTCATGTTTGGCGCATGATAAAGTTGTTGACACGCACATCTACCACAATTGCCAGCGCTGTTCATTCCCCTATACACCATCACTCCAACTCACAGCCATGCCACCCACCCTTGTCCTTATCCGTCACGCGCAAGCCGAACACAATGTCGCCAGCGACTGGTCCATCCGCGATGCACCACTCACCGAGCTCGGCAAGCAGCAGAGCGTTGAGCTACAAGAGAGCCTGAAACAAAGCAAGATCGGCAATGAAGTAGAGCTTATTGTTGTCAGCGCACAACGTCGCACGCTACAGACCGCCTCCATAGGACTGGACTGGTTGATCAAGAAAGGTATCAAAGTCATCCCGGACGCCGGCTGGCAGGAAAACTGCGACAAGCCCTGCGACACAGGATCTCCCATTCCTGTCATCGCTGCCGAGTTCCCACAGTTTGACTTCAGGAGCGTCGATCCCAAGTTCCCTGACAAGACTACCGATGTCGCCAACAATCCATATGCCTTTACCCAAAAAGCGATTCTTGCGCGTGGCCAGACCTGTCTTAAGGCGCTCTATGACCGTCCGGAGAAGGTCATTGCCGTTGTTTCACATTCTGGCTTCCTTCGCACCGCCGTGTGCAACCGCATGTTCTTCAATGCAGATTGGCGAGTGTTTGACTTTGATCAGTCTGAGATGGACAAGAGCAAGGCGGATCATGAGGCGAAATTCGTGCTGAGAGAGTGGGAGGAAACAGAGAAAAACGGAGGTGGAATGGGGAGGAGCGACGTGGGCGTATTTGGTGTGGTTGATGGAGATTTCCCGCCCGAGGTCGAGGACGCAATCAAAGACCAGCAGGCAAAGACAGATGGTCAGGTTCAAGAATTAGATGAAGCGAGTAAGCAGGTGCCGGCGAGGGTTGATGCATAGTCTAGGGGTCGGTGTTGTCTAGAAGCAAATCCAACATACTGAACATTTGATTGCGAAAGGTATCGAGTTATACCATGAATTGGTACATCCTGCTGTTCACAAGTTTTTTTTACTCAATTACAATGCTCGAAACCATCGTAGTGAACATGTTTCCAAGACATACATGGGTGTGGTGGGTATGCCCCGCCAGTTTCGCTTACCCACCACGATTGCCTATCAGCGATGGACGAGGATCTGTATGGACCCGGGTAGGGCGGCCCGTAGCTATCCTTGTCATTTAATCAATACAGCTTACCTCAACATCATAAGCGATGTTGTCAATTGAACCGGGCGAGCCTTACCCACCTTTCGCCTTGCTGCAACCACCGACCGTCTTCTCCATGCGACGCAATTCTCTTTTTCGAGCGGCACACGCCGCGTTGCTCTCTGCAATTCTCTTGCTTCTCCTTGGCTCAGCGAACGCGACGTGTTTCTATCCCAATGGCGACACCGCAGACTCGGAACATTTCCCATGTGATTCCAGTGCCAGCGGCGGAACAACGTGCTGTGCAGTGGGCTTCGAGTGCCTGAGCAACGGCTTGTGCAATGACTACCGGTACCCAAACTGGGAGAGGTTGTTAAGAGGCGCGTGCACAGATACAGGATTTGGAGGCGCGTGCAGCAATGTCTGTGTTGACCGTACGTCTGCGCGCGTAACAACAGCAAAAAGTGAGACTACTAACGCTTCGCAGTATGGCCACAGGGTGATGAAGCGGTTTGGTACTGTAATGGTGGAAACTACTGCTGTGGTGTAGATGATACGTGTTGCACGGATGCCAGTGTGGAGAAACATGATCTTGGGGAGCCGGACGTTGTCGCGGTGGCAGGGAGCAGCACAAAGATTGCGTCGGCATCGAGCACTAGCGCCGTCTCCACATCCACTGCAGTTACAAATGCCAAAACACCAAGCAGTTCCGGAACAAACAACACCCTTCAAATCGCCATAGGTGTAGCCGTCGCCCTCGGCATAGTACTGTTGGTCCTGCTGTTCAGTGGTTGCTGGTACATACGACGAAAGAGATCCTCGCCGCCCCAACAACGCATTAGCATATTCGTGATTGTTACCGACTTCCGGGACTTTGTGAGACGTAAAACCTCGCCACGCCAGAGAATGGGATACGAAGGCCCAAATGTAGTGCATGAGGCACCAGCTAGTCAGAGCCAAGGATACAAATTCGACGAAAAGCTGGGAGGGTGGACTAACGCTAGTGAGGGTTCGAACGGGAACTTATACGAGGCTGCGGGCGAAAGAGGTATTGAGATGCCTGCTCAGGGTGATCCGCTAGAAATGGATAGTGTCAATGGAGGACGTCGGAGAGCAGAGTAGTAGGGAGGTCAAGACGATCTGGAGGTGGTTGTATTGGGCACGTTCGCATTCGAAGTAAATCTGTGCCAGTTCGAGATCAGTGGTCTTGCTTTGACACCACACACATTTGTTCGTTGTTTCAATTCTCTACCTGAATAATTACATGCATTACATTGATATTAAAACCCACGGCTGCAGTCGTATGTGTCTTGACCGTTACGTTCGTCGGGACACTTAATTCGATAGTAGATAGTTCTCACAGTTGGTTAACCAACCGTCGCTCAATTTGTATTATTTTTTCTAATATCCTCGCCATCGACTCTATAACTTCCTCACTTTAGAATCATCGTGCCCCTAATACGATAGCGGCCATTGTGAGCACGTCGTCCTATATACCGCTATAGATGTTCTGCAGAAGAATAGTCTTGATCAGAGTGGTACGAATCACTAGATCGCTATATTTCAGGGATACAATAATTTTATAGTCATCCATGGGTACAACAGCTTGACATCGATTTGCGGAAGGTTACCAGGATGTAACTTCATATCAACGATCTACATAAAACTTAGAGACTGGGAGTATATTGTTTACATCCGTGGTCATGTTGTGAGCATAGAGAAACTTGCAAATGGGAACAACTATACTATTGCAAAAAAGGAATCTCATATGTAGTAATCGCTAGAACACATTTCTTGCAGATCATTCCTGTCATTAATGCTGCTACATAATGTACGGAGCCACTGACTTGCTTTTCACCCTGGTCATCACCACAATCATCGCACAGTTGACGATCGAACTGAAGTCTCGCTCGTCTTCCATATACCGTTTTCTGGGCGGATCTCACTCGTACCTAAATCTGTATCTCCAGTCTTCGAACTCCTTCCATACCAGCTCTCCTCATCCAATCCCCGCCCACACTCCGTGTACGGTCCATCAATTGTCGCCAACATAGTAGCACTATTTGGTCTCTTCATATTCGTGCTTCCAATTGTTGGTCTTCTCCATCTTGAGCCCATCTCGATTGATGGTCCCCCGAAAGTGCGTGTGCGACTTCGCGTTGACGAGCCTAAAAGCTTGGGGACCAATTTGACCAATACAGGTTTTACGCCAGGTGCAGATGCGCATATTAAGCTAACATATAGCTCAGTAGATGTCCATATAGACACATCGTACGAATCCCAGCTTGGTTCGAAATCCGGCCGCGCAAGCGATGTCCCGACGCGCACCATGCGGACAATGCCAGCAACAACAGCGAGTGAGCCGAGCATCACAATGCCAGTCAGTGCCCATCTTTGGTGTTTGTGGAGTTTCAGGGCGAGGACGCGGGGTAGTACGATGGCCATGAGGAAGATGTCAATTGCGACGTTGAGACTGCCGTGGGCGTATAAGGCGGGGAGGATCGATGCGCATTTCGAAGAAGGGCGGAGTTCAGTCCAGTAGACATTGATTGGCTTGCATTGAAAAATGACTTCACACTCGAAGGGGATGATTGTCAGTAAGATGACCGCGACGAGGATTTGGATCAGGCGACGACCTCGGACGTCGCTGTAGAAGACTCGGAGGTAGCTTAGACAGATACTGAGTTTGCAAGCAGCGAGCCCAGATATGAGAAGTAGTTGAGCGGCATATGCATATTGCTGCAATTGAATAGGGTCCTGGAAGCCATTCATGGAGGTCGCTGCGATGTGACGTCCGGCGCCGTTCGCGATCTGTCCATATTGACATACACTATATCCTGTGACGCAAAGCTAGAAATGTCAATGATATAACCCATATATTGATCCGTAAATTACTTACCCAGCCCAGAGTGAGGATGTAGTCCTCGGCTTTCCAAGATCTGGTGACAACTATCCTTGAGCACACCCTTGCGAAGAAGAAAAGCCACCCAAAGAACTGGACGATAATGTTCCCTATAATCATCTGTGGTTGGCGCGTTTCCGCGAGGAAGCTCGCCGATAGCTAGGATGTATGTCAGCATATATAATTTTATCATGATACTCATCTGATGATCGAGGCGATTCTAACATGTCAAACTTACACCGACATCGCCATCAAGCTGACGATTAAGATGTTGGGTTCCAATCGATCCCATGGGTCACTAATGATCTGTCTCTATATGCGGACCGAAGGTTGAAGTAAAGCTGTCACACTTCGGGGACCCTCAGAAGGTAGTTCGAGAAGGCTACTATTACGTTTCCTATGAGATGTTCATGGTGTATCCTGGTGGGTATGATCTAACACCGAATCAGTGAGTTCCTCGGAATCAAATCCATATGACTTGCACACTCCCGCGGTTTGAGGCTGTAGCTAATTGTGAAATAGAGTTTCGGTAGTTCCGACACCTACTATGGTAGTGAGCTGTGCCGCATGAGCCGTGTCAACGTGTAAATACGAGTCAGTAGCGAAGTCAGAACACTTGAAAACTTGGGGTCAGGTTGCATCACCTTTGCAATATGCGATGATCCTTGCAACAAACAAGTTTACAGTACCTTCAACATCGGCTTGAATACTCCGGATCTGCGCTCCACAATTTTCGACCTGGATGCAGGGAGAGAGCCTGAGACGTCAAGGAGATCCCCGCGTATGTTAGATTCAGTACATAACGGTTTCTGGCCATGGAGGTGACGGGATTAAGCTAGTAATCGTCTAGTATTCTAGTTCCAAGGCCTTAAGAGATGGAAAAGGTCACCAAAATCGGCTATGAGATAGGTGAGTCCTGTAGTATCATTATTGATTGACCATCTGCTGGGAATGTGGCGTGGATCCTTGAAATCGCGAGTCGCAGCGAACAGAGCTGTATTAGTTTGACGAATGCACGTCATGTGGCGAGGTGTTGAATCATACGATCTATCGGTACATCGATCTGATGTGTTGGAGAAATGACAGACTCCGTAGCATTGTGCCATCCCGATGTGGAGAGAGATGCGTCTTCCGAAGCATGCTTCCAATGAAAGTCCAGAGCAATCAGAACCGTCGTCCTTCTTTCCGGCACTGGCCTTATAATCAGTTCTTTGTAAGACATCCACATTCGCTACAAGGAGACCCCATGCGCAGAGCGTGAATTTGCTGAAGCAAGGGTTTAGTCTTATCAAATCCTGTTGCGCTGACCGACGATTCAGGGTCTTGTTGTGGAGAGCATGTGAAGCGTACGATGTTGTCTTTGTCGAGGCATAGAATATACGCTTGTTCTGAACATGAACACAAGTATTTATCATTTATTGGCTGTCAGACCGTCCATCATATGGCCACCTATTTCCCCGTTATCTCGAGAGCCCCGCCCGTCCGCATCGAGTTCGAGGGGGTTTTGTCGTCTGTTCTGACCTATTTCACCATTGATACTTTACGCTCCAATCATAATTTCCAGCCCCATCTTTTCATCACCACCCTGTCTGCGCAATACCTAAATGAAATTTCCACTCACTATACTTTCCCTCCCATGCATCGTTGAACTCGAGCATGGCCTCGTGTTCTTTGGCCCCAAGGATAGCACAGCTGATGGCCCGGCCAAACAGCACATGCAAGGCATTCGAGGCTCTGGCAAGATCTGGGTTGGCAAAGTAGCCGTATCCAGAAAGTCGGGTAGAGAAGTGCACGTTGACAAATTCGAGTGCCACATGTCTTGGAGTATCATTGTCTTTCGCAGCTTCGTCGGAGCCACAATGCTTTTTCTGGCGTGTCAACCGTCGAAATTCAAGCATCGGTTGCAGCCACTTCTCCCGAAAGTTGAACTTTGGGGCCCCGTGATTGACGTGCACCCAAATCTCCAGCTTCTTGAGCCTAGTAAGTCTTTTCGATGTCACTTTACAAGCACGCGTCCAGCTCTCGATATGCTTATCCTGCCAGATGCAATCTTCAGCATGCCCGGGATTGCCATAGGTGTTGTAGTGCAATTCAAGTTTTGTGATATGCTCGAGGGTTGACTTGGATACAAGGCCGAGGAAGTCTGCGATGCGACGAGGCGCGGCAAAGACGTATGTTGTCTTATGGTAGATGTAGGCTAGAGTTTCTGCGTACACCAACTTGCAAACCAGATGTAGAGAGAAGATGGAGGTGATCCAATTTGTCTGCAGGCCTTTGACCAGGCTGTACTTTCCAAGACGTCTGGATAGGCGAATGATGACTGCAGCGTCTTGCTGGGGCTGAGTCTTATACTTTGATGTCTGGTTGTTGTATAGGGTGACGCCGGGAGAGAGCTTCACAGTGCGTGGTTTGGGCCGGGCAAAGGTGTGCCCAGATGCGGCTATCTCGCAACGGAAGTCGCTCTGGAAGTAGTAGTGGTAAACGCGATTTCTGATCTCTCCAGGCAGGGCCATGAATCCGCGCAGCTTCTTAGACGTCGCCTTGCCGGGCCGAACACGAGAGAAGAGGCTGTTGGTGGGCACATTAGCTGATAAGCTGCGCATAGTGAGTGAGTGAGCAGTGTCAGTTCCTGCCATGATGGTGAAGTGGGCAAGGTCTGTATCTAGAGTTGCGATAGTTGCAGCCTGTTTAGCAAAATGATCAATGGTGTGTGGCTCTCGGCCGTCACTTGGAAACAAACAGGGTGAGCAGGTGAGAGCAGCAATGGCCCTGCATGTCCACGGCCACGACTAGCCCCACGCTAAGAACGAGACCCGCAGTACAAGACGCACGTCGCAGCATCCCCCACGTCACACCTTCCTGCCATGTCCTCCCTCACCAGACTCGCCAGACTCACCGCCCTCAAGCAACCTCTCGGCCGCGCAGCCTTCACCACCTCGACACCCCAATTCTCGCGCCTCCGCCAACCCGGCGAACCCACAGGCCCCAACGAACCGCCCTCGCACATTTCCGCCCCGCCATCCAAGAGCCCCCTCAAAGTTTGGCCCATCCTGCTGATTTTGGCCACGGGCTCCTTCGTCTTCAAGCAGATTGTCGACCAGCGCAAGGGAGAGGCACAAGGAAAGGGACCGGGCTCGGGGATACCTAATTCAGGCAACTCAGGACACGCCAGCGTGGGACAGACACCAAGCGGACGAACCGTGAAGCCTAGCTTTCCACATTAAAGCCTTGATCTGCTATCCAGCTCACTGCGACCCTGAAACTTCTGAGAAGGACAAGAAGATAGCAATCATGCCAGCCATCGAGAAGCTCGGCGCCGCGTCGCGCACCTCGCCACTCTGGTCTGCCGACGATGTCACCCTCCTGTTTGTCCTCGGCGGCCCTGGTGCTGGCAAAGGTACACAATGCCAGAACATCGTGGCCGACTACGGCTTCAAGCACCTCTCCGCCGGCGACTTGTTGCGCGAGGAACAGGACCGGCCGGGCAGCGAGTTCGGCGAGATGATCAAGACGTACATCAAGGAGGGCACTATTGTGCCCATGGAAGTTACCATCCAGCTGTTGGAGAATGCTATGAAGCACGCCATGGAGACGGAGAACAAGAAGCTGTTCTTGATTGATGGTAAAGTCTCTCTTCGCTTCTCTCATCCTCTCGTTAACCATACCCAGGCTTTCCCCGCAAACTCGACCAAGCACACGCCTTCGAGCGCACTGTCGTGCCCTCCAAGTTCACTCTTTTCTTCTCCTGCAGCGAGGAGACCATGCTGCAACGTCTGATGAAGCGCGGCGAGACGTCGGGCCGCGCCGACGACAACATCGAGTCCATCAAGAAACGTTTCCGCACGTTTGTTGACACGAGCATGCCCGTTGTCGATGAGTTTGAGGGACAGGGACGCGTCGTCAAGGTCAATGCGGAGCAGGCGCCCAAGGACGTCTATCGCGCCGTGCAGGACAAGTTCAAAGAGAGGGGTCTGCACACTGTCTAGAGCTTGTCACAGTGGTGTATGTTGTTGGTAACTGCCGTGTTCAGCAACGTCTCCTAGCCAACCAATTCATTCATGAGCCATAATATCATCCATCGTATTTGTGTCGCATTTTCTATCCTGCAGCACGAGGGCTGCGAGTCCATTGAACCTGAAAGAAGCCCTTGAATGCACCCGCTGTGTCCCTATTTCATCTGGCCGAAACGCACAAAAAAGCACAACCCTCCCACTGCCCATTTGATCCTAATCATCGTCACCCACCAGTCATCTACTCCATGTCGTCGTCGATAGCCCTGGGCTGTCTCTTCTGGAACCCGCGTCCTTGGCCCCTGTTTCCAAAGTCGGCCTTTTGGTCCGCCTTGCTGGCTTCCTCGTCCTTTTCCTGTGCAAACCTCTGCTTTTCCTGTTGAATGACCTGTAGCACACCGACCAAGCTATTCCGCCACATGTCTAGCCGCGACGCGACCTCTCTCCATTGGTTGTCGCCAAAGACGCGGTATGTGGAGCGGTGGATCAAGAATGTCTGGTTCAGCTGGCTGAGCTTGCCCTCGACAAGGCCGGCGCGGATCACGTCAATGACCCACATCTCCACGTCGTCGACGGGGATTTGCAGGGCCTTGGCAATCTTGTCGTAGGGGAGCGATCTTGTCTGGCCGGCTGATGCTGCCATGGAAGCTAGTGTGAGCAGGCGCATCTTGCGGTTGAGGGCGGAGCTGTCGAGCCCGGACTCGTCGACCCAGCCATCGTGCTCGTCCTTGAAGTCGTTGTAGTCGTCGAGCAGGTCCGAGTTGAAGATCTCTAGCAGCTGGAAGTAGACGGGGTCCGAGTTGCGCAGGGCCTGGATCGAGTCGAGGCCGGTGAGGTCCTGGAAGTCGAAGTGGGTGGGGTGGGTGAGGGCCGACTTGAGGGCGCGGAGGGAGAGCTCGCGGGCCTCTGGCGACGAGGCGTCGTCCGAGGGGAAGGTGCGCAGGGCGCGCAGGAGGTATGTGTAGGCGTGCTCGTCCTCGCCCGCGTCCGTGGCCACGTCGGTGACGGCCAGGTACAGCTTGCGGCTGTCCTCGCTGTCCGTCTCCCAGGCCTCGAGCCACTTGTCCAGCTGCTTCAGCTGCGGGCGCAGCGTCTCGAAGTTGGACGTGGCGCGGATGACGCGCAGGATGGAGAGCAGGACGTGGTAGCGCACCTCGCTGCCCGCCGCCGTCGTGTTGAAGAGGGTGCTGAGGATGGACAGGGCCAGGCCGCCGCCGTTTGCGGGCGACGACGAGATGGGGGCGCTGAGGTTCTGGCACATCTTGGGCAGGAACATGTTGACGTTGGGCGACTGGCTCACGAGGTGGATGAGCAGGTTGTAGGCGGCGATGAACTCCTTCTCGGGCGCCTGGTTGAGCGCCTGGCTGCCCACGACCAGCTTCTTGAGCACATCGTCCTTCTTGTTCTCCTTCAGCAGCGCCTCGGCCTCGCCCTGGATGTCGGAGCCCTCGTCGCCCTGCGATTTTTTGAGGTTGTCGATGTACTGTGCGAATTCGTCGGTAAGCTCCTCGAAGCTGCCCTCGATGAGCAGCGTGTTCTTGGGGCCCGGCATCGTGCGTGGCGTGTGCGGATGGTCCTGGAGGGAGGCGGGCGGCGAGACTGAGCGCAGGACGTGGTTGGGGCCCGTCGTCGAGTTGCGCCTGCCTGTCTGCCCATGGTGGGATGTCGCCAAGAGTTCAAATTCCGCATCGGGTCTGGCGCCGTCGCTGCGTGCCCCTCACATGACATGGGCGCTGTTGCACTTCACCAAACGCCGCTGGAATTGCATCTTCGCATGAAACGACTTCGCATGACATGACTTCGTCTTCACGTACGCCCTGCCGGAATTCCACTCCAAGTCCCATTTCTCCACCAGACCCCTGCCCGCGTGAAGTCGCTGTAGCTGATGCCTCCAAATGGCAAGTGTCTCACGAACCCAAAGCGAAAGTAATCAGGCGTTTCCCCAGCGCCTCTCGACCACGTAAAAGTCCCATTTGCACCCTGGACTCGCTCGACATCATTTACAAAAACACTGACACCATCGTACCCACGCAGCAGACCTGTCCACGCAAAAGTGATAGACGTGCTGTTGATGACAGGTACGAGTATCGTCGGGATTCCTGAGCCAAGTTGCGCATCACCTTGCAGTGCAGCCGCCGTCTGGAGAATAGGATCAAAGCCCCATCGTGCGATGCCGTTGATGAACAGCCCAACAAGAATGCCCTGACAAAGGAGACTGGCTCGCGTTTGTAATGCGGTACCAGGAAGAAGAAGTAGTGCGAGGATGTAGTGATGGATCCTCAGCGAGAGGCGTGGAATGGCGAGGCATAAAAGCAGCCCGAGGCCGAGGATCGCGTACAACCCTAAGTAGCGAGGGAGACGTCCTTCGCGTCGCAAACACCACGCTTGAAAGAGCGCAATGGCGAACAAGACCAACACGATGATGACAAGTGCGGTAACGGCTCCAGGCTGTTGGTGGAGATCGTGTGTGGTCAAGCGTTGGAGAGGTATCTTCTCAAACGTATAGGGACTCATCGCTCCGACCCATGCCCCACCTAGCCATAGCACTGTTGTTTCAATATGAGCTCTGCAGTGAAGTAGTGTTTTGCGGACGCTGAAACGGTACATCAGAGCCATGGCGAATGCGGCAGGTAGAAAACGACCGAGTGTTGTGGAAGCGAGTGCCGGGTAGTTCGAGTATGGTGGTGGATCAGACGCCATGGCGATCTGAAAGAAGAGGATTGTAAAAATAGGAGCGAAGAATGCTGCCGGGCTTGAAGCAAACAGAGAAAATAGCGCCGAGAAGACGACAGACAGTATAAGAAGATCCCATCGAGGGTCTTTACAGGTGCTCGAAGCGTCAACAACAGCCCTGGTCTGATTGAAGCCAAACGACATGGGAAATGCCGCATCGAAGCCCACGCTCAAGATGCCGTTTCTTTGGATGGAGCCGTATCCAACCTTCTCTCCCAGCAATGAAACAACTCCGCAGCCTCCTTTCCCGTTGGTTATGACACCCACATGGATTGCTGCTGCGCATATAAACGAATCTCCTCGATAGATCAAAGCATCGTTCCCTGAAACATCTGATGCTCCACCCACAACAAGTGATCGATAGTTAATCACCTTGTCGCCGATCGCTCGCGGGTTTAGGACTTGGGCACTGGTACAGCCGGCGGGGCAGTTGAATGGGAATGCAGAGTCGTCGAATGGCAGGCAGTTGCGGCCGTCGAGGCCACAGCTTTGGGGGTTGGGCCTGGGGTATTCAGCACGCTTTCTGAAGGGGGGTCTCTATGCTACCATACCACAGCTGTGCAACACAAGATAGCCTCACTGGCGCTCCAAGGCCCCCGATATTACTAGGGAGACTGTAATCGCTGATGATTACTCCAAATAATACAATCCATAGCAAGCACGCTATACAGTATACGCAGATTACAGCTAGTTTTGGTAGACGCGTGACGGTACGTGCAGGAAACGTCTGTACGCGTTCAAAGAACGGATCGATGCGATATGCCCTCGGCGGATCGGGACCTTTGACCCAACTGACGACTTTGCGGCTGCACCGAATGACAGGCGGAGGCACCTTCTGTTCAATCTTCTTCCACCGGGGAGTAAAGAACGATCGATTGCGAGGCACAACATCCTCAACGTCCAGACTCTGCCTGGTATCCGGCGTCGCCAACTTCGAACGCGACTCATCTGGTGAGTCACTAGGCGTTATTTGGTTGACGCCACGCTCGACGTCCATGGTCATGTTGGTTTCTTAATCACGTAGAAGCGGCGCTGAAGATTGTCCTCGCAGAGTTGTCATTGTGAAAGCAGGTCTGCCGTGTCTTCGAAACGACTGAACACTAGACAGTGGCGGGACGTCACGGCTAGCATCATAGATTCTTGATGTTCGCAGATCGCCAAGCCCAAAGCGCGCCGGAGCCGCCTTAAACATTGACTCCAGACACCTTCGATGTATGTCAATCACATGAATATGTGTAACTTGTCAACGAACAGCCGTCTTGTGAATAGTTTCATTTTAGCATCATTACTCGGTCGCTGTACACAGTGCTCATGAAGCGCTATGGAGTTGGTATCATGCATCAAAGCTCGGCCTCCCATTGTCTGTCGTGAAACTCAAGGTAAGATCTTGGTTTCATCCTCCGCCCGCAACCGGTGCTTATCCATAGGCACGGGAACATCCCCTGAATAACCAATCTCGCCCTGCGCGTTCTCCAGTTTCCGCGTCACTTTGCCCACAAGCCGTGCAATCCAGCGATCGTTCGCCATCACATGCATTGTACTGGCCCCAGCTTTGCGCATGCCCACCGCCGTCTTGTTTGAGGCCTCCTTGAATCCCGTATCGACTTTTCGTAGGAAAGCCTTGAAGCCTTTGTCGTCGGAAATAGTGTTGTCGGACGCGACGCTGCTCACCTCAGTCTCAGAAGCGTTGCCAGCAACGCTTGCCGCACTAGCACGCTTGAGATCTCGCTGCAGTCTTGCTTCCTCGAAATCTTTGTCGCTTTCTATGACCTTTGTTGCCTTGACAAGCGCAGCAACAAAATTGAGCAGATCTTGATGGAATTGTGCTGGAAGATGCGCATGCCCGGAGATGTGCATGCTTGCTTCGTCTTTGCGGCGCCTATCAAGTTCCTGTTGGGTTTGTATCGCCTTAGGAGTGCCTTCAAGTTCCTTGATCACTTGTTGTATCTCCATATCTTCGAATTCAGTCAAGATCTTGGGCATGATGTGTTCGTGATGTGGGAATAGGAAAACAGGTATCGAGAGGATGGCATCCGCACCTCCTACTCGAACCACCTGTTTAAGTTCGACGGCGTCTGGAAGTGCTCTGTATGCCATGACATCGGACATGGTGAAGTGACATTTAATGTCGTTATTTGTATTTACCGGGAACTCGGTGGTGCTCAGAATCGATCCGAGTTCAACGGAGAAATTGGCATCTGCGCACCAAGCAGAGATACGAGCCTCCAGCCTGCGGATCTCCGCATCTTGTCCAGTGTAGTGCTTGAAGAGGTACTTCCGCATCAGACTCACAAACCACTTGCCTGACCCAGCTGCGGTAACGGAACTGAACTTGACGGGGTGCCAATAGCAGATCGGAGTAAGCATTAGCCGATAAAGAAACGGAAACCGGTGCAAAAACTTCTTGATTTTCGGATGGCTAGTCTTACGGAGCGTCGAGACCCGAATCGACTTCGCCGGGGGGTGAGGTATCGAAGGGCTATTGTGGAGTCGCGCACATATCGCTGCTCGCAAATCGTCTACGTTATCCGGATCTAGTCTGCTGTCTCCCTCTTCTTGTTTGGAGGCTTCTATCAACGCTTTCTTTGCTATTGCTATGTGGCTGGTTTCTGCGATGTGCTGGACGTACTCTCGGTACTTGATGTTCGCCGACTCCTCGTCTGGCGACAATTGCTTCACGGACGCGAAGGCCGACTTTGTGTCATGAGAGTCTGTTGGTATCTCTCCAGCCGTCATGTTCCGAACCATCTCCGCTGGACGGGGCATATTGCCATCACGCGCGACCGTTGCTGCTCTCAGAATAGCGGTGTTACTGACAAGGACCGAGTCATCGTCGTCTGGTTCAGGTATACCGTACTCAACAGATCCAAAGGTGACCTCCCAATCCCCTCCTTTCACATTGGCGTAGACATCGTCTACTTGAATTTGTCTGAAGAGAGGTACGGTGACTTTGTCTACTTGGATGGCGAGTTCAATTTCATCTGATAGCTTTATACCCGCTTCTATTCCGTGTGCAACAAGGGTCAACGTCGAGAGCGACAATGTGAGGCCGCGAATGACGAACAGACCCTTGACTTCGGTGTCAATTTCCAACGCAGGTAGATCGAAGAAAGCGATTTGATCATTGATAAAGTGCAGATCTCGGAGGAATGTCTTCCTCAACGTGCGACGGGCAAGGCCGGCAGGAGCATCGAATTGGAAAAGGCATGTGATGAGAAGTGTCGGCCAGCAGAAAGTAGCAAACACTCCGTATAAAAGCCAAGAGGTCGAGCATACGAAATATGTCAAGTTGATTGTGGCGAACATAGACCAAACTGGGGCGAAAGGCAGGATGCGGTGACCATACGAATCCCCAAGCAGTATTGCGTACACCAGTAACGGCGCACCGGAGAGTATCCATCGAACAGGCCAGGACATAGATGTAGCGCCAAGTAAGACGGATGCAAGGAAGCAATTCGCAAGCATACGCTTGTCAGTAAGCCCAAGCTTCGACGCAGCCGTCGGCGCAACAGACTTGCGTTCCGGTATGCGTACCGAGTCGCGCTTTTTGGGTGAGTCCATGGCGGCCAGGAACGTGACACGAGTTGATGGGAATGATGGAAAGATGAGTTTTTTGTCGCTTCGTAGATTGTCAAGTGGCCATTGCGATCTGTGAGGAGGTAGTGGAATAGGTTGAGGTCGCCTGACTGCAATCTTGTCTTGTAGATACAATTAGCGGCCAGAGAGCTGTCATTCACGGTTGACATGTATGTGACGTCATTGTTGCGCAAACTTTAGACGCACATGGAAGGCACGAGGTCACTTCCAGACAATAACCATGATTGACTCGTTCCTGTGCCTGTTTGATCGCCCTGCCCATGTCATCCATGCATGTCTGATCAAATTTCCAGGTGTGGGATGCATTACTCCTTAATAGGCAAGGCGTCTCCCGGAATTGGAAACCAACCATCTGCTTCATCAACGCCCTGTCGGCACAAACAACACGTCTTTTGAGACGTCAAAGGGCAGAAGGGATTCTGTGAAACCATGCGTGCGTGGCAAAGTAGCATCGAAATTGATACTCTAACACAGCACTAACGTAGCAGCAAAGTGGTTTTGTGTCACCTGATAGTGACGATGTGGGCCGGTGTAGTCTTCGACTTGATACTTGCACAAGATGGCAGGACCAACAATACACTAAAATAGATATCCACAACAACGACAAGAACTAACCACTCGTTACAACGATTGCTCTACGATGCTTTTGACATCACTTTCAAACGCGCACTATTCCCCGTCTTCACCCGGACCGGTTTCTCTTTTCTCACGAAACACTCACCCGCCGGATGACCCTCATCACAAGTAACAATCCACTTCCCAATACCCATTTCTTTGGGCGCTCTCCTCATGCCTCGTCCTCCACCACCCACAATAAGATTACCTGGCCTGTATGTCTCGTCTGCGAGCATCCGCTTGATCACACTGGAATGTATGACCGCTTCGCCAGGAATATCGCGCGTCTCGCCTTTGGGAAGGGGCCAGATGATAGCTTTCCAAGTCCCATCTTCGCGGAGATCCATACGTCGGAAGGGTAGGTATTCCATGATGTTCCAGGAAATAACGCTCGTAGCGCTAACGCCGTTGTTGAATTGGAGTACGTCGTGCATGCGACCTTGCGTCGTTGCATAGTGGAGATGTCTGTGGAATTTGGTATCTGGATGGTTGAGATGGTGGTCCGGGACATTCTCTTCATCTACAAACTGACTCGTTGTGCCATTTACGAAATCGGCTGGTTTGTTCATTGCTGATTTGTCACGAGGGGAACCCCCATCGGATGATGGTACCGGAGAACCAGTATCGATCTCGATAGCAGGGATGCCGACTTGACGGTGTATTTCCACAGCCTCCGATTCATAATCGCAGCAGTGTAGCATTTCAAGCTTCTCTTCATCAAATTGGAGTCCAGCCTTTTGTGCTTCGTAAACCATCCAGACGAGTGGTACGTGGCTCAATGCCGCATCGCGTCCGTCATCCAGTGGCCAACCTCCACCAATGTCCTAGTTATATTAGTTTTTGAGTTACCAAATCTCGGTCGCGAGCGGAACTTACAGCATGGCAGCCAGGAAACCACACCTCCCGAATATCTTGTTCACCATTGTCTTCATCCCAGGAGTCGTTATTGTGGATGGGGTCTACTGACGTTATAGAAGTTGCGCCAGAAGTACGACCGTTTCCATCCAGATTGAATGAATAGCTCGGGCTCCGACTGCGTACTCCAGAAGTTTCGTGAGGGTTTCTGAACCGCTCAGGCGGTGCCAAAGTATCGCGGCGTCCCCTCTCTGGTTCTTCGGTCTTGTCGCTATGTTCATTATGATGATTATCGCGGAGTGCCTGTTGTGCACGACGATGCTTTTGATGTCTCTTGTAAAGCATAGATTTGTCCGGCTTTTCTTGTGAGATGAGATCCTGACGAAACTTTGCACGGCGCTCATCAATTGAGACAGCATGGCGGATAACTCTGGCGGAACTCCTGGCGGTGTATGGCAACTTGCTCCGCTGCATCCAAGCGCTCTCGAAGTGGGGAACACTGTTGACGGTGTCGAAGAGGCCAAGGAAGCGAATCGGACGCACTGGCCGGCTAAACGTTTCTCTGAATGCGCACATAAACTCCAAGTGTTTCTTCTTGTCTGCCTTGTTGTCTTCGCTGGTTCCCTCTATTCGACACTGCCACTTCTGAAACGTTCTTGAGTTATATGTCAGTTTGTCGAGTCGTCAAGGAGCAGTTACAACACTCACTTCCATGCAAATTGGCACATCTCTTCGTTACCGGCCTAGGTGATATAAGCATTCTGCAGTAATCGGAGACGTTGCGAAAGACTTACAGATAGAAGACCAACGTGATCCAACATCTCAGCAAGGAACCTAGCAGTGTATGCACCTCTGGAAAACCCAAAGAAGAAGATGTCGTCACCTGGCGTATAGTATCTCATCAAGAACTGCGAAGCAGGTGTCAGTCTGATTATGCATAATGGAGGATTGCAATCTGTGCAGTGATCTCTCGAGAACTGTATAGCCAACAGGATCACCGACTTCTGCAGAAAGGGTACACTTACTCTGTACCCGGCCATTACGTGCAAGTCAAAGGAAGTGCCTGAACGAACTTAGTCTATATCATCATTAAACCTCCAGATTGCTCACCAACAGCACTATCCTTGGCTTTTGCGTACCATGATTTGAACTTTTCGATCCGACCTGTTCGTGTCATTGTGCCGCCCGCATTCGTAACATAAGTCCCAATGCCAGGTTGATAGTAATGGAATTGGTCGTCGCCATCGCGGTCAAGCATGCGATAAATCTTCAGGATGTTGCTATCCGCGTCGGTCCCGGAAAATTTGTTGCCAGTACCGTCAAAGCAAAGAACAAATTGCTTGCGAGGATGGACTCGCGGTTGCGTTGGATCTTGGTACTCCATGTTGTCGCGCTGGGCGTAAGGATGCTCTTGAAACCAGGCGATGTGAGACCTTGGCTGGTGGGTATTACATTCAAAGTCGCAGACTTGGCAACCGTGACAAGGAGTGATGATGGACGAAGGAACTGGTCAAGATGTCAAGATGGAGGGGAAACGTAGAGACACTGATTCGTACGATTGGGTGACGTATTTACTTTTTTCTTTGCATCAGACGGAGTATGAAGATCACTTTCCCAAAATGTGCGCAAGAGCTTCCCCCCATGGTCGATAGAGTCGCCCCTGTATCGTGCTAGTGACAGGTAGTGTATGCTTATCTCCGTAGTGGTCACCAATTGACATGCTACTCGAGTTCATGCAGGCGCGTATGCTGGAGTCGCCAATTCCAATGTTGGGATCTCGAACCTAGCGGCGCATGGCTGGTCGCATGTGAATGCGTTGCATTGCAGCCGCTCAACAACAAAACACGATAGTCTCCTGTTATGTCGACAGGTTCATTCGACTGCCAGGCGCACACACGCCAGGCTACGCATGCATCACGCGATAGTGTTACGGCGAGCCCGAAGAAATAGCGTCGGGAAGGGCATGTGTACGCAGCTATGATTCAATAGTAAGCGATTGGTGCGTTGATCTATTGAGCACACGCAATGGTGCTGACCAACGACGCGATCGCTGGCGAGCGAGTGAGATAGTCTAGTGTCCATGCCCTAATTTGGCGGTTCGGCGATGTTGGGAAAAGCATTATGATTGCATGTAAAATCTTAATATCCTAGGGTCCTAGCACGGAGCTTAGTACCCTGTGCTATGTACCGAACGGGACTGACAACCCCTGTGATCTGCGATCGTGACAGCAGACGAAGACTAAACAAGGATGTGGGGCCCGCTCATCGATCTCTGTTCCGGTCGCGTATCGTCCCAGCCCCTCGCACCAACAGGCATCCCTCGTGGCGGGTACCTTACCCGTGTCTCCTCAGTGCTTGCCATTCTTCTCCTTTCTATGGCAAATTCGGAATCATGCACAGGCGACGCAGACGGCGTCTCGTGCTTATCATCTTACACACAACGTCGGCATTGGCTGTGGTGGGCAAAGCAAGCGTACGTGCCTCGAGCTCGAAAATTGTACACTGCACCGTCGATCATCTGCAGGCGATCCACAACTTGTTGCAAGTCCGATCCATCTTGGTGAACTTTATCACACTATTCGCCGGCTGTTTCTCGCCCGACTGAGCTTTGCAAATGCGCCTTACCCTCTTCCACTCTCCCAAGCTCCTTCCACACTAGCAAGACAGCCCCGTCCAATCGGCGCATGTTGCGTTCTGCGTTCCACCACCATTGGAGAAATTGAAGACACCCGCAGTGGATAGCCCAGCTGCCTATCGAGTTTGATCAGTGTGGATGCTTCTCCATGAGGTTGCGTTTAGCGACGACTGAATCGCCATTGCCATTCACTCCAGACACGACCAATGGGACAAAGCCTGGGCACACAGTATCTACACAACTATCTCTAGCATGCAAACACGGACCCGGTACCACACGTTCTGAGTGGGTAGCATTGCGCAGCTGTTCGGCGACCGCCTATGTTGATCACTGTGTTTGTAGTTGCCAGCAATGATCACTATGCGTTCCGTCCGAAACTGCTCAATATCGGCCTCCCCGATTTCCGCAAGTGCGCCCCCGCGTGAAGTTGGTTTTTCCAAAGCAAGTGCTCTTTCCCAGACCTTCTTCATCCAGCTCCATCCTCGGGCTTTGATCAAACTTTCTTACCATCTCCCCATCTTTCCAACGCACCATTTGATATTATACTACTCACGTATTCTTATGGGATGGCTTCCAGAATGCCTAGTCAATTGCGATCTCTATTAGGTACTATCAGGAAGAAGCCAACCCAGGCAAGCGATGGAAGGTCTGCGGAGGCAGCTAGCGGCCTGAAGGATACCCGAAAAACCACCATAACTCAAGACATTAAGAATCTCGGTATCAAGAATGCTAAGTTCGCGGTCGAGGCTGTCACAACATTGGCTTCTGGCGAGCCTTTGGACGACAAAGACCTCTTGCTTGAAAAAGGCGTCGAGATGCTCCAGGGACTGCCACCAAACAGCGGTCTTAGCCAGAAGGTGTCCGATGGCTTCATAGCCATGTTATGGAATGACCTCCCTCACCCCACACCCAGCGCGGCCGGACCTTCGACTCGATATCGGCGGCACGATGGTGGAGGGAACAGTTTGTGGAACCCCGAGATAGGAAAGGCAGGTTCGCCTTATGCACGAAATGTCCCGCCTATGAAACCCAAAGGTCAGTTTGCCGGTTTGTGGATCAACTCGTAGCTGCTGACAAATCGTACCAGGCCCATGTTTACCAGACGTTGAAGACGTATATGAGGCACTTTTGAAGCGCAATGGTACCTTTCGTCCACATCCGTCTGGCCTGAACCGGCTGTTCTTCTCGTTTGCGACTATCGTTATCCACGAGTGTTTTCAGACCTCTAGAAAAGATCCCTGGATCAACGAGACCTCCAGCTATGTCGATCTCAGTACACTCTACGGAAACACAGAGAAGGAACAAAAACGTGTGCGAACGTACAACAACGGCCTCATCTATTCCGACTCGATCGCGTCCGAACGCATCATGATGATGCCTCCCGGTGTTGTTGCGGTGCTCCTTATGTTCTCTAGGAATCATAATCACGTCGCCGAATCCTTGTTTTCTGTCAATGAAGATGGCAAGTACAAACCTTGGGACACTCTTGACGACGAGGGCAAAAAATGGTCAGTACTGCCGCTCAAACCCTTTCACGCGGTCCTTGGTTAATGTGATATCACAGGCAAGATGAGGACATCTTCCAACTCACTCGGAACATCAACGTAGGCTTCTTCGCATCTGTCGTCCTGCGGGATTATGTCGGAGCAATTCTGAACACTCCGCGAGCAAATTCGGAATGGTCTCTCGATCTTGGCAAAGAAATCAAGCAAGGTGGGAGCCGCGTAGAACGAGGTACCGGTAGCCACGTATCCGTCGAATTCGCTGTTCTATACCACTGGCATGCTGCCCTAAGCGCCGCAGACGATAGGTGGATGGAAGACATCATACGATCCGTCTTCCCTGACCTCGTTTCAGTCGACGATGTTACAGTTGAGATGTTCCATGAAGTCATGAAAACTCACGGCCATTACTTGATGAGTAAACTGCCCCACCAGTGGACTTTCGGGGGCCTCGAACGAGGCCCTGATGGGAAATTCAAGGACAGTGACCTCGCAGAGCTGATGAAACAATGCATCGAGGAGCCAGCGCATGCATTTGGTGCACATGGTACACCATCCAGCTTGAGAATCGTCGATCTGATGGGCCAATTGCAGGCTCGTGATCTGTTCAATGTGTGTACCCTCAACGAGTTCCGCAGGTATCTCAATCTGAAACCTTACGAGAGCTTCGACGACTGGAACCAAGACAAAGAGACCGCGAGAGCTGCAGAGCTTCTTTACGGCCATATCGAGAACATGGAGCTTTATCCCGGCTTGATGGCCGAATGTACGAAGCCCGCTATGCCAGGAAGCGGTGTCTGCCCCGGACAAACTACAGGACGAGGTATCCTAAATGATGCCGTTGCCTTGGTGCGCGGCGATCGATTTCTCAGCTATGATTTCAACAGCAACACCCTGACACAATGGGGTGCCGCACTGCTTTCGGAAACTACTCCAGGTGCATACGGCGGTGTGTTCCCAAAACTGCTTTTCCAAGGCCTTCCCAGTGCATTTACAGGCACCTCGACCTATGCCCTGCTGCCATTTTATACTCCGGAGACTGCCATAAGCATTCTGAAGGGAAACAATATTCTGGAGAAATACGATACAAAGCGACCTTCGAACGAGAACGAGATTGTTAGCATTCAAACTCAAGAAGGTTGTAAAAAGATCTTCGAAGACCGTGACAGCTTCGTAGTCATGTACCAAGCAGCGATTCGCAATTGTACCGCTGGACACGACTTCATGATTGGTTGGGATGATGCAAAAAGACACGATCAACGTTCCAACATCTTGCATAAAGTCTTCTTCGAAGAGGGTTTCGAGAAAAACATTAATGAGTTCTTCAGCACCAACGTGAGGAGTCTCATCCAGAAGAATTCAGTCCAGGGACCCAAGGGCAGAAAGTCCATCAACATTGTCCGAGATGTGACAAACATCACTCCTATCCTCTGGCTTGCTGAGCGGTTCGCTCTCCCGATCAAGACTCAAGACCAACCTCGAGGCCTTTTGTCCTTACACGAAGCTTTCACAGCCTATCTCGTGCTGTTCATGTACCAGAGTTTCAATATCATACCAGCCAACGAATGGAAGTTGAGAGAAGGTGCAATGAAGGCTGCAGCTCCACTGCGCTCTATCTTCGAAACTCATTTGAAGACGCAAACGGGTATGATGGAAGGCTTCGTGGATTGGATGGCCAAGGGTAGTGCTTTTGAGGTGGGTCCCCACGCTGATCGCATCTATCACGCGCTTGCAGACAGCAAGCTTCCTATCGGCGACCAGGTAGGAGACTGCATCGGAATGGGAGCTCCTGTTGCTGGCAACATTACACAGCAGGCTTCCCTTCTGATCGATCTCTACCTCAAACCTGAGTATGAACAGTACAAGAAACGCATTATCGAACTTGCCCACATGGATCCCGCAGCATCGGACCGCGAGCTCCAGGGTTTTGTCTATGAAGGTATGCGACACGTTGGAGTTGTTCCTGGTCTGCCTCGTGTTGCTACCAGGGACATTACCGTGCTCGACGGTATCCGCGGCCCGGTAGAAATCAAGAAAGGACACACAGTGCTTATCGCAACTTCCAAGGCGGCAATGGACCCTATTGCGTTTCCCAATCCCGAGATTCTGAACCCCCATCGATCGTTCAAGGAATATACACTCCTTGGCCATGGCCTTCATTTCTGCTTCGGCGCCCGGCTTGTAGGACCGTCGATCGCAGCTACACTGCGTGAAGTCTTCAAGCTAAGAAATGTGCGTCGTGCACCTGGAAAGCTGGGTCGATTTACGATTACCGAAGCCAAGCTAGCCGGGATCACGATGAGGCACTACGTGGATGCCAACTCTAAAGAAAGTCCTATTCCCACGAGTTTGACGTTACATTATGATGATGAGACTGTGGTGACAAATGGTATCAATGGGACGCATCGTGCCAATGGAGTCAACTCTGCCAACGCTGTCAATATGGAGAAGACAAACGGCATCAATACCTATGCGAACGGCACCAACAGTCACACGCATGGCGTAAATGGCCACATGAACGGCAACGGACATGGAAATACCAATAGTCACTAGGATCGACGTTCCATGATAAAGTTCTTGTTGTGTGGTACAACTACGAGAGACGTGTGACTTTTCAAATATACCCACGCGTGCTTGCGGGCAGGCTAAACGCTCAGTAAGGTGATGGTTTAGATGTTGGTGGTTATTGGCCACTGGAAGATATGAGAAAGTGAGCAAACAGGATGTGCTGTAGTAATAAATGAATCTTATATCACATTGTCGTCGTAATATCTTCATGGTCTATTGCAGCTGTGAACTCCGTCATTTTCGCTTGGCCGCTTTGGTATTAAAAAGCGTAGCATCCATTTATAGAGGCTCACTGTACAGTATCAGTAATGGCGGTTAGCCCTGAGAAGGGATTTGCTAGCACAAAACGCATGAATGGCTATTGTTGTCGATATCATCTGACAGCGCTCAAAGCCTGCAATCCTAACAACTGGACAAAACAATGTTTGTTGCCATCTCACTCAACAAACATTTTACAAAATGAGTTAAGCTGGGAAATTGGCACTTAGACTTTTGGCCCTCATGTTGATCGCATGAAGTAGATCCGAGTAATAAATCACATGCCAGCATTGCTCCACTCTCCACGTGGCGGCCTCACATCCGATGTCGTCTCTTTGAAATTCATTCTTAAACGTCTCCTCCCGCCATAGTAGCGTATACCTTGAGTATTTCTCAAGCTATCGTCCTCCACGTTGTTTGTCTCATCCTGGATCCTGGGTCTTCGACTTGGAAATCCCAAGCTAGCTCTGAGTTCATGACGATGGGTAACAATTAAGCGTTTGAGAGACTCGCATTGACTTTCCAGTCGGTATACCGCATCCCCTCTGCGAAATATCATCTAGTCGACGCAAATCGGATTGGTCGTTGTGAGTGGAAGAGACAGGTGTCACGCACACCAAAAGCTCCATATCGTATCGCGTTGTGTGCTCTACGCCAAAGGATGTTTGATGGAAGGATCATACGATGATGAATCGCCAATCAGCAAATTCCATCTTCGGTATCTCAAAACACCTGTGCGATCAGAATGCACTCTGCAGAGAGTCCATGTCAAGAGAAAGCAGTAATTCATGGCTTGAAGAACTACTCCACTCATGACATATTGTTTAGGTGCCGCCATCGAATCGGAACCATGTCAATTACACTTATGAATACTCATTGTTGGCTCACCCGATGTTGTGCTTGTCCTGTCCTAAATCAGCTTTGTTCTCTCCAACGAGATCGTCTGAGACGCCACCCACCATTTCTTGATCAATCCAGCTTCCGCGCTTGCTCATTGTCCTTCTCTTCCATTTTTCTCTATTCTCATCGTGACGTGTTTCCCATCCATCATCTCCAGCTGCTCTCGCTGGTGACATCAGCTTTGCGTGCGTTATATCGGAACTGATCCGACTCGGGTCCACGAAGTCTGGAAAATGCGTAGTGTCCGTACTGTTACTAACACCCCAAAGACTGCCGTTTCCAGGTGCAGTAGCATTTCCCCGAGGCATCACACTGCTAACCTTCCCGGAATTTGTCTTTTCTAAAGTCAAGCCTGTGGAATTCCCTCTTTGTTCATGCTTGAGTCGCTGACTGACACTATTGTTCGATGTTGAACGAACTCGTACAAGCTGAACAAGCTTTCCAAGTACAGAAAATTCCAGTTTCAACTTGATCGAATACACAGCACCTTTTAACGAAGTTTCTATGAGGTAGAGATTCGCGAACTCCACGCTGAGGATTGACAGGTCCAAGATGATGATCAAAACGTTGATGGCCAGAAGTTGATACATCGTTTTCCTTACGCTTGCATTCTTCAAGTGCCCATGTTCTGTAGTTCCATCATCCAATCTCCGCCCCTCATCTTGCACGGACTCCGAAAGGCGAAGTAAACGTATCGTTTCGCGAATGTAAACTGCTGAGAGGATAAACTCCTGGACAAAGAAGCCGACCATCTGGATCTTTTCCATAATGGAATAACCATGAACAAAGCGTGCGAGTCTGGTATCAGATAGCGAGTTCGAGTTCGAGCCAAACGTTAGGACGGTCGTGGTGGAGTGTAGAAGTACGCCGTTGATGATGATCATGTAGAGTGTCCAGCGAGTAAGGCGACGCGAGGCAGTAACAAGGTGGAGTCGAGACCATAAAACCACGGATTGACCTGTGACCATAGCATACCATCCAAAAGTAAGCATTACGACGGCGACATAGCCTACATCCTGGTTCGGATCCAATACTCGAAAGAATTTAATCAAGAACCCTAGCGCATAGAAGATGACACCAAACGCAGAAATAACAAGGCTCCAAAAGTACACACCACGAAATCGCTGGAACGTAACTAAGATAAGGACAAGAAGCTCCACTGCATTATACAGCGCGAGCCCCAAAAGGAAGGCAAGGGTAATCTTGAGGTTGAGAGAGTTGCCTGTGTAACCTACACGGATTAGCTTGCTGTTCCAAGTTCAATTTAGGGATTTGATTGACATATATACCTCCCACGATGCCAGCACCTGCAGAATCGAGAGCACCTTGTGCTGGCGCTGATTCGACAGCAAGCATAGAAGTCGTAGCACTCGAGGTCGCAATCGTTGACTGCATCGCGTGCTGTTTGGTCTCAGGTCGATGTGCAACCCAATGCACATCACGCAACGTCTTTTAGGGTCGTGACTGACGAGGTACACCTCTGAGGTCACAGCCTCTGCAATAGTCAGCCGCACAATGCGACCCAGATGCAGGAGAGCAATTGACAATACGTGACAGGATTCAGTGACAGGTTTGGTGCAATTTTTTCGACAGCACATCGACAGTTACAAGTCGCGTGGCTCGAGTTCGGCCCAATCAGTCAAGGAACGAGCTAGTATGACGTTTGTGACCCACTCTAGTAACGGCTTTGGGTTGGCGCCTCGACGGGTATTGGTTAGGGGAATTGTTTAATTACCGTTGATACTTGCACAACTGCATACCGAGCAAGGAAAGATCTTGACTAACCCGCCTTTCGAAAAAGCACACAACCTATTATATACCTATGGTCGATCGTTACGTCAACCACGACATCAATCTTCCGTCTACTCCAAAAGTACGTCTAGAAGGAGATGTGAGCCCCAGTCCAGATCAGGCGATGATATCTCAACTGTCAAAGTCATAATGGCGCTCGCGAGGATAGAGGCAAGAGAAGGAGCTGTGCATCAGGGAGTATCGAGTCAAGCAGCAACTTGACATCATCATCAACCTCACGTCTCGTAATAGAGGATTTCTCGGCCATCTTACGGAGAGTGAGTCTTGGGAAATTAATGTTCCCGCAACGACGGAGGAGCGAAATCACTGAATACGATAATCTGATTGAGCAGCCCCGGAACACATATTTAAGAGTAAATTTTATACTTGACCAAAAGGAAATCCTTTTATATAGACTACCTTCTTTCTAGGCTAGACCCAAATCTATTTCCATTTGCTACTGGAATAGTTCCAAATTTAATCTCATCTATTGAAATAAGTCAAATTGGAAACCCTCAATAGTTCTATCCTGTTATACTTTCAGGCTAGAAGTTGTGAAACTTCGCGTTGAAACTTCAAGCATAAACATTTTGTCAATCTCAACGTTAGATCGATTTTTCATCTCAAGTACTAACGGCCAAACCAATCCGAAACCGAGGGCACAGCAACAGGCCAAAATGAATCCAGTTTTGGCTCTCAAACCGCTAGCATCTGGATTGAAGATATACGGCAAAGTAATACTCACGACGCCGCTGGCTAAGTTCTGAATCTTGTGTGATAGAGCCAATACCTCCAACGTCGAGTCAACGCACTTTCTAATCGCTTCAATATCCCACTCTCCAGAGTTCGTAAAGCTGACCTGCTGAATGGAATCTGGTATAGTGAAAATGATATTCAGGGCTCAAACTCATGACAGTATTTGAGTCTGGATACTGCAAGTCAGAAGATGACTTTGCACTTACTAGAGCGTTAACATACCCCGTGTACGGATTAACCATGACTTCTCATTGTATGATTCAAGAGCCGCGTCAACATCATTATAACGTAGACTCGGTGCCTTAATGTCAAGTAACTTGTACCACTCTTTGATTTTGGGGTCTTCTTAACCAAGCTATTTTCCATGAGTTAACACTTCTCTTGTACTGTAGATGGGGAATATATACATCAACTGACTTACCAGATCAGACACAACTCAGCTTCGGCAACCACAATGATGACGTCTGGATCAGAATCAACCCTCGCCAATACTACTCGAATAACCTTGGTCGAAGCATCTGCCCTAATAGTTGGCGACGTTCTCGTGGCTATTGCTACACTGTTTGGGTTAAGCTCATAGCACATGGCGATGAGATAGGCTATGCTACTTCCTGATGAGACATTGTGATTAGCCATAGCCAGTACAGGTAAAGCCTGATGTAGGCATCAGTTCGTCGAAATATCAAACCTGATTGGAGACCGACATGCACGGCCTTCACTGCTAGAAGCAGTTTAATGCGCATAGCATATACATCGAAAGAGGTATTAATCGACCAGAAATCTAATCCAGCAACTGACTCCCGGCCTGAGATCTGGTTGATTGCTGCCGAGCGTCAAAATATGTACAGTACGATGAAGGCCTGCATATTGATCAACTGATGCTCAATGCTAGGCGTTTGAACTCTGCTCATACAGTAAAAGGGTTTGATGATCAGGTTCCTGTATACGTGACTTCAGTACATACTAAGTCGCAAATCTCCGGGCAGCAGTGGGCTAGCCAAGGGTACATATCCAACACGTATCCCCAAGAGCACGATAGGCAGAACATAGTTCGAAATCAAAGAAGGTGTTGATATGAAGAGATATATATTAGGCAAATCATCGAGTTACATATATCCAATCCTCGAAATAACAGACCCAGCATTCCCGCAGGCGCAATATACATCATCTCTACCAAAACACCCAAAATCATTATCGTCTCCCCGTACTTCGTTACTCATGACTTCCGGCTGCTCCTTCACACAAAAAAGCGTCAAATAGATGATGAAAACTCCAACGCCAGCGCAAGAGGGGGTAGTCCAGAAGTCCAGATGCGAGACGTAACGAGGCGCTAAATGAACAACAGGAAATCTAGACTTTTCCCCTTTCCTAGACAGTGTTGGCGAAATATTGACCGAACACCTACCAGACTAACAAGCAAGAGGACAACAGGACCAGACAGAGGGTACCCTTCGACCTGTGCTGCCAATGGAGACCTCCCAAATAGACGCAAAACGACAGTCCGAAAAGAGAGGGAGAAAAGAACATAACACGACACGGCCGAGCAGCAAAGAAGAACAATCCCAAAACAGAAAGCGCGAAAAGAAGCGAAAGACATCAACACTCAATACCCTGAGGCATCTGTAACACAAAATCGCTGACGTTCGGAAGATCCCAGGCCGAAGATACCACGAATGATATCATGAAAGGTCCATCTTACGCAGAGGCCACTGCAATACTAGCATGAAAAAAGAACAAAACCAAGGAGGAAACGATGCGTGGCGTAAGGATAACATCAATAGAAATGCAAAATCGCGCGAAACAAACATAACTCTTTACCAAGATTTTGTCACTGCGTATCGTCTCGCGAGTTGCATATCTCATTGCGTGGCTCAGCGCCTCTCCAGGTCCAGCATTGTGTTGACCAAGTCAAGAATGACCTTCAGACGAGATCTGTCCTGAGAAGCATCCACGACAAGGGCTAGATACGAAGCTCTTTAGACCTTCTTAGTCTTTTTACTAGATCGTGAACTACCAGCACCGCCAGATGCCCATAGTAAGAACCCTGATGGAGCGGGCTTCTTGCGGGATGAGTGAGAAGAGCTAGGGGTAGGAGTCACATCTATAATGGCTGGCGGTGGGGGTGGCATGCCATAAACCCCAGGAGGCGCCATTGGAGGAGGTGGTGGAGGAAGCATTATTTCCACAGGCATGCCCATGGGAATTACTTCCATAGGCATACCCATTGGGGGAGGCGGTGGCGGGATTGACATTGCGCCTTGCATCGAATCACGCTTCGGTCTCTTCTCTCTAGGAACCTTAGTTCGACTGGTTGTAAAGTTAGCCCTTGTTTAGATTGCACAACATGATTGATGCAGGTGTTGTGTAGTGTTTTGAGCTTGACGTACACTTTTGGAGGAGGAGGAGGAGTCTGGCTTTGATATGAATAATCTGGCCATGAATACATTGCTTCGGGAGGCCCGGGGGGCGGCGGAGGTGGAGGGGGAGGGGGGAGTATCTCTACGACAGGTTCCGGAGGTGGTGGTGGAGGCGGTGGGGGTGTCGGTTCAGGCATTGGCCACATGTGCATGGTAATCGCCCAGTCGGGCTGGAGGACAACCTCCCAGATCTGGGGCAGGATGATCTCGCCGTCAGGACCGACAAGATCGTAGTGGCCTTGGTGTACATGAGGGCCAATCACATCGACGTGGAGGAATGCCTGTTTGATGAGTTCTTCCATGCCCTGTTAGTCGTTAGTACTGTAGTGCCAAGTTCGATCTCCGCTCATGTTTACCTTCCAAGTCTTACATAAATCGAACGGGAAGCTAAACTTGCGGCCGACAGCATCCTTGAACTTGATCGGCGGCGTTGGAGGCGGAGGAGCTGCCAGCTTGGCTGCTGCTTCATCGGCGATCTTCTGAGCCTTGGCGAGCTCCTCCTCAGCATTCTTTTTCGCCTTTGCAAATTCCTCTTCAGCATTCGCCTTTGCCTTTGCAGCCTCTTCTTCAAGGTTCTTCTTTGTTTTTGCAGCCTCTTCCGCGGCGTCCTTCGCAGCCTTCTCAGCTGCCTCTGCAGCCTCCTTCGCAGCTTTCTCTGCAGCCTCTGCAGCTTCCCTCTTCGCTTTTTCTGCTTCCTCTGCAAGCTCTTTCTTTGCCTTTTCAAGCGCTTCGGCAGCGGCCTGGGCCTCGGCGAGTGCTTTTTCGTGCGCCTTCTTGGTGGCTTCTGCCTCGTCTGCAGCCTTCTTCTCTGCTTCTTCTCGTGCCTTTTGTGCCGCCTCGAGCATGATCTTAGCTCTCTCAGCGGCAGCTTTCTTATCGGCGGCTACCTTGGCGGCGTGAGCATCGTTTGCAGCTTTCTCAGCTGCGCGTATTGCATCTGCCGCAGCTTCTCTCTTCAACTGTTCATCCTTTTGTGCAAGAATGAGCATTTCAAGCTTAGCGAGCTTGTCTTCGTTTCCTTTCTTCTTCGCCTCTGCGGCCTCGGCCGCAGCATCTTCAGCAGCTTGCCTCTTCGCCTTTTCCTTCTCGATGCGGGCCTCTTGCTGTTGGATGAGTAGATTTTCAAGACGGGCAAACTTGGCATCCTCGGCAGCCTTTCTCGCCTCCTCGGCAGCCTGCTTTGCCGCCAGTTCAGCTTTCTCGTCTTCGTCTTGTTTGCCGAGCAGAAGCTTCTCGAGTTTGGAGAGCATGCCATCTTCCTTGGCTGTGTCGGGCGGCGGCGGCGGTGCTGTGAGAGCCAACTGGGCGACCGGAGGTGGCGGCGGTGGTGCTGCGGCTGGGGGTGGTAGAGCGTCTTGCTCAATTGAGCGCGGCCTAGGAGTTGGCCTCTTCGAGACCAGATGCTGCGGTGGAGGAGAGGGATGCTGTGGGTGTCCGTATGGCGGGTACATGGAGGGCATGCCAGGTACGCCAGGCATTCCGGGTGTTCCCTGCATTCCAGGCGTTCCGTAAGGAGAGCCATACGGAGGATAGTAACCTGGAGGATACGTGCCGGGAGGATAGTTACCAGGGGGATAGTTGTTTGGAGGATAGTTGCCTGTAGCAGAAAACGGCATCATCTCTCCTGGTTGCGGGGCGGGGGGCATAGAGTTGCGATGGCTACGAGAACCGCGATGTCCCACAGCCTGGTTGTGAGCTGGGCTGTGACTTGGATGAACTCCGTGACTTGGATGACCTCCATGACCAGGGTGGCCAGGGTGACCAGGATGGCCAGGATGGCCAGGGTATCCAGGGTGGCCGGGCTGACCCGGTTGACCTGGATGACCTAGATGACTCGGTTGACCTAGATGGCCTGGTTGACCCAGATGACCTGGCTGACCTGGGTGAGCTGAGTGCCCTGGATGCCCTGGGTGACTGGGTTGACCGGGTTGACCAGGCTGACCAGCGTGGGCTCCCTGAGCTTGATAATCGCCAAAGTAGCTACTGCGGTCCGCACTTGGAGGCGCTTGTGTGAAGGGATTGGGTTGTTGAGGTGCAAATGGATTCGCGTTGTAGCCGTACTGATCCTGGTTCCCAAATGGAACCAGTGCACCCGCGGGCGATGCCGAGCCGCCCGAGTAGGGATTGTAGCGGGGATCAGACATCACGCTAGGGGCATACCCGCTGGGGGCGTGCTGGGGGATATGGGCCCACTGCGCGCTGGGGTGGTGAGGCGGCGCCCCGGGACGCGGGGCTTGCGGGGCCTGTGGCGCATAGCCCGGGTAATCGTCGTGGTCTTCCAGAGTGTCGTCGTGGATAGACTGAGGCTTGCGTCGCCGCTGTCGATGCCCGTGTTCTAGTGCACCTCTGCTCTGGCTCCTGCTCCTGCTCCCGTGGTGAGACGGGGCGTCGGAGACAGGGACGTGGTGGCGCGACGAGGGACGACGAGATGGTTTGAGTCGCGGCGCGGGCGGTGCGGACGGTGCGGACGGCGGTGCGGGGGGAACTCCACGATGGTGCACGCGTGGGCGAGAGGCAGAGTCGGACGGCTCGATCTCGTCAATGTAGTCCCACTCTTCGTCTCCTTGGCTATCGTCGTCCTGACTGTCGTCGTCTTGGCTGTCCTCGTCCTCTTCCTCGTCCTCCTCCTCGGAATCGGTATAGTCACCCTGGCTATCCGACGACACCTGCACGCCTGACGAGTCCTCTTCTTCACTATAGTCCTCGGCCCCCGTGTGGTTGTTGACGGTGATTCCTTTCCGTACGAGTCTGATGGTAACGTTAGTGTCGCCTCTGTGAGAGCCGCGCGAGGGAGAAATCGACACGCTCGAGGGGGTGGTGGAGCGAGAGGTGTGGGAAGACGAGGAGGCAGCACGACGGGTGACTGTGCGGTGCGAAAGCGACCGCTGGGACGAACGACGAGACATTGGGCGCTGACGATGGGGAAGGGCTATGACTAACGGCATGAGGCTGGCTGTGGGTGGAGGAACCGTACTCGGGCCCGGTCTTCCACAGACGAGCCGAGTCCGGTATCCGTTGTGTGCGGAGTAGGTGCCTTGTGGCTATCAGGGGGGCCGTCGTGGTGTTGGGTTGGGACGGGTTGGGCTCAGGTGAGGGTGCGTAGTGCGTGGTGGGGGCTGCTGCTCCCGTGGTGCGGGGTGAACAAAGGCCTGGCGTGGGTGTTGACAGCCCGCCAAGTGGGAGAAAGCCGCTGCACAATGGCTGCGAGCGCGGGAGGAGCCCTGCTATATAAAAGGTACACCGCAGCAGATGCTAGACGAGACGGGAGAAGGGAGGGGTCAATTGTCGGCAAAAACAAACGTCGCAAGGCTGATGGTGATTCGACAGGCGGTGGCAAAGTGTCTCGAACAGGCGGCGGCTGTTTGGGCAAAGCACTGGGCAGGATCGTGTCTGTGAGGCCCCTGTTGCTTGCCTGAGATTGGTGTGTGAGATGTGCGGGTGATAAGCGTGCTTGGCCTCGATGCACGACACAATCGATAACAACAAGTTGAGCGACGCAGACACCAGACGGAGGAGACGATGGGCGATAGGACGGCCTGTGTCAGGTGGCTGTTCGAGCAGATGCACTTGGACGTCGAAGCGAGGGCTGTCGCACAAGACAAGACGCGTAAACCAGCGGGCAGGCGAAGGCAAGACAAGACCTGCTGACGAGGGCACGTCTTTTGCGTTGCTTCTTTGGGGCAGGCCGAGTTTCGACTCTCCTGGCGTTGCTTTGTGCGCTATCGTAGGATGGAGTTGTGGTTGCAAAAAAGCAACGGATTGGGTAACAGCGCGTGTGGTGTTGACGGCTGGAACGCTCCTCAGGGTCTACGCCAGACTCTCCGAATCAAATAACAATGTGAAATGTGAAGTGGTTCGGAAAACATTGACATAATCTGGCTGGCGAACAGACGAGCAGGCGAAACGTCTAGAAGCAAGAGGCAGACGCGACAATGCGGAGAACGTGCGACGGTGCAGGTGCGATTGCACCAACGGCCCCAATTCTCCATCTATTTAACCAAAAACCCCACCGTACTACCAAGAGCCATAGCAGCGCCTCATGCGTGGATACGTAGTCATCACCAGCAAAAAAGACCCCCATTTCGACAGAGCATGCAGCCAGGCGCCCAGATTCAAAATGGGAATGCTACGTGTTGGAACGGGTAACTTACAACCTCCCCTCCCTCCAAATCACCGGTGAGCCCAACACACGCCAGGCAACCCCAGTTGGACCCTATCCACTCTCAACTCACACGTCGCCCTGCAGCTAGCATACGCGGGAACGGCACACTCGATCTTAAAATTCGCTACTACACACAAATGCCAGCTCAAATTCCTCATTGAGCCCGTTAGCCTATGAGAAGAGGCCACACGTGGCACATCGTCGCACGTCGCCTGTGTTGGGCTTGCATGCGAGGCTCTACGGCATGCATGCATACATGCAGGAGAAGCACTGGGCCATGTGGAGTCGTCGTCTCGAGGAATGAGAGTGCACCACGTAGCAGCCGATTCACCGATGCAATAGCGAAATCTGGAGTTGAACCTGAGGAGTTGCACAGGTAGGAGGTGGGGAGAGGCGAACGGCCTCCGCGAAGGGGTTCTGTTTTCGAAGTTGCACCATGGTTTGAACGCGCTTAAATGAATGATAAACAATCGATTTCAAGTGTTTCTAGGGTAAACAAGTAGATAAAGTCGAGCAACACAATACACAAAAGCAATCGGGTATGAACAACGCCAGCCAACTCCACATTTACTTGACATCATTCCCAACTCCCAACACCTCAAGGAGCACGTTAGCAAACGTACTGACAACCCAGAGCGTAACCAGTCCCCATCCAATCACCTTATCCATTCGCCATCGCCTCATCGGCACCGCGACGAGCAGGCCCGCAAGCGTGACAAGCAGCGTGGCCCCACTCACTATCAACGTCGTGCTAACCACAATGTGATACGGGCGAAACTTGACTGGCTGATGAGGATGTTTCTCGTGCCGATGCTCGCCTTTTGTCAAAATCATATAGCTCCCACTTAACCCGATGCCTAAGAGGATGTTAAGCATGGGACCACCGAAACAAGCGCTAAGAGCCATGACCGGGAAGCCGAGCCGCGCAACAGTAATGTCAGCAACCAGATCACCAAGCGAGTTTCCTACGGCAAAGATGGTGAGGCCGAGGATGGCGTCACTCATGTTTAGAACAACGCCAAGAGTACGCAGAACGCCGACTACTTCATTGGCAATGGTGCTGATCCAGGCAATGGCGACGACGAAGCCGAGGAAGCACAACAGGGACCGCCAGCGCGGCGGCCTGTTCGGGCTAGTCGTGACGAGTATGAAAGCTAGCATGCAGAGTGATGCAACGAGAGAGTATAGTGTATGGCGTAGAAGGGCATGGACGTCTTCGGGTTGGAAGTTCACCCAAACGACCAAGACAATGAACCAAGGTGCGGTAAAAGTTTGCACAATCACAAGCCAACGGTTCCATTCGTTCGGTTCCGAGGAGGAGGGGACAGTAGGGAGTTGTTCTGGGGACTGGAGAAGGTTGTCTGCGGCAGTAATGAATACCTGAGGTGGCTGATTGGGTGATGTCGCAGCACTAATGGATCCCCGGTGTGTTTGTGGTATCCCGGCCTTGGTCGAGTCGAAAGAACCGCCTGCAGCCAGCATGGCTAACGGACTGCGATGTTGTGTGTCTAGGCTCCCGACGGCAGGGGTCAAAGGCGGAGGAAGCCCGAAATCTGTAGGTAACCCATCATCAACGTCGTCCTCGTCCTTTTGCGGCTCGACAACGGGAAGAGTGATGGTCAGAAGAAACACAGGGAGTCCAGCGACTACGCCTAGCAACTTATCCCAAAAACTCTTGTCCGCCCAGTTTGTCATGGTAGGAAACAGGGTCGACAAGAGGATATGCGGTGGAGGAAAAACGTTGGACGGCCACCATCTCGGTGTCTTGGTCACATCACGTGCTCCAAACGAATCTTTGTGAAATGAGGACTGAGGCGATGCGCTAGGCGGAGGCAGATGTAGGCTTGGTGGCCTTGAAGAGTCCCCGGCCAAGAATGGATAGTCGGTGTAGGCGGGGAAGGGTATCGGGGGAGAAGCAGTGCCATGAACAGCCAACTTGAGGTTTGGAGGCTGTGCGTGCTGACCAGGTTCGAGAATTGGGGATGAAAGGGGACTCGGGGTTGTCGTCCCTTGACGCACCGGTGAAAGGCCCTGGCTATCTTTATGAGGAGGTGCCAAACGATCGGGTGAACGGTGCCTATGTTTGTGTGGTAGTAGACTCGGTGCTCTGGATGAGTGCTGGGAGGGCGGAGGAGAGAGGGAGATGGTGGGTGACAGGGGAGGCATGTTGTTCGCATATGGTCTACGCCGTGCATCAGGGGTTGCTGGACCAAACGTGATATGAGGTACTGAGTGCAATGAACTCGGATCGAGACGAATGCTGTCAAGGTCGTTAGTAGATACGGCCCGTATGCGATGTCCCATGTTGTGCTGAATGTCTCGTCCAGGACGAACAAGGCGCGGTTCGGTGTCGGGAGCTGTGGATGCCACAGCAAAAGGGGGTCGAGGTGCAGGATCAGAGGCGGTAGAGATAAGGTCCTGTTGCTGGACGGTCGTGTAGGTTGGGTCATCCGAGTAGCGTCGCAAGTTGATGGGCATTGACTGAATGTTCCTCGACTTCTGCAAGGAGGAGAGCACGGCTCTGAACTCCAATGCGCCAACGAGACTGGGACGGATGGGCGTGTAAGTGCTACGTCGCAGTCCGATGGGGGGCCTGCTAACGCGCATGTTGTTGGTCATCTCGCCCATCCAGCGCTCGAGGTCCTCTTCGTTTTCATCTGCGTCCAAGGGGGAAGTGCCTGCGCGCTCCAGGGCCAAAAAATCATGTTCGGACATGCCGCGCACGGGTGTTCTGGCACCCGGTGTTGCAGGTGTTTCCTCGTCGTCGTGATACTGCGGAACATCTTCCTCGTCCCCACCAGGCATGACATACTGGCTTCTCATGGCAGCCGTTTTGAGCCTCCGCGCGCGTCGCTGATTGAGCCACCAATGCCATGCCACGACAAATACGACGTAGAAGAGGTAGAAGGCGACCATGGTGACGGACTCCCAGAGGTGCAGCTCGCCGTCGGCGATGAAGCCCATGCTGAAGGCAGCGGCGACGATGAAGAAGCCCACATCGCGGACGAAGCTCCTGCGGGCGACGTTGAAGGGGCGGATCAGGGCCATGGAGCCGGCGACGACGGCGGTAATGAAGCTGGCGGCGCCAATGAGCTCGCCAATGGCCAGACTCGCGGCGTGGGTGCGGAAGGCGGCAAAGGTGGAGAAGACGTCGGGACTGCCGTTGCCCAGGGCCAGCAGGGTCACGCCGGCCAGGCTCTCGCTCATGCCCAGCATGCCCGAGATGGTGTTGAGGTTGACGCAGAAGAAGTCGCTGGCGGCAATGCCGATGGTGCTGAAGAGGACGCCGAGCCAGAGGGCCAGGACGGTGAAGGCGACGGGCTTTGCATGGGGCAGGCGGCAGTAGTAGAAGGAGAGGTACGAGACGACGCCGGCCTCCTCGTCGGGGCAGTTTGCGCGCACAAAGGCGCACTTGTCGACGGCGTGGTGGACGAGGCGGCACTCTTCGTCGACGATGGCCAGGTCGCGCGCGAGCAGGCCGGGGCTGCCATGCTGGGGCGCGCGGGCGTCCTTAGCCCAGGCGAGCAGGGCGATGAGCGAGACGGCGAGCAGGGTGAGGGCGAAGGGGCGCGCCGAGTAGCGTGGGCGGCGCCATGTGTGCACTGTGTCGAGGAAGGTGCGCGGGTTCATGGCATCGTCGGGCCTGTGCAGGCGGGATTGGCGGGACTGGGCGTGTCAGGCGATGCTGCGATGCAGCCGTGGTGGTGTCGAGGAATGCGCGCGACCAGGTGCACGTCGAGGGAGCGGCGGAGCGGCAGCATGGACACGACTGGCAGCGGCGCGCGGTGGACGGGAGTGCGTAATCAGTGCCTGCAGCCGCGGCAGTGGTCCAATCTGCAGCCGGACCTTGGAAAACTTGGTGTCGAGCTTATCGAAGCTTGTCTGCAGCGCGTCACTGCGCACCGCCACTGTGGCGGGTGACGAGTACTGTGGCTGGTGGAGAGCACTGTGGCTGGTGGAGAGAATGGCGGGGACAGGGCCGCGTCCGTCTATTGACAAACAAGGCCGACACGACGTCGACACCACACCACCCACGCCTCCACGATGCCGCGCTCCTCAAGATACAGCATCGCCCCGACCCCGCAGGAGTCGCCCATGAAGTACGTCGCCGTCAATTCCATCTCCAACGTGCCACACACGGCTGACCACGCGCAGAGTGCCGCTCAACGACGACCGCCAGGAGAAAGCAAAGCGCCGCCATGCCCACCGCAAGTCGTTTGGCGCAAACTCGACGCCCGGCCGCAGAGGCGCCTCGCTCGCAGCCGGCCAGCTCAACCCCCTCACGCCCTCCAACGACGATGAGGCCATGCCCGATGTCGCCGGCGCCGCCGTCACCCCCTTGACGCGCGTGATGCCGCTGCTCGCCAACTTCGAGGAGTGGATGAAGATGGCCACAGATAACGTATGACTGTCTCCTCCCTCCCTCGCCAGGCCGGGCTGACGGGCGCAGAAAATAAACGCAAACAACTCGTGGAACTTTGCCCTCATCGACTACTTCCACGAAATGTCGCTCCTGCGCGAGGGCGACACGGTCAACTTCCAAAAGGCCAGCTGCACCCTCGACGGCTGCGTCAAGATATACACGAGCCGCGTCGACAGCGTCGCCACCGACACGGGCAAGCTGCTCAGCGGTCTTGCCGAGAACGCCAACAAGAAGCGCCGCGGTGCCGCTGACGACGACGAAGATGGCCAGGACGACGACGCCGACGAGGGAGAGGACGGCCAGCCCAGGCGCAAGAAGAGGGCCGCCCGCTCGGCCGGAGCCACCCTCGTCTCCGACTTCGACCAGCTGCAGAACAAGAAGATGGAACTCGAATTCTCCGTAGATCCCCTGTTCAAAAAGGCGTCCGCCGACTTCGACGAGGGCGGCGCAAAGGGACTGCTCCTGAACCACCTGGCCATCGACTCGCTGGGGAGGATCGTCTTTGACAGCAGCGACGATGCGAACGACGCGACCGCAGAGGACACGCGAACCACCCCGGCGCCTGAAGACGACACAAAACCGGATGATGAATCCTCGCCAACTCACATCGACATAGACATTGGCCGACTTGCAGCAAAGTATTTCCCGCATCTCTCACTCCTGGATGAACAGGACGTGTGCCCTTCCATGAAGACATTCGATTTGGGCGACGCCAACGGCTCGATAGATCTGCCCTTTCTCAAAGCCCCCGAAGACTGGCGACAAGACCGCAACAACGACGAGGACGACGAAGCTGGAAACCGCTCCGGTGTGTTTCTCGACGACGCCAACGCAATGGGTTTCGACGATGACGATGACGATGATATCAACATGGGCGGCTTTGACCTGCCCCCTGAGACTGGCTTTGGCGAAGGCGGAGAAGTCTGGGCCCGGGAAGCTGCTCGTGACCCACAGGCCCGAGTCCATACGATTGGTGACGAGGGAGACGACGAGGCTGAAGGGATCGGCGCAACTATGGGAGCAGAGGACGGCCAATACGATCTTTCCATGAACCACGGCCGTGGTCAGGAGCAAGAGAACATCCTGAGCTATTTTGATCAGGCACTGAAAAAAAACTGGGCAGGCCCCGAGCACTGGCGAATTCAGCGTGTCAAAGACGCTGGCAAGGCAGCACCCGTGACCAAGCGGAAAGAAAAGGAGCCGTTCGAAATAGACTTCGCAGCCCCCATGTCTCAGACTACAGCAGATATGTTGTACACGTCTGCGACCTCAAATTCTACCATCTCGCTACCAAAAGCTCAATGGACATCAAAGACTCGAAACTTACTACCTGAGGACCGAAATTACAACTCAAGGCAGCTGCTGCGATTGTTCCTAAAACCCAAAAATCGCATGGAAGCCCGGAGAGTAGGCCGACGGGCACAGCCACAGCCCACCGAACCAGCTAATGGCGAAGTCGACGAAGCCTACTGGGCAAAACACAACCAAGATGCGCTCGTAAACGAAGATGGGGCAGTGCAAGGCAATTACGACGCCAACTTCTTCCAGGACGACGGCTTGCCCCTACCCGGCGGAGGTGTCGACGACGACGATAGTTTTGCAAACGCGCACGACCAATTCTCACCACCGCTCACACAAGATGTCCCCGGACTCATGCGGCCAATGGAAGATGACGTAGTGCCAGGTTCCCAAGCCGACGCATTTGGTGCACAGCTGGTTACTCAGAGTAGAAGATTCCGGCCTGAATATGTTCAGTACGCCCGCGTGGCAAAGAAGGTAGATGTCAAGCGGCTCAAGGACGAATTGTGGAACGGTATCGGGTTTGAAGATGTCAGTCCACTCCCTCTGTTTGTGCATCTCACAATATTCCCAACTGACACCAATCAGATCATCGCCCCACCCCAGTCTGCGGCTCTCGACGACCCTGCCACAAAAGCAGTCGACGGCTCCCTCACTTTTACACAAGTCGTCAATAACTTGCAAACGGTGTACCCAGAGAAGGCTTTGGCTGATATCTCGACGAGTTACTGTTTCATCTGTCTACTGCATTTGGCTAATGAGAAAGGGTTGGTCATCGACAATCAGGAGGGCTTGGAAAACCTCACTATCCGGAGGGATTTTACGGCAGATCTGAGTGTTGGGGGAGATTAGGTCATGTGTGATAGCCATGAAGCTGTTTCAGAGGAGATGATGGGTAACGGATATTGGCGAACATTTGGAATGATCAACGAATGACGAAGACTCATCCTGGCTGCCAGAATCTTTGCGTTGAAAATAAAGCGTGCTGTAGTGGATGAAGCTAGAGTCCAGTCGTAAGCAAGCTCTGAGACTGCACAGCAAGAGTCACGGCAGAACAAAGTGTAGGGCACGCAAGTGCAAAGTAAACTCAGACGCATTGGTATCCGCTTCAACTACACTCGCAACGCAGCTCAGTCCCCTGTATGCCATGTCCCATGTATAACGCCATGCCAGATGAAATTCAATCACAAAAAAACTCTCAGTATACCCTTTGTCCTCTTTTATGCGTCGCTATTGCCTGCAGCAACTCCCTCGTGCCCATTTTGTACTGATCGTCGCCATGGTCGATTGAGAAAGTCAATCGAGTCCGACCGGGATCACTTGGGCGCGATGACTTAGAAGAAAAGCTTCATGAGCTCGAAGATGAGCCCTCCGCAGAGTACGAAGCCGAGGATGACTATCCAATCATGGTTAGCATTCCATGTCTCATTGAACCCGTCCCTTCTTGCGCCATCTTTCGCTCGCGCAATAGTCCGGTACTGCTCTTTTCCACAAATCATAGCCGGGATGGGTGTGCAAACGTACCGACCCAGAACTTGCTAATGGGGCTCTTCTGCGGCTCGCGCTTGACCTTGACCACCTGCTCCGGCTTGCCCATCTTGGCCTCCTGTGCCTTTGCAAAGCGCATGTTCGCCTGGCGTTGCTGGGGAGTTTGCGCCTGCAAGTTTACGCGTCAGCACGGATTCGTCTTGCACGGCCATGTTTGGGACCGTGGGCCAAGGGTCCAGGTCAGGGTCTCAAAGGGCATCGCATACCATTTTGCAGTTGTCGGAAGAAATAAAACACGCCGTGTGGGAGACTACAAAGGACGATGAAAGACCGGACGTGAGAAGAGAAGACAAGGCGCGGAAAAAGGAGCGTTGGGAGGACGTGAGGTTTCAAGAGCGCGGATACTGAGTTAGGAGTGCAAGGTGTTCGTTCGGCAGAAGATGGTGCACGGACGCGTGTTGTGCGCTAGGGGATGCGGAGTTGGTCTCGGAGGTTTGCTCTTTCTCGACGGCTATCGCACGTCGCACGCGCTATATATACATAAAATCTTCAACGCACACCCCTCCCCTTACATTTGAAATATCCGCCAGGCTGCCAGCGACATCTGGCCAGAGACGCTAGAAGAAGAGCGCAGAAACGGGTGCCTTGGTCACGATGAACAACGTCAGAGCAATAGCATCAACGGCGTCGAGAAGAAGCCTTGCGCCGAGAATTGGACAAGTGGCAAGAAGAACAAGAACATACGCGACCGAACGAGAAGCCCAATCCGCGCCGGCACATCCCCCGACTTCGCCACCAAACCCATCTTATGATGCGCAACCCAAGGAACCGTCCAAGTCGGTACGTCATCGGCCACATTCTGCAAACATCGTCTGGTGGGACGGAAAGCTGACAGATTGGCATAGGGTGCATTCTACAAATCCTTCGGGAGTCCCATGCTCAAATGCTTTCTCGGAGCCCTCTTCACGTACCAGATCGCATACTATGGCTGGATGAAACTCGAAGCCATCGAGGAGAAACACGAACTAAGGATGGAGATAAGAGATCTGCAACGGGAGCTCGGTGATGCGCTGCGCCAGCAGAAGCTGGCAGCACAGGAGACCATCGACGGGGCAGTGGAAGCGGTTGGAGAGGTCAGAGATCGCGTAGTGGCGGGAGTTGGTGAGGTGGCTGACAGTGTGAAGGAGGGCGCTGAGGAGGCGACGAAAGCCACAGATGCGGTCAGGAGGGTCGCGAAGGGAGGCTGGTGGCCTTGATGATGGGCGAGGAACATGTACGATTGAGTCCGTGTACAGTGCCTGTCTGCATAGACGCAGTACAGACCCACGAAGATACCCCCAGCAAAACAAAACGATACGCACTATCATCGTCCGTCACCTTTCTTACGATGCAAAGAGATAGGCCCATGCTACTACTCCTCTTCATCGTCAATAGGCCAAAAAAACGAGGTCGAACCCGGAATCGAACTGGGATTTCCAGAATCAGAATCTGAAGTGCTGACCATTACACCATTCAACCAATTCATTGTTTGTGGCGTGTCGAGCTCCATGTGAAGCTATATGAAGCCAAATTGCGGGAGTCGTGATACGTTTTTGGTGAGCATTTGGCTATTGGGCTTGTGCGGTTCAGCGATCGACGGTGGGGCATCGTGCGGGGCACGTTTTGCGTCAACATCGGGGCGGCTTATGTGTAGACTCAACGACTATCATCTTTCCCTTTCCACTTGGCTACTTTCTCTCCAAGTCATCAACCAAAAAACTCGTCCGAGACTAGTGATTCCCATGGCTTCCCAGTATCCCAAACGCGCTGCATGAGTGAGCGCGCTTTGTGAATCTGTCAAGAGTCAGCATTTGTGTTCTGGCTCAGTCTTCAGGACAACTTACATGTGTCATGCCGAACCCTTCGACACTTCTCAACCGACTCATGATCTTCTCCCTCTGGCCACAATCTTGCGCATTGCATCCAGCTGCGAACATCGGGAACAGCAGACAAACCTCCGCTGTGGAACCTTTGCCTACCTGATCCAGAAGTGCAACGACCATGCGCACCGCATTCTGCACCTCAGGGTCATTCACTGGCGTTCCCAGTACCCGACGAAACAGATGAATGAGACCGGCCCAGTGGAACATCTGATTCGTGGCAGAGATCTCGGTCGAGTCCCATGCACCTTCGGTCTCGAACGATGTGCCTCCGTGGTGATGACATCGTTTGTGCGTGTGTTTGTCTGACAATCCTTCTTCCAGCTGGTGCCTTATGAGCTCTGCTTTTTGTACAATATCCGGGCTTGGTCGCCAGTCCTCGCGGATATCTCCTCCCTCGTCGATACGCTGCGGTGCGCATTGTTTGGCCAACTCACTGATGCGAGCTAAGCTGCCGACGCAGCGGTTAGTGAAGCCCATCAAACAGTCGATCTCATAGTCCTCGTCTGTATATGCGTCTTCGCTAGGCCAATAGAAGGATCCGAGGTGAACATCGCTCTTGCTCCCGCTCAGGGAGCCGACAACGTCGAGATACGCATACCATCGCGACAAAAAGTACGCAACATGATCATGACGGTCAATGCTCTGTGGTCCGCCGCGTGTAGTGATCATTTGGCGCGCCATGGTGAGATGCGATTGCCACGAGACGGGCACATCGAATGTGTTGGAGGAGATGATTTCTAGTGATGCCATCATGATGACTGCAGCGAGTGTGCTGTTTGATATATAATTGGGATTTTCCGTTATTGTTTGGCGGAGCCTGGGAAAGACATCTTGCACCCAGACTGCTATACGATTCGCGGGCTCAGGATGATCGAGTATGCGGGCACGATGGGAGGCACTGTAGGCGAGGAGCAGATTCATAATATTTTCATCGTGAACGGCCACTATTTACAAGGTCAGTGAGGAGAATAAAACTAGAATCTTGCCGTACATACTCTCTGGTAAGATCTGGCGAAACGGATTTTTCTCACAGTCGTGTGGAACGAGAATACGCGCTGTGTGATTGAGGAAGTGATGAAAATACAACAGGTTCATGGGATTCTCCCTAAGTAGAGCTGGTAGAGGAACCAAAGACTGAGGTATCGTGACTGGTACTGCTTCCACATAATACCCACTCCTTTCAAGATTCATGTCATCTGTTCGAGGCAGACATCGATTCTGCTTTTCCTTGAAACTCGTAGTGCCACTCGGTGGACTAAAAATTGCTATAGCAGAGAAGTCGTCGTTGTTTGGCGTGTCGAGATCTGGCAAACCGCGATCATACCCAAATGTAGTCGATGCAGAATCGGCAATTGGATACTTCCGTCCGCGCTGAGTCTCGAGGCCATTGATCCGCTCATCGTCCTCGGCCGGTCCGTTGATGAGTGATTGTACTGACAATCTGTGCAAGTCCAGAGGCGGGCAGTTTTGCGGTTTCGGTGCGGTTTGCGTGATAGGTTCTTCAAAACCAACTGACGAGTTTGGTGTCAAAGGCATTGCCATGAAAGGGCTATATGGTGTAGGCGAACCGCTGCTTGGAGAACACACGTCTAACATGGATGGATCCATGGAGTAGGTATGTTTGTGCCGCTTGTGCAAGGGTTCGACTGATTCGCGAGGTGGCGGCATGGACGCCAGAGAAATGGGCGCGTCTGTGGTGACAGACGTAGGTCCCACATTGTTGTAGTTACGGTAGTCGAAGCTCGATACAGATGGTGATGGATAATCGGACATGCTTTGGAATTGGTGCTGAGCATATGGTACTGACGTTGGAAGTCCTATCGTTCGATGGAGGTACTGATTCTGCTCAGCGAACTCCGCATCGTTGGTATTTGTGTGCGACGGCGACTGGCTGAATCGAACTAACTCCGGATCGATTATGAGCGTCCCTGACCCCGGATGGGTCCCATCTGAGTGTGAGCGCACATGTTTTTTCGTGTTTCTTGATGGCACTAGTGCTTGTGGTATCGTTGGAGACAGCGGGGAGACATCCTCATCAAACGAGACTGTCGATTGATAAGGACTGCCTGTTGCACTTGACAGTACAGAACCTGGGGCGATTCTATCTTTTTTGGCCCGCCCTCCCCAGTTGAGTCTGATGCTATAGTCGCATGTCTCTCCTTGCCGTTCACAATTTGTACAATAAGGCTTCTCTTCTCCACTAACTCGCGGTCAACAAAACGCCACCCCATAGTTGGCGTCGGGTATCTACCATTTCACTTTGCGCGCCTTGCATGGCCTGTACAACGGTCAGGCTCAAACTTGCCATGATGAGCAGCATACATTACCAGCAGCCGCCGCGTGATCTCTTTTTTGGTTCGACTCCAGGTTTCTTGGGTCGAGGCATAGTACGTTAGTTAGCGGACTAAGGCTTTGTCCGCGATAGGCGGAGATTTTCAATAGACCTTTGGAAGTGATAGGATGGATACGAGACGTTGAAAAGAACCCGTTAGTCGTTTAGTAAGGCATCGGATGGCTTGTGGATGTCGAAGAAGTGGGGGAGTCGATTGAACTTTGAATACTAGACTAAGCCGAACCGTAGCAGAGCGTATCACAACTTTGCGTGGATGACTCGATGAGATGATGAGCGCAAGGTCGTGGATGTTTGCGCAGCAATGCCTGGACGGCGCCAGCTTTCCTTCCATTTAGCATCCACTGGCAACGGAAGACGACGATAAGGTCTCCATATTTGTACCGAGCGCCAATCACAATCTGACGCTACTCCACCAAGTGGGGAAAGGGCGATCTGCATCATGGTGGAGAACAGTCTTTAACATCGTCCCAAACTCTCACTGAGCTCTCTAGTGATTGAGGCTCTCAACAAATTGTAGCGAGACACTATCCGTGGGTTGTAGGATAGTGTTCAATCATTGTGGCATCAGCCATGACATGCACGGATTGTCCGAAATCAGTACGAAGCAGACGCACGTTTCTTTCCTCCGATAGGCCCGAGCGTACTGCCAGCGTAAAAGTACCTATCGGACAAAAGAAACGAACCTAGGTATTTGGTACCTAGGCCCACAACCCTACGGCTGATGCCTGCAAGCTTCACGTACTTGGCATACCATACCGGCCCGTGGTGCTAGGGCTGTTCCGTGGTCTACATTAGCAGGAGAAGTTGCACTGCAGTGGCGTAGGTTGCGTTGCGTTCGCTCAAGCATGTACAGACTGGTCGGCAACACCCACTCCGTTCCTTTGTATATCTGAAGCATGGTATGGTAACAATCATGGGCGTACACCTGAAACACATAGAGACCATCTCAACTATGCTGGCGCGTTCATGCAACGAGGCTTGAGGCTGTGGAATTCGTGTCTCAAAGTCGATCATCATCTTCTACATTCCTATCATCTGTCGAAATGCGCCCCTCAATCGATATTAGTCATTGAGTTTTGTCACGAAGGTCATGACAACCTCCACCACTACAGGACACCGTTCCGGTCGACCAGATCCAGGGGACTGAAGGCAGGGAGCGGGAGGATGAGAAAAGGACCGTTAGTGCTGTTTGGGAGAGTCACTAGCTCAGGTCTTGTCATGGTGATCCCCTAGAAATGGATGATTCTGAGACGGAAGGGTGCATACCGGCTGCATGTGTTACCGAATAGATACATAAGCTCCCTCGCTACACCACTTGGCGCAACAGTCACACGCGCAACCCATGAGCATGTATTGTCGGTCCACATTACCTACCAAAGATGAGGACGCAAACTAAAACCAAGGCGTGATCGCAGCAGATGTTATCATGAGACCCGTTTTCAGTTTCAATATCAACAAACACATACGCACTCACAAGAACATGAAATGTTACGAGTTCCTTCCATCTCCCCTGGTGTCTGTATGTAGTTCTCATATCTGGACATGGAAGAGCATTTTGACATGCTGTTTCCATGTCTCGACATTTTGGTGCGTAACTCATGACGCTAGCAGCTGATTAAGCGGCAAGGCGGCTGGATGACGTGTTTTCAAAACGGTCATTGCACATCGGAATTGTCACGCTTGTACGAACAAAATTGACAATTTCTACGACTCGCGTTCTGGCTTGTATAATTGTCTCAGTAACTTGCTCTACATTGGTCCTGATTCGTTGTGTGAGAGCATCTGCAAAGTAGGTATTTTCGCCGGCTACTCGCCAAGAAGCGAACTTGTGCAGATTGAATATCTCGGTCTCTCTGCAACACAAGACATCTGCGCCCTGTCCCCATAGACGTGTCAGGATGCTCGCCAGAAGCGCCTTATGCCCTGCGAGGGCTTTTGCGACCCGTTATCCGCCGTCGACAATTGCTCCATGCGGGACAATCGCGGCCTCATTCTCGACATGCACACGACCGACCAAGTTCCAGCAATCGCAGAGGTCATCCATCAGCTCGCAAGCTACCTTCCCCCGCAAGACGGCTGTTCGCAATGCCTCGACGTCGTCGCCATCCGCAGCTAGCCCTACCCCGAGCACGCAAGTACAACTCACCTGGAACGGCTTTTTCGCTCTCCGCCGCACGCGCCGGAGAATTGGACAGGCCTGCTCTGGTGTAGGCGCAATCGGTGTGACGTACTATGGCCTCACGACGATGCTCAACAATGGTTACGATGCGGTCCTTTCCGCGCAGTTGGGCAATGTGGATCCGATGATGGTCATGGGGCTGAGTACGTTGGGAATGATGGCTGTGGGATGGCTCATTGGTCCAATATTCGGAAACCAGGTTTTCAATCTGGTGTACAGGCGTGTTCTTGGGGAGTTTGGGCGGGTAAGCCAACGTCTGTGAGTATGAGCGTCATGTTCTAGGTGCTGATATCATCACAGAAAGATTCGGCCTTTTTCAATCGCATCAAGCGTCACCGAGTCGACCCGACTGCCTCGTCGCTGGCCAACCCTCCCCCAGACTACTACGGCGAGAAGATTGGCAGCGTAGCCGGCTACCGACGGTGGCTGAAGGACCAACGCGCCTTCAACCTCAAGACGGGCAGGTACAAGGGGAGCAGGTAAAAGCTTGAACACGAATGGAAGAATGGCCCCGGAATATCGATACATGTGGATCGAAAAGAGGACTGGAGGAGTGATCATGCATGCGGACGCATTCGGAGCAGGCAGCACAGGTTGCATACATTTTCTTATTTTCTGTAAGTTTATTAACATCGCTCTTACACTCGATGTCTCCACTCTCAGGCCTCATATTACGGCCACATCTCACGCTGTATAACCGTAATGAGACCTTCACTGGCATTAGAAGAGGACTGCAATACACCATCTCAATCAGACCACGCACTTCAGCCAGTTTAATTGTCTGCTTATTCCATTGCGTGTCTTGAGTACTCACAACCGCAGAGACCAGAGGCTTTCCGACGTCCCATAAGATTTATACTGATTATCTGATGCACATCTATTGGTTCCTAACGCATGACAGTCCTAAATTCTATGGGTGAAACAATACTATGACCATGATGAGCTGCTTTTTGGGGAATCTACAAGCACACGCCCACTGTGGCAAGGCGTCTACAAGCTGGCGCGCTGGGTTCGCCTACCTTGCTGGTCGAAAGTAATCTGCTTTTCACTGACCAGTGCCTCCTGCAACCACACACCAATCTGTACTGCCTTGACAGCGCCCTGGAGTTCCAAAGGTAGCGGTGTGCTGTCTAAGCAAGCTGCAGTGAACTCATTAGACTCCTTGACAAAGCCACCCTCAAACCTACCCCAGTAGTCATGGGGAACCTCCCGACTGATACCACTCGCGTGGTAGTAATTAAACCAAGTTCTTCTGCGGGTTCAAATTGACGGATAGCTTGCCTTCTGTACCGATAACCTCTGTGACGTCCTCCTGGCCGTGAGGCATCATGCGCGAGGCATAGTAGTATGCAATCTGACCGCTCCAGAACTCGACGATGCCTACTGCGTTGTCGTAGTCGTTGTGCTGCTTGAGTCCTCCCTGCACGGCGACAACACCAGAGGCTGAAATGGATTTGGGGACAACGTTAGAGCCGAAGTACCACAGCGTAAGGTCGATGTCGTGGATGGACATGTCGACAAAGACACCACCAGACCATGCAGCGTAGGCAACGAAGAATCCTGGGAACGTTAGTAACTTTGCTTGGCAGGTTCGACATCTGGGTTAGTCACCTGACGGGTCGTTCTTGTCGCAAGTCTGGGATCTGATTATGGTTGGCCTTCCAATCTTGCCCTCCTTGATGTACTTGGCAACATCCTGGTAGCTGTCGTCAAACCGCCTTGAGAAACCGCACATGACCTTCAAGTGCGGCTTGCTCGCAGCTACATCGACAACTTCCTGACACACCTTGACGCTTGTCGACAGAGGCTTCTCGCACAGGACGTGCAGGTTTTTGTTCATGGCCTTGATAGCTTCTTCGGCGTGGACTGATGTTGCGGTGCTAATGACGACTGCTTGGAGACCTGGGTGCTGGAGCATCTTGTCGTAGTCGTCATAAAGAGTAACACCATAAGGCTCCAGTTCTTTCCTACCCCTCTCGAGCTCTTTGGCATCTGGGGAGAAGGCAGCGACGAGATCGGCCCGAGGTGTCTTGTTCAAGATATTGATTGCGTGTCGCCAGCCCATGCGGCCGAGACCAGCTACAGCGATCTGGAGTCTTTGAGGAGCCATTGTATGATGCTTGGTATGTCTGAGTGGGAGGTGAGTTCAGTAAGAGGACACGGATGAAGATGCAGAAACGTCTTCTTATAATTCTGCGTAAAGAGCTACTGAGCTTTTCTGTTTTGCAGAAGAGGTTATTCCATTGCAAGTTATGTTTGAGGGACTCGTACGATAGGCGAAAGCAAACAAATATCGATGAATTTGCACACCGCAAGTAGGGCTACAGCAGTAGGGTGCTCATCCATCATGCACCGTTGGTGTCACGGCGTCGAGGAATGTGTTGGTTTGTCTGGAAAGAGTGAAGTTCCCCGCACCAGGTTGCGGTGACACACATGCAGGAGTTCCCACAAGCAGGCAGGCAGCCAAATACTTCCAATTTGTGTAGTGTTTCGTGAACTATAAAACTATGGTGACCCCTGTTCTTGTGCTTTCCCTATCCGATTCCCTCGCTTAGAGCTAGGGGCCGCTCTGCCGGGGTGCATTAGCTTGAATTAGGCGGCCTTTTCCCTGCATTTACAAATCGCAGTGATCGCAGCATCAGTCGATTTGCGCGCTCTTACACCAGCAAACCCAACCAGCGACGCATTTGCAGAGTATATTGTGAGGAGAATCTTGCACAAGTGGTAGTAGTGACAACCCACAGCGACGACGCCTTGAGTACAGGGAGGTTAGGCCAGGAGCCGTTGAATCTCTCGCCAGCATTCGGATCAATACAGATTGCAGAGAACCTTTCACTCTCCAATTTCGATACGTTGGCTGACTAGACGGTGCTGTTCACGCTCCCCGAGCAGTCGGTGATCGCGGTTGCTGGACCCAGTGCCGCATTAGATGGAGCTATCGGCATTGTAGGGGTGTTCGAACCGTAAACTATTGAAACATATGAACAACGGTGGTCTGATAGACGCACCAGAGCAGAGAGGAGATTATTTAGATATCGCGGCTCTATCTTGAGAAGTAACGTTGGTGTCGAAAATGAAAACTCACTATATTACTGCCTAATTCCTCTTATCTTCCTTGGGCTTCAAGTCTCAGCATGCTTTTTCTTCACTTCCGTAATCCACGCCTCGCAGCTGGTACAATTGTACCTGCGGAACGTTCCCTTTCGAAACGCAGCCTTCAAACATGCATGGAGATATCGATGCTTGCATGGTTCAACCTGACGCATATACTCTACACTATGCTTCTCAAGGCACACATTGCATTGTTCATACATCGCCGCGATGTGTTTGCTCCCAGCGAAAATCGATTCCTCATTCGGGCTCTGGAGTAGAAACGATAGAGGTCTTGACGCAAACACGGACCGACGAGGTGAAACAAGCGTTTGATTTTCAGATAGTGTTGGCTTTTGAGGAGATGTCGGTTTTTCGAAGGATGTCTGTATCTTCAATGGTGGTCCTACTACTGGAGCGGACTCAGTTATCGGGGTAGATGGTGCAGGTGATGGAGGAATCGTCGACGTGGCAGAAGACGTACACGGCTCCTGTTCTTGCAACTCCGTTGTGGCTTCGTGGGAATTTGTCTCAGACTCTGTTGTCTTGGTGCGCTCGGGATCTGCAACTCCAGCGTCTTCGACTACTTCCGTTTGGGTATCTTCGATCTCTTCATTCATAGCCTCATCAATTTCAACAGTCTCGACCTCTTTCGTTTTTGGGTCTTCGATTGTTTTCGCCTCGACAAATTTGGGTGTTTCTTCCTCTGCACTTTCGACTTCCCCGCGGGCTTCCTCCTCTTTGGTTTCCAACTCGTTAATGGTTTCCTCTTCCGTATCCACATCTTCATCCTGCTCCACTATAGCAGTTTCTATGTCTTTCTCTTGATCTTCGTGAGTCTCCTTCTCCTCGACCCTTCCTTCTCCAGTAACCTCAGTCTTGTGTACTTCAGCAAGTCCATCTTCTGTTTCGGTATTATCAACTTGTCCAACTTCCACTTCATTACTCTGTTCCTCTTCAGCAACCTTGAGTGGTCGCTGTTCCGTCACCATCTCCTCCTTTCTTTCCACCCCATTGATACGTTCCTTTTCTTCCGTCTGTTTTTGCCTCTCCTCCTCCCTTCTCTTCGTTTTTTTCTCCTCCTCCTTCTTCAACGTATAATGTTGCCCGCAAACTTTCTTCTTGGTTTTATGGTCCACAAACTTTGCTAATCCGGTACACTGCGCGTACGCGCCACTCCCCTCCCACTCGGCAAATGCCTGGCACCGATCTTTTGCATGTCGATCATGAAATCTGCAATACCAGATATTCAAATGGAGTTGCATCAGTTCACCGGGTTTTTGACATTGATACTTGGCGTTGCTGGGGACCTTGAATGCGCAGCGGCGTATCGCGGTTTGGATCTTGAGTTTGGGTGTGGCGGGAGACATTGTTGTGATCGGTCTTGTAATACTTGAACATCAGAGCGCGTGGTGTAGCATTTAAGAAACTTTTGATTGAATTAGACTTTGTTCGAGATGAGATAACTGTCGAACAACGATGCTTTGTTTGGGTGTTATCGGAAAATGAGGAATGTTGGAGAAGAGCGCATTGTTGCGATTCGTGAAAGACGTTTGCCGATCTGTTGGCTCTGACTGGCTACCCTATTGCGCCACCCATCCTAACGAGCTAAGTAGATTGCTCTGCCAAACGTGATACGGAGCCGATCGCGAATATGCTTGTGTCGTGCCCTTGCCAGGCGCACTGCGTGAACCTGCCTTGCAAGAATTATCCGACAACCATGTATATACTGTTGTAAACAAGGATACTGATACTAGGTTGGAGTTGGAAGGCACCCACACTTAAAGAGGTCCAGTCCAAGCAAACCCTCGCTATCCCATCATCACCACAGCAACATGCAGCCACCCGTCCAAATATGCCGCGGCTCTGACCAGATCCTCCACCCCAGCACTTAACGGTAAGACAGCACCATGCAACACGGCCTGGGCGAGTAGCGCACTACGTCTACTTGGGAAAAGAGATGGGAGGATTTGATTCAATGCCGTGCCAATAGTCTGCGGTTGACCTGTCCACGATCGTCAGCCTCTTCCGTGTATGAGGTCAAGTAGATTGCAACAACTTACGAGATCCCATTTCCGCCTTCACTAGACCTTGCACGACCCTCAGACTCCCTGGGCTTTGCTCGTTGTCGCTCGCTGCATGTGGAAGATACAACCGGACTGGTATATGTCGTAGGGCGGCGCCTTGCGGGTTGAGGAGCTTTTGGTTGATGGGGTTATATAGCTGGAAATCATGCGATTTGACGCCATCCCAAAGCTGCGTCGAATCCTCTTTACTCAGAAACATGACCGTCTTTCCCGTGCCAGTGCGCAAGTAATCCGCTTCTTTCACGCTGTGGATGAAGAGATCATGCATGTGTTTGTCTTGGTCGTCGAGCTTGACGAGCTGGTCAGTCGGATATGCGGAGAAGTGGAGTGTAAGGCGCCATGGGAGGGGTGAGGGATCCATGTGGTTGAAGGTGGACGATGGATATGCTGGCTCGGCGCCAGAGTACAGGTCATACAGCAGACCGAGGGGATAATGCCATTTCAACGGTACACCTTCGTATGATAACCAGGCGTCGGAAGGCAGGACGTCGGGATAGATCAAGGTGTTTGAAAAGAATGCATGGAGTTTGTGGATCAGCAAGCCTAGATATGATATTCGAGGGAATTGTATCTAGCAATTGTCAATACGCGGGCCGCATGTCGAACGTTAAAATGGACACACCAGATAAGGATCCGACGCATCATAAGTCCTGCAGTCGCCTTTGTCCAGTCGTATCTCCAACGGTATGCTCCCATTCCAAACACGCTGCCGCAGCTTACTCGTGACGTCGCGAGAAGTCATGGGAGAGTCGAGATCGAGATGCAGGTTGACTATTTACCGGTAGATGGATCGATGGCGGGGCACGACGCGGGGAAGCGCAGCAAAGAAACTGAGCTCGTGCGTCGCGTCTTTACCAACACAGTACCATGTAGGAACCTCTACCCCGCGTGCAGACGCGTAAATTAACATGACAACCCAACATCCTGCGATCATGAACCGCAAACGCTCGCGTCTTGCTCCAGATTCTGACGACGAAGATGCACAGCAACGGCGCGAACCGTCGCCCGCCCTCCCCACGTTCAGCGACACGTTGAAAAGAAGCAAAACACAATGCGAACTAGATGACTTGGACATGATAGGCATAGAGAAAGCATGGCATATTGATGTGGATGCTATACTGGCCAGCGAGACGCTTGCTACTGCGCCGGGGAGTATGTTGGCAGTGCACGACAATTGGGGAAGATACGGAAAAGACGAGTCGATAGTCGTGATCTGCGTGCAGGGAAACATGCATTTACACTATGATCTGCTGTGGTAAGCCATCTCGATCTTCTGTTGCGACGAGCACCACTCAATCAATGATTAGCGAATCACTACCATCCCTCTATACCCTGTCGCCATCTCTACAAGCATTAGTTCTCTGCCACGATCCGTCTACACACACACTTTCCACTACGGCCCCGTTTTCGCTTCCGCTGATACAAGCTGTTGCGCCTTTACAGAACCACTTCGTACGGCTAGGACTACTGCACCCCCTCGGTGGAGGCAAGCTGCCGTTAGATGCGTTGGTCGTATTGGATTGGAAAGGTAGACGCAGGTTGGTATTGCCGTTTGGCTGGGGAGCTGGCAAGCATGTGGGGACGCCTGCTGGTGGAAGCATACAAACGCAGTTGGTGAAGTTGCTGATGCACTGTGTTGACACTTTGGAACAAGAGAGAGATCAGACGTGAAAAGCAAGTCAGTTGTCAAGAGCACCAGGATGGCTTGATGAACAATGTTGTCATTCCATAATTATCATAATCGTAGGGTCATGAGCCGTTATAGCCAGTGGATTTTCTATCCTCCTGATCTTGTTGCAGACATGATACCAAGGATCGACTCTAACCGAACCTAGTCTCCTTGTCCTTGATAGGGATATCCTTTCCGGTCGTCGACTTGTACTGTCCTCGAATGAAGTCGCTGATCTGCTCATCCTTGGCCTGCTCCACAGCGGACTGTGACACGTTAGCAACTGTACGACCATGGATAGACGAGAGTGATGACATACCTCGTTGTCCTGAGGACCTTGGCCCATGAACTTCTCCTGCACGAAATCGACGCCTGTGTAATGTTAGGATAGTGGAATGGTAAGTAGTTTGGATGAAGACATACCCTTGTCGAGGTAATCCTCGTTCTTCTCACTCTCGCGACCACCGCCGGCGGCAGAGTTGAGCTTGTCGCCGATGCCGCCCAGGAAGCCTCCACTCTGCTGTCCGCTCGATGAAGAGCCGGTGGACTGGGTCTGCTCGTTTGACAACCCCTGGCCCTGAGAGCTCTTGTCGGCACCAGTGAACTTGTTGAGGTAATCCATGGTGATTGATGTGTGTGTTTGTTGGTGTTGGGTGATGTTAGGTCGAGTGAGGTGGATGGTCGAAGAAGATGGTTAGTCTGTCGAGGCGGTAGGAGCTGTTTAAATAGAGACTGGTGGCTTCAAGCTTGCAAGGCTGTGTCAACGGAATCAGGATCTAATTCACCGCGGGGGATGTGCCTGACGTTGTGCCCCACCTTGCTCGAGCTCTCGACGCGCCTACGTCATTAGATCCCGAGTAGATGGACAGGGGACCCCTGAACTGGAAAGAGGGTCGCGTTATTCTTTCCGAGTTGGTGGAACCACCACTTCTCCAGAAGCTTGCTGTCAGCTATTGCACTCAAACACGACCCTCGTCACAATGATACCTATCACCATCATAACCGGTTTCTTAGGCTCTGGCAAAACAAGTCTGTCTCTCCATCGTCCCTTCCCCTGTCCCTCCACAGTCTCTTCCGAGCCTCGGAACCCCCACTAACAGCCCCAGCACTCATCCTCAATCTCATCCCTCAGCTCCCCAAAACCTACAAACTCGCGCTCCTCAAGAACGAGTACGGAGATGTTGCGGTCGACTCCCAACTCGCGTCGTCACAAGCCATCTCGGGCGTGCAAGAGCTGCTCAACGGCTGCATATGCTGCAACCTCGTTGGCCAGCTGTCCGACGCGCTCGAGACTCTCTCCAACGATGTACAGCCCGATCGCATCGTCATCGAGACATCTGGGTCTGCCTTCCCTGCCACGCTAGCTATGGAGGTGAACCGATTGAGTCGTGAGACTGGGAAATACGTGCTCGATGGGGTCATGAGCTGCATCGATGTCGAGAATTGGAAAGGCTACGAGGACACAAGTTACACGGCAAAGCTGCAGGCAAGATACACCGACCTGATCGTGTTGAACAAGTGGGAGCTTGTAAGCGAGAGGCGGTTGGAAGACGTGGAAGATGCGATCCTGGACCTGGATGTCCAGCCGCAGATTCCAAGAACCAAAAGTACCAAGGGCTGGGTCGACAAGGATATCGTGTTTGGACTCGATGCCAAGTTGGCCAAGACTGTCGAGGAACAGGGAAACGCGCATGCACATGAGCATGACCACGAGCATTCAAGTGAGGTTGAGGTCTTAAACGTCTCATTGAGGAGTAAAGACGGCAAAGGTGGAGTAGATACGGAGAAGTTGGTCAAACTCTTAGAAGAACCAACCAAGGACGAGGTCTATCGCATAAAAGGCGTACTATACGCATCCAATCCTCCAAAGTCCTCCGACACCACACCAACGTCCAACACAGAAGTCCCAAGTGGTCGATCAAAATATATACTCAATTGGGCGTTCGGTCGCTGGACGTTCACTAGAGTCGCCTCTGCTTCCGAAAATGAAGAGTCAGAGCTCCGGTTGACTGTCATCACGGCAAAGTATGAGTCGAATAAGTGGAAGAAGCAGATTGAGGCGAGTGGGTTGATTGCACTCGATAACTCTGCGGAAGGGACGTTGACGGTGCAGAAATTGACATCATGATTGTACAAATATCTCCCATGATTGTCATAGTAGTCCGCACAAAGAGAGCACGTCATGCATGTCTCACGTCAGACATCGCTGTCTTACTTAGTTCAAGGCTGACAAGATGGAAGTGGGTCGATCTTGTCAACGCAGCCGTTGCTGACGTAGGCTCGGTATGTTCAAGTAGAAAACACGACGGTGGAATGTGAGAGTATCTACTATTCGGTCGCCCAATTTCGCAGTGCGTTGGAACGGACCCTGTCCCTAAAACTTCCATGACCCATCAAGAAAGCCAACAACTACCATATGATACAAGTCGCGAAAACACGCGCCTGACAGCTGCTAGGCCGCAGTACATATCCTCCACATGCTTTGAGCCCACACACCCACCTTCTCATAGTTGATCGATGCCCTCAATAAGCTTGTCAAGACTCTCCTCCCCACCATCTGTCAGTAGACCCTTCATGATTCGAGACCTGTTAAAAGAATTAGTACACCTCTCCAAGTACTCAACCGGAGTGAACTTACAGATTGCCCACGCGACAAGCGCCCATACTAGCTTCCAACTCAGCACTCTTCACACCCGCCACGCCAATAACCTTCTCAGGCACACTCGCCAACCTCGCAACATTCAGCCCATAAGACCTCAGACTTGTGCCCTCAGCCACCTCATACAGAAACACTACTTCTTTCCCACCATCTGTTTTCTCAAACGACATGTGCACGTTTCTCAGCTCGTTGTTTGGGAAACGACCCTGAAGCTTGGAAAGATGCTGATAGTGCGTGATGAACAATGTCAAGCTCTGCAGATCACGGATCACATAATCGAGCACTGCCTCAGCAATCGCCACACCATCGAATGTACTCGTTCCGCGGCCCAGTTCATCGAGAATGATAAGCGAGCGCGGTGTCGCGGATTTCAAAATATCACTCGTTTCGGAGAGTTCGACCATGAAGGTGCTCTCGCCCTTAAGCATGTTGTCGAACGCGCCCATGCGTGTAAATACGGCGTCGAGCATGCCTAATCGGGCTTCTGTGGCGGGGACGTAGGAGCCGATTTGTCCCATGATGGCGATGAGTGCGACAGAGCGTACGTAGGAAGATTTACCGCCCATATTTGGTCCTGTGATGAGCAAGGCGCGGGTCGATTCGTGCGAGAGATTGATGTCATTCGGCACGTAGCTGTCAAGGAGGAGCTGCTCGACCATAGGGTGGCGCCCGCCCGTGATGTTTATCCCAATGTCGTCTGTGAAAGTGGGTTTTACATAGCCGGGTTGGTTTGCTAGCGTGGCGAGTGAGTGGAGAGCATCGAGTGTGGCAAGTGAATGCACGCAGTCGCGGAGTTCTTGGTACTTGGCCGCTATGTCATCGAGTAGACGCATGAATGCTGCGTCACAAGCTGCTGCTAGACTCTCCTTGTGCTGGTCGCGCTCTTGCAGCATACGTTTTACTTCTGGCGTGTGGAAGCGGAGGGTGGCTTTTGTAGCCGATACCTGCTGCCAGGAGGCTGGTACCTTCTTCTCCTCAGGCGACTTACGCTTGACCTCAATGAGGTACTCGATACCGGCTACGGTCACATAATCTACCTTTGCCTTTCCGAGTTTTGCACCGGCGTCTTTCTTGTGGGAATTGAGGTCGTCTTCTACGGATGCGATGCGGAGTTGTAGGTCGGTAATGTCTTCTGCTTCATGATCTTCACGGAAGAAAGCGTACTTGTCGTCGTCTTTTGCGGCTTTGGCGTTGATTTTCTCCAGGAAGCCACTGAGACTCTCGTAGACTTTTGGCACGTTCGAGATGGCTTCACTAAGCAGTATCGAGGTGAAACCGCTCTTCTCGGGAGTCTTTGCTGTCAAGTACTGGCTTGAGATGTCATGAAGTGTTTGAAGAGCAGCCAGGAGCTCCGGCCGCGAACATTTCTTGTAGTATATCCGAATCAGAACTTTCTCTAGATCGGTCTTGATCTTTCCGAGCATGAACTTGAGCTTGTCTACTGGAATGGTGTTCTCGCCTTCTTTCAGCTCCTCCACTGCAGCAATGCGTTCTTCCAGTCTCTCTTTGTCGATAAGGGGCCGTCCGATCCATTTCCTTAGCAATCGCTGCCCAAAGCGTGTCTTGGTTCTATCCATGGTCCAGAACAAGCTACCTTTCGATGTGTAGTCTGTCTGATTTTGGTATATCTCAAGACTGGATAGTGTGTTGCCGTTGAGTAGCATATACGACCTAGCACTGAATGGTTGGAAGTACTTTGTAAGATCGAAGACGTGTTCTAGTCCATATTCGCTGAGGTATGTGATCATCGCCGACAAGCAAATCGTGACATGCTCTGAAAGCTGGTGGACCTTGTCTAGGATAGCCCCTTGGTTTTCGGAGTCGCCTTCTTGATTGGACTTCATTTTGCCAGCATAGAAGTTTGATATATGGCTATAAGCCTCTGCAGCCATCGTCTTGGGCTTCTCTACTCGTTCCACCCGTGACTTGTCGCCGAAAACGTTGGTTTTGCTGGCTGACAGATGTTGTATCAGCTTTTCCGTGGCTTTGGAGAGATCCCCGACAATCAAGAACTCAGCCGGAGCGATATGAAGCAGACGCGTTTCGATTTCGCTCCGCATAAAGCCGTCTTCGAAATCGTCGTAGATGATGTCTCCGGTCGCAGGCTGCACTGCGACAAGACCAACCTGTACCTTCTCGTCTGTGCCCCAACCCTTTGCATTCGTTTCGGAGATGCATAGTAGATAGCCTGTGGATTGGGCGCCCGGACCACTCGGTGTCTCCAACCCCTCAGCATGATCGATGTAGGTACCTTTGGTGTATAGGTTTGTGAGTTTCCGCACAAAGGGTGTATTCCTGTTGTCTCCGGCTGCTTTTAGTGCCGCTGTCTCGACCTGGCGTACCACACCAACCTTGTGGTTTGCTTGGACGAGTCGTTTGACGTGAACTTGTAGTCGGTGCACAGGGAAGCTCGCAGACGCAAATTTGTCGAGATGGGCTTCCGATACATGCTCATCGTACCTGAACTTGCCCGGTATGCACACAATCCCAAGCTCTTTAGAAGCAATGCGTGCGTCCTCGCCAAAGAACTTGAATTTGTAGCCAACCTCCATGACTATAACGGTATCGAGGTGTTTGCGCTTGATGTCTAGGTACTGCTTTTCCATGGGTGTCAGCTTGGAGCCTCCCTTCTTGGCCGCAACACCCTTCTTTCCCTTGGCAGGCTTCGGGGCTTCTTCCTCTTCCTCGTCCTCGTCGCCTTCTGCAGCATCGTCGCCCTCGCCGGCGATGATCTTGTTCTTTCTCCGGAGCTCGGCGAAGCTATCTGGCCGACCCAATTTCTTGACGAAGCGTTCGTGCAGCTTGTCCCTCTGCTTTTGTGTAGCCAGTGCGTCGTCGTCTTCCACTACGTTCTCATCGCGCACAGGAGGTGACGAAGAGAAGAGGAACTTTGATGTCCTGTCGATAAGTTTGAAAGGCCTGGCAGCATTGAGCGTCGCAGCAGGAGCCTGTACCAGTGACGGCCGTGGCGCCTCGCCTTCCTCGACCCGTACGCGCTTCGATGGTGACGGGCGGCCTATGTCGTCATCTTCCTCGTCTTCGTCAATCACACGCTTGCGAATTGGGGTCAGTCGCGATGTGGCGATAGCGTCGCCATCATCACCATTGTCATCATCGTCGGGGCCTTGATGCGTGTCTTTTGGGACGGTGAGCGCGACGGGCTTCGTGACTGGTTTGGGTGTTTGCGACGGCTTAGGTGTGAAGAAGCTCGATATGGTGGGTTGCTTCTTCTTCTGAGACGCGCTGGAGAGCGGCGGGCTGCTTTTCGGAGCCATTGGGCACCTTTGCGATTTCGGGTATGCGAGGTGGTTGTTAAGCGCGGAGAAAGGCACTCCAACGCGACGCGACGCGACCACGCGATCACGTTACATTCCCTACCATCGTCCACTCACGGCAATCTACTAGAACAAGCGCATTGTAATTATGATATGCCAACGTCTTCGCTTTCCGTTCTGATTGACAACAGTATATTTGCAAAGTCCACAATTGCAGCACGACAACTAGTCTCATCAAGCTCCACAGAACACTCCAACCGGTACACTAATAAAGCTTGATCCTCGGGCGATGCAACCAAATCCTCGAGAGCCTCCTCTTAGTCTACCATGGCTCTCTAACCATCTGTCGAAGGGTGACGAATCAGTCGTCATGCGACAAGCCTCTCTTCAATTGCCTCATGTGCTGGCGCCTGTTATCTCACTATCTAACTCCGGCCTATCTACAATCGACAAGCGTCCTGCATCTCTATCAAGGGCTAAAGTGCTTCCAACCCGCGCAGAGGTGCACAAAAGCACCGTCCTCCCAGCATGGCGCGATTTTGCACAACATCACACAGTAACTGTTACCCAATCAGCCGAACGCGGGGACCGATAAGCCGTGTGTCGGTACAAGGATCTCGGGCGAACCATCACTGAACGCAGCCGACAAACGGCCCGGGTTCTATTAGTATAAGTTCAGGCAGGGCCCATGGCTCCGTTGCTTTCTGGGTTTATTACTACCTCCCTTCAATCTTTTTGTTGCCAGACAGCCATCATGGCGCGCACTATCCGATTCTCGCAGTACCTGACCGGCATGTTGACGCTGCAGACAGCTCTGGGAAACCCAGTCAGCTACAACGCGCCATCTCCAACAGGATATCCTGCCTTGCCCGTGCTAGAGGATGGACAATTGGGTGCTGTGACATCGGAGAGCGATGTCTGTAGCCACATCGGTATCGAGTTACTAAAGAAGGGAGGGAATGCAGCGGATGCCATGGTTGGTACCGTAGCTTGCGTGGGTGTTATTGGCATGTACCATTCCGGTAAGCACTAGAATATCAGAATATTTCGACGATACTGACATAAGACAGGCTTGGGTGGCGGAGGTTTCATGCTCGTGCGAGCAGCCAATGGGACCTACGAATTCATTGACTTCCGTGAAACAGCGCCAGCCGCTGCTTTCGAAGACATGTACAAGAACAACGAGGACGCCAGTATCGAAGGCGGTCTGGCCTCTGGCATCCCGGGTGAAGTGCGCGGCCTCCAGCGCCTTCACGACAACTACGGCGTACTCCCCTGGTCCACAGTCCTTCAACCAGCAATTAAAGTAGCTCGAGAGGGTTGGCGTGTCAACGAGGACCTGGTCAGGTACATGAACTCGGCCATCTCCTCAGCAAGCGAGAACGCAACATCCAATTTCTTCATCAACGACCCCCAATTCGCGTTTGACTTTGCGCCCAAAGGCCGTCTCCTCAAGCTCAATGAGACCATCACGCGAAAACGATACGCAGACACCCTGGAGACCATTGCTACAGAAGGCCCTGATGCATTCTACACAGGTCCAATTGCAGACGCTACAATCCGCGCTCTGCAAGCCGCCAACGGAACCATGGTCCTCGATGACCTGAAGAACTACACAGTCGCCATCCGTAAACCCTCAACCATCACATACCGTGACTATAAGCTCACCGCATGTAGCGCACCTAGCGGCGGCGAAGTCGCTCTCTCCGTCCTAAAAATTATGGAAGGCTACTCCCACGTCGGCGACGTCTCAAACCTCAACCTAACCACGCACCGACTCGACGAAAGCATGAAGTTTGCCTACGGCATGCGTGCCGAACTCGGCGACCCGCTCTACCTCTCAGGCATTGATGAGTACCAAGAGGACATGATATCCGCGGAAACGGCTGCAGAAGTCCGCGCAAAGATCAGCGACACAAGGACCTTCAACACATCCTACTACGACCCGAAAGGTCTCGAGTCCCTCGAAACACCCGGAACCTCACACGTCGTAACAGCCGACCACACCGGCCTGGCCGTCACCCTGACCACGACGGTGAACCTGCTATTTGGCAGTAAACTCGTAGTCCCCGAAACCGGCGTGATAATGAACAACGAAATGAACGACTTCTCCATTCCAAACACAACAAACGCATTCGGCTACGTCCCCAGCGAAGCGAACTTCATCCGCCCTGGCAAAAGGCCCCTCTCATCCATCAGCCCCGTCATCGTCGAGCACCTCAACGCCACCATCTCCAAGGCGCTTTACGTCGTCATCGGCGCGGCAGGCGGCTCCCGAATCATCACCGCCACCATACAGAACTTGATCCATATCTTGGACGGGAACATGACGACCGCACAAGCCCTAGCTCAGCCGCGTATCCACGACCAACTCACGCCCGCGCTCGTCAGCTTCGAATACGCGTTCGACAATAGCACTACGAGCTTTTTGAAAGAGTTGGGTGCGAATGTGACGTGGGTTGCGCCGGGTCAGAGTACCGCGCAGGGACTGAGGTTGTTGACGAACGGCACGTTTGAGGCTGCTGGCGAGCCGCGGCAGGTGAACAGTGGCGGGTTTGTCGTATGATGCGTGTGTTGTGGAATGAATGGTATTGTTTTATTCTTTGCTTGTGTGTGCAAGATGAGTGAATCTCGTATTACGAATCATGGGAATAGCGAGTCGATGTAAACGATAATCGCTATGATCAGATTCACCACAATCTAGTACAGTTACTGCAATTTCTTGAGTTCATCTTTGAAGTGGACTGAACTTTGAAACATTACTTTCCGTTTGTAGACAATACATGAACACACCTCGGGAAACACATATTTTCTTGACAGGAAAAGGGGTTGACAAAAGTACTTGCTACTTTTGACAAAGCCACCCAGGCCCCAATGAAATGAAAGAATGAAACAAGTTTCTGAACATCACTCATCACCACAACGAGTTGGAAAGGCAGGAGGGTTGAAGAAGAAAAGTCTGTAGGATCTAATAGGTATCAACAGCGTCCAGTATTTATGCACCCCTTTCTAATAACTGGGATTCAACCAGCCCAAGCATCGAGTCGCACCACTCCGTCTCCAAACAAAACTTACGCCGATCCCGACGCCGCCTCCTCAAGTTCGTACTCTCGTGCATCCTGGAACAAATCGATGATGCAGCTAGCAGACCACGATTGTGTCGGACACGAGTCGCCGCAGAAGTCGCCATCTTTCTGCGTAAGCTCCGTGAGTCCAGCCCAAGGAGACTCCTGAATGGCCTTCATGCAACCTGCCAATCTCCTCGTCACCTGTTGGTAGCTCTCGACGCGCTCTTCGGGTGTCTTGCGACGCTTGAGATCAAACTTGAGGAGGGCGCGGAGGAAGAAACCCGTTGGCCAGACCCACTCAGGACCCTGATGGTAGTTGCGGCCCTTGGAAGTGTGGAAGTCGGTCGAGTCTTCGCTGTTGATGTAGTAACCGCGGTAATTGAGATCCGAGGGATCGAGCGTCTTCATGCCTTGTGGTCCGAGAAGTATCCTGTCAGCCATTTGTAGGGCGTAGAGGGCGTGGTCAGGATCGAATAGGTCGGGCGCGACGGCCATGGCAACAGGGAAGTTCGGGCGAAGTTGGTAATCTTCGTACTCCTTGCCAGAGCGGTACAAATCCTTGTAGATGCCACGACGGTTGACAATTTTGGTGTTGACGTCGTAGTCGCCATCCTCCTCTGGCGTGCGGGGAACATAGAATGTCCGCTCAAAGTTCGCCTTGATCTTCTCTGCCCAGGACTTGAAGGTGATGGTCGTCTTGCCATCAGGCAGCGTGACGCCCTCGTACTTGTAGTGGCCTTGTTCGTACAGGTCTGCACACCAGCGAACTGTACTGTACAGCATGCCGATCATCTCGACTGGAGCGCCGTCACGAGGTGTGCCAGGAATGCCCTTGCTGCCAGCCTTCTCGCTCTCTCCCATCTTGTCCATCCAAGTACCGCAATTCGACTGATTGCCACCGAATATGAGACCAGTTTCCCAGTCAGTCCAGATCTTGATATCGAAGCCCTCCGATTTCATCTGACTGTCAATGTTGGGGCCGGCATCATACTCGCGAAACTCTATTCCCGTGGCGTGTCGCTGTAGCGATTCTTGGATGACGTCCTCAATGGTGGAGGATACAGAGTAAGCACGCTTGTCGTTGTGTGGAAACCAGGTGTCGTCATAAGGGAGGAAGCGTCGTTTAGCCTTGTCCTGTAGAAGATCCAAGCCATTTGGAACAATCTTGGTGTAGTCCTGAATGTTTTGGAGACACCACCAGATCGAGTCGCGAGAGTTGTACCGGGGGAGTTTGCCGGCGCTCAAGAGGTTGGGGACCATGCCATGTTTCAGGACGCTGGCGAAGCACAAAATGTGCTCCTTCGCATCAGCGTATCTCCCAGTTCCCATGTATAGACCACGGGCAGAGATGGTGATATCGCGACCCCAGCACCGAGCCCAGTCAGTGGCGAAATGGGGAAGACCGGCAGCCATGCTCGGTACACTCTTCTCGGGCCACAGGGAAGCACTGTTTACGTAGCCCGTGACCTGAACGCTGACCAACGCAAGGCTTTTCAGGAATTGTTGCCCGGTTCGAACATTCTCTCCCATAAGCTCAATCGCCCGATCGACTGCCGCGTTGTAGGCGGTCTGGATGACGAGCGCAAAGTAACGGGGAAGCAGGAAGCTGGGAAGTTTGCGAATAGCATCGAAGCGTTCTCTCAGCCACTTAGCAGGACCTTTGATGTGGCGGTACTGTCTCTTCTCCGAGATTCGTTCGAGGCGACCGACACAGTAATCCAGTGCCCACGGGCCCTCACGAAGATGATTGCAAAGTGGGTGACCCAGGTTGTTGTCGTTCACAATGTCGCGGAGTACACTCCACCAGCCTTGCAGACCGGCATATACGAGGGTACCGTGGCCGGGTATGTTGTATGTTCCGTCCCTGCCATTTGATGCATCCTTTTCTTCCGGATCACATTTGTATAGAATGAAGTTCAAGTCAGTCAGAGTGACATCAGAGAATGCCGCTCGCGCGCCGCTGGTCACGAGCTTGTCCAGGCCGTCAGCATGTTCCGCGCTGGGCATCCAGGTTTCGAAGAGGGCGATACTGCCGGGAGGAAATTTGTCAGGAATGCTGATGATCGTTGTATCGTCGGCGGATTCGATAGTCACGCCTCGGAGCTCTTTGGTCTGACTAGGTAAGCCACGTAATGTTGTCTCGTCGCCGATGATACGGGCTCTCGTCTCCGGGCTGTTGTCGACTTCCAAGTTCCACGCTCCAATAAGCTTGGCCTTCGTTCCAGGCAGCTTGGTCTGACCGAAGCCCGCGTTGCCATTGCCATAACCGGGGAAGGCAGTATGCGCAATCAAGAAGTATCCCTTCCTGGTGTGAGGGTTGACGCGTTGCACTGTGATGTACTCCCCGTCATGATGAATGAACGTCTCGTCGTACTCCTCCTGGCCCATTTTAACATGAATCTCGTTGATGATCTTCCTGATTCCTCCGATGCCACCCTGGCCGGCTTGTGCCTTGATAGGCTCGCTGGTGGAATTTTCCGAAGAATAGAGTCTCTTCTCGTGGACAAGCTCAATCAGCTCAGGGTACACTTCGTCAAAGCCAAAGACACTGCCGGTAGCGCAAGAACACATGGCCACGACTGCGGCACTGGGCAGCGTGTCGCGAGCGTCTCGCTTCTGAGCGGGTGTCTCGTTGTCGTGAGTGCAATCCATGAAGAGAGCGTGAACGGGACTGCGCTTGATCTTCTTGATGACTGGATGAGTCTCGGACCCACTTGAACTGGAAGTAGCTGTTGCGTTATCGGCATTGAGCACTTCGTCTGTGTCGAAGCTGCCGATCGGTACACCGCCATGGCGATGGACAAGTCTGCTCAGCTCTTGCGTGCTCCAAGCCTGCATGCCCTCGCGGATAAGTGCGCTGATTCCAAGACGCATAACAAACTTGAAATCCATCTCCTCAGAGCCAGAGAACAATTCGGCAACAACAAAGACGTTGGGGTTGACAAGTCGTGCCTGATCAAGCATGTACTCGGCAAGATGGATAGGCGTAGAGTGGCAATTGTCAATGCGGAAACCTTGGAAGTACTTGGCCATGAGACGGGTGTACTTGGCCATGTGTTCCCAGAGATACGGGTTGTCTTGCGGGCCATCTCCATAACGGAGCTTGACGCAGTCACCCCAGACAATAACTTCTCTCCTCAGATAAGCGCGAGACTTGGGTCCAGCGTTGTCCCTCAAAGCATCCGCCGCCCAGACCCAGCCATTGTTCACCAGCGCGAGGGCTTCGGGGTTGTGCTTCTTGGTAATCTCGTTGAGCGGCAGGCGGGTGAAGTAGCTCTCGATGAGCGGGCTCGAATCGGTGATCTCGCCCATCTTGGGACCGTGATCGTCAATGCGAACGTACTTGGTTCGGTTGAAAAGCTGTTCCATAATCTCTGCCGCGTCTCCATCGTATTCGCGGTAGAAAGGAAGATTGAGTTCGTTCAAAATGCTCTTGAAGGTGTCTTGGGCTGCCCTCTCATCTGGTGCACTGCTATCGTAACGACCAAACAGAGCGCTGCAAAGTCCAGCACCGATCGAGGGGTCGATGCTACGGCGGAAGCGTTCGCCCATCCTGTCGCCGCCACGGAGAGCATGTTCGACTAGCCAATCGGCCTTCTGCTTCAGCGACCAATTTTTGACGACGTCGAGACCGCGAAGACCAGCCTCACTAAAGCTGCCATCGAGGAAAGTGGCTTGACCTGCAACCCATTTCTCGATTATGGCTTTTGTGTCTCGCTCAATGTCGACCACGTAGTACTCCCACAGCTTACACTCGCCGAGTACGTGCGTCTTGACGCCCTCCATGACCTTGAGGAGATCATCCACATTGTTGAGCTTGGTGGGAAGCCCATGCGAGTGAAGAGCCTTGCTGAACTTGAGCAACGCGGTGTCGAGGTCGAGGGCTGGTCGCAGGTGGGGTGCCGTATCAACATTGTAGCCTGACTCTGGGTGCTCTTCGAGCCACTTGCTGTTGTTGGCCGTGTGGTTCCAAACGACATCCGTCATGGCCAGCATGTTGAACTCGGTCTGCATCTTCTCGACCATACGGGCGACGTCCTTTTCCCCATTGGGGAAAGAGGCCTCGTCGAACTGTAGCTGATCGTAAATGCTGTACGGTGAATTGGAGTCGCCGCGAATCATGAGCGGCGTGAAATGCACCATGTTGTAACCGCGCTGGCTGATGCCGCGCAGATGGTTGTCCCAGTCGGTGGGGTAGTTACCCATGAATTTGGACAGACATGAGAAGAGGATGACGGCCTCGACCGGCAGCTGCTGGCCCTGAAGCGTGAGGCGCGGACACACATCAATGTAGTATGTAGACGTCTGTGTGGGCTCGGGGGAGGCGACGTTTGTGAAGGACCACTGTGGCAGCGGCGTGTAGGTAGTGTAGAAGGAGAAGGCGTTGGCCTCGTAAATGGGGACATCGATTTCCGTGATGCCATTGAAGTCGGGCGTCAGTCTGCAGGTAGACGTCGATATCAGTATGATGTGGCTCGGCGAAGTTTGACGGGGCAGACACTCACTTGAACTCGCGGTACTGGTCCCTCTTGAACTTGTCACCCTTGGCAGGGATGTTCACCCAGAGACTGCCTTGACGACATATCGAGCTGGTGCCCTGGATCTGGAAGCGCACACTGTACGCAGGTTCGGTTGGCGGTGGTAGGTAGATGTATGTTCCTGGCACGTCTGGAGCGCCGGCATCCGTTAATGGCAGCAGGTACACGGCCTGTGCAGCTGGCTTTTGAGGTGCAGACATGGCGGTGGGTGGTACAATTGAACAATGGGTAGTGCAACTGATCGGATGGGCTGGCGTGTAAACAATAGCAGACAATGCACAAAAATTCTGCAACGTAACGATAATGAGGGCGATGATCAATCAGGTGGAGATGTTGAGGGAAAGGAAGATGGGAGAGCTAATTCAGCGGCTGATCGAGGTTATAAACATCCCAATCCTCGCAGTGCAGGTGCTGGGGGACGATAGCCCGGTGTGGTGTTGAGAAATGCAAGAGCGGTGGGACGTGTCAGATCGGCGTGGACAGTCGCGAGGGTCGAGCCGCAGACGTCACTGCCCTGATCTGAGCGCCTGGGGCTCCCACTGGTTCTGTGGTCCTTGGAAGTTAGCGCACCAGCCGCCCATAAAAAATCTGGACGCAAGTCTCCGATATTAAGTACGAGGGGCACGTGCCATGAGCGATAGTCGAGATAGCCAGGCTTGATAACGGCAATGCTGTAATTTCCCTCTCCAATTCCACGTCTGTAAATCGTACACGCTCCAACCGTCTATCCTACTCATCCATGCTGAATCTTCCTATTCGCGAAAAAAGACCACGCCACAATGCAAAGACACACAGCTAAGAATGCACAAACCAACTCCACCGCTGATACTAAACAAATAAACGAGCAAAAATTGGCTTCCACGAGTCCAAAAAGATCATGGACGGGGTATCACAACCTCGTAGCAGCCCAGACACACACAACAGACCAAGAGCACAACCAGATCAAAATCCAACTACGTTTCATCTGGCATCGCCACATGTATATGTGATGCCAGGACATCCATCGGCTTTCCGTCCATTAAAATTTGATATTGAAGGGGGAGCTGGGGGGGTTGCTCAAATCCAATCGAAATTGCGTATCTGAAGGGCCTCGACTGTGTGGTGCTTGCGTGAGCGTGGTACCGTCTTCCGTCTTGAAGGAAGCTTCAGCGCCTGTCGATGGTGCGGGACGCAAGGGTATTCCACGGGATTGCAGTTCCCGACTATCTGAAGAAGATGCAGTACGCTCTGTCGAAGACTCACGCTCAGCTTGTCCGCCGCCACGCAAGCGAGGAGCGGTATAATTTGTCGTTTCCGACGATGACAGAGGTGGATTCGGCGGTGTGACGCGCCCATTCCTATCCGCTGAGGGAGCTCGCGTAGAAGACTTGAATTGGTCTGCCGAATTGCTACGCACTGAGACGGGCTTCTGAGCTTGCCCAATCTGTGGTGGGGGTTGGAAGGGCTTGTTTTTACCAGAGCTTGGAGGTGGGTTGTTGTGGCCAGAAATTTGTTGCTGTCTTTGCGCTTCCATGGCGCTCAAAAAGTCCATCTCAGCCTCCAAGTATTCTTTCTCCGTCCAGCAGCCCTGCCAACAGTTCCGCCAATCCAAGATGAGGAACTGGAAGCAAAAGGCGTCAATCCTGATGGCAGGTTGGAAACAGATGCAGAGATTGTTGTAGTTCATCTTGTTGAATTCGGAGCAAGAGTGCAACAAACTGATATGGCAGGTGATTGCAAAGAGAAGGTAGTAGTTGAATGGTGGCAGCTTGGAAAGTTCGTCTTTCAGCATTTGCGGTGTGGTCTTTGCACCCTGGCATTCCTGTTGTATCCTCGCTTGGGTTGCTTTGGGGAAAATTTCGTCGGGCAATTGTCGCAGCCAGTTTTTGAAGAGTGATCCAATCACATTAGGGTCGTTCAGGTTGTCATCGGAGATAAGATCTATGTCTCTGTCTGTAAAGTATAAGTCATCGACTGCCATTTGAGGAATGTAGGACTTACCTTGATCAAATTTCCGCTCGTAGTACCTGATCTGTTGTGCACTACCCGGAACGCGATAGAGACCTTCCTCTTCGCAGCCTCTCATATTCAAATAGCTGCACGTTCACCGTTAGCTCATCGACATAGATATTCAAAGGCAGAGACATACTCTATGCACCGCCATGGTAGAGCTGGCATCCAAAACTCCGTCTTGTCTCTTGACTGCTCCAAACGAGTCGATATCCTTGTCAACCGGGTTTGCTCGACAAGGGGGGTATGTATAATCTTGTACACGTAGGGTTCGTTTGATGCGGGTGACTGGGTTTCGTGGTTGCTGGAGCTGCGTCCCAATTTCCCAAACATGCCTTTTCGAGCGTTGTCCATTTTCTCGCCCATTTTCCGAGCCCCAGATCCAATACTAGACATCAGACCTGGGCCCTTGTTCTCATTGTAGGAGCTCGACGTGACCGACATTGCCTCGGCATTCTGAGATCCAACATGACGGTCCGCCGAACGAGTGCGCGCCTTGCCAGGACCGAGTTGAGGCCGCCACGATTGGCCCTTGTCTAGTGGTGCTTGCTTCATCGGCACACCGTCACCGTTCGCTGTAAAGGTCGTCGAAGCAGGCGAAAGCTGTGGTGGAGGAGCTTTGTTCAGCTTTGCACGGGTACCAGGGCTTTCCTCACATTTGATAGACTTGGACCTTGAGAGTAATCCTCGTTGCTTTGGCTTTGCTGTACTCCGCTTTGATGAATCCATGGGGAGATCGGAGAGTTGTACGATTTCAGAGCGATTATCTGCATGGTTTAGCACGACTGGACACTTCCAGGCTACGGTAAGCTTACCATCAGAGTTGGGTGTTCGAACAGGACGGCTGAGTTCGGGCGTGGACGAGCCACTCTTGGAATTTGCGTATAGTGTAGGCGAGCTTTTGGTTCGCCCAGAACTCCCGTGGTTGATCAGTCGCGTCGACGACTTTGACGCGGAGAGGTTGGAGAAGATGTTCTTGGAATCTTTCCGGGTCTTGGGCGATGCTGGTGACTCCGGCACGCTGTGAAAGGAGGCATTGGGTGTCGCGAAGTCCATTTCGTTTGGAGATCTGGGGCTGATAGGGCTCAAAGGCGCATTGGCGCTTTCCTTGCCGCCTTTTGATCGCATGGCGGCCAGGGACAGGGTCGACGGTTTGGGCATCTTGCGCAGTGGTCTCCGGGGCAGAGTCCAAGGCTACTGATTGCTCAGCACAGCCCTATCATGCAGCAAGCGAATGCCCTGATCTCAATGTGGAAAGGCGACTCGGATCGCGGGCAAACAACTGCGTGCTTGAACAAGCTGTACGTCGCAGGCGATTGGGGTGTCGGTGGCTTTAGTGGAAACGGCGCATGGGTTGCGGCTGCTGGCGGGAGGCGGTCGGGGGTGATTGCGCGAGGGACGTGTCTGTGCCTGCCCATGTCCGTCAGTGACTGCAGCACGTGGAGGGGCCGACGTCGATGCGCGGAGTGTCAGAGAGAGGGGGCGTGCAAGGTGGTACGAACAGTGGGAGCGCTGGTGGAGTGTTTGCAGGGTGGTGTCGTGGCTGAAGAAGGGATGAGCGTCAAGCAAGCGGTCTGCCAGACAGTCAGCCATGGTTGCGGAACGCCAAACAAAGTAGGCCCGTCGCACACGACGGCGAGGCACATGGCTGGAGCAAAGAGCGAGGGGAGGCCCTCGGGCGCCGGCTATTACTTACCACACACGTCGACAGAGGCACAACCGCCTGGGTTCTGAGCGTTGGGAGGGAGCAGGGTCACAGGGATATCGCGGGTGGCAGTGTGCGGCAGCCGTGGGCGCTGCAGGAGAGGACGGAGGCAGGCCGAAGCAATAATTCAATACGATAAAGTGGTCGAAGTGGAGCTATTTCGGGCGCGATGAGCGTGCGTTCCTGACTACATGCGTTAGTCGCCCGTTGTTCGACGACGACAGCACTCGGTCCGTGACACTGGAGCGATTGATTTGCGGGCGGGGGCAGCGTCAGTCACCACGGGGCTGCTCGCGACAGCAGAGAGACGGTGCAAAAGCGCGCAGGGCGGGGACGACGATTCGGCGCGAGCCCATGTCGCGACCCGCAATGGGCAGGAGAGACGGCGGCGGCGGCACAGAGGCAGAGGCTGAGGCTGAGTGCGCGAGCGAGCCCGTGAACAGCATGGCAAAGGGAAGATGGGGAGCACGGCCCCAGGGGAACGCGACGCTAGCTAACCAGGCACCACCACCTATCCCGGCGAACAGGTGCACGTCCAGCCCGAACACCGCGGCGGGACAGCCGTCGACGCAGCTGGGCGTGTGGACAGCAGCCTGCATCGTCGTCGTGAGACCGTGGCAGCGCTGTCTGGGCCACCACGGCAGCGCTTCGTCGTGCGAGCGCGCGCGGCGGCCAAGGCCACGATGATCGTTTGCAGACCCTGGCTCCCGTAAAGCCACCGAGACATCAATCATGCACATCATCCTGATCCTGCTCCGCCGTCCGTTCAGACAATCTCCCCCAATATGTCACTGGTGTCTGGACCTGGCCGCGCTGGCGTGGGCACCGTGCCAGAGGAGCTGCACCTCTTCGTCGACAAGCACGTCGCCTACATCCAGAGCCTCGACACTGTGCGTCTGCCTGGCCGCGCTCGCAGCCGTCGCCCACGTTCTGCACTGACCCGCTCCAGCGCAAAGACGAGCTCGAGTACTGGCTCACCGAGCATCTGCGCCTCAACGGCCTCTACTGGGGGCTGACCGCCGCACATCTGCTGGGGCGCCCAGACGCCCTGCCGCGCGCACAAGTCCTCGACTTTGTCTTCTCGTGCCTGCATGAAAGCGGTGGCTTCGGCGCGGCGCCAGGCCACGATGCCCACATGCTCTACACTGTCAGTGGTGTGCAGATCCTAGCCACGTTCGATGCCTTTGGAGACCTGGACAAGCGCGTCGCGGGCGGATGCCAGAAAATCGGGCAGTGTGCGTCTGTTTCACAAACTACCCCAGATCATCACGCTCATGACTCTCAGTTATCGCGGGCCTGCAGGACCCTGAAACTGGCACTTTCGCGGGTGACGAGTGGGGAGAGCGGGACACGCGCTTCCTGTACGGAGCACTAAACGCCCTGTCGCTGCTGGGGCTCCTTCACCTGGTGGACGTCGACAAGGCGGTCCAGCACGTGCACTCATGTGCCAACTTCGATGGCGGATACGGCACGAGTCCGGGTGCTGAATCGCACTCGGGTCAGGTGTTTACGTGTGTAGGGGCACTGACCATTGCGGGGAGGCTCGATCTGGTTGATCAAGAGAAGCTCGGGGCGTGGCTCAGCGAGCGACAGCTCAAGAACGGAGGGTTGAACGGGAGACCAGAGAAGAAAGAGGACGTGTGCTACAGCTGGTGGGTGATGAGCAGCATGGCCATGCTCGGCAAGCTGCACTGGATAGACGGCGAGAAGTTGACGCGGTTTATCCTCCAATGCCAGGTCAGATTCACGCGACCCTGTCATCATCACGAAGGGCAGAAGCTGACTAGCGCAGGATCCGGAACTGGGTGGCCTCGCAGATCGACCCGGCGATATGGTTGACGTCTTCCACACCGTTTTTGGGATTGCTGGGCTCAGTCTTCTCAAACACCCAGGTCTCGAGGAGGTGGATCCAGTGTAGTATGCAATTGCCACTCTCTCGCCTTTCAAAAATCGCTGACTATTTTGCAGCTGCATGCCGCGGTCCGTGACGCGAAGATGCTTGGGTAAGTGAAGATGCCTTAGAACTGAACTACGACATGCAAACTATACTGCCTCGTTGAGTTATGTTTGCTATAACGACATATCTGGTGAAAGGTGAATTGGTATATCAGCTAGTGACGTCTGCGTGAACGTCCATAATAGTACACCTCTCATCTGCTCTATGCAAGCCTCACTTTTAGTTCATCTCTCTTAACTCTTGTAATTCATTGAATCATATCGTCCCTCATGCAGCGCGTGATACGTTTTCAGAGTGCGCTGGTGTTGCCTCTTTTGTCAAGGCCTAAGCTTTTCCCACGTGCTCTGCTTGCTCGATGGACGTGTACAAAATTCTTCCTTCTCGCAACTGACGTACCTCCTTCCTCCTCTTCAGCAATACAGTGCTTACGCCGTTCTTCCGCTTTCCTATGTACTGTATTCGGACAAGGGCCATGAAGCTGCGGAAGTGACTCGCAGCCATCACTGTGCTCCAACTCTCCTATCTACGGGCTTCTCTGCCACCTCTTCTCCTTCTTCACAGCCAACACGCTCCTTTCGTACGGTTCTCTTCTTCACTACTGTACTGCAAGGACAGTGCCTTCAATTGTGCTTGTTCGCTTCCACTCCTTACGACACCGTCCTGCAATGGCGTCCAACAACATCCCGCTACACTGCAACATCTGTCCCAAGAAGCCGAATTTCAGCGACGTCTCGCATCTGCTCACACACGTCTCTAGCAAGGGTCACTTATCCAATTACTACAAGGTCAAGGTCCGCTCCACCAACGAGGATGCCTCCCGCCGGTTGGTCGACGCCTACGACCGATGGTACACCGACTGGAACGTTGAGGAGCTCATGTCGGACCGGATGAACCAGAAAGACAAGCGCCGGACCCGCGCCAGGCCAGCTGGTACGGTCTATGCCCTCACCTTCACCTTCACCTTCACCTTCACCTTCACTTGTCCACCTACACCCCCAGTACCTGACCCTCACTGCGGTGACTAACTCTCACTACTGCAGCTCGGCCCACCCCCGCCCCCAGGATCGAGGCTCCGCAGCCACGTCCCGCCCGTCGAGCTGCTGCCGGCAGTTTTCTCGATCCGCGTCTTGCTGAGCAACAGGTCATCAAGCTGGAACACTCGGTCACACCAACACCACCTCCTTATCAAGGTCCGGTCCTGCGCCAACGAACCTTCGCGCCACACATGCAGTATTGGGCTACCGAGTCCCGCGCAAGCTCCCGCAGCTACACAAACCCAGACTATGAAACTTCCAGTGAGTATTCGGACCCTGGCGAGCGGAAGGCCTACCGTTACCCCGTTGCCACCACATGCAGCATCGAGGATGACGATCCCACCGAAGTAGTCGAGAACACAATGGCAGTCAGCGAGTGCACGAAGCTCAAGGGAGTATACTGGCCTGGCATGGATATCTTCGACTCCGCCACGCCGGAGATGCGGCGCAAGAGGAACCAGAAGAAAGATAGCTCTGTTGTTGCGCAACTGGAGCTTAACTCCCAAGAGGTCGAGGCTACCGAGCTCATCTTCACACCCCAAGGGTCATTCAAGAGACAACGACGAATGTCCAGTTCAGTCTATGATGACGAGGAAGAGATTGAGATCAAGACGGAGAGTCCTCGACCGTCTCTATCTCGGCCTGCGCTCGTTGACATGGACGTCAATGCTGCTCGTCGACCACGACAGCTTACACGATCCCAAATGTATCCCTTCGTCGCACGCAATCAGTACAACGAAGACCGTGGTCGCTCGGGCTATGGTTACAGCTATGGTGACCGCGCTTCGAAGCGCAAGCATACGTTTGACGTTTTTCAGGACGAGGAAGAGGTGTCTTTCTCCCAGCCTGCTAGCTTCAACTACCTCACTTCAGCTTTCACCCATCAAACCTCGCCATCACCTCTACCAACATTCGCTCCGTGCAAACCTTTGAATGATCAGTTCCAGTATGATAACAAGGAGAATGCTCTGCCCTTGTTCCATCAACAGACTTACGGAAACCCACACAATCCTCACGCCAACAGCTACCATTATCACGCCTACACATACGGCTTGGGCCAGGACCAACGAGTTTTCCCATTCAACCACCAGTTGTACAACGGCGACAACGTGTATGAACAGCAAACTCTAGATGATGATGATCAACGCACAATCACGGCTCCACCTTCACCCGCTACGAGCTAAACACCATCAGCGTGTCCTACTGGACAACCACCGCAATGTTCCTTATTCACGCGACTTATTCTTTTCGACTCTTTGATCGTGCCTTATGATATGGTACCAAGCGTGCCCTTACAGATACCCAAATGATCGACTCTCGCTTCGTTCTTTTTTGGTTTTACTCTGTTGTTCCAGAAAGCGAGAGCGACAGTGTTATCCGTGCGCCTGCTCCCTGAGAGCGACAGGTTGCGCGAGTAGTTTTCCTTCCCGCATTCTGGTGCCTGGTACTCGGCACGATGTTACGCGATATGTCTAACGATTAACGACATTCGATATTATCTAACATAGTTTTCAATACGGAGAACATACTGTGGGATCGCTTCGCAAATGCTGCTGTATGTTCTTCATTTTTACGGAGGCTCTTTTCTGGCGGTTTGTTTTCGAGCATGAGAGGCTGATGAGAGGCTAGAAGGTTTGTACAATAAAACTACTTTTTAACTTGAGTGTATTCGCCCGTACTTCTGACCAGTTTCAGTGTGAGACTACTGCTGCGGCACGACCAATTTGTCATGAAAGATGTGCTCCCTGATTACTGATAAGTCCATTCCCATTTCCCATCAATCCATACTCCCCATGTCGCTATGGCGGCTAAACCGTTGTATATCGCATGGTTATATACACACTTCTATTCCCACTTCCCACCCTCTCCCATATTCCTTGCCCGCTTCGTCTTCTCCATCGCCTCCACCGTCTCAAAGCCATTGACCCACGCATACAACACTCTCAGTCCGCCGCCAACAGCCCACATCGTTGCACCACTCACAGCGAACAAGCCAATTCGTTGCACAGTAGAGAGCAAACCGAACAGCGGATACGGATAGAACCCATTGTGCGAGTAGCATAGCTCAATCCACCACCAGTACCCAAACGCAATGCCAGTGGAGAGCCCAAGAGTAAGCAGCGGCGCCTGCGTGTTCACAGGAGAAGTCGGCCATGGCGGGGAAAGTAGGACGGCGTCCAACGAAAGCACGACGGCTGGAACAAGGTGAAATCCTATATCAGTGGGGAGGGGGGGTAGCGGCAAATCCCTATTATTTGTGTTAGCATTGGTGAGTGCACAGGCAGTGGGGATACAAACGGGGGGACAACAAGGGCGATGTCGATCGTTCGGAGACCCCAGTATAAGATGCTGATTGTGAGTTCTATTGGTGCGGCGACGAGGAGGAGGTAGTTCTTTGCTGTGAAGAGGGTGCGGGAGAGGGGAGATGGGTTTGTTATGTCGGCGAAAAGGCCGACTGCGAAGCAGAGTGTGCTTATAGAGAGGCCGATTATCGTTAGGAATTGGAGGTGCCAGCCGAAGGACTCGTTCTTTTGTTTGGTCAGTTTGGAGCTTTGGTGGGGAGGAAGTAGGAGGAGGGAAGAGGGGAGCAAGGAAGAGGGGAGGAAAAGAATTGTACTGACCATCACATTAGGATTGTCAGTTAAGCTGTTTTTTCGGTCAGCAATGTTCTTTGATACTCTCATGATATTCTCATGATAAGTTCGTGGTTATCGACTCTTGAGCAATAGTGAACGCACAATTTGAAAGATGTGTAAAAGTTTATCAATCCAGCTACCTATTTGAGTGTCTTAGCCACAGTCCTGCATAATTAACACATAAAAAGGGAACTCACATGCAAGACGCCCGAGAAACCCTTGGAAGGAGATTCCAACCTTTGCAGCGGATGCCGCCGGCTCGTCTTTCCCGCAAGTTGAGATGCGCTCATTTTGAAGGAGATAGAAAAGCGAACACAAATAGAAAAGCTTTGAGATGTAGACAAACTCTAGATGAAAGAAAAATGCTTGAAATAGGTAGAAAAATAACTTTTCTAAGAAAAAGTCAAAATATGGGACGGCGAGTGACGTAAGGATTGTTAGACGCGTTCCACCCATCACGTGCCATGACTAAGCGTCGCCTCACGCTACCAACGCTACCATCCGAACTTACTCCGAGCGTCTACATTCCGCATCTTCCTGCCGACATCCAGTTCCCCACGTTCGTCCTGGACCCCCCATCGCATCATTTGGCACCGAGCGAACTGCGCCTTCCTTCGCTTCTGGAAGATCTTCGGCGGATCATCAGAGGCGCGGCAGTCAAAAGCGAATCAGGCCTTGGCCTGGCAGAACTCCGGGACGCTTGACCGTTGATGTTATCGTATCGGCCAATAGTGTGCGGATTCCGTTCTCCACAGCTGGGTGTGGGTGCGTTGTATGGAATGATGGGGAACGGAAAGACGGCGAGACTTCCGTTGAGAGGCAGTATGGCAGACTCTAGACTTCCGAAAAGGTTATAAAGATCATGCCAGCACCTGCAGACGATGGAGGAATCTAAATGTGTGGTGTCGAACAACTCCTTGACTCTATAAAGAACGCTTTTTTCTTCAATATTCGTTCTACCGCAAGTCCTGGGCCGTCTTTGTTTCCTGTCCCTTGCCATCTGATTATAGTCAAAGTCCCGGCTGCTTCGGTGGCGTTGATACATAGCCATGAATTCGAGAGTTGAGGGTATCCTCCGGACCCTGACATTGGAAGAGAAGATCTCTCTTACTGCTGGGAAGGACTTTTGGGAGACTGTACCAATCCCGGACAAAGGGGTTCCGGCTATCAAGGTACAACAACAGTCGGTCATCGATAGATCCTCGCACTGATCCCTTATAGACAAGTGATGGACCGAACGGAGCTCGCGGCGAAGTCTTTGCAGGAGGGACTAGGGCCGCTTGCTTCCCGGCTGCTGTCTGCTCGGCTGCAACCTGGAATCCAGAATTTTCGAAAAGAATAGGAAATGCATTGGCCGAGGAGACCAAGACCAAGAGCGCGCGAGTGCTGTACGATCCTACATCCAGTCTTGGAGAGTATTGATACTAACTTGTCTAGTCTCGCACCCACTATGTGCTGTCACAGACATCCCCTCGGCGGCCGTAATTTCGAAAGCTTTTCTGAAGACCCATATCTTACCGGGAAACTAGCCGCTCACGTTGTCAAGGGTATCCAAGAAAAGGGCATTGCGGCCACAATCAAGCACTTTGCGGCAAACGAACAGGAAACAGAGCGTTTGGCCGTCGACGAGATTATCTCTGAGCGAGCGTTGAGGGAAATTTATCTGAAGCCCTTCGAGATCACAGTCAGGGAGGCTAACCCATGGGCCATCATGACATCCTACAACAAAGTCAATGGCACCCATGCCGATTCACATACGTTCCTTCTCAAGCAAATCCTACGAGGCGAGTGGGGTTGGGAAGGAACTGTGATGAGTGACTGGGGAGGAACAAACTCTACAGCTGATTCGCTGAATGCTGGACTAGATTTGGAGATGCCCGGTCCGACCAAATGGCGATCGACTCAGGCTATAACCGAGGCTATCGAGAAGGGCAATGTAACCGAAGAGACCATTACCGAGCGTGCGAGGAATGTATTGAACCTCATTGAGAAGGTTGGTGGGTTTGAGAACCCCGAAATTCCGCCTGAGCGGTCCATCGTCAATCCAGCACACAGCCAACTTATCCGAGAAGTTGGCGGTCAGGGTATCACTCTCCTCAAGAACGACGGTAGTGTTCTTCCATTAAAAAAAGAAAATGTCAAAGGCAAGAAGATCGGACTGTTTGGGCTGGCCGAAGAGGCTTTGATCCACGGAGGAGGGAGTGCGAGTCTGCACGCGCACTATCGAATAAGTCCTGAACAGGGTCTGAAGAATGCATATGGCGACAGCGTTGAGTTCAAGTTTGCCAAAGGCGCTCACACCTATCGTCTCCTTCCACCACTGGCAAAGGGCTGCAAAGACCTCGAAGGCAATCATGGTTGGACGATGGAGTTCTTCAACGTTGGTCAGACAGATAAGCCCATCAAGACAGTGAACATCAAGGAATCTACAGTCAGCCCAATCCTCGATAGCGAAGCGAAAGACAAGGAGTTGAAGCTTAGCGCGACATTCATCCCCTCTGAGACTGGCTCTCACTACCTTGGATGCTCGGGTACTGGCCCTACCGTCGTCATCATTAACGACAAAGTGGTGTTTGAACAAAAGCATAACTCCCCAGATCCCATGGGCTTTCTTCTTGGCGGCAACCCAGAAGAAGAGTTCATAGTTCCTTTCACAAAGGGTAAGTCGTACAAGATCAGAATTCACTCGAAGCCCCCGAGTGCAGAAAACGACACGAGCATCTTGGCGGGGCTTCCTGGATTGAGAATGGGCTTCATGAATCAAGAAGAGCATGATTTGGACATGCTCAGCCATGCTGTAGATGTTGCAAAAGAGTGCGATATTGCTATAATTTTCACGGGACACAGTCCTCCCTGGGAAACCGAGGGTCAGGATCAAGTGAGCTTCAATCTGCCCCGCGACGGATCGCAGGATGCCCTTGTCGACGCGGTAGCGTCGGTAAATTCAAAGACCATCGTTGTAAACTCCACAGGTGTAGCTGTCGCTATGCCATGGCTCCATAAGATATCGGCTCTTGTTCAGGCGTGGTTTCCGGGCCAGGAAGCAGGCAACGCGATTGCCGACATTATTTCCGGGGCTGTCAACCCTTCCGGAAGATTGCCTGTATCATTCCCCAAATACATCGAGGATGCTCCTGCTCACGGCAACTTTCCCGGCGAAAAGAGCGGCGATCAGCTCACTGTCAAGTACGAGGAAGGCGTGTTCGTCGGATATCGCCACTATGACCGCCTACCCAAGGAGAAGATCCAGTTCCCCTTTGGCTTCGGTCTATCTTATACTGAATTTGCTTTCACAAACGGAAAAGTCTCCCAAACTTCTGCAGATGCTTTCAGTGCCAGCGTCGCCGTGAAAAACACCGGGAGCGTCGCAGGTGCCACAGTCGTCCAGCTATACGTCGGCAGGAAACATCAGTCTCCTGAGCACCCCATCAAGACACTCGCAGCATTTGCAAAAGTCTTCCTGCAACCTGGTCAAGAACAAGTTGTCGATTTGTCGCTCGCTCTCAAAGATTTTGCGTACTTCGACGAGGCGTCGAAATCATGGAAGGTTGACAGGGGACAGTACAACTTCTCGTTCGGTCAATCAACAGCACAAATCGATAGTGTGGTTCTTGTTGACATTGAGGGGAGTCGAGATTTGAAGTTGTAAAGACGGAGTAGCGCACAATCGTACACTCTCAACTGCCAAGTCACCCGGTCTCAGCTTAGCCAGCCACAACATGAGGTTCGCGACGCCAACAACAACCCCCTCAATTCTTGCCAACACTCGATACTCAGTTTTTTGTTTGCAGTCTTTCCAGGGGTCGGGAGACGACGTCTTTCCCCCGTTTTTTCTGGTCATGAGTTTTAGAATCAGCCTCTTTCTCATAGTACAAACTCCCTTTAGTGAAGTGGTTATCACGTCCGACTGTAATATCTGTTGTATTCGGAAGGCCTCCGCGTTCGACTCCGGGAGGGGAGACGCCCTTTTTGTACTCGTATGGGGCTGAGACGACCTCGTCGTTGTTGTTGCTGGACCATAGTCCTCATCATTACCGACATCGACATCGATATCCACTTCAACTTGACAACACGTTTCTTGATTCTGGGAACCGCATTGTTCTAAATTTCGGTTTACAACACCCCTATCTTCTGGCTGTTCATCTGCAACACGTCTGGCTATGCAATATGCCGAGAACGAGTATATATACAATGAACGAACCATAAAAACGACCGGTACATTTTCCATGTTCACATGTCTCTTTTCTAGTCCACTACTGCAAACATCTCTAATTTTGCTCTGGTGAGATTTGCTCCTTGTACCATGCTTTGTTGAAATCTGTAACTTAGGGTAGGGATGCTATTGTTCTTCGTTGGGTCCCAACACGCAAGTTCTGGCTCAATTCTTTTCACGCTTAAAGGCTTTTGATTTCTATCGTGTTCAGTATTTGGTCAGTGTTACCATAGGACTTTTCATTCTAGCTCCGAGTGGCGTCGCCCCTTGCGTAACAACCCTGCCTTCGTGTTCGGCGAATTTATCTGCATGCATGTAAGTTTCCCTCTCTGTAGCGCCACCTCTGCTTCGAACCATGGTTTGCATGTTTTCCAAACTTGTCGATCGAATCGAGGGGGTTCTCTCGTGGCTTGGGCTTGCTTCTCCCCCCTGCTTCAGACTTGAGAGGTGTGGGAGACGGGCTGTATCAACTCAAATGGAACAAAACTCATATCCACATGTGTGAACACCTTGGCTAATAGCCAACCATTCTCCAGTTTCTTCATATGCATCAGCGTCAACTCGTATCTCGCATGTTGAATAAAACACTCTTCTTGGGCATCCCTTTGCGAACGCCATTGCCCCTCCTCGCCAGGAAAAGACCTTACTATTGTTCGACCATGTGTCTCATACATCATGTCAACGTCTTACAAGTCGTGTGTACTTCTCATAGAGTCGAATGATTGGGACCTTGCAGCCGTGAGACTTAAGTTTCGAGGCAGTCGCCATGGAAATTTGAACATCAATTTTAATCGTCGTTCTCGTTTTCCATATTCATCTGAGTTTCTTCTAGACAAGATACTTTTCTCATACTCATAGTGTCTTGGTAAAATCGACTGTGCATATCAATCATGTGTGCCAGATTCGACGCATCCGAACGCATACCTTCCTCTTTCGACGACAATCACTCCCGATATCGTGGGCTACAACATAACTGTAGCCTCTCCCCTCGAACTACCAACTCAAATTGCAAAACACAGAATCCCACCAAACCGCACCTAAAGACGAATCATGACGGACCTTGTTCTGATCTACCAGTTTGTAGTTCAATTTCTACCATAGTCGCCAATCCAAATATCTTGAGTGATGCATCGTCAAGGCCGGACACACCTCTATCATCACTCAATACGCCTCCAACAAGCCCAGGTCCAGGTCCAGGTCCAAGCCTCAAACTTCTCCCACATTTATCCCCTGGCTCCAGCGTTGAACCCTTGACGCCAATCTCTCCGACAGATCATATCATCCTGCAGCCGTTCGAACCTCAAGACGCCACGGAAGCGGCCATTCTCTACGACCTCGCGTTTGCCACGAGTGAAGCTCGTTACGTCATGCAAGATCCATCGAAAGTTGAAGAAGAGCGTACGATGCGTGCTGCGAGTTTCGAGCAAGCTTGCACAATGTCTATAACGCGACTAGTCAAAGCAGTAGATATGAGTGCGAGCGGCAAGATTGTCGGAGCCGCTGGGTTTTTCGTTGCTGGCGGTCTTCAGTGGATGATGTCAACACCACCCGACGGGGACAGAACCGATTTTTCTGCCGTCGTGGCAGAGGAGAGAGAGAAGGTTCTCCGAGGAGATTACAACATGTGGGGTATGTTTTCTGCCATTTAGCGATCATTGATTTCCACTCTGGACTCTTGACTGAGACTGGCTGACTTCTTTGTATAGAACTTGCTCAGCTCTTCGTACATCCAAACTATCAGCGTCATGGCATCGGGAAACAGCTTGTAGAGTGGGGTCTGCAGCAAGCAGATGCTGAGGGCCTGCCTGTCTATGTGGAAGGCTCCGCTGCGGGAAAAGGGTTGTACGAGCGGGTTGGCTTCACGTCGGTAAAGGCAGTTAGTCTTCCTCGGGCAGATGGCGAGGTTTACAAGAGGTATATCATGATCAGACCAGCCCGAGACGCGACAAGCGTTGAAACATCCAAGTAGGATGTATGCATACCCAGTCAATTCTCATGTCTCTCTTCCGGATTCAATGAGCACTTGAATGTTTTGAGCAGTGTTGAATGGGCGACATATATGCCGCTTCATGTGTTCTTTGCTTGCACGTCATCCATCGTAACTGCCATACTGCATCAAGCGCGATGCGAGCTGCTAGGACTCGAGGCAGGTGCGTCCCGACTTTGATGTCATCTCATTCTGGGCTTCCTTGCATGATTGAGCATTTTCTCTCTTTCCCCATACTCACACGACTAACATCTTACTTCTCATGTGGCAAGGCTGCCATCTGTAGACCATAGATGGCAAGCACACTGCAGTATCACCCATAGGAAATACTCTCTCTTCCTGCCATTCCACTATCCCCTCCTGCTCCACCGTCTCGATGCCTTAACATCATATGTCGCTTCACAAGTTCGTGTATCCGCACTGAAGATGTCGGCGCTCCCATGCGCTCCCGCATACGGTAATTCATCGACATCCATGCACAATCCAAGCATACCGCGAGCCTCACCCTCAAGTCCGCAAAACAACAGCATTCAGCGAGCTCCAGTACCGGACAATACCAGCGTATCGTACAACACGCTGTGTTCCCTTGCCATCAGCGACTTGGAACGATGGCTTGCAGAGCAGAAGGCGACCACCCTCGACGATCCCTCTGGCAATTCGGACATCGATTCAGCGGTTGGTGCCCATCCTGAGCCTCCTCTCACCCGTATTCCAGCTGACATTTCCCAAAGGACCATCCGTCCCGCAAGTCTTCCGATTCCAAGCAAGCCAAGCGTGAGCCCAGCTGGTATCACAAGAAACGCTTCGGTTACGTTGACGACGATTTGCACCTATTTCACGCGTCTAAGCTCTACTCCAAATACATGAGGAAGAGGTTGAGAGAAGGATTTCGCACGAACCCGTATGGTCTGAATGCCAGATACTTTGTCGTTCTGTGGCTTTTCCTAGTCGTGTCAGCGATCGGGACCCTTGTTGCAACGAGATGGGATCCACATGATGATCTTATCGAGGGCAGAAGGCGGAAGCGCGTTATCTATGCCAATCTGTTCAAAGGTCTGTTCGCCACACTGCCGTTGTTGACCACTGCGACGGTGTTCATGTTTCCACCACTATACATGCCTTACTGAGTGGGCTTGTTGGAACTTGGCGACGGAGATGGGGTGTGGGGGGTTATTGCGAGAAGGCGAGGCGACATCTATGTTGTATGTTTATGTTTGCTATACACTTTCTCCATGGCTTTCTTATGCTCCACGAGAATGCGATTCGTCAGGCGTTGGCTACACATAAGACCTCTAGTTTCTCCGATTAGACCACCCGCAGACACACACCGTCCGCAACGAACCCAATTTCACCAATCTACCCCTCCAAATGCTTCCTCAGCATCTCCAACACCCCCTTAACAACCTTCTCGTTCTTCCCCTCCTGTCTCTTTGCCTCCCTAGTTGCAACCTTCTCCAGCTGTTTCGCCACATCCCCATCCCCCTTCCAATACGTCTCCGCCCTCTCCACAAACCTCACAAACGCCTCAAGCACGACCTCCTTGCCCTCCCAGCTCTTCCCCGCAAGCGCACGATCCAGCACAGGCCAAATGATCTTCGCAGCAACGGGATCGATATTCTCGCTACCGACCGCACTCGTGATGCTGAGTATAGCATCGGCAACAGTTTTCGCAGCGGTGTGTTTGACGGCCCATTGGCGCGAGTCGAGGTGCGTGTCGCTGAGGGTGAGGATCTCGCGGAGGTAGAGCGAGACTGAGCGCGGGCCGGCGACGTGGTCGGACCACGTTTCCTCAAAGACCTTGCGCACGGTCTCGAGGCTGTCGTGTTTGGCGAGGAAGATGAAGGGGAGGAGTGAGGCGGCGAGGGCGGTGAAGCGATCTGTTGCGTGGAGCGAGATGGCGCGTGTTATGTCGCCTGCAAGGAGGCGGTTTCTGTCGCTGTTTTCCTCGGACTCGAAGTACAGTTTGTTCGTGAATGTGATGGTGGCTAGGAGTTGTTTGTCGCTTGCTAAACGCGCGAGGTAACCTGCTGCTGCGGCGTACGAGGAGCTGACTGTCTCGTTGCGGTCGTGGATTTGTTTGTGTATCAACTTCAGGAATCCGTCTGCGTATGGGCTGAAGAGGAATCTGTGCCGTGTGGCGAGCGTGACGAGGATGCGGGAGCAGCCTACTTTCGACGGGAGGCCGACTGCGCTTTTCATCGCGGCTTCGATGCGGGGGACGAGCGCGCGCATGGTGTCTGCATCGGCAAGGTCGAGGCAGCGTTCTAACGATTCAGTGAGCGGGGAGGAGCGCACGCTTTGGAGACGCATGTCGTCGATTTTCTGTTCCGTGAGGTTGTACTTGCTAGCGTTGAGGTGGAGGTAGTTCACTGCTTCTGGTTCCAAGCTACTCAGTAGGCCGAGTAGTCTTTCTACAAGCTCAGGGACGTGCGGATTCAGCGTGTTTGCATTGCTCTTCTTTACGATTTGGAGAAGTGTGTGCACAGAGAATAGGCGCACTTCTTCGGCTGACGATTCCAGCCCCGAGGTCGAAAAGAGGAATGGAAGGACACGAGTGAGCTGTGCGTTTGCAGACTTGACGGACGCATCGCCAGCTTCGAGAGAGCGGGTTAGGATGGAAGTCAGTACACGTGCAAGCGATGCGGCAGCAACGCGAACGGTTTCTTTGATGTCGTCGAGAACTTTGAAGCATTTATCCCAGACAGCACTGAGATACTTCTCGTACTAAACGTTGTCAGTAGATACTCTATCATAAATCTCTTGATCTACCTATAGTGCTCACCTTCTCAATGCTGCGACCTTGCACGAGATCACCGATTGCTGCGCACGTAGCTTGGCGAACCCGCCATTCCTTTGCTAAGATGCTCGTAAGTAGGTCGTCCATGATTGCATCGAAATGCTTGTCAATGGTCGTCGAAGAATCCTTGACCAGTGAATTCCAAATGTCGTTCATGGAACGCTGTACATTGGGGTTCGGATCGAATCTGTGCTTGCGTTAGTATTTTCAATCAACTTTTCGTAGAAGCGGATACCACATGCCTATAACGATAAAGCTTGGGGTACAGCTTGGGGTTCTGCGCAAGGTATCCATCCACACTAGAATCCGAGAAGATGTTACTCAACCCAAATCGCCCGAAAGCAGCTCTGCTCGACCAGATCGAATTGTTCGAGGCCATCGACATGAAGCGGTACACCAGACTCGAGTCACCAACCTCAGCCGCAAGGCTGAGGATATCTTTGTATGTTGTGATGGAGCCATCACCAGTTGGCAGCGCACCAGGCTCAAAGAGTTGCGTATCTTCGGAAACCGTACCCGACATCTTCGGTTTGTTGTCTGAGAAAGAGCCCACGAGATCGCGGACAAGATCATCTTTGAGCTGACGATCACCCTTCTCGTAGACTAAACCTAGTCCTCGAGATGCCGCTTCCTGGACCACCTCATCGCGATCTGAAAGGCAGTTCTTGAATGCTATTTGACATTGACCCAGGTAACCCTGCATTTCAGGTTTGTGGCCGCAGTACTGAAGGAGACATAGCAACCAGATGACAGAGGCTTTCTTCAGAGCAGGCTTGGTCTGGACACAGCCCTTGAGAGTCTTCTCCAGAACTGTCGCAAGCGTCTTCTCACGCTTGGGTCCAGAAGGTGTTTGTAGAGGCGCATCCCATGGAGTTTGTGTCTGACTTGGGTGTAATATATCGAGTTCAGCAGTCAGTGCCTTTGATTCCCATCCGCATGCGAAGCAGCTCAAGGCTTCCCCGACGGAAAACTGTACTTCGGGTTGACGAACCTCATGGAGCTCGTATAGTTTCTCGCCAATGTACTTGTAGTCCGATGGTTCTTCAGCATCTGACTCAACTTCCCCCATGATCATGGATAAGTGGCCCAATGCAAGGATGGCGCCTGTTGTCCCCGTCTTTGCTGAATCATATATGTGCTGAGCGATGTCTTCGACCTTTGCGTACTTGGAGATCAATGTCGGTGTGATGACATGGAAAAGACTGAGCTGATCTATACAAGAGTACGCTGCGCCTTTGAGGGTCGCGTCTCGTGATTCCTTCAAAACTTCAATCAACGTTTTGAGCAGTTGATGAATGGGATGATCGTCCGCGATGGTAGTGGAGAAGACTTGGCTGCCCCTCCAATACGCTCTACTGAAGTAGAACCCTATCGCGAGAATGACGCCACTGATCTCATTGATCTGACCACCAACAGCCTCTTTCCAAGTGCTCAGCTTGTCGAAGAAAAGCGTTTGTGACTTCCTAACAGAATCCTGATCGCAGTCTTTATGAGAAGCCAAGAGACCATAGGCGTGCGCAGCAGCAAGGCGTCGACCGACGTTGTTCGACAATATGGAAGGCTCCAGGGCGCGGAAGTCTTGGACCAGACGCGCAAGCACCCAGTAACGCTCAGGACAAAGCGATAGTAGACGTACAAGAGTGGTTCCGATGTCTCCGACATCACTCACACTATCTCGAGTAAGTCTGTCGAAGCTGACTTTCAATATTGTTGCAAGAGAGCGGCCATGAGAATCATCGGATGCATAGGCGCGGAAAGCCTGCCGTGCACGCATATCCGTAGACATGAGGGTATCAAGTTTCCTTCCCCAATCCTCAGAGACATCGTCACCGATCTTTTTCTCGGTCAGCGCCGATTGCAAGGCGACTTGTGAACAAAACGAGATGACTGTCGGCAGTGCCTCCGGATATTGCTGATAGAAGTGGTGTACCTGGCCGATGGCATCGTTTGGTTCGTCAAGATCCATGGCGTCGTCATCCTCACCGTTCTGCGCAAAGATGAAATTCACCAGCTTGTCAAAATCCGGGAAAACTAGTCTCGTCTGCTCTCGTTCTGTGCCGATGATGGTATTCGACATCTGAAACCAGTACGGGTCCAGACCTCTGCGTCCCTCTTCCACCACTTCATGTCGTTCAGCAGATCCACCACTTACAGCAAGAATATCTATCCATCTTGCTAGCACATCGTCGAAAGGCAGACATCGATTTGCAAATCTGGTTGCAACGTAGCGCGTGTTTCGTGTAAACTTTTCTGAGGCAGGAGTTGTGACTTGACTAGAGGCGGCGTACTTGAGCAGTATTTGCCTGAATTTGGGCATGACGGAGGAATCGAAGGGTTTCGAAAACGCTCCCAGTACAGACGAAAGTGCTTCTTCGATACTGACAGCCACATCCTTGCCTGCTGAATCCTCTCGAAGAGAGCGAAATAACCATTCAAGGAGGTCCAAAGTGGGTTCGATTAGTATTTTGTCTGGGGCAGCCTTCGCTAATAGACCGATTGTCTCGTAGCCATATCCTCGTAACTCCATATCTTGATCACGATCTGGAGTTGGCCAGCCTTGATCCTGTATGAACGCCCTTAAATTTCCGACAAGACTCTGTGCGACTGTGGAGAGGTGTTCGGACGCTCCATGTCGAGCGACGAAGTTGACTAGGGAGAAAATGGCAGATCGAAACTTCGAGGCTTCCCTGCCTGCTGTCTTGTTTGTTGAAGCTAATTCGGGTGACAAGAGGCCTTCTTCTACAATCCTGGCAACCTGGTTCGGATAAGCTGAACACTTGACAGATTTCGAGAGCAAGCCGAGGATTCTGATCCGTAGTGGAGTCTTGACAGGCAAAGATCCCTCAGATGTAGTTCTGGTGTTCTGTCAGTCCGGTGTCGAAGAATGGTAGAACAGCAAATGGCTTACGATCCAAAGTAGAACTCAAAAAGGGTCTCAACGAGCTTTGAGTCTTCAAGATCCTTGGCCACCATGACACGCTTTAACGTGTCTTCTCCAACCTCTGATATCCGAGAATTGGTATCTGCGGAGGCGATCAAGGCTGGGATGAACTTCTCGTCATCGTTGAACAGGCCGCTCGCCAGAAAGCGCGTCACCAGTGCTTTCGATTCTGTTAAATTCAACCCAGAATCTGAACTAGGGTCCCAGGCATCTGGCTTGCCCTGCAGAGTGAGAAATTTGTACTCCTCAATCGACAACCCAGCACATCGTAGGGAGCTGCCAGATTCGGGAGTGCTCTGGCGTATGATAGTCAATAATAGTAGCTTCCCAAACCATCTGGAAAGAAACACTGCATCCTCGTCGGCAAGGCCTAGAGTGGATCTCAGTTCGTCGTCTTCCTTGCTGCCACGTAGGGGAAGTTTGAAATGGACTAGAAGTCGTAAAATGAGGTGGAAGAGTTGGGAGGCGTGTTGCGTAGATGTGTCATAATCTTTGGCGATGCCCTGCAAAAGTATGGGAAGTAACTCAAGACGGTCGGATACCGAAAGTCGTGAGATGCCTTGTTGGATGTAAAGGATGTCGAAATGCCGTATTAAAGCAACATCTGCGTTGTCTTTGTACTGCTTCAACAAAGCGGCTACTGGAAGGTTGATGTCTCTGGAAGAAGAATTTAGTCAACTACAGCCCATCTCATTCTCCATAAGTGACAAGATGCGTACTGGGATTTGATGCGAGTGTTGATGTGCTGGCAAATGGAGATGACCTAGAAAAAGAGGCCGCGATCAGCGGTGTTCAAAGAGGACATGGAACGAATGCAGCATAAAAACGGATCTGAGAAGAGGCATCTACCTTGTTCCTCACAGCCACGCTCTCAGAGCCTAGCTTGAGCAGCAGTGGGGCGAGGAATGTTTTCAGCAAATCCTCGAGTTTCTTCTCAGTGCTTGCCAACGCTATGCGCATCTCCACCTTGCCGACCAGAGCAAGCTCTTTGGCCTCGACAGCCTGCGCTTCAGACATGTTGAAGTTGTGGGAAGAATGGCGGTGCTAGACAGCTCGAGATGAGACGTGTTATAGAGCACACGCCACAACACAGGCAGATGCAGATGGCGTGGCCCGTCAGCAACGGCGAAAAATGAATGACACGGTCTATCGACGCGTGGGGTGTGTTTGGGCGCGTCTCAAGCTCGTTCCTCGTCTTGTGATTGCCACATGTCGTGCTGGAACATTCACCTGTGAGGCGAGACCCCTGTCGCGGGGCTAGGTAGACTGCATGACGCAGCATGGCCTGCCTACAACATTCACATCGCGTCTTCGACCAGGTTCCGTCAACGTCGACAGCTTCTGCCTGCCGCCCGGCTATTACAAGAGGCGTAATATTCTGCTTTGGGTCGCCTAGATTCCCGACGCAGCCTCCAGTACCGCCTATCTATAGTTCCGCCCACGCACCGACCCACAAACAGTGCAACCCGGTCGATAATCAGGACCCAGCACTCAGGTCGTGCAGTCACTTCACCACGCCCCCAAATTCACACGGGCGCCACACGGCATTCTACACGCATCGTTCGTCGGGCGTCAATGGTCACATAAGCTGCCCAACTGCCTCAGCTTCTCCACACAACAAACGTCCCTCCACAAGACAACCTCGACCGCGCTTTGACAGCCCGCAACAACGGAGCCACTTCTCGACCTTTGCCACCCGCGAACCACCAAAACCCCAGCCTCGCACCTGTACACACTTATTTCGGCATCAATTCACGACTGCCCGCCATGGACGAAGAAGCAGTGCTCAACTTCGTCGCCATCACCGACTGCGACACCAACAAGGCGGCCCAGTACCTGCGCTTGACAGATGGCAACCTCGAGCAGGCCATACAACTCTTCTTCGACAGCCCCAATCTCGATTTTGGCGGCCCGCCTGCAGCTTCGGCTCCCGCGCCAAATGCCACCTCGTCCACACAAAATCCTATCAACCTCGATTCAGACGATGACATGTCCGACTTCGACCCCGCTGCTCATACAAATCCACCAGCACAGACTGGGGCGATTGAGGACGACGAAGCCATGGCACGGCGACTCCAGGAAGAGATGTACGGCGCAGGTGGAGGTGGCGGTCAGGACGAAGTTCGTGCGCCTATTGAGCGCCGATCAGAGACTCTGATCGGCCCAGGCTCGAATTGGGGATCGACCGATGCAGACGACGTCGATGCCATGGTTCAGGAGCAGCTCGCTCGCCGCCGAGCAGGTAAGTCTTGCGTGACACGTACAATGCCGACCATTTTACACAGACTGACTCTTCTGACAGGCCGTGCCGGCATCTTCAACCAGCGAACAGGCCAGTCCTCCGTCTGGGACAGCACCGCAGACTCGAGCGCCCGGCGCCGCGAACTGGCTACCGCGACAGGTGGTGCTTCGGAACAATCGTCAAAGATGAGCATGTTGGCAGAGCTGTTCCGACCTCCCTTCGAGCTCATGTACCAAGGCTCATGGGAGAAGGCACGCGACATGGGGAAGGAGCAGGAGAAATGGCTCATCGTCAACATTCAAGATCCAGCAATCTTTGACTGCCAGCTCCTGAATAGGGATATCTGGAGGAACGACGAGATCAAGGCAACCGTGCGAGAAAACTTCATCTTTATGCAGTACGCCAAGGACGATCCACGGGGCGAGCAGTACGTCAACTACTACTTCCATGCCCGAGACAGCATGGATGCATACCCGCACATTGCCATTGTGGATCCCCGGACCGGCGAGCAGGTAAAGGTGTGGTCTGGCCCACCACTTCCAAAGCCAGTCGAATTCCATGCTCAGCTGCATGAGTTTCTCGACCGCTACAGTCTCAACGTCAATGTTAAGAACCCAGTTGCGAAGCGAAAGGCCGAGAGCAAGAAGACGGATGTAGGTCGCATGACAGAGGAGCAGATGCTCGAGATGGCGCTGCAGAACAGCATGGAGAACGACAACCAAGGCCCGAAAGACGACGACCCAGACGCTCTCACAAAAGATGACGGAAAGGGCAAAGCCAAGGCAAAAGAGGCCACCCCGGCACCCGAGACGGAGCCAGAAGATGAAGCCAACGACTCTTCAAATCCTGTCTTCGCACAAATATCCTCGCACAACCCGCACGTTGAGCCCACAATCACCGACCCCAAGATCACAACCCGCATCCAATTCCGAGGACCCTCTGGCCGTCCCATCGTCCGGCGGTTCAACCTCTCCGACCACGTCCGACGGATCTACGAGTGGATCAAGTCCGACTACCCGTGGGAAGGCAAGGAGGGCGCAGAGTTCGACCTGGCCTTTATGGGCAAGAATCTCATTGAGAATCTGGACGTGAACGTTGAGCAGGCTGGGCTCAAGGGCGCAAGCGTCATGGTCGAGTTCACAGAGTAAAAGACTGACAACGAAGCAATTGTCCATCTGGCGTTCACGGATATGGATATGGATTCATGAAAGGGGCGGGTTATACTCAAGTTACGACTCATGCGGCGAAGGGCCAGGTAATGTATTCGAGTACATATGACGCATCGAACAAATGGCATATGAATGGGGATTTGGGGTTTCGGGGTTAGAGTGAGTGAGTGCATAGAAGCCTCTCGTCAGGCAATCATTTGTCTGCTAATACCCTTGCATTCTCTGGGGGGATTCAGGCTTGTTTTCCCATTGATAATCAGACTAAAGATTATGTATGTGTGTGAGTGTGTGTGGTGGAAGCACACGCATTTTTTTATATTTATGACATGTAGAAATTGTAGGCTTTGTATACTCACTCTGCATCCTTCATCTCTTCGTCGTCCTTGACGTGCTCCTTGTCCACAGTGTATCCCAGTTTCTTCCCTATCAGCTCTAATACCTTCGCGCCGTCTAACCGCGCTATGCCCATCTGTGTCGATGTTTGCGCACTATCCCGTCGTCGCGAGTCTTCCTCCTTCTCCGTCTCCTTCCCCTTCTCCGTCTCCTTCCCCTTCTCCGTCTCCTTCCCCTTCTCCGTCTGCGCCACATCACCCTTCTCCTTCCCCACTTCACCCCCCACCTCACCCGCCTTCTTCCTCTGAATCTCCCTCTGCCGCTCCATCTCCTCCTCGACCAACCCGCCCACACCCTTCTGCTTCTCTATCCAAGCGACCGCCGCCTCCTGCGCCAACACCAGCGACTCAAAGTCCGCCATCTGCGTGTTCCTCTCCAGCGGCCCGGCCTCCTGCGGGTCCTCCCTCAGCGGCTTGTGCGGCCGCGACGGGCTCGAATACAGCCCATTATAGATATACTCCATCAGCCGCCACTCGTCCCAGTCGGGGGTATTGCACGGCGACGGGCAGCCATGCACGGTAGTGCGATCGACGGGCGTCGGCGAGAGGACGGTTGCGCCGTTGCGGGTCATGATCGCGGGACACGTGTTGGCGGCCATGTGGGCGGCGCGGCCGAAGAACTTGCACTGGCGGAAGATGATGGCGCGTTCGTAGTGGGGTTGTTCCATGGGCGGTTCCATGTCTAAGGGATGTCGCGTGTTTTCAGGCTGTGGTGCGGGTTGGGTTGTGAGTGTGCTGCGACTGCGGCGGCGGGCGACGGCGAGGTTGTCCATTTCCTGGCGCTGTTTGGCGAGTGCGTCGGCGCTTCGCATGATTCTTTCGTACTTTGAGTCTGAGCGGGCGAGCGGGATAGGAGCGAGTTTTGGGGTTTGGGGTGTACTGCATGGACGGGAGGGAATGACGGCTTTCGATGGCGAAGGCTGTTCTAATTGAAGATCGCGCGCTTCGTCGAGTATCTCGTTCAAAGGCGATGGTTCAGCTGTTCTGAAAAGGGAGCCGAGAGGTTTGTCGTCTGTTCGGATCGGTTCTGCGACTTGATGAGTTGACTGCGCGTTTTCTCCGCGACTGTCGGTAACAACAACGTCTGTCATCGGAGTGTCTGCATTTTCTTGAGCAATCAATCGATCCAGTCGGGCACGAGCGGCTTCCAAGTCTTCTTCTTCTCGCGGTGTGCTACCCGCGGCAGCATCATCCCTCTTCTGCTTCTTAGAAACACTTGGACCGGCCTCAGCGTAGTAACGCCGATGCTGTTCCAAACTGCTGGAGGGCTTCCTCTTATTTGACGATGTGACACCAACAGACACATCCTTTTTAGGGGTCAACTTTGCAGGCCCATTACCAAAGTATCGACTTGCCGCCCTATCTGGATCCTAGCCAGACAGCGACAAGAAATAAAGCGAACGATTTTCATTCTCCCCAGTGCTCTCCATGAAGCCTTTAAGCGCGGCTCGTTGCCTTTCCGCAAGAGTGTTGGTAGGTGCCATCTGCTTGCGAGAATCTCGTTGTTCAATAACCGCCAATGGCCCAGATGCCAATGCAGAGTCTGGATTTTCGATCCAGTTAGCTATCGCAGCTTCCATGTTCCAGTGAAGCGACGCCAGTTGACGGATGGCAGTGTTCTCCTGCTGGCCAGTGACTTCGATGACTTGATCGAGGCTGAGTCGTTGCTGCGGCGAGAGAGATTCTCTCGTGACTGTGGGCTGGACAATGGTAGAGTTTTCAAGTTCTGCAACTTCCGATCGAATTCGGCGGTGCACTGTGGATACTGTAGTGCTCGCGAGCTCGGTAAGCAATCGGTCCTGGTCGATCGTGAAGTTCGCTTGCATTTCGAAGAGGGCATCGGGGATTGGTGAGTCAGTATCTGCCATTCCTTCTATCCGTTGATCGAGCTCTTGTTCAAGGACTGCAACGCCCTCAATTTCTGTGAGTATACGGTTTTGATGGTTCGTGAGAGTACCGTTTTGGCTGGTGTTGCCTCCATTCTCGGATCGAAGGTATTTTCGGACGTCGTCTACGCCATTTGGGCCCTGCATGATTACGCTTAGGAAATCGCGAAGTTCGCTTTTGTATTGATCCGTTAAATTCGCTGCCGCTCTCGCGTGGGTCGTATTTTTTCTTTGCTGCTGGTCTTGCGTCCCGTATAGGTTGATGTTGAGATCAGCATTGAGCTTGTCGGACTCATCGAACTCCTCAGGCTCGTCGAACTCCTCAGACCCGTAGAATCCCCGAGCCTCGTCATAATCCTCATACTCATCAGAAGTATCAGGTTCTTCAACCTCGACATGAACATTCTTCATCTTCGCCCTTTTCCTCTCACTCATCCCCGCGTAGAACTCTTCATCCGCACTAGTCGACACAGATTGCACCTCCCAATCCTTGCCCGGATCTTCATCCCCGTCATCAGAAGCAGCCTCCTCCGTCGCCGTCTCCTCATCCTGCCTAGTCCTAGCCATCCTCTGTTGAATATCCAAATTCTTCTTCTGATCATAAACCAACTGCTTCAAGGCCAATCTGCCCGTCTCGAAAAGATACCTCCACCTCACCCGCTCCGGCCTCGAGCTATCCTTCATCACCATGCGGCGACCATCCTCTTTCATCTTATACCCGCCAAACCAGTCCTCCCTGTCTAGTAGCACGAGCGGCGTAACGAAGACCGGCGCGTCGAAAGCTTGCATGCCGAATGTTCCGCGGAGGAACGGCGTGATGTAGCTGCCGCGCACGTAGTAGACCAGGTCTGTGCCGTTGGCGAAGAACTCCCGGATCAGCACCATGACGAGTCGGCGGGTGGTGTCTGGGTTCGCTGCGACGTGGCGGTCGTATTGGGCGTTGGTGTAGGGCACGCTTTCGAACTCGAAGTGGAGTCTTTTGACGAATCGCAGCTCGGGGTCTTCTAGTTGGCTGTGGGGATTGGTGTTAGCTTGGAGGTGATAGAAGAGGTTGTTACGTTCGTATGGGGAAGTGCTGGCTTACTTGTGGACGATGATTTTGCAGAATGGGTCGCTCATGGCTTGGTCGAAGGATTTGGGGTTCCACAGAAGCGCCATTTCGGATGTCGCTATTGCTATTGATGTTGCCGATGTTGACGAAGATGTAGGAAATAAACACTGTTCAATAGTAGTAAGTCTACGCAGTGACTCTCAATACTGGCGACTGTCGATGTATCTACATGTAGAGAAGGCACATCGATGCAGCGAAGCCAAACTCCGATCTCGAAAGAGGCAAGAACTGTCACAGATCTTGGCATGTATATATGGCATGAGCTACCTGGTTAACTCTCTCACCTCGTACACCATACGATACTATACGCCATACAAGAATTTATTCCAAGAAGCACCAACAACCCCGTCTCCACATGACCTACTCCATCCATCCATCCATCCACCCCAACATCCCCTACTCCATCCATCCCCATCCACCCCCCTAAAACTCAGACATAACCCGCTCATCCCCCACCCTCCTAACAAACACCACCGTCCTCTTCTCAATCCGCCACTCCTCACCCCCATCCCCACCATCCAAACAAACAAGCTCATCCACATACCTCCCAAACGCCTGCAGCATCTCCCCCTCGCGCGGCCCCTGCCCAAAATGCACCGCAACAAAATACGTCCTCGCACTCGCCCGCCTCGCATCCACCTTGCTAAACTCAATGGTCTGCGTAGTCAGATTATGCGAGGTGAGGATTGGTCCGAGACTACTACATGTCAGAATTTCGCAAACGTAACTAGCTAGCTGGGGGGAGAAATTGGGAAGTAGGAAGAGAGATGGGAAATGATGGGAGATGGTACAACGCACCGCTTCTGTATCGCACCACTTATCTCCTCCACGCCGCTCATATGCGTGTTGAAGGGGTAATTTGCAACGACATCAGGCGTGAAGACGGAGTGCAGGAGGGCGAAGTTTTTGGTATCTAGGGCTTCGCAGTAGAGGGATAGGGTGTTGCGGATTGAGAGGTAGGCGAGTGGTGAGGGGGAGGACATTGTGGCGGTTTCTGTTTTTTTGGGGGGGGGGAGGGGATGGGAGATGGGATGGGATATAAGGAGCTTTATGTTATTCGTTTGTTCGGGGTCCGGGACCCCGCTTTGTGGAGTCCGGAGGTGGTGGGTGTGTAGGGGCGGTGATATCTCGGTGTCTTAGCAGATATGGGGGGTTGATGTTGATGCTGGAGAAACGAAGATGCATATGGGAAGAAGTAGAGAGTAGTCAAGATCAGATATTTCGCACACATCCACCTCAACCATAACCGTAGGTACACCACGCCCAACAAAAAACATGCACAAGAACCCATCCTTGTTTTCTATCCACGACATAAATGCCAAATTACATCCATTCATTCAATCAATTGCCTAAATCTAACGACGTAAGCAAGACAAGCCCAGCCCAGCCCAGCCCGTCCGTCCGCACGCACACACACAACCCGCCAACCCACCCACCCATCCATCCCACCCCATTCAGCATGCAGGAGAACAATCCCCTTCCATCCTATCCTCTACGCTAAAAAAGGTAAAAATGGCCCCCGAAAATTGGGAATAGTACACATAATCGAAACACCAAAATGTAATGCAAATACGACCGACTTCGTCTGTCGGCCCGGCAAGAAAGAAAGAGAAGAAAAAGAGAGGGGGGGAAGGGGACCAGACAGGACAGGACAGCAAACGCGAGCGGTGAGAGACGCGTGTCCATGTTTTGTGCCGAAATGATGTATGATAGTGGTGGGTGTCCATTCCGAAGCCAGAATGGGGGAACTGAAGAAACGATAACGCCGGTGTTATGCAGTTTGCCCGCCGAGGAGGGAGGTTGGAGCTGGGAGGCTTTTTTTTGCTCCGTAATAGGGTGTTGAAACAGTGCTCGAGGCATGATGGGGTAGGTCGAACCAAAGCAGTCGATAACAAGTGGAAGACGGTCCGCGGGAGACGTGTAGAGGATCAGTTGAGGAAGCCCTTGCAGCCGATGGAACCGCAGAGACAGGGGATACGGTCTGTAGCGTCCATTTCGCGCTCGAATTTGTAGTCGTAGGTGAGTTCCTCGTCTGTAGGAGAATTAGCATATCATGGATATTGTATTTGAGGAGCGTTGCTTACCTTGCCCAATGTCCCGCAGGGCATAGATGACGATTCGCTTCGTGTTGTCTACGCGGATGATCTTGGCCGTGCAGTTAGGTGTGCAACTGTGGTTGATGAAACGAGCAATGCCACCCATCTTGGTTGCGTCGATGACGGTATCTTCATCAATACGGAAAAGATAGCTAGATCCAACGCCTTGCATGTCGTATTTGACTTCGCGCAGATCGGCAACACGTTGTCGTACCTTCTCCCCGACGTATTCGATAATCATGTCGTTTGCTGCAATGCTTTCCTGGGCGTACAGACCCCAATTATGAATGGCAGATCGATCGAACTTGACGAGCTTCTTCCGCTTCTTAAGCTGATTGAAGCGCAAAGCGTCACCTTCAGCACCACTCATGTTCTTGGAGATATTAATGTCGTTCACCATGCGACGGTTGTTGGCACGATTGGCTCGAGAATTTGCAGTCGAAGTCTTCTGAGAACCAGTCTGGAACTTGAATCCCTCCACTGAGATGACAGTCCGTTCTTCCTGTTTGGCCTGGCGCTGACGTTCCTCGCGTTCTTTCTGGACACGAATACGATGTGGGAGGTATTTCGACTTCTCAGACTCGCGTATCTTCTTGACACCGTCTGTCCTTGCCGAACCAGTTGAGTTTGAAACAAAGTAGCCCTCGATCTTAGTCTCAGTACGAGAGACACCCTCTTCGCCGGGCCGGTTGAGGTGCTTGATCGACTTTTGCTTCCAGGCCCAAGACTGAGCATCCCCAATGTTAGCGGCAGCAATGGACTGCATAGCAGCCTTGAGATGACGCAAGTCTTCCTCGTCTTTGAGCATGTGTTGCCAACCGTCAATATCCATCACCACACTGAGATCATCCTCGACTGTCTTCCGTGGTTCTGTTGTTGAAACGGCCCAGCACACAGAGCCTTGATCGTCGTCGTCTGGCGTCCGCGCAATCATACCTGCTTCTGCAGTCTGTTCTGCCCCTTCAACTTCCGCAATCTCCTCCTCCACAATCGCAATAGCTTCCGAGATCTCCACCTTTGCAGCCTTGGCCTCCTCCTCAAGTTGCTTTTTCGTCTTCTTCTTCGATTTCGGGATCGGTTTCTTCTTGGGAGCCTCGACTTGCTCGGTTGTTTCGATGGGTTTAAGTGCTTCGTCGTCTTGGGTGATGATAACTGTAGGCTCAAGTTTGTCTTCCTGGGCAGCTGCCAATCCAAAGATTGCGTCGGCTTCCTGCTCAATCTTCCGCAACTTTCTGAAACCTTTGAGAGCTTTGTCTGCTTTCTTCCAGATTGGCGAAGAACGAGGGAGAATAGCAAGTACTTGTTCCAACTCTTTCTCCGCCATGTTTTCAGGGTCTTTGTGAATACAATGGGCAAGCAAACTTCGGGCATGCGAATCATCCATCATCTCATCATCACTATCTTCACCCCAACCTGCTGCAAAGCGCCTCCTCTTAGCGCGGTGAGCCCTAGAAGACCCTTCTTCTTCCTCTTCGACATCGGTTGAGGGAGCGCGGCTGATAGGGCGACTCTCCTGCTCCTCTGTAGTACGCGTGAGCGGACTGCGATCTTCGTCGTCCGACTGTTCAGGGCTCTCCAGCAACTCCATCATCTGTCGATGAAGACCGCGTGCAACACGTGGTTTCGGTGCCGATGTCTTTCGTCGCTCGTCTGCAAAGGCGTTCACAATACGCGGAGCCTTCTTTCCACGCCCCCGATTGTGGTCGTACGGAGCAAGCGCCTTTCGACCATAGCGTCCAGCAAAACCCGCAGCACGAGACTTGGGTGTTCCAGCTGCAAAGTGATCCAACCCAGGTACGAGTAGCGAAGAAAGCTGCGATTCGTTTTCCTTGTTCGGCGGATCCGAGATGTTCAGTTTCCGACGCTTGTCCACATGGCGATCAGGGTCCATGAGGTCAAGTAGATGGGGACCGGCAATGCGAGTCTTGATATCGCCCATTAGCTTCTCTGTGAGCTCTTGTCTGAGTGACTCGATACCCGCGACTGCAGGATCCAACAATTCTGCCCTCTCTTTCTTCTCATTTTCCCAATCTTCCTCCTCTTCTTGCGCGATCTGATCCTCAATCGCCTTCTTCTTGTTGTTCGCTACAACGCGCTCCGGACTCGGGCTCCGTTCGTACTGTGGGTCGCCATACTGATTGCACTCCATGTTCATAACATATGTGAACAGAGGAAGCATATGGCACTCCTGGAAGCACCGAACCGCCTCAACTTCACCGCGCTTCGACTCTTCAAAGAGTACGTAGTATCCGGTTTGATCGCAGCGCACAGTAGACCAGTGGAAGTTCTTTAAACGCTTCTTCAGATGTGCAACCGTTGGGGCGAGTACAGGTACGTATGAACTTGCGATGAACAGGTAGGGCTTGCGCTTGAGGGTTGGCTTGATCGGTTCGCGTTCGATAATCTGAGACAGGGCTGCTTTTCGAGACAACGCCTCTCGTGGTATGCGTGTGCGTTTCCCGGAGGGGCCTTTTGGCACGTTCGCCGGCAAATCAAAGCTCCCCGGCGTATCTGCAGTAGGAACCTTTGCTGTTTGCGCCGCAATCTTGGCCCGCAGCTTCTCCTCCTCTTTCCGAGTCTGCTGCACCGCCATATTGACCAATTTCGTACACCTTCGCCCCTCGCGGTCTGTATGCACCCTGACCGTCTGAAGGCCAATACGCTGGTTTGTGCCTTCCCGCTCAGCCCGCTTGGCCGAAGTCGAGGCTTTGACAGCTGCGGTTCTCCGCGAGGCCGGAGTGTCGCGAAATTTGACCAGACATATCCCCAGAGAGCTGCCGTTGTCGGGATGAACCTGGTTCTGCACAGATTCCACCTCGCCGTACGTGGAGAAGAATCCGCGCAATTGCGAATCTGAAGTCAACGGGTCGAATCCTGTCACGACGACTTGAGTAGCAGGCCCTGGGCCACATGATATGCGGGCATCGTAGGAGTAGGGTTTTGCGACATAGGGGGCTATGCGGAGCTTGGTCTTGGGGGCAACCGTGCCCACCGTCTTGATGGCATATTTCCCCGTCGTATAGCCGGCAATTGCCAGCCGCGGGTCGGGTGGAGGAGATGGGTCGCCCTGTGACACAAGTCAAGTTAGCCTTAGCGTCACAGGGCGACCACGTCTGAGTATCAAGTGTAACCATGACATACCTTGTCCACTATCGGCTTGTACACCGGCTGTCTCTGCTGCCTCGCCTTTTTGTCGAGCTTCGTGTCGAGGACGGGGTCGTAGTTCAGGCGCGCGCCCAGCACGCCGTCCGCGGGGAAGACGGAAGTTCGCGTCTCGGGCGGCGTGTTGACGGGCGTGATGGCGTCGGTGCCGTTGGCGAGGGCGCTCGATGGCGGCGCGTGCGAGGAAGAGGCGGTCGCGTGCATCGTCTCATACGTGCGCGTGGTCGGGCGCGGGCTGGGCAGCTTGCCGGGCGGCGACGAGTCTGTGCTGGTCAAGGGAGTGAGAACGTGGAGGGATATGTGCTGGCCCGAGCGCGACATGGCGCTGGCCGACGAGAAAATGGACGAGGCCGACGTGGGCGTCGAGGTGGTCGAGAGGGCGTCGTTCAGCAGCTCGCCGGGGCGCCGCGCATGGTCGTCGGGGGAGGGCGAGGTGGTGCTGTCGGCGGGTGCGCAGCTTTCTCCGGCCGCATATGACGCCGTCGCCGCCGACGTCGAGCGCGACGTGGCAGACGAGCCCGCGCGCCGCGAAGCTGCCCGCCGCAAGTGCCGGTTCTCTCGTTCGCTGCGGCCTTTTCCTGACATCGGCTCTGCACCGCTGCTCCAGTCCCGGGGTCTCGCCGCAGAAAGACACCCGATGGCTAGCGTCCGTGGTATCAGCAGAGCCTGTCCTGCGCCATCACTGTGCAATGCGGGAGCGTGGGGCGTCGGGGCAGGATGGCTGCGTGGCTGTTGCTCGACTCGACGACGCGGGCCTGCAGGCCAGGAACCGGATGGACACTACGCGCGACGGAACGCGATGAAAGCGTGTCAGGCGCCTGGAGACGGCCGGGGCTGCTGCGGTGGGTGGAGAGGGAAATGGATGAGATAGGCGCGCTCTCTACCGTGGCCTTGCACGCGCAGATGGGCTGGTGGCAGGTGATGACCGTTTTGTTGGAATGTCAGTTCGAGGTGAAGTGCACCGAATCCCGGCCCGCCAAGCAATCTTAGAGGGAATAGGGGAGGAGCCTTCGTCACCAACCATCCCGCAACCAAACCGCTCTCACACCTCAACGTGAAGCATCGCCAAGTCCTGCATCGCCTCCTGCATTGCTTCTGTCGCCTGTATATCCACTGTGTCGCGAACGCGCAACGAGTCCTGCTGCATCTCCCAGCCTCCAACGTCATCGCCGACCGCATCGCATCAACATGCTCCAACACGAAGGACTTGGTGGCAGTGAAATATGTAGACTGGCATGGACTACCGTGTAACCCAGTGTTGAAGAAGATATGGACCAGCATCTAGCGACACCACTGTCCTTTCACAATGGCCCAGACTTCGATTCCAAGTCGATCCAACTCACGTGAATGTAGACGTTCAATTACGACACGGCACGACATGCAACGGTCTCAAGCCACCCAGCCTGCATCGAAAAGAACCCAACGCGACTATCCCTACGCGCGACAGACACTCGATCCTTGCGGTAGTTCTGAGCAGCAGCGCATGCTGAATTAAAGTTTTGGGAATATTTGAGGGTTAAATATCCGGTCCCCGATAGAACACGCAACTATCGTAGTACAGGGAAATCTGACAGAATGTGTGACACAATTGGGCTGTCATGAAGAGCCTGTTTCGTGCACGACGAAAAGAGAGCAACAGAACGGTCATCTAGCAATCATTTGCTTGTGTCCGTACAACCAGTCCACCTTGACATCCCTTCAATCCACATACTTTCCCTCAACCCACCCCTTCCTCTTAACCCCCAACTCCACCGCCGCACTCCCCCAATCCAACCCATGATTATGCCCCTCATCCCCGCCCTTGCCCGCAATCCCCGCGCGATTCAGCCCCTGCTCCTCACTCAACAGCGTCAACAGGCCAAAAATGACCGGCACATTCCCCTCGAGCTGCAACCGCATCAGTCCGTGACTGACCGCATCAGCAATGTACTCGAAATGCATTGTCTCGCCCTTGATAAGAACACCGATAGCGATGATAGCGTCAAAGGGCGACGTGGCGGTCGCGGGCTTGGGCGCGAGGGACAGCGAGGAGAGGTCCGAGGTGGAGCCCAGGAGGTCGGCGGCGGCGCCTACGATGCCTGTGGACGACGACTGGACTTGGGAGGCGGAGTAGAGTCTGGATGTCTTGTCAGCGCATCAATGGCTTGTACAAGAAGTCTGGAAGGGTGTTTTACTGCTTCACGGCATAGGGCAGCTCGTAGCTTCCTGGCACGCTCTGAATGACAATGTTGTCTTCCTTGACGCCGGCGTCAGCAAGCGCCTTCTTCGTGCCGTCGAGCAGCGCGTCGATGAGCTTCGTGTTCCATCGTGCGTGGATGATGCCGATGCGCAGGCCAGAGCCTGGGGAAGCTGTCAGCTCGAGCTCGTGTAGCTGTGAGAGTCAGAGCGGGGTGTAAGCTGGGATCGTACCGTCGTACGTCTTGGGGGCGCCTGGTCCTTTGAGGGGGGCCATGTTGAATATGTGTTTAAGGTGAATCTAGATCGAAGCTAACCAAGATACGGTTATGTGACACGGGTATCGAAGTGGTGGTTATCGATCGTTGCTTGGTGGGGAATGCAGGAACGCAACTCACTCCATCGTCTAAGCCCAAGCGAGCTGCCCCGCAATCGCGACAGGGATCCTGCATGGCGTCATCACGCGAAACAGCGTCGACAGGGACGCGAAACATCACGAGCAGATCACCATCTCTGAACACGAACTCGCGTTTGAAGAACAATAAAATTTCCATTTCAGGCTGGTATCTCCGCTCGAGCAGACCCGCTCCAAAGCTCCTACATCATGTCGTCTCTTAACGTCAATGTTCAACTCCGTGATTGCATCCAAGAGGTTTCATAACTCCAGTCGAACCCAAGGCATTTCCAGCCAATCTACCACGCCAAATCAAATTACTCTACAAGCCCTTACTCGACCGTGACCGACTTGGCGAGATTACGGGGCATATCGACGTTGAGACCCTCGGCAACCGCCATCCAGTAAGCCATAAGCTGCAGAGGGATGACGTTGATCAGACCCTGCAAGCAGTCGACGTTGCTGGGTACCTCGATCTTGTCTGTCTTGTCTGTGGGGAACTCGGGGTCGTTCTCGTTGCAGATGATGATTGGTCGTCCGCTACGGGCAATGACCTGCTGGTAGGCATTGAGCGACTTGGCGAAGATGTCGTCACGGGTAAGAATCATAACAATGGGAAGGTTCTCGTCGACGAGAGCCAAGACACCGTGCTTGAGCTCTCCAGACATGACAGCCTCGCAGTGAAGGTACGAGATCTCCTTGATCTTGAGCGCACCCTCGAGGGCAGTGGCGTGCTGAGAGCCACGGCCGAGCAACAGCAAGCTCTTCTGGTCCTTGAACCTCTGGCAAAGCTTCTTGATGGGCTCGTCCAGCTTGAGCACCTCCTTGAACTGCTCTGAGATCTTGGTGAGACCGTCCATGATCTCCCCACGCCTCTGCTGCTTCGACGCACGGTCTTCGCTGAGGGACAGCGCGAACATGACCATGCAGACGAACTGAGAGGTGTAGGCCTTGGTAGAGGCAACACCGATCTCAGGGCCGGCGTTGATGTGAACACCGCAGTGGGTGAGGAGGGAGATGGAGGAACCGACGTTGTTGACAATACCAACGGTCAGGGCACCGCGCTCCAAGCAGTAGCGGAGGGCCATGAGCGAGTCGGCAGTCTCGCCAGACTGGGAGACGAAGACGCAGGTGTCGTCACGGAAGACGGGTGCCTTACGATCCAAGAAGTCGGAGGCCAGCTCGACGGCAATAGGGATCTCGGTCAACTCCTCAAAGATACCACGCACAGCCATGCAAGAGTGGAAGGATGTACCGCAAGCGATGAAGATGATCCTGCGGCATCGTCGGATGGTAGGGAGGTATTGGCGAAGACCACCAAGCGTGACGGTCTTGTTCTTAGCATCGAGACGACCACGCATGGCGTTGACAACCGACTCGGGTTGCTCGAAGATCTCCTTCTGCATAAAGTGGTCGAAGCGGCCTTTCATAATCTCCTGAAGCTGGATCTCCAGAGTCTGGATGGTACGGACGTTGGAAACACCGTCGTCCTTGTTCAGGCGGTGGATGTTCAGGGAACCCTCGTGGATGTGTGCAATGTCGTCGTCCTCGAGGTAGAGAACCTTCTTGGTGTGCTCGACGATGGAGGCAGGGTCGGAGGAGAGGAAGAACTCGGTGGGCATGGGCACACCGTCGTCCGAGAGGAAAGCGCGAGACTGCGATCGGTGCAGGAGCGACTTGTCGGGGGGTGCGAGCAGAGTGTTGGACTTCTTGATCGCAACGTTGTGGGACGCATCTTCGGCGGGCAGAGCACCATCACCCTCGTACTCGACATCGACGAAGTCGACCTTCATCTTCTTCTGTGTGCGCACACCAATGACAAGGGGCGAACCCTTGCGGGCAGCAACGACCTCATGGGGGAAGTGGACGGACTTCAGGAGAAGACCGAAGGCTCCCTGGAGCTCCTTGATGACCGTCTTGACGAGGGCGGGGAAGCTGAGCTCGGGGTGCTCATTGTAGATGTACTTTGTGAGCTTCGCAATGGCCTCGGTGTCGGTCTCCGTCTCGAACTTGTAGCCCTTGCTCTCGAGCAGAGTCTTCAGCTCCTTGTAGTTTGTGATGATGCCGTTGTGCACGACGGAGAATTCCCAGTTGGGGTCGGACCTGCATGGGACGCGTCAGCCTGATGGTGAAGTTGCATGCGGGGTCGGCCAACATACCTGTGGGGATGGCAGTTGACGCGCGATGGCGGGCCGTGGGTGGCCCATCGTGTGTGGGCAATGCCAGCGTGCGAGTCGAAGACCTTGGTCAGGTCGAAGTCCTGCTCGTCGACGAGCTTCTTCAGCGAGGCGACCTTGCCGACCTCCTTGACCGCCAACACCTCGTTCTTCTTGTCACCGTCGATGGCCAGACCAGCCGAGTCGTAGCCGCGGTACTCTAGACGTGCGAGGCCTGCAGAGAAGTCATGTTAGCCATGTCTCCCCATGGTCCCACTATTCTGCCACTGCTTGCGGAAGGTGTGACGACGAGGGGAACTTGCCATTGATGAGTGTGTCGAGAATGTACTTCCTGTCCTTCTCCACCAGGTAGTTGATGTATCCGAAAATTCCGCTGGACACGTCGTCGTTAGCTTCTGCTCTGCTCTGCACGTCCACCACGGCTCACAAAGAAGCGGGGCAGCAACTTACCACATGGCGAGGTAACGAAAGAAGTGTGTAAGACGTAAAAGCAAGCGATGGTAGGGTCGTCGAGAGCAATTGGAGCTGGGGAGAAGGGTACGGGTAGATGGAGAGAGCAGATGATGTGAGAAGAGCAAAAACAGCGGTGTTTGTGAGTAGCTTTATATCTCTACCAGCCAAGCAAGCTGTGCATGCCCCCAGTCCCCACATCCCTCAACTAGTCGCGTCAGCGGTCTCTTGCATAGACCCGGCGCCGCCTGTTTGAGACTAAACCGCCATCCTTCAATAATTTCCGTGTCGTGCCTGCAACCCTACATGGATACCACACGCCCTGTCAACAGCAGCGTATCCATGCCTTTCTCTGCTAGGCCCAGCTCTCCTATTAGGTCACCTATGTCGACTTGAGTCCTGCCATCGGAGCTAGCGAGCTCTGTAACCAATCGCGGATCGTCTTGTTCCTGATCTACCGCTATCGATTGCTCCGGAACAGAGGGCGCAGCACTCAAAAATATCTAGCGACAAAAATAGCATCATGTCACCTTTTTTCTTTCAACGTCGGTTCACGATGCCACGCGGCGAACACGCTCGTGTTCAGCGAGTGGCGCCGACATGTTGTGGCCAGCATGCAGCATCGTTCCATACTAGGGTTGCTTAGGAAAGATACTTCTAATCCCGCCCAAGCACAGCTCAACATTTCGATATAATGAATGGCGACGTCAGCAGCTGCTGCATCCTACTCGTATACAGCCTCACAGTGGGCGACCTGTCCCAAACCGGGAGGATTAGCCGCCTCCAGCTGGTGGAATTATTTAAGTTTTGGAATGGTCTGCATCGACCTCGTACTGAGTGAACCCAAACGAGCGACATACTATGCGTCTCCGATTCATTGCCGTCAATCACGAGTTCACCTACCGGCATAAGTCTCGCTGTTATCACTGAACTGAGGGGGTCTTGCCGTTGTCACTGAGGATTGCGTTCGTGGCGGCAATGCGTGTCGTTCTCACCGCATCGGATAACGGGCTTGGTTCAGATTCTCTCAGAGTACACATATGCAAGTAGCGATACGACAAATGTGCTCAAACCCGCCATGCCGGGCGGTGTACACACAACATATTCCACAACATCTCACCACGCTCGTGACACTAAACGTGAATGTCATCAGGCAAGCTGACATTGAACCCAGCTCCTCGGTGAGCAATCCTCACCTCCACATTCGCAGCGATCCGATGTTGAGCCCCATCGCAGATGTACGGTGAACACCCTGCTACGCTACTGCACACTTCTCGCGTAGGAACGCTTAAATCTCTGCAAGGGTATTTGCAGGCCGGTTCGAGGAAAGCGTGCTTATATAGTGCGTCAGTAGACCGCCGTGCGCTTATGCTACTTTTTGGATCTGACATCTCGACGTGGCGTTTGTCGTTGTTCAGCCGCATCTCAGCCTTATATCGGTATATGCGAAGTACAACTACGCACAACCATGGTTGGCGTGTTTGACGTATGCTGCTATACGAGCGATCGTCCGTCGAACGAGCAAATCAACTCGACATCGTGACATCACGCGATATGCAAAGCTTGGTGAATGGTCGAGTCTGACAATCCATCTTTACCGCACCCTTACCACTTCTCCATTGTCTTCAACGCCGGACTAGAAAATAGCAGTGACAAGCGTCCAGATATCGGACCGAGCGAGTCTCCAAATTCATGCATGCTTTTGGAAGCGTCAATGTCAACCACACCACGGTAGAATATTATTGTGACAAGACTACCTACGCACGGATATAAGCTCAAATCTTTCAATCTAAAATGGCCCACGATGACGGAAAGATCCTACGCCTCTCCCTCGAACAACAATCAGATGATACAAACAACCAAATATCCAAGCACCTCCTCGCAAACAATGCCGCGAGCAATGCAGATAAAAACAACGCAATTACCAAGTCCAGTCTAACCGTCAGCTTATCTGCCATCGCAGTACCCAGGCGCCTTGGGCGCACCCCCTTCTATCCAACCGTTGATAGTAAGAGTAGTAGTATACACCATACCCACAGCGCCAACGATGCAAATCAAGACATCCAACGCACGTGCATACGTCGTGCGCGCACACGCTCTATAATGAAGCAAAGGCTGTTCGCAAGTCAGTCAAAGATCTTAATACAAAACTCCACATGGACTTACAGGGTAAATAAACACCAACGGGATGCAAGCAAAGCTGCCCACGAGACTGACAAACTTGTCCAAATCACCCGCACCGGCCCAAGCCAGCATAGCACAGAACACCACCATGGAGAAGCGGAAGAAGTTCTTCTTCCACTTGACGAAGGGGTTGTATTTGCCTGTTCGACTGAACAGCTGCTGGCTGGTGATTTCGATGGCGGGGTAGATCTGCAATGGAGTGGAGAGGAGGATGGCGAGGGAATAAATAAACTGCACGCCGTTGACGAATTTGTTGTCTTGGGGCATATTGAGGAGAACGACAGTCTTTGTTTTCGACCCAAACGCAGCGTACGACAAAGCGCCTGCGCTGAGGAAGATGACGGTGATGATGATCATGACGACTCCGAGGACCTTGGGAAACTTCTTCGGGTCTTTCATACTGCTCTGAATAGGAATGACAAGGCCAATGCCTTCGAATGTGAAGATGGCCGTGCCAATGAAAAGGGTCCAGTCCTTGGGATTGAAGTTGGCAATGTCGGAAATGCCGCCTTGATCGACAATAGTGAAGAGATCGTAGTAGTACAAATACACAAGTCCAAGAAGAATGAATGCATCTGCAATGAGAGCAAGCTTCTGGATATGGTTGATGTTGCGATAAAGCGAAAGCGGCAAGAAGATGGCCATCTGCATCAAGATCATGTACTTGATGTCGATGTACGTTCTGCAGTTCGACACTGCCAAAACGAATGCTTGCAAGTTTTCGGAAACGAAGACAATATAGGCAGACGAGAAGCCTATCTGGGAGATAACGAGCGAGAAGTTGATAAGGTTGCGCATCCACTTGCCGTAGAGATGGAAGCCCATGTCACCAAACGAAGCCTCAACGGCAAGACGAGTAGAGACGAGCAAAACGAAGCACGTGTAAGACAAGCCAGCAACGCCAAGAAGAACGATGTTCGAGAAGAGCATACCACCGTTGAGGAAAGCTCGAGGCAAGAACAGTACACCAGTACCAACAAAGGACTTGAGGAGCAGCATGGCTGCGCCTGTAGGGCTGCCAGTGCCTGTCTGCTTGGGCTTACGCCTTCTCCGCTTCCCGGGTGTCAGCAGGGCACTCGATTCGCCATACTCACGATCTTCGTCTTCTGAGTGTTCACCCGAATCCAGAGCGTCCGATGAAAAGTATTCGTCGGGTCCCAGAACTTCGTCGTCTTCTTCGAGGGATTCTCCAGCGAAGTGTCCGTAAAGAGTGAGAAATTCAAGGAAGTTACTCGTGAAGACTTGAGGTTGCGGTCGAGACTGTTGGATTGTTCCATAGCCAGAGGGGCCTGGCGCAGGCGAGGGACTGGCGGCGGCTCTGCGCAAATAGTTACGTCGAAAGCCTCCCGGTTGCCTGATGGAGTCGATGTTCAGTTCTTGGTCATCCTGACGCGGACGAGACGAGTGAAAGCTCTTGCTGCGTTGCATTCTGCCCCGTTCCTCGGCCTGCTGCTGCTCGCTCCATCTGTATATCTGCCTCGTAATGTCTCCGCCCTGGAGCTGCAGACTCGAGAATTCCTCGTCTTCGTCGTTGGCGCCTCCTCTCCCCTGTGATTGCGCATCGTCGTCGCCTATGAATCCACGGTTCGACCTGCTAGGCGATCCAAATTGACCGACCAGATGTCGACGCACGATCTCGGGGTCTTCGAACGGCGCGGGAGAGCGGCCTCGACCATCGAAGGATCCGTAGTTGCTTGGTGGGCCGCGGGAGGAGGACGCTACCGGCGCCAGAGCAGGTGATAGCGGCTGTACAGGTGGTGTACCAAATCGTGGAGGGCTCCCGCCGAACGACTCTCTCAAGGCCGAGGACAGGGCTGACGTCCCTGGGCCAGGCAGCGACGACTGCTCGACGCGTCCGGCGAGCGGCGTCTGTGAAGGTGTGTCTTCGCGCTGGGCTGGTGTTGGTATCTGGCGCACAGATGGCGTGCCATTCTGGATAGAGGCAACAGGCGAGCCCAGTCGCGCAATAGACTCTCTACGCGACACAGATTGTGACTCTGTTGGTGAGATTTGGCCAGGTTCTCGCGACGACGAAGGAATCGCCTGAGCCTCCGACAACTCCGGTGGGCTGCGTGGTGGCATTTTGGCCTTCAAATCGCGAACCACCTGCGTATAACGCTGGCGATGAATTAACTAGAACACGCGATACGAGTTAGATACGCGAACATTCAAGAATCTACAGGCTGTGAAAGCATACCCAGGGTTTCTTAGGCGGTACACACGGCGGCCCCATAAGATGAAAGTGATGAACAATGAAGAAACGATAGCAACGGAAAGCCGTTGTTCGAGTCGTGGACTGCTACGGCTGTGAAGTCATTTGTCTAGTGGCTAGCGCGTGGGGTGCCCGCGTGGGATTGGCACCTGACGTTGCTCCTTCCCTGCCAGCGAACAAAAGCTAGCCGCGAGACCCCGCGAGACCCTACCTTGTGAACGCCAGATAAGACAACGTAGTCAAGTGTCGCCAGCGTCATCACTTCGCTGTCATGTTGTTAAATGCATCTCTCCTCTGTCCTCATCATGCATCACTCACCAGAGCTGGTTGACAGGAGCAGGCACATTCATCAGGACCTATAAGATGGATGGATCAAGGCAAAACTTGTAACGCAGATCATTACTTTTTAACGTTCAGAATATGACCGGTGCCGACGATACCTCGCGAACCACACAAATTATGCCGAAGCCGCGTTCGACTTTTGCAGTACACACAGCAAGAGACGATGCTGAAAGCTTAAGCCAGCCTTCTTTCCACCAGGCCTCATCTCTACGTACCGGGGACATGTCGCTCCTTCCATATAGCAACTTCCAAGAGCTTCAGGAGGCTATTAGTGATGGGATTACGGAAGAGACGGACTTGAACATCAAATACACGAAGACGCAGTTCTCTCGAACATCACACACTGCGCAGTCAAAGTCGTCTAAGGAGCCCTTCAAACCCAGACCTGGAGCCCCCCCGAGACCAGCGGAATGTACAAACAAGCAAGGCACCTTTTCAAGTATGTTTGTGACCATCACATTCAACGTCTTCAGCATCTTGGTATCCTTGTACTTTGGTTCTATACTAGGTCAAACTGGTATTATGGACATATTGGGAATGCTGTGCATGTACTATGCCATCAATCTCTTGACTACCATGTTAGTTCCATCTATTGCAACTCATGGCACTGTCAATGGCAGAGGTGCCTACTATCTCATCTCAAGGAGCCTAGGACTTGAATTTGGCGGAGGTGTGGGGCTCGTCTTTTCCAAGGACAACTTTCTCTGGGTTAAGACTGACTTCCGCTCTGTACGTCTTGCTCATCCTCGCCCTCGTAGCACCGGTAGGACGCGAAAGATTAGATGAGAATACAAACGTCAATCAACTTATAGATCTTTCATCCTTCCACACAACATCCCGAGTCAGAGGCACATCATCCGAATCATGGTGCAGTATGGTGTGCTTTGGAAGGCTATGAGTCTTCCCAACACCTCGAAAAGTCGTCGTATCAGCAGAGGCTCTTGAACCTTCTCTCATGTTTGTGGAGACAGCCTGTCCCGCAGAGGAGACGAGAGACTACGTGGCTACTGCCACCGTTTAGTAATCCGCCACGTAACAAGGACTAGTCTGACCTATGTGTTGGTGGCCAACAGCCCCATCTCTTCGCAGATTACCCGACAGAAACTCTCCCGCCTCCGGATACCGCGCTTCCATTCAAGACCTGCCTCATCGCGCCCGACATCTCATATTGAACAAGCTCATACGTCACCAATCTGACAACACAACGGTGGTCTTCGCAGCGCTACCGAGCCTGACGGAAGATATTTGAGAGACTGAGGCTCAGAGTGTCCCGTACGTCAATGACCTGGAGGCATCGTGTCAGAGGCGCCCCCTGTGCCATTGGTGCATGGTAAAAGCATGACGGCTACTGCGGATTTCTAATTACGGCATTGGTATGGTATTCTAAATTAGGATAATATGAACTTGTTCACACAGTATAGACCGTATGGTTTAGATAATTGTCTGAAGATATTTGTTGTTTATGTCGATAAGAGAGACCCTTGGGAGATGGCAGGGGCGCCCTTCGCGTGAAGTCAATTGCGGGGCAAACATGCACACCTCTGTTTGTCACGACATACGAACAATGGTAGGAATAGTGCATAGAGCATGATGGCTGAGCAAATAGCTTACCATTGTTTGGAAATGGTTCAAAGAGGCACGGGTCCCGCCAAGCGGCAGTCATCGAGTTGAAGACCGCCCCACCAGGGTCTTTAACAGCTTCCTACACACCATCTTCTGGCCCGTTTCCGCTTTTTTCCTGCAATTGTCTACAAAACGTAAACACACATCCCGACGCCTAGTGAACAAAAGATGGCGCCAAAATACTACCACAACGACGAGGCATGGGCAGACATCGAGCCTCTCCCACAAGACGACGGCGGAATGCACCCGCTGGCCGCGATCGCATACACGGAGGAGTACAGCGAGGCCATGGGCTACCTGCGCGCGGTAATGGCGAAGAACGAGTTCAGCGACAGGGTCTTGGGGCTCACAGAGCACATTATTGGCATGAATCCAGCGCATTACACTGTGTGGTGAGTCTTCTCGTGCGGAGGTTGCGGCGAACGCGGAGGAGAGATGACGCGCACAACACAACACAAGACTGACGCGACCCAACCCAACACAGGCTCTACCGCGCCAAAACAATCTCCCAGCTCGGAAAGCCACTGAAAGATGAAATCGCCTGGCTCAATCCCACCGCGCTCAAACATCTCAAGAACTACCAGATCTGGCATCACCGACAGACCATCATCGATGCGCTCGGCTCGTCCGAAGGGGAATCCAAGTTCGTAAATACTATGCTGGAGCAGGACTCGAAGAACTATCATGTGTGGAGCTACAGGCAATGGCTGGTGAAGCGCTTCGACCTGTTTGACAAGCCTGAGGAGCTGGCGTGGACGGAAAGCATGATTGATGCGGATGTGAGGAACAACTCTGCCTGGAACCACCGGCACTACTTGGTCTTTGGACGCGGAGAGAAGCCAAGCGAGGAGGTCGTAAAACGAGAGCTTGAGTACGTCTTGAGAAAAGCCGAAGAACATAGCATGACGATACTAATCGCAGCCCAGATATACCAAAACCGCCATCCGCAAAGCACCCCAGAACCAGAGTCCATGGAACTACTTGCTCGGCATCGTTCGTGCCGCGCAACTTCCAAAGTCGACACTCAAGGAGTTTGCCCTCGAGTTTGCGGACTTGCAAAGGCCAGACGAGATCTACTCAAGCCATGCGCTTGATCTTCTCGCAGACATCTATGCAGAGGATGGTGGTAAAGACGAAGCAGAGAAGGCGTTGAGTCTGTTGGCGACAAAGTACGATCCCATCAGAGCGAATTACTGGAATTTCAGAAAGGGCCTGCTGGCAGAGCCGAAGCTCACAGCAGCGTAGGACTACATGGGAGTAGGCATAGGTAGGTAGAGTGACGGTGCATAATGATACCCAGTTAGCGTTTTTGCGTTTCTGCGTTTCCGATCCAGAAAACAAAAAGAACACCATAACTACACTCCCCAGAGCACGTGTAGCCCCATCGTGATGGTGCAAGGACGCGTGCGAGCAAGATTTTCCACGATCAATTCGCGCAGTACACATGCCTTTCCCTCCCTTCACGCCGAGTTTCCCGTCGGACAACCCCCCGGCCGCGCGCTCGCACATGACGCCGACGAAAACCCGCCATCCCCATGCCATCTCCACACGCCTAAAACCACGAACCATGTTTTTTTCTTTCTTTCCAGAAAACCCACGGGTTCCACTTTCTGCTTCGATTCAAGCGCCCGTCGAATGCGCGGTGCAGCTCGCGGCCCCCGTAATAGTGCCGCCGATACCCGCGTTAGGAAAGTGTATCCACACCGGTACACTTACGCTTTCCTGGTTCCTTATCGGGGATGCTATGGGGTAAGCGTAGGGTCATGCGAGGGAGTTATAGGGTAATTGATATCGAAAATTCTCAAGATGGGGTTGTTTCGCGTGGTAGGGTTTGCGGGAATCTGCGGAGGGGGCTGATAAGGGAAGGGTAGGGGTTGTTGGGTGATGGATGGATGGTTGGATATATAAGAGCGGGTATCGTGGTGTTTTCTTGGTTTCTGCTGTTTGTGAGGTGCACTATCTATCTATCTATCTGGTCTTTCTTCCACTTTGTCTTCAATCTCCTTTTCATTCTCGTTATCTTTCCTCGTTGTGACTATATCGACTTGAGAAACTTGCGTTGCAGACACCATCCATCATGACTGTCAAAGAATACCACACTGCGCCAGCGGAAGAGAAGAAGAACCCATGGGTTCAGACGCCATTGAGGGAGTCATACGCGCTCTCTGAAGCTGCGGGATGGTACGATCACACTATCCTTTCCCGCCCCCATATCCATACCCTTCGTCATCCATCAGAGTAGAAGATAAGGGAGTTCTAAATCGTAGAAGCAGAATCTTCCTCAAGCTGGAGAATCTCCAACCATCTGGCTCGTTCAAAACCCGGTATGTTCCTGTCCCACCCCCCCATCCCGTTTTTGATATATGGCATGCTCATGTTGTTGGACAGAGGTATCGGATACTACATCCTACGTCGCCTCGAGGAATTGCCTCTCGGCTCCCGACCACACATCTTCGCCTCCAGCGGCGGGAACGCAGGACTTGCGGCTGTCCACTCGGCACGCGCGTTGGGCCTGCAGTGCACTGTCGTCGTGCCAACGGCGACGTCCGCACTGATGGTAGCCAAGCTCAGGGCCGCAGGTGCACACGACGTGATCCAGCACGGCGCCGCCTGGAAAGACGCAGACACATACCTCCGGACCGAGGTCATGCCACGCGTAGGTCATCCCATATATCCCGTCATAGACCGTTCCATGACTGACCCGATGATACACAGGCACCCCAACCCACCATCTACTGCCCCCCCTTCGACCACCCCGACATCTGGGCCGGCAACTCAACCGTCATGCACGAAATCGCCGCACAGCTCGACTCTCCGCCCGACGTACTGATCTGCAGCGTCGGCGGCGGCGGCCTGATGAACGGCATATGCCAGGCCATGGACGACCTGAAAATGTACACGCCCACTATCCTGGCGCTGGAAACCGCGGGCGCCGAGTCCCTGAACGCTGCGCTACACGCCCGCGAACTCATCACCCTGCCGAAGATCACGTCCCAAGCTACGAGTCTGGGGTGTGCAAAGGTCACGGAAGCGACGTTCAAGTATGCACAGCGGGCTAACGTGAGGAGTGTTGTGCTGCCGGATGCTGAGGCCGCGATGGGGTGCTGGCGGTTGGCGGACGACGAGCGCATGATGGTTGAGTTGGCGTGTGGGGTGAATGTAGCGCTTTGCTATGACGGGCGGTTAGAAAAGGCGCTCGGACGGCCCGTCAGGAGGGATGATGTGGTTGTTATCGTGCTGTGTGGTGGGAGCAATGTTACGAGTGATATGCTCTGTGGGTGGAGGAAGGAGTATGCGTATGTGGAGGAGGAGCTAGACATGCAGGGCAAGAGAGACTCGGGGTATGGCATTGTGCCGAGTGATGTTTCGAGGCCTGTGGTTGGAGGCTCAGAAGAGACCTGCTCGTAGGAGTAGTCGACTCATAACTTTTCGGGTGGATGGTTTGTGGAGTTGTTGGTGTTTCATTGTCTTGTTGTGTTCGTGGTTGGGTATAGATGAATTGCGATCTTTATCAGTGTTGATCACATAGTCTTTCACTGAATTTTTATCTTGATATCCAAATGTTGATGAGTGTTCCAACGAAGGTGCTGTTTCGTGGTTTATAACGTGTCAGAGTAGTGTAATCTCATGGAATCTTACTGCATGTTGAGACGATGCAAAGTATCTATATTTCTCGACATTGAAACACAAGAAATTGGTTCAGTGACCTTCATTCTAAGTCATGTGATGCTGTGTTAATAATGGTATGTAATAGCCTGTAACAGTCATGCGTGTATTCTTGACGTGTATCAGCGAGTCCTCTATATATTTCGTTATTCGATATATGCCTTACATCAGGCTTCACGGTAGTCGAATGCCATCCTGCCTCCAGCATCAACACCCTGCTCACGACTCTACGGTAGGAGACACGAAGAATCACACAATGCTTACAACAGCATTGTTATCACGGTCTTAGTCTACTTCCTCGCAGAGCATGTGTCAGACCCTATACTCTTCAAGAAGAACTCGTCCGTACACCATTTCGGGTGGGATCGGTTTAGCATGTAGTCTGGTTCTCTTGGTGCCAGGCAACTTGAGGGTTTGTCCTATAGTCGATCGGCCTCCGCCTTCCGTTGGGCAATTAGCTGTTTAGCCTTTTCTCGTCGCTCTTCGCGTAGTGTCACGAAAACCTGCCGCTGTTAGCAAGGATTTCCAAGATGTTCTCCATCAACTCAAACCTACCCAGAACCAGGCAGCCATCTCCAAGAAACCCCATGTAAAGATCAGGCTGTTGTTCAAGCTGTCGCCAGGGCTCATCATGAATTCGCGGTCCCTCTTTGCGAACATGCCGCCCGGCTTGAAGACATATGTGTAACCCGTGAGCGCGAACAGGAAAGCGAGACGGACAGGCGCCTGGTTGCCCCAGTATTCGATGAAGAACTCCTCGGAGTGAGAGAGTGCGGTGAGATCGGACAGTCCGAGGAACGCGAACAGGACGGCGAGGAAGGCTGTTGCTGAAGAGGGCTTGAGGAACTCGCGTGGTGTTGGCTGTAAAGAGTCAGTATTTATACGAGGTCATAGTCAATGTAGAAGGAACGTACAAGCTGCATCGACTCGCCCAAGACGAAGACTATCCCTTGGTTTGCGATTATACTTGGGTCTTTCAGCAGAAGCGCTGCCAATGTTATATGGAACAGCGACAAGCTGCGAATCATGGCACTCGCGGATATGATGGCCATGATGGCGGTGGTAGGAAATAAAGCCAAAAAGGGGGTTCGTGGATGTAGATGTATTCCCAAGTTCTGTGTTGACTCGGAGGAGAGCTGTAAACTCCGCTGCAACTCGCGCCAAGACAAACTACGTACCCAACCATCTTCCGCGTCAATCCATCTCATCTCCAACAATACTCATTGTTTCTACACAGTCATGGAGAAAGATAACATTTTCCCCATGGACGAGGCGCGAGATGTTGTACAGCAGCCAGATCGCCCTCGGCGGCGATTTCAGCGTGGAGATGGCTTGATTATCGCCGTACTGCTCCTTATCATCGTCAGCTTATGGTGGCCAGAAACGCGACCTGAGTTTGTCAAGGGATCAACGCGTAACTACTACAAAGCGCATACTGTGGAGGAGCGAGCCGCGAAGATTCTAAAGGAGAACCCGCTCATTGGTTAGATATGCCGTAAACCGTCTTGATGTACTTGCTAATAGCGCGAAGATGGACATAATGATTTGATGATCTTCATAAGAGGAAAGTATCGCAACCACATCTACGACAACGAGTTCCAGGACCTGTTCGAAAATGGAGGCCTTGCGCAACATGTTGATGTTCCACGGTTGGAGAATGGCCACCAGGGCGGTGCGTTCTGGAGTGCTTTCTGGCCGTGTCCCATGGGCAATGGCACAGACTTCTCAGATGAGAGATACTCGGATAGTAAGTCATGCAGTATTGGAAAACCTATCTATCAAGTTTTGACCGCTACAGTTGTCAAGGCCACCCTTGGTCAGTTGGATCTCTTCAAACGCCTCGGTGAGAAATACCCAAAGTATTTTACTCCATCGACAAACAGCGCCGAAGCCATCAAAGCCTTTGAGCACGGTCGCCTCATTTCTCCAACAGCCATCGAGGGTCTCCATCAGATTGGCAACTCCATCTCCACGCTACGTCTTTATCACCAACTGGGCGTTCGTTATGCAACTCTGACCTGGAACTGCCACAACAAGTACGCCGACGCCGCCCTTGAATCAGGTGAGAATTTCTCAGCGAAGATTGCCAAACCTTTCTGGGGAGGTTTGAGCCCAGCAGGCCGTGACTTGGTCAAGGAGATGAACCGTTTGGGCATGCTCGTAGATCTCGCCCATGTCAGTCAAGACACGATGCGAGACGTCCTCGTGGGCAACGGCGATGGAAAATGGAACGGCAGTCTCGCTCCTCCAATTTTCAGTCACAGCTCCGCATTTGCGATCTGCCCACATCCTCGCAATGTACCAGACGATATCCTACAAATGGTCAAAAAACGTAATTCCGTCGTCATGGTAAACTTCAACCCCGACTTCATCTCCTGTGTTCCTGGAAAGACTCCTTCCGATCTCCCGGAATTTGTTCCTGCAAACTCGACTCTGGAACAAGTTGTTCGTCACATCAGGCACATTGGCGAGTTAATCGGCTACGATCATGTCGGTATTGGCACTGACTACGACGGCATCGAGTCAACGCCGACTGGGCTTGAAGACGTCTCGAAGTTTCCTGATCTGATAATTGAACTCTTAAGACAAGGTATCAGCGATGAAGATGCTGCGAAGATCGCGGGCCGTAATGTTTTGAGGGTATGGAAAGAAGCGGACAAGGTTGCTAAGAAGTTGCAGAAGCATATGCTTCCTTTGGAAGACGACGTGCAGAATCAGTGGGTATAGCGATATTTACCCTAAACCTACAGTATCAAACATACCGCAACGTATTCCCGCAACCTTTGGCGATTTCAAAAATGAGTACGATGCGATTTCATACTGATGATACAGCGCAACATTTCAATATTTCTCATGACTTAGAAAAATGTACGTCACTCTCCGGTCACTGTTTTTAAGTGGATCACACCACTGGTAATCAGAGCGCTTGGCAGCCAGGTCATGCAACTTCACCTAGCTTTCAAGAAGTTGGCGTAAAGCACTAACTGAAGCGTTCTTCTCACTTTTCATTCTCTTCACTTACTCACACAAAAGCCTATATCTGATTTACACTCTCGACTTGGAAGTTTCGGTAATAACCTCACTTCATCCATCAAGATAAGATCTACACCATGGCGCAGCACAAACTCAAGACTAGCATTGCTATCCTCGGCTGCGGCGATGTGGGATCAACACTCGCCTACACGCTCATCCTCCAGCCCATCTGTAGCGAAGTGATCTTGGTCGACCTGAAGAAAGAGCTATTGGAAGCCCAGGTGCGAGACTTGAATGATGCAACGTATCGCGGAGGTTCTGGAACCAAAGTTCGTGCCGGAACACACCAGGATGCCGGACAAGCGGACATTGTGGTCATCACGGCGGGCGCGAAGCAAAAGATGGGTAAGTTTGGATAGATGAGTTTTGCGCTTATGCGTAACTGATAGTAAAATAGGTGAATCGCGTCTCTCGCTTCTCAGTCGTAACTTGCATATTTTGTCTTCAATATTCAGCTCCATGGCGCCCATTTCACCGCATACAATTCTTCTGCTAGTCGCAAATCCGGTAGACATTTTGACCTACTTTGCCCGTAAACTGTCAGGTCTCCCGGAATCCCAAGTCCTCGGCACAGGCACGAGTCTTGACTCGGCTCGATTACGGGGCATTCTTTCGCAAAAGGCAGAAGTTGCCCCAAACAGTATCGACGCATATGTACTTGGCGAACATGGAGATAATCAGTTTGCAAGTACCACATTTTCCCGCATACAACACCAGGCTAACGATGATAGATCGCCTGGTCGAGCGCAACGATCGGCACAACACCTCTTGCTCTTGCTATGCCTAACCAACTAACCCCCGATTTCAAAGCTTCAATCGCAAACCACACCCGTGGAGCAGCGGGCGCCATCATCGCGGCCAAAGGCTGCACTGCTTACGGCATTGGAGGAATTGCTGCTAGCATTTGCAAATACATTTTATTTGACTCGCGGACCGTAAGACCGTTATCGTTCTACCAACCTGAGCTTGGCTGCTGTTTGTCGATGCCAGCGGTGGTGGGCAGGACCGGTATCGTGAAGACGATGCCGATTGAGCTCGATCAGACAGAGAGAGCGGAACTGGAGGCTTGCGCGAAAGAATTGAGAGCAATCATTGAGGGCGCGGAGAAAGAACTCATTGTTGAACAGCAGTTGCGGAAGTTGCTGGAGAGTGGGGTGAAGAGTGGGGTGGGGAGACGTGGCAGGCAAGAGAGTACACTCATGAGCTTGTTATGCTCTGGCACAACGAGCCAGTTTGGAAATCTACAGCTAGATACTCGGAGATGATTGCAATAGTCACCCTTCACGACAGCTTTGGTTTCTGTTCGATTCTTTCTACTCGTGCTTTCGAGTGGGAAGTATACAGTTTTTTATTGCAAAATATCACACACATCAACTGATTGTTTATTGCCTCAAAATATACGCACAACAATCAGAAGATAGTCGCGCAAGGACAGAAGAAGAGCAGGAGGTGCAGAAAGGGTTCGAGGCTAACGTTTAGCTTACATTCACATGTCGCTAACGAAATCGAGGAACTTTTGCCTTGACTTCGACCTTCAACGGCACACAACAGCAGTTCGCATGAGTACGATCAAATATCAAGATGAATTCCGGATATTGCAATGCCGCTTATCATCACAGTTTCTTGCGGTGATCACTCAACTCGGACACTTTGAGGATGCGCATATTCGGGTCCCCAACTTTTGCCGGCCGACGTACAGCATTTGTCGTCACCACATCTCGAACATCTACTCAACATGTGTTATTTCACCGGCGCATTTTCCGACAACTCTCATCTTATTAATACCACGTACCGAGTCATACTCGCAATGACCCACCGGCCGCAGTATTCAATTCATCCCAAAAACTCCCCTCACCAAACACCATCAACATGACCCAACCCCTCAACATAATAATCCTCGGCGGCGGCATCGCCGGCCTCACCACCGCGCTCTCCCTGACAAAATTCTCCCCACCATCCCACCCTCCGCCAAACATCACCATCTTCGAAATCCGACCCGAACCCGCAACCCTCGGCGGCGCCGTAAACCTCACACCCAACGCGCTACGCCTACTCGCACATTTAGGCGTGCTAGACGAGATACGCGCCCAGAACCACGGACACGAGTGTCTCGCCGTCGAAGTCTTCGACCTGTACTCCGGGGCGAAAGTAGCAGAGAGCAGTTTCCGCGGCGCGGACGGGAAAGGCGTGGGGGATCCGGCGTTCACAGCGCTGCGGATTTGCCGGGGAGATGCGCTGAAGAGCGTGATTAGCGTGTTGGAACGACATGACAATATCAGCCTGATATGTGGGAAGAAGACGGTGGAGATCCGCGAGACGGGGCAGGGTGTCACGATCTGCTTCGCAGACGGGGCGCAGGCTAGTGCCGATATGCTGATCGGGTGCGATGGGATTCACTCTGCGACGCGGCTGCTGCACGTCGAGCCCGAGCGGACGGCCGTGTACTCGGGTATCTGCAATGCGTTTGGCTTTGCGCCGCGACGGCGTGGGGAGAACGGTGACTTCGCGCTCACGCACTTCGAGACGTCGGCGTTGAACTTCGGGCGTCGTGGGATTCTGCTGACGAGCTTCCACAACGCGACGCAGGACTCGATATACGTCGGCGCGCTGATGCAGGTCCCCGAGATTGCGTCGCGGGACGGGTGGAAAGCCGCGGGTGCGGATGCGGAGAAGACGCGGGGGGATATGTTGGAGCGATATGGTGGGGCGGCGAATCCGCTGATCGAGCAGTGCATTAGGGATACGCGGGATTTATTCCTGTGGCCGGTTTTCACGCTGTCCAAGGGCGGGAAGTGGGCGACGGAGCGGGTGGTACTGATTGGGGACTCGGCGCACGCCATGCCGCCCCAAGGAGAGAGTACAGGCATTGTGTTTGAAGATGGTGTGTTATTTTCGAGGTGTGTGGCGCGGTGGATGGAGAAGGGGAGGGATGCTGGGGTGCCTGTTAAAGAGGCGTTTGATGCGTATGAACGGCTGAGGCGGGCGAGAATCGATACCGCGTTCGATGAGAGTCAGAGTGTGGTGAAGACGGTGCAGGATGCGGGGTGGTTGGGGCACAAGATCAAGATGAATGTTGTGCCTTGGTATTTGTGGTGGACAAAAGGATATCGGGAACAGCACTTTGTTGAGGACGTGACGACGTGTGATTTGGGTTATTAATCGGCTGGACAAAAAAGAGGATGGAGATAATAGTACCTTTAACTGCAATCGCAACATCAGTTCCCTGTGCTTTGTTCTTGATTAGCGTTGAATTGGAGATTTTGATCTCACTAGCACGATTAACAGAAGAAAGGTAATGGGACATAACCAGTAGGATGCAAGCTATTGTATTATCCCATAATCTGAGGACATCAGGAAACCGAGCAAAGCATAAGCCTAAGCTACCTGCGCAACTAACAATTGAGCAGCATACAGGATCACTCGTCCTCCAAATCTGCCCAGCGCCCCTGGATCCGTTCAGTAGTGACAGGAGCTTCATCAGAAGAGCCCTCCACAGCAACCGTACTACGAGGTCGGGAAAGTAAACCCTCGTCCTCACTAGTTACGCCACTGTTGGCACCGCTCAGTTTCTCCTTCTGTTCTTCCTCTTCTTCGGCTGCTTCCCAATCCTCCACTACTTCGACAGGCTTCTTCTTCTTCTTTGTGCTGCTCAGACTGAGCACAGCAAAGCCGCCTTTGTTGCCGAATGTCGTTCCTCTCTCCACTCTACGGACTGGAGCTCCCTTGGCGGCTGCAACCTGGCTCCAGCCAGACCCAGGACCAATGTCAGACTCCTTCCGAAGTACATTAAGCGATGAATCGAGACGAGCCAGCTGGAGTTTTCCAATCTTCTGAGACTCGATGGCTTCTGATAAGGGTGTCTTGATGGACTCCAGCATCGTCTCCATCTCGCGCTCCTGGATATTGACGCGAGCCGCTAGAGGTGCTTTCAATGCGACCGCTTCGCTTGGGAGAAAGCTAACCTCCAACTCTAATCGAAAAGTTGTCTTCGGAAGTACGTTCTTGATAACCGCGGCGACTTCCTCAACGGTAAGAGCGAACCGTGGGTTCATGATGAGAAATGCATTGTATGGGTCACCGCTTGTGTTACTCGGTTTCGGACGGAGAGGAGCATTGGTTGTCGTCGGTGCAGGTGCAGCACGGTGTACTTGGCGAGTTCTGGCGCATTCCGCCAGTGTTTTCATCGGCGCCATGACGAACTTGGGCGTCTTGAAGATTGCAACGTGTCGATGAGGCTCTGGATCCATGCTCTCCGAGTCAAATCCGAAATCTTCTGCAAGGTGATGAATGAACTTCCGCTGCTGTCTAGGCATTGGCTTGAACCTGAGTCGCTTGAGTTCTGCATCGGCGGCAAAGAGCCGAAGTTGCTTCTCTTGTGCGGCTGCCCAGGTTGAATTCTCCTGGTACATGTTCAAAGTAGCAGCCGAGTATGGAATATGCTCGTCCTGGTGCTCTGGATCAACGTTGAGTGCTAATGCCAGCTTACGGTTTCGCTCAAGACGGGCACACTCTTCGTCACATTTCAACGTCTTCTTGTTGTTTCCTTCTCCCAGCTTTGAAGCATTACATTTTGCCTCTTGTTTGATCCTCTGGCATTCACACGTGACGAAAATCTTGTGCTGACATGGCTTTTCCTCCTTGCAAGCTGAAGGGAAATGGCAAGGAGCCATGCAAGAATGGCCACAAGTACTAAGTTCTTTGCCGCAAGGTTGCTTGCAAGGCTCTTCGCATTCTCCAGATCGATGACATTGCTTCTGGCATTTGTGAGCACCGCACTTGAGTGTCCGTCCGCAAACTTGTCCACAACGGACGTCGTTGAGCCAACACGGTTGATTCTTGAGGACATTCTTGCCACACAAACAAGGCTTTGTCGTCAGGTATGGGCATTTGGGGCAATCTTCATTGTCGCCATGGCATGTGTGTGGCATTTGCGGATGTCCACAATCCTTGGGTCGCTCACACGGAAATCGACAGGGTGGAGGCTTGGTACCGCAAGGTAACGGAGGCTGTAGAACTGTTCGTCCACAATTACAGCTAAGTTCGTCAAATATAGCATCTCGACATGTCCCACATGGTCCTTTATGGCAGAGCTCTTGACAACGGTGCTCAGGGTTACCACATTTGAGCTGGCGGCCACAGCTGCGGGTGCAGATATGCTCAGCCTCGAAGTTATCACCAGCTCGTTGGGGGGCAGAATCGAGAGGTCTTGGTTTGCGTCGGTTTGCTTGTCGTTCGGCGGCCTTTCGCTCACCTGGGCAACAATGTTCGCCACACTCGTGTCGTCCACAGTTAAGAGAAACTCGGCAAACGCGCATACATTGTGGGGCCTCCTCAGTTCCTTGATGGCAAACGGTATTCGAGGTGGTACGTCCACACCTGCAGGAGATGGTCACTCGTTTCAAACAGGCTAGACATTCTCCTTGGTGGCATGGCTGCTCGCACTGGTGACCACAGGCAAGAGTGTTCGCACAAGCCTTGGTGCAGTTTGGTATGGGATCTTCACACTTTTGGCGAACGACGCTTGTGATTTGGCTAAGAGGTGTCTTGCCGCATGGACAGTGGGTGACAATGTCGGGAGACCGCGGACAATGGGGCGATTCGGCATTCTGCTGATGACACGACTTCTCACAAGCGTGCTTACGGCAGTCAAACAAACGACCGCATGGGTTGGGGCATTCAAAAACGCCTGTCCACTGCTCGACCGTCGCTGTGCCGTCTTCAGCAACATGGGATTGACGGCTGTGCTTCTCTTCAGCTCGATCGCGGCAAAGTATATCCTTCTGTGTCTGGCCACAGTAGCATCGAGCCGGAACGCGCACTTCGCAGGTTCCACAGGGTCCTTCGTGGCATGGTCGCGGACAGCGATGCTCTCCACATGGCATCAGTTCACCGCAGACTTCGCCACAGCTCCACCCATGTTCGTAGTCGGTATCCACGCAACGTCGGGTGATGGACTTCTTGGAACAGAAACAGTTCTGGGTAGGGCCCATCATGCTGCAAGGCGGACATGGACCCGCATGACAGGTCGACGGGCACCGGTGAGGGCATTTCTTCGGTAGAAGGCGAGGACGAGCGCACGTCTGACCGCACGAATAAGGTGGGAGCCCTGGCAGTGGCTTTGGATCCTGTTCTTTCTCACACCAGCAGTTGAACGTCTTGGGTAAGACGTCTTTTGGCAGGTTGCACCCAGGACAACGCCACTGTCGAGGTGGTGGCATCTCGCCGTCCTGGGCCTGCTGTCGAGCAGCCGCTGATCCCTCGTTGGTCGACCACTTTTTGATGCAGCTCAGGTGGAAGACTGTCCAGCACGTTCTGCAGGACCAGCCTCGTGAATGGCGCCGAACCTCCTCTGTGCAGATCGCACACTCGTAGTGGCCGTTGTCGATGTCTTCGTGCGTTCTTGTTGCGATATCAGCCGCGGTTGATTTCGGGGCTTGAGGTTTCTTCTCGCGAGGCGGTCGTGATTTGCGGGGGATGATGGGTTGGCCTGGTTGGAAGGTATGGGCGTCTGCTTGTAGTCCTGTCGAATCTTGAGCAGAGGTGTTTGACGCCGCATCTTCTTCAACTGTCAAGTGTCCACCAAACTGACGCCCACCAGCAGCAAATCTCTGCGGAAACCTGGTGTTCTGGAAGTCTCCCCGCCCCCTCCCTCGACCTCGTCCACCTCTACCACCTCGATGCGTAGGCTCCTCTGTAGGAACTGTCTGTGGTGCGGCTGATGGCTCAGGCCCTGCAGGTCTTGCAGGGTCACTGTGGCCTCCTCGACCCCTTCCACGCCCCCGTCCGCTTCGACCGCCTCTCTGTGACTGCTCTCCCTGCGCTTGTCCCTGCGCTTGCCCCTCCTCTTGCTGCTCGTTTTGGCCATTTGCGGCTCGATTCCGATTTCGTGGGCGACGTCGTCTTTGCGAGGCATCCGCGGCGTCATTTAGAGCCGGCGCCACGGGCTGGCCTGCTGTGGCAGTGGACATGGTGTGTGATTCAAATGTGGTCGTGCCTTTCCCCAATGTTGAAGCTATGATTACTGCTCGGCGCTCTCTTGGGAGAACTTGCTGACAAAGAAGTGAGATTGCAGGCTTTAGTAATTGTACAGCCTGCGGAACTTGGAAGACAAAGAAAGGTGTGGTGTGGTGTGAGCAGGCGACACACAAAACGACAGTGGCGAGCAGTTATATCTGCCTGATGAACGCTAGCGATGTCTTCTAGAATGTGCAATAATGAGTCATGCATGAGGCTCCTGACAAGCTTCGAGACGTCGTCTGGGGCCTATGGAGGACAAGCTGGACGGGTGGCGCAGCTGTACCTGCAAGGTGGATAAATTGGTGACTGATTGTGCTTTGGAATTTGGACCATCGGCGACAGCGCGTCATAGGCTCCGGTGTATCGTCGGGTAATTCCGTGACAGGCAGGCGTCGCATCGAGCTTGGTCGCTGTATCACGAACCTCAGCACCATCAACCCATCACAACACCATGGCTAAGATACTGGTCGGCGCCCTCGCTCTCGCGTCTCTGCCCTCGGCGCTCGGCTTCCGCAACACGTCGCCCTTCTTCCTCTTCTCCACGGCCGAGTACGCCATCAGCAGCTTATCCTGACGTCCTGAAGCTAACGTCTGCAGTCTGCTCCTTCCTTCCACCGACGCCGCGATCGCGCTATCGGACAAAGTTCTCGCCGATGTTCTGGACGTCCTGAAGGACTGCCCGACGCGATCGTACATCGTCGTCGAACAGGAGAGTGTCTCATCTGCCGACTATGCTGATGGCCACTCCACGCCACGGTTGGCTCAATACATGGGAGGCAAGCATGACGAAGTGAGGACGACTGTTGCGCTGCCAGAGATTGTTGGTGAATTGTCGACAGCGGAAATCATATCGCATCTGGAGACCAAGTGCGGTCCCAGCGTTGGCAGCTCAGGAAAGGTGGATTCGAAATGGCTTACGACGATGAAACTGGCGACGCCTGGTGCATCCAAGGCATCCCGACGAAACCGCCTTCTCTCCAACGGTACGCGATGAAGAACGACAAAGACTGTGACAGCCCCGCTAACATCCCTAGATGAGATGCTCGAGCAGAAGATCGTCGAGGAGGCAAACTCCCAAGATTACACCGTCATCTACGTCACCAGCCCACAGTCTGAAGCACAGTTCAAGACACTGCTGCAGGAGGAGCGTCAGCAGCAGTACACATACGACACGGACAACTCTTTCGGCGAGCGCGTGCAGATGGAGCTGAAGCGAGACACGACCGCTCAGATGGCCAGGCGCGCCAACTCGACAGAGGGCGGTCTCTTCGAGAAGTACCAATACTTCACGCCTGGGCTGTTCATGGGTTTCATGGCTATTATCCCGCTCTTCTCTATCCTGCTTGTTGGCATCAAGGCTCTTACCAGTCTGGAGGTGTCGTACTTCGCCTTTAGCAAAGAGATGGGCCCCAACGCGCAGAAGAAGCAGTAGAGTGGTTGAAGCGAGAAGAGTCAAAGACCTCCCCAGGTCTATAGTCTGGCTGTGTACATCTGTAGGTTTTGTAGTAGCATGGGTATCTGGCGTTTGTATGGCGATTGTGACAGTAGTGGAATCTTGATTCTTCTTCTCTAATTTTGACATATATTCTATCATGCTGCAATTCTTGATTTTTATTCTCACACATCGCACCGTCCGAACAACCCACCCTCCCTACATCCTCCCCGCCACCCGGTCAAAATGCTTATAACAAAACATCCCCCCGGCATAACAGGTTACCATCCACTTGACCCACGCCGCACTAAACACATCTACCCCATGCTCACCCAACCTCTTCGCAAACATCGCCGTCTCCACTGCGTGCGCGCCAAACAACACGTAAAACACTCCGTTCTGGAGCCAGGTTGCGGCTTTCAGCGCGTCGGCGGACCGCGAGAGGACGTGGTCGTACAAGGGCGAGCCGGGGGAGATGACTTCATGCCGCGAAGAGAGGGCCATGACGAGGGCGCTAATCAGGATGGGTTTTAGGTAAGGCGAAGTTGGAAAGGTGTAGGTATTGTGGAGGTTTTTGCGGTGGGTGGCCATGGTTGGGTGTTTTAGGTGGGTTGTTTCGGTTTGGTGCTGATATGATGACGTGTCGATGAGATTGCCGTGGTAAAGTCGTTCCTGCTGGGGATTGATGGTGCCTGTCTGGTGTTCCAAGCGTCTTTGGCACAAGAAGTTTTGCTTGTACCCATAAGTACCATGCCTCGGCAGCCAAGACAGTGAACGCTAACACCGAGTCAGTAGGTATCAATCAACAGCAATCGACATGCAACGCAGCTCCCACCAAACCGACCTCTTCCCTCTTAGATACACAGAGATAAACCCACGCCAGCCCAATCTCAAACTATCATCTTCACGCATCCCCGCACCCACCAACCCCCTCCATCACATCCGCAGTCCAAGCAAGCGAGCAAGCAAATCCTCAAGTTCCGCAACTTTCCGTAAGCGGAAATTCTTCCACCCCCTCCAAAACCATCGATTGCTGGAACGACTGCGAACAACGCTTTAGCGCAGGGCTGCACGGCCATGTACGATCACGTGTGCATCAACAGCCAACCTCGATTGTTTTATTCGCTTGTGGGTGTCGTTTTGATGAGACCTGTTATGCGGCCGCGCATCCGCCACGGTTGGGAGGGTGGGTGTGCATTCATGTGCTTGTGAGAGAGCTATCAGGAGCTGATTTCCCGATTAGGCATGTTTGCCTGCTGGGGAGAGCGTGGATTGTTGCAAGGGGGCTTTGTGGGGCTTTTGGTGGATGCAGGGCTTGGCTTGGCTGGCATTGACTGATTGTCTTGTTGGTGTTGTGTGGATGGACTTGTCAGGTTGGAATTCTTGGTAAGTACGACATGGTATGTTTTTCTCACGGGTAACTTCGTAGTAGTCCCAGGATTCACGGGGAATATGGCCTTCTTCTTCGAAAACATCAGACATGAAGTAACCCAACGTAAGGACGTCCTACGAAACAAACAACCCCCAGAACCGAAAGACAAACACAAGTAAACCCTACAGAACCCGCACCCCTCTACCCGCCGGAATATTCCTTTTTCCCAATTCAACACCCACGTCCCAACCAATCACTTTCCCCACACACCACCCACCCACTACTCCATGCAGATCGCCACGCATACACCCGCCCTCCCTCCCGCAACACCATCCGCCCATGAGAGGCTCTTCCCTCACGACGTAATCCCCACTCTGCTGCACCACATACTTGTGGCGGGCCGTGATTGGTCAGGGGGAAGGGGGAGCCGTATAGGCATCTCGTTTAGAACGAGCGGTCCATGGATCAGGCATGATGCATTGCAGTGATCGATGGGGATGGCGAGATCCTGCTTGAAGCGGCAATTTTTTTCCATGTGAGTGGTGTGGTGGGAATGGAAGAAATGACGACGAGGATTGGAAGTGTTAGGCTTGGGGATGGTGTTATGCTTTTGGTGTCTGGTGATGTTGTGAGGAGGATTTGGATATGTGCCTCAGTGATAGGATGAGGTGGAGTGTGGCTGCTTTAATTCATCTTACTACTTGCATATTTTAATTATATGTGCAGGCAAAAAAACCTTATTCGCTCAATTCTTTAACGCCTAGCATATCAGCTTGCAAGCTGGAATATTACCTTCCACATCGCCGGTACCGCCATTCAGGAAGACGAAGAAAGTCTGCAGTGTCCATTCTTTTCATGGAAAACACATGTCCGAGTCAATTCCACACTGATGCAGCTAAACCGCGATTGTGAATTTTCCGTCTCTTGATTGGGGTTGGATACGACAGACAGACAAGCAGGCAGTCGAGAGCCTTTCCTCGAAAGCTTGGCGGGTTGGCTTATGGTTGCATGGAGTGAAGTATGGTGATTGGCGTGTTAATACCAGGGATAAAGATAAGGTAGGATAGTGATTCGATGTAGGTCTACCGCCTTACCGCATAAATCCGACCCACACGTGTGTCGTTTTGACGGACCAGGGCGGCGACTACATGATTTGAGGAAGTTGTTCTGTCTTGCTTCTGCCCAGAAGTGCTTTCGAGGACGGCTATTGCTATGGTGGGCCGGGGATTCTACACACTAAACAAGTTATTTTAAAGTCATACATGCTCAGTAATTGTAGATATTGATGCTCGTAAACAATGTTGATTGATTATTCTATTGTGTGGTTCAGTCACTGTCGTCGTATTTATTCGACATATCAGTGAGCAGCACATCGTCAACTGCCGGTCCACGGTGATTTCGTACTGCATGTTGTCAATATCTTGTCTCAAACTCCACAAGGAAGAACACTCACCCCACTCGCACTCGACGCGAAAAAAGATCCATACCCATCTACGCAGCACTTCAAGCACCTCCATGGTGAATATGCCGCCCTCCAGATCATTGAAATGGTCAAGATGTGGACTGAGCTTCAAGCTCCATGTACACCGCAACAGCGCATCCACGACAACCGCGGAATAGTAGAACTCCTTGGCGTGAAACCAGCGATGGCGTCGCAAGCCCCAGGGGTACTCCGGGCTGTTTCTTTCCCGGCTGAAAAAGAGTGTGAGGTCCCAATCCCGGGATACGTCCCACCAGAAGGAGTAGCCCGAATTTACGAAGACAGCGGCCATCCATAGACGGAAGAGTGCTGCTTCTGAGAGGCCGAGTTTGGTGGAGTCGGGTGAGCGCTGCAGGGCGCTGAGGATGATGACGGGGAAGGCCGTGGAGTACTTCAACGCGTTGGCGAGATGCACGCCGCCCCATCCCGTCGCAGGACTGATCTGCCCTGATCGCTTGTTTGCACGTTGCACACGGAAGTACTCTGTCAGGCACTGTCGAAGCCGAATCAATGAAGGTATGGATATGATGAACGGGACCCAGAATGCTCCGCCGCAGCTACGGTTCGGAGGCCCTGTCGAACTATGTGATGACGAGAAGAACATGCATAGTGAAACAAAGAGGTCACCGAGGACTTTTGCATAGCTCGTCAGCGCATCTGCGAGCAGTATGTCACCGAATTTGCCGTCTTGCGCCTCTGCGATTCCGCCAATGGATATGCGCTTCAGTGTCGTGAGCGTGCGGGAGCGGCCATTGCGCGAGACGAAGGGTAGGGGGGCTATGAAGCCGATTACTAGTACTAAGAGGTACAAGTTTGGTAGAATCTCCCATGCTGCGATGTCTTTTGGGCTGCCGTTTGTGAGGACCCAGAATAGAAGGAGCGAGAGCGCAAGCGGGATGGATAGGAACGTCGCGATACGGTAGCAGGACAGGTGGTGAGAGGGATGGTGCGGTGAAGTACGGCCGGGGTAGCGGATCAGACTTGGGACATCTATCTTGATCAGGGAGAGGTAGTGGAGGTTGAGGCCCCAAGCCCAGATGCCTGCGTGTGTCGTGTCAGCCGGTGGGTGGGAGGAGGATGCTGGACATGGCTGGTAGAGCTCGTACCCAGGACAATAATGAGCGCAACACGGTAGGGTAATGGCAATACGCGACTGAAGCCATCGAGCTCTGGCTCCACGGCTGGATCACCGTCCATGTTTAATATGTGCGTGGATCTCCGTAGCTGTCGCAACTTGGCAGCTTTCCGTTTCTGGATAAAACATGAAGCTGTGCAAGACGACAATTCTTGGATCTGCGCACTCGTCCCTTCTCGAACTTGTCTTGTCGGGCACAAGGGGTACAGTTTCAAGAGGTAGCGTGTCCAATTACTTTTCCAGGAGATCTGGCTCACATGCCTGCAAGTCCCGCGATTACACGACACTACTTACGTCAGCAGATCGAGCCGCCTGCTAACCATGTCTGGCGTAGTGCCATCTGAGCTCTGGAGCTAGCAATACCATGACGCGATCATTATACGACAAAGTGACGCTCTTTAGTAGTGAGCCATTGGACAAAAACATAAAGTGCAGTCAGCTGCTCAACCAACAATTGCCTTCCCCAGACCTCCACTTCCTGTTTACACACCAAGCAACCACACAAACACCACCTCTTCATCGCCAATAGCTCCCCACTCCAACCACCACTACACCATCTCGACCACCTACACACAATCATGTCTCCTCTCTCCGTCCCCAAAATCTTCATGGCTGGTGGCGCCGCAGGTTTCGGCTACTACCTGTACATGCGCCAATTCTGGTTCCCGAACCCGTACAAGACGCAAGGCGTGCAGAACATCGAGGACCGCTTCTCCGCTGGCGGCGGCAATCCCACACACACACCAGCCATGGCTACAGAACGCGGTAAGAAGCACAAGGTATCGCTAGGTCGAGGACTACAACTAACATGTCTGCAGGAAGCACGACAAACAACGAGGGCAGGCAACAACACGCCAACAAGGGCCCGGATTCGGACCACTTCAAGGACAACCACTCGAGTCAGCAGAGTGAAGTAAGTGGAGTGACACATGAAATTGTGGTAAGAGTGAGTCGCTAACAACATTAGGCTGTCTGGCCCGCCAAGTTCAACGAGATGCAATACAACAATCCCAAGGGCAAATAAGCACTTCGCGGCAATCGATCGAGCGAGTAAATGCATCGTCGACAAAGACACTTGTACTGAATAATAGCGTTATGGTTGTATGCAATTCCGGCGTTTACAAAAAGAAAAGCGGATGTGCGATAGCAATCTGTACAAACACATAAAGACCTCTACGGTAGCTGTTCATCAGTACCAATGAGGCATCAAAAATTCAAATCACGTAAAATTTCCATCTACCATACACGCAACACTGCTGGTATAACGTTATGACCCTTTCTTGACAACAATGCGACACTTCCTGCCAAGTTTCACACCAACAGCATCTCAGGAGTAAGACAGACAACATCAAGCAAAGAGTGATCTGGTAAAAATAGTATCCGTATCTCTCGACCTCTTGCCAAGACATGCATGATATTCAGAAAACAGGTCTATAGAGTTTCTCCCGCGTGTCCCGCTCACGAGATGGCAACACGCAATAGCCACACCATCCATTCAAACCCAACCCAACCCAAACCACCACACCCTCAAACCAATCATAGCTACGACGCCGTAAAACACCAACAACACCATGCTTTCTTTCTCCGAGTTTTTAGACGGTAAACCATGAACCCCCAACGCACCGCATCCACGCTCATAATCAAGGGCGAAGGGGTGAAACATTAAATAAAAAAGTATGTACAATGCAAAAACGATTTTGAAGATAAGATGACGAATGTCCTCTCCAAGGCTACGCATGAGCCCGTTGATGAATGAGCTTTTACGTCCGAGCCTGCTGCATGCCAGGGCTTTGCTGTATCTGCGGGTTCTGCGGCGTTGCACTGCGGCTCAGTGGGCGAGCGTTGACCGCAGGGCTGCCAACCTGTCCTGGAGCCTGGCTCATCAAGCGTTGCTGTTGGACAAGTTGTTGCCGGTAGTCCTGGACTGCGTTTGCGGGAGGACTGGCGGCCATGGCGCCATTTTGTTGCTGTTGTTGCTGTTGTTGCTGTTGTTGCTGCTGCTGCTGTTGTTGTTGGAGGTAGTGGTTGTTTCCAACCTGAGGGGACGGGGACATGCCAGGAGAACCAGCTGCAGCGTTCATTGCCTGTACGCGTTGTTTAGCCAGGAACCGGGAGAGTTGTTCGGATGCCACTTTTTGGACTTGGTCTGGGCTCCAGTCCGGATGCTGTACCTTTACATTGTTTTGTATTTGCAAAAGCTGGGGCATGTGGCCGCTGGATAAAGGTCGGGCAGGGCTTTGCATTACGGGATTGACCTGGTTCATCCGTGGTGATCCGGCATTGTTGGACATTCCGTTCATGGAAGCGTTCATGTTTCCGTTCAGATTCTGATTGGACATGGATGCCATCATGTTTGCATTGGGAATGTTGTTCGTGCCCATGCCCTGCGTAAGGTTACCGGCCATGTTGAGTTGTTGTTGTTGCTGCTGCAATTGGAACTGCTGTTGCTGCTGTTGCTGCGAGTTGCTGTTTTGAAACTGACCCCGTTGCATAGCCATGCGCATCTGATCTGGAGGAGCCATACGTTGGGCGTTTTGCATATTGCCTTGCATTTGTGCCTGGGGGACACCGGGTGTGCCCATAGACATGCCCGGTATATTTCCATTAGCAAAATTGGCCGGCATTCCCTGCTGACCCTGTTGTGTTCGTGCTGCCATTGCGGCTGCACTTTGAGCCTGCTGAGTAGGCGGATTGGCCATAGGAACGTTAGGATTACCTCCAGGTGTTCCATTGCGCTGCATCTGGTTGACGCCATTGCCCATGCCTGCTTGCGCTTGCATTTGAGCTTGGCGTTGCGCCACCATTTGCTGCTGTTTAACGTCAGTACTATACACAAACACATCAATATAAGATCTTACCCTCATGCTCATCTCCTGTTGCTGTCTTTGTCTCAGCTTCTCTTCGCGTTCCCACTTGAGGCGGCTGAACTCTTGCGGAGTGTGAACATTGCTCTTCGGCGGCGCAGGCTCATGCGCTTTACGGAGCGCGGCGGCTTTCTGGGATTCTGCCTGCTTGTGTGCAGCAGATTCACGCTTTCTTGCGAGCTTACGCATTCCATCTATGATAGCTAGATGGCGATTATCTCTCCTCCTTTCTACTCGTATTGGCGTTGTGGTAGGTCTCCTTCGTGGCTGTCCTGGGGTCTGACCTTGCTGCACTTGCTGCTGCTGTTGAGCCTGATATTGAGCAAACACAGTCTTATTTGCCTGCTCCAGCCGACCCTGGTAAGTTCGGAAGTACTGAGTTTTTGACATCTCCGCAGGCAAGCCTTCCAGCTGGACCCAGCGTTCAAAACATTCCCATGGTGTCCGTCGACCAGAACCAGATACGAACAAGGATGGCAATGAGAGTTGCTGCGAGACAAGAGACCAGTTGAATGTGTATTCCTTCACCAAAGCCCGAAGTTTTTGGTCTTCTTCCCACAACCATTGGGATGGTGTCCTGTGCTCGAAGAATGCAACTGAGGGCATATTGAACTCGGTCGGCGGTCTAAAGTGATGAGCAGCTTGAAGACGATCGCGAACATGCTTGTTCTCAGTGTTGAACAACGCCACATCTGTCATCTCAGGAAGCAGATCATTCCGACAAAACAACCTTCGGCCGGGAGTTGAGGGCATCGAGTGCTCGGCTGACGTTCCAGAACGACTTGGTGGCGTAGAGGGCTCATCCTCGGAATCGTACTCGTACCTGCTCCGCTTCCTGGGAGGACCTCTTACTTGCGAGACAAGTTTTCCGGTGACAAACTTGGATACAGGAAGTAGAGGCGGTTCGCGAATCGAGAATGGATTGTCGCTCGAGCTCTCGAGCGTGGGCGTGTAGAACGGAATTTCTCCAAACATCGTATCACTAGCAGGCGTACGATCGATTTTCATGACAAAGTCATCGAACCCTAGAGAGAATAGACCAACAGGAGCATGAGCGAGGAAGGGAGTGTGAAGCTCGTCTTCGTCAGCAAAGGACTCAGTCTCCGTTTCGTTTGCGCCAGAGTGCACAAGATCTGGAGTAGGAGCATCCCTCATATCTTGGTCATCGTTACTCGCGAGACTCCTCGACTGGGGAATGCGCGCGCTGACTCTCAGCAGTGTTTGCTCCTCAGGGCTGCTGTTGACATAGTCTGCGCACCACTCAGCAAGTGTGGCAGCAAGAGCCCTCTTCCATTTTCTCTCTTCTCGGAAGTCCGTCTGCATCCATTTCATCTCCAAAAGTAGCTGATCTTGGTGTGAGAACGGACGTTCGGGTTCCACCGCCTTTTGAAGCTGGCGAAGAGACCATCGGTTTGCATTCTGCAATTGGTAGACCCTCTTGAGGATCTTATAATCTTGGTGCTCGCGAATCATGGCGAGCGTACCAGCAGTTGACACGGTCTTCCGTGCAGACGCTACTAATTCCTGCAAGGGCGCAGACCTTGGCGGATGGTGGGCTTGATACTTGAAAAGACCCTCGAGGTAATCCCGGCTAGAATCTTCCGAAGCCCCTTGCAGCGACGCATAGTCCTCATGATGAAGTTGGAGCGCTTTTGAAGCTCGACTGGAGTTCTTCTTGGCAAAAACGACAGTCGAAATCTCCTTTAGCCTGCGGTCATCAGATTTATATAGCACTGGGCTAACTGATGCTGAAACGTTGCTTGAGCGGGGCGTTAACACACGCCTTGGCGTTGTCCTTTCTCCAATCACTTCGGAACCAGACTTTCGTCGCTTTGCCCCAGAACCTCGTGTTGACGTGTGCTCGGTATGTGACGGCTGGAGCTGTCTCGGGGTCGTTTGTTGTTCCTTTGAAGGTGGCGCGTCATCCATTTCGATATCAACGTCGGCAGGTGGGGTTGGGTGCTCCAGAGCCCCAGATTCATCGTCGCTCGATCGGCTAAGGGTATTTCCAGCCATTTCAAATTCCAGCGCGGACAGTTCGGGAGCGGTTGTGGCGGGTGTAGGGAGCGAGTCCGCTGCAGGGTCGCGTGCAGCTTTAGCCTCAACAAGCTGCTCATGCTTTGGTACTATCTCGCGCGCCACTTCCTCAGCGTCCTGTGTCATTGCAGCTGAGCCGAAGTGCGAATCACCCAAACAACGCTTGCCATCGCGAGCAAGCCGTATTGCTTCCTCATGTTCGATTTGGCTTTCAGCATCTGGTGTCGCAGACCCTTCCTCGCGTGCACGTTCCCTTGCTTCCGTCATTTGCTTCTGCAACGCGTTCTCGTGGTCCTCCTTAATCTGCTGCGCCGCAGGATCCATAAGATCGTCGCTTAGTGCTGATGCATGGTCGCGTTCATGAAAAGACTCCGTGTCAGGACTAGTGTCAGGAGAATGGTGGGGCGCATGGGGCGTCGCGTGTGAGTATGCACCGACGGTCGATGATGGCGAGGAAACTGTATCAATGGCTCCATTTGTATTCGGTGGGCCAAGGCGCAAGTCTTCTCTCCGCTCTTTCTCCGCAACCTTCTCCAACTTCTGCTCCGTCTCGAGTAGCCTCGCTTCCTGGACCTCTTTCGGAGGCAGATGAACGACTTGTGGCGCTTTGGGCGGGTCTTGTGTGGTAGATGCTGACAAAGGTTCATCCTGGCTGTCTTCGGTGGTCCGAGGACTGACAGCCTTGGAGTTGAGCAAAGGCTCGTCCGTCATGAACTCCTCTTCAGGTACGGCACTTTGAACAGACAATGCTTTGGATGGTTGACTGCGTAGCGAGCGCGGCGCCTCGTTTGAGGTCTTACTTGCTACCTTTTCTTCCATGGTAGATGCGGACGGCCGTTCTATCCGGGGAGCGACTGGAGGTGGCCTAGCGACGTGATCCGCATCGCTTTGCGCCGACACTTCTGCCGACGGCGGTGATTGGTTCGCGACAGAGGGCGAGGCAGACGCAGCCCGCAGTTGATCCTCGAGGCTGGGACCACGGACGGGAGACGGCGAGGATGATGGGTAGTTGGACAGCGAGGGTCTAACTGGGTTCTGGAACGGCAAGGTGGCTGGTAGCGATGGTTGCTGGACAAGTGGTGGACAGGATGGAAAGGGCAGTGTTGCATCGTGAAAGTGTCGACCTCTAAGAACGCAGCTATGTTAGTGAAACAACGCGACGACGAGGATATAAAGTCGCATGATATATGCGCAATAAATACAACGCGAGGAGGTATAGTTCTCTTACTTGTCAAGGTCGTTGGCGTCGAGAAAGCGGAACTTGTCCTCGCTGAACTCGACGCTGGCCGCCTGGGGTACGCGACCCGCAGCTACAAGGGTCGTGTAGTTCTGAAGCTGGCGGAGGTAGCTCTGGTGCCGCTGTACGCAGTTCCTATACAACGCCATATCAGCACCACCACACGCAAATAAAGCAAAGCGAGCGATTTTCCCGTGTCGCATCGATGCACAGATACATATGAACTGCAGTGCGACAATATCAGAGCAAGTCACTTACGCGATCTCATTCTTTTTCTCCCTAATTGATGCATCACGAAGACCGTCGAGGGACATATGAAGACCGACGATCGGTGGCCGACATCCGTTTTCCACGAGTGTCGCCAACGTGATGGATTATGAGGGTGGTGGAGCGCGTGCGGTGATGAAAACTTGGTTGACGATACACTGAACTGATGGGGGACTTTGCAGGAGTCGTTTGTCGTTGGGAGTCCGCCGCGCCCCTCGTCACTGCCTGCCGCGACAAGCTTCCACTTGGCCGCATCCAGCTAGCGCCCAATTATTCTGCTGATCCTCAAAATTTCGCGTTCGACATCTCGACTGCTACAACACGCGTTTTTTGCAATCAGTCATGGCGAAGAGAAAGAGAGACAACGCCGATAAGGCTGGGGCCTTGAAGAGCAGGAAGGAGGATGCTGCATCGACGCCAAAGCAGGCTGCACGGGTAGAAGTGGCATATGTCAAAACTAAGACAGATGCTGTCAATGGAGATGACAAGAGCACAGCACAGGCAGTTTCGACAACCAAAGACGCAGAGGCTGGTGCTGAGACATCGACTTTCCAAATCATCACTGGTTCATACGAGAGGGTTCTCCACGGCTTCGCAGCAACAATTCCACGGAGCCTCGTTACTGGACATGAGGATGCAACAGCATCAGAAGCCGACAAGCCAAAGATCGACTTCACAGATACGTTTTTGTTCAACGCCCATGCGTCCGCCGTTCGATGTCTGGCCCTCTCGCCACTGTCAGAGGAAACATCAAAAATCACTCTTGCTACCGGTGCTACGGACGAGCGCATAAATCTGTACTCTCTCTCCACTGCTCCTCCGACCATCTCAAAGAACAGGCTCAAGCTACCCTCCCTAGGTGGCAATTCCATTACGGAGAACCCCAAGAACAAAGAGTTGGGATCACTGTTGCACCACTCTTCCAACATTACGGCCCTCTACTTCCCAACACGAAGCAAGCTTTTAAGCGCTGCAGAAGACAGCACCATAGCGATTACACGAACCCGGGACTGGACCGCACTATCAACCATCAAAGCGCCGATACCAAAACCGCAAGGACGACCCAGTGGAGATACAGCTGGACCTGGCGAGGTGCCCTCTGGAATCAACGACTTCGCCGTTCATCCCAGCATGAAACTGATGGTCAGTGTCGGGAAAGGCGAGAAGTGCATGCGACTATGGAATCTCGTGACAGGAAAGAAAGCCGGCGTGCTCAACTTTGGTCGAGAAATTCTCTCAGCGGTAGGAGAAGGACGATTCGGGTCAGGAGAAGGCAGAGGTGTGATCTGGGACAACGAGGGCGAAGAATTCGCGGTAGCGTTCGAGCGCGGCGTAGTCCTCTTTGGTATCGACTCCAAACCAAAGGCCAAGATCCTGCCGACGCCGAAGACGAAAATCCACCAAATGCACTACCTTCCGTCCAAGTCGCATCCGAACACACTGCTGGTTTCCACCGAAGACGGCCGTGTACTCCTGTACGACACAACTACCACTACCACCAGCGAGAACGCAGAAGACGCCAAAGAAGACGACATCCCCCCCAGCAAATTGATCGCCCAGGTCGGTGGCCCAGCAGCGGGGATATCAGGCCGTGTTAAGGATTTCGAGGTCCTTCCCTTCTCCGCGGCAGACACTTCGCTCTTCCTCATCGTCACCGGAAGCAGTGATGGGACAGTGCGACTATGGTCTCTCGACATCGAAGAACTCAAGGGCGGGGATGGGGCGGAACAAGAAAAGGGGCTTACTGCGAAGCAGGTTGGGCACTTGCTGGGCACGTATTCGACGGGCACCAGGATCACCTGCTTGAAGTCTTTTGCCATGACTGGTACGCCGGACAAGGAGGAGGAGGAGGAGGTTGAGATTGAAAAGGACGTCGAGTCCAGTAGTGATGAAGAGGGTGCATGATATAAGATGGGATGAGATGAGAGAAGATGCAAAATAGATAATGATACCACTTGCCATTCTACATGATTTATTCACTTTTGACATATAAGATATTATGATATGTCCCACAAATTTTACCAGATCATATCGGACGGATCGTACTTTTAATACGACAATGTACCTTGTTCATTAAATAAATAAAGACATGTTTTCATTTCACTCCATCTCATTTAATCGCATTTCATATCCGTTCCCTACCATTTCACACCACTCCATTCCCCTCAACTAAGAATAAAGACAACCCTCAGAATATTCAGTCCATGCAATTTCTATCTTGAAAATACCCAGACATGCATTCTATCCACTTCACTCCAATCCACACTACACTGCTATATTACCCCCTCTCTTTCTCTCACCCACCAACCATCAAAATAAGAACAAGAAAGAATGTAAAAAATATACAAGGGGAATCAACAAACCCAACCCGACCCAACTCTGAACAACAATCTCCCAAACGCCAAAGTAAAACAATCATTACGCCCAGCTCTGCGTTCAAAAAAGTCTCCCCTCACAAGCGACGACGGAGCAAGGCAAAGAAACGGAGATACCTCATACACGTACAACATACAAGCCGCCGTTGCGCAAGGAAAAGAAATCCCACGACGTGAAAAGTTCAGTCTTGTTCTTCTTCTCTAAGACCACACATCAACATCAACATCGACACGACCTCACTCCACACCCGCACCACTTACAACCCCCTCCGAAAACGAAGCATCACAACCGCCAAAACCCCTCCTCCTCCTCCTCACACACCTCCCCCTCTCTCAGCAGCACAGCCTGCAGCTCAAGATCCATCTAAAACCTATCTCTCGCATTATTCCCGCCATTATGATTTTCAAAAAGGTCCTCCAAATAAGCGCTAGGAGCGCGACCGCCCGTCGTCGAACCCCCGGGTACATTGAGCGAGAGCTGGCTGACGTTATCGGCTGCGTAGAGGGGGCTGCGCGAGTTGCCGAGGGTGGCGACGCTGTTGCGGTTATATGTGGAGAGGCCGTCGCGGGAGTGGAGGGGGCGGTCGTAGCCGCGGGATGGGGGCAGCGAGGGGGATATAGTGGGGGAGGTTCCTGCGTGGGAGCCTGGGATGGCGAGGGAGTTTGTCGAGGGGTGGCCGCCGACGTGGACGGAGGATGTGGGTGCTGCGGTGCCGGTGGAGTAGTAGCCTGCGGGGAGGTAGTTGGAGGAGCGGTTCCCTGGGTTTTGTAGACCTGATGCGCCGCCGGCGGTGGGGGAGAAGAAGAGTGAGGAGGTTGAGCGGACGGCGCCTGGGGGGCGTGTGGGCCTGGATGTGCCGGGCGGGGCGGCGGCGGAGAGGTGGTCGAGCGACATTGTTGAGTTTGCGCCGACGACGTTGTACATGCCACGCTTGCCGGGTACGGCGGACATGGCTTTGATGTCTGCGGCGCTCTGTGCCATGGCTGCGCGCTTGACGGAGCGATGTAGAGACCATGCTACTAGCCCGCGCCATAGGAGCACACTCAGACCCATGAAGCCGAGGATAGCACCGACGCAGATGAAGACTGTGCCATCGGGCAGATCAGACTTCTGCATATACGGCGCATTGGCCGTGTTTGGGACTTTCTGGACGGGGACGCCAACACCGGCGAGCGTCGGTAGACCTGAAAGATGGACGCCGTTGTCGGTAGTGACGGTAGGAAAATCGCTGTTGTTGGTGGCGGTCGCCGTGGCCGTCCCTGTGGTTGCTTGTGTAGTTGCGGCTGTCTGTGATGTGCCTGATGTTGCAGTATCCGTTGCTCCCTGTCCGTTTGGCTGCGAAAGCGTGGACAGGTTGGGCAGCGCGGTGTCTTGCGCGAGAATGGCAGGCGCGAGGAGGACGACCAAGCCGACGAGGCCGGCCGAGGGACGCATGGCGATTGTTGTGAGCGAGAGTGGCTATGTGGGGGTGGTCGACAGTCGATGGTCAAGTACGAGATGTGTTGCGAAGGGCCGCGCGGTGTTGGAGGCGTTGGTGGCCACAGGCGCAGAGTCGAGCGTCGAAGGACTGAATCGCGGGTGGCGGGGAGAAGCGGAGCAGCAATGCAGTGTAAAGAGTGACGAGGGCAAATAAAATGCGGAGAGAGCCAAATGTGCGCAAGAGGCTGCTGGTGGAAGTTGGATGAATACGGGGTTGCAGGGGCGGAGTCGCTAGGTTGAACACGGCATGACGATCGAAACGGAGCCACGGGAGCGACGGAATGAACACCGTAGCAGACTGTATCAATAGCGATGCGGATCGAGGCGAGCGGAATAGCGATTGCTCACACAATACGTGCCGTCATGAAGCAACCTGGACATTTGAAGAAAAAGAGCAAAAGACCCTGGACATGTCATGCTCGTCCCTGCAGCATCGTGTGCGTGCTGCTTCTATTTCGGGACTGGGAGGCGTCGGCCCTTGTTTCCGCCGTGAAATCTTGGCTGGGCGACCCACTGAAAAGTAGTCACGGTCTCTTCGTAGCTGTGCATCTATCTATACACGACCACGCAACCACAGCCATGGGTGTCCAGAAGAAGACGCGCAAGTTTGCGCAGGTGAAGCGGGTTATCGGTGAGTCTTCCATCAACAATCTACACACGCAGTGCTGACACACATCCAGGCCAACGCGATGCCAGACTGTATGCGACGACGCGCCCCACCACTCCACGAAGCCCCAGCTAACCCCTCGCCCTAGCAAGAAGAACCAAATGGCGGGTGAAATAGAAGCAAAGAAGAAGGAGCAGGAATCCCAGGCAAAGCGAGAAATGTACCTCCCACCCCACAGTCCCCACCTGCAACACCACAACCACCATCTAACACCCCCCCTCACAGCCCCCAAGTCTCCTCAGCCCTCTTCTTCCAAGCCAACACCGCCCTCGGGCCCCCCTACTCCGTCCTCGTCGACACCAATTTCCTCTCGCACACGGTCCATGGCAAACTCGAGCTCGACAAAGCCCTCATGGACCTGCTGTACGCAAAAGCCACGCCCATAATCACTACCTGCGTCATGGCCGAGCTGGAGAAACTCGGCCCCAAGTACCGCATCGCCTTGCGCATTGCGCGCGACGAGCGCTGGGAGCGCCTCAAGTGCGACCACAAGGGCACGTATGCGGATGACTGCATTGTGGACCGCGTTATGAAGCATAGAATTTATCTGGTGGCTACGAATGATAGGGACTTGAAGAGGAGGATTCGCAAGATTCCTGGTGTGCCGATTGTTAGTGTGGCTAAGGGCAAGTATGTTATTGAGAGGCTGCCCGATGCGCCGGATAGTCATTAATCGTGTGTGGTCTTGGTTCATGCATAGCGCGGGCGTCCTTTGTTTTTGGAATGGAGTGGGCTGTTAAAAAGACTACATCTAGGGGTGGAGTTTCTTCTAGATTTCCTGATGTTGGTTTGCAATTCGGTAGTTATCTACCAGTTATGCGTTTATGGGAACAATCTGGACTAAGATCATGCAACGCAGTGTTGTTCACACGTGTTGATGTTCGACCTTCTTCTCACAGAGTTTCTACAAGACAAGACGACAGCACAAGTGTGTCCAGCGCAACACGCCTCCTCTGCAATTCACACGCAAACCCTTAGAGAAAACACCACGCTGCAGATACAAACACAGCTTAACGCTATTGAAACTTGACTTTTTGAATGAATCTATCATACACCTAATGTACCTTTACGTACAACGCCTTCCACCATGGTCATCGATTGCACCACTTCATCCCATCTCGTACATGCCAAAGTCTCAAGACAAACTACCTCACGCTCTTGGGCAGAGCCTTGCGCTTCCTCGCCTCGCCGTTGAGGTTCTGGCTCGTAGCAGACTGGATAGCAGCTTCATCCTCGGGCAGGTCGGACGACTCGAGGAGCGGCTCTTCGACGAGATCTTTGTTGCCGAGGACGCGGCCGACGGACTGATTGTAGGCGAACTTGGGGATCTTGAAAAGAAGCGTGTCGAAGATGGTGGGCTTGGGCTCCTCGTCGGGCTGTAAGGGTTTGTTTGTTAGCTGGTGATTGTTGTTGAATTAGAGAGGAGTGAACTTACGTCGAGCAGAAACTCGCCCTTCTGGCCCTCCGCGGTTTCTTCCTCAAGGAACACGTTACCAACCGAGTCTACGATCAGCGTCTTGCCGTTCTGGGCCACGATGCGCTTCTTCGCGCCCTGGGGGCCGGACGTGAGTTCTGCCTCGACGGGCGCGCTGATGCCATTGGCACGCGCGACCTTTGCGGCCGCCTTCTTGGTCTTGTCCTTCTTGTCCATCTTGTCCATGGCGCGTTTCTCGCGGCGGTTCTTGGGGACGGGCTCTTCCGGGGTGGATTCTTCTTCCTGAGGAGCCGGTGCAGGAGCCTCGTAGAACCCCTGCCAGCGGAGACCCTCAATGGCCGTCTCGTCGCCCCATGCCGTCTTGCGAGCGTGGCGGATGTATCGCTCGACGAACTCGCGGCGGCGCTTCCAGCCCATCAGCAGAGCGAAGTAGTGCATTCCTCCACCAAGGCCGACGAGCAGGCCGAGCACGACAGAGCCGAGTCCAGGGCGGAAGCGGGCGTAGTAGTATCCTGAGCCCCTCCATGCCGGGAAGCCGTTCCTCAGGAAATGGTCGTAGCGCTCGCGCTCTGCGCCCTTGAGGATGTTTGCGACGACGGAGAGACGCTGGTAGCTGGCAGTGACTTTCTTCATGTGGGCATCAGTCTCCTTCTTCGAGGGTTGCGTGCTGCCCTTCTTGCTGGTCTTGGCATAGTTCTTGAGGAAGACCTTGCGGGCCTTGTCGGGGTGGAACTCGCGCGACTTTGTGCGGTACGCTTTGGTCAGCTCGTCTTGCGAGGCCGACGGCTTGACGCCCAGCATGTCGTAGAAGGTGACATTTGCTCCTTCGGCCGTGGCTACCTCGTCGCGCAGGCGGAAGATCTCGTGGTCTGCGTAGTGGCATGTCAGCTACTTGCTATGTCATGTTGGGGGTGTTTGTGCATAGCAACAGAAACCACGTGTTACCAACGCAATGCAAGCAATTGGGTGTGGAGAGGGATTACGTACCCTCCTTGGTCCAGGCGGCAGCAAAGGCGGCGAACAGGCACAGCACCAGGGCGAGCAACGCGTGGGACTTCATAGCTGTGTCGCGTTCCCCAGCGGGAGGTTGTTCTGCGGGTGGTGGGAGAGGTGCACAGCAGTGGTCCAATCAGGCGCGGCTGATGGAGGAGGAGAGGAGAGGACGGATTGGTGAGCGATACACCACCGTGACTGCCTTGGTTGCGCAGTCTGTCGTTGTTCCTCGACTCTTTCCCAGCTCCAGGAAATCCACCGTGGCCTTTCGAGTGATCAACATGTGGGAGCTCTAGACCGGACCTCTGCGCGGCCTGTGCATCCGTTCTGCTCCCTGGTCCCTTGATTTACGAAGGGGCCGCCAAAAGTACACACCAGGCAACGACACGTATTCCTCGCCTCCTGCTCCTGACCTGCTCCTGCCCACCGCTGCTCAGCCGCATTCGCTTCGTCATTCTTTTGCGACTATAGCGCTCCCGGTAAGATGGCCACTTCCCCTTAAAGTCCCAACATTCTGTGATCCCTTGAGACCATCTTTTCCCCACCTGCCCTCCTCCTACACCAGCTGACATCGTCCCAAAGCTCAGCAGCAAACTCCCACATTTCCCCCATCATGTCGCGCTTTAGCATCCCCATCGACGCCCTGACGTCCAGGATGAACCTCTCAGGCCGTTTCGATGGCCTGCGCTCCACCTCGGTCTCCTCGCGCTTCGCCAACCTGCGACCCATCTCCGAGTTCTTCGACGTCAAGCGCGTCTCCAAGCCCGCCAACTTCAGCGAGGTCCAGAGCAGGGTCAATTTCAACCTTGGCTACTTCTCGAGCAACTACGCCGCTGTCTTCGCCATGCTCAGCGTCTATAGCCTGCTGACGAACCTGCTGCTCCTCTTCGTCATTGTCTTCGTCATTGGTGGCATGTTCGGTATCGGGAAGCTCCAGGGCAACGATCTTGAGCTCGGTAGCCAGCGCGCGACCACCTCCCAGCTCTACACTGCGCTTTTCGTCATTGCCATTCCTCTCGGCCTGTGGGCATCTCCCTTCAGCACCGTCCTCTGGCTCATTGGCGCTTCGGGTGTCACCATCCTGGGCCACGCGTCCTTCCTGGACAAGCCAATCGAGACAGCTTTTGCCGAGGAGGCGGTCTAGGTGGTCGGCCGCGAACTCCTTACGCTTCGCCCTCATGGGGAAGACCACAGGGAACGACAGGTGTGGGGAAATTTGTGGAGAGGGTGGACGATGTGTATAGATTTCAGGAACTCAGCAGCGACGACGAGAAAAATGGCAATATTTTATACCACGACTATGAGCAGGGTCCTGTTGGCAGAAGTTTGAACCCCGATGAGTTATACTTTAATGATATGGATTTGGCTGCATGGGAGAGGAAAACATCAGCTTTGGACGGACACGCGTATGAAACAGACCGTGATCAAGAAGATGAAGACTACTACGAACACACTGGTGAACACATTTCTACGGCCGATTACGAAGAACTCCTATTCCGGCGCGTACTAGACAAGATTCGAGTATCCAGAGCGGCAGGCGATTCAGATGTTCAGTTGAGTCCTGCAGAACTTGAAGCATATCAATCGAAACTGTATGGTGCAAAGGCGCCTGCAGTGCGCCCACGACCAGAGCCTAGGCCAATCAGTTCTCCAGTTTTGAACGACACTGCAAGCATTGCGAGCGCCGACACAATCACCAGCAAACCAGACAATTTCGCCTCTAGCAATTCGCGACCCAAAAAGAGCCATCATCGTCCATCAATGTCTGGATCTAGGTCACAGAAAGACAAAGGGAAAGAGCGAGAGAAAGAGAAACACAGCAGTCGAAAACGCACAACTCCAACTTTGTCAAGCGCCACAAGTCCCGCGCCACTGCCTGCACGGTTTACACCTCCTTCCCCGCCTCCACCACCTGGCTTTCTCGTCCCAGGCCCCGACGGGCAGCCAATGTACGCACCCATCAACGCGTACCCAAGCAGACGAGCTCGTGACCCCGAACCTCCGAAGCGATCGCCTCGCCCCGCTCCACCCACCAGCTACCAGGCCCCCCGCAACGCTCCTCCGAGCATCGCCCCACCAAACGACATCCCAGGAGCGTTCCCAGGAGCGTTCCCAGTAGCCCCACATCAGCACCAGCCCCCACCTCCCCGACAAGAACGCACAATGCCACCATCCCGCCCGCACGCACTCGACCACGAAATCCCTCCCCGTCCGTCCTCCCAGCATTCAGTCAAACTTGTCCCCTTCCCAGTCGAACAATACCAATACCACACTTTCGACCTGCCTGCTTCAAATACCTCCTCTCCGCCGCTTCCGTATACAAGGAGTATCGCCTCGGGGTCGGACGTCGGCAGCTACACGGCTATGCCGCGTCGTGTTCCCGCGCCGGTGTCAGCATCAGTACCGGCAATGCCTCCGTACGCGGTATCTGTACCGGCTGTACAGACTGGCTACGCTGATCCGGTGTATACGACCAGGGCGTCTAGTTCGGGGGCTGCGGTTGCTGATGTGGATTATGCGAGTGGAGGGGTACTGGGTGATGGTAGCGCGCAAGCGGCGTCTGCTAGACTTGGTACGAAGGAAGGGTCGAGTGGGAGGCACGGCGAGAGGAAACGGAAAAGCGGGAAGAAGGGTTGATGGTCTGCTTTACTTTCTTGGGCTCATGTTGTTTGATATCACTTGGAGGGGTTGGGCTTGTTTCGTTGCTGGTGTGAACCCGTAGGCTATGTCGTGGGCGAATTTAATATCTTTGTCGGTAATCCATTGTTTCCTGCTGGACTTTTCTCGTCTCAAATTATCCATGTCCATCCGTCTTCTCCCTGTTCGGCATATCATTGTATCTCACACTTCACTCGACAATCCAGGTTCTTCACACACACACTCACACACACATACACTATCCCATCTTCCTCTATCACTTTCGCCACACTGATAAGTAAAGTAAAGAAAAGAATATTGAATTTATCTGGTATATAATCGCGCGGGCATTCAAACAACCCGTTCCCCGAAACAAGCAAGCGGCCGTAAAAACGTCTATCTATATATGTAGTGCCCATAGACAGACAAAACCGGTATAAAAAGAGAGATAAGAAGGGAAAGGAAAAGGAACCTGAGATCGTAACTTCATACCATATCATGTCGTACCATACAAGTGCGTCCCGTCCGTCCATCCAATTATCGCCACCCAACAAACTCTTTACACAAACTGCGATACCATCTTAGCCAAGCTAGCCAGACTACCAATCGTCGCCGTCGCGGTGCCAATCCCACCAGCCACGCTCTGCATATCCCATCCTCCGCCGCCGTATCCACCGCCGCTATACGCGCCCGCCCGCTCGGGTCCGTAGCCCTGGCTGCCATAGTACCCTCCACTGCTAGCCGCCCCCGTGAGAGCCCGTCCCCGTTCTCCTGTATAACCCGCGCCGTTAAACCCGCCGCGCGGGCCAGCCATGTCGGGCAGCGTGACGCCGAACTGGCGGGCGAGGCGCACAAGCAGACCTCCGCTGACGAGCGGCATGATGACGGCGAAGAAGACTTTGTATGGGTGGCGGCGCGCGTACGCCATTATCTCGCGCAGGAAGTGCCGCAGCTTCGCGTACAGGTGCTGCAGGTACGAGTGCCGTGGGGATCGCTTGTAGCGCGATGTCGACGAGTAGTGGCGTGAAGACGTCGAGTAGGCACTGCCTGCTGTGGAGCGCGCGCGTGAGGTGGAGCGGCGGCGGGAGGAGGAGCGCGAGTGGGAGGGCGTGTGCGAGGGGGAGAGGGAGAAGGGGTTCCAGCCCATGATTGCGGTTGTAGTTGTGGATGTGGGTGTGTGTGTTGTGGTGGAGGTGTTGGTGTTGGTGAGTCGTGGGATGTGGTTTGGAAGTGTGAACGACGTGTCGTGTCGGGCCGAGGCGAGTAGGATGGGGTCGATTTGAATTTAATTGGATCGTTCGAGGAAGGCTTTTGAGGATCGACGTCGAGATACCGTTGCGTGTGTGCTTGACCGACTCGCGCGCAATCACCCAATCTTTAAGCAGCCCAGTCGATGCAAACGTGTCACCGGTGACTCTTCTTAGTAAACGTGTCTCAATGACTCTTTCGTCGCCAACGGCTTCAAGATATGCTAACAATAGTGTTGGAAAACGTGGCGGGACGACTCGACTTCCTCCTCACCAACGAAATAGGTTTCGTCAATAATAATCCGTCGCGAAAGTTACGTGTTGCAGTGAGTCTTGCTATGCCAGCGCAACACAATACAACCCAATCCTTTCGAACAGCCCAGCCACAGATCTTGTGGGTCAAATTGGGCCTCAACAGCCTTCTTTTGTTTTGCCCTTGCCACTCGCCTTCTTGTTATTCGCCGATTATCACCTCGTTGAGCGTCACACAGCAGTAGTCCCTGTCCAGTGGCAGAGCGTAGTAGTAGTGTCCGGGCGCTGGTCAGGTGGGAATCGCACGGTTGGGGGATGGGAAACTCTCGAAGTCACAAAGGATCCGTCGCCGGGTTGCGTGAACTTGTGGAGTCGTGTCAAAGGCGATCGTGGAGCTAACAGACCGCTTTTTGGTGGTTGGCCGGGATCCCTGCGTCGTGGTGACGTTGGACTTGCCGCGACACCCGGCATATGCTGTGCGATGTCTTGCGTGAACGAGCTGTGAAGGGACCATGATTGGTTGCGCTGAGTATTCAGGAACGTGTATGGTTTGATTGAGGAGTTGACAGTTGTACGACGATGAGTGGGGCGAAGATGCGGTGAGGTCTGGACAATATGGGAAACGGGTACCTGAGCCTATCATGCAGTGTTCAATATTTCAACACTTTCGTAGTTGCATATCAGCTATAGCACAACGTTATTTGGCTTAGTATATTGAATTTGCGTGTGTGAGATGGGGGTTGTAGTTGAGATCAAACATACACTCACGCAGACTCAGGTCGATCTGGCTCAATTGTACAATAACGAACAAGCCACTTCCAGCGTTCAAACGTCCGTAGTTCTATCTAATAAACCAAGCATGCTTGTACATGCCGCATTCTGAGAAAATAAGGATATCATCATTCATACAGTTCACCACCCTGCTCGCCCCCAGCCCTTCATCCACTAACTTACACCTCCTCACCCCAAAGCGGATGAAAACGCCTTCGCCGCAAGGTCAGTGAGCATCCTTGCCTTATCCGCCTGCGGCAGCTCCTGGAATACACTGTAGACACTCTTGCCCTTCGCATCCCTCACGTTGCCCAATCTATTGCCCGCCACAGCACCAGCCATCATGCCTGGGAAATTTGCAACGATGAACCCCATTGCGGCGCCACTCAACCCGCCAACGATGCTCCAGAACTTGCCCGTCGGCGCCGCGTTTTGACCTTCCGCCATGCCTTCTTCCCGCAACATTTCCTCGAAGATACCACCAAACTGCTCCTCGGAGAACTTGTTATGCGAGTCCTCGGTGTTGCCTGCAGGTGCGCTGCCGAAGCCGAACGCGGACCAGGGGAAGCCGCCTCCAAAGCCACCACCCGTGTTTTGGTTGGCCGTATCATCAGCGTACTCAGACTCAGGTGTTGCGGTGGACCCAGTGAAGGGGTTGTAAGAACGTGCTGAATCGTAATCACGTCGTCGCGTGGGGTCGGATAACGTGTAATAGGCGTCATTGATGGACTGGAACCTCTTTGTGCGGGCTGCGCGTTCGGGGGAATCGGATGGTACCCGGTCAGGGTGGTGCTTCAGGGCCGCTCTTGAAGGTTGTCAGAACAATTGTGAGGAATAGATGAAGGGGGCGTTACTTCTTGTAGGCATCCCGGATCTGCTGTTGTGTTGCTTTGGAGTCGACTTCAAGGACCTTGTCTACACAGGCGATCAGAAGGGCAGCATGTATAGTGTCAAACAAAAAGCCTACAGTAGTCCACTGGAGGCGCTATTCGATGTTAGTTGTAGCCTAGTCGAAGAGGTACTCATGTCATACCCATGATGATGAAACTCGGATATTATAGTTGAGGATAAAAGACAGAGACCAAGGAGGGGTTTCAGTGATATCAGATCAGGAGGACGTAGACAGTTGGGGAGTGAAGCGCGTGGTACGGCCAAGGTAGATGCGGTTCGATGGGCAAGGTGAGACTTGCAAACGCTACGTCATCGCTCGTCAGGGTCTTGTAATTACAGTAGCTTGACCACTGTGTCTTCTAAGATATAGAATATTTGTATTGTCATTTACTCTGGTTGAAACTATGTCTTCAACTTTGATCTGTTTGACACAGACAAATGCAACGTGAACTTAAATTTTTGATTGTTTGAATTAGCTAAAATGATTACGAAGCGTGCCTATGAAGTTGTCTCTAACCCCCACCCCAGTACGATACCATTGAAATCCCAACCATATACATTTCGCATCCCAAATGTCCTCGAACAAGGTCCTGATATTTCAACCAACCCTTTATTCCTATGTACATGCCCACCCCAACGCATTACCGCCGAAAACTCGCACTCAACCCCGAAAAGGCGTCGGGTGAATGCCTTCCTCCCATCAACCCCGAGAAGTCCACACTCTCATTACTCACATGTCTGACCCCTTGTGTTTGCGCCGCAGAAAGCGGTTTACCATGCTGAGGAATTCCCTGGCTTGCTGCAAAAGGGTTCATGTGACCAGACCCTATAGCACTTACTGGCGCTGAAACTGGCGCGGGCGAGGGTAGCGTCTGCGATCGCTCGGGAGGTTGAGGAGCAAGTTGCGGATAGTTGTAAAGCGCAAGAATGGAAGACTTGTCAAAGGGGTTGGCAGTTTGCTGAGGTCCAGATGGTTGGTAATTTGGTTGTTGATAAGTCTGTTGTTGATTTTGCCATGGATTGGGCGCCTGGGCGGTGGGCGTTTGTGTTTGTTGTTGCATCATGAAAGGGTTTGACGCTTGCTGCTGCTGATGTTGCTGTTGTTGGGTAGCTTGTTGTTGAGCGACATACTGTTGTTGTTGATACTGTTGAGGAACCTGTTGTTGCGCTGGCGGCTGTCCAAACGGATTTGAATTCAAACTCATGGGCGTGAAGGTCTGGCTCCGAGATGACTTCAAAAAGGGATTACCCGGGCTGGTTGGAGAAGACATTGGTTGGTACTGCGGTTGGGATGGGAAGAAAGAACTGTATTGTTCTGGAATTTGCGGCATAGGTGGCGGTGTAAAGGATTGCTGAAAGGGGTTCGTTTGTGAGTACTGCGGAGCTTGGGGCTGGCCATGTCCTCCGGTTCTGTTTGGAAACAACGGTTGTTGAGTTTGCTGTAGCTGTTGCGGTTGCTCGTGAGACAGTTGTAGATTTTGGAATACCTGGTCTATGCCTTGGTGTTGCTGGACCTGAGGCTGTTGCTGGTAGTTGTAGTTGTATTGCTGTTGTTGTTGTTGTTGTTGTTGTTGTTGTGGTTGCGACTGCTGAGCAAAGCTTTGTTGCTGGTATTGCCCTTGCTGAGCTTGTGACAAGAATGGATTGTACGAATTCGAAGGCGTTGGCTGAGCAGAAGAGTTCCCATACATTTGTTGCTGGGCCTGACTTTGCGAAAATTGATGCGACGGCTGCTGCTGAAGTGGAGGCGCAGCAGCATCTAAAGCGTCAAACGGATTCATAGACGTAGTCGGAGCAGTTGTTGTTTGCGCGTTGTCGAAACTAAGGCCATTCGTACCGGATTTCGTGGATGGAGTAGGGGTGCTCCCTCTTGACTTCCCAGTGTTTTGCTCACCCAGCCTGATCAGCGCTTCTACGGTCCTGTCCAAGTTGCCGTTCAGCCCTTTCAACACGGTAGAGTTCCGTTTGTCATCGGGGAAGCCCATGTCTCGCAATGTCGCGAGCTTCGAGTCCAACCCATCGCCTGACGTATGTATGTTTGACCCAAAGACTCGAGACGGCTTGTTTACTCGCGGTGGTGAAGTTTCTTGCCCGAATCCCCCAATACCGGGTGACACCGGAGGCGTAAGGTCTCGTGGAGTATTTGAAGATTTCCGTAGTCCAAACCCAAATCTGCCAGAGGGCTTTGGGGGGAGTGGTGGTGGCCTATCGTCGGAACTCGTGCTGCCCGTATTCTGCTGCGTGCCTAATCGGGGGTCGTTCATGTATGCTCGCTGCTCGTACTTCTGCCGTATGTATCTTTCCATGGCACTATCCACCTCGTCGACATCGATGGGCGTCTGGGCTTTGTTGTTTCGTGGAGTGTATATTCTGTTCGACTCGATATTGCCAATGCGCTTCATGTTCTGAGAATATGTCAGTACTTGGGCTTGTTTGTCGGAAGTAGTTCTTCTCCTTACATCGACTTGCGCGTTGTCCCACTTGTCCATGCTCAGCGATTTGACCTTGGAGATGTGTGTTCCGAGCTTGCGGTGTAAGGCTGCGCATCGCATGCACAAGAATATGCCCAACTGTTTGTGGTCAGCATCCCAGACGTTTCCTAAGAGCGATTCGAGTGGAGAGACGTACACTCCAACTTGCCCATCCTGTATTAAACCGTCAGTAAGCAGGAAGCAGCTTGCGCGCACCGTACTTACCGGGATTCCTCGCGCCGCAGTCTGCACATGTGCCATTTCCGGGGACAGTCTTGATCAGCTCTTGCAGCGCACGCTCGTTGCGCGCTTGCTGCCGTTTGTTCAATGCGGAAGCCATCGTCTTGGGGGAAGAGGAGCGTGTCGCACGACGAGAGAGGTCAGGGAGCGGAAGAACGTGCACGGGGCGACGCGCAGGGATCGACTGGGCGGAAGGACGGCGAAGACTGGCTGGTTGCGAAATATAGCACAGATTATTGTCCAAACGAAGACATTTCGAGGATCATACAAAGAGAAAGGAGACCTCGAAGCCTCCTTGGCTGGACGCCATGACGAGTAATGCATCCCGGCCGCCATCGCACATGGCACTTCCCTAGGCCCCACAAACTAACGACACCCCGGCATCACTGTCGGAGCTTGCCATGCTCGCTCAAGGTACGCGATCGAGCTTCATTCAAGGCCACATTGACATTGGACTCGATGCAACTTGTGTATCGCCAAACCCCGCAAGCTGCTCGCTTTGTGGGAGGCCCTCAGACTTGCAATGTTGCGAGGAACGAATCTCAAAGACATGGACCCAGTCCATTGAGAGAGCCTGTCAAATAGCCTCGAGGCATGAGGAAGAGCTCAAGCATACATCGAGGACTGCAAGAAGGAATGTCTGGTCACGCAGGTGGTTCCAAGCCTCATGGAGAAATCGAAGCAAAGAACCTAAAAGTGCCGATTCAGTCTAGAACGCAAATATGACAACCATAAGGTGGAAATTCAGTATGGCCGTTGATTGATCGTTCATTTGTATGATTGTGTGTGGAGAAAACAGAACCTTGACCGGCCAGCGAAGTTTTGCTCGCGAGACGCCAAGCGCCAAGTCATCGGAACAATCATCGGACCGAACAGTGCCTATGTCAATTTTCTCCGACAGACTTTTGTTTGCCAACAACGACCAACATCGTTTCCAGCACACCGCATCTCGAGCATGCTCTTCGATACCGAACAATCAATGATAGTTGTTCTGGATCATGCTCGCCTTGCGCTGTACTGCAGCTTCCCCACGATTGCCTGCTCCTTGGTTCAGTTCTACATGGCCTTGGTGCAACATTCCTTCTAGTGGGAGATCGAAATAGGTTTTTAGCAGGACCGTGTCTACTCCACCCTACGTATTGCCATCCTTTAAATGCGTAGGACTATATCACAGACAAACATATTTTTGTGATGTGACTGTTGTCGTGGCGATGTCGTCGAAGCTCGCCCGTTGAGGCAAACGGTACCCAACGTTTTTCAGGGTTACATTACTTTCAGCCTATGTCCACAGCCACGTTCAAGCCACAACAGCCATCGAATCCAGACTCTTTGATCGAGGCGTAGACATCATAGGTTACGAAAGTTTCTTGAGAAAGTTGCCGGGCACAAGGCGGTTGTTGTTGCCTGTCGCATGGGGCTCACCGTGTCGGCGTCTCCAAGGCTCGATATATCCTGTGAATGAGAAAGCTGCCGTGCGTTGTTGCCGGGATATCATCTCTAGCTGCCTCTCTAGTTGCATGCAGAGTGTCGAGATGACGACAATCATCATCAAGTCAAAATCGATACTGAGCGGTCTGTTTGTACCTCAGGAATTGGGTGGCGCAGCTGTCAGACCGTCCCTGGCCAATGGGAAAGCTGCCGTGGCTTAGTGTCACCGCAACTTCCAACGCCCAAACTACTTACCTTCACGCTTCTTCCTTCCACCACGCTGAACGGACATGGTTTCCTCACCGACTGAGCTCTTCGTAACGTCATATTTTGCTGGCGTCTACCCGCATACGATATGCGCCACGCACGTCTATCGTCCTCAGACGCTTGGAGCCTGGCCTGCTTTACGTGGAAGCCTACCACAGAGCTGAGGCTGTCTTACAACACCGGTTCACTATATGCGATGCTAGCAAGGGCTGCGTCGTTTGTTGGCTGCCTAGCTCGTAGCCAGAAGCTACGCGATGATGTCAAACTGAACCACAAAGGATCAAGAGTTGTGGCTGAAGCACTGCCACTCTGTGATTGAAGCTAAGGAAAAGCAGTTACCAAGTGCTTGATCAAGAGCGGTAAATGCCATCAGCATTGCTGCCTTATCAGAGTGATGAGGCACGATCAAAAGCCATTCTATTGGACTGTGCCAGTTTGACAGTAGGAGACCATGCAGGTACCTTCGAATCGAATCGTATCTCACTTACCGGAAGCTGCATGGTTCTGCCCTAGCTGATGGTTCACCAATTGAATCAATTCCACGTCGGGCGTTATCCACTACCCATGGCCCCTTTTCTAGACTATGGCGTTTTCGTCTTCACTGCAATCGTCTGACCAACAGTTATCGATACCACGGAAGGACGTCATAACATGGTGTATTATTAACCTCACGGAAGAGCCGAACTAACGGACTTCAATCCCTGAGCTTCTCCATTTAGGCATACACTTTCTGTTACGCAAAGACCAGGGGAAGGCTACCAAAACTCATGGGCAACAATCAGTCTCTATCCATCCACATTCTAGTCAGCTGAGTCGTGCTACTAGAATGACGGCCTATCAAGACTTTCTCTACGGGAGTTTTGGATCTTGCATATATGCCAAGCCGACTACAATCTCGTTGTCTCCGATGCCATCTCACTTTCGTCACTTCGTGCGGCTGAAGGCTAGCTGTGGGTCCATCCCATCATAGTATGGATATCTGGGTGCGGAATCCGGTCAAGTCTCGTTGTTTTCCTTCGACTGGATTGTATCGAGTGTCTTTCGACTTTGCTCGGACTCAAGGAGTATCCTTTCGCTAATAGATATTGAGCTCTGCACAACTAGGCGTCAATATATAAAGTACATACAGCCCATCACCCCAGATCTAACTAGAAGTCGGGTTCATTGTTGAGACATCGGATGCCAAAGACGACCAGCAACCCTGGACTTCGGATTGGAGATCCTACCACAGCTTCTTGGTGTTCTCGGAGGGTTTCTTTGCTGGCCGAACACAATCTCTTGAGAGCACTCACTGCTCAGTTTATCGGCGCATTTCAGGCTTCCACGGAATGGATTGAGGATGGCTCAGAACTCACATTCGGATGAGCAGCAAACGCAGTCGACACGGAGTGGACTCTCAGTCGAGAGTAGAGAGGCGCCAAGAATGAGATCAGATGAGTGGTCGCATGTGCGAGATGCCAACGAAAGAAGGAAAATCCAGAACAGACTTTCACAGCGCAGGTTTCGTACGTACCGAGAGCCTCCCACAATGTCATGAGTGATTGACAACTGACATGTGGATAGGAGATAAACTCAAAGACCAAAAGCAAGAGACAGAGCGTGAAGTGGAGAATCAGCAACGGGCAGGCAGCTCTTATGCAACGCCAGATCCCGATGACATCGATCCTGACCAAGACCTATCGGGACTTCCTTGGGGAGGGATCTCAATGAAACATATCGTCAAGACAGGTAGAACAAAGGAGCAATACTCCCATCAGAAATCTCAGGGGAATTATATGCACGCTAGTACTTCCCGAACTGATGGCGGAAGCAGCAGGTGAGATGCCCAGTGTGAGTCTGCCCTTAGTGTCAACTCGCATTGACTTACGCCGCGCAGGCTTGGACTACGCCTCCCGCACCAATTTGCCCAAGCGTATCCAGCATGGATGTACTTAAAGTACTCTCCCTATCAATACCTAGGATGAGGATCACGATGACGCAGCGGCACATTAGCTAGGTACCAAGACATGTTGCCTGCCATTACCTGGCGCAGGCTAGCCGCTTCAACATTATAAGTCACATAATTTGCGGCTGTGCCGCGAAAGTTATTGTGGACCTAAGTTGCTACGCCGCAAGCTCGCAGCAACCCATACCTGATATGGCATGCAGCTCGCTTTCCAATCGTACTCAATATTTGTTCGTACGGCGGTTACATTGTGTTTCTTAGTGGTTGATGTCACATCTGTACTATCTCTTCTGAGTGAGTCTGCATTGCTGTTAATGCACAGTCCACATCGCAAGTGGCTGCCGTGTCAATAATGTAACGATCCAACGCACTACGCCTCTGCAGTTTTACTCGAGATTGATGGCAGACGTTCAGTTGAGGTTGCAATTCTTGCCCCATATTCTATCATTCGAACAGTACCAGCTTTGGGCATACGTCTTGAACAGAACGCAAGAATAATCACCGTCAACCTCAACCACTTAGTAATCGGTTCCAAGCGAGTATTGACACCTCAGTATTCATTACTATGTTTTGTCCGACTGGAACTGTAGTCGACTCGCTAGGTCTAAAGCCTCGACCCAAGGCTTTCACGGTGGAGGCGAGGCTGTCAACGGATTGTATCCCCGTTGCGGGCAAAGATTTGGATGGATTCTTGATCTTTCAGTCGGTCAGCCTTGTACTTTTGAAAATAGTGGAATGAGTGGTGGTTGCAGGGTTTATACACTCCCGGTCCATCACCCAACGACTCAGACGTGTAGAGCCGAGCCTCTTGGTCGAAGCACCACTTGCAAGCTTATCCACCTCCATCGAATCTACCGGTCACGGTATCAATCCGAGGCTTTTTCGCCAAAACTTTGGGCTGTAGCGTGTGCGCTTCTGGTTTTGCGCGCAGTGCATATCGATCACGAGTTTTGTTGCGGCTATCGTGACGTGAACGCCTCGCATTGCATGAATTGCAAGGCTGTTCCGCAATGGCTACCGAAAGGAGGTCATTAGCGGCAATAAACTCTTCCTATTCGACGATGAATGCGCATTAATATGCCTCAAGTGGATAATGCCGAAAACCTCAATCGTCACTAATTTAGTCGTGCTTGGAAACCGCGCCTATTAACGTGCTATCATTGGTGCACCAACTGATGCGATCGTGTGAACCGGAGGAATGCCAGTATAGCTCTGCGCCTGAAGCAGGCAAGGTGGTTTTTTGAAGGTAAGGAGTACAGGCACAAGGCTTTCAACTCAGGAACAGAGGCGTGTGGCGTCGTAGTCATTGGCCCTATGTGGATACTTTCGTCCTCTTTGACCATCATGCGCGACTGCGGCGTCTCCAAATATTTCCCGTGCCTTCAACTGTTTTCCGAACAGCCACACCCGTTCCATACACCTGAACGCTCTACCTACGGCGTGGAAGGCAGTTCCTTAAGCGCCGTTCAAACGATGAACGACTTGCAGGACCGAGTTGACGGATCAGTTAGGTTTGTGGCGTGGAGATGGCGGAGTCGAGATAGTATATATCTTGACGTTGGGCATGAGCAGATACAGAACATCACAACTCCAACTACTTCTTCATGTCAGCTGAGCAATTTGAGAAGCTCTCTCTAGCCGAGGCCATGGTGACAACAAGAGCTGGCACTGCAAGGGCATCGGCAGCCAGGAGAGCACCTTTACAAAACCTCGACCAAGACCAGCCAGTACCTTCAGTCGAGTCGCCTGCTTCGCCAACACCATCTCTTGTTGTGTCGACAAACAACCTGCGGTACAATGTCTCCGCCTTCGACACCAATCTGCGCAGAAGAGTCAAGAGGGGACTGGAAGACAACGAGATCAGGATGAAGTACTGCGCAGTTTCGGACGATGAGGACGAGACGAAGTACTTCCATCTCGATGATGATATTACCGTGGCAATGGGTGGAAATCTTCGCGCGCCCAAATGTACATGTGGAGCTAACGAGAAGGGAATCGCTTGCAAGGTATGTCTCTCACCACTCTTTCATCTCAACTTTGCTAAGTCATATAAAGCACATCTACTGGGTGGGAGACCAGATTGTCTCAACGACACCGAAGAAGTCCAGACCGGAGACTCTACGTCTGTCGATGGATGGATCGACCTTCCAGGACCTGAAACCAGCTGATATCGTGGACGAAAAAGGTCTGGAGGATGTAGCCGAAGACCTTGGATGGGTTTTCCAAGACGAGGACTTACCTGAAGATGAAGAAGAGATGAAGGATGCTATCATCAACATGCTCTCCGTGTTCGAACCTCAGGATGCCCTGCCAGGAGAATTCAAATGCCCTGAGTCCCCCTTGACGTCCGAACGGGCGAAGAAGTATCAGGAGTTTGCGGAACTCTTTACTCAGTACGCCACCCGAGATCCTGGACTTTTTCTCGAGGCACGCAACATCATCGATCCAAACTTCCAGTCCCGCGTTTTCTTCGACAAGATCGGCACGCGCATCACTCGGACTTTCAAAGCTCTGGACAAGTACATCGCTCACGGTCCCATGTACGCCTCTCCAGACAAACTCAGGTACGACGTACAGAGTTGTGCTGAAAAGCTCAGAGCTTTGGTCAATGCCATTGACGAGTTCTATCAACAACAAGATGAGGATGAGCCGGGCACTAAAGACGTCGCCGTGCGAGCAGGTGCAGCTCTGGTAAGGATTCTGGATCTCGTCGCCGATCGCAATGCCAATGCATACGAGAATATCACCTGGGGCATGGAGACTCCCTCGAATCCTGCGGAGAACAATCTGTTTGTCGCGCTGATCGGGGAGCAAGACGACGACGAGCCGATGTTCGTTCTCGACGCTCTCCGTGCGTTGCCCCAGGAGGATCTTGTGAGAAACCACTGGGAGACGCTTCAGAGCATCGAACAGAAGCTCCAACGACCTGAGACACCTTCGGACTATACGATGACGTTCCGCAGAGTCGTCTATGACAGTCGCAAGAGGGCCGCTTCCGAAATCCGCGGAGGCGAGGCTAAAAGGGCCATGCAGGAGTAGGCTCTACGACATGGTGGCGAGAGCAGCAACAACGGCGATTATAACATTCCTTCGACTCGATTCTGAAACCCGACTTTTTCTGGAACTGGGTAAAGTAGGGTATTGCACTCCTTTTGGGTTGCGTCCTGTTGGCGTTGATGGAATTTTGGATTTTTCTTCGCTCCTTCTTGTAATAGCTTTGTTTTTCTACCCTTCTTCCTGTCCTTTCCTGGACCCTTTATTTTCGATTCTTTGTGTTCATTTACGGCATTTACATTTGTTTACCAGGCTAGCCGGGCCACCCTCATCTTCGACACTCTCATTCAAGAACAGTTTTTTTTACTTTCTCTACGCTCGTTCAGCATGCAACGGCATGGTTTAGACTTTATCGCTTCCCTTGTAGAAGCATGCATTTTGCAACTTCTTTTGGTTCTTTTGGAAATTTGTCGACTTCTTTGGGAAGTATTTTTGCGCTTCGCTTCTTACACTCGTTGTGGATAACTTTTATACCTTCTCTTCTTACACTCTCTGTATATATTTTTCAACAACTACTTGCCTACTTGCAACCATACATCTTAATGCATTCTCGTGAAACATCTGACGTGCATGCAGCATTGTGTTCGTTATCTTGACGACTATCCTCGTAAGTCGCGCAAACATGGTCGCATGGATCGTGAATGCTCAGCTGACGTCCAACTGCGCCTGCCCCCACAACCACGCAATAGGCGCCCGCCAAGGCCCCGGGGTGTGGAGCACCGAAACACTGGGTGATGGCAGAAATAGAAGCGAATGGTTATATTCGGAGTGAAACACACATTGACGGACCGCGAGAGAACGCCGTTGATGTGCTGGAGGCTGTGTTTGCTAATCTTGGGCGACGCAGTGTTGAGTTGTGTAGACGTTCTCGGAGGAATTGTCGGGTATGCAACCTCTAGATTATGCCCCATGGGAAGTCTCTGGGGTTAACGCTCGTGCATACGGCCAGCTGTACAAGTTACATGATTGACCAGGAAAGTTGGGTTCTTGGATACATAGCCCACTTGTTTAAGCTTGTTGGAAACAACATATCTCCATCCCACAGTTCGACTTCGTCTATGGTGTCATGGTGGGCTGCTAGTGGTGCCAGCCCCGCATTAGAAGCTACCCAAGATATGGCTCCGGCGGACGACCTTAGATAGTGGCCGCATACACATGCGATTGCAAGCCGGGTTTCGTAATGGTTGTATTACAATTACAGCGTTGAACAGTGCAAAGCGGTCAGAGGACATCGTCTTGCTTCTTTCATCGCTCCGTGCATCTGGAATCCAACGACTTAATGTGCGTGCAGATTAAGGAGGGGCAAGCATGTGCTCAGGTCCGTCGAAGGTTTGTGCTAACATGGGAATTGTGGTGATGATCGTAATGGTCGCGGTGGACACGGAAAGTGGGTCAGGTAGCGGTCAACATGCGACCGCCGTTGATCTGGTTGGACACGCTGCGTACGTTATCCGTTCTTATCCACATGGGGAGGCTTTGTTCCTTCCAGGGATTGATTGCGGGGAAGACGCACTACGCTTGGTTGGTACTAGATTGTCTCAAAGCGTTGATCGGCCCTGTGGGGTGCTGCTTCATCCTCCTGTTTCCTTTTCATATCACGTCTCCGTTAATCGTCTCCTTTCTCTTCTGTTTCGGCGTACCTTCTCAGAGGATTACGAGCGTTTGATTACACAACATCCCCGCGATCGCGCTTTCCTGTGAGAGCAGTATCGCTTATCACGCCATACGACCCCGCTGACGTACTCCATCAAGTGGGACCCCTGACATCCGTGCACATCGCTTTATCAACGTCCTCCTTTCTGCCCTTGACGTACATCCCACTCCATCTCATTCTACGAATTCAAACACAAACCACAGCAATTGAAACCACTCAAGAACGAAACACTTTGCTCACATCACCCGCCATGTCAAACGGTCACAATTCACCACCCTTTCCCTCGCCGGGTGCTTCCGAGCGTCGCCGTGCTTCAGTCACTGGCCAGACCTTCCAGGACCTCTTTGGTAGTCGCTCGGGCAGTTACGTAGGCCAGCCAGCAGCTGCACAATCTTATGCGGGCCCCATCACCACAGCAGCTGCCAACGCTCAGCGACGACGCCTTTCGCTCACTACCCTTGGACTCGGAATATCACCCGGTCAGACGTCACCCTTCCCAATGCCACGAACACGCACAGAGAGCATCTCTAGTGCCAACTCTGGCTCGGTCGACGAATCGCCTTTCGAAGAAGATTACGCTGCTTCTGCCTCTGCTCCTGGTAGCAGCCCAGTGACACCCTTTGCTCGACGACTCAGCTTCGGAGCTCGTGCTCTACGGGACGTCAGGCAGAGCAATGGGAGTGTTGGGAACCCAAATGGTAGACCCTCCATCCATAAAGCTTCCTCTCCCCCGACTGGCCGAGGTCGAGGTCTGTCTTCATTGTCGCGTTCCATGCCCTCTCCCCTGCCACTTCCTGCGTCACCTTCTGGTCGTACTTCTCACCGATCCTTTTCGATATCTTATTTGCGACCACCCCCAATTGCAGAGAACGTCTTAGAGCATCCAGAGCTTTTTGTCAAGGATTACTCACTGACGTCTCCAACAGGCGAAGGCTACAACTTCGCGGAGAATCTCCGCTCCCGCGCTGAGCGAGGATCTGTGTCCGGCCCACGACCTATACTAATCCCCAATGGTCATACCCACCAGCGCGCAAAGAGCGTTGCAATTATGGAACCTCCTGTCCGAGAGATGCCAAAGCAGACCAAGGTCCCTGACGCCATGCAAGAGCGGATCCTGAAGGGCGATTTCTATATGGATTAACGAAGCCTGGGTCATACTACATTTCACTTTCTCTGGTAAGCTCATACCTGTCATCAAATCGTGCGATGGCTAACCACTCTCTATCAACAGGGTTATCTACAGTACGAACGAACTATCAGATCCTTTCTTGGCATCGTACGGTCACCTGGTCGGCGTTATCAATTTAACACCATGTTACTGGTGCTATCCGTTTTGATCACACCATTGTTCATGTATACGTACAGTTGAACGACCTCGATGGTCGTCTCAACTATACCTAAACCGGAGTGGCCCAGCAAATTTCATCGACAACACAGACGCGAAGCCCAAGCCAAGGGTATAACAACGTCGAAATTCTCCTCCAGAGTCGACGTTCAAACGTTACATGGGCTTACGTCATTGTCGAGCTTCTTCCGACTTTCTTTACGTCACCATTTTTCCAAGGCTTCTTTGGTGGCTACTGGTGTAGCTCAACCCAATTCGTTCTTACGCAGGCTCTCTTTTCGTATCGTTATTTCTTTGGATGGTTACCAGAGATTGTGACATCTCTGCCTAACCATGGGGTATCGCATCACACACCAACGTCTGCGAGGGTAGGAGTTATTGGGAACAGTTTACATGCAACGTCCGCATTTTTACGACTTTATGGCCTGGAGTTTGCCAAGTGTTCATGGAATTGTGGGTGGTGAGAACAAATTGTTTTAGGTTTCAAGATGCATCACGGGATTGGTGTTGGGAGTTCTACAGGCGCGACGGGACACCGGGGAGATTCAAATTGTGCTACTCTGGGTGGAGGTGTACGGCTTGACATGAGGCTTCGTGTCAAGCATGGTAAATATATATATACAGTAACCATATATATTAGGTTTGCTCAATGTAAACATTACTCAATCCTTTTCACTTTTTGAATACTGGAGATTGTGATGTGCAGTGCAGAGACTCCGCTCATACTAGCGAACGTCATGCTATTCAGTTGTTGTTTCGTATTGGCTGATCGGCGTTGGAACGAGGTCGTGATCGGCACTAATGCCATCATTCTGACAACCCAGGTGTCGATCTTAGGTCTGTCATTGTCTTTATTCCATTCACGAGGCTGGAGCACTGAAGTGAGAGGTTGGGGCTGCAATCGTTGCAACACAGAGTGAGGGTGAACCAGGTTACTTTGGGAAAATGTGCTGGGCTAGTACCTGTTTGCACTTATTTTTTGGCTTGTTGTTGATACTGTGTGAATGGAGATATTCAGAAGATATCACCTTGTGATTGAAGACAGATAGTGCCACGGTAGTGCGGTCGTCGGCTGTAATTACCTTTATCGAGTACCCCACTCATCTGTGTTGCAGACACCAACCCGCGGTTGCCGACGGCTAGGCCCCCATCCTCGGTTTTTCATACTTAACGACCAAAGAGAAACTGTATCCGGAGTTGTAGTGCTTCAAGATAGTTTCTACTATAGTCTCGGTTAGACTATAAGCATTTTCTACCTCCTTGAGAGCTTTAGAACGTTCAAAACCCGATAAAATATGTCTTGTCAGCGGCTTGGCCGGGTAAGTATGAGAAAGATCCTTCGAAAATATGCAACATCGATTATGGCTTATGTTCTGTAGGAAACTGTACAAAACTCAGCCTTGCGCCACGCTTGGCTCTGCATTCGCGATTGGCCCCCAGGCGCGACTTTATCTTCAGCCTGATCGAACTCAAGAAGCCTATCTTCAGCCTGGTCAGTTCTTCAACAATGTATGATCAGTTAGCAAGGGGTTGAGCTGCAAAAAGTCGGTAATCGAGGGTTCTGAAGAAGCGGGCGTCTCCAAAACCTTGCCGATAACCTCTCCCAGTTCTACGATGGTCGAAAGTCAACATCAGGTGTGGAAGTTAGTTTGCAGCACTGCCTTGTACCACGGAACGCTGATTGGGCTTTCAAGTGCTGGTGGATGCCATCGAGAAAAGATCTATCGGCTTGGGGCCAAGTTCCTCCAACCATGCACTGAAGAGGTAGCCACCATGCGCGACAGTCTGTGTGGCCATTGCTCACCCATTACTTGCTGCTCGGGTGACAATCTCTCAGCCTTTCACTACCTTCTCTTGGGGCTAGTTGTCTGCGCGTCTCTAGTGTGAACAAATGCAGCTTTAACACGCGATCCCCCCCAAATTTTGCTATTTCCGTTGCGCAACCTCTGTCAACCATGGCGGAGACAATAACACCTGTTGTTACAACTGTCTTTGGCTCAAGCCTCACATTTTTGAACATTAGGCCGCTTACGACTGTCTATACACCTCCATCATCATGTGTGGATCGCTGGATACAACCCAATCCTCTCGATACGGTGATCTCCAGTGTACTGGGGTATGCAAGTCGGATGTATCTTTCCTGCCAAGCGGGAGGCATTGCTCCCACATACAGTCCAGGTGTCTGCCCGAGTGGACAAAGGCTACGTAACATTACGGAATACCAATTTTCCAATGGTGGTTCCGATCGAGCATGGAAGGGAATATGTTGTAGCGGGTAAGCCAGTGTATATCTATTGCTCAACACGCCAAGCGTCTCCCCGCTGTTTGGGTCGATGCTAAGATACTTTCCGCTGATTATGCAAGTAGGGGTATGACGGTAGATGTGAACTACTCAAGTTGCTGGTCTTCCTTCTCGACCAGCGTCACTGCATACAGGCCCGGCACAGTCCTGATCCCTACTTTCTACAGCTACAGCACCGGCATCTCGTCATACACCGTTGTTAGCTATAACTACGAGCTAACTACAAATACTACCATTCTGACTACCGGAAGAATGAGCGCTGATGCGGTCGTTGTATACTGGCAGGCATCAGATCTGCCCAAGTTCGAGCCCGAATACGCATCCGCTTTAGCAACCCACCTCGGGTTGACCTTTACTGCCACGACTTCGGCAGGCACTGTGCATGTGGAGACAGCAACGCCAGCTTCCACATCAGGGCTGCCACGGTCGACCAGTGACCCACAGCCGAACGAAGACCCGCATGGCTTAAGCACTGGGGCAAAGGCAGGAATAGGTATAGGTGCAGCTTGTGGTGCCCTTGTCCTCCTAGCTGGAATTTTCTTTCTCTACAGACGCAGAAAGAGGACACATAGCTCGGATTATCGCACCTCAGATATGCAGCAGACGGCTGACATGCCGGAATTGCTCAACGCCAATCAATTTAGACATCCTCGATGAGGGGTGGAACTTGTTGTTGGGGCACATATCTCGTCGAGCGCACAGAGCGAGTTGATACAGAATGATTTTGTATTACCGATATCAACGAGTGATTGAGTTGTAATCAGGAACACAGATTTTGAGGGTAGAGAGTGCCGAGCGATATCGGTCTGATATTTGGTACATTTAGTGTTCGTTTGATCACTGTAATATGAGTACAGTCAGTGGATGTAATATCCTACACGCTTCCTGTGTTCATTACAACTCCAGCTTCTGACTTCCTTTGCCACATACTAAGTAATAACATTTTATTCTACCGAAATCGTTCGCCTCGGTCAGGACCTGAACTACTTCAACTCGCCCATGATCTGTAACCGGCTCGGTTCACAATCACAGAGGTTGGATTTCGTCTTACAGAAACTTATATTTACAGAAACCCAGTGGTGGCAATGTATACGGTGTCGTTACTGTGATTCGGTGTTTAATCTCATATGGACAGTGGCGATCAAGCATCAGCATATCTCTTCGTAAAGCGCACTTAAAATACATGAAAACAACGTTGATACTGGGGCATAGACAGCTCCCAATAGTAACGACTATAATTTAAGGCGAGCAAAGATCATATCAACGAGGTGGATCAACAAGTGTGTAGAGTCTGCATGACACATGTGTCCTAAGGAACATTGAAGACACAGAAATATAACGATCATGGTCGTATCCAGTGGAAGACAAGACATTGGAGTTGGGAATTTCCCGACAATTTGTTTGGCTCTGGCCAATAGCTGAGAGGTCAGGGTTTATCTAGTCTCTGATGACGTTTCTGCGTCCCTTTCCCCACAATCCGACAACCTTGTAGCCGGGATTTTCTCCGCACGACGTCTCTGACATTTCGGCAGTTCATGGCTTCGGATTTTGTGAAAACATTGACTGGAATGAGCACTAGGTGTTTGTTTCTGCTATATTGCATGACTTCCGGATATGGTAAGATATCCTGTCTGGATTCCTCACATGCCGAACTTACGAGTCTTTATCTGTAGAACGGATGAGGTTGATCTCAGTTGTAGTGTGAATCGCTTCCAAAAGTGGAATTCGTTGTTGCTTTAGTGTGTGGAGTGAACTTGGCAGAGTCCTGCAACCGTCCCGAGCTGACTGGTGGGTGATGATGACATGCTCATCTTCGTAGTATAAAATGGGTTAATAATTTCACAAATGTACATTCAGCCCTTACACTCAATCATGAAGCTTAGTACGCTCCTCCTAGGCGGTACAGCAGCCTGTGCCCAACAAGTTTACATCCCTTTCGCTGGGCCATCTCTCAGACCACATTGTAATGGCAACGCCGTTGACAATAAAGATTATGCAATCGCATCTCCTTCGTACTATTTCAGCGAGTTCAGTTATACGCAAACAGAGACTGTTCGTACCGCGACTTCAAGACCGGCGCCAACGACCACAACATCCTTTGCACCTCGATATTCGTTTTTAAGTGGTCTCGTACCCGATCTAAAGACCACGCAATGGGGAAATTGGGACCCGTCGTCGAGTGCCAGTGTTACAGACGTCGGAAATCCATACGGCAACGCTTCATGGACAAAGCTTTGGAGCGACGTTCCATGGGTTAACTTCACGCGAGGAATCTGTTAGTTGACTCAAATTCGACAAACTCATTTCAAACTAATCTTCCCATCAGACTCAACAACTGTGGAGCCCACTCCGATCCCGACTAGCGAGCTTGTACTTCCACCTCCTGAACCTTTTGGCTCCCAGGACTGTTATTACTTCCCCTCTGACTTCATGCTAGGCGTCGCTGGGTCTGCTGTGCAGATCGAAGGTGCCATCGCCGACGAGGGCCGGACACCAGGATACACAGATGTACTAAGCTTGCTCAGCCCAGGTGCGGCGCCAGACTATGTGACGAACGAAAACTACTACTTGTACAAGCAGGACATTGAGCGAATCGCCTCGATGGGTATAAAATACTACCGATTTTCAATTCCCTGGACCCGAATCTTGCCTTTTGTTGTCGAAGGATCTCCAGTCAACAAGCTTGGGTCAGTTTGATCTTGCTCTTGTTCTCATACATGCTAATTTTGGGTCAAGATTGGATCATTACGACGATCTCATCAACTTTGTATTGGAGAAAGGAATGCTTCCTGCTGTTATGATGCTTCACACTGATTCTCCACTGCAATTCTACCCAAACATATCCGAAACCATCATTATCCCAGGCGAAGGTATAGGATATGTCGATGCTGGGTTCCAGCGGTCATATCAGAACCAGACTTACGAAGACGCGTTTGTTCACTACGGCAAAATCCTTATGACAAAGTTTTCTGACCGCGTCGCCATATGGTGGACTTTCAATGAGCCAATCCTCGGGTCGCGGAACGGAAAATCTATCGATACAGTTATCAAATCGCATGCGCGGCTTTACCATTTCTACCATGACGAGATCAAAGGCAGCGGGAAAGTGTCATTGACTTTGAACAACAATTTTGGGGTGCCTCGCGACCCCAAGGATCCTGAGGACGTTCGCGCGGCTGATCATTTCAACTCCTTCCAGCTAGCGACCTTCGCGAACCCGATTTTCCTAGGATTAGATTACCCCGAATCCTACAAGGTGACGGTATCGGATTATGTGCCCCTCACACAGAATGACCTGGAGTACATGAATGGGACAGCAGACTTCTTTTCTATTCAGCCATACACTGCGACAGTAATAAGCCCACCACCAAATAGCAGCATCGAAGTGTGTGCTGGTAATGCGAGCCATCCCTTGAGACCATATTGTGTCACACAAGAAACCATGACTACAACTGGTTGGAATATTGGCTACCGTAGCCATTCATACGTCTATATAACACCAACATACTTTCGTACTTATCTCAATTACCTCTGGAATACTTTCCGCGCTCCAATCGCAGTAACTGAGTTTGGATTCCCAGTGTTTGCAGAAGCGCAAAAGGCTGTTCAAGATCAACTATTCGATAGTCCTAGAAGACAGTACTATCAGTCTTATCTCGCTGAAGGTTTGAACTCCTCCCTCATAGATTATTTCAAGTTTCACTGACTTCCGTAGGCCTGAAAGCAATATGGGAAGACGGCGTCGAATGGATCGGTGCTTTTGCCTGGAGCTTCGCGGACAACTGGGAGTTTGGAAGTTTTGACGCAAGATTTGGTATTCAATTTGTGAATCGGACCACACAAGAGAGGAAGTATAAGGCTAGCTTTTTTGATTTTGTGGATTTTATCGAGAGCCGGAGGCAGGAGGAGTGTGCTTGACGGCGAAATTGAAATCAGCGCTGCGTCAAAATCTATAACCCAGTGAACATTGCCAGCCAAGATGATCGATAACATCCGTATCTGCCATCCAATAGTCTCCCAAAGGATCTGGCTCACACCACAAACGGAATGAACTTCTTTGTCTTCGCGCAATAGTCCCTCCAGGTTTGGCCGAACTCTTCCTCCATCATCTTCTCCTCATCCGCCACTCTGGCTACCATGAATAACAATATAAAAACGCTGAACTGAATTGTAGGAATAATATACGCGACCCTTTCATCCGTAGTCATCCACTCAGGATTGAAGCAGCTTATCAACCCGCGCTGGCGCAAGAGAAGAGATTGCAGCGCTACCAGAACAGCGAAGAGACCTGTGTATGATGGATGCCGTACATATGTGAATATCCCACCCGTGACGAGACCATCTGGCTTGGCAAGACGGTATGTGAAGTCCTGACCGAGTTGTGCATATGCTTGAAATCTGACATAACTCCCTGCATAGGCTAGTAGGAGAGACGCTACGGTGGTCTTTGACCACATGAATAGTTTCGGGTCTAGATATTTTGACTGCGGACACACTTGGTGAAGTGTACTAGGCGGCGCGAGCGAGATGACGACATGGTAGAGGCAGGTGCACACTACCGCTGTCCGCACGACGACCAGGCCGATGGGTGAGGTGGCGAACCGCGGAAACCATGATTCCACATTCAGGGAGATTTCCTTGTCGCTAGGTTCGCGGAAGCATAACTGGATGCGGTAGCCTGTGTGCAGGATGGCGAGAGCAAAGAGTATCGAAGCGGCGTCCATGGTCTGTAGGTACGTGCGATGAGGAAGTTCGATGAGCAACCCAGGCGAAGATACTTCTTCGATCACAGTTTCAGCATTGGCGTCTATGACGTCATAAACTTAAACTTCTTGCTTTACAAGATTTCAAGGAACCCAGAAGGTGCGGCGCGTGCAATTGTTCATTTTGTCCGACGGGGTGAATCCACCTAATTCTGTAGCGTATTAGTTGTGAGACTAGACTATGCTGCTGTGTTACGTGGGCTGATCGGTGTCTCTTCCCTTAGCTCACGATTGGCTATCGACATGTATTTGGGCCTCTTCACGCCTGGTCTGGCTCAGCATAAATACAATTCGTACTCAGTTTGGCGCTTGGTCACAAGTGCTGTTCCCCGCTCCTTGGCCGTTTAACGTTCGGGGAACTTGCGCGTGCGCACGACACTTCAACGTTGCCAAGTGTGATCACTATCCATCATACGGCGGTGCTGGAACAGCATGAGTGATATTTTCTTCGTATATCGCTCGCAATATATTTCGCATTCGGTCAAACTGACCACACTCTCGAACCTAGTGTCATATCCCAGATTACCGCCCATGGGGACCAGAACAAAGTCCAATATTCGAGATGGCGACAACAAGATTACTCACGAGCTGGTTCCGCTCATTTAGTGAGCTTCAGTGAGACTCGAGGTCTCCGCCGTTTGGCGCCGAGGTAGTGTCTGCCTTGTCGCAACTGAATTGATGGTTTTTGCAGAACAGGCTTATGTTGAACAGGAACTGGGTTCAGGCACCGCATTCTTGTTTCAGGGAGCTATGACGAGTCCAAGTTCATCTCTGCCATCTCCTATATGATAATCAATGTGTCAAGTTCTCTGCTACTTGCCGCCAGCAACTACGGTAGCATGCCCATGCTAAGCATTATTCCAAAGCGAGGTGTTGTGCTTATGCATGCTAGGAAGATAGTCTTAGACATTAGTACTTACAGTGCGAGCAACACGTCCCAAGTCTTGTCAAATCATCTTATCTCCTAGTGCGTATTGGGGCTGAGCTTGCATCTAATGTAAGTTCATCCTATAGTCATGCAGAAGGCTCAGAGAGTTTCTAAAGATGACAGGTTCACTTCAGTGTCTTGTGCTCTACGACAGCATATCCGCACACCACCACACTGGCTACCACCGAGTCTTTAGAAGGCGATAACTGGAACACAAGAGATACGACATACGTGGCGAGAGGGGAAATCATCACCAACTTGAAAATTCCACCTGTGGACTAAATTCACTGGGTAGGCGAAGTCTAAAGGATGAGAACTAGTTGACATCGCTTGACAGCAAGCAATGCGTAAAGACTTACATCGACTTGTTCATGACACTAAACACGGGCCTCATTCTCCGACAAGTAAAAGTAATGCCAATATAACGAACCGTGTCAATGGCTCCGCTCTAACAACATACTCGACTAGCTACAGTCATCCTATGGTACAGGCGACCATGAAGTATTCCACTCACAAAAGATTATGCACCAGGCAGAGCATTGAGTCAATCATGATCGATGGCTATGGAGATAGCGATTGAACACCATCAAAATGTCATCAGGTATCATCTCTTGCTATCGAGGACCTCTACTTCGTCACCGTGCCGGGTACCTATCTCCCAATCGAGCGTCGTCTAGGTCAGCCGGTCAAGAAAAGACGTACTGTGGAGACTAGCATGCAAATGCTAATGGTTGTTGTCTCAGACACATATGAAAACATCCTAATTCGCACGAATCCGAGCCCAAGACGATAGGTAGTGAAGGTTTTGTTGCGAACTGTAAATCAGGGATCATGGAGGCACTAAAAGATCGCTAACCACGTCTCAGATGTACTGCAGTTTTTGCTGTCTCCCTCGGCTTATTCCTATCAGCTCTAGGGGGTCTCAATGCCGGGGTTCTCGCGATCAAGACAGCATTCATGCTCGCCCAAAGTAAGGATAGCCTGACACCGTCGCTGTTACCTGCAGTTCTCTCAACTAATCCTTCCCAGCTCGTCATTCACTTGATCTACGTATCCTACACGTCCGTGTGGACCCATACTTATGGGTCAGGACTCGAGTCAGTTTGCCTATGGTCGCCGCTTACTCAGTGTAAGTTTTCTGCAGGAGACCGGAAAGCCACGTGCTGGTTACAGATACCCTACTGGTGTGGTATACTGCTCAGATCAATCTTCGGAAGTACTTACTGGCTCAACTCACAAAAGATGCTTCGTATCCGCGGACGCGGATACAGTCCTAAAAGCCTTGCGGACCTCAGCGGATCCACCGAATCGTGTGGATATTCTTCACAAGTGCTCCTTCTTTGTTATCGCCGTCGGAGCAATTACCCTACTTACCATTGTGGCGTTTCGATCTCGCAGGCACAACCCAGGCATGATGGCAATCAAGTGTGTTGCTGACATTAGTGCTGCATGCCATTTGAGGCCAGACAAAAACAAGATCCCGGCGTTGGGATCACTGCAGTGTTGCGCTGTATCGAGCAATACTGAAATTGGGCACTGTTGTTTCAGTAGTGTAAACTTTCATTACCATAGTAAGGCGTACTGCAGGTAAAGCTCTTCCGAGGAACGACCCACCGCATTCGGCTCTTGTGACAACACGTAAAAGGAGAATCCGAATATTCTCAGGATAAGAACAGGAACAAAGATTGACAAAGAGGCGCTAGCACCGGGCTGAATCTACGATCAAGTTTCAAAAGCAATGCCGTCGGAAAAAGGAGGGGTGTTGAGACCGGTATGTTGGCCTAGAACATGAGTTTACCGCCAGAAACCACATTCAGCTCTCGTGCCTGGCATGCTTATCGTAAAGCTGCATGACACGGGAAAGCGTGTTGTCCGTTTTCCGGGGTTTTCACTAAGCGGTAACTGCCGGTGCTAATGCGCCGTTCCGTTGCCTACACGAGCGGGTTGACCAAACGGGAAACGCTTATGCACAGTCTGTTCACAACGCCTTCTAGTTCGAGAGTAGCTGAGGTTTTAGGCTGCGCAGCCGGGAGTGTCGCGGACATGACGGCAGCACAACAGTCGAAAACCTTGCGTGAGTGGGGTGAAAGGTTATGGCAAGACTAGTACGTCGTGGCTCTGATGCCACAACCATCCATTTCGCCCAGCTAGGTCACCGATCATATTGTATCATCCCTGAATCACATCTTGCCGCTTTCGTTGCGGCCCAACTCGCATCACTTGTGGAGTCTGACATCCATCTTCTCAACCCTGTCACACCCCCAAAAGCAAGACCCATGCAACTAAGGATTCGACAACTCCCGCATCTGACGCGTCATCCAGTAGGCATCTGGGAATTTCTACGCAGGACGTCATATTACTATTCTTTTTTTTTTAGCCTAACCGCACTTGAACCATGCCTTTTCTCAGTTTTCCATCACTTCACTCGGTCACCTTGCATCGATCATCGGCGGTTAAAGAGATGAGGGTGTTGTAATATATCGACTCGTCCAGAAGTTGAGAAACTACGACGGATGCGGAAAATTCAACACGAGGAGATGCCCAGATCCGCAGCTAAGGGACGGTATTGGGTTACTCCACGGATGATGCCTTTGCCTACATTCTCCTACCGGAATTCACTCCGATGTTGGTGTCAGCGTGCTTTGCGGGGAAGGAGCTTGAACGGACGGGTTGACCGCGGTGCCGCGGTGTTCATCGACGTCTTGCGAATGTGTTAGGGGCGTAAGGCACCCCTAGGTGTAGATCGTCCGTCGATCCTTCCCAATCAGGCGTGTTCTAGCCTGGCGTGTCGTCCATCAGGTACTATGTTGGACCAAAGGCAAGATAGTGTATTGACTGCTTACCTTTGGGATAATTTCTATAAGTCAGACTGTCCATCCTCTCGAACTGATTCCATTGTCAGCATCAAGACCTCATACACTATCAACATGAAGTTCACTTCTTTCCAGCTGCTTGCGGCCACTCTGGCTCCTCTCACCAATGCCTTCCCAGCTGCGATGTTCGAGGCCGCCGCAGCCGACCCGGCTGTTCAGGCTCGTGCTGAAGAGATGGCAAAGCTTCTTGCTAAACGGCAAGCGGGCGCCGGAGCAGCGACAGCAATCTTCGAGCCAGTGCCGATATTCAATGCTTCGGCCCAGAAGATAAATGTCGGCCCAGGCAGTGGAAATGAGTATATGGCTCCTTCTTCTAGTGACCTGAGAGGACCATGCCCGGGCTTGAATGCCTTTGCCAACCACGGTAAGCGCGAATATACACTCAAACAAGTCCCAGCGGCGCTGACAGAATGTAAGGTTTTCTTCCACGCGATGGATATGCTACGGTACAACAATTCGTTGATACCACAATGAAAGTGGTCGGCATGGTAAGTTGAATAGATTAGATGTACATGGTTGCTCTGCTAAGATCAGTCAGGGTCCTCTTCTCTCACTCTTTCTTTCCACCCTCGGAGCCACGATCGACGGCGATCTCACGAGCTGGTCGATTGCAGGAACACCTACATTGGCCCAAGGTGGTGTAACAGGCGTCCTAGCAAACGGCCTCGTCGGCTCACACAACAAATACGAGGGCGACGCGTCTCCCACTCGCCCAGATCTCTACCAGGTTGGCAACAACTACAAGACCGTTACCCAACAGTTCCAGGAGTTGATCGATTACTCTCCTGGCGGCGTAGTAACACTTGAATCCCTGACCTCATTCCGCTCGCACCGTTTCGACACTCAGATCGCCAATAACCCATATTTTTTCAACGGACCGTTTTCAGGTGTCCTCGTGCAGCCCGCCGCGTACACGTTCATCTTCCGATTTATGGCTAACCACAGCGCGGAGAACCCAACCGGCCTGCTGAGCCACGAGGTCATCCAGTCATGGTTTGGCGTGCAGGGGCAAAGCGGCAGTTACAACGCCGTGCAAGGAACAGAGCGCATCCCCCTGAATTGGGTAGGTCAATTTCCGAGCTCATTCTTTGCACATTGTGATTAACACAAAGTAGTACAAGCGAGCTGTTGAATACCCATACGACGTTGGGTACTTCCTTGCTGATGTCATCAACGCCGCGGCTCTCCATCCTAAGTTTCTCGACATCGGCGGGTAAGCAGATTTCTTTTTCCTTTATCACAGTTCTTCTCGACACCCCCATCATGATACTAACCCACACAGAAACACTGGCACCACCAACTCCTTCACCGGCGTCGACGCCACCAACCTGACTGGCGGCATTTTCAACGGCGCAACACTCCTCCAAGGCAACAACCTTGGTTGCTTCTTGTACCAGCTCTCCGCCCAAGCCAAGCCGGACATTCTACTCAATGTTCTCGATCAGCTGACGAGTGCTATTGGTAACATAATTGGGTCGCTGGGTTGCCCACAGTTGATGGCTATCGACAAGAGCCAGCTGGAGCAGTTCCCAGGTTACACTAAGGGGCGCGTTTACGGTTAGAGAATGTTGATGAGAGGATTTTGATGATGACGGCGACGATGATGCACGACTTTGATGTATGTATGAATGTTGGATAGGTATTTGCGATGAGAGGGATACGTGGGGCAGGGTTGAAGTTGGCCGTAGTTGGTGCGTCCTTTTAATTGATGATGTTTATGCTTTTGAACTATATCGGTGTCATCTTGCCGGTGTTGTGATGGAGTCGTAATCATCGCAAAATATCCACAACCTGCCAACATTCAGGATCAACAACATAAGCTAATGTACTAAAGATGTAACTCCCATGGATATATTCCAGATAAGCTTAACAAGCTTTCTGCACCCGAAACCCTTCAGACTCCTTGCTCATATACGTCTTCGTAGATACATAGATATGTATGGGTATCCAAACACATAACTCCACCTGAGTATACTAACCCTATCCCGAAACACCATTCCATTGCACCTTTCCAAGTACTCCATCAGAAAACTCCGTACTCTTGTAGTAACAAGCGCTCAAATGCTCTCTTCCGCCTCTGCAATCCTGCCCTCCGCCGCCTCCCCCCTCAAGTGTCTGCCCATCTCTCTCTCCAACGCCTGCCTTCTATTTGGATCCCCTCGCGCATTGCCAAACAAGCAACGCCAAAGGTCATCCGCTTTAACGATCTCTCCATCACCCTTCGTCCTCAACAACTGCTTAAGCGGAGCAGCCTGCAACTCCGCCGAATTCGCCTTATCCAGGGACTTTTCTTGGAGTCCAGGCGTTGATGTGTCGGAATCTGATACTGTGCTCTTCGCTTTGCTCATGTGCTCAAGACGGCGCGCGACGGAAATGTTGTAAATGGCTTCCTCGACTGTGTCACTAACAAGATACATGAATACGGTTGTAGGGCGCTGTTGACCGATTCGGTGAACGCGCGCGATGGCTTGTAGCTCGATGGCAGGATTGATAAGTGGCTCACACAAGAAAACATATGTCGCGTTGACGAGATTGAGCCCTGAAGAGTCAGACTTGGCATCGAGTAAAAAGCAATTCACGGCAGTATCGTTCTTGAACCTCAGAATGCCATCCTTTTCCGCAATACCGCTGACGCCAATCTTCCACTTCTTGAGCGCTTCGCGCAAGACGCTGAGGAAGTCGCCGAATTGGCTGAAGATGATGGATTTTGCGCCGGGGTCATTGGCGCGGATCCAAAGCAGGTGGCGTGCGATCATGTCGATTTTCGTGCCGTAGCTACCGGAGAGATCGATGTTTTTGATTTCATTCATTGTTGTGGAGCTCATGTCGGAGTATATGGACAAGTTTGAGGAGCCTGGAGAGGAAGCTTGTGATGAATTGGCTAAGTCTTGGATTTCTTCTTGCGCCTTGATCTCGCTAGGTTTGAAGTTGATGTTCTTGAAGTCTGACGAGCCTAGTTTTTGCTTGCACATAGGGCAGGATCTATGGGCAGTCCACCAAATGTTTATGCATTCTTTGCAGTACTAGGTACACTAGGTCAGTTGGGCACCAAGAGCACGCGCAGGATTGGCTCACCTTGTGTCCACAGGTCGTCAGGACGCCGATCTGGATCTCGTCTTGACAGATGACGCATTCGTTCTTTATATCCTCTCGGTTCTCCCTTCGCAGGTTGACCAGGTAGGCATGCTTTTTTTTCAAAGTAGCTACCAAGTCCCCCTTACGCTTATGCAATAATTTGCATCTGTCGTATTCGCGTTCGTCGAATGTCTCATCGAGCTCCTCCTTCCATTTGCCTACGGTATCGGAGATGTGTTGGAATTGTCGATAGTATTCCAGACGCTGGTTCATAGTCGTCCGGAACATATCCTGTTCTTTCTCCATTGCAGTAACGATCTTCGCCTGGTCAGTGGTAATGACCTGAATTCGAGCGAAATGTTTCTGAACCACATTCAACTCAGCTATTGCACGGCTGTCGCCGCCGTCTGCCTTCCATTGTAGTGAGGTGAGCAGCGAGCGAACGCTAGAGATAACACCTTTCAATGATCCAACTTCGAGTATTGACTGCAGCTTGCGTCGCGCATGTGCGACTTCAACCACGAGTTCAGGCGCGTGACCCCTCTTCTGAGGCTCCTTCTCACGTGTTTGGTTCTCTGCATAATCAATTTCGTGATCAACAAGCTCATTCTTCAACCCATGAACTGCAGTACTCCTATCCGCTACAAGGGTTCGATAAGCCATCATGTAGACGTATAGCTCATCTTGTTGTTCTACTGATTTGGCGAGTTCTTCACCTGTGTCCTCATCCCCGTTATCGTCATCCACCAAACGCGTCAAGAGGATGTCGATGATATTTGTTCGCCACGTCTCGATTTGTTTAGCTTGCGCATTCATAAAGTCACTGATATTGTCCATCATATCCAGAAACTTCCGACTTTCGATGCCACCAAAATCTTGGAGATCTTCGATATCAGGGATCCGATGGACCGACTTTGTGGATTCGATGATTGCCATTTGTTGCTGAGCTCTGTTCTTCGATTCTGTGAGCAGCTCGCGACGGATTGCTTGTGCCTTCGCGTACCATTCCAGTTCGAGAGTATTGAGGCGGAGCGTTTCCTCGGGGTCAAGCTCTATCAGTGGAGCGGATTGCATTTGATGGTACGTCGTGCCAATAAAGAATGTGCAAGCATGTTCAAGCTCCAAGAACGACCGGAGTGACTTGCGCATGACTGCGAGACGGCTTGTATGGTCGTTTTGCATCTCTTCTTCACCATCCGAGACTTCATCGCCTGTTACGGCTAGGAGATTGTCGGACGTGGTAGTGTTACCTGCTTTCTCTATTTCAAGAAGAAGTTCACTTCTGCAAGACGCAACGTATGCTTGTGCTTCTGTCAGAGCATCCTGAAAGACTCGCAAAGCGGTTTCTGCACGATTGTCTACGTTACCAGCGTAAGCCTTAACATGTCCCATTTGGATATGATGGAGGATCATGTCACGGGCTTCGGCTTTCGTATTTGTATCATTCTGCTCGATCATGACTTCAAGAACTTCGTGAACAGTCCGCAGGGCTCCATTTTTAGCGCCCAGGGCTCTCCTATTTTTGCGTCCGACATGCGCATGTAGACAAGTCTGGCGTAGTCGGACCAGCCACTCGCGCATGCGTTCAATCACCTCTGGATCGGCCACGTCCCGATCTTCATCCAGAGGGTTTCCTTCAGGCGACAACCAACATGCATCGCACATCTGACGGATCATCTCGGAGTAGTTTTGTTCTTCAATTGCAGTGAAGGGGACAGTAATGACAACGCGCTTCTGTGGTGGGAGACGCAGTTCGTCGCGAACTTTGTCCTTGGTGTGACGCAACGCGATCTGATTGAAGACAGCTTTGAACGATGATTTGTCGAGGCGATCCCAGACAGTTTTATTGTGGAATGCATCGCAACGGAGAAATATCAGAAGACCGCGCAAATCCTGTACATCTTTGCGAAGAGGAGTTCCGGTTATAGCCCAGGCATTGCAACGAGGGATTGTCCTAGCCACCCTAGCAGCTTGACTGACACCGCTCTCCACCATTTGAGCTTCGTCCAAGCAGACTCTCCACCAAGAGATTTCGATCAGAGGGCTTTTACGGCGCTCGTGACGTGGCTTCTTTCTGAGTGAGCGATCTGGTGGGGGTGTGGCGAAGTGTATTTCTTTTGAGAGGACGTTGTAAGTAGTTAGTACGACATCGTATCGCATCAGGTTCTCGACAGTTGCCACATCATGAACATTTTTAGATGTAGATGATGGCAGAAGTCCCTTGTAATGCAAGACCCTGAGCTCTGGTGCATGAGTGTGGATTTCGCTTATCCACTGCTCAAGAATAGATGGTGGGGTGATGATCAATGTAGCGCCAGAGGGCTTGACATGTGCTCCAGTATGTATATCGAACACATTTCCATTAGGCATATTTCGTTTGTGGTGAGACATGAGTGCGATAAGCTCAACGGTCTTACCCAAGCCCATCTCTTCAGCCAGCATGCCACCTCTCAGAGATTGCAGAGTATCACCCCTGGCTTCATTTGGATCCGTGACTATCATGCCTCGAAGCTGACTAACGTCACACCGTTTTCCGAACGCATCCTTCATTTGCGTAAAGGACGCTGACGGTGTTAACTCAATGCAAGACTCCAGCTGTCCAGTTGACGAAAAGGCGACACCTTCCCGTTTCAGTAGCCAGTCCACAGCCCTCTGCTGAAACGGGTACAATAGCGTCTCTGACAAGCTTTGTTGGATGCGAGGCGATACCTGAAGGTCGGCTGGCGGTACGTGTACCGATTCGTAGAAATCCGAGAGAGACCATTTCGTGTCCGCCCGAGCTGCCGCATTGGGAAAGTGTTTTGATAATAGCCGTAGGTCATCTTTCATGTAGCTCGTCTTCACGCTTGGCTCCTCCACCACCGACAGCCCCAGCATCCACCGGATCTCGACCTCGAGTCTGTACTTATTGTGGTCTTGCCTGGGCGGAACGAGAAGACAGCGGCAGAAGGAAGCGCGCGTCACGGGTCGACTCTTTTTTCCGTGGCGCGACGTGGCAAGCGATGCGGCAGTATACAGGTGTGGTGCTATTGAGCGAAGGAGATCGTTGTGCGTGGTGGCGACGATGTCTACGCCGGCGCCTGTGGCCGTGTTGAACAAGCGTACCTCGAAAGCGTCTGGATCTGACTTATAGAAAGTCTCGAACGACGCGACGATAGAGGTCTGGGAGCTGCTCGAGGCATTTTCTATGCCCATCTGGTCCTGGGAAGCTGTGCCAAAGTCCAGATCAAACGACACTTTGGCCAAAACGACACTCTTATTGTCCTCGAATTCTACCTGGTTTACCGGAATTGCATCCCCGTTGTCGAGTTTGCGGCGCTTTTCTCCTCGTAACTCTCCATCGTCACGAGCATCGGATGCGACAAATAGGCGTTGGATCGAGTCGAGATTCTTCGAGGCATCTTGCGCAGCAAGCGACACCTTCGGGTCCCCTCCAAACGTTCGAGGGGGTGATTTTGGTGTATGAATATTCGCGCTGAGGACCGTAGCGCATCCTTGGAAGGAAGCCATGGCTGTTGGAAGGAACGAGTGGACGAACGTTGGCCATCACCACGCGGAGGTGTAAGCTTGCCCGCCGCATCGATACTAAGCCACTAAGATAAGCAGATAAGCTCCACTCTCACTTGACCATCACCGTCACACGATATTAAACCGGCAAGGCGTCTTAGGCCAAATTACAGGTTACATGGTGGCTGCCTATTGCATATGCTAGCCCTATCCACTCTTTCTGTGTGCTCTTAAACTTCCGACTCTCGAATGTTTGAGCCTGGAACCTCCTCCTTCAAAGGCTCATAAACTGTTGACACGATACCAGCAAACAATACAGCCATATATCCTGCTGTCGAAGCGCTGCACCATTCATAACAATACCTCCAACCCTTTGGCCCGAATGCTACCCAGTGCTTGATCAGAACACATCCGACGTTCTCGTGTCGAATTGAACTTTCCAAAGTCAAGCCTAGTTCCAGATATGTGACGGCCATAACAGGCGTAAATGTGACGAGCAGCGTCATAGAGTAGCCGTTGATTGGTTTCTGCAACGCAGACCAAATTAATTACTCTTAATTGGGTTTCGTCGGGATAACCTTTGAGATTGCGTGATGACGGATTATACGAATGTCCCGGAGCAATATCAGGTATCAAGCGTGGCATCGCCTGTATAATTTGAAGGTGATGCACTTACACCTTCGATACCGTGCTTCCTATTCCAAACAGCGTTACGACGCCGTAAAAAGGAATGAGGCGTAGCCCCAGTCTTGCGCGACAAATCTTCAAACGTCCAAAGACGCTCTTTACTCGGTTGCCAGCACCTTCTTAATCGGCTCCGCATCCTCAATAAACTTCTCGACCATGGTATCTAGCTTCGTAAGATCATCCTTGCCCTTCTTGACTTCTGCAATCAGCTTCTGCTTCTGCTTGAGCTTTTCTTGTCGACGCTCCTCTAACTTGAGGCGGACCTGATGCTCGTGTTCGATACGCGCCGTCATAAGGTCATGTTCAGATGAATCGCTATGCTCGGGGAATTGTTCGAGAAAATCCTCAGCGGGGATAAGAGGGAGTTTCATGTACTTGTGACTGCGGTACTATTAGAAGCCGGTCTTGCGTGTGTAAGTTTCGACATACTCGTAATTCTCAGCAGCCGAGATTTCAGACCTCAGCGACTGTTCCTCATACTTAAGATTGTGCAGACCCAGGATCAAAGCATCATTGACCGCCCTGTCGTCTGCAGTATTCGCCTTCTCTTCGCGCACCTTCATCACGCTCTGGCGATATAGCGTCTTGATAATAGACAACTGCGCGCGAATGTACTTTTCTTTCTTCTCGACTTCGCGCTTCGTCTTCTTTGCGCCGTCGATCTCATCGCGTGAAGCGGACATCGGGTTTTGAGGATGCGCGATCTGGTAATCCACAAGCTCGTTGATCATAGCCTTGAGCTTCTGCACCTCCTGGTAGACGCGGGCATTGTGCGGTGTTTTGACCAGACTTGCGATGTCGAAGGTAGATAGGTCGACAGGCATCGCTTCGTCCGGTGTTGTATCGAGGAGTTGTGAATCGACCATCCTGATAGTTAGGGGAGGGTACAACGTCTGCGTAGGTGTTGTGGGTGTTGCCGACTGTTAAGATTGTGGATCAAATCGCGATATCCAAGAATCGAAGGTGCAGGAGCTCGTGCCAGATCATGGTCGCCAAGAGTTCACGTGCTGGCGCGTCATGCTAGCGTGTTATTGTCCTGTCTTTTCGTCGTTGCTTATTAGAGTAGCCTTTGTTCCTCGCTACATGCGCTCTGCAATGTTCATTCACATCACGTCTCAAAGTAAGTCTGCTGTCTCACTTCAAGCATTTGACCAATGATGGCGAATATTGGCTCAGGCTAGGATGGTGCCTTGCAAGCTCTCCCTGCGCACAACCTTGTCGAGAAAGAAACGAAGTACTCGGGGACTTTCGAACTGTGATACACCACAATGGCTCGATAATGATGTACATACATCCCGCAACAGTTTTGGTAAGACCAACTTTCCTGTCGCGCAAATATGTTATCTAATTCTCTCCTGATCACTTATCAGTAACATGCCACTATGTAAATAATCGTATCATGGCGTATGCGTATCGTTTAAAGACTCGACTCGCGTCTTTGCATCATCCATGCGAAAGCTGTGCACGAAACATGCGTGTATCATGTCGTACGATCATCAACATCCATCTCGCCTATTCCGTACGGCGGAAGCTCCTCATATGTGATATCCGCCACAACGTCGGCCCTTCTATAAACTTTCCCCTGGCGACCCTAGACATATTACGCCATCCATATACCCAGGGGTCCTCGTGCATGCATGTCATTGGATTTTAGCTCAACGCCATTTTCGGGAAACCCGACGACACGAAAAGAGGGGATAGAATGAAATGTGTAGCATAACCTCCGATTCCGGTTTATGGCAAAGGATCCTACACAAACATTATATCGATAAGGTGATGTAAGGGTATAGAAGATGAGAGAGATCTTTTCTGATCGATCGAACTCAAAAATGGGGCGACTGGAACCTTTCCGCGGGGTCCTTAAAAGGACATTCCACAGCATGGCCAGTCTTTCGAGATCTGGGGATTCAACTCCTTCGGTTGATTGGCTGATTGATTGATCAGCTGTTGGGGGCTTGAGGCTGCCGTGAAAGCTTGGTGGAATCGAATCTAGCCAGCAGAGCCGGGGTAAGGGGAACCGGCTGTGACTGGGAGGTGGCGCATTGTGATGGAACGAAATCCACCACTTGCTGGCCTCGTATCTCACCCTTGTTAAGCAAGCTTTGAGGGGAATTCTATTGAAAGCCAATCGATTACCTAGCCTGCCGTCGCCCTCTCAAATCCCCATCACTAGAGTGTGGCTGGATGCTCCAAGTAACGCAGGCACGAAAGGGCGGCCCTCGCGTTCATTCAAATGAGCATGCGACCACTTCTATCGTTCTTTGTACACAACTTCGCAATACCATTACACTCCATCGATTGGATTGGACTAATTTCGCAGCCAACACATATCCTTCATGAAGAGTTGTGAGCATACCCAATTTGTACATGAGATCCTGCGTGTTAACCTGCATTGTCTTAAATACGCCTTTTATCTTGACGCGAGGAAGAGGCTATTGATGGAGTTCTAGCCTTTACGTCAGTTGACAACTCCTTTTGAACAGGCCTAGTGTCCCAGCATTTGTCCCAAACCACGCTTTGTGCTTCATGTCGTACAGAAATCTAGGGATAGCGGATGACGGAATAACGACTTGCACACCTCGGCGCTCTAGCCAAGTCTTGACAAAAGCTTCTTGAAAATTCGGTTAGTATTTCGGTTGACGTCGCCGACATGCTGTAAAATGCCCGTGCATAGTTCTAGAAGATCCAAAGGGCCGATTACGCGTTTCCTTACCGAGCTAGCTTCATCCCAGGGTTGAGGTCCATCGAGTTATGGCGGCGGCTCGGTTTCCCCGTTCCCCATGGTCTCTTCCTGCACACAAAGAAAGCACGAGGCTTGGTCTAACCACTAAGCTTGAGGGAGTTTAACAGCCACAATTTTCCCCGCAAGCCAACACTAAGGGTAGCCATTTGGAAAGTCTCTAGCTATCTTCAGCCTCATCATACCCTGCTGGCTTGATCCAAAACAGTCCACAGGGTCGAACAATGACACCTCTTTCGTTTGGGAGCTGGGAAAGAGTGTCGAGAAGCTTGCATACGAGCACCAGCAGTAAATTCCACATCGAAAATCCAAATAGCGCACAGTTACTAACGCCTGAATTGGGCTTAGTTTACGATACCAGATTTCCAAATCCCAAGGTAATCTTCCTTACAACGGAACGACGCCCAATCCCTAGTCCCTTGTGCTGGCAATGACTAGTACAGTGTCAACTGAGAGGACGCCGAACTTACCTCCGTTCAGCTCGGCCACATCCTGTCGTAAGCTCTTACGCACATCGGTTGTACCTTCCAGCTCCAATGCAAACCTTGTTCTTAGTCGGTAAGGTGTACCGATGACTTATATTTTTAGTGCAAAGCTATCCCGACCCGTTCCTGTAACTCTAGGATGAGTACTTCCGCCGTCGGCGCCGGGGCCTCGGTCTCGACGACTTTGGATGAAGAAAATCAGAATTTGTCATGACAATAGTAAAGGGATTCCGCGAACAGCCATGGCATGATATCCGTGGGCTTCTGCAATGTAAGAAGTTTCTTGTCATTCTAGAGGTCGGCGTTTACGGCTTTTAGAAGACACCAAGTATGGTGGAAAGCAATTACAACGAGGCCGTGCCGTTATGTTATATGGAGCGGAAGGATTCGGTTCCCACAATATGTTTAGCGGTATAGCCAAACGACTGTTCCGTTACACAAGCCATCATGACAGAGCGTCACATGCTTGACAGGTCGGCGTTTACGGGAGCCCTGACTGGAACTTGTCGTGCAACAAGTGCGGAAAATTAGGTTTTCTGCACACCCATAGCTCGCACAAGCGTGTATCGACGAGGGGTAAGCCAATGCTGGTACTCTCGGCACCCACCGCTGTCAGTGTTCATAAATCGACACGTCTCGAATTCCTATTGGATGTATGAGGCACGATGTGGCTACCTGCAGACATAGACAATGTGCAATACCAATCGAATGCCATGTCCTGGAAGTTTGCAGGAACACTAGAGTTGGTGGCGGAGAAGTGCCCATGCTTGTGATTTGGCGGATCATGATGCTTGCCGCTTCGTCAATGGTATTTCAATGGCGATTTAACCCGGGTCACGCCGTTACCAAGGACTTGCGTATCCACCGCTTGACTCATTTCTGTGCCACGTCTCGTATACAGTCCTCATGGCTACCCTGCGTGCTTAGACCTACACGAGAAGGAAGGTAACGGCTGCCAATCCTGACGTTCGGGATCTACCTAAATCACACTCGGACCAGCGATTTCTTTCTGCACAGATAACTAATCCTTACAGTCTGGTGCTAGGGTTAAGCGATCAGTCAAACTCAGTCCCAAGCCACTCCATCTCCATGACTCTGGTCCATTGCCGAGGTGAGCTACTGGGAAATAGCGCGTCTAAGAAACGCTGGTGCACGGCTTTCTAACGCGCCAAGTGGTTCATCTCGGGCTCTAGCACAATATATTGTCAAACTTGAGGCCGACTGCCATTCGCGGAGCACAAAATACTTTGCTGGAGCTTGGAACTCAAATGGTCTAGAGCGACCGGGCTGGTAAAGCACCATTGTATAAAGTCTGTACTGAGTCAAAAACCACACGTCAAAACGTCTCCCACCCCTCATCTTGCTGTCGTTGTTTAGTCTGTCTTTTCCCTCTTACGTTTTAGCCGTCATCATGGCTCCTGCAAGCAAAGAAACTTCCGTTCAGCTATGCAAACGAGTAACAACACAAGGAAACACAATCGCGATACGCCTATTGGAATACCTCAGCACCGCTAAACAGGTCATCCCCGGTGTTCAGACTCTTGCTGCTGAATTCATCCAGCTCTGTCGTCTCTTATGGTCGATCGAAGCTGGTCTGGCCGAAGCGACGAGGTCACACCATAGCCTTCCCATAGAAGTGACCCAGGACCTCGACAAGCGAGTGCGCCAAGTATACGATGAATTCGTGGTACTCAACCAAATGGTCGTCAAGTTTGTGGACAATGAGAACCACAAGGGCGGGTTCGGAAAGCGCTTCCGTATGATGTTTGCAGATACAGATGTGGACAAAATGCGCGCCACCTTGTCAAGAAGCCGCGATTCGTTGAAAGTCAGCTCTGCCATGTTCCGGTGGACGATAGGTGATGCGCAAGCGGACGCAACCATGGGCATCGGATACACAGGTCTTATCGCCGTTCTCGACCGTATGGACCCAAGCAGAGCGTCTACACTTCCACCATCCACTCCTCCTCCGCTTTCCAATCTTCCCTTAACGCCCTCCGCCAACAGTCATCATTCCGGCGAAAGGAGCCTGCATCAGCCTGAGCGCCTGGTCGAAAAGCATTCTTTCGATGATCTCCGATCATACTCCCACGATCCGAGGGCTCATACGGTTGATCTTCGTCCCGCTATGAGCGATGTCTACCTACGACATGACACTATTGGTCTCGCAACAACTGAGCCGCGCAAAAACTTCCAAACACCGAGTATCCGCTCATCTTCTACGACACGATCGAACAGAGATACGTACCACACAAACAACAGATTTCAGAGCGAGACTGGCTATGAGGACATCATTTCAGAAGACTCCCGGTCTCGAATATTGCACGAGGAGCATCTGCACGATCTCAGTCTACGGGACAACTCTCCACATGATAGCCTTGTCGGGGGGCACAAGATGGATTCTTTATCAGCCCAGTACTCGCCTCGGGGAATGGAGAGCTCGAGAATGGCTGGCGGCAAAGCAGCTCTCGTAACTGCCGTGGAACAAAAGAACCATCGCGTTCTTTCGCAGCTACTTGACGGGGGCGCAAAGGCGGATCTGCTGGTCGAGGCTGCCATGCTGCGAACAGCAATTCACAATCGAGATGTTGAGAGCGTTGCTCTGCTTCTCCGATACGGTGCCGACGCGAACAGCTTTGATCGAGAAGGCTTCACGCCTCTTCTGACCTCCACCCAGACGTCATCTTTGGAATGCGCAAGGACACTTCTCAAGTACAACGCCGACCCCAACCTTTCTGCCGGTCCAAACTCTGAAACTCCTCTATCTCTGGCCGCGAGCCGGAACTATATCGACTTTGTCCAGCTATTTATGGCAAACGGCGGTAATGCGGACTTCGTAATGGAGAACGGTTCCACTGCACTGGTCCAGTCCATAAACAAGACCACGTCTCCCAGGCTCGTTGAGATACTCCTTGCTGCGGGCGCCGATCCAAATGGAAAGGATGGTGAAGGCGCAACCGCGCTCTTCTCGGCCATTCAGACGAATCGCGTAGACCTTATGACTGTGTTGCTGGACCATGGAGCCAGCCCAAATCTTCCAGGTCCTAAGCATCCTCTCTGGCCTTCTACATATAAGCCCAAGGCGCTTCAGTTACTGCTAGCCCGCGGTGCCGATCATAAAAAGACTCCTGGTGTGATGGAGTTGGCATCCAGTTTGAAGAAACTGGAATCTGTTCAAATTCTCGTCGAAGCTGGTGTATCACCAAACGTTAGGAAAGACGGAGTATATACCCCTCTGTGCTCAGCCATTCGCGATAACAGCGCAGATATCGTCACGTACCTTCTAGCGAACGGCGCAGATCCTAACTACAAAGCCGCTGAATTTCCAGCTTTCAAATGTATAACACACAAGCGTATACACTTCCTGCCACAGCTCGTCGCTGCGGGCGTAGATCTTCACACTCCTAAGGGTATCTTAGAGACTGCTGTTGCTTTCAACAACAAGGAAGCAATACTTTATCTGCTGGAGCAGGGCGTGAATATCAACGACCGAACACCAGAAGGATGTACCGCGCTTACTACCGCGATTCGCGACGATCATCCCGAGCTCGTCGATCTCCTTCTCGCACGCGGTGCCGATACCGCGATTCGGGGACAAGACTGGCCTCTATGCATGGCTGTCAAGCAGCCAGCCATCCTCAAAAAGTTGCTCACTGCAACATCCAATCCCCGCGCTTTCCGTGGCGTTGTCGAGATGGCCGTCGTAGCCAATCAGCTCGAAAGCGTCAAGTTGCTTCTCGCGGCAGGCGTCAGCGTCGAGGACAAGAACTGCGGTGTTTTCTCTCCACTCACCACCGCCATCCGCGAAGAGCACAAGGACATTGTGCGCTACCTCCTCGACGTAGCGAACGCAGATCCCAACGCCCCCGGCGAACACCTTCCTCTCGTCAAGGCCTTGCGACGATTCAGCGGCGACACCGAAATCATCCAGATGCTGCTCACTCGCGGCGCAGACATCAACAGAATGCACCGCGGATGGAACCCCGTCCTCCAAGCCGTCGAGAATGGCGATGTAAAAATCTTGAAACTGTTGATCGACATGGGTGGCACAGTGGATCTGCAAGCCATCGACGAGTCGGGCAAGCCGGTCATTGATATCGTGGCAGAGCGCAATTGGGAAGAGGGTCTCGCGCTTTTGTTCCCGAATGCCTCGCCATCATCAGGGCTTAAGCAGTAGGTAATTTTCCTCCATTCTTTAACTGGATTTTGAGCGCACACTAACGCTTTGCAGTTCCAAGAGCTTCTCGATGTCCGACTGGCGCTGGATTAGCGGGTCAATACAGGCCGGCGATCTGTGTTCGAGTGATGAGGACAGAGCGGATTGTAGTACGGTATCGAGTGGAGCATTGCCGATGAGTTGAGTGTGTATATGTGAACTTGATTTTATGCGTGAGCATGTGTTGCTGGAGTTTGCGATATCCCAGGGTCTTCTCATCTCATTTGTCATCGAAAACATTTTTCTACGCATTTCATATGTTCTTCTAATCACTCATGGTTCTCGATACGAGGTTGGGCGGCCTATCTCTTTTGTTGTACTCGGAACAAATATGTTCTCAGACTTGACATTATCAAAATTTAATCGAACGACACAGCACCGCTGGAAATATATTCAAACATGTCTCCTGGATGAGTTCATTGCGCAAGTGCCAATGTGTTATGGAGTGTTGGTGACTTACACATGAGCAAGGCATGAGACTTGAATCTTGACATAGTCTGGTAGCGTTGGGTGTATGTACTGTAACCACAAATCCTTACTCGAAGCTATGGTTAAACTACCATGTCCATGAATGTGGGAGCTGGAAGAGGAACTGCAACGGATATAAAATCCGAGACGCGTTGAACCTGTGTTATCATGCGAACGATATACTCAGGCTCTAGTCAAGAGTTTGTACAGTGCTAAAGCACAGGGTCTGATTTTGAGCCAATAGGGGCAGTGAAACGGTTGACGGAAATAGTGTAATATATAGTTACACCTAGTCGTTAACGATTGGAGATAGCCTCTAGCCTATCCGAAACATCAGATGGCCTTTTCAGATTAGGTACTCATCAGAATGCGCAAACCATGTGCATGTTCCCAGTGAGGTGTCTTGACAACGAATGTATGACTCTCACCCTTTGGAGAAACGTTGTTCCACATCGCGATAGAGTCTGTAAAGATTTGGTGGGAGAGTTATCGTGGAAGGTAGGTGCCACGTCAGTCGCAAAGGGATATAAGAAGCGTACAGTTTGCTGTGTGACAGCCGGTGTATAGCGTAGAAGAAGGACTCCAATACGAAGAGAAGTAATGAGAAGGTCAACGTTTGATTCAATTTGAGGACTACTCTTGAGAGATCAAAGTTTGAAAGAAGTAAACACCGTTCATACAAAACATTCTTGTCAACAATCCCAAGCCTAGTGAGAAAGCGACGAACATAAATACTACATGTTTCGTAGATGAAAAGAACGTAACGAAAGGTTGCCGAACATTCACCTTTCCCCCGGTGATGTACAAGTCAAATTCACCAACGCCACCAAACAATATCAAGAAAAGCTGTAGTGTGAACCGAGACCGGTTCAGGCAAAGAAAGTAGTGTCAAAAGATCCAGTCCGTAGTCACACAGACACACAAAGAACAGAAGAATGAGCAAGGGTATAAAGCTCGTCGCCGTCAAGAAAAGAAATATGGCTCCTTCAGATGTACAACAGTAAACTACAAAGGAGACAAAGAAAAAAGCAACAGGACAGGGATCGTTAAGGCTTCGTGGGGCTAGCCTCACGATACGAACGTTGTGTTGACCAAATGCCCGACACTTGAATAGAGTACGCGAACGGAAAGTCCACTCGTGCTCTGAACATGAGTACAGATGCGATCTGACGTTCAGGCGAGGATGTCATCCTGCAAGGCCTACACAGGGCATTCCCATCTCGCCATGGCTGAAAGGCTATCGACTCGTCGCGTATCCACGATTGTAAGCTTGTTGTCCTGGAGTCGTTGCGTTCGTCACCGGGGCTCCGGTGATGGCCTTCCAAGCCACCTCAGCGGCCTCCTCACGCGACTGTTCGAGAAAGCGGTAGTCTCGCCATAGATGGGCTCGATATTCGCGACCGTGGACAAAGACGCTGCTAGACCATGCTGTCCTTATGCCTACACACCAATATTAGGGCTGGAGTGTGCGAAGGGTGTACAGGTGGGTCGCGAACCTCGAGGGTCGGAGTAGTCTTGGAACTGAGGTTGAGCAATCCGGTTGGTGGCGCAGTAATCTGTACTGTTTAGCTATGAATGAAAGTAGCATCGGCAAGCGTACGTTGGAGCTTCTGGACGTAGCTCTCTGGTTGGCTTGTTGTCATGTCGGGCGATGGATAGGTTGATGATGAACGAAGGGAGAATTCTGGTGGGACGTGTCAGGCGGGGACAGATTCTGCAAGTGGGGGTCCTGTGAAGCCCAAGTAGCGTATGAGGATTGGAAGACAACACGCGCTCCAAGGACTTTGACTCTCTGTTTATACTCGAGACTAGGTGTCAGAGCCTCATCTCTAGCATCCTAGACAAGTTGGCCAGCGGTGTTGCCACACCACCACGACAATGGGGAGATACTTTGGAAGCTATTGTGGCACACAGCTGCTTCGGAACATAGCATTGAGTTAATGCTCTGCTGCGCTGGCAGATCTTCACGTCGGTGATTGGTGCGCAGGCATGTCATAGAGCGAGGAACTGCGGGGGTAGTGAGGAACGAAAGACGGCATAGCAAGAACGGGACGCGCAAGAACCAGGTAGCGACATATATGACATACTGCTACAACCCTCGGGAACCGTCGAGCTGGGATCAACAGACCAATGGAGTATTGCGCGTAGAAAAGTCGAAGGTCCTGGGTTGCCGTTAACGGCTTGGTGTGCAGTATGTGCTGGCAGCTGAAGAACGACGAAGAGACAGGAAGGGCTATTTTGCTCAGTGCCGGAAAATGACCAATGTGTGTTTCGCAGATTGGACCAGCGTTACTTCGGCCCGCCTTCGGTAAAGGCAGCAACGCGCCGTGCCGTTTCCGCTGTATGCGACTCACGGGCGCGCGTCATTTGGAACATCCTTCTACACATGGCGAATTTGGAAATGCGCGTGCGAAGCGAATCAGGTCTTTTAGCGATCGAAGTGGGGGTTTTTGCGCAGCCAGTTGGATCCACACCATGCAGACAAAAGTCACCTTCCGGACTCTTTGTAGGAACGTGTCGAGTCAAACGTGTTCCTGGCGTGAACGGCTCAGCCCTGCAGATCTCCAAGTTCACACGTGGATGCAGCCCATATCACAGTCACAATGTGTTACATGCTCGCGTTCCTGAACGCCTGTGCTATGGCCATCGGTTCGGTCTCTTCTCCCACGGGTGACGTGGACGTGTTCGCCAGCCAACGCTTGGAGTGGCGGCGCTTCGCTCGGTGACGGTGTGGGTTTGGCACGGCATATGGATGGTCTGTGACCAGACAAGCCTTGAGGGTGGGGTCTAAATATCTGCACCTCCCATTATCGTTCCTCTGCGCTGGCAGTTGTTGTGTTGTTCATTGAACGCGCTCATGACTTTGAGGTGTGGTGGCATCCCGATGTTGCTGTGACGTGTCGCAGGAGGCCAAGAGGCTAATGAGTAGCGTATTCCCAGAGAAGAATTACAAAACCTTGCATTGGGTATGCTGGTGTCTTGAACCGACTGCATGTACAACGGGTGCGGCCCAATGCAATGTAAAAATACAGGCGTGCGGTACCTCGAGAGCAGATCTGGTGATTGGCTAAGCAGCCGATCGCTGACACTTGATTGGCGGGCGGACGTGGGATAATAGTCGTCTTTTTGCATAGCAATGGGCTGCACCTTTTGTAGCACTTCACGAGAGACGCTGCTATCTGGCGACCGCGGTGAAAGTAGAATCACGTGTCTGCCATCGGGGTGTTGAAGCGAGACGACTCACGAGAAGCCATCTCACCTTGAGAGAGATAAGTTTTCACGCCACGACCATGCAAGAAGCTGAATCAGACATATTGACCGCAACGGTATATCATTCAAGGACCTCGAACCGCTAATCATCGCCAGTCATAGCTCTATGACCATGAAGTGCACTATGAGTAACACCCATTCACCGCCGTACACGTCGAGCTAGACGCACATCTTATGAAGCGGCTCTCGTCGTCGTAGCCGTAGCCTTGGTCGATGTCTTCAAGGTGCTGGCGACAGCGGTCTTGCTAGTGGCCGTAGGCAGGGAAGATCCTCCGGCGATTACAGTAGGACCAGGGGCGACGTATGTCGACAAACTTTGATATATGTTTATCTGGATACCTGGGTCTGCAGCTTTGTACGCACCGGGAAACGATACGCCAGCGGGGCTTGTCGATCCTCCCCCGGTGACAGTAATCTGGTAGCAGGTGATGTAGAACTGAGCACCACCAGCTCCGCTAGCTGAGTGCAGCGCGATAGCCTCTGCTCGTAGCAGATAGTCGCCTGGTGTCAGATTCGATGGAATCTTGACGTCCATCTTTCCACAGTTCGAATTGAGGTCTTTTGTGCCCCAGTAGTCGTCAGATCCACTCGAACCAGATGGGTTCTTGCCCCATGTGTCCTGGAATATCTTGAAGAAGCTGCTTGAGCCATCGGCAGTCATGGCATCTGCGACTTTACTCATGTAAACCAAGACTGGACCGTAATGGGCCCCACCTATGGCTTCGTTGCTGCACGATCGATCATTGGGTTGCTGGTGCATCTCAACAGTTACGGTACCACCAGCGGCTACGCTACATTTCGAAGCTGCTGCGCCCTGGTTGACGTTGCCTGAACGATCATGTCAGAATGGGTGCTGGCAGAGCATGGGGGGTATTATTTACATCGGATGTTGTTACTCGTTACATCCGTAACGGGGCTATTAGTAGTTGGAAGTCGTGCACAAGTAGCCAGGTAAAGACCAGTTAGCTGTGTGCACCAGCGAGAACATCAAACTACTTATCTTATCTACACCATTCACCCAGAGTTGCTGGAAGGTAGCATGTCCAGCAGCTTGCGTTGCTAGGGCAGTGACGCCAGCTAGTACAAGAGTAGATCTCATGTCGAATGAAGTAACGATCGAAAAGTCCAGGAAAGTCGAGACTGGGAAATGTCAGGGTTGATGAGAACTCAATCCAGCTCCTCGTCTTCATCTATATACATTTCCAAGGTGGCCCAGGGAGTGCATATATTATCATGTTCTCTGTTTCAGTGTTTCATCTACCTTCAACAAAAGCCGGGAGTGGGGCTGGGGAAATAAAGTGTTTGCGCATTGCAGAACCTGGGATAATATGTAACCTCAAGATGATTGCTCCAAAACGTGCAGTTAGAGTAACGTGGAAATTGTAGGAATAGTCGAACAACCATTCAATTGGTGCTAAAACAAATATACATCCTGGAGAGTGTTTTGAGGTTTGAGTAATGCGTCCCGCTTGGACCCAAAATGGCGATTTGATATTAAAGGGCAGTACACTCTGATACACCGGGCAGTACGGCGGACCATGAGCAAATGTAATCCTCGAACAACAGTAAGGAGACAAGATAACACCTACCGCAAATCTGCTTGGGCGACAGAACGTCTCCCTATATTTCGTAATCTGTGTAAAGCTGAACGCAAGACCTGCTGGTATTGCTTAACAATACTAGCAACAGAAAAGGCGAGCTGATGTTCATGTGCTCCTCGTGATCGCTGCGCAACATCGTCTTTGATCGAAAGGATATTTTATATTGGGTCATATAGCTAACGTGGGACTACTTACGGAGACTTATAGTTTGAGATTTTAAGAAACACACGTTTTGATCTCGAGGCTATGGCGCCATCCATGACAGTTGAGCTCAAGCTAACGACAGTTGCTATCGACGAAATATAAGTAAAAAATAAGTTGAAGCTGAGCAAGGGACTCGGTTCAAGAACAATCATGACGGCCTTGGGAAAATGCAGGAAAGAACGAAAGAGAGGAATGTGTAAAGTGTAGCAACTTATCTGTAACACGACTCTATTACCCAATATCGATAAATTTAGAGACGATCAAAGACGGTGTGGAGAATCAGTCGGAAAGCGGGCCGCAAACCAGCAACCACAATCACGTAAATACTTTGATGACACCACACGTAGTTTTCCGATCCGAGGTGAGCTCTTGACCCGTACTCAACCTTTCTCTGAGATCAATCATCGCTAAAAAATAATTACTCATCATATTTGTTTGGTTTTTGCTAGTGCTATAGATGGTGGATAGAGCGTCTTTGTAATTGCGGCATAATCTGCCCAAAAGCTCATGGCGTAGGACTATTTGAAGTGATCTGGACAATATGTGTCGTTCGCTCTGACCAATAAGTGTTAGTATCACTGCTTACTACGAGATTCTCAACGCTTACCAATTCGACGGCCTTCATCACTTGTGCTCCTCTCTGTACTCCTCTCCACACTGATGCAACTTCCACCTGAGTTGCCATCAACGTCGACTTTCGGGTATTCATGGAGCTGGAGATGTTCTTCTGAAGTTCTCGATGCGAGCTGCGAGATTGCAGAGTCCCTTGCCAGGTACTTTTGGAACGGATTGGAGTTCGTGGGTGGCTTATCCATGATTGACGAGCGCTTGCCATCGCTATATCCTCCACGTGTGCTTGCTTGTCCCTTGACGTGGCGCACAAGACGTGGAATGCAAGGGCAGCAGCCTGCAATGATGACGGCGGCAGTTTCAGCCATACTGTGGTAACGTAAGTCGGCGTTTCGCAGGCGTATGACAGTATAGATCAACTAACCCAATAAGTCCAGTCTGCATCATCAACCATGTGTAGTCCGATCCTTCAATCACCTTGATTCTCCAGACCAACCCCAGGATTCCAACCGTAACCGCACTACCATTACTGTTAGCGAACTTCAAGATGAACAATCCCGGTGTGGCCTACATAATGCCTATTCCGAATACCGCAAACACTGCTATCTTCTTCTTCAACTGCATCTTCAGTTGCCAGATTGCCCAAGCTGGGACTAACAGCGCCTCGATGTCGCTGATTACGTTGAGCGATCCTCCAGCAAGGTGAAGCGTGTTGGTATCAATGCAGGTACCTGGGGTAAACAGATTCCAGATTCTTTCGCGCGGCGTGCAAGCGAAAGTATAAAGGAACGTTACTATCGTGTAGAAGATCACATTGACCACCAAAGAGCCGATGATAATCCAGAAGACGATGCCGCGTTGCCTTGTTGTAAAGATCTTTTTGAGCTGGAGGAAGATAACCGTCTTCGCCAGACAGGTTGTGATGCTCATGTTGATGAAGACGATGTTGAAGATGTATAACACCCGGATGAACTGAGCTATACTGATATCCCACATGTGATGCGCACCACCAATGACCGACGCATGAGTGCAAAGAACTGTATAGACAATCAATCCACAGTAGGCCAGGTACGAAAGACAATCCTCGATTCGGAGCCGCTTCGCTATGAAAATGTTGACGTAGGCTCGGGCGAGTATGAATGGGATGGTGAGAACTTGGATAATGACGGCCACAGCGATGGCGGCAGGCAGCAGTGAGGGTGGATCGATGAAGTTGGACGTTATTCCTTCCGGCGGCTCATGAGCCGGCGTCAGGTTGAGATTCATCGGCGGCATCGCCATTTGGTCGTTAGAAGAAGAACGTTGCCAGTCGAGATGGAAATTGAGGAAAAACTACTTTACAAGGCATTCAGGACATAAAGACAACTATCAAGGGCCAGGAACCCTTGACAATGGAGACCGTAGTCTGGAACGCACATGGCCGTCGCGCTTCTCCAGGCCTCGCTTACCTGCCGGTACAACTAGCGATCCATACATTATACTACCGCCGGTTCAGCGGACCCCCTCCCGAGCCGACCAATTGAAGACTCTGACAAGTTTAGTTGGCGAACAAGCTGACCGGTAGCTGACTACTCATTACAAAGAGTGCGGAGCGATTGTGTAGGCAGGGCCTGTCAAAAAGATCGAGAGGCTGAGAAACGGGTGAATGAACAAGGGTACGCATTACCCCTTTTTGCCATACATGAGAGGTGCTGAATCCTCAAAGCGTAATACTCTGCAGATTTGGATTGTTGTGAAAACCACTTAGAGCAGAGCTTGTGACCGTAAAATTCTGGTACAACAACCTCATCGAGCGTAATAAACCCCAGGAATATCTTGGAGCGTTTGATTAGTTTCTTTAGATATGTTCGTTCCTCTGGAAGTTGTGGAAAAGCAAAATGTTTTCATGCGATGCGCTAGCTCATTTGTTGGGTTCTATATGCCGAGAAACACTAGTGTGTGGTTTCTTAGTAGCTAGAGGCGGCTCCAGGATTGATCTAGCTGGGAAGTTGACGTATGCATAAGGTTCACCCGACCTTGGGGGCGTAAAACCTTGATTGAGGGTCGCCAAATGTCAAAGGGTCGAATACGAAAGCGACCCAGAAGTGAAACATACACGGGTTCGGCGGCTTTCGTCTTAGCAGAAAACAAAGTAGCGTGGAAGTACGCTTGCCGTAGGGGTTTGTTTGGAAAAGCTTGTATTTTCCAAAATCTTGAGTTTCCGTGAGTTGCGGCTCTGATGACAGGCTCAACCCAATCATTGATACTGGAGTTACTCCCAGCTGAGCTGGCTGCTCACTAAGCTCCACATCATCTTACCTAGATCAGCGGCACATCGGGTGAACCAACTAAACAGATCTGACGTTTACAATTAGCAGTAGTGTCCCGGACTGTCGGCTTAACGTTACCCCGTTACACGACTCAGTTATCAGAGAGGGGAACTGAGAAGCCATAGACATCGCGACCCAAACTTAGGTAAGACACTCTGTGAGATGCAAACTCGCTTCTGCCGTCGATAGCCTCTTATCCGTGCGCAGCACGAGATCGAACACCGGCGATCCTCCACCGATTTTCATACAAGCTAATAGCCGCGTCTTAGCGCTCTCAGCACGTCCATCGTTCTTATCATTACATTATTGCAGGATTGAACAGGGGAGTAACTACCTTGACCCAACTTAAGAAATGGAGAGCCACCCTTCGCTACATACCAGGGATTTCCCCATGTCGCCAACGTAGACGTTTCGTGCACATTATATCGAGTATCAGGCATCTGGACTTTCAAACACCCATACTCACAGTGATATAGCGAGAAACCAGCCATCACGTAACGATTGGTCAGCTCCTCTTGGCGATTGCTATCACAATATACTCCTACTGATTATTGAATGCGCTAGGACGTATCAACAACGTTCTGCTCATGTTTTTCTTTTCTCCCAGAGCATAGCGTAGGTACCTGATCTTGGAAGTGTGCGCCACTCAATCTAGACTGGGACTCCCGTGTTCCGCGGTAAGGCTGTTGACCATGACATAGATTTTCTAGAAAGGCGTCCAGTAGAAGATTTGTCAGTTTGCCACCTTTGGAAGCCACTGCACACACCCCAAGGAACAACCGCGATTGGCTCCTGGAATTAATGAAGCGTCTCGTACTAGCTGACATCTGAATCTAAGCCGATTGTGTGTAGGGTGGTCACCTTCCAAAACTCCTACTAGATACCATAGTAAGACTCTGTAAAGAGATCTCTTGTCCACAAACCAGTCTTTACATACTGTGGGGATCTAGAAATAGCATAGTAAGAGATGGCGTTTTTCGAAATAGCATAGTGAAAGATGGCTTTCCTCTAGTCTCGTAAGTAGTCGAACCGGCAAATCCGATAGGATGGGATAGAGAGTAAGTGGGCTTTGTTAAAGTTTGTAACAAAGTTTCTCGCTTCTATAGAGTAAGCGATCATGTAGCGAAAGTTATCACCTACCGAAATGCTAGTAACCACCACCAAAATCACGATTTTTTGCAGTTAAATAACACGCTCAATCTTAGAGTCAGTTGTTTAAAATTTAAGATAGTAGTTTGCATTACTATACTTTAAATCCTATTAAAATTCTATTTCTCTACCTGCTAAATAGCAGAAGTTTTTTGTGTTTGTTAGGAGATTTTAACAGATTTTAAGAGTTTTTTTGGCGTATTTAACATTTTACAGTATAATTATTCTAGCAGTAAGATGCAAGCTCTTTAATTGTAATATAATAATCTTTTAAGTATTGCGCTACTTAAAATCTAATTTTTAGACAATTTAGTTAAGAATTAAGCAAGTTATTTAACTGCGAAAAATCGTGATTTTGGTGGTGGTTACTAGTCTTTCGGTAGGTGATAACTTTCGCTACATGATCGAGTACTCTATCTCAGCGCGAGAGAGGCGTGATGCGGATGATGATGAATAAGGATCTCGCGAGTGGAACTTGACAAAGCATCGTCAAGCCCATAGATCTATCTATGAAATTCACAAATCCTTTCCAAGCATATAGCGACTTCAACGCATACAACTATCCTCTGATATCGCCTGTAATTGTTATGTAGTTCAGCATTACTCATGGTCAAGGTTACATCTGACGCCTTTTGAACCCAGCCCCCGGCCCCCCTAGTATCCTCGCCGCCCATCGTTCGGCTGCACATCCCGGCTCCACACCCGCCTTCCGTCTCCTACGCTAGAATGTGGTCTGACTGACAATGACTCCTATTATATCGATTAGGTCTGTCGCCTCTAATGGTATCGTGGCTGCATTTCCATTCCCATTCCAGTGCGAGCTTGAACAGCGTTATCAAGATATTTTTCGTTTATGTCATGTACAGGGATCCGACCGACGTCGGTTACGCAGGGGGGACGCATATGAATCGCGTGCCTGAAACTAGTCGAGGAAAACTGGGGACGGGGGGAGATAACGGTTCATGCGTACAAAGGGTGCGGCCCACCGAAGTGTGAACATACGGGAATACAGTCAGGATTTCCCAGCCAATCAAGTGTCTTCGATCGGTTGTCCGTTTTCGTCGCACCGTATTCCCGTATTTTCACACTTCAATGGGCCGGTATATTGGAGATGTTGAGGAGACATTGTATGATTTGGGATGCGAGTAACGTACGGACCAGTTCGCAAAACATCTCGAAGAGAAGAAGAGAAAAGAGAATAAGTAGGAGAAGAAGATTGTGATGGCCTGTTACTGTTGATGTCTGGAGTTCAGAAACGATTCGGTTGCCCTTCAGTACTAGACGTCCTCGAGATGCGAGAAAGCTCATGTCCTCAAGGTGACGACAAGAAATGAACGCAAGTGGCATCGTGGTTTGTTGTCCTCTTCATTGAACCGTATATGGAGTCCTCTTCATTGAGTCGTACATGGAGACAGGGTTGGAAACATCTGAGGCTTTCATCTCGTCTCAAGGCGGCACTGGGAAACAGAAGCCAATTCTGCCTGACAGGTTTAAAAATCAGGTCTCGGATGCGCAGTCACACCTCCGATGTCGGGAATCTGGGCCCATCATGGCTGAAATGGGTGCACATATGTACTGAGATTGTTACAAGACATTACTGGATCTACTATGGATTAACTCGTATAGGATATATGTCCATGTCTTTGGCCAACAACAGTCCTACCTTTATGCTCACGATGTCACCCTACATGGCCCGCTCATCTTTTCAGATCAGGCAAAAGTCGTTCATACCTAGACAAGAGTGGGGTTACAGCGGGGAACACCTCTTGACTTAAAAACTCCCCCGCTTATGACGTCGGAACTCGGTATCTAACTGCTTCTACAATTACATGCGCTCTCCTCATCAGTCCCCACCATCATCTCTTCAGACCATCTTCAGAAGATTCAATAATATTAATTGAAACTATGACTGAACCAAAGACAATCCGTTGGGGCATCCTTGCCACCGGAGGAATCGCCCTCACCTTGTTGGTACCCCGCGATATCCCTCCTAAGCTCTCGACTAATATCTTTCCAGCACCAGGGACCTCCTGGCTGATCCCACTACACGTGGCGTCAAGCATCTCAAGCACACAGTCGTGGCAGCGGCTTCATCCTCGTCTAAATCACGCGCTGAAGATTTCCTGAAGGAAGTAAAAGCCCCTTCAGACGCAAAGGCATATGGTTCCTACGAGGAGCTTGTTAAAGATTCCAACATCGACATCGTATACGTTGCAACACCACACTCGCATCACTACCAGAATGCAATGCTCTGCTTAGAGGCTGGCAAGAATGTGCTCTGCGAAAAGGCGTTTACCGTCAATGCTGCTCAAGCACGTAAGTTGGCTGAAAAGGCCAAGGAAAAGAACCTATTCCTCATGGAGGCTGTATGGACGCGCTATTTCCCACTCTCAATCTACGTGCGTGAGCAAATCACATCAGGGCGCATTGGTCCTGTTGCACGCGTCCTCTCCGACAACAGCATGGCTCTCGATCCTGAGGAGTCGTTCCCTGACGGCAAACACCGCATGGTGAACCCAGATCTTGCTGGAGGAGCTTTGCTCGATCTTGGAATCTATGCTTTGACTTGGGTCTTCCAAACGTTGTACCATACACAGCCAGAAGACTCCAGGCAACCACCCAAGCTGCTCGCCTATGTCAAGAATTACGAGGCTACGGGCAAAGCTGATGAGCACTCCACGATAATACTGAGCTTCCCACGCTCAAAGGAAGCAGGTGGTGAGGCCCACGCTGTAGCTACGACATCGCTTCGCGTTGCTACCTCACCAGGAGACAACATGGATGTACCATGCGTCCGTGTACAAGGACCCAAGGGAGAAATCCAAGTTTTCCCCCACTCTTTCCGTCCCCTGAAGACCAAACTCATCTTGAGCGATGGCACTGTTGAGGAGAAGGATTGGCCAATTCCTGGACCTGGAAAGGGTAGCGACTGGTACAATGGTTTCGGCGGACAATTCAACGCCGAGGGCGAAGGGCATGGTATGTTTTGGGAAGCCGACGAGGCTGGTAGCGCTTTGTTGGAGGGTAGGAAAGAGGGCAAATACTTGGGTCTTGAAGAAAGTATCCTCATCATGGAGGTTATGGATGAAGTGAGGAAGCAGGGTGGTCTTGTCTACCCTGACAAGATTGAGACTACTGACTACCCGACAAAGCTATGAAGATATGGACGTAGCAGCTTGTATTTAGCCACGAAGACAAGATGAGACTCATACAACATAATAACGTTCCACGCTTGCATTTCTTTCGGCGTCTCGTCCAAACCCATTCCTTCATCTCCACAATGTTTTGAGGAGCTAACTTTATCTTCTCAGGACGTCCAACCTTCCTAATTTCGTGTAGTATGCTCACCTCTTCTAGTACAAAATTACATCTGTAGAAACGATAGATGTGTTATTGTGTAATCTGTTTATCGAGCAGACAGTTGTATGTTTCGAAAAAAAAGCCGGGAATATCTTGCTCTTCATTGAGCAATACGTCGTCCGCCACACTGAATTTCCAGTACGAGGAAGCTGTTGTCGTGGAGAGATGATAGCTAGGCACCTTGACGCTGAGATGAACTTGTCTAACAGGCCAGAGTCCTACTTACCCCTGATTTCGGTGTGGAAAACCGGAGTAGTGCCATCACAAGCCACCCTTTCACCTCAGTCTAAACTCTATCACTGTTGAGAAATACTCCTGTCATCTGTACCTATAACTGCGAGAATATTGATTTGTTACGCGCCACCTACTTGAGTCAGTGTCTTTCACATCTACGATAACACAGGTACAGTAGAATCTGCCTCATCACGATTTGGGTTGGGGCAGCCAACTTATTGTCATAACACATCTATCGTGAAAGAGGAAAGTCGCCTGGCAATTACAAGGCTTTTACTTAATAATTTTAACACTGAAAAAGCTTGTGAGGAGACAGCCGACTGTCAACTTTAGGATTAAGTAACTTCAGCTTGGCTGCTACCGTGGTACCCCTGGGAGTATAAGCCATTTGCCACTTCCATGAGGCAACACTTTACCAAAATTCAAAGTGACGAATGGCTTAAACTTAGGGGGACCTATGTTGTTGTGGTAAACCCTGCGAAGGCGAATGACGAGGAAACACAGCAACACGCTACAACGCTCGACAATTTGGGAGGGGATTCCATGTTGTAGGTGGATGGTACCTCGATTTCTCGCCACACGTCTCGACAGCTCACCAAGATGTAACGCATTCGACAGGAGAAGTAAGACCAGCGATGAGAATCGCAAGCCCCTCAACGATGCAAATCATGGTTGCGCGTCTGTTTCGAAACCCGAAGATCAGTTGGGAGATTGTCCTCATGTTACGCGACCCCCAGTCAATGACGAATACCCGCACATCGATCGAACTCTATTTCTCCGTAACAATACCCCCGTAGGAAATTCACTTCTCCACCAACAACACGCAATGCTTTCATTTGGCACGCGCGTCCAATGACCACCCACAATTGGACCCCACATTGCATCATCGGCAGAACACCGGCCTGCGTAATCCTCCGGACAGGCCTGTGCCTTCCATGAAACACGACGACGAATCTTTCGGGTCACAAGGCAAAGAAGCTCTCGGCGACACTTCCCAAGCGAATGCGTGCGTACCCATGACCCAGCTGTACGGAGGAAACCCCCTATCGATACTGTGACCGTTTTTTGTTGGGGGCAATGTTCGGAAGAGCCGCGTGGCTGGGGTACAGCCAAAAATACATTCCGCCCAGCCACACACATGCCTGCTCGTCAGCCACGCTGATTCGCACAGCCCTGGTCTTGGGATATTGCGACTGGTTGTGTGCGCGAATGCCAGGGCTGGGAGTGGGTTGTTTGCGTACGTATGCCCGTGAATACGGGCTGGGAGGTGACTATCAGAGATGGAGGGTGGTGTGGTGAGATGGGATATAAGATGCGATGTAGCGGTGCTGTGGAAGAGTATATTCCAGCAAACATTCAAACAAGCAATTCAAAGTCTTTGCAAGTCTTTACGCTTATTCAACTCGTCGTCCTCGCTTCAATTACATATCCTTGTCGCAACAACAAACAAACAAACAAACAAACACACATCCACATCCATCATGCAGCTCTCCATCATCTCCCTCATCGCTGCCCTCGCCGCCACAACTTCAGCGGCCGTCGCCGGCAACGGCACATCCGCATACTACCCAACGGGCACTGGAGCCGTCACAGCCACAGGCACATCAACACCCGTGAAGCCCACATCCGCGCTTCCCTTCGAGGGAGCTGCCGACCGCATGACCGGGTCAGCACTCGGACTCATCATCGCCGGTGGTGTTGCACTTGTAAGTTTTGTCTTTTTTAGAAGTTCAATAGCAATTTATACTAACGGTTCCTAGATGCTATAATCTCATCTGCTCTCCGACTTTGAGTACTTCTTCACTTTTGCGTCCGCGGCTTTGATCGTGCGATTTTTGGCGTAATACCTGGGACTGGGACTGGATGGCTTGCCATGGTCGGTGTGCCATGGTTTGCTTTGGGATATAATGGGATGGTATGGATATAGACATAGATATAGACATGATGTGTGCATAGGTTGAGGCCTGGAATAATGGCTTGCAGCGCGATAAGGACGCCTTGAGCATCGTGTTAGCTCGGCGGGTAGGAGAAATACAATGATCATACATCAAACTTATTGTTTGCTTGTCGTCTTCGTTTTGGATATGCTTGGTCAATGTACAGTAGTCTAGACCATGATTTTTGTTGTGTACTTAAATTGCGACTGTGTTAAGTGTGAATGCAGTGAACCTGTGTACTATTACGAAGAATGAGAGAAAGAAATACTATATTTAAGAATCGTAAATCTGGAAGAATGACAGAACTGTGTGCAATGGTCAGTCGAGTACTTAAACTGCCTATCTGGGACTAGTGTAAACCCAACGCGCGACGCGTCCCGCAGCTTTTCGAGCTCCGACAAATTCACATTCACAAGCCGACATCCAAACCTCACATTCTAGTCTCTGTTCTGCCACACACAACACACCATGGCCACTTCAGACGGCAACATGCTGAAAGGCGCGCCATTGTAAGTCCTGCACCTGTCCCTGCATCCTAAGTCAAGTCCAGCCTCTAACTACCACAGCGGGGACGCAGCAACCCCTCTGGTTCGAAATGCCTCGGTATACAACCCCCTCCACACATTCGAGCTGCCCAAGGGCACAGAGAAGAACTACGCCCACCAATTCGCCGACATGTACTTCCTCCGACTGTCCCTTCTGAAGAAAGCGGTCAAGCAAAAAGCGCACGAAGCATGGGACGACTTTGAACTCGGCGGCGAGAAGGCATCCTTTGTGGAGCGTGTGCTCGATGTACGACAGGGCCAGCTATGCTGGGTGGTGGGCACAGTGTACATGGAGATGGCGCTGAAGCCAAACGTGCTGGACGACATATCGAAAGAGCACTGGATCGTAGCACCGCCGCCGCGGGAAACATACGTCTCGACTTCGGGCCAGGATGAGATGATGCTGGAGGACGAGTCTGGTCGTCTGCGCGTCACGGGAGAGAGTCTCAGCTCGCACTACGTGACGGGCTGTGTACTTGCTGCTCTCGGGACTGAACAGGCAGACGGCTCCTTCCAGGTCATCGCAACGCAATACGCAGACCTGCCCCGCCAACCCGCCCGCTGGGAACGCGACGACGCAGAGCAGAAGACCAAACCCGCCCGCCAACGAGCAGGCAAAATCGCAATCGTATCCGGGCTAGAAATCACCGGCACAGACGACGACGACCTCGCCCTGGACCTGCTCGTCGAGTACCTAACCGGCGAAGCCACGGGCCCCCCCTCCCAAACATCCTCCTCGCAAATAACCCGCCTCATCATCGCAGGCGACTCGCTCTCACACTCCTCACCCATCCTATCCCGCGAAGCATACGCCGCCAAAAAAGGGAAAAAACACTACGGCTACGACGCCTCATCCTACAACGCCTCCCCCGCCGCGCGCCTCGACACCCTCCTCTCCACCCTCCTCCCCACACTCCCCATCACCCTCCTCCCCGGCGCCTCAGACCCCGCCAACGTCGCCCTCCCCCAGCAACCCCTCCACCCCGCCCTCTTCCCAACAGCACGCCTCTACACCTCCGCCCCCAACTCCTCCACCCCCTCCTCACCCCCCACCCTGCACACAGCAACAAACCCCTGGTCCGCGGACATCGACGGCCACCGCCTCCTCGGCACCTCAGGCCAACCCATAGCCGACCTCCTAAAATACGTCGACGACGACATCTCCCCCCTCGACGCCATGGAAATGACGCTCCGCTGGCGTTGCATCGCGCCTACCGCCCCGGATACCCTCGCTTGCTACCCCTTCCAGGACGATGATCCGCTGCTGGTGCGCGAGTGTCCGCATGTATATTTTGCGGGGGGGCAGGCGGCGTTTGGGACGAGGGTTATTAGGGGGGGGGAGGGGCAGAGTGTCGTGTTGGTTTGTGTGCCAAGGTTTAGGGAGGGGGGGCAGGTTGTTGTTGTGGATTTGGAGAGTGGGGAGGTTGGGGTGGTGGAGGTGGGGGTTTTGCGGCCGGGGGAGTGATGGGATATAGCTGTGTGTGTGTGTGTGTGTGTGTGTGTATGTTTGAATGGGGAGGTAGACAAAAGGATGATGAATATTCTGGTCTGGATGTGTGGAATAAATGGCATCAACTACCACGAAATAAAAGATCCAGCTCACACACAGAACAGAAGAAGAAAGTAGCCCATATTTCGGTATCAGCGAAACCCACATCCCTAACGCCCATGCTAAACAGCAGCCCATCCGTAATCATACATACCCCCTATCTCAACCCTCCTCAAAAGAAAGAAAGAAACCGAGAGAGAGAATCAGTGCATACCCACCAACGGCGGCAAAACATGCGGATCAAACCCCCTCTCCCTATCACGCTCATACTCCTCATCCTCACTCTCACTGCCCTCATCCCTCCGCTCAAGCTCATCCCCCTCCCCATCCAGCATATCCTCATCGCCATCCACATCTCCATCAGCATCTCCATCCCCATCCTCATCCTCATCATCGCCATCCATAAGTATCCCGGCCTCCCCGCCCGCAACCCGCACGCCATTCCGATCCACAGCAAACACCGCCTTAGCCCTGCGCCTCTCGACACGACGCCCATTCTCCCAGCGATCGAGGCGGCGCAACGCGCGCCCCAACATCTTAGCGCGGAAATAGCTCTCCTCGCCCTGATCGTTGACCTCGCCTGCGAAGTCTAATGGGACGAGACCAGCGGGCATAGGCGGGGAGGACGTGGATCCCGCGTCTGGGTCAGCGAAGGACGAGGACCCCTGCTGCAGGTTGTCGAATTTCGCTGCTTCTTCATCCGTATCATAGCCGTCTGCCATGCCCTTGCAGCGGATCCAGGCGCGCATGAAGGCGTTTGTTTTGCGGCGGCGCTTGGCGGCGGCGTGGTATTCGGTGCGGATGCCGCGGTCGAGGATGACGTCTACGCGGCGGCGGCGGTACTGCTCTACGGCGAGCTGGTGTTGGGTTAGTGGCCGCGTGCGCTTGTGGCTGGGGTCCGAGCCGTTGAGCGGGAGGTAGAAGCCGTGGGGGCCGGTGAAGGTTGGGGCGCTGACCGAGGGGCCTGGGCCGGGGCCGGGGCCGGGGGATTGGCCGTCTTGCGAGTTGTTGGCGTCGAGGCGCGCTTTGAAGCTGCGGGCGCCTGTGTTGGGGGCGCGCGTACGTGTCCAGTTGCCGCGGCTGGGTGCTTTGGATGCGGGGGTGGACACGGGGGCGTCGTCGTTGAGGAGCGTGTTTATGCGCATGTTGGGTGTGGCGGTGGCGGTGGAGGTGGAGGTGGCTGGCATCTTTTTGCTCATGTTGTAGACGCTGCCTGCGGGGGATGCGGAGCGGGTGCGGTCCGTGTCGGAGGGGAAGTCGCGTTCTATGATTGATTTTGCTAGCTTGCCGCGGCCGCGCGAGGAGCCTGGGTTGATCAGTCTTGTGCTTCTTTGATGTTGGGTGTGTTCTCACCATGCGATGGCGACTGTCTGTCTCGGGCGGGCGTAGAGGCGCCGTCGTCGGTCAGGACGGAGAAGACGGGGTTCTGGTTGAAAGCTGGAGCGGTGTTAGCGTCCACATACGACCCTCCAACGACAGGAACAATGCACCCACCTTTCTTGTTCGTGCGCTTGGGCCCAGTCACGACGGGCGCCATGTCGCTCGCCAGGATGGCAATGCGCTCCTTGCGCTTGATCTCGCCAAAGACCTTCTCGTCGGGCGTGTCGACGTTCTCGAGCGTCTCCATCTCGGGCGTCAGGATGGCGAAGGGCGGGCACTTGATGGGCGTCTCGGCCGTCGCCGGGTCGTCTGCAGGCCCGACCTGCCCCGGGCCGAAGGGGTTGCGCTCTGCCGCGCCGTTGGAGAAGTCGCTCTCGAGGTACCACCACATCAGCCACAGAAAGGCCGTGGCGCGGCTCTTGCTGCTCAGATTCGAGCGCATGACGAGGTCGAAGAAGTCACGTGGCGGGAAGAAGTGCAGCTCCGAGATCTTGGGGGCGTACTGCGACAGGACGAAGATGAGGTTGACGGGGTTGGTGCGCGGGATGCTCGCGGCCATGATCTCCTCGACGGTGCTGGGCTGCTCCGTGTCCTCGGTGGCACCTTTCAAAATCGACTTCAAGCGCGGGGCGTCCTGCAGCTGCTTGTAGGCGTTGGGGTCCTGGTGGGCCTGCAGCGAGGGGATCGAGTGGTAGGTGCGCAGCTGGGCGCGCATCTCGGGGAAGAAGTTGAGCGTCGTGTTCATGCGGCCGACGTTGACCAGCAGGCACACCATGGCCATGTTGATGGCCGCCGGGCGCTCCGTCAGCAGCTTGTCCTTGAGGATCTTGCTGCACTTGCTGCTCTTGGCCATGGCGTCGAGGTAGATGTCGGCGAACGTGTGGCCCGGCGTCGCGTCCGACTGCTTGGTGAAGACGCGCCGGTCGTCCTCGAAGACGAGCTTGAGGAAGTCGTACTGGATGTCGCGCCGCCACAGCGGGATCCCGTCGTCCTTTTTGAGGTGCTTGATTTTGTTGCCGCTGTACACGGATGACACGCTGCCGTTGGCGTTGCGCCGGGTGGTCGTCGTCGTCGCCGTGTAGTAGGGCCTAGCTTCGCCGTCGCCGCCGTCGCCGCCGGCCTTGGAGGTAGTCTCGCTCTCTGGCGACGCCTTGGCCTCGTCCAGGGCCGGTGACGCCTTGCGCTCGTCGGCGGCGGGTGAGGCTCTCTGCTCGTCCATGGGCGGCCGCTCGTCCACGGCAGGCTCGGCAGCCAGAATGTGTCGCAGGCTGTTGCGCGAGTCGGGCTCGTCGGCGCGCGGCATTGGGGTGGGCGTGTCCATGGCTGTCGCGTCGGCCGTCATGGAACCATGGTTGTTGCGTGATGCTGTGAGCGCTTGGGCAGGCGCACCCGAGGGCAAGCTTCCACGCTAACCGCCTCTTGCATAAGCAGCGCCTTGGAATTATACCGTCGCCCACCGAACCCGCAGGGAACCATGGCAAGGCTGTCATTATATCATATTCAGCGACATCACCGAGTAATATAACAAAGACTGATCGAATCACATGCATTCGTCATCCATCTAACTAATCTGCTCGAAACTATGCTTTTATGTGATTCCCCTGCCCAAGTCATGAGAGCTTCCGACAATGTCTACATGCAAAGACTACCATTCATGGCCACCACAAAACCGGGGTATTTCCTTCGCCCAGACCTCATTCATAAACAAGGCCGTTAGAAAAAGGACAAACACGTCTCGTGAACGCCACCCATGTGCGAGCCTTGACCAGCTTCCGTCAAGCCGGCATTCCTCGCCGACATTCCTCGCCATCCAAGAGCTGGAAGCGAAAGGGGGGGTATGACCAGGGTAAAGGAATCGCTTTTTCATCTAACGTGATAATGGGAAAATGACGAGAAGAAAAAAAGAGGCCGTCGGCATCGAAGACGCGGAAAACGATATCTAAAACTCCCCAAGCAGCCTGCTGTGCGCGCAGAGCGAAGACGTAAATGTTCATCATGCATTGCCTTCGTGAAAAAGGCGTGTGGTCCTGCCGCCATGCACGAGCTCGACTCGCATGTGTCGAAATGGGTATCCTAGGTGCAGCAGAGCTCGAAGATGGGCAGATCCGCAAAGAAACAATCGCTGTCTATATGCTGATTGGGGTATGAGATTCCGGGTTTCCGTTTCATTCCGCAGTAACCGGGAAAGAGTCGCAGAAAACATTCGATCGATAAAGGAAATGGGAAGCAAAGCCGCCTAGTGAAGCGACACGACGTTCCAGGGTATGGCAAAGAAAGTAATTAGGTCCTGGGTGGGCGGCGTCGTGGAGCACGGATGGACGCGTCTACCACCAAGAGCTGCCACCAGGGCCAGACGGGTTGCCGTAGCCACCACCACCGTATCCACCACCGCCGCCTCCGTAGGCAGGAGCGGGGGCAGTGTATCCGCCAGCGGGAGCACCGCCGCCGTAGCCACCTCCGTAGCCGCCCTGGGGAGCTCCACCGAAGCCTCCACCAAAGCCGCCGCCGCCGCCACCACCCATGCGACGGACATCGCGAGTCGCAGCACCACCGCGACCACGGCCTCCGCCGCGACCGCCACGGCCACCACCACCGCCGAAGCCGGAGCCCTCGCGAGCAATGCTCTCAAGGAACGAGGGAACTTCCTGGTTGGCTTCCTTGAGCAAGTCGAGGAGATCGCGAACAACACCACGGTTGCCACGGTTGAAGAAGGCAGTGGCGATACCTGTGTTTCCAGCACGACCGGTACGACCGATTCGGTGGACGTAGTCGTCAATGTCGGTGGGAAGATCGTAGTTGACCACGTGAGTCACATTAGGTATGTCAAGCCCACTACGGTAACAGTTAGCAGACTGAGTAATGAAGAGGTGTGAAGTGTTGATCGAAAGGTAGAAAACAAAAAGGAAGTCCAAAAACCCAGAAGCGTGGAGAATACACAAGGGTTGGAAGCAACGAAAAGGATGGGGAAACCACTTACCGGGCGGCTACAGCAGTAGCGACAAGGATTGGGCATCGACCGGTACGGAACATCTCCAACGCCTTCTCACGCTCACGCTGAGTGCGGTCGCCGTGGATGGACGTGGCGGGGAAACCCTGGTTGATGAGGAAGTCGGAGAGCGAGTCGGCCATGCGCTTTGTCTCGACGAAAATAAGAGACAGACCAGCGCCATGTGTGTGCAGAATATCGAGAAGGACAGAACGCTTGTCGGCGTCCTCGACGTACTCGATCTTCTGGGTGATGTTCTCCGAAGTGGAACCGACACGACCGACAGAAAGGAAGATGTACTCCTTCAAGAAGTCGCGGGCGAGCATCTGGATGTCGCGGGGGAAGGTGGCCGAAAACATGAGTGTCTGGCGACCAGCGGTGGGGGGCATGTCCTCGCCCTCGACAATGCGGCGAATCTGAGGCTCGAAACCCATGTCCAACATACGATCAGCCTCGTCGAGGACAAGGTACTTGATGTTCTGGAGAGAGATGCGGCCACGCTCGATCAAGTCGACCAGGCGACCGGGGGTAGCGACGAGCAGATCACAGCCACGCTCCATCTGGCGGAGCTGGGAGCCAATGTCGGCACCACCGTACACAACACAGGGCTTGACCCAAGAGCGGTAGGCGAACTTGCGGGCCTCCTCGTAGATCTGGGACACCAACTCACGGGTGGGCGCCAAGACGAGCGAAGTGGGGTAGGCTTTCCGCTGACGTTGGAAGCCTCCTTGTGCGGCGGGGGCAGCCACGGGGCCGGTCTGGAAGGCCTGGGCGAGGATGGGGAAGAGGAAACCACCAGTCTTGCCGGAACCTGTCTGGGCACAAGCCATCAAGTCACGACCGCCCATAACGATGGGGATGGAGTACTTCTGGACGGGGGTGGGGACCTTGTAGCCAGAGAGCTCGATGTTGCTCAACAGGTGGTCGTCAAGCGGGGGGTTTGTGAATCGCGTGACGGGCTCAGGCACGCCTTGGCCAGACGCCTCGACGGGGATGTCGTCGTACTTCTCGAAGTTGATACCAGTTTGCTGCTTGGAGGGGTCGTTGGGGACACCAAAGAGCTCGCGCTCGACGCGGGGGTTGGAGGGCCCTGGGACGTGCTTGCCGTCCTTCCACCCGCCATCACCGCCGCCGCGGGGAGCACCTCCACCGCCGCCGCCTGGCTTGCCGTATGCACCGGAGTCGAATCGGCCCGGGGGAGCAGCGCCCCATCCGCCACCGCCGTTCTGGGGACCGTCGCGGCCGCGGGGAGTGAAGTTGGGGGCGTTGGCGTTGGCCCAGTTGCCGCCGCCGTCGTTCATAGGAGGAGGGCCGCCGAAGCCGCGACTGTCAGGTGTTAGAAACTGCCCCTCGCGTTCGTGTGGTGGTGCACTTACCCTGCCTGTGCGGGACCGGGGCCCCAGGCACCTCCGCCGTTGGCCATCATGGGAGGGGGTCCGTCCATAGGGGGCGGGCCTCCACCCTGGCGGGGAGCACCGCGCATGTGGGGTGGGATGTAGGCCGAGCGCTCGCCGTTGAAGCCGTTGGGGGCGTGCTGCGAGTCGTTCAGGTTGAGAGCGCCCATGTTGAGTTGTTCAGCCATGATGAAGGAATCGGGCTGTCTAGTCGCGGGGGAAAAGGTGTGTGGAGTCGTCGATAGAGGCGAGGAGTACCAAGTCTATCACTGTTCGGCTGGCTCAGCAGTGAGCGTCAGACGAGAAATGGCAGGTCGGAAAGTGGAAAATCGAATCTGGCAGGCAGCGCGCCTGGGAAACTCGTCGTAAGGGAAAGGAGCTAGCGCCTCTTTCCTGGAAAACGAGAAGAAAATGAGCGTGAAGACCAAAAGGAGAGGACTTCACAAAGACTGTGCTGGTAGAATCGTGCAAATACACACTAGGGTTCGAGTTTGTGGGTTTGTTGACGGAGGGAGGGACTGCTCTTTAAAATTTGAGACTGCAACAGAAGTCGCTTACACTAAAGGGGCTTGGCGCCCTCGCCTCTCTTACTGTGAGGGTGGCGAGCCGGTCGGTGGAAATGGGCGGTGAACGTCACAGCAGCTGCTGCAGCTGAGGGCTCTGCGTGTAACGAGCCCGTCATTGTGGTTCTTCTGCTCTGCTTGCCTTGGCTTGCCCCCGATGATATCGTGTTTGCCGGATCGTTCCGCCGGCAGGGCAAGAGATCACATGTTGGAGTTTTGTTTCTCCTATCCATAGCCATTTGTAACCTCACTGATACAAGCAGTCTGTCTCTCTGAGAGTTGGCAGATAAGACGTTTTTGTAAGCGAGGCGATTGACTTCTTCAAGAGCATTGGCACGCATAGCACGCTATCGCTATACCCTGTCGAATCATCAGCCACGCGTCACCTGTTGACTCCTTCAGGACACTCAAGGAGTAGCCATACATATCGATCAAAGCAGCGTTGGCGAATATGTTGATGTAAGTACTTCCAAAGTAGTCGACCTAAGTATGACCAATAATGCAAAGCAACCGTCACAAATAGGCAGCTTGGACAGATACCAGAAAAGATTGAAAGCATAAAGTTTGACTCCAACAACATCTGTAGTGGTCAGGCTGTTGCAAAGAAATCATCACAAAACACAGCTTGGACAAACATCAAGAATCAGAGCACAAACTTTCACTCCAACAACCACTGTAGTTGTCAAGCTATTGCATAACATCATCCTATCATAAGCTTACGCCATACTTTTGCTCTTAAACCCATCCAAACCATTTGCCTTTCCTCCACGCGAACGAAGGAAGAAAAAGCACACAGCAACGATAGCTACAATAAAGAACATCTTCTGTCCCAACGACAGGCCCAAATCAACAGCACCAGAGGTCTGAATGGTCGAGTTGCCCTTGGACAGGCTTCCCGACTCGACAGCATCAACCGCAGTGGAAGTAACGTCGAGATTGTCTCCTGCAACGGCAGGCTCGGCTGAACCGTATAAATCTTGAAAAATGAAACAATCAGCAGCTCTCTAGCATCTGGGCAGCCACATCACTGGCCTAGAGTTCCGCGTGAATACCTTCCTCTGGCACCTCGAGCTCGCCGCTCTTGGCGATCTTGACGGCCTTGGTAGGCTTGTCGCCTGCGCTCTTGGGCACGTTCTCGATCTTGTCCACAATCTCGTAGCCCTCAAGCACCTCGCCGAAGACGACGTGGCGGCCATCGAGCCAGCTGGTGACGACGGTGGTGATGAAGAACTGCGAGCCGTTTGTGTCTTTTCCGGAGTTCGCCATGCCTGTGTCTGTTAGTACATCTCATCGTTGATCATAGGCGGTAATTCATAACATACTGAGAAGACCCTTGCGAGTGTGCTTGAGCTTGAAGTTCTCATCAGGGAACTTGTTGCCATAGATAGACTTGCCGCCCGTGCCATCGCCTTTTGTGAAGTCACCTTGAGTAAATTCATCAGTGAACGTCCGAGATAGTATTTATACCGGAGTCTTGCTCACCACCCTGAATCATGAACTGCTTGATAACGCGGTGGAACGCAGATCCCTCGTAGCCGAAGCCCTTCTCGCCGGTAGCCAAAGCACTGCATCCCAGTAAGCACATGAACATTGCTATACGTAGAGTGTAGTAATGTACCGGAAGTTCTCAGCGGTCTTGGGGACAGTCTTGCCATACAGGCCGATGACGATGCGGCCGAGCTCCTCATCGCCGTGGGTGATGTCAAAGTAGACCTGTAAACCCAGTCAGCGACGCAATTGTTAAACACAGACATACTACACACCTTGTGGGTGATCTTAGGGCCCTTGGCCGCCTCAGAGGCCTGCGCAAAGAAGACAAAAGTGACCGAGAGGATCAGCAGGACCGAGACGAGGAATCTCTGAAAGGAAGCCATGATGCCGGGTCGTAGTTCCTCGGATCAATTGGGGGTGTAGGTGGGCGTTTTATAAAGAGACAGTTGAGCCCCTGGGAGAGTGAAGTGGAGAGGTCGAGGGCGATCTGAGACGTGGAGCTTGGCGTCTCTTGCTCCGGTCGCACCTTCCCTGGCTCGACGCTAGTGCGATGGTTTCTGGCCGTGTCAGACCGTTTGACGTTACAGACGCACTTCCGACACGACGAGGATAGAATAGCTGCCCTGAAGAAACCAGCACCATGGTGCGTTATGCAATTGAAGAAGCATAGGCTCGCGCTGACGCTCGCTAGGTGTTCCTGAACGGTTTCAACTTCACCGAGGCGACGCTCGTAAAAGTAGCAGCACCCACGCCCGCCTAATCCCGCGTCGCAAGTTGAAAGTCGCAAGTCTAACGCCTGCACAGCGCTCGCTCGAGAGTTTCTTCGGCATCGGCCCCAAGGTCTCGCAGGGCATCATGGCAAAGTTCCACATCTACCCGTGGGCCAAGGTCGGCAGCCTCAAGAACTCGACCGTCATGGACCTCACGGCGGAGCTGTCAAATATGAAGATTGAAAACGATATGCGCAGGGAGGTGCAGGACAACATAAAACGGTTGAAGGATATGGGCGCGTATAGAGGACGACGGCATGCTATGGGGCTGCCTGTGCGTGGCCAGCGGACAAGAACACAGGTGCGTCGAGTGAGGGGGATGGGATGCGGGGCGATGCTGACGGGTGCAGATTACAACCGCGCGAAGGCTGAACAAGCTGGAACGGGGTGGGAGTGGGAGGGTGCAGGTGTAGGGTGGAGCAATGTGTATATTTGTATTATACTGGACAGCAACGAAGCATGGAACGGCGTCAACGACATGCATTTGGGGAAATGGTTCGGCTGCTTGATATCCACCTGCCTTTTGCAAGGCGTTTCTCCAAGACGAGACGAATGGTCACAGCTTAATGCTCACTTGAGGAGGCTTTCTGATATCGGTCGAATGCCGCTAACATGAACGAGCTGCACTGTCTAGCCCATCACTGTCACCAGCAGTCGTACAACATCGAGTTGCACAACGGCTCGGCTCCAGCACCGGGATTTGGCACGCAATCTCTCTGCCAGAAGTCAATTTGGTTATGCAGCAGCCGTCTATAATAAGCAGCCTGCCGGTCTGGGGAAATCTCGATCCCCGGGGCTGAGATAAGCACGAACGTTGTACATGGCGTTCATGGCTGTTGCTCATCTTGTGATGTGGAGGATCCGATACTTGCCTGCGGGCAGATTTTGTGACGAACCGTGGAGCATGGTCAAGCAGGAAGAAGAGTCGGAACAGGGTGCCCTACGAGGTCTTGGAATATGTGATGAGAGAAACTTGAAGACGGAGGTTTTGGGTGGTGTGATAGGCGAGGCTTGAGAAATCTTATGCCAATCTCCGGTGAATGCCGCATTCGTATCTACATCTGTACATGGCTGTAATTCTCCGGATGATGTTTAAACTTTGGCCATCAACATGGTGAGTTCGACATGGTGATCGAGGTGATTAGTCAGTAGGGTTGAGAATATCCGACCCTTGCGTGAGCACTAAGTGTTTATCAGAAATGAACGCTGATCCCAAACTACTTCCTGTCTGATAACGATCTTCTCCTCTGGCAGACTCGCCGTCGTACTTCATCTCCACGACGAGCTGCCGCCGTTTCACAAGGGCCCAAAAACAAGAAAGATGTTTTTCGTTCGGCGTATATCCAATCTGCCCCTGATGCAGGCTGCGGGAGTGTGGTGGTGAGGGCAGGCGCACAGACGTGCTGATCCGCGTGGCCTTGGTGGAACCTTGGAAGTAGGTCGATGTGACAGACACGGTGCCTGTACCGGAAGACGTTTATACGACATGAAGTCCTAATGGAGCACTTCCTAGTGGTCGAATCGTGTGCCGTGGATTCATAGCACTGCACCCTCAGACAAGTATGTGTGTCGATGGGAATCGGCATTTGACCAATTAGACATGACGCTGACGAGGAGAGTGACAGTCATGTGGCAAGAGGCGCATTTTTATGCAAGTAACCGACGCCAATAGCATGGGCAATAAGGCGTTGTGCGACAGAGTGGGGATCGAGTTGCAGCATGTTGGAGACGAGAGGGGGCCCGTGCTCTCGGCTCGAATGTCGACGCAGGAACAAAGTCAAAGGGCCAGCTCTCTTGCACCACGTCGCCACCGCACAGTGGATGCAAAACCCGCGTGAATTGGGCATTACCAGCTGACATACGCCCGCCCTCTCTATCTGTGGCAGTTGCTGTGTCGGGCTCTCGTGCGGCGAACAAGGCGGAACCGCAGGCCATCCAGAGGCGTTGCGAGTAGCAGGGCCCCTGCCTAGCCGGCCGCTCGTTGTTGCTGGGCGCGTACAGACGACGAATGATAGAGGCCCCTGTCATACCACTCTCTCTCGACATTGTGCGCTGCTCTGCTCTGCTCTGTCCGCTCCGCCTGATGGAGGACGCTCACGAGTCGCTGCCCGAAGTCCAGTGCTGACGAAGAGTGCCGGCGCCGAGTCCACGCTGCTTCCACGCAGAGACGAAAACACCACCGGGCTGGCCTCCCTGCGCACGAGCGATCGCGCGCACCATTATGAGAGACGAAACGGCCGCCGTTATGCTTCAAGAAAACACCGCCCACGCCCACGCCCACGCTCCGTCGCTGGCAGAGAGCATCCGCATGTTGCGTGAAACCGGCGACTCTCGAGGCCGCCGCAAGGCCCCGAGCCCGCTGCACCCAGCAGCCAGCGCAACCACCTTGCCCCATCACGACGAACCACGCTCGCCGCGCGAGAAGCTGGACGCCCTGCTCGCCGAGGAGGCGAACCACCACAACGCCGCGAGCCTGCCCGCGAGCCCGCCCGCCGCCTCGCCGCCCGCCTCGCCGAAGCCTGCCATGGCGACCCGTCCGCACCGCCCTGACACGAGGCCCCAACCGCCTATACGCAATCACTCGATCGATTCAGCTGCTTCGTCTGTGTCGTCGAGTCCTTCGCAGACATATCGCCCGCCCGCCGGCCACGCCCACCGTCCGTCGCAGGACACAACGCTGGCTCACCCGCCCGACATGGCGCGCCTCCTCGCCGCGGCGGGTTCGCCCGAGGCGGCGCTGCTGGCGCTGTGGAAGGAGAAGCAGAGCACCGCGGGGCACAACGCCCAGCTGTGGCGTCTCGTCGAGAAGCAGCGCGCCATGATCATCGGCCTGCAGAAGGATCTGGAGCGCTCACTGCGGGACAAGGACCGCTACCGCCGCAAGGTCAAGGAGCTCGCCGACGACGCCCCGCCCGTGCCCGGCGCACTGCTGAGGTCCGATACGTCCGGCTCATCCCCGCGGCCCGACCACCACCAGCCGCTCGAGGAGCCCGCCAAGCCCACCGACAGGCTCTCTCCGCTGGCACGGGAGCACCCCGCCGTGCCCGACTCGCAGCTGGCAGCGTCGCCTGCGCCCTCGCCCGCGCCCTCTGCCGACGCAGAACCGGCATCGCCCCCCGACTCGGCCGTCAACTCCCCCACCGACTACTCCGTGAAGCCGCTCCTGTTCAGCGCAAAGGGCCCCAGCCTCAACGCAATCGTGCAGGAGATCAGCCAGGCAGCCCAGTCAGAGCCGCCGTCACTGCCAAGGAGGGTCGACGCCCCGCCACCAGCCGCCATCGACACACATCTGCAGCCCCCGCAGCTCTCCATCACCCACGCCACACCCATCCTCGGCGGCAATGGCTTCGAGTCGCCACCGCGGAAGCCCACACAGCCGGCACGCAAAGCCCCGCCAGCTCCCCTCAACCTGTCCAGGCCCCTCGCTACCAGCGCGCATCTCCACCAGGCCGTCCACGGCAACGGCAACGGGAACGACTCCGACTCCGACTACGATGATGTGCTGGAAGTGGACGAGATACCCATCGTGGACCGAGGCAGACGGAAGACGCGCGAGGAAGACGACCGCATTCGCGAAGCCGCCATGATGAAGAACGACGAGGCTCGCAGCAAGTCGAAGAAGTCGAGCCGGAGCAAGAGCAAGACAAAGGTCCCCGTCGAGGGAGCCGACCGGAGCGTAGCAGCCCCTGTTCCTCCAACGCCTCGCCTCTTCAACCCCCTCCAAGCGGGCCTGCCACTTTCCCCGCGCCACCCGCCTGCCGGCTCACTGAATGCGATGCTCAGTCCTGCGTTGCTCAGCCCCGGTCTGCCCTCCAGCCCCCGCCCCGGAGACAGGCCACTGGGATCCCCATTGCCACGATTTCCCAAACAGTCGTTGGCGTCACCCCCCATGTCTCCTACTGGGATGATACCAGCAGCACGATCATTGCCACTTCCAAACCCTCCACCACCGAACGCGCCTCAATCATTCCATTCACCTCCCGCGATTCAAGTCGACCACTCTGCCAAGCCACAGACGGGCCTACCTCCAGATTACGCAACCGCAACCCTTGGACAGCCAAGTCCAAGTACTACTTCGACTTCAAGCAGCCCAACTTCTCTCTCCATACCTGACGCGGAGCACGTCTACCGTGGTCTTGTTTCGGAGCAATACCCGGGGTTCCTGCTTCCACCCAATGCGCTACCCTCGATCGAGGTGAAGGTCTTTTCCTCACGTCTTCGTCCGTCCCGTATGAGTTTCATATCTCCAAGGCCGCAAGAAGAGGATCCAGTCTTCATCCTCGCAATATATGCTCGATCTGACAGCAAGCAACTGTGGCGCATGGAGAAGACCATCGCTGCCTTGCCCGCCCTAGATGCGCAGTTAAGGTTGTTGACCGACTTCAACGGGCAACTTCCCGATCGCAGTCTGTTCAGCGGGCATGCCCCAGCCAGGATTGATGCACGAGGAATTGCTCTGAACCAGTACTTTGATGCCATACTGGAAACAAACATGAACGAGAAGGCTGCTCTGATAGTCTGCGAATTCTTCTCTACGGATGTCATCGGTGCCCAGAATGGCCATAGACTGACCCCAGAGCCTACTATCACTACTTCAGCAGCCCCATTGCCCAAGGCTTCCCATCGAAAGGAGGGCTACCTGACCAAGCGTGGTAAGAACTTTGGCGGATGGAAGGCCCGCCACTTTGTATTGGACGGTCCCGAGTTTCGATATTACGAGGCGGAAGGTGGTACTCATTTAGGAACCATCAAGCTGCACAACGCTCAGATCGGCAAGCAGTCACAGCAACAATCGAACCACTCACCACAACGCCGAGACGATTCAGAAGACAACCAATACCGACATGCTTTCCTCATACTAGAACCGAAGCGGAAAGACTCGTCAAGTCTGGTGCGGCATGTGCTTTGTGCTGAAAGCGACGAAGAACGAGATGCGTGGGTCGAGGCTCTCTTACAGCATGTGGATTTGCATGAAGAGACTTCTCCTATGGAGGGACAACCTTCGCCCATGGCACCGCTACAGAAGTCACAGCCTAGCCAAGAGTTTTCGCACTCGCAGAGAAAGGACAGCCCGGACATGCACCAGCAGGCACGACTACAGGGCATTAGTTATGATGACACTGTAGCAGCTGAAGCGCCGGTACGCGGTCCAAACCACCGAGAGGGCATGGGAGGTAAGCCTTCACGAGGGTCACCAAAACTTTCGTCCTTCTCGCAAGACAACCTTGGTCACTTCCCCGCCATATCTGGTCCGAGCAATGGCACCCCCATCCGAGACGCGGAGAATTGGGGCAACAAGGCGCCAACTGGGCCTACATCTGTCAAGGACAAGAAGCGCAGCATTTTTGGGTTCAGGGGCCGTGGTTCGAATGACCTAGCGCCCGTCCAGATAAGCAGTCCCATGCTCTCAATCTCCGAACCCCGGATGATGCATGCAAGTCGAAGTATCTTTGGCATACCGCTCCAGGAAGCTGTCGAGGTCTCCCAGGCTATCGGCGTTTCGGCCCAACTGCCGTCCGTAGTCTTCCGCTGCTTGGAATATCTAAATGCTAAGAAATGCATCAACGAGGAAGGAATCTTCAGGCTTAGTGGTTCTAACATCGTCATCAGAGGCCTGCGAGAGCGCTTCAACACTGAAGGCGATGTCAAGCTTCTGGGCGATCAGTACTATGATGTTCACGCGATAGCCTCGCTGCTCAAGTTGTATCTGCGGGAACTGCCAGCGTCGATTCTTACTCGCGATCTGCATATCGACTTCCTCAAGGTTCTTGGTAAGCTTCCTCAAATTCTTAATATGTCTATCCAACTAACGTACTTCAGATATGGATGAGCGCAGCAAGAAGATCCAGACGTTCAACGTTCTCGTGCACAAGCTGCCCGCAGCCAACTTCCAGCTACTGCGCCACCTATCATCTCTCCTCATCGAAGTCGTCGACAACTGCGAACTCAACAAGATGACTGTCAGAAACGTCGGCATAGTCTTCGCCCCGACCCTCAACATCCCAGCACCGCTCATATCCTTCTTCCTAACCGACTTCCCCGACATCTTCGGCACAGCGCTAGACGAAGCAAACTCCCCCATCCATGAGATACGCGTCAACAACTCCCTCCTAGGAGGCGACGCCATCCGCTCCCCGCGTCGACAGATGTTCTCCGACCTCCCCACACCCGCGTACAACGAAACGACCTTCCAACAGAGCTACGAACGCCCACTCCCCCAATACCAAAACAGCTCCGGCCTCTCCCACTCACCCCCACCGCAGCAACAACAACAGCAACAACTACAACCACAGCAACAGCAGCAGCAGCAACAACAGCAAACCGCCGGCTACGACGCAGGTTTCATCCCCATCCGCCCCAGCTACGAACCCCCCAGCTACGACACCTCCTTCCAAGGCGACGGCTACGGCAGCCTCAACAGCGCAGTCCAGTCCGGCACGCCCAGGGAACAGCGCCAAAGACGGCGCGAGAGCGGTATGCTCCTGATGAATATGGGCATGGCGAACGGGCAGCGCAAGGGCTCGAATGGCTCCGCCGCTAGCCAAAGGCCTAGAGATGATCTCAGGATGGATGCGAGGATGGTGAGGGAGGAGTCTGCTTTTGAGTAATTTGACGACGGCCTTGTTCTGTTTGGGTTTGTTGTGTGGTGTTTGGTTGCTTGCTAGTCACCCTGTTCCCTCTCCCCTTTACTATCACTGCTCCTTGTACACTGTGTGCGGATCTACCTTTTCTTTTCGGCTTTTTCGCACTTTTCGAGCTACTTCGCGGGTGTTGGGGCTAGCTATGTCGCTGTTTTTTTTTTCGCGCCTTCATTCGCTTCGTTTTGCTTCGTTTCGCATACCCGCCGCTTAGTGCTGGCATCTCTTCTTCTTTCTTCTTCTCCTGCTTGCTTGCTTGTTTGCTTTTCTTCGTCGTCGTCGTTGTCGTCGTCGTCGTCTGGGCTTTGGTCTTGCTTCGGTGCTGGCTCTGGGTTTTGTATCCCTTCACATTGTTGTTGCTGTTGTTAGTGTGTGCGTGGCTTCGCGCTTGTTTTACGCGGGGTTTTCGGACTCTGGATCAGAATCTGTTGGAACTTGTTGTTGGAACTTATTGTTGTATGTTGTTGAGACGAATTGCTAGCGCAGCGCGGCGTGGTGTGGTATAGCGTGGTGTTTTGCTGGTGTTGGTATATCTTAGTGTTTTTTGATAGGGAATTGAATGGGTTTGGATGTTTATCTGACTTGTTTGGTGCGGGGATGTGCTGACTGATTGACGTTCTTCGTGCATGCGTTAGAATGTGATGGATCATGGTATTGCACTTTCCTCTTTTCTTATTCTAATCTGATGCTGTGATGCCTACCCATACTGTGTAGCACATGCATGCTCTACCAAGTGTGCATGCTGCGTCGGATCTGGGCGTGTGGACTGCTTGGTTGGTTGAATTATTTTCTATTCGTCATGTGTCTGTACGTTGACGAAGATTGGGAATGGAGTTGATGGGTGATCAATACGTAAAATCATGTGTTTGCGAGGTATGAGAAGATGGAGTGCATTGGAAGTGGCACGCGTTGATGTTGGAGATCAAATATGATACACGACAGTGAGGTAGATGAATGGATAGCGAGGCTTTCCTTCAAGCTGGGAGTAGATAGTAATTTGACGTTGTGTTTGCGTGTTCGCGGGTCTGCGTGTCAATGTATGTCAAAAAGTTTCTTTCATGAGTAGATTTTTCCCCAAAACGAAATTGGATCAGGATCCATGTACAAAGCATGGTCTCGAACTGCTCTCGGAGACAATGCGAAGAGATGGGCACATTGCAGTAATGACATGAATCAAGTAGGGTGTTTTGAATAGAATATATTGATTTTTATGTTAGGTCTTGTTGCTTCTCTGCAAGATGATCTGGGTACATGTTCTCATGTGCTGCGCAACACCCGACTGTCGTACTGTACATTTGGAGCAGCCTCTCTGCCATAAGCCTTCTCGAAATTACACAAGATCATGTATCGTCAACAGGCCATTGTGCTTTCGAATCCCCGAAAGATCGCACATCCATCGTAGAAAACCTAATACATACACGTCGAGAGAATCTTCGAGGATGTTCACCATTTCAGGCCAGTCAGACGTTCCCATTCTTTAACCAAAGCCGAAGACTTGAGCTCGGGGAACTTTTCTCTGTGTATGAATGCAACAGAACGCAGCACTCTGTCGAGTCTGTGCCGTCTCGTGTTGTTGTCGCAATTATGATCACCGACGATCCCGTTCAAGTAATCCTGAAATACCGTATTCTTGCGTCCACAAATAGTCCTCTAGCACAAATCAGCAAGTTTGCATAATAATTCACAAACTCAGTTACTCTACCATTGAAAGGCCGCGTTGGTGCAACGATAAGGTCATAGTGGCTCTGGTAATGGAAGAGGACTCTTTGTCGAGACTCATGCGCCGATCACACACACTGTCAACCACAGTTGATAGAATCTGTTCAATGCATTAACAGAGGGTATTCTTGATTTATGAAAAGTGCAATTCCTACAGGTTTGATATGAGTAAAGAAGAACTCATGCTGCTTCAACTCTACGAAGTTGAAAAAGTTCGCTAATACCCAAGGAATTAAGTTTTCTTCCAACATCATTCTCGACTGCTCGGGAAACCACTTGGATTTGGGATTAGGTATGCATGCCATAAGTCTGACTTGTAGTGAGAACCGCGTGATAGTTTTGATGGTACCGTCATGTTGCACCACGTTGATCGAGTTGATCGACTAGTGTCTGTTAATAACCCCCACAACGGAATCGAAAATATACATACTTTATCAGATATCCGCTCGAACAATCTCTCCATAATCATATACACTGAATCTTTGAAATCCTGCAAGTTGATTTGACTGTGCCCTATTAGGAAGTCGACGATTGGAGTTTGGGGTCTTTTCTGGGGAGCCTAAATTCTTAGCCCACGTCTCTAATACATTGGAGATTAACACACCTTAGCTTCAGTCGCGAGATCGTGACCTCCAGCGTCATGAGAGCCGTTCTTCCCAGCCAAGGCTACCCTCTCCTTAGTAGATAGTTGCTGGAAGGTAGTAGCGGTCGCTGTGAACCGGCCTTCATGAGACCGAGCTTCGGTCCCTGAGGCTTCTACTACCACTTCATCATTAGCAGTAGCTTCGCGTTTGATGAGAATCTCGTCTGAATCTGGCAAGCCAACGATGTCTTGCGGTTTGTTTGCGGTACTAGATCTGCCTGCAGCTACCCTTGTAATGGGTGCCGGTGTTGCGGTGTTGCGGTGCCGATAGCTAGAAGGTGTCTCGGTCCGGACCAGCATTGTCACATCGCCACTGCGCAGCTTCCGGAGACTGTCGTCCCACTTAGCGTGATCCTTATCCTCCATGTCGTCGAACATCGACTGAATCTTCTTTCGAAGTTCTTTACGCTTTGGCGTAGGATCCAGTCCAAACTGTCTCTGCGCAATAGGTAACGCATGGAACGCAAAAAGATCGGTAGTGCGCTTAAAGACATCAAGTATTGCGTCGCGACTAAGATTTTCGGGGTCGATATCCCAACGCCATGTAGACGACACCTTCTTCTCCTTGTCGTCCGGCGGTTGCTCTTCTTGAGATTGCACAACCGATTCAGCTGGAGCTACGGGAGTGTCCATCTCCGTCTCTGTACCTTGAGCTGCATGGTCTTGCTCCTGCAGTCGCTTGCGTGACTTATCTTTCTTGCGTCTCTTGCCTTTCTTGCGGGGCGGCGCAGGTTCCTCTTCAGACGACTCGTCGGAACTTTTGGCAGCATCATCTTCGACTGCAGTTGAGGCCTCGCTATCCAGGATTGCATTTTTGTCTTCTGTTGACTCTTTCAGACCTTCGCCGTTGGCCAGTAGCTCTGTTGAATTGCATGGAACCCGGCTCCTCAGGCGATTCAAGCTGTCTATCACATAGCCCAACACGTCATCCCCAACGTTCTCGCCGTGAAGCTTGGCACTAGCTGCCATGATGGACGAAACGGTTGCATCGACTTTAGACGAGGTGTCCAGGTATTCAGCCAACATCCACACAACTCGGTGGACCATCTCTGATCTGAAGATCTCTACCATTTTGGTAATGTTGGCCTCTGGTGCCTTTTCGTGACGCATGTTATCCTCGAGAACCTGAATTCCCAGCTCTTCAAGTACCTTTTCAGGGAAACATATCTTGACGAGACCCTGGACGGCTCTCTTGAATACATCGTTGTCCAGGTCTGTTGACGAGGAGATGACCTTGACGCGAAAAGTCCAGTCGTCGCTGGTTGGCAAAAATGTTGCACTGCTGTTGCCTTTCGGGAGGTATGGGTCTCTGTCGCCGCGGAAGACCGACTTAGCTCGAGGAGGCTGCTGGCTGGCGGACTTTCGCTGTGAGTGAACAGAGGCGCTGGAAGAAAGGCGACGCGTCCGTTTCACGTGGCTCTCGCGATGAGGTGACCCTGAGCCCTGTGGGAGGTCAGTGTTTTTCTTCCAGAGCCACATTGAGCGCTCACGCTTACTCGTTGTCTCTTGGAACCGCTCGCCATAACGTCGAGAGCTTGGGCGATGTCGTTGGTAAGAACTTGATGTGAAGTGCGAGCCTGTTCGGCTGCAGGAGGAGCGAAGTACTCAGGTATGGCGAATTGTGGTGAGTGCTGGTGAAGTCAAGGATCGGTGAGACTGGCTAGACCAGGCCAGCAGCCTATAGATATTTTACACAAGCCGCCACTCGCAATGATCACCAGTCTCGCGATTTAGAGAAGAGTGGAAGGTGCGAGGACTGTTGCAGCAGTAAGGAAGGTGGGGCACTGTCACGCGACGCTATTGGACCTCGCACTTGCTAGACTTAACGTTCTTTCACCTTGCAGTGTGTATCTCATCTCAGCTACAGACGGACCGTGAAACAACTTTTGAGATGTTTCGTGCCGCTCAGAACATATGAAGCTATACATGAACTTAGCTAAGCAAGGTCGGATAGCCAGGTGTTATATGTGTTGAACACTACACCATTTCTCAACATCAGTGGTATACATGATAATGACACAAAAGCGACGGAAATACAGAAACGAGACTATGAGGTATCTTTGATCTCTGGTGACATATGGAAACAGATCTACTCGCGTGTATGGAGAGGATTCAGAAACTTTCCGTAACGAAGATGAATAGAGGATCGCTTCGTGAAAACAAGGTAGACATTTGTCCGTGTATTTAGTTTTTGTATGATGGTACTTCCATCATGATACTCTGAAGGCGCGCAGAGTATCCTCGTTCAAACAAAGAAATATCAAGTGGAAATCAAGACGGTAAGGTGATATGACGAGGATGGAAGAAGGCGAAGTGATTTTGGTCCGGCGAAGTTCGAGTGACGTCGGAGATTACGCGTGTTCACGTGCAGATGCGTGTGATCGTACATCCTCGGTCGACCATACAGGAAGAGATAAGACTCAAACAAAGACCTCTTGAGTGGAGTGAATAATCGCCGGATATAATGATGTGTCAAACATACTCACATTGCGGTGGTGAATCAACATCGTTCACCATGAAGGGGAGAGAGTTTGCCAAGATTTCGTTCGCAGATCCACCTAAACTTTCTCTAGGTTTCCCAGCCACGATCCACCACGCCGTTCAGCACGTCGAACCGTCCCGTGCACACTGTCACGACCATTCTTTACAAGATGGCCCCAATGGCGCCACCTCCGGCGCGTATGCGACTGTCTGTCAAGGTGCTTGCATTGAAAGCGGAAAACGCCCATGGACCATTTCGTGATGAGGCAGTTGCTGCGTTCCAAGAGGCGAACCTTGCCCTGCCTGTACAGCTGAACGAGACTCTGGAGAACGTGTGGACGCTCATAGAGCAGCGATACAAGGAAAACTACCTGTCTCCTGCGCAACGGGCGTGAGTCGAGTCAAGCAAGCGATGCGATTGCATGCACTAATTTGGTCTTGTAGGGCATTCACTATCAAGCGGCTGCAAGATGCCTACGACTGCGATCTCGACCTGAGCGACACGGTCGGTGCCATATTCGAAGGCGAGACAGACCAGAGCAAGCGCATGATCAAGGTCGTTCCTGCCTATGTCAATCGCGACTTCTCCGTACCCGTCACGTCCAAACTTATACCTGCCCACCTCCAACAAGCACGAAAACGCAATCGCGAGAGCAGCGAGGGGAGGGCGAACAAGAGGCAGCGGTCGGAGCTTCCTCAGCCGGAGGATGCGCAGAAGATTCTCGACATTGCGCGCGACCAGCCCATCCCATCCACCGAGTCGGAGCATGGCAGAGAAGAGGGCGTGGGACATGTGGGAGCGACAGGCCACTCGAGTCGATCACCGTCGGCAGGATCGCCTGTGTTCGTCAACGGTGTCCAAACCGGACAAGCCGAATTTGGCCTGGACGTAAAGGAGGAGTCGCCAGAGCTCGGCCTCCCACTCCCGCAGACCGCTGCCACCGCCGCGTCCTCTGGCAATTCATTGGCAAAGCCGCTCGTACCAGCATCTCAACCCTTGCCCCGTGAACGCCAATCGTCCAAGGCTCGATCAAATACACCCCGCGCATCATCTGAAGAAATCCCTATCCCGCAGTTCGACGATGAAGTCCTGGAGACGGACTACCTTGGTTCGGAAGACGTGCACATGCATGATGTTCCTGAGCCGGTCAGTCAGGAAGTCGCTGTGTCGCTAAAGTTGGACACACAGGAAGCAGCTATAAACCAGTCTCCAAAGTCGACTTCCCAATCGCCTGCATTTAGCACTCCTCCTGTTGCGACGAAGCGCAGAGATGTGTATGATGTTCCTAGTTCGCCCGAATTTCTCCAGCTTTCGTCAAAATCAAAGAAGACCTATGGCCGTTCGCCGCACAATTCGAAGATGCTACAAAGAGGAGCAGATCTTCTCAACCAGTCGCGACTATTGTCTGCGGGTAGCAATACGCAGAAAGCGGCACCGAAATCACTCTCTGAGAAGGCATATGCGTTCCAACTGCCAAAGCCCGACGACATAGAATCTACCCCGCAGGAGGCTACATCCAACTCGCGACGGGGGAGCCATTCCGGACATGTCGACGATCAAGAAGACCTAACCGACGCTTTCCTCGGTGAGACTATACACCAGACTCCAAGCAGGAGCACCTCAGCGAACACAGCCAAACCGGGTAGTCTCAAGAAACCTACCAGAAAATCGCTACCACTGACTCCGTCGCAAGCGAGGCGTAACGTGCAGTTTGACGTATTGGAAGATCTAACAAAAGTCACACCAGCACGGCCAAGTTTGAACGTGGGGAATAGCGTTACACCAGCTACCGCCTCCAGCAGTTCCAAGAACACCAAACTCACGCCCAAAAATCAAGCGAGACTGAACTCCCTGCAAGCGAAGATAAGAACACCTTCTCTGACTGCGAAGCCGAGAACAACTTCGCCAATGGTGGTGATCAGTAATGGCTCACGTCCGAGCTCTTCTCATTCTGAGTCCAACGCCAGCTCTATTGGTAGAGAAGTGTTAGCACCAGTGCCGACCCAAACTCCCCAACAATCCACGGAAAAGAACAATATCTCTCCTCAATCAACGGAAGTTAGCACAATCATTACCGCTCAACCATCTCTCCATGCAGCATCCTCGCAAAGAACTCCGATTAGAAGTCCGGTTCCATTGCCAGAGAATGTCAGATCGGCGACGCCGAGTGGAACCGCTACTTCAAAGGGAGACTCACTTGCGCCTGGGAAATCTGATACGTTTAAAAAGCCAGCTCTAAGATTACCAAGCAATAGCCTTACACGGAGACAGAGTTCGCAATCCTCTGACAGACGGAGCACACCCTTACGAAACGAAGTACCCGTAACGGGCAGCCCAAAGCAACTCGCTAACCCCAAGTCGGACGTTTCGATTAGACGTTTGTCAGGGTCAAGCAACTCTGAACCCATCCCGATCCGCAGTGCGGTTCCTTTGCCTGATAATGTGCGGCGTTCTTCGAGTAACAATAGCTCGCAAGCCACTCAGCAGATAAATGGCGCTGGAAGAACTCAACATTCTAGCATTACCCCAAAGTCTTCTACGCCGGTAGCAGCGCCCGCTAAGCGACGCGGTCGCCCCCCAAAGAACAGTGTTTCCAGCTCAGCACCTGTCCCACAATCGACTCCAGCAGCTCGAGTTACCGTGAATCCCAAACCAGTCCGACCTAACCCGGCAGCTACTCCTGTAGCTAAGAAGGAAGTAGAGCAAGTCCTTGTGATCTCCAGCGGCGAGTCTTCGACAGATTACTCTGATTCAGATGAAGAGGAGCCTCAGCAGGTGCCCAAAACGCAAGATTTGAATAGGACTCTAGATAATCAAATCTCCGAGGTGGAAGGCACTGGCGAGATCACTAAGACGAACAGTGATGCCGTTGTGGAAAACGATGTGGATGCGCAGGAGGAGACGGTACAGAACACCGCCCCATGGAACTCACAGTCGTGGGGATTCCAAGGACTCGATCCATCAAAGAGCGCAAGCGTCCAGCCTAACGAAAGCGCAAAGTCAAGACAATCCAAGGAACCGACCAATTCCGAGTTTGAAGCCGAAGATGAAGACGAGACCAAATCACGATCTGAAAGTGCTGCCGCTTCAACACGATCATCGCCTGTTATGTCTCGTGCACCAGCGCGTTTCCTAAGCCATACCCCAACCCCTGACGCATCTGAGAGCGAAGACGAGGTAGAGGAGACCCCAGCCTCGGCTCCAAAATCTACACCCACAAATGCCAAACTGGAAAGTGAAAGCGACACGTCATCGTCGGACGAAGAAGAGGAGGAGGAAGAGGAGGAAGAGGAAGAAGACGTCGAAATGCCCGACGTCTCTCTGGAACCATCCTCCGCAGCAGTTCCCTCCTCACCGCCCTCACGCAAGCCACCATTCTCAACGCCTCTTGTTCCAGAAACAAGCCAAATTCCCGCGTCTCAATACGCATCGTCGCAATCTGTGTCCGCTCAAGCATCCGGCCGTCGCCGTCCTACTGTGAAAGGATCGTACTCGAGATTCAAGAATGTTAGCGAGTTATTGCAAGAACAAGCAGAACAGTCTGGTTTACCAAAGAAGTCGCTTAACCAGAGCACACAAGTTTCTAGCCAGCCGATTATTAAGGCGACGCCCCCAGTCCCGAAAGCGACGAAATTCGGCGTCGGACTGGATGAGGACAGTAGTTCCAGTAGTTCTAGTAGTGAAAGTGATTAGGTATACATCAGACATCGATGTGGAGGTGTAGTGAGGTTTGAGATTTAGATTTGGGACTGCACGTTCGAGGCATTGCAAGAGCGAGAGATCTCATTTGGATGGGTGGAGTTGGTACGAGCACCGTTTTAGCGTAAGCGTTTACGTCTTGTCTTTTGTGTACGGTTCAGCGGGTTCAAGCAAATAAATGTGTTCGATGCTCATGATGCATATCAGTCATTGTTCAAATCATTAATTCATAATCACATCATCGCTATGAGGACACCAACTTCATAAAATGTTACGTCGAGTTCCGGTCGACACACGTGAGCAAATTCTTCGACAGAACAGGAAAGGGTGCACGTCACGCACGATCAACTCGCATCGCTGTCAACCAAGCAGCACGGTCTTAACAGATGGACCAGGCTCAACGGCGTCCTCCAGAGCCGACTCAAGAACCTGCCCTACTCCGCGGCGCTCAGCAATCCCCTCATGCCATACCGCATGCAGTACCCAGAACAACTTCCACGGGCGTTCTGTATTGGCGTCTTCCAGCTCGAAGAGCGCAGAGCCAACGGTCGGCGTGTGGGAGTGTGCGATGATGAGTAGCTCGATTTGGGAACCTGGTGGGTCCAGTGATTCGGTGTTGTCGGGGTGAAGGGAGCCGATGAGATTGCCGGTTTTGGATAAGAGAGGGGTGCCGGGGATGCGGTCGAATGGAGACGTGAAGGTGGGATCTGCGGGTTGTGATTGACGAGACTTTGTTTGGGATGGTCCGAGAGTGAGATGTAGAGATATGGTTATGAAGTGTAGAACTGTGTAGGGTGGGAAATTGCTGTTTTGATGTCAGTTGTCAGTCTTTGCATTCTTTTGAAAACTCACGGCATGGCAGAAGTATCTGGGGGTGGTTCTGCACTGTCTTCGGTCTGTCTCGCGATGTTGGACCTGCAGGCTTCCATATGGATGTCGGTTACTGGCAATGTTCCTTCCGCCTCTACTTTGCCATAAACGCGTGGGCGTCGGAACCTGACTGCATCCCGTTCGTCGGGGCTTTGAAGTTGATCTGGTCGAGGACCTACTGTAGATTTGTTCTCGATGGCGCCTCGAACACCTAACAAATATTAGTGTCTCACAGCTGGTCAAGCAGCGAGATGATCTTACGTATGAGACGGCAGGCCATCCAGTTCTGCATCGCCCACTTTTCGGAACTTTGATCCATGCGGGACAGCAGCCTGTCAAACTCTGCTTGGCTATTGGCTGAGTTAAGGGCCTTGATAGAGAATCCACGCAAGGGTCGTGACTTTTTCGCGGTGTCGTCCTCCCTTTCGCCCAAGCTACTGGGGATACGGTCCCACAGAGGCACGTCACCACTGCTGCTTCCACCAGAACACCACGGTGTGCTGTTATACTTAGGGTCTCGTAAAGGGTCTTGTTCAACCATGGGAAAAACGTTCTGATGGCCTTTTATCAGTTCAAGCAGTAACGAAGGCAGTTCGTAAGGGCGATATGTCAGGTCCTCAAGATTAGTTGGTACAGTTAAAGCACCCCACTCCACGATTCGGGCATGTTTCAGGTATTTGAGAATGTTCGCTGTATCCCGCGTTCCTGTTGAAGTTCCAGTTTCTGTCTTGTCGTACCATATAAAATTTTCCCGTGGCCACATGATCTGTCCTTCCCATCCAGCCCACGAAAAACTTGCGAATCTGTCTCGTCGTCGCAGGTCTCCTTTGGAGGCGATAAAGAGGATGAAGTGATCGAGGTAGTATCCGGGGAGCCCCTCGACCAACAAAGTTTCCATACCGGTGGCCATCGGACGAGTAACTCCAACAAGAGCTCGAAGAGCATCACCATCGCTTCTTAACTTGCGAAACGAGAAGTTCTCGCAGAGTTTTTGATATGCCCAGGCAGAAGGCAAGAAGCCTTCGATCGGATCGGGAATACGGCTGATGTTACTGTCATCTGCGTCTAACCAGTCAGTCCATCGATCAGCACACGTCTCCTCACTCCAGTTCGCCTCCTGGCATCTGTAATACGCCTGTCCGTTGAGGAAGACGACCGTCCGTCGAGGAAGAACGAGTTCTTGCATCGTCCATCCACGTTCGTTGTAGATAGACCTATTGAGATGCCAGTCGACACCATGAACGATCGCCATCTTGATGTTGGGCGTGATACATCTGATCGCTTGTTTCCTTTGTTTGCTCTCGTCAGACTGACCCACTCCGGGTAAGCCTGCATTTGCGTCGGATCCTGAAGCCGCGGCAATGGTGAAGTATGAACCATGATAGATTGAGTTCATCATTTCGATGCCTAAGCTTACGTCTTCCGCGTCGTCTTGTACCAAGCAAAGGGCGTCAACCCAGAGGAATCGTTCTCCCATTGCTTTCACAAGTTCAATGGCATCGTTGATGGTCCTAGGAAGATCATTTCGTATGCCCTCCAAGCTGCCTTTCTGTAGCAGTCGTTCGTAATTATGCATTTGGAGCTTAAACATTGGTAGCTGCCCCCAGACGTAGCTCAGCGCTACGTATCTGACTTCTAGGGCTACGTGTCGTATACAGCCGTGTTTGAGGTCGATGACTCTAAAGTTCGAGGTGGCGCTTTCATTAAATCTTCCTTTCCACCTTTTAACCATTTCATTATTCTTGAACTGCAGTCAGAACCGTTGACACTTGGGGGGGGAGGGGGTTATGGATATACGAACCTTATCCTCTTCCTCCAGCATGGATGGAGAACACGACTCATGTCGCTCTTGACAAGTCTGCACCCATTTCTTGATCCTTGACACATCAACCTTAGACTCAAGAACAACTCTGGCAGTGTCTGGTCCTCCAGCTTGAACATCATTCTCGGCCACGAATTCAATGCGCGTGCCCAGGCGAGAGGGGTACGAAAGACGAAATGAACACTCGCCCGGGAAAACCAGAACGCTAATCACTTGCTCAGGATTGATGACCTTGTTGTCACCTGGCCTAGCATCCTCCGCGATGGCGATAGCCACCAACTGGCAAAAGTTGCACTGCGTGTGTTGTTGCAACTCACGCCATGTGCCGAGATACCAGCTTCCGTCGTCGCTGGTGGATGGGAGATGCGCGATCAGCTGCTCGTGAGACGGGAATCGACCACCATCCAGATGAATCGCGTTCAGCTTTTTGCAGAATTCAGTACAGAGCTCCATCGTGGCGTCTTGTCGAGTTTGTTCAGCTTGCCGGATGAACTGCCTCTTGCCTGCGACGCTACACGATGTCGCTTAACTCCCATCCTGGTCGACAACAGAACAGATCTTTTGACGTTCATTGATATACATGTAGGCTATAAAAGGCCAGATCATGCTGTTTCAGATTTGTGATTTCAATAGCAACGACAGTAAACTTATCCATCCACCCTGACGAACGCGTCCCGTCGCGTCGGATGGAGGTGAAAGTAACTTTGTGGGGTAAGAACGCGCTAGTGGGTTTAGTGTAAGTTAGCGCAGGTTTGTCATCATCGCGCCTTCTCTCTCTCTGCAACATCGGATATGTTACCTTACCTTGTTTTTCATTCATTATGACTTCGACTCCTACCACAGCTCGCGCGTCGTCTGACGACTGGGGTGGGCGCAATCCGCTTCCGACACGAGTCAGTAAGGCCTGCGACAGGTGCCGCCGCAACAAGAGTCGAGTTAGTCTTCGTAACAAAGCAAGTAATGTCCTTTGCTGAAAATTCTACGAGTGTGATTCATATCGGCCTTGCTCGCTTTGTTGTCGGGCGAACGTCGAATGCTCGTCTGGGGTGAGCGAGACCACAAATCGTGCTCACAAGTGAGCCCCAAGGGTACATGTTCATGTCAACAGTTTCTCTAATTACAATGCAGAAGACGCCGAGCCGATAAATCCCCACCCAGTGAAATCAGTTCCGTGAGGCCTCGAGCGCGCAGTGGTACCGCACGTCATTCCTCTGTGTTGCAATCAGAGGATCCCACTTTAGATCACGATATCACTGTCCTGGAGACTGAAGCAAGCACTACTGTGAACATAGACAGTAGACAACACTCTTTAGATGATGCTGGAGCTGATTCGGCTATGAGTATTGCCCAGAAGGTAATTCCATATCTTTATCTCGTCAGTGTCTCTCGGCCGGTCCGCTGAGTCTTTGAGCAGATATGTTCGCTCAGTAACCTACCCGCATTGAAAAGAACGACATCTGCGATCCCCGGAGGCGATACGTTCTCTAAATCCGCGCCATCTCGCTATGATCGGGCTCAACGACGTCCAATAACGTCAGTTCTCGGATTTTCTCTCCCGCCTTCCGACATGATGCGTACACTTCTAGAGGAGTATTTTGACGCCGTCCACTGGTTCTCTTTGGTCATTTACGAGCCAAAGTTTCGCGCCAAGTTTGAATCCCTTGCGGATGGTCTCGCACATCACTCGCAAAAGTCCTTTCTCCTCCTCCTGTCTACAATACTCGGCATTGCTGCGTGGTACAAATCACAGAGAAGCGCAGTCAATGAGACCATCTCGAACACAGAATGGCGAGACTGGGGACTTGCTTTGATCAAAGGTGTTGAAGCGCAACTAATAGACCTGATGGACCAAAGTTCGATTTCATCCGTCCAGACGTGTGTTTTGCTTGGGTCGTATTATGTTTATCATGGTAGGCCCACCCTGTCTTTTGCGTTGTTGGGTGCGACTATAAAGACAGCTCAGGCTCTTGCACTTCATAGAGAGACTTTGCGAGGCGAGTCACAAAACATCGAAGAACGAAAGCGTGTCTGGTGGACAGTGTACACGTGGGACCGATTTGCGAGCGTAACCTACGGCAGGCCCCTTGGCATAAACGACAAAGATTGCAACGTAAGTCATCCTTCTGACGTATTTGAATCGCCATTCTTCACGAAAGATCGCATCCAAGGGTCTGATGGTGTCATTTGCTATTCGACCTATCAACGAGAGTTGAACAAGTTATATATGATTGCCTCGGCAGTAATCGAAATCATCTTCGGGATACGCGCCGTAGGATGTGTCAAGCAAGTAACCCTTGCGCATATTGCAAAGGTCACCGAGAACCTCTGGGCTTGGCGGACTCGTTTACCGACTCATTTAAGCCTCGATCTTGAACGCGACTGCCGGCCGCATCCTTCAGCAACTGAAAGAGTTCATCACTTACAAGCACTGTCCCTACAACTCACATTTGACAACTTGCTTATCATCATACATCGTCCATTCTTAGCGCAGCAAGTCGAACAATTGCTCCAAACCCAGCCAGAGGACGAACACTGCCCCGCACAGGAGGTACTGGCTATTGCCGGAGACATGGAGTCTCCTCGGTCATGTGCAGATCAGTCCAGCGGTCATCCAAGCTCTTCCATCTCAAGTACTGAGCAATGGTGGAATGCGGCGGTAAGGACTTCGAAAGTAACTCAAATGCCACAACTCGCTCAACTAGCGACGGAAAGCCATCTGGTCGCTTTTCTAGCCATCAATTTGTTCAATTCTGCGATAGTCATGGTCGTCATGGCACTCTCTAGCCCCCTTTCCAATCGCGCGCTGGAAGTCAAACAAATTGTCACACGCATATTTCGACTGCAAGAGATCCTTGGAAAGCGCTCTATGCTCCCAAAGCAAAACAACGCTGTTCTGAGGGACATTATACGCATGTTACTCCAACGTGAAGCAGAAGCTATGTTGGCTCCGGTACGACCCTCGAAAAGGCCAAGGGCCGAGAACGCTATCGAAACTTCATCGCCGTCGGACGTGGTGTCTATTTCTGTCGAGGATACTCTTCGTTTGCCACTTCAACTACCGTCCACTGGAGCCAGAAATGATCCAGGAGATATGCAGCATATGGAGGCTGACGATGTCTTGCGCTTGAACGAAAGTTTAGCATCAGTGCAAAGAGGTAATGCCCGCCTGTTCATTGACAGATTGAGAACATATATTCTGTGCAAAACATCGTTATGCTAATACATAACGCGTGTCTAGTGTTGCCATCCGGGTTCGACAACCTTCAGTGCGACTCTTGGGCCGGTAGCGTGGAGTATGATCAAGTGCACATCCAGTCGAATGGTGTGTCTGACACAAGCCATGAATCATGGGACCGTTCTGAGTTTCATGATTATGGCAACAGCACCGCAGTGGGACCTGCTAATGATGAAAATGGGCTTGACGCCACGGGAAATGGGCTGTACTGGTTTTGGGATTCGGTCTGGAGTGGTGCTCAACAATAATCCTGGTAAATATTTTGAGACAGCGTCCAACGTATGTCCTCAATTTCGATTACTGCCTCCAAACAACACTATCTGGTTATGGTATATGAGTGTCCACAACTTCTTCGGTACTATTTGCCAGAACGACATCAACGCCAGGCCCATATATAACCGTCTTTATACCGTTCTTGTTTGAGACGTTGATAAAGGCTTCTTTCGCCTCCGCGAACGTATATTCGTGCGAAATGAGACTCTTGAGGCAGATCCGCCGAGATCGCAGTAGGTCAATCGCGAGTTTGTAGTCGCCTGGTCCATACCGAAAGCTGCCCTTCAGCGTAGCTTCCTTATCACAAATCTGACCGATTGGAAATGCGATAGTTGGAGAACCAAGTCCAGCTTGTACAAAGATCCCACCGCGTTTCAAAGCGCACACACCACTATTGATGCAAGGTTGTGCTCCAGTAGCATCGATTACAACGTCTCCTCCTCTCTCCAGCCCTGTACTGGCAAGCATGGCCTCGGCGTTGTGTTCCGGCGACTGTAAGCCCATCTTGTACGTTGAGGTGGCGCCGTATGTTCTCGCGAAATCTAACCGAGCATCTACGACATCCACAGCCACTATTGTAGTTGCGCCAAATGCGTGTGCTACGGCACAGCACAACAATCCTATCGGGCCGGCGCCGAAGACAATGATGGATTTGCCTTGGAGGTCACCAGCAAGTTTGCAGACGTGTATTGCAATGCTCAAAGGCTCCACCAACGCGCCTTCCTTATACGATACGTGCGACGGGAGCTTGAAACAGCATTCTTCGGGGACACAGTACACAGTCGACAGTGTACCGTCGTAGGGTGGAGTAGCAGCGAATCGCATTGACTCGCAGAGATTGTATCGGCCACTCCTACACGCTTCGCATGTGTTGCAAGATATGCCAGGCTCGAGCGCAACGCGGTCCCCAACGGACAAGTTCTTCACATCAGGCCCGCATGCCTCCACGATGCCTGCAGATTCGTGACCTAGGACGATAGGAGAGTCCACGATGTAGTTGCCGATACGACCATGTTGCCAATAGTGGATCTGCTCAGACCGCTGGTGAGCATATAGCACATTATGTGCCCAAAGCTTGGAGAAGAAAGACAGGAGATACATACATCGGAACCGCAGAGCCCAGTGGCTATGATCCTCACGATAACATCTCTGGATGTGCGGAACGTTGGGATGGTCCGCTCCTCGTAACTAAACTCGAGAGATGGTGACAGCACCAAGGCACGATTAACCTGGAAGTTGATCGATTAGCGAGCGGCTTCTCAACATGAGACGCGACTGACATGGCCTGCCTTGGCGCTTGACTGGGCTGGGTTTGTTCCAACGGTCCCAGGCATTGCGAGTTATTACGTCGGTGAAGGATTATATTCTCTCTGATTGATGAAACTTTGGAGCAAGTTGATCGAGAACCAAACAGAGCGACGCATGGCTACATAAACGAAGTACTCTCAGTTCATGCGAATTGTCCATCAACGCGATCGTGTATCGAACTTTCGGTTCCGGCGGGTTCAGTCTTGGAATTGTGCGGTTCCGGAGTGAATCATGGTTCCGTAGTGCCGGAGTTCTATCCGCACCAATTATCTGGGGCGAAAACATGAGCATCGTGTTTCTGTGTGTCAGTCCGGCGGAACCGAAACCCACCCCATGAAAGCATCTACTGGCATGCGTAATGGGCGTTTTCTTCTCCATGGGGTGGAATCTGGGGTAGTAGAAAAGGCTCATCCATCCCCAATTTTCTCAACGCATCAACTTGTAGTCGATCAATCGACACAGTCTATACTCTGATTGACCGTTCTTCACTCAATTCGAACATTCGCCATGTCTCTGAGACGATCTTCTGCTGCGGCACAGAATGCTGCTATCAAAGCGCGTTCGTCCGCTGTCGCTGAACAAATCGCAGGACAGGAGAGCTGGTTTGAGAAGAAACTCAAGCCAAGGAAAGTCAACGCTCGATACCCAATCAAAGGCTCTATGTTGCTCTATGCCACATGCGGCTTTGGAAGTTTGGGGGATGCGCTCTTTGGGTACAATTCGGGCAAGTCATCTCATTAAATTCGAAAAGTCTGTCGGCTAACAATTCCAGGTATCATGTCCGGCCTGCTCGTAAATCCGGTTTTCATCCGCCGGTTTTACAGTGACTACGGCGGTGCTGACGGTACTACGGCTTCTATCAATCCTTCGATCACCGGCATCAGTGTTTCATGCCTGCAACTCACGGCTGCTCTAGGCGCCCTTCTTGCAGGATGGCTCGGCGACATCATCGGACGAAAGAAGTGTGTCCGCATTGGTGGATTCATCTACTTCTTCAGCGCTTTCATTCAAATGTTCGCCCCTGGATTCGCTACCTTCGTCGCTGGCCGCACGATTCAAGGTCTAGGTGTCGGTTTCCTATCCATGACGGTACCCATCATCCAGACTGAGATTGCAGCTCCCCACGCAAGGGGGCTTATGGTCGGCATCGAGTACACTTTCCTCATTGCTGGATATATGTTGTCATGCTGGGTCGACTATGGTTTCCATTTCATGCTTCCGGCTGAGATGTCTTGGCAAGGTCCATTCATCATCCAGATCATCTTGTCTTTCATCTTGGTCGTCATGTCATTCTTCCTCCCAGAAACACCTCGTTGGCTAGCCAAAAATGGATTTATGCAGGAGAGTCTTCAGACTGTCGCAGACCTACATTCTAACGGCGATACTGAAGCGGTTCATGTTCAGCAAGTTTTCTTGGAGATCCAGGAAGCAGTCGTGTACGAAACGAACCTAGGAAAGTCCACTTGGACAGTAAGCATCCCACAGAGTCACGCACAGTTCTCATGTTACAATGGCTGACAAACTTCACTTAGGAAATGTTCACTCGCTACCGCAAGCGCACCATTGTTGGCATCACCGTGCAGATGTTCGCTCAACTCAACGGAATCAACATCATCTCGTTCTATCTTCCTAGTACGCTCAGCGCTGCCGGCTTTGACGACCGCAAATCTCTGCTTTATACCGCCGCAAACGCCCTTCCGTATACAGCTGCAACAGTCGCGACTTGGTGGCTCGCCGATCGATGGGGTCGAAAGCCTCTCATGATTCTTGGAGGCGTGTTGATGGCCATCCTGTTGGGGGTGGTCTGTGCGTTCACCGAAGCCGACATGGCAGTCCACACCAAGGCCAATGGCCAGTATGCCTTCGTCATGCTCTACAATATCGTCTACGGCTTCACATGGGGGCCAGTTCCGTGGTTGGTGCCTGCAGAATGCTTCCCATTGCGAGGCCGGAGCAAGGGCATGGCGCTCTCGACGACTAGCAACTGGATATTTAACTTCATCATTGGCATGGTATCACCTGATGCTTTTGCTGGAATCGGCGGTTACTTCTACCTTGTCATTGCGGGCTTCTGTCTTTTCTCGGCTGGTCTTGCGCATTTCTACTACGTCGAGACAGCGGGTCATACTCTGGAAGAGATTTCAGTGGCCTTTGGTGATAAAGCGTTTGCGGATAGTGACGAGGAGATCATGGAAACTGCTACGATCGGCGATGAAAAGGCGCGTACCAATGTCTGAGAATATCAAACTGAATACGAACACGCAGCAATACATCTTGGAAAAGCCTGGGAGATCATTCAAGTGTGAGAAGGAATGTTCGGAGTCGATTTGCCTGCGTGGCCCCCACAACATGTGCAGTAAATCTGTCGTTTTCAAAGCTATTATGCAATACATTTGAATTTGAATCGATCACTTGCTATTGTCACTGTTCACTTTCAATATAGAGCAGATACATTCTTGTATATCAACGTAAATCAAGAAAAATACTGGAGCGCTGGTCTATAAAACGAATAACATAGCAAGCTTTGAAAAAAATGAAAAGGTTTAATACAGATCAACTGCCTATGTTAGGCTTACTTTTTCTGACCATCAAGAACGCTGATCCGAACAACCCCCATTAGTTACTATTTTTGGTTAGCAGAACATCAATTTCCCGTAATCCTAGATTTCCCAAAAGGAAGCTCTTCCAATGGTGAAACATAACACCACTGAAGAGGAGTGTAGCAACACGGGACCTGCATAATTTCCCCTATTCCTGAGATCGTGCTTGAGTCGTCGTCGTCGTTTCACTCACTCATCACCACTTCGAAAGACATTCACGTCGAGCCTGAAAACTCGAGTACTCTCATTTATCCTACACTTCCGAGTTTCATCTGCATTATTCTTGCCCTCGAGACTGAGTGTTGATTCCAGCTTTGGGATTTACGGCACGTAGGGCCCACGCTATCCCGATGGGGTAAAGGTTGAGACTTAGCTGCTGACAAGCTTGATGATGTGATTGGCTTCGACACGTCCGTGACGCGATGAAAAAGAGCTGTCAGCATGGACTCCAGCTCCTTAACCGCCTCAATATCGCTATGTATGGAATGGGCTATATCTTGTGTACAAAATAGATCTTGCGCTCACTCTGGAACATGAAGCACACACAGGACACGGAGATGGCTATCTGGCCTACCGAGCAGTCAGATGAAATCGGGACCACAGAGCAAAAGCGGTCAGAGAGCACACCGGAGGAAGGTGTGAGAGTTGAGGACCAAAGCAAGAAGAGAAGCAATCTCCAAATGTTTGCAATCCTCACTGCTCTTTTTGTATGTATCCTCTGGAATTTGTCTCTGCGTACCTTTTGTGCATTCTGACACGGCTACCAGCTTTCCCTCTTCGTAGCCGCTCTTGATGCTACTATTGTCGCAACTGCTGCACCCACCATTGCCCGCGACTTGAATTCGGCAGCTGGCTACACCTGGATTGGTGGTGCTTTCTTGCTCGCGAATGCTGCTTCCGGTCCTATTTGGGCCAAGATGTCCGACATCTGGGGCCGTAAACTCATCATGGTGTCGGCTCTCGCCATATTTTTCGCTAGCTCAGCGGTATGCGCGACGGCGAAGACAATGCAATCTCTGATCATCGGACGCGCATTCCAAGGTGCCGCGGGCGGCGGAATAATCTTGCTAGTTCACGTTTGCGTTAGCGATTTGTTCAGCTTGAGACAGCGAAGCCTGCTGTTGGGACTTACGGAAGGCATCTGGGCGCTGGCTGGAGGAATTGGACCGGTGTTAGGTGGTGTATTTGCGAGCTTAGTGTCGTGGCGATGGTGCTGTAAGTCATTCGTTCGTCATGTATCATCCAAGAGTTAGGACTTACTGACTGACAAAGTCTACATCAATCTCCCCATTAGTGGATTTGCTGCTCTTCTAATTTTGTTATCCTTGGATATCAAGCATGATAACTGTTCGTTCCTCGACGGCATCAAAGCTGTGGACTGGATTGGCATCTTTACCTTCCTTGGGTTCACACTGATGATCCTCCTTGGATTGGACTTCGGCGGAATACTTTTCCCATGGGACTCTGCGAAAGTCATCGCCCTTCTTGTCGTAGGTGGCGTCATGATCTTTGCTTTCATCTATAGCGAGGCACGTCTTGCCAAATACCCGCTCATACCCATGAGCCTCTTCAAACGCAAGACGAACGTAGCGGCATTCTCAGTCGTCTTCTTTCATGGTTTTGTAAGTACTTCTCCACTGTCGACAAAAGCGAAAGGCTGACAGATCAGGTATTTATCGCTGGAGAATACTACATGCCACTGTACTTCCAGTCCGTCCTCGAGGCTTCACCTCTGCGTTCGGGTCTACTCCTACTTCCATTCATCGTAACTGGTGCTATCGGCGGCGTCCTCGCGGGTATTTTCATTCACCGCACTGGTCGTTTCCGCGAGATCATGTGGTTTGGTACTGTCTTTTTATGCATTGGATTCGGCCTTTTCGTCTCTTTTGACGCATACACATCAACCGCCAAAGCTGTTGGCTTCTTGGCTATCGGCGGTCTCGGCTCCGGCATTTTGTTCGAAGCACCGCTTATCGCTATTCAGAGCCAAGTCGAGCAGCAAGATGTTGCGTCCGCAACGTCTACGTTGTCGTTCACACGTAACATCGCCCTGTCTATCTCGACCATCATTGGCGGGACCATTTTTCAAAACACTATGCAGAATCAGGCATCATCCCTTCGTGCTGCGGGCCTGCCCGAGGATCTATTGAACCAGCTAGATGGCGATAGCGCGATGGCAAATGTTATGATACCGGGTACGCTCCAAAACCCCACATGGGAACTAGCTGCAAAGCAAGCTTTTGCTGCGGCAACAAGAAACATGTGGATCACATACACAGTCTTTGCATTCTTGGCTGTTGTGGCTAGTTTGTTCGTCGATGATGCGCACCTGGGGACGGAGCATACAGAAACCGTGACAGGACTGAAAAAGGACCAACCACAGCCAGAAAACGATAGCCCGTGAAGACGACCATCGCGCGCAAAGTTGGTGGTGCAGAGGTTTGTTGTCATGGCTGCAACGAAGGTCAAATGCGGGCGAAGGTCAAGGTCTTGGAGATGGGAATTTGATGTGAGGAATCTATCACACATTGGATAAGATGACGATGTTTGTCAGATATACAACAGGGCGTAGGATTGTAGAGTAGAGTTATCCGTATTCAGAGCTGGTTTGCGAATGTGGTCTGGCTTACTCTCGATATGTTTGCACTTGCGAGAATTTCGGTAATATCACTATGGCTCTATGAATCACGAGATCGTGATCCCCCGTAGGGAGAACGTTATTGGCGGTTCCTGATCCACAACATATTCACTGACCTTTGTCGTAAGACCAAACCCGTAGAGGTAGATATTTGTATGTGTCTTGTAAGAATTTTGTCTCCCATTACTTGAACGACTTTTGGCATTTGTGTTTGCGTTGATTGTTTTGTAAAACAAAAAGTGTCAGGGTGTTGAGAGTATGTCGCGTTGACAAATGGCCATGTACTTCTAGCGTAATATGTTCTTTGCGTTTCCATATGATATTCTATAGCATTAGTGACGAACTTACCATTTGTGAAGGAGGCAACATGATTTTCGAGCATGTGTATACTACCCGAACTTTTGTGATATTTTTGGCAGGCTGCGATGCACCCTTTCACTCGCTTGATTCCATTTTGTGCACCACCCAATCTAAGCCAGCAGTTTTCATCTGTCAAAACAAACCTAAAAACACGCTGTTGGGTCTAAAAATGCATGATATCTCATCTCGATAGATTAAGATTGGCCATTCAAGGCGCGTACAGTCGCTCACGATGAAGCAGCTCGACACCGTGGTGAACAACAGGTCGCCTGCCAGTTTCTTCACTTTCACCACTAGGACAATATTGTGGGGCCTTGTTCGCGGGGTCATGTTTGTTGTCGCCCATAGCAACTTGATTTCTTCGTTCCACCGCGCCCACACTCCTGTCAGTCGCTGAACTTCTTTCCGCGTGCCATTCTGCTTCGATACTTCTCTTCCCTTTTCACGCGTTTCGCCACATATCTTGCCTGATTCGTGCCGCGATAGTGATTGCTCCGCCCACGGGTTTGAACTTGGTCAGTGACAGCTGCGATCCGCCATGCCGCCTTTCGGGCTGTATCCGGTTCCAAAGCACCATCTACATGCACAAACCCCATCGATGGCGCGTCCTATATTCAACAGCTTGGACTTCATGGATGAGGAGGCGGCGCTACCGGCTATGCCCGAAGGTGATCCAGTTCAGCAACTAGATGGCGCCGTTGAAAGCGAGCGCAAGAGCCTCACGTCAAAGGAGGAAAAGAAATTGAAAAAGAGAGAAGAGAAGGAGAGGAAGCGATCCCTGAATGCGCTTACTGCTCAAGAGGAAGAAAAGGAGAAGACGGCCCCTGTAACTCCTCTAGTCAACCAGACGCCTGCAACGTCGAGTTCCAAGGCGAAGAAAAGCAAGGACAAGAAGAAGGGTAGTCAGCAAGGTGACGCGCGTTCCTCAACCAAGAAGCGCAAGAGAAAGAGTGAGGTTCTCAGCGACACTCCGTTACTACCGCTCCAGAATCCAAGCGCCACCGACTCTGCCCTTGGTGCGGACTTTCTTGACCGCTTGAAAGCCAGCATGACCGATCTTGGGAAGGGCTTTGATCTGTCGTCCAGCTTCACTCGGTCAAGCGAGCCGCCGTCGAAGAAAAAGTCCAAATCAAGCCGCAAGAGTGAGGTAATGAAAGATCTCAGTAAGGTGACTGGAGAAACGAGCGGTGAGGTGCTGACCACCCCTACGCCGGCCCAGGGCAAGGACAAGAACAAGAAGAACAAAAGCCGCAAGAGCCTGGACATGAAGACACGCGACACTCCCTTGAAGACACCAATCCCGTCAACGACGTCGCCTTACTCATCCGTCCCGAAACGAACGCCTATCCCGCTCCCACACAATATGGATGTGCGCCGTCCTAGTATCCTGCGTAAATCGCAGCAGAGTGTGGCACCAAATGAACAGACATCTTCGCAAGTACTTGTGGTCGAAACGCCCCCTTCCAAGAGTACGAACCGGGCAGTGACTATAACCAAACCGCCCATCCCCTTTAACCTACCACAGAGATCTGTCTCCACGACGCCCGGACATAATAAGTCAAAGCATGTTCCGTTATCGTCCCCCAGTACCGATGGCGATCAAACATCTGCGTTCACGCCTGTGGCTCTTCCAACCACCCACAAACTTGCCATCAAGCCCAATGGCCGAGTGTCACTCACCACATCGAACCTCATGAGGTACACAGAGCCCTTGAATGATGAACCCAAGCCTCGCCCTCGCGCTGCATCGGTTGCTGCATCAACCGCCGTTTCAACCGTCTCATCCGGGTCTTCCATGAGTATCAAGGAAGCTTTCGCGCGTATTTCCAAACCTTACTCCCGCTCCGGTGCTGAGATCGACCCATTCGTCGTGCCTGAAGTCAAGAAAAAGACGCATCGCGAGACGCACGAGGAAGCAAGCCTTGGGGCCTTTACAGAGCATTTCCGCACCGCACGCAAGACAGTCAACTTTACCGACGAGCGAGAATACCTTAACGCACATCTCGACTGGCGCGTCCAGAACGACGCAGCAGGTCCGTTGCCCTGTCTCGGCCTAGCGACAGGCTGCAACGCCAAGCGAGAAACAGTGCTCCGACTGCACAAAGAGGACACGCCTGATGTGCTCAAAGTTGTAGTCACCACCGACGGGGACCTCAACGCTCTCGAAGACGCCAAGCAGCGCAGCACCGAAGCTGAAACTCTCCTTGAACTAGCCGTCGCTGCACGTATCCCTGTCCCCATCGGCCGCGTTGAAGGCGTCTGGACGCTGTTCTGCCCAAAGTACTCAGACACGCATGTCGACAAGTACGGCTTCGGACAGCGCACACTGACCATCCACTCCATCGCTGGCTTCAGGGATCAGAACGCGTATACAGCGCGCTTGAGCATCCCACCCCGTTCCATGCTGTACACTATTCTGTCCTTCTCCATGCCGCCGCATGCATCATTCCGCACGACGACGATCAAGACGGCGGTGGAAGGGTACAAGATGGATGTGGTATTTCTGGGTAATGGATATTTGCAGCTGCGTGTCGATCTAAACCTGCTGTTGCGGGGTAAGCCGACGGAGACGGCAGAGGGGAAGCCCATGTATATGGAGTTCGTGGGCGTGCATGAGCATGCGGTGAAGTGGAGGGAGGAGAAGGATGAGTTGGAGGAGGTTGGAAGGAAGTTGTTTGCTAAGTATGACGGGGAGGTTACGGAGGATTGAGATGGGTGTGGAAAGAGAGCGGAACGGTATTGTGGATGTAAGCAAGCGTCGCCAGACAGATTGGATAGCAATTTGGCGGTTCTTGAGAGACGTGCCATGTGGAATGGCGCCTGACTCCAGGTCATCGGTAGGTCTAGAGTCCAGCTGTAACATAATGACTTCAGATAGTTGTAACACCCCTTGATCTCGATCCATGGGCTGATACGTAGGTAGGGATTCGTGATTACAATTAAATTCTTTTTCATTACCCGTCACCCATATAGTCCTATGCTTTGCTACTCGGTCTCCAACTATTCAACTATAAGATTCCCTTGTTGTTTAGGAAAAGGTACGGGATGGTGTAGTAGTCAGAGCAGCAACGGGGCTAGCGATTTTGGGAACCGCACCACGGTACAAAAAGAAAAGGAGCTTTCAGAAGTGGTAACTGAAGTATGTAATCATTGAGAGTTTTAGGCTAGTCCAGAATCTATCCAAGCAATCTCAGGTTGCTGAATAGCCTCAATCCTTCACATTCCACATGATGAACGTCTGATGCCTCCGTGACATGGTCCGCATAACCACTTTAATGTGTCTTTCCAAATGCCCAATCAACTCCGCAAACCAAATCACCTAAGTGTTGCAATACCGGCTCCCTCGTTCTATCCATGCATTCCGGTGTACACACCTACCAACTCTAGAACCGTCTCCGCGGTGGGAACAACCTTGGACCCTCCATCTGGCTGGATTATCGAGAGTGCAGGAAATTGGACCTTCAGAAAGCCGCTCGTGAGGAAAGTGATGCTGAACAGCACATTCGAACCATCTTGTTCGCAGAATGCTCGTAATGCAAATGGCTGTGGATCGACGAGGGTGGGTAGTTGAACACAATCGGTACTGAAGGTGCGTGTGCCGAATGTCACATGGACGCGAGGTAAATCGGAAAACGTCTCGATACACATTTGGCCTCCGAGGATCCAGTCTTGTGAGATCCAACTCTTGCTGCCGTCGAGGTAATCCCACAACTTGGTGGACACGATATCCCACGTACCCTGATTATGACACATCAGCTCGAGTGTGGGGTTGACGCACGTTCTTATATATCGATTGTTGAACATAACAATGTTGGCGGCTGTCAGGTTTTTAGTCCTCTCGTGTTCCTCAATGACCAAGTGTTCGTAGTGATGATGCTGATCAAAGGCTTGCTTCTGATTGATGAGCATCGTCTGCACATCAGATTCTGACATTGTTGCTTCGAAGCGTCGTACCATCCTGGCTTCGTGTTTCATCCAGATTGACTTGACCTCCTCTTGCTCATCTTGAGAGACCTCCTCTTGAGATGCATACAACGGCCTTTCCAAAAACGCTGTGTTCTTCTGATACTTGTTCTGCCCCTGGTCGGTATCGTGTAGATTCATTTTGGAGACACTGGCTACCCAGTCATCGTCTTCTTTGTACTCCGGGATTACCTCGTCATTTTCTTGATGTGGAGTCAAGAGGTTCTGGTCCACCTTAAATGCACCAAAGTCATGCATCTTATCCAGATTTATGTCGTCGAGAACCTCTTGGAGAGTTGGAGGGTTCGTCATCCAGCGCCCCAATACACGCTCGGGTTTGAGCAACGTTGTCTTTCCTTTGAGTAATCTCATGGACGAGGCGTAAGCACTGTTGGCTCTCTTCGACTCTTCCTGCAAATCCGAAAGACCAATAGCGTCTTCGCGGCGTTTACAGTTCTTGCGCTGACGCCTCAATGTAGCGAACTGCTTGCGATGCTCTCGTAATTGCATTTGCGTCTGCAACCTAATTTGTGCGGGTGTGCTCACTTTGCTGTCAGTGCTTTGCGAGTCTGCATACCATTGGCGTAATTGAGCATCTCGAGCTTGGTGATAGCGCTGTCGGAGACTCGCGATAGCTTCTTCGCTCGGTTTAGGTTTCTTGGGCTCTGCATCCTTAGAGTTCCCTTCTTTGGGCTTCGTTTTCTTGGGCATTGCTTTCCTGTACTTTGCTTGCTTGGTTCTCGTCATATCGTTCGCTTCGGTAACGGCAGTCGACTCGTGAGAAGAAAAGTGGGTGAGTGGCTCGGTGGATAGTTACGGGTGAGAATGTCGCAGTGAACAAACGGGAAGGTGGCTAGCGCGTCTTGGCAACCTATCCGGTGATAGGAAGGGAACTGGCAACGCGACCGCAAGATATCGTCACAAGAAGAATGACTAGAAACTTCCGGATCGATTCGCGGAATGAGATATAATGATTTACGAAGGGATTATCTGCACTGTTTGGGCCGGACACATCATGGTGATAGATGGTGGGCAGTGATTATAAGTGAGATCGATTGGGAAGAAAACGACTATGAGAAAGCACGAGAACCTAACCTTTGACATTGAATGTGAGTCCTCGTGGCTGGTCTCATACTCGTTGTAGCACTCCAGAGCGCCTCTTCCTTTTATCATCATACTACATATCTCGCTCGCCATGCCATCAGCTCCCTCACCCGACTCCTCATGTGAACCCACTGATATTTCTCACTCGCTCGTAGTAATATACACACCCGAGAACTCCACCCTCTTGTCCAGTAGATGCATAACACAGCACCCGGCATCTGATCGAACTAGCGGCAAAGCCGGGAACAAGACTCGAACATGGCCGTCTGGGAGGAAGGTCAGACTCAGGTTAACGTCGTCGCCACCCTGGTGGCATGTTGCTGTGATGTCCATATACTGGCCGTAGACTATGTTGGAAAACAACACTCCTTCCGCTTCAAATGAGCGGTTGCCAAGATCTAGGACGATGTTTGTCTTGATATCCTGGCGGTGTCTAGTTTCGATGCACAAATGGCCTTCGGGAATCCAGTTTGGCTGGAGCCAACTATCACCATTCTCGAAGTACTGCCATAGCTGGGTTGACGAAAGCTCCCATACAACGCTCTCAAGGAAATCGTTCGTGGTGAGGCCTCTATCAGTGATGCTATCTGCGCGCACGCCATAGTCATCTCGCACAGCTTGCTCTAAGCGAAGAACCTGTCGTTCTTGTTCAGCTTGGCGATAGAATGCCTTTTCCTGAACACTCAGCTTTGTCTTCAAGACAGACTGGGGTATCCCTGCAGCTTCGAATCGACGTTGCATCACAACCCTGTGCTGATTCCAGATCGACATGTGCTGTTGTTCCAGTAATAGCTCTGCATTACAGACATCCGGTCCTGGTAAGCTTGGCGGATGTTGGCTTTCTGGTGTGACTGATTCATGCACTAATGCAGCGGTGGAACCTGCCACGTCCTGCAGTATTATACCCCCTGGCTGGAGCGCCTGCCGTGGTGCCATCGAGTCTGATTTTGTTGCAACAAGTTGTTCTGGATGATGCGGTGTGTGACTCTCCTGCCTTTGCTCTTCCAAGGCTGCATATTGCGTTGACGACGAAGATCCTCCCGTATCTCGCAGGTTCACTCCCGCCGACTGTGAGGACCGACTCGACAAACTTCCGGATCGTTGGCCACTCATGTCTGTCTCTGTATCCTTGAATTTGCGTTGCTGCACATGCTGGCTCCCGTCGATGAAATCTGAAGCTATGTCAAAATTCCGATCTAACCAGAGTTGTTCAAGAGTGACAGGATGTTGACGCCACTCAGCGCTGAGTTGAAGTCTGTTTGGCAACCCCAACTGCAAGGCCATTTGCAAATTGCTTATTGTGTTGTCACATGCTTCGATCCGTTCAGAAGCTTCCATGATATCCTCCACATCTCTGCCATCATCTCTTACAACATATCTACCTCGATACTCCAACCAATCTTGTCTCACTTCTCGTTGACCTCGTAGTTTGCATTGTATTTGCAATCTAGCCTGAGCCCAATCTCTGACAGCGAGGTCTTTACTCTGTGTGTTCTTGTACCATCGACGTAGGTGCTCGAAATAACCCTGTCCATCAGACCTGATTGGGGCGCGAGAAGTAGTGAGATCCTCATCGACCTGTGTATCTGACTGGGCAAGTCTAGTAGATCGACGAAGTGGTGGACAGCTTGTTTGTGCATCAGTTTGCTTGGTATTTTGTGAGATGGGATTCGGATACTCATGCGGAGGCGGAGGCAGAATTACGTAAACCTGACTTTTATGGGCCCTTCGGGAGGCGTTCAGACTTTCTGGGATGATTTTCAATGCCCTTCCAAGTCTTGTTCTTTTCTTCGTGATTATGTCCCCATTCGAATAGACATCCAACTCCTCTAGCATCCGTACCAATCGTTCAATCTCATTATCCAGACGCGTCAGACTCGCTGCATCTGGCTGCATCTTCCTTAGTTTCATGAGCGACCTCTGCGTATTCTCTTCTTCTCTCTTCTGGTAGAGACGTGCTTTTTCAGCTGCAGCAGACGCTTTTGCAGCTCTCTGTGCCTTCCCCGCCCTCTTCCCCATCGCAGTCCAGGAGATTTTTCGCGTCCCCATGCGTACGTATCGTGTTTGCGAGTCAATGGACTCAAAATGGAAAGAAAGTGACGATACTGATAACCAGGACAGTACAGAGGAAACTAGAAGAGGCGTTGGATTCAGGCGAAGTGATTCAACGTGAGGAACAACATGTAAGCCATCCGGGCGAGGTGAGAGTCCGCGTGCAGGCCAGGTGAGGTGAGGGACAAACGCAAAGATCGTGGAAGCAAGTGAAATCACATAAGTAGTCTTGGCATCTGATGACGGGAAAACAGAGAGAAAGACTAGCCCCGCAACTAGTGATTACGTCAATGCGCCGAGGGACATGAAGAAGTATAAAAAAACTTGGTATGGGAAAAGAGAGATTGGAGCTGCGAACTACCCCCGTACCTCCCCACACTCACTCTCCTCCCTACTCTACTCAATATCCATCTTCTCCCCCATAGCATCCACCGCCTTCCTAATCCTCGCCTCCTTCTCCCTGGCTCTCCTCTTCTCCGTCGGCGTCAGCTTCTTGTTCTTCTTTGTGACACCTCCTCGTTCTGCAGTAGTAGTAGATTTGGACCGCGTGTTGTGTTCACTTGAGCCCACCTGCATCTTGTCACGCTTCTGGCGGGCTTCCATTCTTTGCAGATTTTGGCGGGTGCGTTTGTCTGGGTTTGTTAAGAGAAACGAAGGAAGCGAAGTGTAAGGAGGGTTATCACATACTCATCTTCTTGCCGGTGAATGTTGATTCAATATCCATAACTTGGTCGTCAGTCGCTTGCTGCACTTCACCTTTAATCTGTCAGTTTCATCTTGTACATTTTTCAAAAGTTTGTCGAGTCTTGTCACAATTCACACATCGACAGTCCCGTGATTGACTTACCCACACCAACGGCCGCAGACGTGCCATCCTCGGGATTGAACGCACTACCGAGAAGATCGCCGAGTTCCTCCGCCAGCGCACCAAACTGTCTGCGTTCCTTCTTCTTCCTGATTTTCCCCATCCCCTGCCTGGACGGCGACAAGCTCCGCTCATTGGATTGTGATTGGTCAGAATCGCTCGCGTCCGACATATCGTTGTCGCCCAGCCTAAATTCGGTCGATGCTATTTTTGATGTTGCCGCCGAGGCTGGCGCTTGTGTTGGAAGCGTAGGCGCCATGGTTAGGTGATAGTGAGCCGATATGACGTGTTGGAACGGCTCGCAAGCAAAAAAGTGCAGAGATTTGGGAAATGTCAAAAGAAGAAGAGTGAGAATGGCAGAACCTCGGCGAATCGTTTCTCCATTGAATCTAATTCGCCCATGGCGTTTCTACCACCATTATCGTTCCAGATACCGAATATACCGAATGCTGCGCGTCGCGTATCAAAAACCTATCTACCATCTACCTCTGATTTTCCGCCTTTTGAGAAGATGCGAATGCTATGCAAAATGCCCGGCCAGACTATCCAAAGGATGAGCTGGGATAAGGAGGGAAAGTCAAAGCGAAATGAATAACGATGCATCCCGCAGAGGGAAGAAAAAGCATGTGGGAACCGAATAGTAAGGAAATTCGTGAATCGTAGGTGCGTGTCCATGCACCCTTGTCAGCGGCCAGGCTACGCAACAGCCTGGCCAGATGCGCCCAACTCCAAAGCCAAAGCCCAGTCTACCGCCCACCCGTCAACTCCAACCCAAGCAAACGAACAATGCACTACGTGTCGACGTGGTCGTCGACAAAGAAGCCCCAAAACAGCACCTCGTCATTCTCGCGCCCCTGGAGGCGGCCGCCGTAGACGTCTGCGCACATTTCGATGGGCACCTCGAGCTTTATGCAGCCGTTACCGAGGAATGTGAATAATAACCACGAGTCAAAGTCGGGAAAAGCGCCGTGGTCTTCTGGTTTCCTGCTGAGAATGCCACGGTTTTGTAACGAGGGTGCAGAGGGCATTCTGAAGGTGTGGTAGGGGAGCGTTTCGATGGAGTCTGCGACGAAGAACGACTCGTTGAGGGCGAGCTCGACGCTGACGCCTGGTGTTGCCCGGGGCTGGTGTGGCACGGCTGCAGTGTCGGGACGGTGCTTGTGGAAGCGCAGGGTGCCAAAGCGCAGGTCGGTGGGCTGCTCGAGGAGGTCGAACAGCTCGGTCGAGTACAGGCGGAAGTAGCCGTTGTGTATGCCACCCAGGTCGTCGTCGTCGTCGGCGTCATCGTCGTCTACGTGGCCATTCAGGGATAGGCTGTGCAGGTGCTCCTCGACGCGCTTTCCCTCCGACTCGGCGGCATTGAGCGAGTTGCGGATGTACTTGCGCGTGTACTTTGTGCTGAGGTCGGAGATGGCCAGACGGCAGGCCTCGCGACGGACGTCCTCCTTGGACTGGGCGACGGCGTCGGGCAGCGACGACAGCAGGCTCGTCTCGAAGCCCAGCACCAGCTCCTCGAACTCGCGCATGGCGCGGGCCAGGGGCGACGACTCGGCCTCAGTCTTCAGGGGAGCCATTGGAGGGAGCCCGCGGGCGATGTGGCGAGGGGCAGGCAGCGTGCAGCGAGAGGGGCGCAGGCGAGCGGGCGGCGAGGCTGCTGAGGGCGGAGGGTGCAGCGCGGGTGGAGCTTCGGGGCTGCTACGGCGCGAGTGCGAGGGCGGGAGGGGAATGGGCTGGGCGTCGTCCTGGTCTTGGTCTCGGTGGTGCGGGGCGGCCGTGGCTACTTGCTCGGGACAGACTTCAGCACGCAAGCTGGCTCTACTGCTCGGCGGACATCAGGGGACAAAGAGACATTGCACACGACAACGAGGAGGACCCGAGATTGATTTTGCTGTGTTGCGGATAGCGATGCGCATGCCAAGGAGGCTGCTAGTAGCGCCTTCCCCGGCAAATCAGCGCCTGCGCCCTCCCTGCATAGCGCGTCGCTGCTGCTTGCACAGAAAACGAGCCCAAAGCCTGTAGCCGCCAATCGTCTCGACTAAAGCCAGATCCAGCGCTGCGTCCAGCCCCTCGATTCTCTCTCTGGTCGCGGACAGCTGGCGGAACCTTCGTCTTCGCTCCCCGGGCCTAACCTAGCGCAACCAGGCTGTCGGGAACAGCGCTTTGACCCATTCGCCGGCCCGTTGGACAGCGACTTCATAGTCCCTTCGGCCCGAGAAGATAGGAAGAATGTGTGTGTCATCGACCTGCAACGACCTGCTACGACCTCCTTGCTTCTGGCTGCATGGTTGGTGTCGCAACGACGCGTGGTGACGAGTGCTTGCGGATCCACAAAATATATTTGCCCAGACAAGTAGATTGTGCCAGTAGCCGCTCTCTCGGTTAACCGAAACACCAGGAACTAACGTGCAGCGAAATCGTGCACCAGTTCGACAACTTCGAGTAACATTATCGTACAAGTCTGAGCCCTTAAATCCTAGCAGCAAACGCCTGGCGGGCACTTCTGAGACTTTCGTTAGTGTAGTTTAGCTGCTTGTAGGAGCCACAAAGAACGCGGCTTACTTCCCGCTTTTGCAGTTGACCGCTTTCTATCACGCCATCCATCTTCTGTATCAGCTTTGAGAAATTCGACGCAACATCGACTTTTGTAATAACGCTAGACGGCGTCTCTGTCAGTATCTTCCCTCAAAAGCAGTATGCCTCTGTTGGCTGTCTCAGGATCGTTTATTAGTGTTCTCTCCACGTTTCTTCCTTTTTCTCCCATATCTTGCCGAGTAATTCCCATGTCATACAATCGCTCGAATCCGTGTCGTCTTGCCTGTAGATAGTTTACTTTTCTTTGACTTGTTCGCTCGTCTAGCTTCACTGTTCACCATGAATTCATTCCAGTTCTTCCTAGACCATGGTCGCGCCTTCGAGACTAGCATGATTCCTCTACTTTGCGTCAATACTATATATTCGACAAACCTGTCTCAGGCCTAATCAACCCCTTTCCACAGATCGTAGGACCTCGCTACTCATCTTCAGTTTGAGATATGGTGAAGTAGAGTGTTCTGGTGATTTGACGTCGGCAGTGAAAGGCTGCACGCGTGAATTCCGCATTAGGTCAAGCTTGTAATGGTCCAAACGGTCTGCACAAATGAACGCGCAAAATGGCAGTAGCGACTGCTAACACTTCTCTTTGTCTCTCCAACCGTGACGAGCGCAACAAGCGCACAACTTCCTTTTGCAATCACAACCACATCCTCATTAGTTCGTTCGTCTATCGCTTCTACTATCAATCTCATCTTCACTCACATCTCTTCAGCTGATAACAGCAAGAGAGCTGTCGCTTAGCATGGCTTCGAATCACCACAACCCGCAGCATGCGTACGAGCATACTGGCTTTAGTTCAAACAACCGTGGGGGTTATTCGAACGGCGGGCGTGGCAATGGCAAGAGGGGCCGCGGCAGCAGGCCCTACAACAGTAACTACAACAACGGCAATGGTCGTCCAACGCATGGAAACTACCAGAATTCCAGAAACATGTCTGACGCATCTGCTGTGCCTGGTTACCCCGTGGACGCATCATCAGCCTGGGGCGTACCAGGAAATGGCTTCTCACAGCCGATGAACGGTATGAACAACACTCCGAATGCATGGCCGCTCCCTGGCGCGGTAGTGACCGGTCCTACAACCGGAACATATGCTCAGCTACACCCCGCAACTGAACATCGCATGTTGCAGCACAAGTCCAGCTACGATGTTCTGCCTCCGCACGTCTTGCAAATGGCCAATGACCACTTTGGTGCTCCACCGCAGAACATTCCTTCGAGTTATACACCTCCTACCGCAGCGAACATGACCTCCGAGTCCGCAGTCGTAAATGCTATCGGTTTGGACACCAACACGAATGGAGAAGCTCCTTCATGTGCTCCCATGCATGCGCCAACGGCCGTCATCATGCAGAGTCACGTCACTGCTCCAACTCCAGCCAGCCCAGTTCTGATCAGTCGTTCTGGCCAGTCTGTGTTTACAAGCACATTAGCCAAGCCAACGGACAAGTCATTCACCGTCTCAAAGAACAGTGCTTCCAACAAGACACTCGAAGAGACTGTTCATTCGCTCGATAATGACACGCTTGCTCATCTGCAGAAGCTCTGTAAGACCGACAACATTGAGCTTCGGCAGACCTTGAGAGATGCGCTCGGAAAACGTCGTGCCGGTCAACGCGAGCTGCTCGAGAAGCGTGCCACCATCATGACTCAGCTGAATCATGCTCGCGAGAGTGCGCAATCAAACACCCACAAGACTCTGGTTTTGTACAACACTTTCGTTACGAAGATGACCGACAGTCTCTATGCCACTTCCGAGGTGAAGGAGACTCTACAACGCGAGGCCATCGAATACTTGAAGACCGCTAGGGTGCACTCTACGCAGGCGACAAAGGACCGTGAGTACGTAGAGTCGTGCCGTGACACGCTCGAGGCCACGAATCTGATGATGTTAAACCTGACAAACAAGTTGACGAACTCTGTGTACCGAGTAGTGGTGACGGCTCTGAGTAGGGCGGTCACCTCCGATGTGCTGATCATCCCCGACAACGCAACCACACATGATACTGCAGCTCCACTTGATATTGTACTCGCATCTGACACTGAGTCGATGACGGCAGTCACGTCGACAACGAACGCCGAGACCGATGGTACCGAGAAGATGAAGACATCGGATCCCACACCTGATCATGCGGAGATGCGAGTGGCCGAGATCATAACCGACAGCAACTTGCAGCTCGATGATAAGAAAGAAGACATTCAGTTGGAGGATGATACCAAACCTCCTGAGAGCTCTCCAAAGGTCACTCGACTAAGAGTTGCGGATCAGCACTCAAAGCCCGTGCATGAAGACACCAACGAATTGGACAGCCCGAAGCCCGCTTCAGAAAACGGATGGGGTAATTGGTTTGCCCATATCCGTAACGATGACAAGGAGATGGTCAAGAAGGCTCGTCAAGATCTCGACCGCATAGGTGGACAAACGTTTCGACCCGAGCTCAAGGAGACGTACAAGAACCAACAAGGCAAAACCCACCAGATTGTTCACGAAAAGGTCACAGGTAAAGTCGCTGTCGTCGTGGAGAAAGATTCCAGAAGCAGCGTTAAGCAGCAGGTCAGCCTGGAAGAGTCTGGGAAGAAAGATCCCGCTGCCGAGCCCACGCCCATGACCCAAAAGACCATCGAGACGCAATCTCATTCCCATGGATCGGAGAAGGATGTCATTACCTTGAATGTGGCATCTCCCGAGCAGGTCGCAACCCCCGGATTTGCAGAGGTTGCTGGCGTCACGGCTTTGGAACAGGAGGACGTCGCGAACCACGACGGCCCTGAAGAACAAAAGGATGACGAGAGTGTCACGACAGAGAAGATCGAACAGCCTGCCGCGTCCCCAGGATCACCAGACTTGGCCAGTGTCCAAGCACTCAAGACCATGATCCAAGTCTACATGAACGAGAAGACTCCCAAGCTCGAGCAAGAAGAGCAAAAGAACCCTACCGATACAAAGTCCACCGATAAAGAGGCACAGAAGAACAAAACCGGCAAGAAGGCTTCTGCAAAGACGAACATCTCGACGAATCACACCGGTGACAAGTCGCCCGAGCAACTTGCAGCCCAGGAGCAGAAGGCTGCTGCAAAGCGCCAGAAAGTGAAGGAGTCCAAGGCAAAGACCAAGGCTAAGAGGAAGGCACGTGCTGCGGACAAGTTGGAGGGTACTATAAGTTCGGTCAAGACGGAGGGGAACGATGGCACGGCGAAGACGGAGACGGCTACTGTTTCACTTCCAAAGAGCGGTTAGAGCAGTCTCGTGAACGCCTGCGGTGATGTTGGTGATGATAGTGGGGGTACAAGTGCAGTGTGAGTTGGCATGTCTTCACGCACACGGCGCGAGTTTTCACGCGGTTCGGGGGATCACCAGCGTAGTGTGCAATGATCTGTGTTTCCTGGATACATGCAACGAGATACATTCAGTTGTAAACAACGAAGCATTCAAATTTTACCCTCTCCTTGAAGTGTCATGCTGTGATGTACTTGAGCCTTCAGCAGAGCCATTGAGTCCAATCACACGCACATTCTTCCATGGACAGCATCTCGTAAAGGAAAGTTCACAACCGTGAACCGAATGCTACCAGTCACACTCAATTACGTCCATCTCCCAGGATTGAATACCACCACGCATATAAAACCCCGTGCAGAAACCTTCCAAGGCAACACATTACAATAGATACTAGCAATTTAGAGCAACCATCCTACCAAACCATACAACTACAATGTGCGACCCCCAAGGCACAAACGAATACCTCGTCTGGACCGTCTGCGGCCACAAGGTCCCGCGCATGCACTGCGCGCAGTTCAGCAACGGCCTGCAGCGCTGCCTTAACCCGAGTGTTATGCCCATTAAGAAGCTGGAGGATATGCGCTTTGGCGGCGTGATTATGGCGAAGTGCTGGCAGTGTGAGACGGGGCGGTTTTCGGGGTAGACCTTGGAGGACGGAGGAGAGGGGAACGAAGGGGGGAGGGTGGGTAGAGAGGGGTGGGTAGAGAGAGGTGGGTAGAGGTATTGGGAGAGAGAGGATGTAAAGGGAAGGGTGTCTGGAATGTCTTGAACGTTTGGAACTCGATTTGTAGAGGTAGATGACTGTACTGGATATTAAACGACTACTCGTGTTTATGAGACTTTGTCTGGAATGTTTGATCTAGTTAGGTGCATAATTCACTATGAACCATCGGAATGTAGACAATGGTAGCTCAGGCGTGTACGAAAGTAGTACAGAACAGAGGGTAGTACGCAGCACTCAAATGACTGGGATGAGGGGAGTGGGGAACGCAAAATCGAGTAGTTGGAAATGCTGAAGAAGGATAGACCTCGGCGATCATAGCATCAAGCGGTGATAAGTAATAAAAACCATAAATGAGTTCGCAGAACTAGTGGTTCTTGATAGTATAGGCTCAAATTGAACAAGTGGAACCGATACAGATCATGATGTTGAGCGGGACGGAAGTAATAGTCGAAGGAGCGCTAAGATTTCGCCAAAGTCGACGGGAATCTTCTCCGATCCAATGACTTATTTCCGGTTTCCCATAGTGCACACAAATAGTTTAGCTGGGAGGATCAGCAGTATCCCTTTTACCCTGCGTGGTATATCGTATACTACACGAAGAGACTAAGTCCTCGACGCCCCTGATAACGCTCATCCGGCAATGGAAGACACAGGAAGTGAAATGCATGATGATAAAGTTTGTTTGTTATCCTTGTCCTATGCACATGATCGCACAAGGATACAAGTCTCCACTTGAAAAGTAGTCTTTGCAGAAGGTCCCACGCGCAGCGCTATTCCTAATATGGATAGTTTGTAGTTTTGTTTCGTACACCGCAAGTACCACCACAACCGAAGCTCAACTCTTGGCTATCTGATATAATATCGCAACAATCCCAACTCGATTCAATCCCATTCGATAATGACAGATGCACCACAGCCATCCGACGAGGAAATCATCGATGCGGTGCGCGTTCTTCACGAGCAAGACCCCGCATTAGGGCGTAGCAAAGTACTTGTTCAATTGAAAGCGGACCACGGCTGGGTCTTGTCAGACAAACGGCTCAAGAAGCTGCTCACGCAATATGATTTGAAGCGTGTAGCGGAGCAACCCAAAGAACTCCCGCCCATACAGTTTCCTGAAGACGCGTTGGCGGCTCAACAGCGCTACAAAGACGAAAGTATTCGCTGTTTCAAGCTGTATGGGAGAGGCGAGTACGACTATGGCGTTACGCCGAATGCGGATCAGAGCATGTTGGTTGGAGTATGTCATGATTTGCCTTGACTTGAGAAGTAGTCAGGCGTGAGGCTGTTTTGGCTGATGTTGTACAGATCTGCCACATCAGGCTCTGCAAACTCGGCGCTCCAGGACCCTATCAGAACACAACCCCCGAGGCCGTAGCGAAAAGTCCGGAGATGCAAACGCTATGGGACTACTACTGGTCTGCGGCGCAGAAAGTCCATCTTACCAAGGAAGACATAGGACGCCAGCTGGAGGCCGAGTACGTTCATCCCATCCTTCGCCAAATTCGCGATGGCTTTTGACTTGAGCTCTAGGTATGGAGTGAATCCAGGGCCATACATTCCGACGTTGTCCAAAGAAGAGTTGACACGTCGCAAAGCGATCTTCAAGAAGAACTCCATGGACCTCAAGCGCGCGATGCTCAAGTCGGCTGAAGGTAGAAAGGTCATTCCTGTTGATGATGATGGGGAGCCGCTTTGGGATGATGCGGTGAATGGGCAGTTTGTGGTTCTTGTTGACAAGATCAACAAGGGAGATGGTTTGACTGAATACGGGCGGGTCTGAGGGGTTCCTGGGCATGGACTGAAAATCTGGATTGCAGTTAACGAAAACAGACGAAAGGTCGTCCTGTATTTTGGTATCGTTTGGGTTTGATGACGAGCTAGGTTGAAGGTTTCGGAGCATCAATATTAAAACTTCACGAATCCAACTGGTGGCTATGTGGACTGGCGAATCCGGGACAAGTTTTGCTCCACAGGGCAGAAGGATCACATTCCTGATCCTTCGATGGCTCGGCTATCTCGCTACCTGTTCTTTGGTTTTTCCACGTCTTGTCATCTCTCACTCTATCCAACCTACTTCGTTCAACCACTCACCATGCTCCCGACGAATTGCGACCCTCTGTTCTTCAGCTTCTCTTGATGGCGATGTCAAGATCTCTTTGCTCCAATCCAAAGTTTTGCTCAAGTCATCGAAAGTGCTGGCAATGAAGTCGAGCAAGCTCTTTTCTGCCAGTAAGAAATCCATCTCTTTCTCTCGCAGAAGTTTCGGCACAGGTGTGTGTGCATTTGCTTCCCATTTGGTTATCGTCAAATCGACCGTCTCGATCATCTTCCATGTCATCTGCCGGCCTTTTCCATCTCCACCAGGCACCGTCGCGAGCTTCTCGTAAAGTCTCTTCGTGGATCCAGCCGGAACGATTAATCGAACTTCTTCGACATGGTTAGTAAGATAGACTCCAGCGTCAGAACAAGTTTCGAAGATGTTGAATTGCGGTCCACTGGGGTCAAGATACCACTGCTTCTTGCTCTCTGTTGCTGTCACTCGAAAGATCCAATGGCTGTCAAACTCTGACACTCCTTGCTTTGTCATGATACGTGCAATCTTGGTGGGTCTTTTGAGTCCGAGATTGACCTCGTGGATCTGGACATCGGTACCTACAGATACTTAGCAATTATCTTGTGTAACGTTGTAAGCTTGTCGACTGCTCACCTTCCAGCATCTTCCGCAAGATGTCATAGAAGTACGCTATAGAGAACATACAAGTTGAAGCACTCAATATCATTTTCTTCTCGGCATTGCTCACTTGAACATCTGTCTCAAAACGATAAAGTCTCCCTGGTACCTTTGGTTCAGGGGTGTACGACAGCTCGCCGGAGCTACGTTCAACCGAGCGGATTCGGAAATTGAAGTTACGCTCGCGGACCTCTAAGAAGAGCTTTTGAAGAAGTGCACCAGCACGTTTGACTCGTTGCTCTATGTTGCATTGTTGCATGTGTCGGGGATTCCAGTCATTTTTCTGGCACTGCTCACTGCAGTATTTGACAGTCTTGCAGGCGGAACATCTCTTTACGGCGGGTATTTTCCCGCATGTTGCGCAGGGTTTATGTTCATCCGTCGCTTCGGCCATGAGAGCTCTTTGGGAGGCTGGAGGGTGATGGACGTTAGAATTGGGCGTGTTCACCGCTCTTTAGTCGGCAATGAGCATAAATATATTGCTTTGAGCAAGCATAACATGGCTCACGTGAGATCTTCATATGACATAACAATTGAAACAACGAGTTTGAGATTTGTCTTGGCATACGAGAAGGATTCTGATTAGCACGTTTGGATGTTGTTTGGAGTATGTAATCCCATGAGAGGCGATGAGTTATTGCGTGATCTTCAAGTCCAGGAGTTCTGACCGGTTGGATACTTATGGATTCATCTTATTCGTTCTTCCGGCTGTGCAATGAGTAATTTATATCTTTCGTATCTCGAAGATGCAAATATTCTTCTTCACCTTGCTAGCTATAGCATCTCACCTGAACACTATGTTTCGATCATTCAGTTCGAACAGCTCTCACAATCTTCTGGAACGTAATGTACAAATCTTTACCCGAGATATGGCACACGCCAGTTACGTTGGATGTCACATGAGTGCTGGTCCAACATCTCACATGCTCTGATTGCTCTTTATATGCTACACAAAACAAAACCATGTGTTTTGAAAAGCTTTTGGGCACTTTTCGGTTTGTTAGGAGGCGCTAGAATCGGGATCGACGGCTTCAAGAGTGACATGTATGATTCTTTGACACCAAGGTCTTGCTGCGAACACTCGGCAGAAGCAGGAAACAAGAACAGCTCGATGTCGATTCTTGGTTCACTCTTTACATCAAGCGCTGAACTGGGCAATGAGTGCGCGGGGCGATAATAGTGATCTGTGAAGCGAAACAAGCTGTGATGATTTCGGAACTGAATGTGTCGATGGGTTATCTAACAATTGGAAGAATTGAGTCACAGTTCCATGCAGTTCGATTATGGACATATTCGCATCATTGTGACGGAGTTTCCGCGGCTGACGCAGTGCACCTCCCCAAAAGTTCGTGATCATGACTGCCAAAAGGCTAGCGGGTAGAGGGGTGAAGGCGCGAAAGCGTTCGAGTAGTAACAGTGATGGAGCCTACGGTCGAGCTTCAATCTTCACAAATCATTACTCCCACAGAGAGAACACACCAATCGAACATTCTTTGTACCAAATCTTCTATTACTTCCACGTTCACTTAGCTCCAACGTCATATATCTTAGAGCAGTGACAATGTCCCAAAATTTGCAAATGCCGACGCCTCTTGGTGGAACCATCGAAGAGAGTTGTGTCTTGCGCGCCGCACTTGTTCTGATGAAGGCTTTTCTCCACCTCCGCGAAGCGACATGGCAGAATTTCGTCATTGGCATTGTCAAGGATGGTACCAATTTGCTCATTGTCCATGACCATACCCACGCCGGCAGGCGGTATGGATGGTTCGCGACCTTCCCAAATACCCTCGTTAGTAGTGTCGTACAAAAACAGGCTCTTCTTACAACGGCATCATGCCACGACATCGGACACATGAAGACACTCATTGAACAGGTCTTCAAGGGTAAGAGGTTTTAGTCACAATGTAGGTATATTTTACTAAAGTCTATGTAGGCATGGACGTCACCGTAGAGGAAGTCAAGATCCACCGCAAAGATCTCGGGAATCGAACCATGGTCATTCAGGAAAACGGATATTGCCATTTCAAGATCCCAGATCACTGGCTCCTCCGTGTCACTTCGCACTTCACCGGCTATCAATGGGCGATTGACATGGCAGGCGCACAACATGGCGCTTGTTTTCCCTTCGCCAGATGGAGCGTTTATCATGACGCGTTCATCGAGAAAATTTTCACAGTGAAGCCACTAGGCACTCTTGCACGACATGGAGCCTGGATGTCGCAACTGAAATGCAAGGCGGGGTCAACATATGACATCAATGGGAACGCCATGCGGGCATTTCATGCCAAAGTGGACCCAAAGATGGCCAGGAAAGGCGTTAAGTGGTTTGATGTTTTGACAAAAAGCTAGGAGGATCATGTCAGACACAGGGAAAAGATACTTAAAGTGGGCAGAGATGGGATGGAGGCGTATGTGGCCAATAAGCGTCTGGATGTAAGGAGACTAAACTGTGAACGATACGAGAGGAGGCACATGGACGAGGCGATTGCAGACAGGAAGGCAGTAGACGATCAATTTTTGGAAGACGGGTCTGGTGGCTGGGATATGATATGAGCTTAGCTGGGAAGATTGGGGATAAACCTTCTAGGTTATGTCAAAAAGTGCGGCATGAGAACTTCAAGCTTGAAGAGTGGAGAGCAGATAGAATTCATTCATTTCTGGTTGGCTCGACTTGCTTGAATGTGTTGTTTTCCGTATTTTCACTGTACCTTTGGAGCCTGCTCATGTTCTATCTCAACTACATCATACGATGTCAATCGCTCAATCCTCCGATTCGCAGGCGACGATGCTCAGTGCTCGTTCAACAAGTTGACTGACTGCAGCAACATGGCCCTATCACAGCACTTCCTCTGACTGAAGCCTGGATTGGCTTGTTCATAGGCCCTAGCTGCTTGCACCGGCTTGGCAAAGTCGGTTGAGTTGATGAAGCTACGGACAGCGGCCTTCATGATATCGAGGAGGCTCATCTCTTGCTGCCTGTATGCCGCGTCTCCAAGAAACAACAATCTCGATAATTTCATGTGTCGTTCTTCCCAGATGTCAACCGCTTTGTTTAGTTGGTCTGCGGCGTCTTGGACGAGACGGTAGGTAAGCACAGGATTGCCATCGATCTTCGCTAACTCAGTAATGAGTTCTCTCTGCGTGCCTGAGGAATAAATCGCGGTGATCTTGCCCACGTAATTTGCCACATAGATCTCCCAGTCCCAAAATGGTTGACATATGCCGTACTGTCCGCCACTGAGATCCACTACCCATTGCTTGCCGCTCTTGACGGATTTCAAGCGAAGTACCATGTGAGAGAATTCTGGCCAGTTTGATTGCCGCGAACCATCTGGTGCAACAAAAATGGCCTTACGCGGAACTGTTCGTAACTGCACTTGGAGTTCTTCGACTGTAACGTCGACACCTAAACGAAGTCAATATCATGCACAGCAAATCGAAAAACAAGCGTACTAACCTCGAAGTAACTTGGTGATGAGACTGTGCATGAACGCCAGGGGCTCATTACAAATCAACATGCAGAGCATGGCCATCTTCGTTCGATCGTTTTTGACGAGTTTGTCGGGAAATGGGGTGAAGTTGCGCAGATTCAGCTTTTGGTCTCCATCAAATATGACCAACTCATCTTCTTTGTCCTCGATCTTCTCTATGGGCGTGTCCCAGGTGTTCTCTCTGAAGGTAAGGTAGGCTTGATGGGTGATGTTCGCCATTCGTTCTATAGCTTGCTCGAGCCGCTGAGCTTTGCAGATGACCTTGTGATTTGGCCAATCTCGAACCTGGCACTCCTTTTGACAATACATATGCGTTTTGCAGCCGTTGCACTTCATCTGAGCGGGTTTACCGCAGAATGAGCAGGCAGCATGAGGGTCGGAGGCCATGGCGATGACTGTCGATTTTGTGAAGATCGTAGTGATTTTTTGGGGGAAGATATAACCCCCAGATCAACTAAAAGTTTGTGATATGGACAAAGCGAAAAGGTTTGCGACAGCCAGCTGAACGGGAATGTGACTGTTGAAACAATCTTGGAGACAACAAGAAACTCCCATCAGGGGATCGTGGCAACAGTGTAATTCTGGAACAAGATAGAGCAATCACAAATAACGCCTCATACCCGTCACAACCAAATCTGTGAAACCCAAACGTATGCGAATACCCCGATGAGCAATATGTGAAGATGGTGTGCATCATCGGTGGACAGAGGTTCCTACATAGCCTGCCCAATACTGTTGTAAGTAGAGATGGACTTGTTGGTTGCAAGACAGGTCGTGGTTTGTCAAGTTGTAAATCCCTCCTCCCCCTTATAACGTATTAGATCTCACAAGACCTTATCACATCTGCTGGGTGTTTGATCGAGAGTTGGTTTGCACTCTCGTTTCGTACAGCAAGCTTGACCAAGCTTGCCTATCCTGACTCTAACCGAAGCTCTGTTCGCATGTGCAACAAATGGAACGGTAGGCCTGGCTCGGGCTGAGTTTGTTGAGTCCGGGATGGAGGCTTGCGATACAACCGATATACAAGCCTCAAAAGAAAAGGTTCTACTAGTAGCCATCCATACGAGAACTCGTATGCAAAACCCCCTCGCAACATGCGACTTCCCAAACCTGCAGATCTTGGTGCCTGACGATTGCTAAGTACAAGATCAAATGCTACGAATAACGCAAGCAAGGCAAATACCAGCAGTCCTTGAGGTGCACAAGATTGGCAGAGGTTCTGCGTGTAGTTTTCCAGCTATTGAGAGATTTCGCTACACTCAATTCTGGTATCTCGACTAACAGAGAGGACGTCTGGTGCCGCTATTTGCGTTGCACGAAGTATCCAGCACTAGAGCCGAACAACTCCCAGCGTCTCATTTTTTACTCCCTATTCTGTTCGCACAAAAGTTGGATCTCATCTTTTCCGTGGCCATCGAGTCGGTTGCGGATGACTTCTCGTCATGTCGTCGATTGTGTTCGTTGGATGGGGCAAAGGTCGCCACGTGAATTTGCATTTCTTGGGCTTGGAGACATACGCACTTGATACGTGTTCGGTGTTTTCCTGATACTCGTTTCCGATCGGAGCATGCTTGTGTACTAGGGTCTACCGTATACGGTTATCGCGTAAGATGTGGGCCTTGACATATGTGTGTCGAGAGACCCACTAGCAAAGAGAATTTTTAGCCCTAGCCTTTCACGATTGTGAACATCTTGCCAAACGCATGAAGGGATTTTCGAGAGCTCGAGAGACGCGAGATTTCTGAATTTCAGCGTCATAACCTGTGGAACGATCCATCATTCTTCATGAACCAATCAAATGGCTCGTTGGTGTAGTTGGTTATCACGTCAGTCTAACATCCCAGTTAGTACACTGAAGGTCCTGAGTTCAAGCCTCAGACAAGTCATCGTTATGTCAGTTTTTTTGCTCTTTTCGCCGATGCCCAGGGCAAAGACAACTCCACGTGTCAGATTGATGCGAGTACGCTGGCGTAGGGATTGTACAGTATGAGTGCAGCGAGGACTGTAGAAGGGCAACAGACACAGGATGCTCCATCTGAATAGGAGGCCATCGATATGTTGTGAGAGGTTTGGTCGCGACACCGTAAGGAAACACGCTATCGAAAGCTCCTGGCTAGGAACGTTGTTGGAGAAGACGGTGTCGTGGAGGCGGCAGAGTGTACGATGATAGCGCAATTTGCAAGTGGGCAGCAGACGATATTGGAAGTTGAGACCCGTGAGAACAGAAACTCCACGTGTAAAGCGGACGTATGTTTATAATAGTCTGATTTACGAAATGTTGACGTAGTTTGACTAGAGATAACCTGCAGCATCTACGCTCAAGTGGGGGGTTGTAATTGTAATCGTAATTCGTAGTAGGGAGTGATATTTCAAAGTTCCCCAACATGTAGCCGTGACGTTTGCCAAAGCAAGATGTACGTACGGTGTTGCTGAACCGCGCAAAGAGCCACCAACGCCATGCTTGTAACCGTGTCCCAGAGAAGTCAAAAGGTTCGAAAACGCCAGTGTGAGCAAAGTAGACTGTACATCAGACAATCCACCGAAAAGTGTGATGAGAAGAGAAGTACGTTTGAAAACGGAATCGTCGCCTCACTTGAACAGGACGTCGATGGAGTCCATGTCCTCAATGTCTGTATCCGCGACCGTGACCAGGGGCGAAAGACGTTCGCCGTCAAATGTCAAGGTAATGGCTTGCGACTTGTCAAGTTTCAGACCCTGCTTGTAGGCGTTTGCGAGATGACCAAAATCGGTGTCCTGCTGTCGTTTTAGTAAACAACTCTATATGTAAAGTGACTGAATTTTCCACGACACAACCATGATAGTTGACTGTGGTGACAGAAAAGAAAACTCACCGGATTGACTTGAATTTTAAAGTCTGCTCTGCCTCTGGCCTTCAATGTCAGTCGATATTTTATTACCTTCGGGGCAGGCTCAGGTGTCGGCGATCTCTCTTCGACTACAGGTGGCGCTTCAGCTGCCTTCTTCTTTGCGGCAGCGTCCGCAGCTTCGTCCTTCTTGTGTTGCTTGAAGAGTTCTTCAGTCCACGCTTCAACAGCGACTTTCGGTAAAGGCTTCTCGTCGCCGTAGATATTCGAGTCGCCGTCAATGAAAGCGTTCCCGATTGCATCTACTTTTATCCCCAACCTCCTTATGGTAGTACTGTCGTACATGCGCTGTCCCTTCCACGTGAAGAACACGCTCTTTGTCACTTCTGGCGAGAAGCCTTGTCTGCCGCACCATGCTAGCCGTGGCTTTTCAATCGTACTGTCTATCCTTACTTTGACCATCAACGGGTTTGCACCTTCCATCATGGGTTGTATGAATAGCTGTGCAACAGCAACTTTGACCGAGTCGTCATTCGATGTTGGCGTGGCGGCAGCTTGTGCGCTGTCTGCTGCTCGTTGTCGCGCCTTGGCTACAAGTGCGGCTAACACAGGGTCCATGACTTCCTCAGGTTCGTCATCATTCACAGGTGCAGGTTTGGAGGGACGAAGTACCACGTCACGTTTGCGGTCCTCGTTGAACGATGTAGAGTTGCCGAAACTTGCGTTGTCATTGAAAGACTTGGAGTTGTAGCCTGAATCGTCGTCTTCGTCGAGTTCGTCACCTGAGTCGACTAAGTCGACAATGATGGTACTCTTCTGCGGTAATGCGTCTTGTGTGATGGCGGACTTGGCGAGACTCTCATAGCGCGCGGTGAGGGAGTCTGACGGAAGTGCTGAGGGTCCGGGAGAGAGCGAAGTTCTGCTGAGTCTATATACGAATTAGCTGATGTAGCTGTCAGTGCTAAGATGATATATGTACGCTTTGCTGCCTGCCCTTCTTGCCCGCGTAGAACTGCGAGACGCGCTTTCAGATAATGACGGCGCATCATGCTCAGTCGTTACCTTTCTCCGCTTTTTCTCGCGCTGCTCTTGCAACTTGCGCTTCTTCTCGTCTTCAGCCTTTTTCTTCTTCTCATCCTCCCTCTTGGTCTGCTCAGCGACAATATCCGTAAATTCGTTGGCGTGACTGAACATGTCGTCCCCCTCTTTCTTCTCTGCGTCCATCCATGCTGCTCGCTTGAAGAAGGAGCGCTTCTTTGGCGCTGGGGCGTCGGCTGTAGGGCCTGTCATTGCGATTCCATAGGCGTGGGGTCGTGTGCTGGGCAATACGTCAAGGTGGAGCGATAGAGCGAGACCGCTGCTCGGCTGGAGTGGGGCTCTTGCAGCTTGACGCGCGATCACGTTTTTCGCGACTGTCAGATGTGGCCCGTGCCCGCCTAGATCGGTCTCCACTGCAGGCTCACCGACGACAGCCTGAGCTTGACACAACGCCAGTAATCGAATCAAGAAGACATCTCACTTGGCCCCCAAACTAAGAGTCCGTAAGAACCATGGCATGTGTTTTCTTGCAGAAGCTGATTCATTGTTTAGAAAACTTCTTCTCACACACAACCCCACAAACATGTCCACCAACGGCGATAGTCCGCCAGCCGAGGCGCAGGGTGACTCGAGAGACCCCAGTGGCTTTCTGAGCGAGATCATCGGCGCTCCTGTGACGGTCAAGCTGAACTCTGGCATCATCTACAAGGGTAGGTGAACACGTGCACACTAATCTTTCTCCAGCGTTATCCAGATCCTCATTTTCTCTACCCAGCAATTTCCCCTAGCTCTTCGTAGTCACCGCTTCATCAATTTGTCTATATCTAGAGCCATGGACTCCAGGGTCACCGACGAACCAGCGCTAACGCAATTCCAGGCGACCTTCAATCAGTCGACGGTTACATGAACATTGCGCTTGAACGATGCAGGGAAGTTTCTGATGGTCAAGTAACTCGCAATTGGGGAGATGCATTTGTTCGAGGCAACAACGGTACGCTACTTCACGCCCTTCTAATATACCCCTCATCCTGACTCTGTATACAGTCACCTATATTTGCGCAGACAACGCGTGATCTTATTGACTACTGGGACGCAGTTCAGTCAGCGCTGATATGAATTTCGCATTTGGGTAACGAGTTGATGAAAACAACATATTCAATTCTACAAAAAGTTTCAATAGTGGCTTGTTTGAGTGTAATTGCTCTTCTGGCGTATGATCACGCCCAAACAAAGTTCTATCTCCTTACTTATATCACTGCCCGCACTTGCAACACTCCGTCTATTGTCTTCCTCATTATATAGACGATACCAAAACTTCGATCCACAACACCTACACATCAAAGGTGAATCAGTGTGGCCTTCCTTCTCTCACGGCACTCTACTACATAGCGTCAGTCCTCGCTTTCCAGAGTTGTTCACGCCTTTCATAGCCCACATGAACCTTTCACTTGAAGCATTTTCTGTTCAAGGCCACATTCCCTAGGTTTCACTATGTCGATCCCACAGTCCACCAGATCAGGATCTCCACATTGGCCAATTCACCCGTACGTGTCTCCCCGGCGAACCCAAGTTGATTGACATATCTCTACTCTCCTAGTTGTTGGTTCACAGTTTTCTTCTCACCCACAACTTCCACCATTCGCCCAGCACACCAAGCTCGCGCCTCTTCTGTGCTTCCCTCATTTCAGTCCTCTGCGATACGCCTATATCACGCGCAACGCCATTTCTTTGCCAGTCATATCTCAATGCTTACTACCACAACCACAGGCGTTGAAACTTCTTGTTGGGTAGTGCGAGGTTTTACCACCCTCGGAAAAGTGATCATGGCTCCACCTCAATCTCGAATCTATCTGCTCGGCCGCAACAAAAAAGACAATAAAGCGGCCAGGAAGGAAGAAGGAGCAAAGGGGAAGAAAACAAGTGCGACGGTAAACCACGCAAGCAACTTGAAGAAAGGTATGGTTGCATTTGAATATGATTATCCATACATCGAGCGCTCACTTCAACTAAGCAGTTCCAGCTTCAGGATCCAGGCATTATGAGGCCTACTACGAGGACGTCGAAGACGAAGACAACACCACTCAAGAAACGCCGTTGTTCTCCAGGAAGCGCGTCCCATCTGTGGAAGAAATCTGTAACTCGGTGAGGAGTGCGCTCCATGCCGAGATTGTAGCTGCGGATGAGAACGACAGCCTATCAAGCGGCGACGACACCGAGTCAAGTGGAAATCAAAGCGAGCCAGACAGCTACACTAACGAGTCTCCGAGTGCGTCTCTCTTGATACAGGCACCGCTCTACGTACCAAAACGCGACCGACTCGAAGCAGTGCCGCATACCCACCGACGGGCAAATGCAGCCCCTCGGAGCCATTCAGATTCCGACGACTCGTTCCTGCAGAGGATTGTTACTCTCTTCGCTGGACGCAAGGTTTCTACAAAAGCAGCGAGCATCAAGAAGTGCAACATCCCTTCCCCGATCGCTCAGTCTCCCGCTCCTGAACAAAATGAGCAAACCCCATATGCTACACCTGAGCAAACACGCACACCTCCTCCCATACCAAGACTCACCCACTCTCAAGCTATCCCCGCCGTCTGCTCCCCCGAAGTCGAGCACCTCTCTCTGTATCCAGACTACACCGAGATCCTGCCAGCGCCAGAACACCCAACCACAGGCTACGCCGTAATAACGGACGACATCTTCATCCCTACAGTTGTCCAGCGCGGTTTCAAAGTCCCCAAGACTTCGCCGCTCGAGCCTCGACGCAAGAACTCGGCAGCCGATCTGCTGGATCGGGATGGCGACGTGTGGGCGCAGTGGTCCTCGAAGAGCTCCAGCCCCGAGACGATGCCATTCGCAAGAATGCAGTCAAGTGGCAGGTGGCCGGACAGCCGGAGTACGTCGACTAGTGAGGCGAGTCGAGTTGATGACGAAGAGCAGGCGAGAAGATATAACGAGAATGCAAATCACGATTTCGACGCGGATATTGGGTACAACTATCCCTTTGCTCAGGGTCGGTGCTGGTAGGGGGGGACGCAACCCGATGGACGTCATTTCTTCGTTGCTTGGAATTCTTTGCTGTACTGCCATCTCAAAGGGCCCACGTATCATCGCCCAACAAAACTGTTGAGTTGTACGCCGAGAATGCAAGGACCCAGTCCCAACAAGGGGATGTATTTGTAGACAGTGTTGTGCGCTGGGGCGTGTGTAGCACTAGAAGGCGTTTTATACCCATTTGATCTTATTTTTGATTTTACATTGCATTGTCAGGCGTTTTGTTCCTGATTCATCATCTCTTATGTCTTCCTGTTGTCTTAGCAAAATGTCTTTGATATGTATTTGCAGAAGTAAGCTGGAAGACTGCCGAGGTTTGACAAGTTTCCTGGCCCAAAGCGTTGATGGGGATGTGAAGGATGGGGAGTTATATATAACATATTTGAGCGTACCGTGAGGGCTTTAGTGAGAAGCGCGTGCGCGAGCTATGTGTATCTTTATCCCGTTGGTGATTCATGGATTGCGCATTGGCGACAAGAATGCGTGAAGTGTAATGCTCGGGGTGAATGGGATAGTTGTAAGTGATACTGCATGGCTTTGCACATACGACTGATACGCCGATCTCACAGCAATTGTTGACCATCTCATCTGCTCGGAGAGTTCAAGAAGAAGCACGACAACAAAACAACAGGATGCAAATACACAAGGTTCAATTCATACAAAAGGGATCCAGCCCAACGTCAAAGTATTAGCGCAGCAAGTAAATCCGATCTGATCGGACCAGCCCCTAAGAAACCGAACAAAGCGCGCGACAAACCGAAAACGCAGAGTACAGAGACAAGTGCAGCCGTTACAATACGCATACAAGAGGCCAAGGAGAATAGACAAGAAGGAAGAAGGAACATGAAGAAACCAAAATTCCACCACATCAAGACATAACTAACATACAACATGTTGAAAACAGACACAGAGCACCCCCTCACCCATGGGGTATCAAAGACATACAGTGAAGAAGCAAGGCATCATCCTCATCCGCCACCCGCGGTTTCATCGTTCATATCGCATCTACACGATGCATGTCCTGGCTCGACGTCGGCGACTGGTCAGAGCAACTCCAGCTCCGCATGCGAACGAGGAAATCGAAATCCTCGTCTAGTCACGAGGTCTCAGGCGGAGCAAAGAAGAGCACGACCTCGCCCCTCTCGTTCTTCCTCAGGCGGATGTTCTTCCAGAGCTCCTTCTCTTCTTCGGGCTTGGTCGGCTCGCTGTTCAGGTGCTCGTGGCATTCGCGGTGGTAGCGCTTCAGTGCTTTGTTGATGCTCATGCCACGCTCCGAATCTGGGCCTTTGGTGATGAAGGATAGGAATAGCTCGGCACGCGGGTCTGTCATAACAGGGGTAAGGGCTCCATTGGGGCGGACAATGAGCTGGCCCTTGTCGTCTGGAGCTGGGGAACTAGAGGCAGATCTCGGGTACTCGATAGCTTTGCGCTCTTGCGGTGCTGGTGAAACAGATGACGAGTACTGGCGACGACGCACGCGGCGAACTTCCTCCTTACTGGAGTCGTCACGCTTCTTCTTGGACCTGATCTTCACCAGGGTCGTGCTAGACTTGTGCTCTTTACGGTCACGTTCACGTTCACGGCCCCTGTCCTTCTCCTTCTTGTCTTTCTTCTCACGTGTTTTCTCTTCCTTGGTGTCGGCCTTGGTGTCGACTTTGCGCACCTTCTGCTGCTGTGCCTCCCACTCCTTTTGTGCGCGCATAAGCGCTTTCGAATTTCCTTGTTTGACGCGCTTCATGGGACTTAGCGGAGAGTTGGCATAGTCTCCTGAGTCTTCGGGCGACGGTAGGAACTCGGGTTGAGCAAGCAGCTTGCTGAGTCCACCAGTGAGACCCGAGTGGAGCTCGGCAGGGATGTCGGCCATCATAACATCCCTCTCCTGTTGGGCACGGACTAGTGCCATGTCGATCTGAGAAGGAGAGCTGCGCTTACGCTTCCGATCCGACTTCTTAGTCGATGTCTCGACGTCCTTGGACTTGGACTTAGATTGCTTGGATTTGGGAGCCGGAGTCGCGTAGGAGTCGTAACGCTCGTTGGATGGACGAACTGCTTCTTCCCCATATGCAAACCCATTCTTAACAAAGTCTTGGTTATCAGACACTTGGAACTTCAAGACATCTGCACCCATGTTTCTTGCCTCGTTTCCATAAGTGGGGGGCTGACTGTCCTCGATCATGCGCGACTTCTCCACGGGCAATGGTGTTCTCGAAGCACGAGGAGTTTTGGAGAGATCAAGGAAGTCAAAGACATTTACGTCCGGGAGTGCGGCTCGTGCATTGTATCCCAGAGAATGCGGCGCGGGTGGTGGGGTAGGTGCGCGAGGAGGGGCATCGACAACGGCGATGGCATTGTAGGCTTCGGACGCATCTTCGACGTATGCGTTTCGAGGAGTAAGGTCTTGCAAGTATTGTTGTTGGTTGTTTTGTTGTTGTTGGCCCTTTGGCTTCTTCTCTTTGTAGAGCTTGCCCTGGTACTTCTGGTCTTCGGTGATGCAGGCCTAGATGCCATGGTCAGCTAGGGTCGCATAGGGTGGATCCAGAATTTTTCTGATGCGCGATAACGGCGCAAACAAGTCGCAAAGCCTGCATCGTTGTTGAAAGAAGAGGGAATGGTCGCAATAAGTCGCTCATAACAACAGAAGACATACCGTGTGGGACTTGTAGCTCATTCCTGGGAAGTGCACCATGCAGTCCAAGCAAGTGTACGATGCGCCATAGCATTGGTTACGGTGCCCGTCCAACTTCTTCTTGGTGAGGACATCCCCACAGTTCTAGCAGTCGACAGTAAGCTTCCAATAGAGACACAGGGGAGTGAGGGGCTGTGTCGCGTCATGCCCAGCTGGCGCGCAGCGTACGAGGGGCATAAACAAAGAAGATTGATAGGAACTTACTTCACAGGAAAAGCTGACCATGTTTGAGCCTAGCGAAAGTTCACCGAAAGATGGAAAAGAGTCGGTGAAGCCCAACGGCAGAGGGTGGTTCTTCTACTGTTATCCGTCGACCCCTCGTTGTGGTTTCAAGTTCTGCTGGTCGAGGGAATCGAATCGCAGGCGCATGGACAACAAAGTTCAATTGGCGCTAGAAGCTAGCCTACCACATCTTCCATGTCTCACCCCCTTGCACTTGTGCCGCCCACATGCAGCTGCGCGCTGCCATCCCCGAAATAAATCACGCGACGGACCCATCAAAGCAGACTACAGGCTGCAGTCGCAAGCCACAGGTCCACGCGACGTCACAGAACTGGTGGGTGTTGGAGATCTCCAGTTCAGCACCCCAGACTTCAAGCCGTATGTGGTGTGACGCGTCTCTCTGCCACCCAGTTAGGACGAGGGCGCCTTGTCGCAGATGGAGAGGCGCTGGATTATCCACCTGGAACATGGGCTTGGCACTGTATCAAGAATACGCCTGTTACATGTTTCGCGCGCGTCTTGCTCCAGGGCTGTTCCTGTAGACGGCATGACCCCGCGAAGCCGCTATTTGCTACCTACTCTAACACACTCTCAAGTCCGGATCTAGCCTTCGCTTCGACAACCATCACCATGGTCCTATTTGAGACATTCGTCTCTTTGAACCCCGGCTGACATGAACATGTCGGGATCAGCTAGGAGCACCGGACATGGCTAATTCTTCCTTGTCTCAAATGGTGTGTTCCCTTTCGTCAGCCGCGGCGTCGATGTCCGTATTGTTGGTATGTTGTCATGGCGTCTCCTGCGCAGCACACGAGTACCGCGTTTATCAGGAATTCTGCACATTCAACATGTCGTCCAATTTGACAAGATGTCGTACCAACCGCGCCTCCAAACCTGGGGCGCATGTCGTAGTGCCTGTCGAGAACATCTCCACCAGCATGTGTTGATGTGCACCTCCATATGATGATGGCATCGCGTGCTTATCGCCCTCCGTTATTCTTTGATTCCGTCTGCACATCATGAATCATGCAGCTTCCTTGTGATCTGATCCTTCCGGCTTCTCGTCTCCGCATCCGCAGTCGTATGCATCACCGATCTCCTCGCAGTTGAACTCGGGCTTCTTCAGTCTCTTGTTGACGATGTTGTGGACAAAGCAGCCCCACATCGCTGCTGCCGATCGTGACGACACCTGGGGAGGATATTTACTAAGGACTTGACCAAAGTGCTCAGCACAATCTCCGCTGTGAAGGTGGTCAGCTTGCGCATGGCTTCAGCTGTAGCAACGCCACGTGGCGTTGCACCTACCAAGGGTACAATCGCTGAAACAGGTGCACATATGACCGCAGGGCTTCCTGTTCTTCTGCTGTGGGCTTCTCGGGGAAGCGACCAAACGTCGTGTGGAGGACTTTCCAGGCCGCGCGTCCAAGCTCAGCTCTGTAGATATCCAAGTCAGCGAGGCTCTTGTGCTCTTGCGATCATACGGATCGTAGATTCGGTCTTGGACTTGAGAGCGCATACTTTGCCGTCGCGTTACTAAGCTTGGGCGCAATCGCATGACCTGTGAGTATAGCCCCACCAGCGGGGCTTTTCTCCTGTTGATCTGCCTGCCCTAATGGCGACGTGTAGCCTGGATGTACATTGTAGGGTCCAAGGAGAAAGAACGAAGAGATGGCGAATACGAGCAGAGCGAGGATAACGAAACGGCCTTTGCCGCTGGGAATGTGAATCATGTTTACGTGGGTTACACAAGGGAGGAACAGAAGGAAATCACAACGAGACAAAACACTGGACGTGGTCGGGTCGCCTTGTACCTGGGCAAAAGTTTGGCAGACGTGTCAGGGCGATTACATGCCCGACGGCGCCAAGCCGAGCGTTGTTTACGAGTTGCCGTTTTTAGCATTTTTCTACTTTCGACTGTGACGCCATCATGGCGAGACTTTAAGAAAAGCAAAAGAGGATCGTATAGAGTGTGCAGTCTCGCAACAGCAGTCTCGAGGCTTTTTGGTATATTGCAAACGGTTGCTAAAGGATAGTGCCGGATCCTTGGGACCGATATCGCAGCTAGGTCTCAGCTGCGCGATGGCTTGCTGGACGTCAAAGATCCACAAAATTAAAGACGTCGCCGTTCGAAATTGTTCTCACATCAACACACAACACAAACCCGCAAAAGCACAATGACTGACTTCCCGCCCCCACCCGTAAACACCATTGGTGCGTCAATTGTGCAAGAACCTTTATGAATTTTGGTATCACGAAAACAGCGAAACTAACAGCGAGACAGACTGGAGCAATGTTGGATTCAAAATCCGCGAAGGTGAGATTTAAACTCTGATTTGTTGTTCGTCTTTTCCGATGTGTCCGAGAAATTTTTAAGAGCAGTGGCATTCATCAATGGAAAAGCTTGGGATGAGTCACGAAGTAGACATCAGAGGCTTGCAAACTCATCCTTGATCTTCCGTGGTTTCAGTCCAAATTTCTTGCAATATCAGACTTGTTCTGACTCTTGAACAGTTGCCGGCCATGTTGAATCAACTTACTCCAAGCAAACTGGGAAATGGACAGACCCGGTGTTTGTTGAAGACCCGTTCCTCCGCATCCACGGCATGGCGCCAGGTCTGAACTATGGCATGCAGTGCTACGAGGGCATGAAAGCTTTCCGCGCACCAAACGACACCATCAACATCTTCAGGCCAAACAAGAATGCCGAGCGAATGCAGCATTCTGCCTCTTACATCTCTATTCCCGAGGTTCCCACAGACCACTTCATCGCCTGCTGCAGCTTGGCTGTAGGCATGAATGCAGCATATGTTCCTCCTCACGAGACAGGAGCAGCGATGTACATCCGCCCTCTGCTATTCGGAAGCTCGGCGCAGCTAGGACTGAACCCACCTGAGGAGTACACCTTTGTGGTCTACTGCATTCCAACTGGTGTCTACCATGGAACAAAGCCCGTTGACGCTCTAATCCTCGAGGACTTTGATCGTGCGGCGCCAGAAGGTACTGGGTCAGCCAAAGTTGGTGGCAACTATGCTCCCGTGCTACGTCACAGTGAGAAGGCGTACAAGGCAGGCTTTGGTATCACACTTCACTTGGACAGCAAGACCCGAAGTGTTGTTGATGAGTTCTCGACATCAGCGTTCATTGGCGTGAAGAAGGACGGCGACAAGGTGAAGCTCGTCTCTTCCAGCAGCAAGAACGTCATTCAAAGTGTCACCGGGGACAGTGTCCTGAAGATCGCAGAGTCCTTTGGCTGGGAGACCGAGTCACGAGAGGCACGTTTGATTCCCATGCCTATCTTTTTGCTATGCTAACTCGTCATAGATTGCCTATGAGGAGATTAAGCACTTCGACGAGGTGTTGGCCGCCGGTACCGCAGCAGCCCTTGTCCCGATCAAGTCCATTACCATGGGCTCGAAGGATGACAAGTTCACATACCCTGCCGCTTCGGAGGAGGCTGGACCCATCTGCGTCAAGCTGCTCACCACTCTGAAGGGTCTCCAGCAAGGCAAAATCGAGGACAAGCAGGGTTGGCTACTTAAGGTGGAGAAGCCAGAGCAGTGGGGAAAGAATGAGACGAATGGTGCAAAGACTGTTGGTCAACTTCCATAAATTGGGTCATGAGATATGAGAAGACGGATACAACACGATTCAAAAGTGAACCAGGCGACATAGACAAAAGCCAACGAGCATATCACAATGGCGTCTTTCACATACATTGTGCTCGAAGATATGCTTGCACTTCGCTAGAATAGACACGTTATTCAAAAACACATAGATTCAACAAATAAAATTCCAGTCTCAAGTAATAGTCACAGCCTCGATTTGTCAGTACAGAATTCGTGGTTTTGCAGGGATGCTCCAGGATTCAATGACAGCATCGCGTCGGCGACTTAAAACATACTGAACTGCTCCAACATTGCTTGTAGTACTGCTACTTTGCTTAAAAAAATACTTTCAGAACTACCAAGGCATGCATTGATATATCCTACGCATTGACCAATCAAACAACGCTCCTACGTCATCCCGCCGCGCGGTACCCCCCTCGACCGGGGCAGGCGCGCGCAACCCGTCGTGCAACAACGCAGACTGCATACTGATCTCGAATCCTTGACCCACCGTACGCGTCGTACAACTTCGAAAAGAGCACTCTCTACAGCGAGTAGAGAACCCTTGCATACAGCCAAGTCACACCAGCGTTCCTTTACAGCATCCCAGTCACAATGCATATCAGGCACCTGATGGAGAAGGGGAAGAGGCACCTCGGTGAAAGCTTGAGTCCGCCTCGAGGCGGTGGTGATGAGGCCTACCTTTCCTGTGAGTGTGCAAGGATGTGTAGCGAGAGTGAGCATGACTGATTTGGCTAGATTACGATGTGAGATGTGAGTACGCGCCACCATCTGCCATCTCTACGCACGCCGTGTGTTTAGGAATTGGACGACTAACAGATTGCAGTGTTTAGAGAGGATGTCAACAGTATCAAGGATGATGACTGGCTTACGGACAACGTGAGCATACACTTGGTTTTTCTCGCCATTCATCTGGCTAATCTAGCACACAGGCCATCTCATTCTGGCAAGAGTGCGTTGCACCCATACCGACTACATTTTCGCATACTGACTTGCTGCTCCAGGGTCCTCGAACGCGAAGATCTAAAAGGCTACCCAAAAGCCTCAATCGTCCTCCTCCGCCCGACCATGTCCTACCTGCTCATGCAGACCCCCGACCCCATCACCCTCAAAGAAGCCCTCCCAAATTTCAGTACAACAACACATGTCTTCCTCCCTGTCAACGACAACAGGGACGTCACGAAAGCGGAAGGCGGCTCGCACTGGACTTTACTCCTCGTATCGATAATCGACGGCGTAGCATTCCACTACGATTCCATGCATGCCTCAAACGAGCGGGAAGCACGGAGCACAACCATGAAGTTGGAACAATTACTCGGGAAGAGACTACGCTTCATACCCATGCTTGACGCGCCACAACAGGAGAACGGGAGTGACTGCGGTGTATTCGTTTGCATACTGATGAAGCATCTGTTGCTCAAGAGGCTACTCCGAGCAGATGCGAGTAAGAAAATCAGCATGAGCATGAAGGATGCGCATATCAACGCTCGCGATGGGCGGAGGACGATGCTCAGGGTCATCGAGGAGAAGCGACAGGAGGGAGAGAGGAGACGATCGTAAGTACCTCGTTCCAGGCTGCTATCGCCTTGTAGAGATACGATTCACTATACGTGGATAGCTAACGATCAGTACAGACGAAGCCACTCACCGTTCCGCCCTCACTCTGCGCATTCGAGAAGCCCGCCACGCGTGGGCGAGGAGAATGCCATGTCATCACGAAAAACTTCATTGAGCTAATCACGGCCCTCTTCGAACAACCAAGACCTTTCCGCTCTCTACATAGACGTCATAAGGTAGACGACTGCAGTGATCTTACCAGGACACACGTAGTCTGTTGGCTCTACCTTGAGCCTTTCTTCCATTGGTCCTCCCCACTACACGTCTCGTATCCTTTATCCGCAGGAGTTCTACCACTGCATATCATGATGCGGAGACCATCTGGCGTACACAAGTCCAGCTTACAAGCTCCACTTTTACATCTCCGATTGCTTTCATGTTGTCACGAGTCCAAGATCTTACGGTTCATGCGCACTATATAGCATGTCATTATGATTCTTATACATACGGGTGTTGATCTGGAATAACAAAGGCAGGCGTCTTACATACACGATATGTAATGAATACATTGCATTTCTTCTCCATCGTTCGTTTTGGCTGCCGTTGACCACTAGCAATGCACGCAGATCAATCAGTTCGTGAACACGCTTTGAATTTGTCCACTGCATTGAGCGGCATCTAGTTGAACATGTCCGACCCACAAACTTAACTACCTATTCATACGGACTTCTGAACCTAAGCCAGACAATGTGAACAATGCCGTGATATCATGCCAGACCATAACGCCAGACCGTGCAGAGGTCACCCCTCTTCAAAAACGCCAAGGTATGCATTTCCATCTTCATCTCCGCGCATAACACAATCAATCCACTCTCGCCCAATTTTCACTCCACACACCTACAGAAACACGCGCATCACATGACGGTCTTCTAGAACTGATTCTGCTCGCGCGCGTTCCTCTCAGCCTCGCCCTCGCTGACAATCTTCTTGCCCAGCCACTCGGTCGTGAAGCTGCCCTTCAGGACCTCGAGATCCTTGACGACATCGTGGCAGCACTTGATGATGGCCTCCTTGGGCGTGCAAGTTCCATCGGTTTGGACGCGCAGCTCGAAGGTCGCGAAGAGCGGGTGCGGGACTTTGTAAGCGGCGAAGACGATGTAATCGTATTTGAGGAGGCGCTGGGAGATGAGGTTGCCGAGCGTGTGATCCTCCTTGTTGAAGGTGAAGATGCCGGTGTTGGGGACGCCTGGCGCGTGGGTTAGTAGGGTGTGTGGAGGTCGGTGTGGGTGAAGACGTACGGGTTTCTTCCTTGTACTCTACTTTCTGCTGGCCATCGTCTAGCAGGAAGAGCTCGAATCTGTTTTCGGCGTCTCGGTTAGTCTTGGACGTAATATGATGGGTGGCCCTTTGGTTGTCGCGCAAGTCGCAGTTGTTGTTGTGTTCGATGAGTTATCCAGTCTTGGGTGAGAAGGCCATAGTTGCGGGGCCGCGGTGGAGGAACAAGTCGCGTCTTCACCATAGGGATAGATTTGCGCAACATACGGGCACGTGGCGTTATCGTTTTGCTTGACCATGGTGGACGGCTGGACCTCGAGTCCTCGGTGGATGGAGCTTGCTGAATGCGACCAGGTCCCGGGAGATGGGAATAGAAGAACTGGAGAGGATCTTACCTGTCAGGTGCGTTCATGGTGTCTCTACCTCGTTCCTTCTATGCAATCTCGAGTAGAGCAATGAACCTTCCCTAGGCGCGGCGCGATCGCGTTGGAGGTAAGAATAGTCGAATAAGAATGGAAGTAACGGTGTCGTAACTGAAATCAGGTGTCGAGGGAGGCGCGTAGAGTCGAACAGGGAAGTGCGCACAGCGAGGGTAGGAACAAGGTGCTGCTGTTGGGAATGTTCGACGGAGGCAGAAAGGACCGGAGGTGAGCTCGAGGTCCGCACTCGAGCGTTCCTGATTAGTAAGCGTACCATATCTTTCACGTCGTCCCGCCTTTCTTATTGGACAGTACAGTGATTTCTTTCAGTGTGAGCTTTCCATGCGTTGATCAGGATTCCCGTCTTAGTTTTCCAGATTTCACGTAGTTATCATCTCCCATCCATCAACCCAACCATCGGTTCGATATACAATTCGTAAACCCCCCCAAATCCCAAGCAAAACCAGCCCCAAAACTCCTCAAAGCCCTTTCAAAGTGACACCCCCAAGCTAAATTCCATGCAACGCTCCCATTCCAGCAATTAAACCTCAATCTCGACCTCGACCTTGATCTTCATTCGTTCCACGTATAGAGCATGCTCTTCCAGCTTTCCATCAATGACTTTGACCCAATATAGGGACAGGCAGCCATGCGTGTCAAACCCCCAACCTAGTTCATTGTGCCGGACGGAGTGTAGATGAACAAACTCCGGGTTCGCGAGCCCATCCTGAGTCGGGAGCTCAACGTATGTTGGCTTCTGACGACACACTGACGGCTTCGTGGCCATGGCTTCCAAAATGTCCATATTCGCAAGGCTAGGCGAGCTAGAATTGCGCGCCCAAGCTGGCGTCTGACTTTCAAAACTGGTCATCGAGGACCGAACACATCGTCCGCGCGTAGTGAGGTAGGTGTGTTTAACATTGGGAGCATTGTCCGCTCGAAAGTTCTCCATCATCGCTTCTAAGGCGTCTTTGTGGGCGTGCTCGACGGTCTGGCGAAGTTTTGCTGGGAAGATCGCGAATTTCTGGTGCATCTTCACGGATATCTGGAAAGAAGCGTCGTCTTTGTGGTTCTCAGTCTCTTCGTCCAATACAATTGGTGCCGCCTTCGCCACACGCTTCGGCGTGGGAGCTGTCAAAGCAGCGGGAGCAGGTCTCTTCGACATGCTATACGGCGTAGTGATTAGCGATGGAGCTTAAGCAGCTGCTATGTACTTACTTGGGTAGGCCTCTTACAGTGTTGTATTTAGAGTGTTTTGTTTAGCGCGCTGTTGCTCAAAAGCGTAGATGTTGGTTATGTTGAGAGTTGTGAGTGGTGTAGTTGATCAGTCGATGGAGGTGGTGTATCAGAATGGCATCGCTATGTATAGCCACATCGACAATAGATGTGTTAGGAACACTGCTCTGAAGGTTAAGATTCCGTGATCAAAGACGCAAGAAGCAAGTAAGTGGTATATCACCTTGAAAAGGAAGCGCGAAACAGCAGAGAGTGAAGGCATAAGACCTATAATATGCGTAACTTTACAACTTCGCCTTTGCGGCGCCCTCCTCTTCCGCTTGTGCCTTCACCCTCAGCAGCCGTCGCAAGATCTTGCCAGATATACTCTTAGGTATCTCATCGACAAATCTCACTCCACCCCGCAGCTTCTTGTGAGGTGCTACCTTGGCGTTCAACCACGCTACAATTTCCTTCGCCTCTGCTTCCCCCTTCCCTAGACCATCCTTGGGCACTATGTACGCTCTTGGAATCTCGGTCGCTTGGTCCTTGTCATACACTCCGATAACCGCCACATCGCTAACGTGCGGATGTGCAACAAGATATCCTTCAAGTTCAGCTGGAGGGACCTGGAAGCCCTTGTACTTGATGAGCTCCTTGGCACGGTCGGTGATGTAGAAATTGCCTTTCTTATCTTGGTAGCCAACATCGCCGGTCTTGAAATATCCATCTGCTGTGAGTGCGTTCGCGGTGCCCTCTGGGTTATTAAGGTAGCCTTTGAAGATGTTCGGCCCTTTGATCCAAAGCTCTCCTACTTCGCCTACAGCCACTTCCTTGTCGTCCTCCGACATATACTTTGCAGTTTGGTAAGCCAGAAGTTTTCCCACGGAGCCGATGGAGTTGTGCCAATCCTCCCATGACTGGGTGTGAGTTGTAGGGCTCGTCTCAGAGAGACCATACCCCTGTTTGACCGGTAGACCTAGTCTTTTATGCACTGTTTCCACGAGCTCCCGGGTCAAGGGGGCGGCTCCACTGTTCATCATACGAATCGAGCTGAGATCGTATTTGGCGACTGCAGGATGTTTGCCAAGAAGTAGGACGACGGGTGGGACAACATAAGCGAAGGTGATCTTGTAATCCTGGATGAATCTGCAAAATTCTTCGAGGTCAAACTTGGCCATGACGACGAGCTGAATGCCTATGTACAGGCTTTGGTGTATCAGACAGGTAAGGCCTACAAACCGTTAGTCTTTGAGGGCTTGCGATTTGATAGAGCAGCGAAGCTGGCGAGTTTTACCATAGATATGGAAGAAAGGCAAGAAAGCCAACACCTTGTCCCCTGAACCATCCGCTCCGCTACTGCTGGAGAGGTTACCCGCCTCGCTAGCCTTGTTCATCATCACATTGGAAATGATATTCCGGTGAGTGAGCATCACACCCTTAGGGTGACCCGTCGTCCCTATAACCGGTTAGTTCTCCTATCATATAAGACATCGAGTTGAGGGACAGATAGTGAAATCGCTCATCATACCTGACGAATACACCAAAAAGGCCAGATCTTCCTCTGGCTTCATCTTTGTACGGCGATAGTTTGATGATCTAGATAGGTTGACGACGCTTGTGAAGTGCTTGACGACGTGTTTTGGATCCCTCTGGTCGCCCATGATCACCACTCTATCCATGGGTATACCAACTCTCTTCGCCGCCTCCCGTGCATTTTCGATGAATGGCAGCTGTGTGACCAGTCCCTTGGCACCGGAATCTTTGAGCTGGAAAGCTGCACCTTGTCAGTATATTCCTGAGGTAGCTATGAAACTACGCACCGAGCTCATCCACAGTATAGTTTGGATTGGCTGGGCTGACGATTCCTCCCGCCCAAAGACAGCCCCATGTGATGGCAGGTGTGTCTATGCAGTTTGGTGTATATAGTCCGAGAACATCGCCTTTCTTCCACTCCCAAAGACCTTTGAGACCGGTCCCAAACTTGATGGCTGTGGCTTTAACTTCGGCGTAGGTGTAGGAACGTTTGGTGTATGGGTCCAGATAGATTACTATGACCTTTTGTTAGATACGTTTCTAGGTATCCATACTAGGTACAGCAACAGTTTGTTATGGCTGATGAAGACTTACCTTTATCATCGGAATATGTCCTGTCTTTGTTCTCGAAAAGAAAACTCCAGAGGTCTACGTTGGGGATTGGCACGTTGGGAAACGTTGAATCGGTAGGCATGTCGGCTCTCTAGGCTAGAAACAGAGCTAGGTTGAGTTATTGTGTCTGTCGGTGATTTCGATGATTCCAAAGTAGAACGTGATACAGGCTTCTTGACCCGAATGAACTTAGACGCGTGAATGTCGTTGGAGACGTTTGTGAATGTTGTCAACGCAGGAACGGAGGAAGACGATAAGCTTTGTGGGGCTCTGTGATCCTCCGAAATGCCATAACCGGCTATCGGAGGTGCTTTCGTGTAATGATTATGCCGAAATGCTCGTCTACCCCAGGTTTTAGTGGAGTCGCCGAGGCACTTCCCTGTTTTGGCATCTAGCGTACTGGTTATCCGAGGTTCCGGTTCTACAACGTGCATCACCAACGGTGTAAACAACTAGTCTGTGACTAGTTTGGCAAGTTGCTTTTAGTAATATCTCAAGGTTCCGCTCGTTCGCATCAGGAGGATCGTCTGTACATAGACTCAGCATCACCCTCAAGGTTTGAATCAGCCCACGATGCCTGGATGGGAGGAAGCCACCGCTGTACAGCAACTTTCCAGAAACACATATTCGTGCGTATTACACGACGAGTGGTGTATCGGTAGCGGTAAGTCTGACGCATAACACGCAGCACTATCCCATGCTAGTCCGCTAAAACCTGTCAGTTCCTAACGGCGGTTACGTTACCGGGTGTGTACTTGAGGTCGTGAAGACGCATTTCAGCACCTCCTTAGCAAAGCAGAACCAGCCCCACACGATAGCCCTGCATATCGAGTTTTTGCGACGGACTCAGACTGGCCCTGCGACGTTCAAAGTAGATGATGTTAAGCTCGGCCGACAAACCTCGATTGTGCATGTGAGCATGGAGCAGGATGGTCGCCAAGAGGTTATTGCCTATGCGACCAATTCGAACATCGACGCCGAGGAGGGCTTCTGTTTTGATACACAGTATAGGCTAACACCACCGCCTCCTTCAATCGACCTGGCCAAGTTGGAACAGGATGCAGACCCAAATTGGAAGAGACAAGCGGAGATGCCCTTTGCGAAGTTCAGGAAGGCAACCCAGAGGATCAACTTCCACTTCCCTCGGAACGGACAAGCACACCTGAGCCTTGCTGATGAATGGATCTGCTGGTCCGATGGAACAAATTTTACGAACACATCAGTCGGTTTCGTAGCAGACATGTTTCCTCAGATTATCGAGTCGTTTCGTGATCAGAGTCAGGGTCCGTTCTGGTATCCGACACTACTTTTAAACCTGGACGTCAAGAAGTCGCTTCCGCCTGAGGGAGTGAAGTGGTTGCAAATCAGGGTCGAGATGAAGAGGATCATAAACGGGAGGATGGACCTGGAGGTGTTTGTGCACGACGCTGAAGGAGATCTGGTGGCCCTGAGCCACCACGTTGGATTCGTAGTGAACGCATCGAGAAACACAGCTGTGAGGAGGAAGCCAGATGCCAAGATATAGAGATTAGAATAAACTACATTGATTTACGGTATTGATGACGAGTTCGCGTTGTCTAACGCAGCCCATGTGCGGCCGTTCGGATCGATCTCAACATAAGGCTTTACGATACTGACCGAGCACCGCGCGACTACAAGAGATCACTCATGACAAGCTAACCTCTCAATGAACACAAAAAAGCGAAATCGATTTTGCGTTGCATCTGCAGTGCACCAACCACAATGTTCGTCACGTGGGGCTGCTGACGGCTAGCGCGCTTGGCAACGCACCTCGCCTGGAGCCGAGAAATCAATATTGGGTTTCTCTCTGCGAACTTCTACCATCGACAACACCACCGCCACCATGCCGAAGGAAGTCAAGCAGAAGTCTGGCCTCATCGTCGGCATCAACGCCGGCCACAGTACGTTCATCCGCCCGCCGCTCATCGACGACCGCGACCCGATGCAGAGGAGATGAGGAGACAGCAATTGGATGCTAACTCCATGAACAGAGGTCACTCCTAGGACTCCGGCCGCCAGGATCTCGAGGAGGAAGGGTTTCCTTTCCAAGCGTACTGCTTTCGTCAGGGAGATCACCCGCGAGGTCGCCGGGTACGTTTTTCCCTCACATCTTTAGGGCGGAGAGGATTTTGAATTGCGCAATCGCTGCCAGCCCTGCTGCCCTCTCTGCACTCGAATTTATCGAACAACTTTGCTAACTCTATTTGCCTGTAGTCTTGCACCATACGAGAAGCGTGTCATCGAATTGCTCAGAAACTCCAAGGACAAGCGTGCCCGTCGTCTTGCGAAGAAGAGGGTACGTCCCCCCCTGTTCAGCCTCCCGCATCGCCGATTGCCCAAGCGTGTGCGTGCACATCACAACGATCATACACTAACATTAAATAGCTCGGTACCTTCGGCCGCGCGAAGAGAAAGGTTGAGGAGATGACCACGGTCATCGCCGAGTCGAGGCGTGCGGGTCACTAAACGGTTTCATGAGCAAGGAATGGAGCAAAATGAGAGCCGGTTTTCCGATTCTTCCAGGGTGTTAGGTCTCTCTTATGGCGGATTGATACGACATTAACTTCGGAACGGCACAACATACCACAAAGGGATGACACGATTTCGGAGTATGGCAATGGACAATACGGTTCGCATACCTAGCAGTGTCACCCAAACATTATGAAATGTGAAGATCGGTTCACGCCAATCAGGTCTTGGAAATGTCTTGTGCATTGTCCTGTGTGAGCTGACGGACAGGTAGCCTGCATATGTCCCAGCCCGAAAATCCCATCGCTATCCCAATTTGCGGTATCGCTTTCTCTTAGCACGGATGTCAAATTCCAACTCCGCCTTATCCATGGCAGTAGTTGGGCCGAGAAGTGCTTACATCAACATGTGCCTTGCTTGGTACCCACCCCACGAGCTGAGCGGAGGCTCGGCTTGTAGGCGGGTAACAAGGCTGTTCATTGCTTTACTCTTGACTTTTGTGAGTCCAGTATGGAGCAGCGGCGCGGACATTCCATTTCATGATACATGATTTAGCGTTTTTCGGATCTTCAATCAAATCTACTCCATGTTGAACATAATTTCCCTCTTCTTCGATGTTGTCTTGTTTGCTACCTCAGTACAAGCCGCGAGTGATGTTATACCGCCGTAGTTTGATATCTTTTTAAATAGCTGCTCCAATACAACAAGTCCTTTGTTGGCGACAATTGAGCATGCAAGAGTGGTGGTTCTACTTCTGTACCTTGCGGTTGTGACTGAATTCCTGGCACAGCCCCCTGCCCTATAATGCAGCATGGCGCTTTCGTCTTCTTGTCTTGGGATTCCGCAGTGATCGCTGCTGCTGCAACATACTTTCGGTACTGGCCACGCCTGCTCTCCCGAGCCAAATGTTTGAGCTTCCATCACTCTGTACTTACTCACTGTTCTATCTTGATACTGCAACTGTTTTCCGTGGCACACACTGTCCTCAGTCATTCTAGACTTTCGTCAACATCTCTCGTTTCGAGTTTAGCCATATCACTACTCGCTGTCCATCACTCCAGGCCTGAGTTTAGCATTCATCGTAACAACAGTGCAGACTACACAGCTTCTCCAGGCTCTCGACAGATCTGTAGATCGCACTCCCGTTCTGACTGTCGCTATACAACCATTGTCAGCTGCAAGACTCTCCTTGGCTGTTTTGCTAGGAATTTCTCCTTCGACCAATTCCGAAAACATCAAGTATCATACTCCGCGATACATCAGCCATGTCAAACCACAAGGTTTCTCATAACTCAGGTATTGATACAGGCAACTTCCCTGGCCGTAGGCGCGCTGGATTCGCTGCACGCAAATACCTCAAATTGGAGCCGAGCCTCACGTTTCGACAGGTCCCACATCATCCAGAATTTCCCTTGCCTCCAGAACAACACACGGTGGAGCTCGCTCAGTTCCTCAAGGCTGTGTTGAAAGAAGCTGTGAGCGTTGACTTTGACAACGATTTCGCAGCGAAAGCACCGTGGAATGACAATGCAGTCATCATGATGCCTCTCCCCAGTGGATCAGAAAAGAGCACAACAATTCGCGTCGAGAAGAAGCTCATGAATGAGGACAAAGATCAGTGGCTCGTTCGAAGGTCAACTCATAGCGAACTCGATGTTGATTTCACCGAGTTGGATGAACTGCTCAGGGTTGAGCATAGCCGGAACGAGATGGCCTATTCTCCCAGTGTGTTTGATGCAAACATGCTTCTGACCTGGGATTCGGGGGCTTTGACGGAAGCCGCAAGTACATTCAAGGAGGAGCTGGTAGTCAGAAACGTAAAGATGGACAGTAAGCTGCACTCCCTTCTTAATGCTTCCCTGGGTGTCCGAGCATACTAGTTTCAGAGATATGGCTTTTTGATACTGGTGTCTGACAGTTTGCAGTCTTCCAGATATTTCACACTATGCATAGACTCTTCAGTGGTCTTGACCGTCAGCGAGACCGCGTTTATCATGTACTTGTCATTTCAGCCAAAGTCCCATACAACACGGAGGACCATTGGAACCGTAGCCAATCCTATATCATCCAGCTTCCTATCGACATTGCCTCCTTCAGACACATCGAGAGCATGACGAAGAGAAGCCACATGTCGAAGGGACATTACTGTTTTGACACAGATGTCAAGACGGTAGCCCTACTACCGGACAAGGTACAACTGAGCAAGGTTGGATTGGAACTTGTCGAAGGCGCCTACGTTTCTATGGAGCGGCTACGCAGGCCAACGGATCCGCAATCTTGGCACAACCAGTGGGATAAGATGATGAGAGCCGATGATAAATACTCCTCAGGTGTCAGTCGTGCTGGCACGAGATCCTTTCTCACCAGGCTCATTGGCGCGGAAGATGTGTACTGCGTTTTCCGGCACATTGCGCAGCAGAGACAGGCCGAGCTGGAAAGTACAAGACATCGCCTGGGTGGACACTAGAAGGACAACACCCTGGAAAAACAAGAGAATGACCCGGGGCCCAGTACAACTGTCAAAGGGAAGCAGCCTGCAATCTTGTGCGAGGAAACCTCCGCGTATGATCAACAACAGTCAAAATCTCAGCCAAAGCCAACGTTGATCCAGGAGCTTGAGATCCGAGAAGAGACGTTGAAGAAAGAGACGCAGCAGGACCAGCAGCAGCAGCTACCACTGGCGGGGACGCTAAGGAAAACTAAGACGTTCTTTCGTAGATCTTTGAAATCCATCAGAAGGAAGACGGGAAGTCGAGATAGCTTTGCTCTCGTCGAGTCACCAGAGAACTCTCCTAAGCCGTCCGAAGACAAGCAAAGGCAGTCTATGTCACCTCATGGAGCTTCGCACACGTCTCCGGTAGACAACCCGTTCAATGATCCGCTTGAGAACACGCGTGCAGCTCTCGAACTTGTACGGAATCCATTCGTTGATCCGCCAGAGGGATGATGGCACCAAGTTGAGGCAACCACGTTGATGAAGCGAAGTGGTGACGACTGGACATGATCGATATCCAAGGTGACGAGCTTCCCGCTTCAATGAGGGAGTAATAGATTACTGGTTGTAGCTTTTACGGAATCCATCTTTACTTGCATGATTTATTCACGGAAGCTTTTGGGTGAAGTCTAGAATTTGATAGACATGAAGCTAGGACACTTGCGGGATGATCGAGCGGGGCGCGACCTTCGTCAGGGTCCAACACTACGCTTCAGCTCTCAGCCTCGCGCAAGGCCAATACGAATGCGCCGCTGTTTCCTTTCTGCTTCTGTATCTACTCTCCAATACCATCTTCTTGCGCACGCCGTCTCTGTGTTGGCTTGTGCCCTTGCTGTGCATCTGCGTGTTGCCTCGTCAGATGTTGATGTACTATTAATACACACAGTACAGCTCAGTGCATGCTGCGGACGCGCGCGTAGAACCACCAAAGCAGTATCCTGAAAGTCAAAAGCAGGATAACAGGTCTATCGAGGAAGATTAAGAATACACAGCGATGCAGAACTATAACGCCCCACCGCCACCCCCAGGGTACCAGAGGCCGGGTAGCACAGCAAGCTTCGCTGGGCAACAACCGCCGCCTCTACCCCCACGAAGTAGGTACTCCACCAAGCTTTGTGTCACGACGCCTTGAGATCTAACACGCGAACACAGCTCCCCAAGGATACCAGTCCGTCGCCCCACCCACACACAGTCAATGGGCATCACCGATCCAGACCCAAGCCCCAAGCGCACCATGGAATCAGCCCCAACAACAGCAGACAGCTGGAGGATACAACCCAGGTACATACGGTGCTATGTCTGGGGGCTATGCGCAAGGATATCAGGTATGTGTCAAGGAGGGAACACGACCAGGGCACCAGGACTGACCACTCTACACAACAGGCGCCCTCGAATCCATATGCTCCCCAGCAACACGATATGCCTCCCCCACCGCCACCAAAGCCGCCTGGTTTCTCAGCAGCAGTTCATGAGCAACATGGCACGCAAAACTGGCCTCAGCAACCACCACAACACGATGCAGACTTTGCACCACATGTCCAACAGGGAGGATATCCCGCGCATGGGACGTCGCAACAGCCTTACAACAATGCTGGATACCCGCCTCCTTCGGCTACACCGGCAAATTCATACGGGGGATATTCGACTCCCGCACCAGGAGCGCCCTATCAACCTCCCCCGCCAGTCATGAGTCCAAATGAGCAGCATCCAGCATACATACCTCCTTCTCTGACCGGACAAGGTGTGCAAGCGTATATGCCTGCGAACGTGAATCCCATGCCGGGTATCTACGTGCCTCCTCCACCGGACGTTCCTGCATGGCAGCAAGCCCTACATGCTCCGCTTCAAGGCGTGGTGAAGAAGTTCAAGTACACGAAACCAACGGTCGATCCAAGCTTCTACACGCAGGGTTATCAAGGTGTGCCGCAGCAGCCACAACCTCAAGGCCAATATGGTCAGCAGACCGTACAACCTCAGCAAGATCCATACCGGTATGGAGGATTGACGCAAGAGCAGTTTACGCAACCTGAGCAACCGCCTCCACAACGCCCATACGACCAGTCTTATCCACCTCAGCAGCAACAGTACGGGCAGTCAGTGGAGCCACCGAACCAATGTCAACAGCAGCAGTATAATCAGAATCCTCAATACAATCATCAGCAGAATCAGTGGCAGGCACCGGCCCCAGCGGATCAAGGTTATGGCCAAAACACGCAGACACCGTATGGGGTTCAACAACAACAATGGCAGCCTGGGCATCAAGCAGACAACTCAATGACGGGACAACAACATCCTCACGCGCCAGGCCAGGGTATCCAAGCGCCGAAACCCGTCGATGGCCGTACTGAAACAACGCCTCCCAATTTTGTCTCTGAGCCGAGTCCATTCAGTGAACCAGTGTCTCCCATCACTAACCCACAAAGTATTAATTCTGCTGCTGGATACCATCCTGGACGCACAGACTCCATTGGCTCAGTCGCACTAGCCAATTTCCATTCTCAGCGTGCCGATCACGGGACCAACTCGCCAAAACCCCCTTCGGTGAAGAATCCGACGCCGCCTCCGCCTCGAGATGGTCAATCGAGATTCAGCGCTTTGGGGACAGGTGGTCCCTCGGACTGGGAGCACTTTGGCGCTGGCGACGAGATCGACGATGAAGAACTCTTTGGCGCCAAGAAAGAAGAGAAGAAAAATGAGCCTTCACACACGCATAGTGTAGAATTACCGGCCGAGGTTCCTTCTCCGCCTACACAGGGCTGGCCAAGCCCGGCACATCAACCTGCCCCGTTAAGTTTAGGAGAGAGAAGGGATACCTACCAGCCAACGCCGGAACTCGCCACTGTTAGCCCTGCCCATGTTAATTCACATATTCAAGCCCCTCCTCCACCACAATCAACCACGGAAGACCGTGGCCAAGGAGCGCGTCAATCTACACCGACTCAAGCTTCAAGTACTTTCGATGCTCAAGCCAGCCAGAAACATGCTGCAGAACTGAAGGCAAAAGATGAAGCACTGGAGCATTTGCGGGCTGAATATGAGGAAGATAAGGTGGGGTTGATTGCTGAACTTGAGAATCTCAAGGCTAGTATCGCGGCCGCTGAGACACGGGCTACAGATTTGAGAACGAAGAACGATGCATTTGAGCTTGCAAGAACGATATCTGAGAAAGAAAAAGTGGATTTACGTGCTGAGATTGAGAAAATCAGATCTGAGAATGAAGAGTTCAAGGCGGAGAGTGAAAGGCTGAAGGCTGATACTAAGTCTGCTGAAACACATACGGCAGGCGAGAAGAATGTCCTGAATGAGCAGATCGTGGCGATGAGAATCGCAGCACAATTGGCACAAGATAACGCAGAAGCGTCGACCAAGGAGAAGGATGTCACGATTGCACGGCTTCATGAGGATGTTGAGGGTAAAGAAGATACCATCAAAGAACGCGATACTGCGATTGCAGAATTGAGACGCCAACTCGAGGCAGAGAAAACCAGGGAGATTCCGAAGCCTACCGCTGCAGATCTCATCCCTGATATCGATCCGTGGTATGCGGGATCGCTGGAGAGATATATTGGTATGCTTCGTGGTGAGGCAGGCGAGCATCAGGTCGAAGACAAGATCAAGACTTTCAAAGCGTTTCTGAGGGCCGAATCGGGGATCAGAGGCATTGAGTACTATGACGCTCCACCTCCGGCGCCAGCAGTTGATCCAGTGGTGGCGCAGCTAGACAAATTTGCCCTTTCCAGCGGTGCACCCGATACTGCGTCTCTCAGGCAGAACTTGAGCATCCAAGTACCACAAGCGCCGTCTATGGACGATGAAGATGACTACGACTATAGCCCTGGCGGACGACCTGTCTTGAAACGAAAACCGACTCTCCCATCAGGCGAGCCTTTCAACGCTCCCGCACAGTCAGCGACTATCCTGACTCCAACAAGCTCAGTTGAAGATGATTGGAACAAGACCCCAGTTCAATCTCCGCCAGAAGAACCTCTACAGCCACAATACAAGGCTTACGTGCCACCTTCAGGAGCTTCACATGATTCTCCTCTACCACATAGACAATCGATGTCATTTGCCAACATTCCAGCCACGCATTCGCCGATGGGTTCGGGTAAAAGCCGTGACGAGATCTTCTTCGAGGGTCCCGCACCGCAGACATCGAAGACTCTCAGCAGGCAAACAAGTAGCGATAGTGACATAGGCGACATTCCGGTTCCGGCGCCTTTGAGCTTCGGCTCTCAGCGCCCAGCGACTACAGCACCACCGAAGAAAGACCCGCTGAAAACTCTCACTGATCTGCTGCCTGCCCAAATCGCTACTCCCACACCCAGTCATCTCGTCGAAGAAATCCGCACCAAGAGCGCGAAATTCAACTCGTCCTCTGAGAAGATTGACGAGCTGACCAAGACGTGGGAAAAGTCCGCATCGCTAGCCCGCAGAAAACGAGACGACGCCCGTCGTGAGCGCCGCGAAGACAACGAAGAACGCAACGACGACCTGTTCAACTCGGACGAGATCTCCTACGCCAAGATGAAGCAACTCGAAGCCGAATTCGAAAAAGAAGAAGCCGAGCTCAAAGCGCAAGAAGACCGAGCCGAGTACCAAACCTACATCGACACGGTTTTCGACAAAGTATACGCCGACCTGCAAGCCGACATCAAATCCCTAACAAGCCTCTACTTCTCAGCAGAGAACCTACTCCAAGACTCAGAAACAGGCATCAAGAGCCTCGAGAACAGCGACGCACCAAGCGCAATCCACTGCCTCCACCTCCTATCCGACACGCACGCCCTCCTCGAAGCAAAACACGCCCAAGTCGCCCTCGCAGTCGCCGACCGCGACAAACGCTACAAGAAAACAGAAATCCAACCCCTCAACGCCGCGCGCAACTTCGCAAAATTGAAAATCGTAGAACAACAGTTCCTCGCCGCGGAGAAACACGCCGTCGCCAATGCGAAGCGCGACGTCGCAGCGCGCATGGACACGCTGTACAAGTTCGTCGAGGACGTGGTCGTCGAGGCTGTTAGCGTCGAGCAGGGCGAGATTGACCGTGTGGTTGCTGCTATCCGCGCGCTTGACGATGAGGGCGCGGAGGCGAAGATGCTGGATCATGCGCAGATGACGATTGCGCTGCTTGCGCAGTCGTCGAAGGCGTTGCTGGGGTTTGTGAATGAGCGGGAGGTGCAGCTTAATGCGGTGGTGTTTGAGGCGGATATTGCGCTTGCTAGGGCGGAGGGTGCGGATGCGAAGCGCGTGCAGGAGTTGGAGGCGGAGAGGGAGGCTGAGGAGGGGAAGCTGCGGGAGGAGTATGAGCGGAGGGTTGGGGTGCTGGGGCAGGATGATGAGGAGGTGAGGGGGTTGATTGCGAGGAAGCGGAAGGGCGGGGAGGTGGGTGAGGAGGCGGAGAAGGAGAAGGAGAAGAGGCTTAGGATGGCGCTTGAGGAGGCTAAGCGGAGGAATGGCCAGGTTTGAAACAGCATCTTGGGGTTAGAGGTGTATTATGCATATTCTTTCTATTCAGTCAATACTGCCTTTCCCCCATCATCATATCTCCCAATACTTCCACCACACCTCACCGCACAGGTCTAAGCACCTCCCACCCCCGATACCCCTCCAAATCCTCCGCCTCAGGCTCATCATCCAGCAGACTCCTCGTACCTGGCCTACCGCTTCCACGCCCACTCCCACTACTCAGCCCCGTCCCCGTCCTAGGCGGCAACGCAGGTTTCTCCTCCCCCCCATCATCCATGAAATTCGGCACCGGAACCGGTTTCCTCAGCTTCTGCGCCGCCGACGAGGAGGGAGGCTGTGTGTATGCGTACCCACTAGGCGGGGCGGCCATGGAGCGGCGCGCAGGCGGGGGCTGCGGGTGTGCTCTGCGCTCGTGTTCGTACTGGGGGTCGGGGTCGTCGCGGTAGCGTTCATCCCTGTGCGTGGCGGAAGCGTGGAGGGAGGGCTTTTTGCTGGGGATAGGCGGGGGCATTGGTTTGCGCAGGACGTGTGGTTGTGGTTGTTGCTGTTGCTGGGGACGGTGGGGCAGGGAGCGTGTCGAGGATGCTGTGGAAGCGGAGCGATGGAGGGAGTCGTGTGCGCCGTCTGAGTAGGTGATTTGCGAGGGGTCGCGGGGGTTGTACTGCGGGGCTATGAGTTTGCGTGTTCCGCCTGGGTGTTGCTGGGCGGAGGGGCCGAGGGCGTTGAAGTCGACTGTGCGTGCGCGCTGGGAGCCACGGGGGGGCGGGAGTTCAGGCCTCGTGGTGGTTCCGGCTGTGCGGGTGACTTGGACCCAGTCTGGTTCTGGGCTGGGAGTGAAGGGGTTGCTGGGGTGGTTTGGGTTGGGGAAGTGGTCGTTAGAAGGGGGTTGGATGCGGGATTTCGCGGGGAGACCTGCCGAAGATGAGTATCCATGCCGCGAGGGGGATGAGGAGGAGGGAGGTACCGTTGTCAAGCCACCATTTCCGGCGGTCGGAGCTGGCGGGGGGGAGGCCGGGTTCGACGCTCTCGTATCCGAGGAGATCCTCGTCGTCGGTTTCGTCTTCGCCGACGCGCCCGCTGGCTCGGGTGTCGCCGACGAAGGCGCGGCGTTGCTTGTAGAGCTCGGCTTTCATGGTGTCTTTTCGCTTCTCGTCCACGCGCTGGACTAGGACTTGGAATGTGGCGTATACTGGTCGATGGTCTGAGAATCTGAGCGGCGCGGAGTCGTAGTGGATTTGCCGGATGTTGTCGCCTTTGCGGAGCACGCGGTCGCACCAAGCGGGAATACGTGCTTTTTCAGAAGTGTCGTATACGTCGGTGCCGATGTCGTACTTGTACGTAGGTGCAAAGGTGATGCGAGCTTCGGAGTAGTAAGGGAAGGTTAGGCCGGCTACCATCTGGAGATTGAGCTGGAACTGTTAGAAACACATTCTCACAATAACAGCGAGCCACCTCACCTGATCGTTGTCGTATAGAGTCTCGAGGTCGCCATCGTAACACAACCTCTGCACTTTGTCGTTACTGAGCCCTATTCTGTAGTTGAAGTCGCCGAGCCAAATGACCGTCTCATGATCTTCGATCGACCTGTTTCTCTGAAATCTCAGACCGTGGCTAATGGTCTTGTAGTCGCGATTGCGCTCCTCATAGTTGGCGAATCCAGCCGCAAGATGTGCAGTGACGAGGCAAATAGAAGTATTAGCATACTCCATGCGGATAGCCACTGCTCCTTTGTTTCCCGCCATACCAGACATGCCAGTCTGCGTCATAATCAGCTTCGCGCCCTTGAAATCACAAATCACAAACTCTCACCTTCTTCAAGCTGCCCTCAACATTCTTGATATGCTTCAAGCAGTCCGTCCTCACAAAGACGGACAAGCTCGCACCGACAAGCTGTCCTCCCCTGAGCATCACATAATCTGATCTTTGATGTTTCGCCGCATTCTTATTGAGGCACTCCCTCACGGCATCCTCCCACCTCCGACGCCGGTCCGGGTCTGTGGACATGATCTGCTGGGGACTCAGCTCGACAATTTCCTGAAAGCCCACGGCGACAATCTCAGGACATTGTTGTGAGGGATCGACGTTGGGACATAGCCATGGCGATAGATCTTCCTTAAGACCGCGCGTCTTGCCATTCACGTTGAATGTCCCAGCAAGAATATTGATAGTCTCCGTTTCCGAGAATTCAACGGCTCGTCTGGTGAGCTCGGCAGTAACGAAGTCGTTGATTGGGTCGTAGAGATGGACTGGGATTTGGCCCATCAGCCGACCGAGGAGCATATCGATAGTGTTCTGCCGGCCCTTGTCGGCAAAGTTGTTGATGTACATTCTTGTCGCGCTCTTTCGGGCGTCGGCCAGAGCACCAGCTAGTGACATTTTCCCGTGCCGTGTGAACGAGGACTTCAGCGCTCCAGTACCAGCGTAGATTCTGGAAAGCGCGTCGCCATTGTCTGCCCACATACTCGAATGCCTGACCCAGAAGTCTTGACTGCCAGTAAGACCGTTGTGCCTCAAGAAGATTTCGATTGCCATCTTGCTAATGATCGTCTGCACGAGGTTCGTTCGGTCTAGACAGTCCAGGCAATTCGTCCTAAACACGCCCTCTTGTTGTAATATTGATGTCGATCGGCTGATGATGTGTTCTTGCCCATTCTCCCTAACAACCTGCTCCCTCTCTTCGGAAAGATAGTAGGCAAACCCCTCCGCAGAACCTTGTATCCACTGAGAGATCATGCTAGCCATTTCATATCCACCAGGCCCCCTCGTCTCAGCGTGAAAGTCGTATTCGGTGAGTTTGAGGAGTTCGTGTTCGCGGTCGCTCTTCTCGATTCCGTAGTTTAGAGGGCTGTTCCTGACATGCCCTCGATATCTGTGTGACAGTTCCATCTCATTTGGTTTCTCGTTGCTCAGCAGGTTGACTACGTGCATGGCTCCATAGCCCAGCTCTAGGTTCTCAAAGTGCTTGTCGAAAGCCGGCTGCGTGGCTTCGGGAGACCTCGTGATGGTGATTTTCTGCTGGCCGGGAAGAAGACCGGACTGCTGCTCCCAGAATATCGGCACACTGCCCCGTACCTGCGCGTACGAGAAGCAGACTCCAGTTGGGTCCCAGAACACGGTTTCTGTCTCGACAAAGTTCGCCACGTTTCCATCATCGTCGATACCACGAGAGTTGAACCTCGTTCCAGCCCTCCTGCAAGACAGCCGTGAGATCAGTGTCATATGGGCTGGTACACCCGTTCCACGAGACTTTATCGGCGAGGAGTGTGTGGGGACGGTAACAGTGAGGGCAAAGCCGCGGATGGCAGATGTCAGGATCCCCGAGCCATCGAGCGCATCCTTTTCCTTGGGCGCAAGTCTGCTCCTAAAGTCCACCAACGGCTGGATCATGTACGAGTTCCACAAGAAGCCAGCATTAAGGCTGTCGATTGAAATGGCGGCAGCATTCAATGAGCGATCCTGGACGCGCCGCGTAAGGTCAAAGTCCCAGCTGTAGTAGAAGGTGCCGCTGCTCAGCAGCTTCTTGAGCGCCAGACACGGATGCTCGTGGATCGCCTGTTCCTTGCCCCTCCCATATCCCATTTCGTATCCCTCGTCGTCCACCGTGTCGGTCGGGTAGGGGTTGACTTCGTCGTCGAGGAGGGTGTCGTAGCTCGCGCTGGTCAGGCAGTAGAAGCCGACCGAGTTGATCTTCTGCACCGTCTCGCCCGGGCGCACCGTCGCGACCTTGCTGGCGCTGTTGACGACTACCAGGAATACATCGCTTTCCACGGTAATCAGGCCCAGGGTGCCGTGTGCCTTGACCGAGTGGAGCGCCCGGTAGTCGTTCAGGTCCACATCCTCGATCTTGGAGAACTCGACCATGCAGCGTGCTGCGCCTGAGCCATTGCTCCCCAGCGACGTACTGGAAACATTCCCATTGTGCTCGGTCGAGGTTGAGCTGTGGCGCAGGACGAGGGCGTGGGTGGGCGTCGCGAGGGCGATTGCGCGGTGTGGGTAGTCTTTGATCAGGACGCGGATAGACATGTTCGGCGGCGGACGGTTGCGGAGATGGACTATTACGTAGCAAGCATGTCAGAGACCCTGCTGTCCGTCTAGGCAAATATATCGTGTTTGACTAAGGCGATAGTCGTCGAAGATGCGCACGTGTACTGTCGAGGTCACACTCAGCTTTGCGGTCAGGTCGGCTTGAATGACGGTGATTATGCGCTTTGATGCCAGACTGGCCTACTCCACTGTTGCCCAAAGTCTAAACAAGGCTGCCCTAAATGCTGACCAATGTGCACATCAATTGGAGTCTAGGATAGTGCTAAATATATATCGTGTTTGGGTACTGTCGGAATCGGAATGCAGAACAGAGAATGACCTCATAGTTTAGAAGGACCTTTTCGACCAAGTCTATTTGATATGCTGAACATTGACTACGGTGCAAGGTATTACAGGGCAAAACACGACACTTTCCTTGACGCGTCTGAGCCATACACAATCCAGAGTTTCCGTCCAATCGCGACTCGAGCGCGTAATGAGGTATCCAAAACAATAAACACAACGCCAAACAAAACCAAGATGGCGGGAGGGCGTGAACAAGCCTCATCGCCTACACTGCCTTCTCCATGCCTGATTATCAGATAATTTTATCATACAAATGACCGTCGAACTGAATGAACCCTGAACAATCCCAGTAGGCTGGACCCTAAAATCCCTCGGGAAGCTGGAACTGAAAGTCCTCCTGATCCTCGTCAATCGGGTCGCCATGCAGCTGGCTGTTGAAGTTGTTCATCCACGCGTCGGCATCCGCGTCCTCGTCGTCCTGCAGAAGCAATAGGTTCATCTCTCGCTCCAGATCCTCTGCCGTACGGTAGTTCCGCTCATCCGTCACGGGAGGCGCAACAAGCGTGGCATCCGAAGACGTCGAGATGGAGCGGGAGGAAGGGGCCTGGACTCTTCCAACGGTGGGAGCTGCACTTGCGCTGCGGTGGTGGATGGACGAGGCAGTGGCGGGGCGACGGGTTGCGGCAGAGAAGGGAGGCGGCTTGGTAACGTTGGAGAGTGGTTTACGAACTGCTGGGCCGGAACGTGAGGCGCGACCCTGCGCGTAGCCGATTGTGCTCTTGGACGCTGCGGCGGCGGCTGCTTGACGGGATGCAGATCGCTCTGCAAGGGGCTTTGCGGGCTTCTTGCTCGAGACGAGGCTGTTGGGCAGTCGCGATTTGGTGGCAGTGGTGGGAGCGGCGTAGCTGGGCTTTGATGTGGATGAAAGGGCTGCGGCTGCGGACCTGGCTCTCATCGTCGAAAGGCTGGAGTTTGTCCGTTTGGGGGCTGCAGGTTTGAGGTTCGTCTTAGGCGCTTCTTTCTTAGACTCGTCAATCCCAAAGTAGCGCCTCATCTCGGCGTCGTCCTTGGCCTGCTGCTCTTCGAAGAGCTTGTCAAACTGTTCGTCCCGCTTCTTGCGGTCCCTCTCGAGGCCCTCGTCGAACTCGCGCTGCATGCGCGTGCGTCCGTCGTCTTCGATGGGGTTGTGGTAGGTCTCCCAGACACCACGCGTCATGTTTGCGCCCTCGAACATGGGGAACTTGGCGTCGCGCGGGAGATAGTCGTCCATGTCGTCTGCAAGCGGAACCTCTTTCGGCGGCATGTACTCGATGTCGGGCACGTCATCTTCGGACGCAGACTCTGGCTCGGGCTGGTGGATCTTCACTTTGGGGCGGCGCATGCGCGGGCTTACCTTCTGCGTCTTTGCAGACGACAGAGGCGCGGGCGTCTGGAAAGCTTTACCCTTGGCGTTGGTCGTCTTCATGCCCAGCGGGGCGCGCGTGCGTTGAGCTGCCATGCATCAGCTTCTAGTTGTGTCACAGTAGCCATACATGTCAGGACTCACCAGCAGGCGTGATGAATGCATTCTCGTCCAGCTTGCCGCTCTTCTTGCTCGTCATGAGCAGGTTCTCAGTGCCCTTGCCCTTTGTCTGCAGCACAGACTTTCCGCCTTTCGCGACCGCATTTTCGTCGTTGAGCGGGACCTTGAACGGCGTCTTGGGGGCTTTGTTTGCGGGTGTTTTGGCGGCGAAGCTCTTCAGGCCGGCGTTGAGTGGCTTGCCAGCGGGGCCCGTGTGCAGGGCGCGCACCACATTTTCCTGATCGTGTGCGGCGAGAGTAGCCATGGCTGTGGTTACATTGAGCGAGTCGTCGTGCAGCGCGTTGTGGAGTGGTGGTCGGCAGCTATCTTATCGCCGCGTCTGTTTACGCTTGGTTGCTATGCTAGATGCTAGCGAGGAGCAGCACAGCCAGGGTCGTCTTGGCGGACAGGGGCCGGACTCCTTTCGGCAGCGGCGCCCCAGGGCTGCATGCATATCAGCGCTGGCTCAGACACTTTCCCTTCCTCTGCCAACACCACCGCCCTTTGTCTGCTATATCCTCCCAACACCCGCCGCCCTCCCACCTACAGCCTTTGCACCCACCGCACCTTTTCTCCTCCCACACCACACACGACACCCCGCAGCCATGGACCAGATCAAGAAGGTGAGTGTCCCCAGCTACCCCGCCACGACCCTTTCTGCGGACCCAGGCCCAGCACAAAGGCGTCGCTGGCACACCCCACGCCCAGTCAGCTGACAGGGCGACACAGCGCATGGAGGCTCTCCGCGTCGAGGCGGACGAGAGCGGTGCCCGGGCCGAAGAGCTCAAGGTCAAGGTCAAGCAGCTCGAGTCGGAGACGACACAGAAGGAGCAGGAGATTACGTCGCTCTCGCACAAGAACTCTGTGCTCGAGGGCGAGGTGGAGAAGCTCGAAGCGCAAGTCAAGACCTACAAGGACGAGGCCGGTGCAGGCGCTCAGGCCGGCACCCAGGCCGAGGGCCTGCAGCGCAAGATCCAGGTGCTTGAGGAAGAGGCTGAGGAGTCTGACAGGACCATCCGCGAGCTCAACGAGAAGTGTGTTGCTCCTGCTATATTACATTTACGCCTGCTAATGATGATAGACTCCGCCAAACCGACGTCAAGTCTGGCCACTACGAACGCAAAGTCCAAGCCCTCGAGCAGGCCCGCGACCAGTGGGAAACCAAGTACGAGGAAATGGCCACCAAGTTCGCCAACACCAAGAAGGAGCTCGACGACTTTGTCGGCGACCTCAACAACATCTGAGCTTACCGTCGTCTCTCTTTGGCGGCCGTTGTCGTATTTAGTCGAGTGGAGTGTTGAGTGGAGCGTGGTGCAAAATGCACGGATCTGCAATGGCACCGGTGTGTCGTCTGGAGCGTGGGAGGAAGCATCATACACCCCCTTTACCCCTTGCATATTTTGGTTTTCTTTGCTGTAGCTGCATGAATGGGCTTGTGTGCTTTAGATGATTCTGGAGTGAGGCAATGCACTGTTTGGCAGTTTCTCAGACTTGACGTTGTGCCTTGATCCTTCACTTTATACACCATCGTCTATCCTCTAATCAATCATTGCTTTCATATAAGCATCAACCACTACTGCTTCTCACCGCCAAAACCCAGCACTCATAACACCACGTCTTGCTATGCGCTGACAAGTCCATCCAACCCACTCCATCCCCAGCAACAGTCCACAACCCCCCACAAACCCATACCAAACACACCTACTCCCCCTTCCTCGCAGCAGCCTGTTTCTTCTTCTTAAGCCCCTGCTTAAACCGCTCCGCCTTCCTCTCCACCTTGGTCTCATAGCGAAACTTCTTCTTCCGAACTTTGGGCTTATCGCTCTTCGGCCACGCCTTGGTCCACACGCGCTTCGCCCCCGTCTCCTCGGCCTTCTTGCGCTTCATCTCCGCCTCCTCGTCTACATCGCCGGGGCGGGAGAAGCCCGACCGGTCGATGGTTACCGATTCGATGGTTACGGTTGTGTGCTTGTCGGCGTCTAGGTACTCGTCTGCGATGTTGAGGGGGGGTGGGTCGCTGGGGGTGGAAGTAGAGGGGTCAGGGAAGCCCTTAAAGTCGTCGTCATTGTCGGAGGAGGAGGAGTCGTGCGGAAGATCGAGGTTCAGGTCTCCGTTTGCTTGGCGGACGAGGCGGTTTACTTCTGCGACGTGTTTTTCGAGGTCGTCTTTGCGCTGTTGTCGTAACTGCTCTTATCATTAACACACTATCCCATCCCTTCATCCCCGTCTTATCCCCGTCTTATCCCCCCATGTCCCATCCCCCCCTTCCCCCCTCTACCCAAATACATAAGAAATGGATAAACATACCTCCCTCCTAAACCTCAACTTCTCCTCCTTCTCCCGCTTCGCATTCTCCTCCTGCGCATGCTTCGTGCGCGCCACCTTGCGCTTGTGGAAGCCGGTTAGGTACTCTGCGCGCGCGTCCGGGTCGAAGGAGATTTTCTCGGGGGCGGCGGGGAGGGTGGTGGTTTTGCGCTTTTTGGGGGGTGGGGGCGCCATTTCCTTAGTTTTTTTGCGCTTTTGGTGGGGGGGTTTGGGGGTATGTGGGTTGGGGAAGGGGTGCGACTGTTGTATAAGAGAGAGGATTGAGGCCGGAGTTTGGGAAAATTGGTGCAGGGATTAGGATTTGGGGACTTGGGAGCTTGCACATGCGGCGGGAGAGCGGGCGGATGGACGGCGGTTGGGGGGCAGGTTTTGCCGATGTGGCTGTGCTTTATATGTGGCGTAAAGTGGACGGGAGTGGGGATTTTTTATATTAATCAAAGGTTCATTTTAAAAACTGCAAAGAGATGCTTCTATAGTCTATCCCTATCATGTCATCAAATAGCGCCCCGTTTTATCCCAGAATCTCCCTCCTCCATGGTAGTGATTCCAGATGTCGCCTCGCCTTACTGCTGATACACAACGCTACATCGACGTCTTGCAGGCCTGTCTCGCCCAGCATGGCTAGAACTACCAGCCCCAAGAAGGAGTGGTAGATGTCTGGCGGATCACCCGTGACCTTGCCAAACCCACCCACGGCATGCTGTGTCTTGTCGAGCAACCATTTGCGGATTGGCTTCCGGTCGACAATCTCCAGATGGTTGAGGATTTGCAGAGGCGCGCAGACCCAGTACGCATAGCACGTGTCGGCGATCTTATTGCATCGACCGTTCATGCCCACCCATGAGAGCTCGTAATGCGAGGGATCCTCCTTCTCCAGGCTGACTTGACCCTGCATGCTAAGCTGGCCGCCCATCTTTACGAAAGAGTGCGCGTCGTGACAGGTCGCGGAGGAGTCGGTCTCGTCGCCATATGTGTCGATTGCGTCGTCGTCTTCGAGTGTGGCTGTTTGCCGCGAGGCGAACCAGTGCAGGGTAGCGGGCAAGTTGCTGACTCCGCGAAGACGACCGTCTGGCTTCTGGGATGGCGGCAAGGGGAGGCGGTCGAGAAAGTACAGGGCGTTGACGGCGCAGCAGGTGAAGCCGGCGTGGGCTTCGTGGTATTGCGCCTCGGAAATGCCTCCATCGTACGACTCGGCTTGCCGGACGCAGGCGACAAACTTGTCCACGTCAATGTCGGGCACGCCCTCGCAAGGCCCCTCAAGGTTGCCGCGCAGTATCCAACGGATGGCCGTGGCCATGTAGCCGAATCTCGAGTCGTTTCCCCCGTGTACGTAATCACTCTCTCCCAACGTCTCCCCAAATCCGCCCTCGGGCCTCTGCATCTTGACCAACCACGCTAGTATCTCCCTCCTCTTCACCCGTTCCAGGCCATCTCCCAGCACAATCAGGGTGAGCAGGGCGAAGAAGGTGCCGGGGATGTGGGCGGGATCCCATATTTTGTTCTCGTCGTTCCTCAGGTGGCCAAAGTTGGACCCGGGCCACGGGCGGAAACCGCCATCTGGTAGTTGGCAGCTGTAGACCCAGTCTATGTGGCCTTGGCGCTCCTCGGATGAGAGGGCCGAGTTGAGATCTCCCAGGACATCGAGTGCAGAGACGGTAAAGAGGGCTAGGGTCATGCGGTTGGCGTCATTGCTCGTGTAAGCATTGGGCAAGAAGGTCTTCAAGTTGCGCCTCCAGTACTTGATATGGCGCTCATAGTTGATTTTACTCTCGAAAAACATGGTCCCCATGGTCAGAGGCGCAGAGGTGCGAAGATGGGAGAGTGAAGAGAGTCTCCTGCGAAGAAGGGCGACGATCAGCAATGGCAGGGCAGCGTTGTAGCGTGCACCTAGCGCTCGAGGTGGCACATACTGGGAGTGATGATGCTTGCTCTCGGCTGGCTCGTCTCGTCGCGGCGAGGAGCGAGGGCGGGGAGGGCGCACTCGTCGCGTGTCGCAGAGGCAGCGTCCCACGATGATGCATTGACTGGTGCATGTACCGGTTTTCCCTGCAGGTGCCGCCCGGTGGACGTTTCGTCTCGTCTGTATGTATTTATATCTCGCTAGCCGGTTTGGTAGGCCCGCTCCAGGGTCCGCTGCGGGCTCAGCTCGCTCAGCCCAGCCCGACCCCAGCTGGCCCTCAGCTCGCAGCAACCCGCTCCTGGCTGAGCCTCCGTTCGCTTCTCGACGCTCCGAGCACGCTTTTTCCTTTGTTACTGCCCGCCATCACACCCGCGGTATTCGACGAGCGCGCTGTGTTTCACCGCGCGACACGGCATCCTGGGACAGCAAGCGCCCGGCCTTCCTTCCCCAGACTGCCTCCTCCACACTCCCTACGCCCACGCCTAGAACTACTACGACCACGACACTGTGTGTCTGATCCTGCCATTCCCTCCCGTGGCCCCGCACAACGCCGTGCGCTGTAACCTGCCGCCATGGCTACCGGGTTCGCTGCGTCCTTCTGGTCCAGCGACTATGCGGGCGGTATGCTGGTGCCCTCCCACGCACCTCCCACGCACATGCTAACGCCGCGCAGGTCTGGGGGTCCTCTTTGGGAAGCTGCAGCAGGGCGTGCAGGAGAACCAGCAGATCATCGCCGTTGCCCGCATGCGAGCCGACGCCGAGGAGGTCTACGGCAACAGCCTGTCGGCCATCTCGCCCGCCACGGACCGCGTCGGCGGGGGCTTCAGCAGAGACGAGGGCGCAAGCGTGCGCAAGGTGCGTGGCAGCCACAACGGCCCGGCGAGCGTGCGAGCTGACACGGACTAGGCATACGAGGGCGTGCGCACCGAGATGGAGGCAGCCGCTTCCAACCACAAGAAGATTGCCTCCAACATCCGCGAGCTCGTCGTGAACCCCTTTGGCCGCTGGTGCGAGGCGCATGCCGCCCGCGTGCAGAACTCGCAGGACGACCTGCAATCCCGCATCAAGATCCACGACCGCCAGGCCGACGCCGTGCGCAAGTTCCGCTCGCAGTACTACAACAAGTGCCGCCTGGTCGAGGACCTGGAGGAGGAGGACAAGCTGGCCTTCCAGGACCCGCAGAGCGAGGCCGCCCAGAGCCCCAAGGCCAGGGTCCCCACCATCAAGATGACCGAGCCCGAGGACAGCGACACTGACCCCATCGAGCTGGGCGACGAGACGTACCAGCCCGAGCAGGTCAAGAAGATCCTGACGCACATGCTCGAGTCCATCAAGATTGGCGAGGCCAAGGTCCCCATCCTCGGCACCTACCTCAACTGCTCCAACGGCGCCGACATCACCGACTACATCCAGAAGCACATGGCTGCCACGAGCGTCAGCTACGCGGAGAGGATTGGCCAGGACATGGTCAACCACGGCTTTCTGCGCCTCGTCGGCAACGTGGGCAGCACCTTTGCCAACAGCTCCAGGATGAACTACCAGTGGAAGACCAAGGCTTTCGAGCTCACCGGCGTCCCCGAGAAGAAGCAGCCCCTGACCCGCGCGTCTACCGCCCTGTCTGCCATGTCGAACAAATCCGCCGACAGCAATTTCACCGTCGACACCCCCGTAGGCGCAGTCCAAGAGTACCTCCAAGGCTGGAATCCGCTCAACAACCAATATCCCAACGAGACACCGTCGGAGAGGCTCAGACGAGAGGCCCGCGAAGCTGATGAGCGCTACAAGACGTCTGTGAACAAGCTCGACTCGTTGCGCTGCAACCTGGAAGAAGCTATGGTCGACCACCTCAAGTTCATGGAGCGGTGCGAGTTGGACAGGCTGAAGGCCATCAAGGCTGTCGTTCTGGACTTCTCCGGCGCCATCAGCAATGTCATTCCTAGTCTACAGAGCACAGTGGACAAGATGATGCTGTTCCAAGAGACGGTTCAGCCACTGGGCGATCTCCGATACATGCTGGAGAACTACAGGACCGGGCCGTTTGTGCCCAGGGTTACGACTTACGAAAATTACTACAATTCAGTTGATGGTACTAACCCCTCCCAAACGACGATGCACTAGTATGCTAATACGATACAGAACAAACGTTTGGTGTTGATCTAGAAGCTCGAGCTCGCTCGGACAAGAAGCGTGTGCCCGTGCTTATCACCACGATTCTCACGTTCCTGGACAACCACTACCCCGACCTGGAGGGCGACGAGGCCCGCCGTGGTATCTGGCTTGTTGACGTTCCGCTGGCGCAAACGCACAACCTGCGAGCTACCATCAACACGGGCAAGAGATTCAAGGACGATGTGCTTGAAAAGTACGACGTACCGATTGTTGCCAGCGCTCTGAAGCTCTATCTTCTGGAACTTCCTGGTACGTACTTGCCGACGTCACTCTGGCATACCAATTGCTGACTTGTCTCACTAGATTCTCTCGTCTCGTCCCATGTCTACGAAATCATCAAGACAATCTACAGCACGACAGCCACCGATGCGTCTGAAGAGACGCGTGTCTCCGTGCTCCAGTCTACGCTCGGTCAACTGCGTCTTGCTAACATCGCGACTCTGGATGCCATCTGTACTCACTTCACTCGCCTCATCGAGCTCACCTCAGCCGACGAGGCCTATGTCACAGCTCTTGCCAACGCACTCGCACCATGCGTTCTTCGCCCGAAGCAAGATTCAAGCTTGAGCATGAATGAACGTTACAGCTACCGCCTCGTCCGCGATCTCTTTGCGCACAAAGACGCGATTTTTGGCGAGCTGAAGCGTGCCAGTACTTTGACGCACTCTTCGTCTGGTGCCCAGCGTCCGCGAGCCATCTCGACCGACGAAAGCAACCGACGCGCAAACATGGAAGAGCGCCAACGGGCCATTGCCGCACAACGCTCTCCCCGAGACAAATCGCCCGGCCCCGGTGCTCGTTCCTCGGGAACCCATCGTCGCGACCGCAGTCAGACCCGCTTCCCCGTCAACACGGCGTCGCCAACCGAGCGGAGACCCACTCAACGCGGCTCTCTCGAAGTGCCCGTGACCGCAGATAGTCCTGATGCCGACGAGACCGCAACCACGAACGGCACCGTAGAGCCTACGCCTACGCCTGCGCCTGCACCTGCGCCTGCGCCTACGACTCCTGCCGCCGACCACCCAGCGCCGTCGAGCACCCGCGTGCCCTTTCCAAGAAGACAGGGCGGTAGCGGTGGTGGCAGCTTGGCAAGAGGCAACCGCGACTCCACGGGGAGTCTGAGAGGCCCCGCCAACAGAGATTCCATGGGGAGTCTGCGAGGCGAAGACGGTGCTGCGCCTCGTGGAGTTACACTCGAAGACCCGCCGCCGGCGCCGAGGGGCGTGACGCTCGAGGACAAGCCTATGGATGATTAGTAGTCGTGCGGTCGGTTTGACTCGGAAATTTCTTCTGTTTGGTGAGGGACGGGGTTGGGGTGGGGGAGTTGGGGACTAGGATTAGGAGTAGGAGTAGGATTAGGAGGTATGAGACACGCCGCATGGGCAAAATTCACGATGTCTGGACATTGGTTTTGTGTGTTTAGTTTGGTAGCGCGCGCGCTGGTACCTGACATGATACTAGGTAGATTTACCCAGATATGAAACGTTGATGCACGGAAATGTTTACGATCGGCTTTTATTTCTGAACTCGATAACCTATCTTTCCCTTGAACGAAATCTGATATTCTGCATTTCATGCTATCGACATGACACGACATGACAAGACAACACAAGACGTGTTTTCCTTGGTTCTGTCCCCATACGTACCGGTCGGTACCTGACATCCCGGATCTAAATCTGACAAGCACCACCGGCGCTAGCTAGTCCAGTCCCGTCCCCCCAATCAAGCACCGGCGCCAGCCTACCACGTCACTCGTCATGCACGTTAAACCATGCATCGCCTTTTCTCCGTTCCAAGGCGGAGAGAGAGAGAGCCTCGTGCATGGCGCATGGCGCATATGTGGCTGGGGAAGGGCCGCCTAGATCGCAGTCTTCTTCTTCTTCTTGTTTTTCCTTTCCTTTCTTCCCTCCTTCACGTTTACTTGTCGAGTGCTTCGTGTTCGCGGGCCCTGCGTCTTCCATCCTACACATCGTATCCCCAGATCGAACAAGACGGACCCCACAACCCACGTTCTCCCACGTTTCCCACGCACGTCCCTCGACTTACCTCGCGCACCAAAGCAACCATGTGCCTCGTCAAAGTAAAACCAGAAGAAGACGTAATAGTCCCCTACCGCGTAGTCCAGCAACACCACTCCCCGCCGCGTCGCCGCGCCTCCCACGCCTCCGCCCGCCGCTCCTCGCGTACAGAAGTCGTCCGCGAACAGCGCACACACACGCGCGACCGCGACCGCGAATCCCCCCGCCCATCAGCCACCTACCTCGCCAAGTCGTCGTCGTCCTACGTCGCTGTCCCCGCGCCCGCGCCGCTGCAGATTCCTGCGCCGCAACCTGCGCCTGTTTTTGTTGAACCGCCGCCCCCGCCGAGGAGCGTGTATGAACCCGCCCCGCCGAGGAGTGTATACGACGCCCCTCCCCCGCGCAGCGTCTACGAGCCCGCCCCGCCGAGGAGTATCTACGACGACTCGCCCCCGCCGCCACCGCGGAGCTACCACGACCCACCAGCTCCGCCACGCAGCCGCCACGGCGCCCCGCAGTACGTCGAAGTCGAGCCCCCGCCGCGCAGCCACTACGGCGGCGCGCAGTACGTCGAGGTCTCGCCCGAGTCCAGCGCGTCGAGTCGTAGTTCGAGTCCCGCGCAGAGCGAGTATGTGTATCGTGAGCGCGAGGTGCGGAGGGAGCGGATGGAGCGTGGGCCCGGGTACGAGCATTATAGGTATGTGGAGGGGGCGGGGGCGCCGAGTGAGGGTGGCCAGCAACAGCGGAGGCAGCGGAGTCGGAGTCGCGGGGCGTATGAGGAGCGGAGTAGGGCGGGTGGGTTTGAGGGCGGGTATCGTGAGGAGAAGATGAGGGTTAGTATTGGGGAGGAGGGGCGGAGGAGGGGTGGGTATCGGTGAGGGGGGGATGGGGCCGCGCGAGGATGTAATGCAGGTGGTCTTTCTTGTCTTGTAATCTCACGTCTTGACGATATTATGTATGTCATGTCTTAGCATATCATATAATGCAGTAGTTGGACTTGTCTGGTCATTTACATGTTTGACTATGCACGACACTCACTATACGCCTCAATCGAGTGTCTTCTCGTCCTCCTCATCGCTACTTCGCCCCCCTATCCAAGTCCTGCCACTTTACCCACCTGCTTCCAGCCCGTCTCTCCCTCCCTGCTCCAGTGTCTCGCTCCGCTCCCAATGCGAGAAGAAACGAAATGAGAAAAAAAGAAAACGATGGACCCGTCACGAGCCTGTGATGCATGCGCGCTGCCAAACATCACCGATGCGCCATGCTGCTAAACCAAAGAGAGAACACAAAAAAAAGCCATTGACTATCTGTTATTGAGCGAGCTCATGCACAGTGCAATTGACAAATTACACAAAGCCATGCATGTGCAGCGAGCCAGCCTCGAAGACGCTTTAAGGTCGCGCCTAGGACGTAATTTCGTCCACGGCGTAGAGATTCTGACCCAGGATCTTGTTCATGGTACACATGTGCACGCGGTCTTGCTTGAAGACGGCGCGCATGGCATCGTCGCAGCGGATCTGTCGCTTGTCGCTGGGGTCTTGGAGGTCGCGCTCTTTGACGTACTCCCATATCTTCTTGACGGTTTGGGGACGCGAGAGCTGGGTTACGCCGAGGAGCTCCGAGAGCGCGGGGGAGAGGGCCATGGGTTTCTATTCACACGTGTCAGTCTGCGCGCCCGGATGTCTTCAGACTATGTGGGGGACGTACGTGAAACCCTCCCTTCCGGCTTGGGCTCTTCTTCTCTGCGCCACTGCCGGACGCCACGTCGCTGTCATCCTCGTCCTTGACCTTCGTCGAGCTCTTCTTCTTGGCCTTTTTCTTGGGCACTGGCGCTTTCTTGCGCGTGTTTCCGCCTCGCGTGGGTCTTGTCCGCGCATTCTCCTCGGCCTGTAACCGTGCTGCAAACGCCGCGTCCTCGTCCTCGGCTGTCTTGCTCTTCTTGGCCTTCTTCTTCGGGGGAGCTGCATCCTCGAGTTCGGAGAGCGCGGACTCGGAGTCGGGAGAGCGCTTCTTGTCGGACGCGTCAGAAGGCGTGTCGCCATGTATGCGTTTCGCGCCGGGTTCAACAGTGTGAACTGGCTCTTGGGGGTTGGGAACAGTGGGCGCGCGCGAGTTGAACTTGTCGAACCGCTGCATGATGAGGGCCGTGATGGCGTCCTGTTCTTGGTGTTAGCAGATTCCACGTTAAATCTTTTGCGATGCGCGGTATACCTTCTGGTGGCTAACATCCTGACCAATGCGCTCCTGCAGGCCCTTCCGTATGCGCTTCGCGGAGATGGTATTCAAGTCGCTGGCGGACAGGATCTCGTCGATGATATGGGCGTACGAAAGCTCGACTTCTGGGGGCAGTTGCTCTGTACATGATCAGCATATGCTCTCGACGCGTGCGAGAGCTCAAGCGAGCACCTACCCGCCATGGCTGTGGTATGGCTTCAGTCTACTATGAAAGAGGCGTCGCAGACTGCGGTAGAAGCAATCGACCAGGCTGGGGCAACTCCAGGTAAAGTGGTGGTAGACTGGGGTAGTGGAGTTAGGGCAAATAACTCCAGGTCGATGATGGAGGGTCTAGGGATGCTTTGCGCAGAAGATCGACCAAGTCCCAGGCTTATGAATGCAAGCTACGCGTGGAGTGAGATAGTCTTGGCCTCTCACCAATCCATCAGCAATCTACGCTGCAGTTGGAGGCTCAAGACAAGTGAAAGACAACCGTTTAGCAAGTCGGATGATAGTACCGATGGAGTGGGGAACCATGAACAGCAACTGCACAGTAATCTAGCGTCGAAGAAGGGCTACGCGCAAGTTGTGGCTGTAGCTTGTTTGCGCAAGCAATTGTGGATGTGTGCGACAAAGAGCGATGAACAATGAAGATACTAAATGTTGCTGTGATGGATGGTGAAGTGAACCATGGGCGCTCGGACCATGACTTGCCGGCTTGGGAAGGAACCATCTACCCGTGAGGCTGAGAATCGTGGAGTAACATTCGCATCAGTCTTGAAGTCGCCAGAAGATTGCAGTGCCGATTGAAACACGTCCGGTCTTTGGTAAAACCACACGTCTTTGTCAAAGTCAAACGCACTATGAAAATGACCTCGAACTGGTACTCGTATGCAATTTCGCCATGGTTGCTGCATCGGAACCCTGCATACGCATCGCAAAGCGCTAGTCAACCCTACATAACCAAACATCCAACACCATACATTTGCTTCTCCACCGCGCTCTTGATCTGATACCAGTCCGCCCTCCTCTCTGCATACTCATACACTTCCTCTGACCGGAAGATGCCATGATACCGATCCGTGTCTGCAATAATAGTCGCAATCTCCTTCGCGTCCTTGGCGTCAATCAGGTATATTTGTGAGAGTTCACGTAGCGCGGCAAAGTACTGCATGAGTGACTTGTTGCGCAGGGAGACAATGTAGGCGTTGTACGCGTTCATATCGCTGTTTGACGTTAATATTACGGAAGTGGTTGAAGAATGGGATAAACATACCTGATGAGCTTAATCGCACCGTCCACGCTGACTCTTTGCCGCTTGAGATGCTTGCAGAGCGCGGCGAACAAGCGCACGCCAACCTCCTGGTTAAAAACATCGAGCACGTTCTTGTCGGTACTACCAACCAACATGCTTGTGTGCGACGACACAATGTCCACAATCTTTGTTGCAGTGGGGCTGGGCCCAATATCAAAGACTTGTACAGCTCCGTTATGACCCACGGGAGGGTTGAAATCTGAGGGTTGCTGAGTAGTCCCACACAAATACTCCACTTCGTCCATGAGCACGTCGATACCCTTGTTGAGACCTGCAGCGACCCGCTCATCCAGCATCGCCTCGAACCTCTTCCTCTCTTTTGCTGCAAGACTGAGGAAGTCGTCGCGGTCGGTGAGGTTGGCAGCGACGAGCTCCTGGAAATAGAACACTTCGACCATCTGTTGAATCAGATCTCCGACATTGACAAGTTCCAAAAAAGCCACGAGTGGCGCTACGCCTTCTTTGCTGTGATCTGCCACTTCTCTAGGTCGGTATTCTGCAAGATGGCTGACGGCTTTGTCAAGACCGAGCTTCATATGCCGATTTCCAAGAATCTGAACTAGATAGATGAACACCTGTTCACACAGCTCTCTTGCCTCTTCTCCCGACTGCCCACCAAGCCGGACGAACCGTGCTGCTCGCTCGAGGCTCGACTTCGCCTTGTGCGTGAGGTTCAATGCAACTTCAATGCTGAAAAGTGACCGAATGCCCTCCAACCGAGAATTCATGATCGCTGCCTTTGCAGCAAGTTCTGTTCTCGGGGCTTCTAGCCGTGGCGAGGGCGTTTGCCCGTCAGATGGAGGAGTTGGTTCCAGAGTACTAATGCCAGTCACGCCAGGTGCTGCCACAGTTGATTTACTGGCATTGTAACTACCCATCGTGGGGAGCACATTGACAGGCATCATGACGACCTTCTTGAACGACGAAAGGAAATCTTGCTTCGCTGCCTTCCGATTGACATTCGACATGTATAGTGTTTCTGTAGCTTGCTCCTCGTCTGTTAACCGCTTTTCCCAGACATCGACCTCGGCGGCTGAGTTTCGTTTGAAAAAGTCCAACTCTTCTTGTAGATAGAGGTCAATATGCTGCTCGAAGCAGTGAGAGATGGTGCGCATCGACTCGTCCTGGAAGTTCGACTTCGAACCCTTTGTAGGCTGTAGAGAGACTGCGAGTTGCAGTGCTTGGTCGAAGACACCCACGACAGCCTTTAGGTAAACTTCTATACTGATATCGTGCGCTTCGTCAAGTAAAGTAGTCAGATACTCTGAGATGACATCTTCTACGACACGCTCGAGAAAAGGTTGTAGCACATCGACAGTGGGCGGAAATACGCGATCGATGATGGCCGCTTCATCGTTCAGAGCTATTGCTAACCCTCGGAAGAATTCATGCGATGGCTCCAGATTTAACTGATTGGAGCCGTGTTGCTGTAAACAGTCCATGGGACTTCCTAACTTATCCTTCTCTAGCATCAGCGGGTGATTGTGGATGAATAGGTCTAAACATGCTGCACCGCCGTTCAAAGCGACTAATACTGAGGCAAACCTCTTCATGCGACCATCAAAGTCCTTCTCCTCGTGTCCTTGCTCGAACTCCCGAAGCACAGCATTTTCGAAGATGCCTGTCATGGTATCCAGCTTCTCCTCGCGCTGGTTCCAGCCCTGTGCGTAATCGCTTTTCGCAAACGTCTTGAGCTGTGACAGTATGAGCGCTTGTTGCTCGGGATCGCGGTATGTCCGGAAAAGTATAGGGTCTGCATGACTCCTCGACCTTGCTAGGTCGAAGTAATATGGTGCCAATGCTCCATAGACTTTCCCGTACTCTTGCCGTGCCATGCCTCTTATGGAGCGTACTTTCGATAGAACCTTCAGAGCAGCTTGTGGGTCCATCGCAGCTACTCGAGGCGGGCCTGAGGTTCCAGAGGACGACAACGTCATATCGTTGAAGCCTTTGTCCAACGTTGATGTCCGTGGTCGAGCTTTGTATTCCACAGATTTCCGTTGCATCTCTTCCTCTAGTGTGGCGTCGAACAGTGTCACGCTGATCTTGCGCTGGCCTTCATCTCCTCCTGGCGGTATTCCCTTTGCGCTGCCGTTGAATGCCACACCTGCCTTTCGTGCTTCTTCTGCCCTCTGTGCCTCCAATTTTCTTCGCATGGTTTCTTCAAACCTCTGCCTAGCCTCTGTTTCGTTCCAGCAACCCATGCTATTCAATCTTTGTATCCATCGTGTGTCATCGTAAACCATCTCCTGCATGCGCTTCGACGTTCGCGCAAAGCTAAAAATGTCGGGGACAGGAAGGTAATCGAGAATTGTGTTGATCAACTCTATTATAGTTACGACCTATTCAAGTTGGGTGCTTCTGGAACGTACCTGCAGGCAGAATAGCTTTGGAGTCGTCAACTATCCGCGTGGACCGCACCGAGCTGAGGACAGGCCCCTGAGGCAGCGCCCGCTTGAAGTTGGACTTCGTAGCCATCATCGAGGGTTGATTGGGGTCCTCAGCTCTTTCTATCGTCGGTGGAGTGTTCTTCCATGATTCACGATCTGACGAGGTCTGGCGTTGACGTTACGGGAGGTATGTGGGGACGGTTGGCCGCAGCTCAGCGGGGAAACTAAATATACTTGAGACCCACCACAAAGACGTCCACTCTAACATCACAAATGGTGCATATTGCGAGGGACTTTACTTTAGAACTGTGCTTCGTCCCATAAGAGCATCGTGGATTGCTGACCAAACAGTATAGTCTACTGATTAGCCAAAACTAACCTGCTGCGAAATCTTGCAACAGCTGGACAACTACGTGCAAAACTGAAGTATAATTTGTGTTGCTTAGACACGACTAGTATACGCCTAGCTAGCTTTACTCGTAGTACTCTTCTACAGAACGAGACAATCATGTCTAGCATTCACAACGACCCACAAGGAGATTATTAAGATACTATATTTGAAAGCTACGACTCATATTTGGCATCCCTTAGGCTCATTATCCAATGATGTTCTGCGCGCAATATAGCCCCCATCGGCGTCAACGTCCTCCGCGACACCAAAGCTTCTACAACGCAGCGAGCAACCCAGCCACGGCGAGACCGAGACCGAGACCGGCACCGGCACTCTGGTGCGGCGCCGCACCAGCACTGCCAGCAGCTGCACTTGCGCTGCTACTAGCAGCAGAAGCAGAGGCAGAAGCAGAAGCAGAGGCGGAGGCGGAGGCGGCGGAAGCGGAGGCAGAGCCTGACGCAGAAGTCGCCGAAGCCGTCGCGTTCGCAGAGCTGGAAGAGCAGTTAGGCGAAGTGTTCACAGTGACACCCGCGCCGCTGCACAAAGCCTGAGCGATAGTAAGGGTTGCTACGCGTCTGATTAGTCAAAGAACGACAGAGGCAGGCGTTGAACTCACTCTGTAGGTCGGTCGCAGAGCAAGTTGAAATCGCACAGCAGCCGACTTCGCTCGTGGCGCCAGCGAAGTTACCGCAGATGCACGCGATGTCAAGGCCAGTGCAAGTGCCCGGGTTCTGCGAGAAGCAAGTTTGCTGTTGGAGTGTCAGTCGCGTCCATCGAGAGTTGTTGATAACACTCACAGCACATGTCGGGATTCCGGCAAAACTTTGGGCTAGAACAGTCGAGCTGAAAGCAGCGACAGCAGCGAAGACTGAGAAGTGCATTGTGAAAGGCTTGTTGAGGGATTGTGTATCAAAGGTAAGAGTAGATCTAAGGAGGGCTGAAGGGTGCTTAAGGGAGCAATACGAGCGCAGCTTCAAAGTTCAATACTAACGAGCACCTGCATGACCACCAGTAATATGTATGAGAGCTAATATGACCGTATCCCACCATTGGTGGCAGCTGAAACTCGGGCCGTTGCCCAGCCCAGCTGAACGGAAGGGTTGAAAGTATGGAATTGAAAGGTTACTGTCCTCACAGGACAAACATGATTCGATCCATCTTGTGCCTGCAAAGACAACTTGTCGGGGGACACATCTTTGACTTTGGCCAGGAGGCAATTCTGCAACTTGGGTATCGAGAGCCATATGGCGAGTTTGTCGTGTTAGCGCTGACGCCCGCAGCACACTCACCTAGTCGAGGGTCCAGTCAGGCTGGACACATGATTTGGGCGTGACACGAAGCGAACCAGCCAGGCATCGACAAATAGGTAACATAGGAGACGAATTGTGTTGCTAAGTATAAACAGTGGTGTGCAACGTTCGGTAGATACGGACGGTGGCCTCGCCGAGCCTAATCAGCGGTGGAGAAGTCAGTCGTGGTAGGGAATGGAAGAGCCCGAGGACACCACTACCATATGTTGAACACAGCGAAGATAGCGGAGAGGCGGCATTGAAAGACTGCATCTAGATCGAAAAAGCTGTCGTCCAGGAGCCACATTCTGACACTCTGACAGCGGCTTGGCTGCTCGGATGCTTGCAAAGTCCTCCACAGCACATGTTTCGTCGAAGATCATCTCTGGGGGACCTCCGCAAAAGGAAACATTGCACAAAAAGGCAAATTGCAGCCACCAAAGTCCTGCCGCTTGAAGCGCAGCGTAGGGCAACGCGCATGCCTTTGATGAGTCATTGGTCGTCTGCTCGCTCGAATGGGTTGTCGATCACATCGCGAGAGGGCGTCGGGGCGCAGCTTGAGCATAATTGGGGAGGGCGCAACATTGAGATAACGAACAAAGCATGAACAAAGCACCTGTCTTGTCTCAAACACGCACAACTCTACCGGCGTTTCCAGGGATAGAATTGTGACGTGCATATCGGCCACACATGGCAAATGGCCGACCGTGCACCGCTTCTGTTCCTGCATCCAGGGCATGTGGTCCGACTGGTCAGAACGCAGCATTTACAGTGTGGGTCCTGTCAACGTGACAGCGTGTTCAATCCGTGACCCTTTGTCGCCAGTGCACGGCGGTCTGGGATGGCTTTGAACGCGCCGTCTCCACGGCGACAGCGTCATCGAAGCATCTGGAAGGCGGCGCGAGCTTGTGAATGAAGGATGATGCTTAGCCTCATAGGGGCGATGGCCTTTGAATTTGACTCGAAGGCGAGCCAATAACAAAAGTGAAGCAACAAATCGGCTTAGCTTTTGTGGTCTCTAAACGTCCAAGGACCTCCCTCACGTCCGTCCAGGAGCTTATGTCATCAAACATGCACGTCAGTCCTGAGCGTGTTTGTTCCAGACGCCGGCCGATGAGGCGGAGAGACGATTGGACAGTGTGTCAACGAATGTGGGCCATACACCTCTGTTTCGTTGCATCCCTTTTCGGTCACCGTGCTAAAGCTATTCTGAGGAGACAATGACCTCAGGCTCTCAAGCTTCACTTACTGAGCAATGCTTGGGGCAGGTACCGGGAGAGGGCCACGTACCTGGTTGCCCTCTCGCCTGTTGCCCCGTGAGTAATGAAGGACGACATAGACATGTGAGAAGCTGGGGAGGACACTCAGGAGACTTGAATACAAAAGCTTCTGCTTCACCCACTGTCACAGAATACTGATACATTATCTCAACGTACTATTGCCAGACAAGTTTGTGGTTTCTCAAAGTCTCAGACACAGTCTCACCACACCCGCTCTTAAGCACACCGTCCAAAAAAAAACTCCCATCAACATATCTCAATTCGACAACCATGAATCTCAGCATGTGCAACAGACCCAAAACCTCCGTTGGAGACGAGCAACCCCGAGATGGAACTTGTGAGTGATCACCTTGAAATGCACATTTGCAATGTTCGTTGCTAATTTAGAACCAATAGAAAATCCCTAGACTCGATTCGGAAGTTTTCGCGGAATGCTGCGCCTTTCCCCGTCACCCATCCGTCCCAACTCCATGCTCTTCAACGCAGCGCCTCATCCGTTTTGTCTCGGGAACCGATTTATTGCAAGCACGACAAAAATTCGGCATCTGGCACATCTCCAAATGCGTCGCGTCTTGTCATACAATTCATGACTGCGAGCACCGCGTTCTTGATGTTCCCGAGGCGCAGCAGCCGTTTGAACGACACCACAACCTTGAACAAACCGACAGCGGGCTGTGTTGCTTCGGTGAGCGAGGATGTTGCAAGAGAGTCATCCTCCAAGCGAATACCCGAGTTGAAGGACATGGCTACTACTTATCGACAATGATCGTGACTCCCAGCGCCTGCGATTGAGCCTCGAGTCTGCCGTGTGCGCAGCAGGGGGCCACAAACCGAGGCTGTGCGCAGTCACGGTATTCATCTCAGTCAAACTAGGCAACGAACCAGTTCACCATTCACAGCGCCCCACTCCAACGCTTCTGCCTGACATGGACTCCGAATGCCGCCCTAGACCGTACTTTGGCCTCGTTCTTGTGGCTATGAATCACGAAGCGGCCCCAGAGGGCGGTGGGCGAAAGGAGTCACCACCTGTTCACGCGAATACCCCAAGCTTCCAGAAGACGCGCTAGAACGTCTGCAGCCTACCTGTCACCTTTTTTGTCGTGTTTGGACCAATTATCGTTCTATTTTTCGAGTTGGGGCGCAGCCCAATCACCCTTTGTAGCATACCATTTGCTTCAACGAGAAATTGGCTACGAGTTCTGCGTCATGGCAGAAAGAAGGCAGCCGTTGCCTGTACCTGAGTAATCGAGTGCTATTTCCTTAGGCATTTTTGAGAGTGGCGCCTACGACAGGCCTCAGGATGTAAAGGCTTATATTCAGGCACCTCCATAGTTAAGACATTCACATTCAACCCATCTCTACATCCACATCCACATTGACAATACAACCTCGAGTCTGCCTTCCTCCATACCCTTATACAACGATTGTCGTGTACAGCCATCTTCCACGTCCAAGACAACCGAACCAGACGTCTTCAACTGCCTACACCAATACCAACATCAACACCAACGCCATGCGAGTCTCCCTCAACTTGAACCTCACCTACTCCGACCCTCAACCCCGTGACGGCGGTGCTCCCAACCCAAGTGCGAAGTACACAATGTCCACATCCATGATGATGTCCAGGGCCGGGGACGAGCCACAGCCACGTGATGGCGGTTAAGTCCTTTTGTGAGACAAATACAAGGTATGTTAGAGCCTGAGTCCTGGCGCTCGAACGAAATAATCTAACATCTTCCAGTTCATTCATCCACTTCTTCTCAGTTGGGTGGGTCGGTTGTATCCTCACTCTCAACGTCGATACACTCGGTCTGGCATTCGAGACCCGCACATCGCGGTCTTCTGCATGCTCTTCTTCTTGGCCTCGACCTCGGCCTCCTTCACTACTCATATTCGACTCTTTCTCTTGCGCCTCTCGACCTTCTCCATCGGATCGGTCCTTTTTGCAGCGTTTCGCAACTTCGCATACATCATGGGTGTTTGGGAATCATTTTTGGGTATACAGCATTGGGAGCAGTGTATGATATGATACGAAGCATTTGAGGCATTTTCGAGCTTTGGGTCTGCATAATTGGCGTTCTTCCATAGATAGAGGGGCAACTTCCTGTTTTTTGCTTTTTGACAAGATTGCGATAGTGTCAATCGCTCTCTAGGCGGCTAGGAGTGCTGGACGGTTTACTGAACTTTGGATCTTCAATGACCGATCAGCTCTGGGCCGTGGACGGCAAGATAACAACTGTGCGATGAGGTAGACGATAATAGAAGCTTCGGAAACTTTGATTGTTAGTTCTTTGAGATCGAGATAAAGCGGTTCGTGATTGTGAATCTTATCGGATTGTCGATGAGGACGAGAGTGTAGTTGCCTAGTGTTGATGTTTTTACCCCACGCTCTTGGCGTGTAAATGCCGTGAGTAATAACATTACATATCCGCTTGTGTCTCCGGCCCCAAGGTCTGATCAGCATGTCACATCTCAGCTTCTTGGACAGTTCATCAACCACATGTGCTACCATCCTCGACTTGAATGCGCCAGAAACTCATCAAGACAGCAGTCCATCGATACAAGAGCATACCAATGACGTACCGGCATCCATCGCATCGTATTGTCGGCACGCTCCACCTGCCGTGGGCAAGAAATGACTAATTGAAACCCCAAACCACAGCAAGCGCCCGCAAAATGTGCTGGATTCCACGGTTCGAAGTGCAGCGGGCCGCAAAAAGCGACAGAAGCCAACACCGCCGGCGCGTGGTGCCCAGACGCGAACAAGGCGTTTGTTGCTGATCACGCTGGACACCAGGAAAAGATTGTTCTCCCGTGGTGCATGTTTAGATTCTCTGGCCTTGGTCACTGCGCGCGGTCACAGCCAAGAGTGCAGTTAATATAAGAGGTTGGACGACGATCGCGTCATTGTCTTTCAAGCCTTTGTCCAGTCATTTTCCTCACCTTGCGCATATCACACACCGCCCAGCAGCAGCTTCTGAACATCAGTCTTTCTATAACTCTGTCCCGAAGACACATCCTAGCTCCACGAACCTTTGTCGACACAAATATTTGAGCATCATGGCTACTCGTGTGCAGCCCGATCGCATTGCGTCCCACGGAAGAGGTGGTGCAGGGTGAGTTTTTCTTCTAAACATATTGGTGAAAAGCTGGCAGTCGCACTAGCATCATAGCAACACTTCCTATGCTACGAATGTCATGCTCTGATTCACCCGACATATTGATATGTCTACTTTAGGTGACACATACTTACTTTCATGTAGCAACATTCTCAAGGAAGACCCTTCTACCTACACGAAGCCCGAAGACCTCGTTACCCCAACCATAAAGTCCAACTTGTACACGACAGGCAGGGGTGGCAACGGGAACATGGCCCACAACGACCTTACCAACCCCGAGATGGCACGCCTTGCGCAAGACGTCATTGCACCTTCTCACACGGAGACACAACCTCAACTCGGCGGTCGTGGCGGAGCAGGAAACTACATTGGACAAGATGGCCGACGCAAGAGCGGAGAGGTGAAGCCCTTGAGCTCGGAGATCAAGCATCCCGCGAATTCCACTCAGACCAAGGGCGAGGAAGGTGGCGCGTCGAAAGGCCTGCTTGGGAAGGGCATGGAGTTCTTGCAGAAACTCAAGAACTAAGCACTGAGTCGTCTGTTGCAGTCAGGGTCGCTGCAGTCATGGTCAAGACTATTCCTGCACTCTTCAATCTTGGCGAGCTGCTCTGCAATCGGAGTATGGACACATGGCGGGTCGATTGGGGTTGTGTTTTCCTTCGTGCAGTTTATGATATCCCTGGGAATCGGACTTGCAACTATCGGCTGGGTGTTGGAGTTTGCGGAATCTTTTTCACATTTGCTTCCCATCTCTACTCGTGGCAGGGACCTTTAATATAATGGACAGAAATCATACGATACTACCAATCATGTGGATCTCCTATTCTTGCTTCCAGCTCTGTCTCAATCGCGGAAAGCATCACGGCACTGATATAGCGACCTAGCCAGGTTCATAACAAGCAGAGAGCAATCATACTCTATAGTTAGCGACTTGTTAGTTGGGACGATCATGCAAACTCTCTTGGAGAAGCAAGCATCATGCGGGGTCGACGATCGTTCATCCCTGGTGGGGCACAAGGGTTTGTCTGCATAGGGGCACGAGTAGGCAACTCAATAGCGGTTCTCTTACTAGCTCACTTGTTACTAACGATACACAGATCTCAAGCATACCCTAGCTTATCATGTAGTTCGGGTCAAGGTCTCTTTTTGTATTGGCTCGTATGTTCCCACACGGAGACAGGCACGTACATGCATACCACAACCGAACGATTTCTATCCCTCGACCGGCAAGGTATGCATGCCTATATCATTACGCATTATCCCGCATTCCAGAACTAGGCAGCAGGGCAATCTTACCCTTGGGTGGTATCTTGTTCACCTGCAATGTACTCTAATTCCCTTGGCGTGTCTACATTTCATTGGACAGATGCTCCTTAAGCAGACCTTAGAGTTTGGATATGCATGAACAAGCCTATCGGTATCTTCGTACAAAAGCTCGGGGTTGGAGACTAGCGCCATAGTCTTGGGCGTTGCCGTTTATCCGTCAAGACAACTGATTGCCTCTCCGCACTTCATAGTCGTTTACCGGGTATAAGCCACTGATACTTGCGACGGGAGATCGTGCGAGAAACCACAGACATCATGTCCGCCACAGAGACTGAGAACGAATGGGTACATTACCACGATGGGGGAATTCCAGGTCGACGACGCGTCCTCAAAGGCAAAGAAGCCAATCCAGCTTTCATGGAAGTTCCTAAAATCGACTTTCGCCGTATCTACTCCGACAAACTTTCTGATCGTGAAGAACTAGCCAGTGAAGTCGGTGCTGCATGCCGAGACGTAGGATTCTTCTACGCGGTGAATCATGGTGTGGATGAGAAGATGTTGGAGGACACGCTTGACGCGTTGAAGAAGTACTTCGCCCTACCGACAGAAGTCAAGATGGAGACACACAACCAAAAGACCGAAAAGTTCAGAGGCTACGAAGCTTTCCTCGAGGGAAAGTTGGATCAGAGTACACGGGGTGGTCCGTCTCTTGCCTCGACCCTCATATATTGCACCTTCTGACATCCTTAGATCTAAAAGAAGGCTTCTTAATGGGAGAAGATGCCCACGACCCTGAGCAAAACCTTCCTCTCCCTCTCCCATCCACATCTCCTCGCAACCAATGGCCCACCCACCCCTCTGCTCTCTTCTTCCGTCCCGCAATATACCGCTATCACACCGCCATGTCCACCTTCAGCAGACTGCTCCTGCATATCTTCGCCCTCGCGCTCTCCCTTCCCGAAACCGCTTTCGATAGCATAACCACACATCCTATGACCAACGTGCGCGCGGTCCACTACCCGCCCCAAAATTCCGACGCAGACGTTGGAATCGGCGCACATACGGATTTCTGCTGGTTCACACTCGTCTGCCAGTCTGCGACGACACTGCCCGCGCTGGAGGTTCTAAACGGAAATGGTATGTGGGTGCCCGTTCCCTGTGTACCGAACAGCTTCGTTGTGAATATTGCCGATTTCTTAAAAGTCGTTACGGGCGGTTCGTGGATGAGTACTGTGCATCGGGTGCGGAATCGGAGTGGAGAAGAGAGGTATAGTATGCCGTTCTTCTTCAGTCCGAACGAAGATGCGCGAGTTAGCGTTGTTGAGCATTTGAGGAAGGAGGGGGAGGTATATGACGAGTTTGTTGTTGGGGAGTATTTCCAGAAGAGGTTGGAGGTTGATCGGAGGACGCATCTAGATCCTGATGAGGGGGGGAAGGGGACGGGGTTGTGATGTGTGTGGTAGGGAGTTGTGAATGGCAATTTTTTGGTTTGCGCACACAGAGGGTCGTATGGTTAGAAGTTGATTGGTTGAGGTTGCTGAGCTCTATGATGAAATTGAACACTTTCTACTATTAGAATCATCTCACCTTATGTTGGCGAGCTGGGCGCTGTGTGCTCAATATCTGCAGTGACATGTCGCTGTGCTCAACACATAAAGCAGCGCATACTGATTAACGTGTGATGACACTGGCACACCAATTTGCACTGTTACTTAACTCCATAGCCGTCGTCGAACGCCCCTTTATGGCCGCCTACCCAAATTTGACATATGAATAGCAATGTGTTAAATCTCCACGTCGTGAACGCCTTGCTCCGTCTTCAACACATAGGCTCCGGTTGCGTGGCAGTCGCAGAAAAGCTTCGTTTAGGCATGGAGTAGAGACTGGTATTAGGGTCGACGTATATAATTTTCTGGGTCGTTGACATTTTATATATATTCGAAACGAATCTACGCTTTGAGGTTAGCGTATACATCCATTGACGGTGGAATTGACTACCTAGTCCTCATACCCATTTCGAGTCCATGTTTCAGATTGTGTTGCTGTTCGTTACATCTTGGTCATATGACGCCCAGAGCCTAGAGACAACAAGACTTTCTCTGTCGTCTTTTGATTTATTTGCATGTTGATGTTTATACATTACTACTGCTGGCCTGCTCTGAGGTAGTGCCTTTGCCGCTTATAGATGTATTCTCAAGTTGCATCTCGGGTTTTGGTGTCTGCTTCTATGGTCTTCGCGTCGGCTAAAGCATAACTGGCTCAGATCAGTTCTGGCGTTGTCTCTTCCACAGCAATGAAGTCAAAGTACGTGTTGCGATATGCAGTGGGAAAGTGTAAGGTCATGTTGAAACCATTAAAGTCCAATCAATACACCGAGATCTGTCGTGATGCTGTCCAACAAGACGAAACAACTTGAACGGTCACGCTAAATTTTGATGTGAGATACTCAACTGCTTAGAGGACACCTGAGATTTTAGCCTTCCATCACAGCCTCTGGTCACGTATGTTGGGAATCTATAACCTAGTAGCTGGCCAGGTGGAATATTCGTGCATGAAAACACCGTCCATCTGCAGCAGTTCAGCGAGGATGACATGGTCACCAAGTCGTTATTCGAAAGTCATATTACTGCTGCTAGTCTTGACCCAACCGTAAATCCTCTATGAGTTGTAACGAGGTTGTGAGAGCCTGCAACAACCCTGCGAGACCAAGTCTTTCTGGTCAACCGTTTGATTCACGTTTGCTAGGAAATATCGTCTAGCTCGTCCGTAAGTACCGTTCTTACTACCCAACCGTACATGTATGTATCACCTCGTCCAGTATTAACGCAACTATCTAAGCTACGTTGTCAGAAAACAACCAGGATGGGAGTGGGTGCTAACACAATGACAACAATGAACAACAATCATGAATCTATACATGTATAAATGAAAGATTGCCTTGTGTAGTGAAACCGTGCATGCTGTGTTGTGACTGGCCAGTCTTCAGCTTAGACACTGAGATCTTTGCCGCTCAATCCGTACAACTTCCTATCGGATCACGGCATTGGACTGGGCTCTTTGCAATTAATCTAGTAATAAGAGATGAGACCTAAGATCGCTAAGGTTGTGTCAACCGGCTATACTTGCTACTACTTGCAGGGGAAATTGCAATGACTTGAATTTTCCTAACAAGGGCTGACCTTTCCCGGCTAGCTTATCTACTCTACTCATCGGCCCTATCATCGCGATGGCTGATCGCCCAAACCACTTGTGTCGATCAGAGCAGCAATTGCTGTAGCATGGAAGCCAGTGGCTCAGGCTACTATACCAGGTTAATAGAATGGCCAATGAGGTCCCTCAAGGGCGCGGTCATTCCACGATTGTTTGATTCCCGCGTCGAAAGCCATCTTTGATCGCCGACAGCATTGTGGAACAGTAGTCGAAGCCTAAATCTCGATGAGGGTTCGATGTTCTTCGGAGTGGCAATTCCACCGGTAATAAACACAAAAGCTGTACAATCTACCCGAGCACTATCTCTACCCCTCACTAGCAATCTCGATCCAGCATCTTGCGGCCCTCCCTCGGGAAGGCGATAGATATGCTACTCTCGAAATCCCATCTCCACAAATATCACAATCCGATACAGGTCTCCCTCCGCGGAGCGAAGGTTTAACGCTAAACGCCCAGCGCAATGTGGATCAATATGGTAATGAGCAGCGCTCGGAAAACACGTTCTGTTGGTGTCACAGGCGGACGAGTGCAGGCCCTTGCCTAAAGCTTGTGTAGACATCACACATCTTCTGACCTGGCAATTCGATCTGATGTGAAGTGGTCTCATCGTCTCGTGTTGCCCCCATGACCTATAGAAATATTCCATCGTAATACAACTTACTCAAATCGAAGAGAAGAGGACTTGAATCGTATTCATTTTGTGGACCACATGTGGCAGAATGACTTTCTTTACTAAGGCATTCCGCTGGTGTTTTTCCTAGCTTGCCGCCCCGCACAGACGACCGGTGTAAAGTACCTAGCAAATGAGAAGGCTTTATATATCTTGATGAGCCAATTACAATCCTTCCTTGGTCTTAGTACAATTGCGAAAACACCAGCGGGATACTACAATAATCATGATGGTGGAATTCTGGACCAGTCCGAATAGTCAGGTGTCTGTAGCCTTGATAAACATCAAGACACTAACTGTCGTCAGCGGTTAAGATCTTACTACCCATGCACAGCGTGACCACACCTTTGAATCATTTGACAAACGGGATGGCGGCGTTAACACATGTACGAATGAACACGTACGCATGCTGCTTCTTAATTTAGATGCTATGAGTATCTGAGTGGTCGCTTCTATGGGTATCAAAAGGCATCTACGGTGAGACCGGAATTTGTAAACATTAGAAATGCAAAGTGCATTGCTCACATGGCAAGGCGCATGTTATCAGTCCATAACCTCTCTCCTCCTCCAGCCATAGTACTTTATTCCAAATCAAAGATTGAATGTAGCGCGTAAGTTCGTGGTCGAGATCCGAAGTGGTGTTCTGAGATACCACATGGCAGGTATCGGGTTGTCAGACGAGTCGCTAAGCTTTGACATGAGCGAATCTAAGTTCTAAGACCCTGGCCCTTAGAGAGTGTATTGATGCGCTTTTTTATTTGATTGTCGAGGCCATCAAATTCTCCATACACCAAATTCTCTTGGGTCGAATCGACTTGCGAACTTACGGAGTGGGGTTTTTTTCCATGGCTTCTTCATCTGCGGCTCTGGCTGCCAGTTCACCGGCTCTTATTAGGACTGCGAGTGAGCCTTGTGCACGATAGTCACGAGATTGATGCTGAAGTGGTGGGGACGTGGCGAGTGGCAGTCGATCCAACGGCGAGATGACGGGCACCATGTTAGGCATCGGCTGGGGAAGTGTGCGCAGTGATTTGACTGGATCGACCAGAGGAAGCTGTCCAGAAAACCCCGCCGATGGAAGGTTATATCCACTATGACCGCTTTCGGAAGACCATGTAGAATCTTCATGAGTGAGGGGAGGAAGCCGTGTAGATTCAAGCATTTGCCGTCGCGAGTGTGAGGTTACCTCGACAGGACTTTGGTAATGGAGAGCATGAGTATGTGGCGGGGAAGTCGTGGGTGGGAGTTGATGCATAGGTTGCGTGTACAAGGAAGAGTGGTACGGCATATTGACATCTTGCCGCGCTCTCGAATCCCGTGCTATATGGACAGAGGCCACTTCAAACACAGATTCCTGTTGTGTGGTCATGGCTCGTGGAGAAGTAGCCGCAGGAGAGTAATGCTGGTCCATCCGAGGCGAGTTGAACCCAGAAATCGAATGCGGGATCGGCGATGAAGGTTTTGAAAAAGACGAAGGGGCTTTCGAGAGACTCGGGACACCAGGTGTTGGTGGACTAGGTTGAAGTCGATGGTGTCCTGTTGTGAAGTATTCGGGCTGCGTCGAGCTGAGCCTTCTATCTAATGCTCGCTCACCCTGCTCGTAGCTATTGTTTCGTACTGATGTACTCCTCTCTGTCTGTAGCTTCGAACGCTTGCCTTTTATATCTGTCACTAACGTGCTACGTGAAACCGTTGTAAGGCCACAAGGAGACGCACCTTTGGTAGGTCCGGCATGTTTTGCCTTGAAGTCCTCCAGATATTGCTGGTAGATGGCGAATTGCGATGTTTTCTTATATTCGGCCAGTCCTGCATAGTATTTCTCCTTCGCAGAGTTTGCTTGTCGTTCGCAACTTTCGCGTTCTTCTACCGGCAATATTTGCCATTTCTCACCTACGACCTTGGCAATCTCAGTGAAAGAAAGGTCTTGTCCCTTCAAGCTCTCTCGGACTTCTGCGATGCGTCAACTATGAACACTGTAAGGATGTAACACTCTTACGGTTGGAGAAGATGACGTAGGCCGATGGGGGCCGCTCTGGGGCGTGCTCATCCGGCTGCAAGAAGTCAGAATGGTACTGAATTACGCGCTAGCAGCGCGCCGTTCGCTACAAGGCCGTAACTGACTTTAGGGTGCCGACGATACTTTCGCTTGGTGCTCGTCCCTGTCGTACCAACTGTTGATGACTCCGCTCGTTTCACTACGTTTTCAGCCGAGTCATCGTCGCTGCGATAGGATCCCTCGGCACTTGTGACCCTGTTGAGCGTGGTTGGCAACGGGCGATGAGCGGACTGTCCTCGCGACTCTGCTATCCCTCTTTGGAGCTTCTGTTCAGAAATCTTAACAAAGTTCATGCAGATGTAGTCTGTAGCAGACTCGAGACAGAGTAGCTTACCCTGCGATGCCCAAGCTTGATATTGAGGTGACTTCTACAGCGTTGTGAGCGTTCATTCTCTTCAGACTCAGCAAGAAGTCTCACAAATCAGATTCGGTAATGTCTAGTACTGTGGCCCAGGTGTCGAAACCCTCGGCCACAAGATCCTCGAAATACTGGGACAGTCCCAGTTGCTGTAGCCGGTCCTTAAGGTCGTTCATGTAGGAAAAATTAAGGTCGAATGACCAGGTAGGGTGGTAGGGGTGGTCGTGTTAAGTTGGTATCGAAAAGAAGATGACTTAGGTCGGAAATGCCGCCAAGGTCGAGATTCTACTTAACAGAGAGTCACCGGTGGCGTCGGATCCGGCGACCGAGTGGTCCTGAAATATATGTGTATGGCCGGAGTAGTTTACGAGTAGAGCGACGGAATAGGAAATCGTAACACTCGGTCCACCTTCTCTGATTGGCGCGGTAAAGCGGTGGTGGCGATGGTGAGTTGTAGAGATTAAATAACAAGAAACCAAGTGTTGCTAGGCGCAAACGCGCAAGAAGAGTACAAGTGGTGGTAGGATCGAAATTAGTGTCCGCCCATAAGTGGTTGGATGTAACGTTTATATGGAGGAGATGAGCCTCAGATCAAGTGGGCAGAAGGCTATGGTGATAGGTTGCGATATGTACAACTGCTGTCATGGACACGGAACGGGTTCCTGGGGTGGACACGATCCAAAAGCCGATCGGCGGAGGGTTGACCCGTCTCCAAAGGATGGCAGGCAGAGAATTAATCGTCTCCAACCAACTCCACAAGAATTGCGGCAGGATGGCGACAATATGATGCTAATGTGAATCCGGACGGATAGTGGAAATGTCTATGTGAGGCTACCGGGAACTTGTGCCGACATATCGAATTTGGAGGGTATGGCGCAGGACATCAAAAAGAGTGTTTGGGTGGGAGCGAATGCGCAATAAAGTCAAAAACTGATCGCAGTATCGACACGCGGACAGGGAATCTATGGAAAAAGCGAGGGCCAAGCAAGCGCTTGAACCGAGAACGCGCAGGGCACGGAGATTCTTCGAGATCAAGGGCGGCTCGTGAATGGACGACGCATAGCAAATGACGCCGAAGTGAGCGCAAGACGACCAAGATCACAAATAGAGACGCGATCGGTATTTTCGGAAGCAACGATCAAGCTGCAGGACCTCCGCTAAGGAGGCTACAACGACCTAGCTATTCCTTGCAATAAGGCATCACATGACGGCTACCACACGCACGGCCATTGGAAATCTGCTTGTTCGTAGAAACCCTGACCAGATCCTTGTTGCCTTTGCTAGCTGCGTTATCGTCTACCAGAATGGACAAAACTATTCTAGAGGATTCTAGAAGCAAGGGAGTTGATTGTGTATAAAGGCCAAACTGTGAGATTCGAGAAAAGTGCTGACTAATTAAGCCTGCGCCTTAGCCAAACTCAACCGCTCGATACGAGATGTTGGTGCGTTCAGCTCACCCCGGTCCATTATGCTGTGATTGCTCTTCAGGCGCCTCATTTTGATCATATCGGTCTGCCATGGACGTCCTTGTCGGGCAGAGCTCCTTTCTTTGCTGTATGACGCGAGCATGAAATTCCTGAAATTCCTGAAATGCGAACTTCCGCACAGAGCACCCCTATACATTGAAGTGTTCCTCGGTGACGTTACCTACACGCTGTAACGATGTCAATGTGATGTCTGCTAGTGCTTTAAGCGAAACAAGGTGGTAAATCGATCGTCGATGCCACGCAGCAGTGCTCCAGGAGTATGCGCTGCATCGTGCTGATGGACTGGCAATATCGTGGACCTGCTCGCAGTGTCTTTAACCCTGTACCACGAGCGCGTTTGTTCGTGAGCGAATGTGGCCGATCAACATCCAATGTGGGGCGGAGAGGAGATCTCGGCATGACAACTGCGGAGCGGAAAAAGGAGATGATAGAGTGGACTTGGCGGATGTTAGAAACGCACGTTTGCAATCGCCCCATGGAACTCGAAGCCTTAGTGGACCGCGGCATTTCGTTCTATCCCTGGAGATATCTACAGTTCCGGGAGAACGTCATTGGCAGGTGCCATACGTACTACCGTAAAGCTTCATAGTGCACAGCCGGATCTTCATGAGGTTAGAACAAGAGCAAAACGTTCGCAGACCTATCGATCTGAAGACAAGACTAAATGACGTGGTTGACAAACTTGCGTGTCTTCGTATTGACTGCCAGCAAATGCTGCTTTTGCTTGACTAGCTTGCAACAAAGTCTACTCAGGCATCATCCCAAACCCGTCAATCGCAATAACGGAAAACACACCGCCTTGACGTAGAAGCATTGCCCAACCGTCATCGCCGACACCGCCAGATACTAGTATGTGGCTTGAGTCGAGTATGCAAAGTCAGATGTTCTTTGCAATGTTCGGTGAATGAAGCCAGGATCAGAGCAGATAACATCGACGATACCTCTGTGTCTGATCTATTCGTCCTCGAGTACTGTCTGACCGTCTCCCCCAGGAACCATCTAAGCAAGCAATTAGTTTGGTCATTGATGAAGCGTGAGTGACAATACCATGCAGATGTTGTTCCCGTTCAACAAGATTTTGGGAAGCTTGACATTACCCTCAGCAGGGTCACTATGTTACTTATTAGCTCAGTTCGCATACCAGGTCTTCACAGTGAAAAAGGGCGTACATCTCAGTCACGTCTTCGAGTACCATGTTGACGTAGTCATCGAACCCGACCAACTTCCCTGTGAACTCTATAGCTGATTAGTCTGGCCCTACTATCTGGATTCTGGACAGGCAAACCTTTTCCACCGTTCATGATGACCCAAATCTGCGAACCCACACATTTGTCGATCAGTTCTATGGAGGGTCAGGATTTGCACACACAAGGTTAGAATTTGTATGTACCGAGTGGAAGAAGATTCTCGAGTGACATGGCTATAGGGTCTGGATGGTCGATTGAGTATGCGAACCGCTGCCTACGAGTGCTTTGTTGTAGAGGTGGAAGTGAGGTATCACAGATCTGATAAACGCAGCCTTGGCATCTTGCAACACCGTCGCGCTAACAGACATCCTCGCGTATCAGGGTCCAATAGCCACCGTCCAGCCAGGCAGACACAGCGCCGCCTTCACACATACCCCTCTTTGTATACCTGGTGCCTAGTTGGAGCACTATAATGGAGGGTAATGCTTCTCGGTCGACGCGTCTCCTTTCCAAGCGCGTCAAGTGTCCACCGGCGTGTTCACCATGAGAACGATATAAACAGCGTGTACACAGCTGCAGTGCGTCGCGCGCAAAGGTAACACTTGTCCTCAAGGCCTCAAAGAAGATGTAAACTGACACGGAATATCAGTAACTCATCTCTCTCGAACCGTTACTCAACGGTACCCGCAGCTATGCCTGGCAGTCCACCCTGTTCACCGTCAGCGCCATCTCCTACCCCAGAATCCAGATGGAAGCGGGGACGACCTGTTGTTTCGCCAAGACGCACTGGGGACTCGACACATTCGGGTTCGAGACTGTGGGTTCAAAATCTGCCCATACGATTTGCACACAAGGACCCGGTGGCGCTGCCGGCCAGACAAGGGAATGAACAGCAGAGTCCTCCTAGACAACAGACGGTGCCTTTCCCTGATGGGGAATTTGGCATCTCAACAAATGCTTCAGAGCACTGTACAACGTCAGCATGTACCCGTTCCTTGCGCTTCACACCAACGGCAAACAGATTGGCCCCCCATCCGACGACAATTACTACCGAGTCGGAGGTAGCGCATCAGCTTCATGTTGATTCAGGACGCTTATCCACCGAAATGTCTCAGAACATGCCTAGAGCGCATGCTGATAGTGAGGGAGGGCTTGGTACAAAGCAGGATGACGTTGAAATCCAAGAAACTGGGTTTGAGCAGGACAGTGATGCTCAATATGACGAAGAGGATCACGCAGAACAACATGTGCCTCTTGCCTTCCAAATTCCAGACGATGCATTACGCGCTGCGATGCTGGCTTCCCCAAACACACGAGCAAGTTACTGGAGTGCAAAGCTTTATCGAGGACCTGGGGATAAGCAGATATCTACCCACTACTGTCAATCTCTACAGGTAGCAGAGCGCGTCGCCAAGTATTTCTTGCACCAGAAGGTTGTAGGGTTTGACATTGAGTGGAAACCTCGAGCTAATCCTGCCTCGATTAAGAAGAACGCATCACTTATACAACTTGCTTGCGAAGATCGGATTGCGCTCTTCCATATCTCTCTCTTTCCGGGCACAAGCGCGAAACAGCTGATGCCACCCACCTTGAAAGCTATCTTGGAGTCGCCCGATATCTACAAGGTTGGTGTAGCTATCAAGGGCGATTTCAGCCGCCTAAACAAGTTTCTCGATATACAAGGTCAAGGTGTGTTCGAGCTGAGTCGTCTTCACAACGACGTAGAGTTACACGCCACCGAACCGGAGAAAACCGTGAACAAGCTCGTAGGTCTTGCTGCGCAAGTGCTTCAGCACTTGCAGCTACCTCTGTACAAAGGCGGACAAGTCGACGACAATCTGACAGGCGATACGAATGTGCGCGAAAGTGATTGGAGCCGGCCTTTAGATGTCCAGCAAATCCATTACGCTGCTGCAGACGCGTATGCTGGATTTCGTCTTTATCACATGCTTGACTGGAAGCGTAAGCAACTGAGACCGGTTCCTCCTAGACGTGGGCTGTGCGATTACGATTCGAAAGCCGCTCCCAAAAGCCCTCTAAAGAAATTGAAAACCGCTAGGAATTCAAAAGACGAAAGAGATGTTGCAGTCGAGCAAACAGCTCAGGCGGCTGAGCAGGAGCAAGAACAAGTGGACGAAGCAGAAGATTACAACAGCTCTGTGTCGGAAGAGCCTGTCGACCGTTCTGATCCAGACGGTCCCATACCAGCGTCCGTATCTGCAATTCCCGGAGTGACGGACGATGTCGCAAGCCCAAGTGTTTCGCACTCAAGGCAAACAACGCGTTTCAAAGTCAGGCGCTGCCAGACTGATACTATGCGCCAACAAACCGGCCGAGTCAATCTGTCCTGGCTGAGGAATCCTGATCCAGGATATCCCGCTCTTCCTGACCCCGGATATCCCATTCTTCCCAAAAGGACTGAAAGTGGCAGTACCCGATCATCACAAGGCCGTTATCTTGACGAATATTTTGAGATCCTCTCGAGGAACCGTAATAGTCAGTTCAAGGAGGATCTCGATGTGGAAGAAGACGAATTCGCAGATCAAGAGCTTGAAGATGCGCTCAAGTCCATGGACATCAACGATCAAGGAAAATTGACAAGCGATACGAAAGAAATGGACATTGCAAGTGAACTAGCAGATGGAAGCCAAACGGCATCTCCTTCGAAGGAAGGCCAGTTGACTAGCTGCATACATGATGAAGAAGCTAGACACACCGAGAAACACGCCGTCGAACCATCCGAATTGAACTCAGTAAGCGATGATCCTGAAGAAACAGCAACGGTATCAACACCTACTCTCAAGACTCCCACCGACGAAATGGGAGATGTTGCCCATACGACTGAATATGAGTATGCAACGCAATGGGCACAGAACTACCTCCAATCTACTGTTCCGTCTCCAGAGTCCAAAAGCCCCTCGCGCATCCGTGCTACACTCACTCATCTTCGTGCCTACCACATTTGGCATCACCAGAAGCTGACGATGGACGAGGTTGCAAAGCATCTGCGTGACCCGCCATTGTCTCACATCACCACAACTGGCTACATTTTGCAAGCCATCACCCTGGAGAATCTGGACTATGAAAAAATGGCAGTGAGGGATGTGTTGGTAGGGATGCCGGAGGGGTTGAGAAGGGGAAGGTGGAAGTGGCTCTCTGAGAAGGTGGGCGCCTTGAGTTGAAGAACTCGAGATGCATGCGAACAATGATCATGTCAGGGAAAATACTTCGGCTTACAAACTTGGGATGAATGTTCTTATAGCCCACGATTGTCCTTGCGTTCGCGCGTTTTACAAACTTGATTATCAATGGATTCAACTCTCGCATGTAGTCACCTTAACCATCTTACACTTCGTTCCTTTCAACCTCTATATGCTCATTGTTACCTCGTCAACAGAAGATTCCAGACAGTTCGGGATTCATCACACCTGCAGGCCACTGCCATGCGTTGTGCAATCATGATCAGTCACCGTGCAAAAAGCACTTCTCACAGTAAATACTGTTTGCATACAGCGCAAGCAATTGCAGGTTTCTCTGTCTTCCCTCTATTCCAAATATCCACCCTTGAACGTTGAAGGATAACATCACAACTGCGTCCAATCATTCGAATTTGACGACTGCAATCCATATATCTTCACTTAGCATGACGAACATGTACTCATCCTCGCGCTATGCGACTTCACCATGGTCTTTGGCCTCACCAAAACCGTCCACTGCATCAGAACTTCCACCTACAACAACAGTCTCCCGTCCTTCAACTCCCGCAAACCAATTTCCAACATTAACAAGCCGTCCCCCCACATCCCGATCCCTATCCACAACCCGCTCCTCAATCTCCGACGTACCACCACCTCCCCTTTCTATCCCCCCACACGCAACATGGACATGCCGCACCTGCCGTACTACCCACCCATTCACCTCCACCAACCCCATCCGACCTCTAGGCACCTTACGTTGCTCCACCTGCCACCTCGTCGCTAACTCCTCCGTCCAGATCCACGGTCTGGCCTTCACGCTGCCCCGAGGCACACACTCCGCTGTCTCCCTTCCGCCGGGCAGCTTACAGTGGCCAAGGAGCAGTCTGATCTGGGCGTGCTGCGCGTGCGGCCGCAGCCATATCAAGCACTGGAAACCGGTGTCTCGCCCATCACCGCATCGTAGTGCGGAGCCACATGCACGCATACGGTCAGGCGCCGAAGACGAGAAGCACAGCCTCCGTAGGACGCTGAAGAAAGTCTTTCATAAGCGTGAGCAACGCAGCGATAGCGTTTCTGATCCTGTGCGTCCTATCGATGTTGAGATTGATAGTGCGACTCCGGTCTTTCGGAGTAGTGTCGAACGTCCTGCGTTTGTGACTGTGTTTGATAAACCGTGTAAAGCTGACTGCGGCCACGTGCCTTGCACACTGTGCCTTAGGATCTGTGTAGTGGCGGAAGACGAGTGGCTCGCACATGATACTATGCCGCAGGGTGACGTTGTAAACGTAGACGAACCGAAATGCGTTGACCAGCCGGAGGAGGAACAGGTGGGCCGTCCGGCGACGATGTGTAGCCTACTAGGGTTGCCTGGAATTACGCGGCCGTATGGAGAGGGGGAGGGGAGTAACGAGGGAATGATCTGGGAGCGGGAGGAGGATGGACGGTGGGTTAGGTATTTGAGATCATTTAGTGAGCATGTTTAGTTGGTTGAGATGGGCGTTGAAACCATGTTGGGTTTTATCTACGAAGAATAAGAGCACGTATATGGTCCATGCTATCTACCTGAAAGCAAAACCCCATCCTTGGGCATTCTTTGATTGATGCTCACATTCAAACCAACCCAACCGAACCGTATATATCGCTATTCGCACGCTTTCTTCTGCATGCACCTCTCAGGACGACGATTGCCATGTCTTTGTTGTCCGTCACTATGTCATCATACCGAGGTGCTTCGAAGGCGCTTTGTTTTTTGTTTCCCATCTGGAGATTTCTAATCATCATTCTCAAACTCATCCTGGTTGCTCAGGGTCTTGGGTCCGTCTTTGCGGATGGGTATCTTGATGCCCTGAGCCGCAAAGCACTTGCTGAGCGATGTGCTCTCGATGACGCCGGGGAACTTTTTGGCGGAGTACACGGTAAAAGGGGCAGAGAAGCAAGAGGCGAGCACAGGGCATTTGCCAGTGTTGATTACAGAGCAGTTACCCTGGTCAGTGCCAACGTCGACGATGCTGAACTTGAGCCTGTATCAATATGTTAGTGAGTGGTATGACGAGGATAGTGATGGAAGCGTACCTAAAATGCCCTTCGGTCCGCACCGACAGATCCTGGAGGACAAACCAGAAGCCCGGCTTGCCATCTAGATCATTCAAGCGCTGGGCGTTGACGGAATTGGAACCAATGAGATTGCGAGTGTGGTTCTGGTTGATCGGCGTGACTGGCAGCGATATCTGAGTTGGCATAACTGGCAGAGCATTTGAACCATAGCCGGCTACTCCATACTGTGGAACATAACTGGGTGCGCCTGTAGTAGGAGAATAGAAGTTTGACGGCCCCCCCGGACCGGTGACGTACTGGGTCGCTTGTGTCTGTGATGGCACCGGGTGTCCATAGTTGTTGACTTGTATCCCCGAAGGCAAGCCTATGTACATAGGACGGTCCGGCGTAGGTGGATATGAAGTGGTAGTGCTACTAGATATCGATACGGTGGGAGCAGCGTTGCTATGACGAACCAGGTTGACGGGGCGCGCAGCCTCTTCGTTCCAAAGGTCAACCATGAGAACGAAGAATGCACTATGGACTTCATCACAATCAACCTCCCTTCCTGTTTGGGAGTTGGTTACAACCAGACGCACACATGGCGGGGGTGTGATAGGCCGGCGATCCTACAATCAGTCACGTGTTAGCATTGTACCAAGCCAAACCCATTGGTGCAGGTGCGTGTCTTACCTTGTCGCCAAAACCACACATTCGGGCCCTGATGGGCTGTTGGTCGACGATCAACTCATACTGTCTGCCGGTTTTGGTGCCTCGGAAACCCTTGGCACTTCCCAGCTCCTCGTACTGGAAGTCGGAACTCGGCTGCAACTGTGTCTGCTGTTGAGGTAGGACGTGTTGATGCTGGTGTTGAAGTTGATGCTGGTGTTGGTGTTGATGTTGAAGTTGATGTTGTGGGGGTGGCAGATGCATCATCGCGCTCGGGTCGTGGTGCATACTCGACGGAGGTAGCGAAGCAGCATCGGACCTGGGCTGCTGTGTGGAGACCACAGGGTAGTGCTGAGTCTGTTGGCGAGGGTGAGTATACATGTTGGCTAACAACGTGCTTGGGGATGATGTTTAGAATTATGGGTGATGAGGAGAGAAGAGCCACGACGCGGGCGCGAAACGATATATGCAGCTCCAGTGACCCGTGCACGGCTTTGGGACTATCCTCTCTCGATATTGGGGACCGATTGTTGTTAAGCTTTATGAGAAGTGATTGCAGCGCGAAGTTGGTAACGCTTGTGCGCTCATCGATCCGCGGTTCGTCCCATACCACTCGGCCCGTTGCTACTAGATACACCCACCCATCTTCTTATTTACACTTGCTCCCCACATCGCGCCGCACTACTGCAGCCCTAACATCGTACCGCCAGGCTTCGAGGTAGACTCCAGTCATGTGAGGGGATTTGGCCTGGACCAGTTGGTAGATCTGGCTATAAGACTGGATTCTACATTGCGACCTGGCGGTACAATATTAGGGCTGCAGTAGTGTGGTGCGATGTGGGGAGATGGGATGGGCGTATCTTGCACGTGCAAAAGCCGGAAGTAAGCTGCGTATCCTTCTCGAGACAAACACGCGACGAAGCTACAGGGGGAAAAGCCACAAGAAAAGTAGATTAGGCATATATCTGTAACAATTTGGGCGCACATGTTTCGCAAGGATCTTGAATGCAGTTGTCAAGTTGTTGCAAGATTTTGCTGCAGCTTACTTCCGACTTTTACCACAAGATTCAACTGGATAGATTTGCCAGTAATCAGGTTTGAGCTGTGGCGCAGTGACTGAGCCACAATGGCTTAGCATTTTCTGTAGAATTGATTGGCTTCAACCCCTACTAGTGGTAGGCCTATCGAGTTGAATTCTACGGTACTTGACCGAGAGTCGTCCCACCGCAAAGGATCTCGGCGGGAGCACTAACGCGCCTCATCCGGCAAACTGGTCACTGGCGCCAACGAGGCTTCAACGTTTTTCGAGTCTCGTGTTTGAGGCACTTTGCATTGTGATCAGCTGGTTATGCGATGGCTAATCCACATACGCAAACATTACTGGAGACACCTTTATGAGCACAAACTTTAACTAAAACTCTATCCGAAGTGAAACAGAGTCTGCTTCTTGTTTTTATTCCCCTTTTTCTTTCCAGCACTCGCGTCCTCCGCTGCCGGGGTCGTTGAGCCGCTGCCTTCTCCAGCGCCCCATGCGTTACCTGTCGGTGTGTTCCGTCCACTATTGTCTCGCCGGAGACCTAGCCCAGTGTAGCCAGGGCTGAAAATGGTGCTGGTAGGTTTGGCTGCTGCAGGCAGGGCGGGGAAGCCATCCGCGAGGTTTGCTTTGGGTGCCTTATTGCTGAGGCCTGTTGAAGAAGCGGTGCGAGAGGGCATGGGTGATGCGCGCGCACTTGTACCAGACGATGAGGCCCATGGTGTTTGCCCTGGTTTCGCTCCAACGCGGTTCGCTGACGCTGCTGCCGGCAAAGCTGGGAACGTACTACTCGACGACGCTGAGGACCAGCTCGCCTGTCGATTGGCCGTTGAGCGTGATGACTGTGCTGTTGAGCTCTTGAGCTTCAGTACTCTAGATCCTCCATGAGCCGCTGTGGCACCGTTGAGTGCCTGTCCTGTTGCAGAGCCAGGCAGAGATGGATAGTCTTCGTTGATCGCTTTCCAATCACTCCATGCTTTCAACAGACCCTGCCGTTTCGCATCAATTTCGAAAATCTCCGCTAGTTCCTTGACAAGCTTTCCTAGCTCCTTCGCATTGTTGTCGAACAAGGCGAAAAACCCCTCGATGAGCTGCGTCGCAGACACCTTTGAAGTGCGATATGCAGATATCTGAGATCGGAATTCTTGAAGCTTTGTTTGGTCATTGCGTAGCATGTTGGAAGCTCGTTCGGTAACTGCGTTGTGACGTAGTAGCCGAGCTTGTTCCTGAGGAGTCTGTGGTGTGGAATTCGGGGCTTGTGCATTGAGGTTCAAGTCTCTAATGCTACTCGTGATGTTGTTCGCAGACGTCGGCGTTGGACGCGAAGCTGTTACTGTCGCTGGCTCAGACGCGCTTGGTGAAGGTCTGGCAGCGAATGCTTGGCTTGGAGTTGGATCTGCAGTGAGCTGGCCGCCAAAAGCTCGTCCTGTCACCGAGTGCGAGTTCTGGGCTTCCATCTGCCGCTGATATGCAAGCTCTGCTCTGGTCAGCGGCTGAGCGGACGAGGCAGGCAATGGTTCCGCATTCGGATCTCGTCCCCGTCCGCGCCCTCTGCCTTCGTCTCGTCTCCGATCGTTTCGTCTGCCAGCCGCCTCCGGCTCATGTGGTGCTCGAAACTGAAATCCAGACATGTCTACTCTCCGAGCGTCTCGTAAAGCATCTTTGGATAAACCATTCGGATGGGCTTCCAACTGGTGAGCCTTGATGTCCATTTCAGAGTCGAACACAACAAACTTTTTCTCCATGCATTCTCGGTCAGGGCAGAGGAAATGGTCTTTACGGAAATGCACCTCCAGCGCATCATAGTTCACGTAGTACTGCTGCTGCTGCTGCCTTGCCCCATCACGGCGATCGCAAATGTGACAACGTTCGTGTTTATCTCGGCAATGCGCATAGAGCTCGTCATCTCCATAGAAGCGCTCTCGGCAGAAACCGCATTCTGGATGTCCCTTGAAGCCACTCTGATCGATTGCGCCGGGGTCGTCATCGCCAAATTTCTGGTGCTTCTTGAGCTCGGGGTAGGTGAACAGCTCGTGTTCGTGAGTGAAGACTTTCTTGTTTCGTGTACAAAGGTCGCTAGTAGTCGTTAGTAGCTGTCCGTAGCTTGCATGCAATTGAACAACACTCACCACATGACCTTGCCATGCGCCGTCTTGGTATGGCGATGCAGGTCTGGCCAGCCCAAGCAAGCAACATCACATTCGCCGTCTGGGCAATTATACTGCAACAACAACCGCGCATCCTCGAAGATCTCGGTCTTCTCAAAGTGTATGCCCAGGTTATCGTCTGACTTGAAGAACTCGCTAGGGGAAAAGCTATGGTAGCTCTTCTCGTGATCGTCTGTGAGGATAACGTGATCCGATTCCGTCCGACAATGTGCGCATGCCTTGGTCTTGTACAGCGCCCTCATCCTAATTGAGCAAATGTGGCAGGTGCGGTGGTTGCAGGGCGCGACTGCTGTGTGCTGGACAGGCGAGGCGCAAATGAAGCACACCTCGGCATCGTCGTCCTCATCGGTCGGAGGCGCAAGGTTAGGCTTAGTGAGTATTTGGGGAGCCTCGCCCTGTTCATCTGTCTCTCCTGTAGGCGCCTTGCCCTTCTCCAGAACTCGTCCACCACGGCCGCCTCCGCCATCTCTGTTCCCATTCCCACGTCCACCACGTCCACGGCCCGCCTGGAACCCGCCGCCTCTGCCTCGTTCCCGCGACCCGTAGTTCTCGCGTCCGCCTTCTAATCCATTTTGTGCGCCTCTACCACGCCCTCGGCCTCTTCCGCCGCGTCGTGGGCTCGTGGGATCTTGGGGGTTCTCTTGTCCCCCAGTTGAAGGGCTAGCAGATGACATCGCGGGGTAACAATGGCTTTTCTTTGAGAAGCGATATGAGCGAGAGTAAGGATAGTCTATCGTGGGACGGAAGTGAGTGTAACTGCAGCTGGATTATGGACGAAAGTGGCGGGGACAGGCCGGTGAGGCCTCTTATTTGGCGGGCGAGTGTTTGATCAGCGATTTGTGAAAGAGGCTGATGACGACGATGCATGGGCCACACAACGTAGTTAGCGTGTGCTTCTAGCGCATCTTCTAGGACATCGTTCAGTCATCACAGCTCACACCAGTGACTCTGCCAGACAGTCATCCGATGATTCGAAATGATGCAGCATGACGAAAACAACAGTGACATGGTCAATCCCAGCTTATATCTTAGAGATACCATGTAAAACTGAATGATTAGGTACAGAAGCCAAATACGATGAAATATGCAGCATTCCGAATTACTCTTGAAACGACTTGCGAGTTTTCATCTCATACTCGAAGCTCCTTCCAACTCCCTTATTATTAACTTCCCCTCTCGAGTTTTCGCGCACCGCTCCATCTTGTCGAGTCATGTACGGTAGTTTGCGATGACCAACCTGGCTCTCCTCGAGAGCAGTCAAGCTTCGTTGGGTGAGCTCCCGCTTTCGATGAAAGGTAGCACTGAGCTGCTTGACATGATGAGGGGGGCTCTTTTGTCGGATGGCACCGTGTCGGCGAAGAGGTGGAGTAAGAAAGAGTGGGGAAATAAGGTCGTCGTTGTTGTCTTGCGTCCTAGAGTCTGACGTTGTCGAAAATATAGCTTTCTGTGATCTTGCTTTGTTAATTGAAATCAAAAGTCGTCGCGTCTTGGGCCGTACGCCCTCACGAATGACTACAAGTTCCTCTTTTTGCCGGTTGTGGTATCTCTGGTCTTTTATTTCACTACCTAGCTGATCCTCAGGATCGTAGGAGGCGCTGTTCAAACCGACTTTATGTTGAATATCATGTTCATGGTCGGGATTTGCAATGTTATCTCGGTCTGCAGATGGGTCAGACGAGTTCTTAGCGTTGAGGTCATGGTTATAGGGAGCCATGGTGTTGAATGCACGAAAATGTATAGATATTTAGCGATTCTATGATGGTATACCAGACTCTTATAGTACCAGTTCCGTCCTTGAGGGCTGAGTTGAGAGTGGAACTTTGCTCGACGCAGCATTGTAAACATACAATGGGAAGTTGGGATTCTCATCTATACAATGTCAATATAAAGACACTTACTTAAGAAGGTCGTTCACTAAGTAGTTGATCATATACGTCGCTCTCCAATGAATGATTGACCACCGTCGTAATCAGCCATAAGATCTCTAAGAGTTTCAATATGTGTATTGTTTTCTTGGCCAATAATCAGTATTCTTGGGTTACGGATTCCAGCAGCTTTCCCACAGCTCACAAAAAGCGCATCCATAATGCCCCCATATTTTTTATGACACCACTTCCCTCGCCGTAGACTGTGCCTTGTGAAAACTCGCTACTATCAGTCGAATTCGGTGTGCCGTTTGGATTTGGAGGGTGCGGGCTATCATCCTATTCGTTGTCCGATACCTGCTCTTGTACATTCTCGACAAATTCTCCTATGACATTACCTGATGGAGAGTACTCGCATACAACGTACCAACCAGGTGCATCGCCCTTGCCTCCATCTTCGCCACCGTTACACTCAGTGCGACTGCAGCCGACTTGGGTTGTGGATTTCCAGACAAGTTGAGTGAAATGGCCCGCGTCCATGCTGCGTGGTATTTAGTATTGTGACTTTGTGATGGTGATAATAAGCTTAAGATTTGAGGGTGTTATACCTAAAGTCTCCCTTTTCGAAGTCGTAGTTTACTCGTTCTTCACCCCAGCCAACGATCGCTTCCGACGCACTGGGGAATCCAGATGCAAGATTTTCTCCATAAGGACCGTTCTTACATATGTCAGCAAACAATTTTCCATGTGGTATACGTCAAATCTTGTTCAAGACACGAGTTCTAACTCGTCGGGGGCCAGTTCAACTCACACTGTGGTCAAACTTGCAATCCTGACTCCACTCATTCGCATACTCCGCTAGTGTATCGTTCCACACGAGATCTGTGGCATTATGCTGTTTGCGGTACGTGTTCGTCCCATTCAATATCGCGTCGCGGAAATCGGCATCATCCGTATAGTCAGTGCTACTTTGTTGCTGAGCCGAGATGAGGGTTGCGCCTTGATAAAGACAAAACAACAAAGAGACGAGATACATGATGAGTATCGGACAAAGAACAGCGTAAAGAACAGATTATTTCAACGGAAGGAGAAGATAGATAAAATACACTTCAAGGGGGAGTTGAGTCCGTTCAACAGTGAGAAATTGGAATCAAGATGTGTGAAGTATTTTTTTCGGATAAGAAAGAACAGAAACACAGGAAAGATGCAACTTGAGGTGAATACTCTATAAACTGGTCGAAATGCATGCGACCAGGCCCGATTACCAAAGCTCTGATCGGGTGAACTGGAAATCCTCCCGAGGTAAACGTAATATCACTTAACATTAATCAATTTAAAACCTGAGAACGCTGTAGAAGTGGACCTATTACGTTAAATTTAATAGCCACAGACACCTGCAATGTCTCCAAAGCGTGAAGAAGTGCTTATGTTTAATATTCATCCCAACTCAGCTCATATAACACGAAACGAAAGCTATCGCTGCGCCCTAACGCTGCTGCTATCTGTGACGTTACCTCTGACAACCAAACAATTTCATGAGTAGCGTTTCAACACCTGGACGGGCAGTAGTTACTGGTTTCGAAGTTATGTGAACTTCTTCAATTCCTGCCATAAACGGCTATAACGCCCCTAAACTGCAATCCGATCTGATCGAAACAAGCCGAAACCAAGATTAATGTTCGGATCTCCAAACAAAAGCGGAGTAACATCATTCCAATCGAGTCAGGACAACAATCCTACAATGATCCGTGTAATCAACAAAAGATGCCAGAAGATGAGCCTACCTCGCTCCTCGTTTTTGCAACCCGTCTATTGCAGGGTGTCTGCAGAGGTTTCCGCATTCACGCTCATTGACGTCTTCCTTTCTACTCTCTGCGATTGACTTTGACCTCTCGTCACTGGCATCAGCTTGAGCCGACTATGTCCACTCTGCTACTCGCGATGATATCTGCTAAATGGATCGCTTTGAACTCTACGTTAGGCTCTCTCCACACGCTCAATTACGTTCGAGGAGAGACGATTGCCCTTTTCATGTTCAACAAAATGTTCTACCACGAGCCTCTCCATGTCTTCCCGTCGGAGTGTCGCGAGCAAATGCAAGTGAAGGAGGTCGGTTTCGCAAGCCAGACGAGTAGTATATGCGATACCAAGTTGTCGGATATTTAGGCCAAAGCTGTGAGTATCTATCGGCCGAGTCTATGAAGGACTTGATGGGTCGGAGTAGGTACCAGCATCGTGTCGCTCTATTTAGTGTTGATGAAAACGAGTCTTGTGTTTTGCAGTAAATACACAGCAGGGTATCGATGATGCGAAGAGGTATGCCTACGAGGATACTTGACAGAGCTACCGAACCCACCGTACACACGAGTTGATGTGCAAAATATGTTCCATCTATCCTAACGCTGCTTTGATTGCATCTCCTGTTATTTACTGGTTTTACTGACCAGTACTTCCAAAAATAACATACATATCAAGTAATGTGCATCACGTTACAATAAAACGCTACGTAAAACTATACCATCAAATCGATTGCTTCCAAAATCCCATACGAGCCTGAGGCTGCGTAAAACAGTAATCTAAAGTAACACGCGGCAACATCGATAAACAGCAGTGATCTAAGTCACACTCAACAGTCTGGCAGACTTAGGCATCAGCGACTTCTAGTCACCAAGAGCATACAGCCAGCGTTTTGGCACACCTGGCATCGTTGTGAAGGGAAATACTACAGAACCACGGTCTTCGGATCTGCAACATGGAACTACCTCAAAGTTGAGTAATATTACACCCAGCTTCCTAAAACTTCCCAGAATCTCGACGATCTTCAAGATGGATCTTGGCCTGCGCTGGTGACTCTTCATCAAAGCGGCGCCACATGGCATCACTCGAGAGCTTGAGTAACAATTCTTGAGCAATTCTCGTGGCGTCAGCACGATAGGCAGCGACCGAGCCGAGCTGATACCGAAGCCAGCTCTCATCTTGACTTTGGCCACATAGACAAGCGTTTTTGCTGAACACGATCCGACCGTTGCAAGACTCTGTTCGATGAGACAGGCCACATCCAGGGCAGATCTGGCAAAACCGCAGTTCGCGGTCATCTTGATCTGAGCAGTCGGCAGTATCCGATAAAAAGGGCGTCAAAATTTCCGTTGCCAGACATAACCGACATGGAACTTTGTTGCACTTGCCACAAGTGAGGTGTTTGAATGGAAACGCACCTTGGAAATGTGTTATTCTGTTTTCGTTTTTGCAACAACAAACCCACACGCCGTCTTCGGGATCTATCTGGTTGCGATCAAGAGCTGGAGTCGCGCTTTGAGGATCCATGTCGGTAACACTGAAGGGTTTCTCTGCTGGCATTGCGGCGTCTAGGTTTCGTTCAAGCGTCTCTGCTGACACTGTGGTGCGTCGGACATCAAATGGCAAATCGTTCGCCATGTTCTTGATTGCAGAAATTGATTGTTTGCTCTTTGCCTTGATGTTTTGTGGATTTATGTAAGTGACGCTGCGTATGTGGAAAAGATCACTGTGAGAATAGGGTAGCTGTCTTATACGTCCGCTTTTCTGTGTTAACATGTTCGGTGTATGATGCTAATATCTCAGCTTCACTGTCGATGGATATCGACCGGCTTTATGCAGGGACAGGTTCACACTGTCCTTCGCGAAGAGGTTCGAATCTTCTCGTATATACACAATGACGAGGTATCTGAGACACTGTGGCCTAAGTCACTTTCTGTGAACACTTTGGACTCAGTACGTAGACACTGATCAGCTCAAGCTCAAGAAAGGCAGAGGAGAACATGATTCAGTACGTACGGGATGAACTCTGTGTGTCAACTTGAGTTCTAATTGTAACAACGTTTCGATCTGGATTTACCGAAGTCCCATAACCTATTCAAAAATACCGAAAGTCTTCCGACATACCCTCTCAAAGATTCTTGCAGCTTAATCTCGATACTGACCTAAACTCAGGATCTCTCATGTCCCAGCGAAACGCCAGTCTCACAGCATCCTCAGCTTTCTTCTCGCCGAGCCTAGCAAACGCTGCATCTGGATCTCTCCGATATGATTCGACTGAACCAATGTAATATCTTGGCCAGTCCCCGTAAGACGAAACGCCACAGCCAGTGCAGACAACTCCATAACAGTCAAGTGTTGTACCCGCTCTCTCTGCGCGGTGACTCAATCCGCAGTTTGAACACACATGGCAGTAACGCAACTCACAATCACGAGATGGTTCAGGGACCTGAACCAGGCCATACGGTAAGGGCGAGAGAATCTCAGAAGTATGACAACTGGAACATAAGGTACGGTCGCAACGGTTGCAACGGAGGTGCTTGAATGGGAAGCGGCCCTTAAAGTGCCGTAAAATGTTCTCGTGTCGGCAATGGCAGCATATCCAAAGTCCATCCCCAATATCCATATCTGTCCTCAACGCTCGGAGACTGGGGTATCGATGGTCCCATATGAAACTCGGACAGGTTGGTTCTTCCGCAGGTATGGCTGAATCGAAGTCTTCCTGCAAATTCCCCAGATGCGAATCACTCTTGCGAGACAGAGGTTCAAGGATTGAGACACTGAGATGGTGGGTAGTATCTGTAATCCTCCTCGATTTGGCTTCGACCTTCTCGATGGCGCCTGTCCATTTCGACGCAACGGCAACGGAAAGACGGTTGGAGCCAAAAGCCTTGCTTTTTGGGCGCATCTTGATCTTGAGTTGTTGTAGCAAACTGAATCAATGGGGCGGTAATTTAGTTGATGTTGCGACGACGCGATTCAACCGATGTGTGGCAGGTGTGCATAAGTCCATCTCGAGTGTTTACAATGTGGTCAGGTTCCACCTGCTCACACTTTCCTTTCACTATACAGGGAGTAGCAGCTTCAAGATGGCAAGTGCACTGTGCAAGACCGGCGTCGCTCACAGCACTGCTCTTTTCACTATGAAAGTTCTGGATTTAGTTTGTCTATTGGCCGATGTAGCACAATCAACGTAGTACTGGGTTGGCATTGTCACCTTACAGCGATTTCATAGATTACTATCGCGTGGCAGGAATGTCTACCAAGACATTATCTTCGTCACTGACTAGCTAATGTGCTCGTTCGTCACCCGTTTGAGTACATGAGACAAGCCCAAAGCCGTTCTTATGCTAGTGTGATTCGCTGTAGTGCTTACCCAATGATGAGACGGCGCCCGTCACAGTGCCGAACTGCGACGGAATGGGAAAGAGACGTTGCATAAGAACATAAAAGATCTGCATTCTGAACAAATCATGCACTTGCTTCAACCCGTTTGATCTGCGCCAACGCACCGTCAATCAGCAACCTCGTCCTCGGATCAGCAAAAGCTGACTGCCAATTCACTAGGCACTGCTTCCAGCAATTCCAGCTCTCGAGGCTGTAGTTGTCAAACTGCCGACTCTGTGTTTTAAGCCAAAGCTTATCGGCATCGAAAATGTACCACAGACACGCCAGACGAAGAGTTATGTCGGTAGGCCTAGTCGAAGCAGGATCTTCGAAGGCCCATGTCAGAGCCGTCAAGGCCCATGTGTTAGAAAAGTCGAGCTCTGGATCTGATGTGCTGGCATCAAGCTGCGCGAAAAAAGCTATCAAGTTCTCCCAGCGTTGAACTTCCTCGATTGTACAGTCGTCCTCGGCTCCACCTGTCTTTGTTAGGTTCTTATAACGCCCGCTCGAGGTACATGAACATACTGAAGGAACCCAACTCATCAGCGATTGTATATCCGAAAGTAGGTAGGTCTCTCCAGACCACACCATCATATAGAATGGCCTCGCCTGTCACAGGATCGGTCAAAGTGGTAGCCCTAAGCTGATGGATGAAGGCAAGAAGGTCATGTTGTTGGTCTGGCATGGTCAGAGCAACAACTTCCAGAAAACTGCAAGCTGTGTAGTAACAATGGTCGCCCAACCCATCGTCCGCTTTACATTGTAGAGAAAGTTCAGCGAGATGCTTTACAGCGTTTTCGGGCAAAGTTGCAGGTTGCTTGACCATAGATACCAAGATTTTGAACTCTTGCTTTTCATGAATCTCGGTAACCCATCGTGCATGACCTTCGCGCATTTTATCCCTGGTCAACGGGGATCGTGGTTGCATCTCATCGGAGCAAGCAGACTCCATGTCTGAATCGGGAGCGTCTGGTAGATCAGACATGTTTGTTTCGTGATTGGAGAAGGAGTGATAGTCAAGATTGTAGTTGTACATCCGTAGTGGAAGGGCTGACTAAGTGACAACTTGGTGTGCGGGTGGCTGTTCTTTTGAATGTGCACGTTCGTCGATACAAATTGAGATTTTCGGGCCCCATTATTGAATTTAATTTGCAGCCTGGAAATCAAGACATCCCCGCTGCCCTTTCGTTAAAGCAAAAAGACAAGAAATGACCTAAGGCTCGATAGATCAGTCCTGAGCGACACAAACTCAATAAGCAGCCTGATAATCGCTCTCCTAAAGGTCTTGGAGCAACAAAACCGGCAAAAAAGATATTGCAATGGCGGTACTGGGAACTGTCCAATGTTAGAATTGGCAGTACTGCGCATGTGTGCTGGTAGACTTACTCGAACCCAGGCTGGCACGGAATTGTAGCAACTCCACAACGTGACGTCATACCACTAGACCATACCACCTTGATGAACTTGATGCAGCTCTGATTGGCTGCTCATTTGATGGGATGTCGAAAAACCATTACTATTATATCCTGAACACTATCGTGGAGCAATTGAGTCCAGTGCCTCCGTGACGTGCATCGAGCATCGTTGAGGGTGTGCAGTGTCGTTGGCCGGTTGAGTAACTATGTGGGGGTTGGCCGATAGAAGTGGAGCAGGGATGCAACAGCCGATCGAGCATCTGAGGAAACTTTCCGTCAAGTGCAAAAGCGGAAATTGAACTATGCTTTCTGTAGCTTTTGCAAGACGCAACAGCCACACCGACAAGATCAACAAAAGCACGCGTGTATACTTGAAGATATATAGGCGCAAGGCTCCTACACCAGCTCTAGATGTAGCTGTCTAGCTGTTGCAAGATTTCGCTGCAACTTACCACAGTTCCGGATACTTCGACAAACTAAGGATGGGGACAATCTTCGAAACAACACAAAATGCGTAACAACACATAACCTTTTGGCATGCATCGCGAAAGTCATTGATGGTTCCAGAAGCTCCCTATGGATCAACACAAAGAACAAGATCGATGAGGATCAACGTAAGTAATATTTACTCGTATATTGTTCACTACCTACAATGATATGGGGTCTATTTCATGAGTCATCCATTCGTGATCGTGACGATGATGGTAATCTCATCTTCTCCAGGCGGAAGTAGCCTCACAACACATGCCAACCCCTCCGAAGACAACGTGGACATTTGTATAGCACTGTGCCTACCCAGATCCACTCATACTTGCAACTACCCTGTTTTAGCCGACTCGATGTTACTTTACACCCATGCTCTCTCGCCTGCACTTGGCAACCGTGACCCTATTGGTCGATACAAGGCAAGATAACAAGTCGCAAGGATTTATCTCAGCTCTACAACTTGTTCAACTTGTTGGCAGACTTAGCCTTGCTGGAAGCGAGAGCTGCCGATAGGCCAAACTGGGTGTCAATACCATCAATGCGGTGTACAGCGTTGAGGTTCTTGACGCAGGTGATCTGGAAGCAGGTAGCGGTACCCTGGCGGGAAGCGATCGTGGAGTAGGCGAGGAAGTACTCCCAGATCTATAATTCATCAGCAACAGCTCATCAGACACAGATTCGGGTGACTCACGCGGTACCAGCGAGCGCCGTACTTGGCGTTAACCTTGTCCTTGTTGCCGAGCCAGTTACGGTACCATCTCCAGAGTGTAGCTGAGTAGTGGACACCGATTGTGTCAACCATCTTGACCTCGAAACCAGCACCCTCAAGCGTATCAATGACAAAACCAAGGGGTGTTGAGGCATCAGCACCCGGGAAAATGTACTTGTTCATGAAGAGACCCCAAGTAAAGTCCTCAAATTGCCAAGCTTTGCGAAGACCAGCGATCTGGAGGAAGAATGTACCGTCATCCTCAAGCATGTCGTAAACCTGTCGGAAAAAGCCACCCAAGTGACGAACACCAACGTGCTCGGCCATCTCGAGGCAGGTAATCTTGTTGTAGCCGCCAGGAGGGAGGGGGATATCACGATAGTCCATGCAGAGAATTTTCGACTGGTCCTCTTCGATACCAGACTTACGGAGGCCATTGTTTCCCCATGCGGTCTGGTTACGGCCAAGGGTGACACCGGTGACGTGAGCGCCGTAGTTGACGGAAGCGAACCTCGCGAGTGTTCCCCAACCGCAGCCAATGTCGAGCATCTTCTCGCCCTTCTTGACGCCAATCTTCTCACACACAATGGCCAACTTGTTGTCCTGGAGCTGTTCAAGGCTTTCCTCGTTGTTGATGTCAGAGATAATACCAGAGGTGTAGATCATGCGAGGACCAAGGAACCAGCCGTAGAAGTCGTCACCGCGGTCGTAGTGGTCTCGGACCTGCTCTTCGTCTAATCATGTCAGTACAGATTCACGCTGGATTTCTGTAGAAGCAGAGATCGTACCTTGTGACCTGGAGTGAACAATCATCTCGGGGATCATGCCAAAGAGAAAGTGCTTGATCAATCCGACGGTAAATCGGGGCTTCGACCAGTCGTGGCGCCATTCCAGCACCTCGAGCATGTCACCATTGATCTCCAACTCGCCATCAAAGTATTTCTCCTGGAAGGTCTCGATAGGGATTCTCTTCTTGCCATAGTATGCGTCGCGGTCCTCCTCCTTGTTAAACTTCAGGTAGTGTTCGATAGGCTTGCCGGGCAGCTTGGCCTTCTCGTTCTTGCGAGGCGCAAACTCGGAGGTGATCCACCAGAAAGAACCTAGTACAGGAAGACAGGTGAGGAGGGTAAAAAAGATCCAGGTCTTGAATCCCATGCCTACAATGTAGGTGAGCCAGGCTGGGACGCCGACAAGCACTCCAATGAGGCCATAGTTGGAGAACGACTCGCGGCCTGAACCCTCTGCTGGAAGAGGAGCATTGGCAATCGTAGGATACTGTTATTCGTGAACCATTAGCTTCGCTGTTCATTCAATTGGAAGTCCAATTGCATGTTTCCTCGAAAAGTACTCACAGAAGTAATCGCAACCCCGCAGTCAAACTCAGGTTTCGCGGGTGAGCGCGCCGCTGGCGTCTCGACCCACTCGAAATTCTCCTCCGAGGTATTGCTACTCATCTTGCGTCGCAGAGGAGCTTTGCAAGAGACAAAAAGTCAAAGGTGTCTTTTGAGAGAGGGAGTCGCGCCAAGCCAAATCGGTGTAGCGAGCTGCGTGGATAGCTCCCCCCACCAAACAAGGGTCGACTTGTCGATGCGTCCAGTAGAGATGTTTTCAGTGCCTATGCAGGCTGGCCAGACGTGTCTTGTTAGCACTCTAGCGGATATGCATGCACAAACGTAACTTTTTAGTGGAGCTTGACTTCAACTGAATTGTGAGGTGTCTATGCTCAGACCCATGCTTCATAATTTCAGGAATAAGAGGTTCACAAAGTGTCGGCTAGTAGCTTCGACTTGATACCCTCTATGGTCTCCTTGCTAATGCCAGCTTTCTCCAAATATTTCTCGACGTTCCCATACTTCTCTTGGATGTGCAAGTACACGCTCTGCACTAGGCCGGGAGGACAGACAGCAAATTGCTCCGTCAGGCCAATGGATTGAATCTCCTTCATTCTCTCCTCCTTCTCTGGCGCCAGTTCGCTCTCCGATAGCAAATAATCCTTCTCGATGACCTCGTTGTCCACGTCGAGCAGAAACAATACCAGCATTATGATGAGCCCGGTTCTATCTTTGCCCTGGGTGCAGTGAACCATGACCGGCCAATTTCCTTCGCTGGCCAACACATCGAAGGCCTGCTTCACCTCGCGCGTGGAGACGTCTAGCGAGCTTTTGGCGAGTCCATCAAGACCCATTGCCTCCATATGGGGGCTCAAGATTTTGATGGCATCAAGGCGGTGCCCAATAATCATCAATCCAACAAGCCGGAAGAACTCAGGCCAAGTTAGTTTGGAAAGCAACATCCGCGAGAAGGCAGAGCCATTGATGTTGATCTCATAATAAGCGATATTGGGTATCTTTAATGGCTCAGCGGCTTCGTCGTTAGACTGAGGAGCTGCTGCGGATGATTTGACTCTTGCATCTCGCTTCTGAGCCTGCTCGATGTGCTCTGTTCTTTCGGTTGTTATTATGTGATACGTGGCCTGGGTTGAGTGATTTACTTCGTTCGCAGGTCCATGATTGCTTTCATGCCATAGTCTTTCACCAGCCGTTGTCTATCCTGGAACGAGGCATCGTCGGGCCGTGCGCTACGAAAAAGTAGGCCAGTTTTCAAGCGTCTGTGGGTGTTAGTGGTGTGCGACTTCGGCGCTGTTCTGCACACACTCTGTGCCCGTAGCGTTGTTGACGAATTCGCCAACATCCCGGAAGTTCCGTATGCTCTGTAGCGGCAAATGCTGTTCCGTCATGTTTCTGGTGGAATGTGGCTGCTCCCAATTGTGGAACTTTTGCAAAGAAGAAACGAGATGACCATCTTGAAGTTCGAAGAATATTTTGGGTCTGACGTCGTGATTACGCTAGTTGCGATCAGACCGAATCCTGCTCTGGCAGCAGCTCAGATGAGGAACAGCGATGCTCGAGGTCCTGGTGCTGTATCTAGAAGACAGCAACTGTGAGGCATGAATTTCTGTGCTAGGGACTCCCTGGGGCCAGGATCTAGACATAACATGGTATGAGCATGGCAGCTGATCTTCGGATCAGACGCAGGGATCGATCAACACGTTTCGAGCGATCCGAAGCAGCATTCGGGCACCTGATACGCCTCTTTACTTCTTTAATCCCGGATTGGCACGCTTTGTGAACTTCAGGGTACGCATATCTATACCGAAAAGAGACGTTGGCGGGCAAACCTCCGCTACATGACATCACTGGCACGACTGGCTACACCATTATCGTCACATCTACTTAGTTACCCTCTATGCGCGTACGTCACCTCAGCTTTTTTGATTCTTCCTTCACAACAATCTCCCACATACAGCAGCCTTAACATTATGTTTTCGTCATTATTAGCCACGGCTGGTTTGACTTCGAGCGCGCCGGCACCAGCCACTGAAGAAACCGCGTCAGGTCATACGGAGGAGCCGGATACGAAGCCTGCCCAAGAGACAGCATTGAAACATGACCCAGAATCAGACACGCAACAGGCGCAAAAGCCAGATACGCAGCATACCCCGGAGCCATTCATGCAATATATTCCAGAGCAAGACATCGATCATACTCCACAGTCAACTATGCAACACACTTCGGAGCCGATCAGGCAGCACACTCCGGAATTGACCACGCAATATGCCCAAGAACCTACCACGCAACATGTTCCAGAGCCATTCACGCCATATAACCCAGAATCGGCTGTGCAACATCCCCAAGAGACGGTTACACAAGACGCTCAAGACTCAACCATGGAGAGCACCCAGGAGCCGGACACACAATATGCCCCAGTACCATACACGCAGTACAACGAAGAACCGCCTATGCAGGCTACACAAGAGCCAGTTATGCATCATGTTCATAAGCCGGCTCCGCAAGATGCGCAAGAGCAAGTCGCAAAACGTACAGCGGAAAGAGCTGTAGCTCCACCATGCCCGGATCCTAGTGCGCACCACAAAAGCCACTCAAAGAACAATGCACTCCAGAATCAGGCCTCAGCTGCAGCATTGTACTCCACTAGCCCAATGAGATCAACCCAAAGGGCAAGCATCAACCCTCTCGGACCTGACGGGAAGCTCTCATCGGCAAGTGAGTCGCGAATCATCTCACATATATCATATTAGCACTTTGTACTGACATAGTCACAGGCGCTGCCACCAGCCTCAAATACGCTAAAGCTCACGAGCTCCCTAGTTTCCCCGTTGTAGGAATCGATGCAAAATCCTCAGCCGGAGCTGCCGCACTCCTTGCAAACCAGAACAAGAAGAGCCCAGAGTGGTGGAAACCCGAACAATCATCCGCTGCTAGCAAAGCTGCATTGCTGGCTCATGACTACAAGATGGCTCCCCTCTGGCAGCCCGAGGCTAGTGCAGCAGGTTCCAAGGCAGCTTTACTTGCTCACAAAGATGGTGTGAAGCTGAACCTGTGGACCCCCCAGGCAAGCGCTGCAGGTAATTCTGCCGCAAACATCGCGATGCGCAAAAAAGGTCTGAGCCCAGAGACTGACTATGGATACACCGACGACGGGAGAAAAAGGGCTTTGGTCGCGGCGACAGGTGCTCACTCTACTGCTGGACGCAAGCGCGCAAACTCAACTCCTGCGCCCCCGCCGTTGTATCCTGATTCCAAAAACTCTGCTAGAAACGCCCTGAATGCTGCCACCATAGCTCATAGCCCGTCTATGAGAAAATTTCAAGGACCTTCAGTCACTGATTCCAACCGACTCGGTTCTGGGGCGATGGAGGCAGCTCGCATTCAACACGCTAAGAGCATCCCAAGAAACATGTACGGGAGCGCACCGCCCGTTGCCCCAGAGATAGAAGAACAAAGGCGCAACGACGCACTTCGAGCTTCAGCAATTGTGATGGCGAAGAAAATATATGAAGTCCAACAGAAGCAGGCTGATGGAGCCTCCGGCCGATCCGCTGCCCATACAGGTGCCAATGCGGCACATGGTCAACGAGCACCCGCTGGTGAAGGAGACATCAAGGAGCAAGCAATGCGCTATGTTGGCATCCAGGAAGCTGCTCAGAAACTCGCTCAAGAACGACTGGCTAAGATAGGATACGATGAGAATGCCGCGTATCGAAGCCACTATGGCTACGAGAAGCCTCGCTCGAAGTTTTCTATGCGCCGTGGGCGGAATCGTGCTTATAGTGCCTCCGAGACTCCTGCCCAAAATGAATATGATTCTGACTCAGACGAGGATGACTTCCGATCCCGACGAATCCGCTCGCAGATGGCGCAGTTCAACAAGCAGCTGGCAGACGTTGACGCGAAGAAGCGTGATCAGGATCGAAAAGGTCTTATGGCTGCAGCAGAACGTAAAGTTCAAGCTCAAATGCAGGGACTTGATAAGAAGATCTTTGATGAGACGGGTAGAATGTCTCAATCCATGTCTGATGAATGGGATGAGAAAGCTAGAAAGCGAGCGGTGGCCAACTCCGAAAATCGTATGGAGAACCACGGCAAGATTCACTTGGGCAACGGCAAGTGGATGGACCAAGCAGAGATTGATGCTATAGCTCAAGCTAGAATCCAGCCCACACTGGATGAAATCACCGAAAAAACAGACAAGCGCAGGGGCGAGGATGAGAAGCGAAGAGCCGCAGAAGAGGAGCGAAAAAACCAGTTGGCGGAGAAAAAGCGCCAAGAGAGGCTTGAGAAGGAGCGTATCGCGGAAATCAAAGCTGGAGAGAAAAACGCGAAGGGTATGCTACAAACTGATGCACTAACATGGTTATCAACTACTAACAATCTGTAGACGAAGAAAAGAAGGCTACGAAGGCACGAAACGCCGAGGAGAAGGCTACTGCAAGACAAGACAAAGACGTCGAGAAGACAAAGAAATCCGGAGATGAGCGTCATGTCAAAGACTTGATCCGAAAGTCAAAGGAAGCTCCAAGAGATACTCCAGTTAGGGATACACCGTCATGGGCTACTCTGGACGTGGGTGATAGAGATGCGACTGCAGATCAACATGATGACCTCTACGAGGATCCCGGTCATCCTCAGGCAGTCCAGAAGACTGTGGAACATGGCTCCTCTGACCCGATCTCCCCGACTTCTCAAGGCTCCTCGAAAGGGTTCAAATCTATCATGAACAAACTGAAGCGTCGATCTAAGCCCCCTTCCGCAGATATTACCGACTCGACCACCAGCAACAACAAGACCATAGACAAAGACGGTCCAGGTTTCATCGGCGGTGCTGCCCTTCGCTCCTCAACCACCTCGCAATCACAATCCACCGAGGCTGACCCTCAAACCCCGCAAGCGTCTCATGATATCACCACAGCACAACGACCAACAAACCTAGGGGATATCGAGCCGACATTCGTGCCCCATGTAGACCGTCTCTCGGACGTGTCGTCTCTCTCTAGCGACGACGAGGAGAGAGGTCGGCTGCGAGCAACGCGTGTTATGAGCAACGACACTGTGACATCTACCGAGCCGGACTTTGAAGAAGCCAGAGACCACTTCGACACGGACTTGGCACCACCGCCTACCTTTACCACCGACACCGATAAGGCGAGGAAGGGCAGCCCGGTTCGTGACTCGAGGTTCATCGAGGTGGGGATCTAGAGCGTATTGGGGTTCATTTATGATGGTAAAAGATTGTAGCACTGTAGCCTCGAAGGAATTTTGGGACGCTGGAGACGAAGTAGGATGCTGATGATTGCGACGTAAAGGATTTTCTTTTGTAGTGATACCGTACATGTAAGTTCGTTCGCTAGTAAGTGCTTGCTGTTTCGCTTGTCAGTAAATGGATTATCAGTCTGGAGGTAGTAGTAATATTTAATTAACGATAGACTTTCCATTGTGTGGAATGTAGTACTTTTACAAGAAAGCCCCGCCTTCGACCAGCAATAAGGGACAAATGGCGGACTTCTTTGGTGATCCATCTGTGTATTTACTTCGGCTTGACAACCAAGAATTATATTATGGTGTCTGATTAAGCTTGATTGAGCTGCCCTAGACAAGAGGAACAAATGACAATCTTCTCATTGTGAGTGGTACATAGATGGTGAGTTTGTGACCAGCTAGGTACAAACGCTACCGCGCTTGCCATTCTCGGCGTCCGTGCACAGCGACAAGGCGATCCAGGTGTCAACACCAAGCTCCTATTCTTGACAAGCACCATCTCCCCAACCCACCACCCCACCTCTCTCGACACTCTCTACTTTCTTATTGCGCGCCTCTGGAGTTGTGCGCTTGGGTCTAATCCTTCCTTTCCTTCCAATACCCCTCGTTCGAGTGTGCTCTCTCACCCTCGGTGAGCTCGGAGCTCGTCTTTCGCAAACATGGCGCAGCGCCAGGTTCCATTGCATGTCACGCAGCCCACGCTGGTATGATGGTCATAAAACTGCGGTAAATGGTAGAGAAGCTAACAATTGGTCTTGCAGCTCACGAACTTGAACATTCTTGTATGTTTATGCTGTCTAAGCCAAGCTCGTTGGAGCGAAGGCCTCAGGATGAAGCAAGCTAATGGAATCCACAGCCAGCATCAATATCATGGCAGAACTGCGTACGTGAATCAGAATCAGAATCCCGACGTTGTGAAATGTCCTAACAACATCCCAGACGCTCGAGTCCGACAAGTACGTTTGCGTGCGCCAAGTCAACAGCGAGGCCAACGCTCCCGCCGAGACGGTTATCATCGACCTCAAGAACACAAACAATGTCATCCGGAGACCGATTCGCGCCGACAGCGCTATTATGCATTTGACTGAGCCCATCATAGCCCTCAAGGCGCAAGGCCGGACGCTGCAGCTGTTCAACCTGGAGACGAAGGAGCGTCTGCAGACATACAGCCATCAGGAAGACATCCAATTCTGGCGGTGGATCAGCCAAACTACCCTCGCGCTCGTGAGCACCAAGGCTGTTTACCATTGGGACGTGCTGGACTCGAAGACCGCTGTCGCGCCACGCAAGATCTTCGACCGCCAAGAGCAGCTCGAGGTATGCGCTTTTGAGTTCTGTACGCCGGATCATATCTAATCTTCATTTGTAGAACAACCAAATCATCAACTACGTCACTAACGATGACGAGAGCTGGTCCTGCTTGGTTGGAATCACGTCGAACCCTGCTGGAGGCATTCGCGGTAACATGCAGCTGTTCTCCAAGGCGAGGAACGTCAGCCAGCCTCTCGAGGGTCATGCTGCCACGTTTGGAACGATTCGCCTCGATGGCGCTTCGACAGATACCAAGCTCTTCGCCTTCGCTGTCAAGTCCTCGTCTGGAGAAGCGAAGATCAACATCGTTGAGGTCGACCACAATGCCGCGAACCCAGCCTTCCCCAAGCGCTTGATCCCGATACATTGGCCTGCCGAGGGCAATGGTGATTTCCCCCTCGGTATTCACATCGCGCACAAATACGGCATCTTAATCGTAATCACCAAATTTGGCTTCATCCACCTGCACGATCTCGAGACCGGTACCGCTCTGTTCTTGAACAGGATCTCGGAAGAGACCGTGTTCACTACTGCACGCGACGACGAGGGCACGGGTGTAGTTGTGATCAACAAGCGAGGACAGGTGCTACACACGACAATTCGGGAAGACAGCCTAATCCCGTACATTATGGAGAACCCAGCCTGTGCGGAAATTGCGTACAAACTTGCGTCAAAAGGTGGCCTTCCTGGTGCCGACCAGCTATACTCACAGCGATTCGAGACGCTCATGTCGCAAGGCAACTATGCGGAAGGAGCTAAGGTCGCCGCCAACTCGCCGCGAGGCTTCCTGCGCACAATGAACACCATCAACAGGCTACGTCAGGTTCCCAGCCAACCGGGCCAAATTACTGTGCTACTACAGTACTTTGGCCAGTTATTGGATAAAGGTGGCTTGAACAGGGAAGAAACCCTAGAGCTCGCCCGTCCAGTGTTTGTGCAAGGTCGAAAACATCTCATTGAGAAGTGGCAGAAGGAGGGCAAGCTGCATTGTTCAGAAGAGCTTGGAGACGTCGCCAAGCCTCATGACTTGAATCTTGCTCTAGCAATCTACAAGGAAGCCAACGTTCCCCAAAAGGTGGTTGCATCCCTCGCGGAGCTTGGTCACTACGACCTTATTCTTCAGTACTGCAACAGCGTTGGCTACACACCAGATTACAACGTTCTACTTCAACACGTCGTGCGCATCAACGCTGAAAAGGGAGCTGAATTCGCCTCGCAGCTTGCGAAGAACGAGGGAGGACCATTGATCAGCATCGACCGCGTTGTGGACATTTTCCAGTCACAAGGCATGATCCAACAAGCAACCGCATTCTTGCTTGACGTTCTCTCGAACGACAAGCCGGAGGAGGGTCATCTTCAGACTAAGCTACTTGAAATGAATCTGCTTAACGCTCCTCAGGTTGCGGATGCCATTCTTGGAAACGAAATGTTCCACCATTACGACAAGGCTCGCATCGCCCAACTTTGCGAAAACGCCGGTCTACTGACGCGAGCTCTGGAACACAACGACGACCCCGCAGCTATCAAGCGCATTATCGTACAAACCGACAAATTGCCAGAGGAATGGTTGATCAATTACTTTGGCCAGTTGACAGTCGAGCTTTCTCTCGAATCACTGGATGCTATGCTCACGACAAACATCCGACAAAACTTGCAGGCTGTCATTCGTATCTCGCAAAAGTACTCGGATCTGCTCGGCGCTACAAGGATTATCGACCTCCTGGAGAAGCATCGCACCGCCGAAGGCTTGTACTTCTTCCTCGGTTCCATCGTCAACGTCAGTGAGGACAAGGATGTTCACTTCAAGTACATCGAGGCGGCGACTACAATGGGGCAATTGAATGAGGTTGAGCGTATTTGCCGCGAATCTAATCATTTTGATGCGGAGAAAGTCAAAAACTTCCTCAAGGAGGCCAACCTCACCGAGCAGCTACCCCTCATCATCGTCTGTGATCGTTTCAACTTCATCCACGATCTAGTGCTGCACCTATACAAGAAGCAGCAGTTCAAGTCAATCGAGGTTTACGTACAGCGCGTCAACCCTGCCCGGACACCTGCCGTTATTGGCGGCCTGCTTGACGTGGACTGTGACGAGAACATCATCAAGGGTCTCTTGAATTCCGTGACGCCCTCATCAATCCCAATTGACGAATTGGTTGCGGAGGTCGAATCTCGAAACCGACTGAAGCTCCTTCTTCCGTTCCTCGAGCAGACCTTAGCCAGCGGAAATCAGCAACAGGCTGTGTACAACGCCCTGGCCAAGATCTACATCGACTCGAACAACAACCCAGAGCGATTTCTCAAAGACAACGACCTGTACGACACCCTTACTGTTGGTAAATACTGCGAGAAGCGTGATCCCAACCTTGCGTTCATTGCGTACGAAAAGGGCAACAACGACCTCGAGCTCATTAACATCACCAATGAAAACGCCATGTTCAAAGCACAGGCACGGTATTTGCTTGAGCGTGCGGACTCTGAGATCTGGGACTATGTTCTCAACCCCAACAACATGCATCGCCGCTCGCTTGTTGACCAAGTGGTCTCCACTGCCGTACCCTGTAAGTAACTCCTTCTCTTGTTTATCAGTTCTTCTTCTACTAGAGCGTACGCTGGCGACTACAACGTGGATGAGAGCGCTCAATACAACCAACACAAATTGGAGAAGTTGGATACCAAGGTGTTTGATCCAAGTCCTTGATCGAGGACTTTCACTGCGTGTTACTCCTGGCTTGGAGTCCAACAGCAACATCTGCTAACTATATTAAAGCTTCGGATAACCCTGATAAAGTCAGCGTCGCTGTCAAAGCTTTCATCACGGCTGACATGCCTTCGGAGTTGATTGATTTGCTTGAGAAGATTATCTTGGAACCATCCACATTCTCTGACAACCCTTCGCTCCAGAATCTGCTTATGCTTACGGCTGCCAAATCCGACCGCGGACGCATGATGGGCTACATTGAACAGCTTGAGAACTACACACCCGAGGACATTGCACAACAATGTATCGAAGTCGGCATGTTCGACGAAGCTTTCGAGATCCACAAGAAGCACAACAGTCACGTCGAGGCTGCCGATGTCCTCATCGAGCATATCGTAAGTATCGATCGTGCCGCAGATTACGCTGACCGTGTCGATCTGCCCGAAGTCTGGAGCAGGGTTGCGAAGGCCCAGTTGGATGGTCTGCGTGTCACAGATTCCATCGAGTCTTATATTCGCGCTGGAGATCCCTCGAACTTCTTGGAGGTCATTGAAATTGGTACCCACGCAGGAAAAGACGAAGATCTGATCAAGTTCTTGAGAATGGCCCGCAAGACTCTCCGGGAGGTTCCCATCGATACTGCGTTGGCTTTCTGCTTCGCCCGTACTAACCAGCTACCTGAGCTTGAGGACTTCTTGCGCGCCACCAACGTCGCGGATGTTGAGGCTTCCGGTGACAAGGCTTACGAAGAGGGTCACCATGAGGCTGCCAAGATTTTCTTCACCAGCATCTCCAACTGGGCTAAGCTCGCGACCACACTTGTACACCTTGAAGACTACCAAGCGGCCGTGGACTGCGCGAGGAAAGCCAATAATGTCAAAGTGTGGAGACAAGTAAACGAGGCCTGTATCGCGCAGAAGGAATTCCGCCTTGCTCAAATTTGTGGTCTCAACCTTATCGTCCACGCCGAAGAGCTTTCCGAGCTTGTTAAGCAGTACGAGCGCAACGGGTACTTCGATGAACTCATCAGCCTTCTCGAAGCTGGTCTTGGTCTGGAGCGCGGTAAGCAAGACTCCGTCCAAATACTATCTGAGACTTTTACTAACTGTAGCTACGTCTTCAAGCTCATATGGGAATATTTACCGAGTTGGGTATTGCCCTTGCAAAGTACCACCCTGAGCGTGTCATGGAGCACCTCCGCCTTTTCTGGTCTCGAATCAACATTCCAAAGATGATCCGTTCCTGCGAGGAGTCTCACTTGTGGCCGGAGCTCATCTTCTTGTATGTTCACTACGATGAGTGGGACAATGCTGCTCTCGCCATGATGGAGCGCGCAGCGGATGCCTGGGAGCACCAGGCGTTCAAAGATACTATCACGAAGGCCACCAACGTCGAGATCTACTACCGTGCCTTGGGATTCTATCTTGAGGAGCAGCCAACCCTCCTGACCGATTTGTTGCAAGCACTCACTCCTAGGATTGACGTCAACCGTGTCGTTCGTATGTTCGTCAAATCAGACAACATCCCTCTGATCAAGCCTTTCCTCCTCAACGTTCAGTCGCAGAACAAACGTGAAGTCAACAACGCCCTCAATGATCTTCTGATCGAAGAGGAAGACTACAAGACGCTGCGCGACTCCGTTAACAACCATGACAACTACGATCCGGTTGATCTTGCTCAGCGTTTGGAGAAACACGACCTGGTATTCTTCCGTCAAATTGCGGCTGACATTTACCGCAAGAACAAGCGATGGGAGAAGTCTATTGGCTTGTCCAAGCAGGACAAGCTGTTCAAAGATGCTATCGAGACGTCGGCCATGTCCAGCAAGGCTGAGATCGTGGAGGATCTGCTTCGCTATGTGAGTATCGTTCACCATTCACTAGAAATGAAACTAATCACCTATCAGTTCGTCGACATTGGTAGCCGCGAGTGCTATGTCGGTATGCTCTATGCTTGCTACGATCTCATTCGTCCTGATGTCATTCTGGAAATGTCGTGGCGCAACGGTCTTCACGACTTCACTATGGTATGTATGCTCTTACCAGATTATTAGACGGAAAACTAATGTTACTCAGCCATACATGATCAACCTCCTCTCCAGGCAGACTGTCGCATTGGAGCAGCTAAAGACAGACAACGAGGAGCGCAAGGCCCGCGAAGTCTCGCAGCAGAAGAAGGAGGAGGACACTCCAATTCTGGGCTCGCGTCTTATGCTCACACAGGGCCCGATTGCTTCGGCTCCCTCTCCCGGTCCTTATGGACAGGCCAACGGAATGGCGCCTCAACCGACTGGTGCTTACCGTGCCTTCTGAAGTAACGATTGATGTTAATCTTTTGATGGGGTATGCAAAAGCGAGTGCCGGTTGGGTGCATACATTGCTGGATCAATAGGCAGCGGTGGCAGCGGTGTACTCTACAGGCGTTGACGGTGGTCTCTTAGTCTGAATGTCTTTATGCCTTATGCACATTCGGATGAGTGTATTCTACATAGCTAATCATTGAGATATTGGTTGCGCTGGAAATATGCGTTCACATGTCCGTGTTTTGGTACAGGCTCGGTGTTTCGGGGTAAAGCAAATTGTGACATGGAGCCAGGTGATGGCGTAGATCATGCATCAGCTCAAATACCCACGAATGCCGATCATTCCACCGTGGCTGCGAGTCAAGCGATCAACTAGTTTTCCAGATGCCGCCATTCCACGCGCTCGGTGACTCGGCATGAACATGTTCTCCACAAAGCAATACATCGGAGTTTAGCACATGCGAGTATATATTAGGTTTCTGATGGGCTGGGCATATACCAAGAAGTTTCGCTTCTGCTGCCGAAACATGAAATGCTGCATGATGATGGAGCTTCGTCAAGGTAATGCGCAGCCGAGTTGCTTGCAGATAGACTAGTAGCACGACAAGAACAAGGAAATAGACGGGGAAGGGCACGCTAGAATCTCGGAATTAATACGTTGTAGGCATTCGGCTGTCAGGATAGCTATCTGGTGCGCCGAAGCAAAGCGTCATGCAGATGGAAGTATGAGATCCGTTTCTCCGCTCCGCCCTACCGAGCCTAATAGTGTGGCATGATCAAACCATGAAACAAATAATGGATGAGTGAGGGACCGTTCAAGCACTTGGCCACGCTCGGAGTGTTTTGGGCGATGAAGACTACCGACTTGGCTAGATATGGTCAAAGCCGCGTGGGAGATTTCTATGACTGTATGGAGCTCCACGGGGCGGGAGTCAATAGGAAGATTGGCAATTGCTTTTACGCGGATCATCCAGATGTGGGCGGGGTGGGGAGGATAATGCTCGTAGTGGTGGTTCTTTATCAGAGCTCCAAAGAGGGGCATTGGAGCTCCCCACCAGGCGGCGGCGGCGCTTCTGACTCCGTTGCTTTTAGAGTGGCCGGCGGTGACAACGACATGTTTCAATCTGGCTTGGCTTTTGGAGCTTTCTAGGGCGCTGTTTTGGGATAACTCGTGAAAGTCTGGATACCCGATACCGCCGCCTATAAGCTCCCCTCTCCCCCGAACTTCCTCTGTAGACCTTCCCCCCCCCTCCTCCTAGTTCTCACCCTCCCTCCCCCAACACACTTTAGTGGTCATCCAGTATGGCTACGCTTGCAATCGACAAGAATGCCTCGTCGGCCATTGACGACAATGACTTTGACGAGGGCGAGCATGGCGAGCATCACCCCCACAGGAACTCTGTGCACCACAAGCTGCGGGCGAGCAGCTCCATCATGCAGCTGAAGAAGATCTTGGGTATGTAGAGAGCCCCCAATGGCATGCGTAGAGCTCCCCCCGCCGTCTGACAGCCCACCTAGTCGCCAACCGAGGAGAAATCCCTATCCGTATTTTCCGCACAGCCCACGAGCTGTCACTGCACACCGTGGCCGTCTACAGTCATGAGGACCGTCTCAGTATGCACAGGCAAAAGGCCGACGAGGCCTACGAAATTGGGGCGCGCGGCCAGTACACACCCGTGGGTGCGTATCTCGCCGGCGACGAGATCGTCAAGATTGCCGTCCAGCACAACGTGAACATGATTCACCCGGGCTATGGCTTCCTCTCGGAGAATGCGGGCTTTGCGCGCGCTGTTGAGAAGGCCGGTCTCATTGTGAGTCCCGCTTTGTTTACCCTATGACGAAATGCACGATGGAGGGGTTGCACGACGCCAATCGCAGCGGCTGGGCCTATCTCGGAGGCCTCTAAGAGTAGCGGCGCGGGGTCCGGCGACTCTTAGAGGACACCCGTCAATCACAGCCGCCCCCAAGAGCACTTTATCTTTCTTTACCATGGTTCATAACGACATGTAATTGATACTTACTTTTTTTCTAGTTCGTAGGGCCCTCGCCCGATACCATCGACGCGCTCGGCGACAAAGTCTCGGCGCGAAGACTGGCTATCAAGTGCAATGTGCCCGTCGTGCCTGGAACTCCCGACCCCGTGGAGAAGTACGAGGATGTCAAGGAGTTCACCGACGAGTTTGGCTTCCCCATCATCATCAAGGCCGCTTTCGGTGGTGGTGGCCGTGGTATGCGTGTAGTGCGCAAGCAGGAAGAGCTCAAGGACGCGTTTGAGCGCGCAACATCAGAGGCCAAATCCGCTTTCGGCAACGGCACCGTCTTCGTCGAGCGCTTCCTCGACAAGCCTAAGCACATCGAGGTCCAGCTGCTTGGTGACAATCTCGGCAATGTCGTCCACTTGTACGAGCGTGACTGCTCCGTCCAGCGTCGCCATCAGAAGGTCGTCGAGATTGCTCCGGCAAAGGATCTTCCTGTAGAGACCCGAGACGCCATCCTGGCTGACGCTGTTAGGCTGGCCCAGTCAGTCAAGTACCGCAACGCAGGTACTGCCGAGTTCTTGGTCGACCAACAGGTGAATATACTCAATCTCTCTATAAGGATGAATCCTAGCTAACATTCTTCAGAATCGATACTACTTCATAGAGATTAACCCTCGCATGTAAGTATCCTCTGCAGATGAATTGGGGTCGTTGCTAAGAGTTTGCAGCCAAGTCGAGCATACCATCACCGAGGAGATTACAGGTATCGACATTGTCGCCGCACAGATCCAGATTGCCGCCGGTGCATCTCTTGAGCAGCTTGGCCTGACCCAGAACCACATCTCCACACGCGGCTTTGCTTTCCAATGCCGTATCACCACAGAAGACCCCAGCCAGCAGTTCGCACCAGATACGGGCAAGATTGAGGTGTACCGTTCCGCTGGCGGTAACGGAGGTAAGCATATCCAGAGAGATCTACACATTATGAACTAACCATCCTGAAAAGTCCGTCTCGACGGTGGCAACGGATTCGCTGGTGCCATCATTACTCGTAAGTACATCTCATCTACCTCAGCCATTCTTATTGTTTTGTACTGTTTTGTCATTTTTTGCCGATTCGGTATCCTCCAATGTTGGACTCGACACGCACCTCCCAGTCGAGTGTGAACGCCGGCAGAAAGCCGCGGCGAAATCTTGCAACACCTGGACAACTACAGACAGCTTTGGACTGGGACTTCTCAGCTTCAAATTTTCCTGGTATACGCCTAGGCTGCGCATTTCCTGATGGCAATGCGGCTTGCTTCCGGCTTTTGCACTTGGCCAAAAGGTGCCATACTACAAGAGCACCTTTTTGGTCTCTGAGACTTGATCTCTTATATCGTCTTTCCAACTTCAGCTCAACATCCGTTCGAAGCATTGCTATTCGTCGTTTGGGATGAGGTTCGACTATTACTCCTGAGGGTGTCGGACGACGACTCGTTTGTTACCCCTGTCGTCGCCAAACTACACTCGAAGGTCCAAACAACGACTCATCTGTCATCCTCGTCGTCGCCACTGAACCACTTTCTGGAGCTCAGGACATCGTCTTTCCTCTTTTTTCCATTATCTCTTTCTATACATCCAGCGAGAATCAAGCTGACAAATTCTGAATTTAGCACACTACGACTCCATGTTGGTCAAGTGCACATGCCGTGGCTCTACATATGAGATCGCCCGCCGAAAGATGCTTCGTGCGCTCGTCGAGTTCCGTATCCGTGGTGTCAAGACCAACATCCCCTTCTTGATTAAGCTCCTCACAAACCCCACCTTCGTCGAGGGCCAATGCTGGACGACATTCATCGACGACACCCCTGCCCTCTTCGACCTCATTGGCTCCCAGAACCGTGCCCAGAAACTGCTCGCGTACCTTGGTGATCTCGCTGTCAACGGCAGTCAGATCAAGGGCCAAATTGGTGAGCCCAAGTTCAAGGGCATCATCCCCATTCCCAAGATCGTCGACAAGGACGGCAAGACAGTCGATACGTCTGTACCTTGCACTGAAGGATGGAGGAATGTCATTCTGAAGGATGGCCCTGAGGGCTTTGCGAAGGCTGTCCGTGCCAACAAGGGCTGCCTGATCATGGACACCACCTGGCGTGATGCCCACCAGTCTCTCCTCGCTACCCGTGTGCGAACTGTTGACCTGCTCAACATCGCCAAGGAGACCAGTCATGCATTCTCCAATGCCTGGGCCCTGGAGTGCTGGGGCGGTGCGACCTTCGATGTCGCCATGCGTTTCCTCTACGAGGATCCCTGGGAGCGCCTGAGGAAGATGAGGAAGCTTGTACCCAACATCCCCTTCCAGATGCTTCTTCGAGGAGCCAACGGTGTTGCATATTCGTCTCTTCCCGACAACGCCATCTACCACTTCTGCGAGCAAGCTAAGAAGAACGGTGTCGACATTTTCCGTGTCTTTGATGCTCTGAACGACGTCGAGCAACTCGAGGTCGGTGTTAAGGCCGTCCTCAAGGCAGGTGGTGTCGCTGAAGCTACAGTGTGCTACTCGGGAGATATGCTGGTAAGTCCTTTCTCTTCATCAGCCTGGAGCATAAACTGACACTTTTCGATCAGAACCCCAAGAAGAAGTACAACCTTGAGTACTACCTCGATGTTGTTGAGAAGATTGTCGGCATGGGCGCTCATATCCTTGGTGTCAAGGACATGGCCGGTGTTCTAAAGCCCCGTGCTGCCCGCCTGCTCATTGGTGCTATCCGCAAGAAGTACCCCGACCTTCCCATCCACGTCCACACTCACGACTCTGCTGGTACAGGTGTTGCGTCCATGGCTGCGTGCGCTGAAGCTGGTGCCGATGCTGTCGACGCTGCTATTGACAGCATGTCGGGTATGACTTCCCAGCCCAGCATTGGTGCTATTCTTGCATCCATCGAGGGCACCGACTATGATGCCGGCCTCGACGTTCACATGATCCGCAACCTCGACGCCTACTGGGCTCAGCTTCGTCTGCTCTACTCGCCGTTCGAGGCTGGTCTTACCGGACCTGACCCCGAGGTGTATGAGCACGAGATTCCTGGTGGTCAGCTCACCAACCTCATCTTCCAGGCTTCTCAGCAGGGTCTTGGTGAGCAGTGGGCTCAGACAAAGAAGGCATACGAGGAGGCCAACGACCTGCTCGGCGACATCGTCAAGGTCACGCCCACGTCCAAGGTTGTCGGTGACTTGGCGCAGTTCATGGTCTCCAACGGCCTGTCCCACGACGACGTCATCGAGAAGGCCGAGAAACTCGACTTCCCCTCGTCGGTGCTGGAGTTTTTCGAAGGTCTCATGGGCCAGCCGTACGGCGGGTTCCCCGAGCCTCTCCGCACGCACGCCCTCCGCGACCGAAGGAAGATGGACAAGCGCCCTGGCCTGTACCTCGAGCCCGTCGACATCGCAAAGGTCAAAGCGGACCTCAAAGCCAAGTGGGGCGACGCCACCGAGTGCGACGTCGCATCCCAAATCATGTACCCCAAGGTGTTTGAGGACTACAAGAAGTGGACCACCAAGTACGGCGACCTGTCCGTCCTGCCAACGCGCTACTTCCTCTCCCGCCCCGAGATCGGCGAGGAATTCCACGTCGAGCTCGAAAAGGGCAAGGTGCTCATCCTGAAGCTCCTCGCTGTCGGCCCCCTCTCCGAACAAACCGGCATGCGCGAAGTCTTCTACGAAATGAACGGCGAGACGCGCACTGTCACCGTCGAGGACCAGCACGCTGCTATCGAGAACGTTAGCCGTCCCAAGGCGGACCCTAATGATAGCAGCCAGGTCGGCTCGCCCATGTCGGGTGTCTTGGTCGAGGTCCGTGTCCATGACGGTAGCGATGTTAAGAAGGGTGACCCGATTGCTATCCTTAGCGCTATGAAGATGGTTTGTCTCCCCCTCTTTCTGTCCCTCTTTTTAAAGTGTGTGATCTTGCGTGCTGACTTTTGTGAATAGGAAATGGTTATTTCGGCTGCGCACTCGGGTAAGGTTAGCAACTTGTCTGTTCGCGAGGGCGACTCGGTCGACTCGGGCGATTTGGTTTGCAAGCTTGTTAAGTAGGGGGTGTGGGTTTCCGAGTTTTTTTGTGGAGACGGATGGATGAGATGAGTATGACGCGAAATGAATCAAGACGGTTTTCCCTATGGTATTGTGTTATATTCGTGAATAAATGTGATGTTTGCAACACATGGTGAGGAAGTGAGACAGTTTGTTACAAGGTTCCTTGATATTACACTCACTTCATGAGAATATACGACTGACTATCCACGCCGATATCTACATCTACATCTACATCTACGCTACTCATCCTCCACCACAGTCCCCGCAGCCCCCTCATCCAAAACAACAACTCTTTTCTTTTTCTTCTTTTTCTTAACCTTCTCCTCTCCCTCCCCCTCCCCAGTCTTCTCCCCAATCTCCTTCTTCTCCTTCTTCTTCTTCTTCTTCCCCACCTTCCCCACCCCCTCATCCACACCCTGCACCTCATCCCCCCCTCCCTCATCCCCCTCAACAACCACAACCCGTCTCCCCCTCCCCTTCCCCTTCCTATTCTTAACAGCAACCTCCTCCTTCCCCTGCAGTCTCTCACTAGCCCTCTGCATCTCCAGCCTCAGCCTCTCCACCTCCCCCAGCGCACGCCTCATCTCCGCCTCCTCAGCCGCCTTGCGCTCCTGCTCGGCAAGCGTAAGCGCGCGGCCACGCGTCCCATCTTCATCCAGCGACAGCGCAGCGAGGCCCGCGCTGTCTACTTCTAGCAGATTCTTTTTTGCGCGGACGGGCGTGGGTTGCACGATATGCTGGGGCGGGGCGTCCGGGCCGAGGGTTTCGTCCATAGTGATTTGGACGGCGGCACGGTGGCGGCGGGGGCTACGGGCGCGTGGGTCCGGGGTCGATGTGGAATCGAGGTGCAGTTCCATGATCGGGATGGAATCTATATCCAGGGGATTATCCTCGCGGTTTCCGTCGCGCACGATACGACTTAGCGGCGTGACTGCACCGCTGCCACGATCAGCGTCGGGATCGATGTAGAAGGGGTCATCTTTGTAGCGTTCTTTGCGGTCTGCTTTGCGGCGGGCGAGGATATCGGGGTCGAGGTATTCTTCCTCTACTGCTGCGTTTTGATACGAGGCTGGTTCCTTGTGCGGCGCGTCGAGGCGGTCGGATGCGGATGTTGCGGTTTGGGACTGGGTGTCGGTGTGGGAAGTGATGGGGTCGGAGTAGGCGGCGTAGACGTCGTCTTCTTCTTCTGTTTCGAAGCCTTCTGTGTCGGCTTGCGTGAGCAGGGAGTGCAGGTTGGCGTTTATGGGCGTGTCGAGGTCGAGGTCCTCTGGGATGGGGACTTTTCGCTGCGCGCCTGGTGCGACGGGGTTTAGTTCTGCGCCGGAGAATAGGGCGGGGATGGCTTGTGTGAGGAGGAGTGGGGGGTCGGCGAAGTCTCCGTTGTTGACGCCGGTTGCTGTCCCGGAAGCGGCTTCGGCGGCTAAGCGCATGAGCTCGAGATATTCGACTGCGCGCTCTTGTACTTCGATGTTGGGATGTGTGGAGAGTGGTTCGAGGAAGTGGATCACGCGCGCCATGAGGAGAGACATGAGAGTTTTGCGCTCTGGCGTCCAAGAGATTTGGTCGTTGCCGGCCATGCTCGAGAAAACCTTAGGCACAGCTTGGAGATACACAGCAAGTGTTTTCGCAGGAAGCTGGAGAGAGTTCGAGTGGAGGAGGGAAGTCATGACAGGCTCGGGTCGTGTGAGGTAGGTTGCGTATTCTCCGACGAGCCAACCTGCATACTCGAGTACGCCCTGCCCGCCGTTGCCAGAGGCTGGGAACATCTGGTCCCTCCGGTCTACGAGAACGAGGTTTTGCGCCGCATCGATGACTTCCGGGCGGACGCTCTTGACCCGCACGGCGACATTCCGTAGCTCATGTCCGATACTGCGGCCGACGTCATCCGAGTGTTCCAGCTCTCCATCCTCTTCCGCTGTTGAGGTGTTTCTGGTGGCAGGCGATACTCGGACTAGCTGGACCAGGACGTCAATGTACCATTCAAAATCAGTGATATTGGAGTATGTATCGCGTGAGCACATGTCCAGCACTCTCCGAATCACACTGATGCGGTAGTCTTCAGGTAAGGGCGGCGGTTGGCTGGAATTTTGTTCGTGTTGCCGGAGAGACTCCTCGGCGTCAGAGTCGTCTGATTCGGCATACGGCACGACTCCCACATTGCGACCCCTATCATCTTTTGAATCGTCTGTCGCGGACATTATGGGCGCATTTCGGAGTTGTCGCATGAGTCGTCCAACAATAGCCGTGAGGTTGTCGGTGTTGACCATGCCAACCACAAGATCCAACGCGCGCATGCGTATCGAAATGTCTGGATCGTCGATGCATTCGAGAATGACGTCTTGTTGTTGAGACACCAAGTATGGGTGGGAGCGGACGATCTTCTCGAAAGCGAGCAGGGCAACGTACTTTACTGCAAAGAGATGAGATGGTGAAGGGTTTCATTGATACGGATACCAGCTTACAGTTGGAATCGCCTTCTATAACCATCATGCCTCGTAGTTTGCCCACACATAGCTTTGCCACCTCCTCGCCTTCGGTGGTGCCTTCGACAGCTTCCAGAATGCCACCCTGAATTATGCCGCTTATGCATTCGTACAGCAACGACATGGCGGACGTCTCGCGGATGATCTTTGTCAGCGGAGGGAGGAGCTTTTTTATTAGTCGTGGCTCCAACGGAGTCAGAGTCGCAAACTGTGAGTCGTCAGTAATATATAAGAGTGTGCCAGGCCAACGTACGAGCTTAATGAGCTTAATGGCCATCCAGTTATTGTTGCTATCCACTAACAGCTCGAAAAGTCTAGGGGCGAGGGGCAGAAAGTCCTGGGGTCTCCTCCATCCCAGCTCGCACACGACATTCACAATGGCAGCCGTCACACTCGCATCCTCGTTGTCGTCGAGCAGGCGCTCCTTGATCTTGGGCCAGGCAGGTCTCAGCGTTTCCGGGTAGACAAGGGCCAGTCTGTACAGGGTGACGACCGTCTTCTTGCGAATGGCGGGGTGTGAATGCGTCAGGCGCGGTATGAGGTCGGACAGGATAGAGTTGGCCATGCTCGGATTGATAACGTGAGGAATAGCAATGAGCGGCAGGCTAATAACGGTGGGCGTAGGACTCGTAATATCCTTCTTGAGCTGGTTCTCAGCAAGCATCAGGACCTCTGTGTCGCGTCGAAAGCTCTGGACGGCGGCCAAGTAGGCGGTGCGCTTGTGGCGGTACTTGGGGCTCGACATGACCTCGAGGATGTTGAAGGCGGCCCAGGACATGTCGTGGCCGAACATCTCGAGGTAGGTGAGCTTCATGAGCGCCGTCGACTTGAGGTCCATGTCGTTGGAGCGGATCTCCTTGCGGCATTCCTTGATGCTCTCGTTGATGTACTCCCGCTCGGTGCCCTTGTGGTTGCGCAGGCCCCGGATGAGGTCGTAGAGCGATTTCTCGAACCTGCAGACGTATCAGCCCCGGATTGTGCATGCTCGCGTGGGTGGGTGTGGTACATGTTGGCGACTCGTCAGGCAGTCTCCCGCAGTCGGGTGTCGAGTGAGCTATGCGCGCGCACGCGGAGGGGTATGTTGGCGGAGGCGTGCAGACAGGCCGGCGGGCGCGATCATTGGGCGTGGCCTGTCATAGGGGAGGTCATGCAAGCTGTCCGGCGTTTGGGTGCTGGCTGGCACTCGAAAGCGCGTGGGGAGAGTCGACCTGGACTTGTCGGGGTTGACGTGCCCGCTGCCCGCCGGCGTCGCTTTCGCCGAGCCTCACACATCCCTGTCCTGTCCTCTCCAGCGCCAGACCCCAGATTTGGACCCAGAGACACCGTCACTCCCACCATCCTCCCAATTGCACGCCCACACCAACCCGCCAACATGACCCGCGCCAACCTGCTCACCCCACCAACCCACATCCCCCCGCGAACCGCCCTCGCCCTCTCCCAAAAGAGCCCGCTCATCCTCGCCAACTCACCCACCTCGTCCCTCCCATGGCCACTCTCCCTGCTCTTCTCGCGCGAAACCCCAGAGTCCTGGACCATCCACGAGAACCTCCTCCTATCCGCGCTACGCACCGGCGACGAGTCCTCCGCCGCGCGCATCCTAGCCCGTCTGGAATCGCGCTTCGGCGCCGCCAACGAGCGCATCATCACCCTGCGCGGCATCTACAACGAAGCCACCGCCGAGTCGGATGCAGATCTGGAGAAGGTCTTCAGCGGCTATGAGAAGATCCTCAAAGAAGACCCCACGAATATGAGCATACGCAAGCGCCGTGTCGCCGTGCTGAAGGCGCTGGACCGCCCCCAGGACGCTATTACAGCCGTGACGGTGCTGCTGCAGAACTCGCCTACCGACGTCGAGGCCTGGGCTGAGGCGAGCGAGCTGTACGCTGGACAGCAGGCGTGGGGACAGGCGATATATTGCGCTGAGGAGGTGTTGCTTATCATGCCCAATGCTTGGAGTGTACGTTTCCGATCTGTCCTCCTCGAATAATATATCATATGAATGAATGAATGAACACTGACATCCCAAAGGCACACGCCCACCTAGCAACCCTCCACTACCTCTCCCACCCCTCCACCTCCCCGCTCCCCGCCCTCGCCCTCGCAACAAAACACTTCTGCCGCGCCATCGAGCTCAACGAGTCCTACCTGCGCGCCTACTTCGGCCTCAAGCAAGTCGCCGCTACACTCATACCCTTGCTCTCCGCTTCACCCTCCGCATCCACAGCCGTCAAGCGCGCCGCGCAGGACGACGATGAGATCCCTATCCCGACGCTTGCTACGGTGCAGAAGCTGGATGAGCTGGCGACGCGGAAGTTGGCGGAGATTGTGCGGTGTGCGAAGAGGGGGGGGAGGGAGGGGGGAGGGTATGATGAGGCGGAGGTGGAGGCTGTGCGGGAACTGTTGGGGAGGTCGGAGAAGTAGGTTGGTGGGTGGATGGATAAGAGGGAGAGGGGGAGAACAATGCCTCATGGCTGGAAGAAGTAGATACTCGATTGATAGATACCACCAATGATGCCATAATACCCACACTTGATCAACCTCTCATGTACATATACACATACACCGCAACGCCTCTATCCATTCTCCACGAATACTACCCAGACAGTCCCACAACGCCACGCCACACCAAACCACCCCCCTACATCCCCCCAAAATTCAGCTTCCGCGCCACCTTATCCGCCCTCCCACCCGCCCCCCCCGGCGTCTCCCCCCCCTTCCGCTTAAGATCCTCACCGACCTTCGCCTGCCCGCCCCCCTCCCTCGGCAACCCCTCCTTCCTCGTCGGCCTCGGCGCAACACTCCAATACCGATGCCCCAGCACCTTCTTCGCACACAACCTCTTCCGCGGATCAAGCGCCAACATGCCCCTCAACAAATCAATCCCCTCATCCCCCAGCAGCGGGAACGTCGCACGCCACCAATTCATCCCCTTGGGCATTTTAGCCGCAGTGCGCTTCCCGCCCATCTCCGCGCTAGGCTGCTTATCCGGCGCGACGTAGTACCGCAGGGTAGACACGCCGGGCCATGTTTCCTCTGTGGGGGTGCCGAAGAGGTCGCAGATAACGGCGAGTTGCTGGATGTCTGTTTCGGAGGGGAGGAAGAAGCGGCGCAGTGCTAGTTCGGCGATGACGCACGCCGTGCTCCAGATATCCACGCCGCCGCCGTAGTGGTAGCAGCCGTATAGTAGTTCGGGCGGGCGGTAGAAGCGCGTTATGACGTTTGAAGTCATGGGTCGACCGGGGTCAGCGAAGGAGCGCGCGAGTCCGAAGTCAGCGAGTTTAACGGTGCCGTCGGCGGCGATGAGCGCGTTGTTCCCCTTGATATCGCGGTGTAGGACGGCGTTTTCGTGGCAGAACCAGATTGCCTGGCAGAGCATGTTGGCCCAGGCTTTGATGTCTGCGTTGCCGTAGGTGATAGATGTGTTTTTCCAGAGACCCTCCAAGTCGCCCAGGGGGAGGTGTTCGAGGACAAGAGACAGATTCTGGTCCTTTGTAGAGAAGACGGCGTGCAGTTTTATGATGTTTGGGTGGGAGAGTTCGGAGAGGAATTTTATCTCCCGGATGGCGTCCATGGCGATGCCGTCTTTGAACTCGGCGTTGTACTTTATCTTCTTGATGGCTACGAGTGAGGAGGGGTCGTGCCGGTAGTGGCCTGCGTACACGATGGCGTAGGTTCCTTCGCCTAGACGTCCGGCTGTGACGAATTGCTCGCGTACTGCGTCGTTCATTTGCTCTGCTAGGTCCATGCCTTGGTCTGCTGTCGCTGCTGCTGCGCTGGCTGCTGCTGGGGGTGCGGGCGCGGGCGGGTGCGCGGGCTTATGCGTGTTCCCGATCATGGCGAGGGCCTTTGCGCGTGGGTTTGGCGCGAACCGTGAGCCGCCGAGCGGGTTGGGATGCGGGCTGAGGACGACGGGGGAGGAAGCCATGGCGGGCTACGACGGTGGGCGGTGGACGATTGGCACTTCGGTCGCGTGAAGCTATGTGTACTCAAGCTGCGGCGCAAAGACGAATGGCGCGGGAAGTCAGTCGCGGAGGGAGTAGTTCTGCGAGACTCGAATGCGCCCCAATATCACATCCATGCTCCGGAGCTTCCTTCTCTTGCAGTCGCCCACGCCGTGAACCAGTAAACGAGCGAGTGAGTGAGGATGCCATGGTGGAGAACAAGGCGGCGCACGTCCCGAGCAGTAGACGCAAGCCACTAACGCTTTTCCGCGGGGAGCTTCGAACTTCGTTGCCAGCAGTTGTCCATACAATACAGCACCACGACACACCTTCACCATGGCTACATCTGCACGCGGACCACCCGGCGCCGTCGCCGTGCCCAAAGAAGGCATCCCCAACAGGACGTAAGTATTCTCTCTCCTTCCTACCCACCGCGACACAAAGCCAACATGACACGCAGATCCGCTAACAGCACGCAGCCTGTACGTGCGCAATCTCCCCGACAAGCTGCCCAAAGAGGACCTGAAGCGGAACTTGTACATGCTGTTCGCGACGTATGGCGTTATTCTGGACATCGTAGCGCTCAAGACGATGAAGATGCGCGGACAGGCGCATGTTGTGTTCCGGGACATTGATTCCTCGACACAAGCTATGCGTGCGCTGCAGGGCTTTACCTTTTTTGGCAAGGACATGGTGGGTTTTGTGTAGCTTGCTTGGGTTGACGGGGCCAGGCTGACGGCGTATACAGACCATCGCCTATGCAAAGACGAAGTCGGACACCATTGCCAAACTCGATGGCACGTTCAAGATGCCCGAGCCGGAGCGCGAACACGATTCTGAAGACGCGGCTGCACAACCTACTGGCTTTGGGGTGGTGCCGGCGAAGGCGGTGCCGGTCAATGAGCAGGATCGAGCAAAGGGGCAGAAGCGAGCACGCGAGGAAGAAGAGGAGGAGGAGGAAGATGAAGACGCCGAGATGGAGATGGACGTTAGCGACGAAGACTCAGACTAGCACTCCATATATCACACGCTGGTTGAGGACCGAGCAAAGAAAATACAGCCTTGGGAACGCCATCCACGACACGCCTGTAGGAGAGAACGGTCAAGGCGCGGATACATACAGGGTGGGGATCAGCGACACGAGTCGCCTATATAGGAGAAAGATGACCGCCAAATGTTGGTCTCCAAGGACATCACATATCAGGTCACTGGAAGCGGTGCTGACTCTGCGCAGGACGTTATGCCACGAGATCTGCGACGACCTGATAGAAAGATGTGATGATTACCATATCTACATAAATAAACCAAGTCGAGACCGCGGGCTCCCTTAAAGCGCGGAGAATACACTGCTCAATCTCAACGTCGACCATCAATATCATGTCCTCCTGAAGTCTCCTTTCGTTTCATTCATTCGTTCACTCATCTGTGCATCAATCAGTTCATTCCCTATACACCAAACATCCGATTCCACTGCTTTTCCTTCCTGTGCCTCGTCCTCATCGCTGTCTAACATGCTCAATTTTACAAGGCATATACACTACACCGCACTGTCAGTCAAGAAATAGGCGCAGCACATCACACTTGTCCAAATAGTGCCTGGACACACACATTACTAATTTCATCTCATCTCATATTTTACCATGTGTTTACGCTTTTTCTTCCCTCCTTCCTTTATCCCCTAACTAGGTACAGAGCAAGTTGAAGTATACAGTATATCTCCTCTGTCTTTCTTTGATGTAATCTAAAGCTGGAGATTCGTAGCTGTTTGGATAGGAAGTCTTCTTCCACGACTACGTTCGGATATGGGGTTTGGCACGGTGTACACCGGTATGTGGGCTAGCCGTGTCTAGAGAAAGAAGGTAAGAAAGAGCAGTACTTTGAATACCGATTCTTATATTAGGCGTATACGATGGTCATGCAAGATACGCCACGCCATATCATGACATTGTTGTCAACTCCTTAGTTCTTGTAAATAGTCAGGCGAGCGAGATATGTGTATAGTATAACATATCACGGTATCTTTGTTAATGTCTGGAGTCTTGTAGATATCGGCGGTATGTCCACAGTACAGTACAGTAGAGCAAGCAATAGCACGATACAACGCGATACACATATCACTGCGCTGTCTAGCAAAGCACGGCTACGCTACAAGAGAAGGATGAACATGGTACGATACAACGCGATGAGATGCGGCGCAGTGAATGCGGAGGTGGAAGTGGGCTGCAGCTCTACGGGGTATACTTAAATTAGCAACATACTGCCTATCTACCATGGGTACGCAGAGCCTCATCGGTGATCCTACATATCCATCTCCATCACCATTCCCATTCTCACAGCCAGACTCGTCGCCTAGACCCATCCATAGCTGACCTCACGTCCCACCGTCAGCCAAGTCGGCGGTAATTTGCAATGTGCCCGCGAGCTTCTCCCACGGACATGCATGCGTGTGTGCGACGTGCGACGCGCGACGTGCGGGCGTCAGATATGATAATAAATGGACACCACCACCGGGAGCATGGGCATGGCTAGGTATCAGTATCAGTCGGCGGTATGTGTGTGGGGCATGGAGCAAGAAGATCCCCTCTACGGTGTTTCAAAGAGATAAAATCATGACCTGATGATCGCACGTCATTCGTGTCAGGCGAGGTGGGAATTCATTCGCACTGGGCATCATCGATGGAGAGGTGATTACGCGTTCGTCGGGCGGGAGGGGCAGTGTCTACATAGCGGGAAGGAAAGGTGCTGGCTGGTGCATGGTATGTTTTACACCCGCATCAACAATGAAATGAGTGTGGGGGAGGCGACCTCCCCTGCCACAGAAGGCAGGGAGACCAGCACAATTCGTATTGGTTACTACATATCTAATCCGAATCACTCACTCTTCCACCATCTTATCCTTGCTTGTAGTGTCCAGCGCAGCAACACGACGGAGTACAGTTTTCATGGCCTCTTCGAGAGCCTCTTGCGCCGCAAACAGTGCTTGGACGTTGTCGCCTACGAAGTCAGTCATGCAAGTGAAGAATGATAATAGGAAAAACTTACTTGTGGTGCTGATGTCCTTCTCTAGGCGGGCAAACGTAGCTGTGTTGCCACCAACTGATATTGAGGCAAGCTGCATTCTTTGTAGCTTCTACAAGCTGCATAACTACACAAGCAAAATACAAAAATGTATACATAAGGCGCATACAGTTACAAATCTAGGCGTAAGATTTTTACACTAAACACAGTTGTAGTTGTCTAGCTGTTGCATGATTTTGCTGCAGCTTGGTTCCTGGTATTTCGATTGACCGAGAGGGGGGCAGGCGAACGAGAGGTCAGAGAGGTGGGAGAGCTAAAAATGTCCCCCGCAGCATACATGCATGTTGTGCGTCGAGGCCTGGCTTTGTGAATGAGGCTGGCATGCGAGAAAATGCATGTTACTGGCGCGGGAGGTGGGTGCTGGGGGAAGAAAAAGCAAAGCACTGCGCCCAATGAGGGGGTCGGGGCTACACAGGAAAATAATTCGCTGTTGAAGTATTTCTGGAGGTTTGACATGAACAGGCAGTTGGTAAGTTTTGACGCGTGCTCGCCAATCGCTCACATCGAACTCTCTGGGGGGGGGGGGGGGGGGACAACGGCGTTTTCTGGGAAAAGGAGCGATATTGCGCCATCTTTTCTCGATACTTAGCACTCCCGGCTGAGGCGTTGCTTGGATAGGTGGGTTTGTCTTGCTAGGACGGTGGATGGCGCACACAAGCTGCTGTTTATTGGTAGACCCCAATCCCAGAGTGGTTATTTGTATGGACGCCAATATTGAAAAAGGCGGAACTTCGCAACTCCGCTGCCAAGAAGCATTTTCGGAGTTTGCAAGCTGGAAGAGAGAGAGCCGGCTGGGAAGTCGATGTCGTGCCTCGGGGCGTGCAGCAGCTGGCGGCCAATTGATCATATGGTCTTGCAGGCGTGGGTGCCTTGGTTCGTATTCGGGCGAGTAATACGCCCCTGCACTGATCGTATATAGAGTAGGCGAATATGGGTCTGCTGTCACTGTGCTCAACAAGTTCGCGCGTGCCGTGAGAAGCTTCTCCACATCCACCTTTGTCCTGGAGCTGATGAAACGCCAAGGTCCATTGTGGGAGATGAGGATGCGACGGTTGTGAAGTTGTTCACCGATGGGTGATTGCGCGTCGAGTAGCGACACACAGTGTGCTAGCGAGGAACGTATAGTGTACCATAGTCCGTAACGGTACCTGACAGCGCTTGGTTGTCCAAAATTAGGATGGCGACTTGTCCCGAGAGTGGATAGTAGTGCGCTACAGCGTGTGAGCCCACGCGCAAACCTGACAGTTGACGGAGACGAGGTGGATACTTCAGCTGGTTGGTGTTTCCAATGCTGCGCACACTATCAGCAACAAAGCCCAACGGCGACGTTTCTTTGAACTGTGGGTAGCAAAATCACTTAGACTTGTTCTTGTTCAGACAAGGCAGACCCCGGCCGCAGTACATTTGCGCTAGCTATTCACAGGCACGACTCGATCGCATTAGGTAGATCTTGCACTGGGCAAGCCGCGTTGGCGAGGGCCGGAAGAAACATTGTCGACTCCTCCCTGACATCTCGCGAACCTCACGTCCTCGTCTCGTCTTTTCCCCGCCACCCCGTTGCCACCTGTGAAAGTGTCGGTCGTTGCAGAGAAGCTGGTTTCCCGCCACGCTGCCGGCCTCTGTGTTTGGTAAGTCTTGCACCACCCCTGGTCTCCCAACCCGACGGAACCTTTTCGACGATTCGGCACACCTGGCGCAGAGAGAGCCATTACGCAACAGCACCGCGTGCTGGCTGGTTCGAGAGGGGCAGGCGTGGTGTTTTGCTTCTGTTGGGAGACGTCAGACGGTCTAGCGCATCGCATGCAGACACGCATACGCATACTCGCATACACCACTCGAAGCTCAGCCTTTGTGCCACTCGACATCTGCCCACCTCGAACCTGCCTTCGCATCGACTGCGACACTCAAAACTGCACGTGGGCTAACCAGCACTTCGCAGACAGCGCGACTAATTCACCTTCGTTCTTGCCTGTATTGTTGCTTGGCACCGTCGCAGCAACACACGCTCTCTCACCCAACCGTTCCCTCGACTCGACTCGCGCATATTCCTACCGCATGAACTGTCGCCACGTCGCGAGATAGACCGCAACGGGCATCGAGCGCCTTCCCGCTCCACTCCACTCCACTCCACTCCGCGACAGCCAGACAGCACAATATGGGCAAGCCTGGCCTCGGTCTTTTCATGGGCCGCCGGAAGTCGCAGAGCAATGCGTTGGACTTGGAAGAGCCAACCACCAGCCCAATTGCGCCTCCTGCTGTCCCCGTAAACGACGAGTCAGGCGGCTTCCGTCTGCTGAGCCGCACAGAAGTCTCCAAGGCGAACGAGCGCAGAAAGACTCAGGAGAAGGAAAAGGCGCCGTCCAAGTTTCCACGCTTCAGCGGATTTGGCGGCGGAGGAGCCAAGGGCCGCAATCAATCATTCGAAGACGAATCTCCAGGATCCTCAAAGCGGTAAGACCCGACCCGCAGAGCTAACAATAGCGTCGGCGTAATTAACTCCTGCATTAGTGATAGTAAATCGAGCAATGGCACCCAGATTTCAGCCTCTCGTTACTACAATAACGGCCAGCACGGCTCGACGTCGACTCTGCCCTCCTCGACCGATACCAGCTCCGACGATAATATATTTGCAAACGTCCCGCGGCACCACGCACCGCAGCCGAGCAGCTCATCCAACTCGTACTTTGGCATCAAGAAGCAGATGGCTTCTGTTCCCAAGTCCAGCTCAGGGGTATCACAAAAGGACGCAATGATTGGAGAAAGGAACAGCAGGAACCGTGCCATGACGTCGTCGAGCTACGCGAGTACCGCCATACCGCCCAAGCTCGACGGTGACCTGAACTTCGGAACTTCATCATTCGACGACATGTTCGACGCGCCCACCACACAATCCCCCGAACCCACAAGAGAGTCTACTGGCCGCTCATTGTTCGCAGAGAAGCGCACGTTCCAAGCAGAGCCCATTAAAATAAATCCATCACTCGACGTCGAGGCGCCCATGAAGAGCTGGGACAGCCGTGGTTCAGGGGACAACCTGATGTCCAACGCAAACTCGGACGACGATGCGTACCCTCCATTCCCACCACCACACAAATACTCGCAGTACGCACCACTAGCCCCTGAAAGCCCCAGCCTGCAAGCTGGGCCCACGTTTCAGACCCCGACACCAAGGGTCGTGAGCAATACTGTTATGGAGAAGAAGATCTACTACGAGTCCACTTCACAGAAAAAGTCGACTCCCATCTCGTTGTCTGCGAACTCGTACCAGACACCCCTCACCTCACGATCCACATCCCATGGCAGCACACCGAAACCTGCGCTACCTTCCTCGGTGCCAGCCTACACAGACGAGAAGGAGGAGGAGGAGGATCCCAACATGTTCTCACAGGTCAGGCTCGAGCCTAAGATTGAGAAGATTGTTTCACCAGCACCAGCCCCTGTGGTGACGGTAAACAAGACCGCGCCTGCGTCTTCTGGTGAAGCAGGGCGGAAGGTCATGACACAGGCAGAGTTCCGTGAATACCAAAAGCGGCAGATGTCTAAACCTCCGCCAGAGGAGAGTTCGGACGAGGAAGACTACGAAGACGAGGAGGACGCGATTACGAAGCGTGAAGAGGAGGAGGTTCTGAGACGCAAGAATCAGCAGATGCACTTTGCAAGGGAAGCAATGCGTCGGTCGACGACAGCACCTACAGGGCAAGCTCGACCCGATAGTCTCGCAGACACGCTGACCAACGGCTTCCCGTCTGAAATTTCGTCGAGGGCAGACGAGTGGGAAGACGAAGACATCCCTTTGGGGATTCTGGCACAGCATGGCTTCCCTAGTCAAACACGCAACCGGCACCCGAGTCAACCAACAAACGCAATTCCCTCGTACCTGCCAGATCGTCCAGTATCTGCAGATCCTATGAGCAACCGTGCCTCACAAATGCACATGCCTGCCTTTGCCAGAAACTTGCCCATGGACCCACACAACTCGATCATCGGCGGTGGACTAGTCCGCCATGCGAACCGAGAATCCATGGGCTTCAACAACTTTGTTCGAGGCCCTGCATCCGTCGCCGGTGACTCGGTCGGTGGAGGCATGGGTATGGGCATGAATCCTATGATGTATCAGGACGCCGGCCTCTCACAACCTTCTCTCGTGGACCAAATTCAGATGCGGGACATGTCAAAGCAGAAGTACATGGGCGGTGCGTCCAAGAAGCCGCAGGGGCCTTTTACCGGGATGCTCGGACAGCAAATGAACTCCAGTGGCCAGCCAGTGAACCCAATGCGGATGAGCGGTATGAACGGTATGAATGGCATGAACCCAATGAATCCCATGAACCCCATGATGAACATGATGGGTGGGCAGATGCCGATGATGAACAACATGGGAATGGGTATGGGCATGAACCAGATGGGCTACCCGATGCCACAGCAAAACGATTACAACATGCAGATGCAACAGTACCAGCAGATGCAACAAATGATGGCTATGCAGCAGATGCAATTTCAAGCCATGCAGCAGCAACAACAACAACAACCAATGCAACAGCAGATGCCAGGAATGCCTATGTCCAGCAACGGTTACTCAAACAACGGTACGATGGGCAACGGCGGCTTCCTGAACATACCAAACGGCATGCCAAACGCCATGACCAACCCGCAAGGCCGAGCCATGTCCTTTGCGGCACCCCAACGCCCATTCTCCCACGTCATGAACTCCAACACAGGATACACGCCATCCATCGCACCGTCTGAGCGGTCCAACATTGGTCTCTCTGCCCGGTACCGCCCCGTAGCTAACAACTCGGATGCCTTGTCCAGCGGCACATCAATGACACTCCAACCGCCCGGCAGCAGGACCAAGTCCCCCGGCCCAGTCAAGGGCATCCTGAAGAAATCCCCACAGACGACTGTCGACGAGGTAGACGAAGACTGGAGCAAGATGGCAGCCAGGAAGAACAAGTTTGCTCGCAACGGCACCCAGAACGGAACCTCTTCTGGCCTTGAGGATTTGACCCGCGGCCTCAATATTTAATCGTATTCCTGAAAGAGCTTTCAAATCCTTTTTTTAATTCCATTCTTTGTGGGAGCGCGAGAAAAGGACACATTTTTATCATGCATGCGAGCGCGTGTGTATGTGGGTCGATGCATCGTTTTCTGTTTGGAGAGCGAAAGGAAAGTTTTTTGACGGGTTGCATTTACAAAGGCGTTTTCTTCTTCATCTTTCTTTCTTTTCTGGCTCGGCTTTTTCTCTTGTTGGGGTTGTTGGTTGAGTTTACCTTTTTTGGGGGGGAAGGGGGGAAGTGTAGGCCGGGATTTGGCTTCTTTCGTCTCTCTCTCTCTCTTTTTCTTGGTCTGGGCGTGGTTGGTTTGCTGGGGAAATGGTTGGAGTGGCTTGGATTGGGTTGGGGTGGAATGGAATGGGATAGACTGTTGTAATTATAATGCGCGTATATGCGTATATGGTCCACTCACTCCTCACTCACTCACTCGCTCTGTTTTCATGTGTGTATCCTGATGTGTGTGAATGTGTAGGGTGTGATTGAGGCGCATTGCACTGTCTTAGTGCAGTGGGACATCCAGCGAGATGTTTCCCCCCCATCAGCGACTCGTCAACACCCACGACTCGAGTTCCAATATAAACGTCCTCTTCATCTCCTGCTCGTGCCTCATGGTTTCTCTCCCGCTATCTATACTTCTTCTCGAGTCTGGGCCTCCTGAGAACGTGGCTTCCATCTCGGATGTGAGATGGTCATGCTGGTGCTGGTTCAGATTACTACTGCACTAGGTCACCAGGACACACCATTGCTCAAGCATCTGCCATGTCCTTGGTATTGCGCTAATAAGCGTCGTCAATACTGTCACTTTGATGTGCGGCGGACTTGGCGAACAGGGAAATGGGAGTGGAAGTTTATCTTGACATGGACAACATACGACAAACCATGGATTGTCTGCACTGCAAGAGACGGTCTTAAGAATCGTGTGGTACCACATATAACGCCTGACCATAATTACTCGGAGAACTGTCTGGGTTATACGAAGAGTGATGGGTGTTGATAAATTTGCCTTATGTGGTTAAATGTATTGCGTGGTCGAGGAGTCATAATTCAAGCAGAATCGAGGCAACGATCTGAATAGAACTAACCATAAGCTTTGCTGCACCTACGTTCTAGATTTCGATATCTTCAATACACATGCCACTGCGTTTATCTACTTCAATATGCTCCTCTCTGACCTTTTCCAGAATTGCGCTCTTGCTTATGTCCTATCGACACATCATGCTACTTCCCAATGTTCCTCCGGAGAAGAAACGTGTGGTTATCCCCATCTGACAAGGGGCTAAATTCAGCCTTCAGAATGCTTCTCAAAACCACGCCAGGGTGAATAACAGCCATAGCCACCACCACAAGAAACATCAGCACCGCATCGAAGACGTAAAGATACGCCTCGGTCTTATACGCCTTCCCTTCAGGCCCTTCCACGAACTCAGCAAGTCGAAACACACACCTGACTACAACCAGCATGCTGACAGTGTAAAGCAACCACACTTGTCGCCTCCACTTGACATGTGTGCGCAACGATGTCGCCGTGGGCTGTTGATTCAGCCTGTGATGAAATAGTGCTGTCATCAGGATGAAGAACGTAAAGGCGACGAGCTGGAACGCTAGACCTCCAATCACCACTGTATTTCCTGTCTTCACTCCGTCCTCGTCACCGCTCGTCTGCATTGCCGATCCGAGCATCTGGCATGCAAAACTGGCGATGTCGATCAGAACGTAGATTTTGGTGGTCCAACGTGGTGACATGATGGCGTGGTTCTCCGCATCAAGCGCGCGAATCAAGCGTCTCGGCGTCATGTATATCATCGCGGCGAGAATGAGTATCAGCTGAATGGGGGAGGGAGTGCCCTGACGAATATTGCAGTGTGACTATGCACAGCTGTATTAGCCCGTAGCTTCGCCTTTGGAACAAATAAACAACCAGATTGTGTTTTCACATGAGGTTCATTGTTCAATAACTTTGATAGATCTGAGGTATCATGATAAAGTTTAGACCAACCTTCTTCATGAGTTTGCTCCATGTTGGATCAAACGTTGATCACACAACGTGACTAGTCAGCTTATGACCTTCTCACGCCATCTTCTTCTATCTGTGCTTCAAGTCCATCGTCGCGCCTCCTCTTGTTTTCCCTTTCTCGCTCGATGGCATGGTTTGGTCCAGGCACCAGTCCCCAAGGACCCTTTGCTATAGTCTCTCCCTTAAATTTAATGAGCGATCCAACAAAGATGGGTCCAATAATGGTGTTCAGCAGAATAGCCCAAATAGCAGTGATAAAACCATCCGAAGAAACGTAGGAAGTGTTGTTATACCCAATTTGTACAATTAGTAAACCAATCTCTCCACGGGCGACCATGGCCATGCCGAGGACAAGGGCAGGAGACAGTGAGGAACTAAGTGCAGCGCTGCTGGAGGGAGAGTACGGCGAAGAGGTTGTCTTTTCCAGAGGGTGGCCATCCTCGGGTGTGGACTGTTGCTGGAGGTTTTCTTTCGCTTTCTTCGGGTCATGCTGTGCTACGGACCATATTGGAATCCAAATTCCCACAACAAATTTCGCGATTAGCATGAGCAGCGTGTATACAAAGCCTTTCCAAATGGCCTTCCCAGTCCAGAGGTCCAGGAAAGGAATCGCGAGCCCAATGCTAGCGAAGAAGAGCGGTTCAAGAACGTACTTCTGCGCATCGAGGCAGTAGTATTCGAACGTGTGGACGAAAGTCGGCGACTTGTCTTTCTCGCGCTCGCCTTCCTCCCTGCTCATGACGACGAACGGGCCTTCGGAGTGTTTGGAGGGGATGTACGTCAGAAACGTGCCGGCGAGGAAAGCGCCGAAAAGTATCGAAGTGCCGGCATACGCAGCGATCGAAATGAACGCACATAGGACAATGATCATAAGTGAGATATTGGACAAATGGTCGAATTTGGCGAAGCTACGGTCTCGTCGCGCAAATTAACGCCGGGGGACTTGGCTGGCGGTGAGGTAGGTTATAGATGGGTCTAGACGGAGAATTCTGGATGGGGATGGGGATGGGGATGGAGATGGACAAGTAGCATTGCGGATGAGGCTCTGCATACCGTACCCATGCTCTCGGTCAACTGCAAAAGCGGGAAGTAAGCTGCATTCTTTGTGGCTTCTACAAGCTGCATAACTACACAAGTAAAACACAAAAATGTATACGTAAGGCGTATACAGTTACAAATCTAGGCGTAAGATTTTTACACTAAACACAGTTGTAGTTGTCTAGCTGTTGCATGATTTTGCTGCACCTTAGTTCCTGGTATTTCGATTGACCGAGAGCCATGGTAAGGCAAGGCAGCATGTTGCTAATTTAAGTATACCCCGTAGAGCTGCAGTATACCTCCGCCTCCGCATTCACTGCGCCGCATCTCATCGCGTTGTATCGTACCATGTCCTATCCTTCTCCTGTAGCGTAGCCGTGCTATGCACAATAACCAGCGCGTTGATAAATGTATCTTGATGTGATGTACTACTGCATGATATACCATTCTACTCTTCATCGTAAGCATACCGAATAATTGCGGCACAAGAGCCCCGCCAATAAGATCATCACACCACGATCAGATCTTGCCGAACTCAAGTGGTCTCAGACGTTTCGCTGGACTTGTGGCTATAATGAGGGCCTCCAGCATCGATGACAACCCAACACTAAGATAGATTTGTAAGTATGATAGTATATTGTCCTCGAAGCTCCCTGCAGATCAACCATCTATTCACCTGCCTTATCGGTAGTACCGTTCTTCTTATCAATGATGTCTGTCAGCCGTGAGATAATGACGTCGCTCACTTGCATATGCCCGATCCTTCGAAGTAGAACCCCAGGTTCTTCTTCTACTCCACACATTACTCAAACACCAAACTCTATTTCCTTGTCTAGCAACAGCATATATATTCAGGCTACATACTCTCCTTTCACCATGGGCTGTATCCCATCATCGACCGTCGTTGCAGGCGGAAACAACACAAACTGCAAGAACTGCACAGACTGCCAGAACTGCACGGATTGTATAGGTAGCTACTGTCTCATTGGCTGATCCTCCATTTCTCTCACATACTCATTCTCTTCGCCTCATTGTATTCTCCACCGTGTCCGCACGTCAGGAGCCTCGCTCATATTCTCAGACTGTGACAACTCCAAGAATTGTGACGGCTGCAAGTCTTGCGATGACTGCTCCAACGCTACATCTTGTACTGGTATATGGCCCTGATCCTCTCAGTTAAAACTGCCTTCTGGTCCTTACTTCTATCCATTCGTTACTCCCCTTCCATCTCATTGCATCGATTTTCCTCTTCCCACATCGCCAACTCACGCCCATAGATTGCACAAACTGCAGAAACTGCACAAACTGCGACTCCTGTGTCCGCTGCCACAACTGCACAGACTGCACGGGCTGTGAAGGAAGTTCGAATTGCACGGACTGCACTGATTGCATCAAGTAAGTCGTTTGGTTGTTTCTCGTGAGAGTAAAACGACTGATAGGGCTAGTTGCACAAACTGTACAGATTGTAGTGGGTTGAAGGGAATGCATAATCAGACGGGTGTTCATAATTAGGCGTGGGTGCAGATGGGGAACAAGCAGTCTAAGAAAGTCTAGGGTAGAAATAACACCATATTGTGAAGTCACGCTAGGATAAGGATGAATGATCGAAGCAAAGGTATCCAACGTTCCCCGCAGTGTCTGATACTGCTTTACGCTCTGCCTTTCCCTTTCCCCTTCTCCTTTCTTTTCCTAAGTTTCTCGTGATACTCAGTGACTAGTTCCGCCGCGCCGCTGAGATCCTCTTCGGGAAGCCAGTCAAAGCTATCCTCGTAGCCTTCCCACTTCACGAGGTAGTAGTTTTGGGTGCCGTCGTGATAGTGCTCGTGTATGGCTTCTACGACGTATTCTTCCTCTTCCTCGTCTTCGTCATCGTCTTCCTCGTTGTCAACTAGACGATCGTTGTTCAGACCTTCGGCATGCGCGGTAGCCGACAAGGGCGATTCTGATGGTAACTGGATGTGGACAGTGTAGGGATTGATGTCCATTGCGTCGTGGCTTGGCGGATGAAACGGTTCAGAATGTGGTTGCAGTGGTATTGATCCGTCCGGCTCTTCGGACTCGGATGTAGATGTTGACCCAATAGACGCAGATGATACAGCACGAGATTGATGGTCCATCCTGTGTGTTGCTTGGAGGTATGCGCGTCGAGCTTCAGGTGCAGGTATCGACATAGGCGCCGCGCTCCCTGTCCTGCGCCGTTTGCTACGATGGGAATCCTCATCTGAGCTTTCGATGGCCAATTGTGCATGGATGTCGTTCTCGAAACGCAGCTGCAAGGCTGCATCAGTGTCGTCGTCTGGCTCGGTGTCAGAGTTGCCAATGTCGGGAACTTCGGGGTGGCCTCGAAACGTGAGCGGGCTTGTATGGATGGTGGGCAGCATCGCGACGAGAGACGGTATTTCCTCCACGTTGCGATGTAACACTTCAATAGTCTCCGATGTCTCGACTGGCCGCAACACCTCAACATTTGCCACGGCCTCATCTTGCGACTGACTAACCACGATCATACCTCGTCCACTACCTCTCGACCTGCCCCTCCCCCGTCCCCTCGACCTTCCTCTCGTCGGCACTGCACCATTCAAACCCAGGCCACTCACTATACTCTTCTTGCCTACTCCGGCCCTGGCATTTCTCTCCATCCTCCTTCTCACCCTCTCTTCTTCCTCCACTCTCTCCGCCACAGCCTGTACCTCCGCCTCGACGCGAAAACATTCATTCTCGAACCTCTCCAGCTCGCTCGGGCTCACAAACTCCAATATACGACTCGAATCAACTTCGACTTTCTCGGGGACCTCAATATCGCCATTTGGCACGATCTCCACGATGTAGAAGTTACGATTGTAGTCACCCTCCGTCTGTCTACGGTCGATGATACGTGTTCGTGCTTGGGGGATGGGGCACGCCGCAGGTGGGTAAGGTGTAACAGTTGCAGGATCGTGGCGGGGGAGCCAAAGGGAATTGTAGACGTCGGGGCTAGGCGTGTAGATTTCCCATGACCACTGCGTGAGTGTCAACACATTGATAGATTACGCGCAAGTGCGACAGCGATATTCGTACGTTCATGGTATTTCCTCTACCGCGTCCACGTCCTCGTCCACGTCCGCGTCCTGCACCTCCAGGTCCTCTCACGGACATTTTGATACGTGTAAGTCGCGCCGAATGGGTGGAGCAAGCGACTTTGCGTTTGGCAGTCGACACACTCGCAACAGGTATGATTTGAGACGCGTCATGGTGGGAGATGGTAAGAGAGTGGTTGCGAACGCGAAAGCGCGATGGAGTTGATCTTTGCTTAGTAAGCCGCTGTATCATAGACGACTGTTACTTTCGTCGTTCTATCTGCCTACTGAGGACACAGTATTTTACTGTATCGTCGGCACTACGCCGACGATCAGATCCCAATGGCGTCGCCAACGCATCGGGCAGGTTGCTTGTAAATATATCAGATCAAGTAAATTCTGTTGCGAGTCGCTAACCCGATGGGGACGTTATGTTTGTAGAATCGGAGAGCCGCAAGATCACTTCCATAATACGTGCGAGGCGTAGATTGAGAGCCAGCTTGTACCGTTGCTACTTTGGTACTGTGAGGTTGCGATTCATGGGTGTGTCGTCATGGTTCACCACAAATTCCCAGCTCTCCGACTCGAACAACAACAAAACTCCATCAGCGCAGACTACAACCGGCCGATAAGAATCACGAAAGTGTACAATTGTAACATATAGGAGTGATAACAAGAACCTCACTATACCATCTACATTATGGTAACCTCTCGCTTACGAATTCCGCTTCGTCCGGGTATGGCGTTCGGAGATGGCGTGTCTTCTCCGTCATGTCCGACCCCCTTCTCTCGTTCCACCATAACCTCAACAATCAAATACAACAACAAGTCCCAGCCATAGATCGCCATGTCTGCTCGAGACACAGAGGCCGAGTCAGGCGGGAACTCTGTCGACGGCTACAACGGATCGCCAGAAAAGCGCACAAAGAAGAAAAGGAGAGTGTTGTCCTGTTTCGCTTGTCGCGATCGCAAGATGAAGTGCGATCGTATCTATCCAGTTTGCGGACGATGCCAGAAAACAGGGAGAGCTGACCAATGCGCTTACGATTCTCGGTTGCTCGATCGACCAAGATCAAACGGCATGGTGCTTTTGGAAGGCGTTGCTGCCTCTTCGGCGACATCCGAACAGCGCACAGCCGAGATTCATGAGGATAATGCTTCGTCAGATACTCTCCGTTGGAAATTGAGGGTGCAAGAGAGGAGGATAGAGATGCTGGAGAGGGAATTAATTACCAAAGAGAGCAGAACTCAGTCGCAGTACAATGTCCACTTACCAGAAGAACCAGAAATCAAATCAGAGAGCATGATTCGAGGAAAGGGGCTCAGGACACAATTTCATGGTCCGACAAGCGTGATGACTATGATTTCGAAGGTGTGTTTCCAGTCACCCATTGTATCCATATGTCTGACCCATACAGGATCGTGCGCTTCAAGCCTTCACACGTGAGGCACTTGTAATGGATCAGTCTCTATCGATCACTAGGGCAGGCTTCAGATCCATTCGTGATCGAAGAAAAGCGAACCTCAAAGAGGTTGGAGCTAGAAGTCATGGTATTGATGCAGAAGTGTTTGCCGCGTTACCTGAGAAGAGCATCGTTGATACACACGTTTCCACTTACTTTCAGACTTGGGAGACAACATACAGAATCTTGCACGAACTATCTTTCTTCGATCAATACCAAAAGTTCTGGGAACATGCCCCTGGGGACTACAGCCAAACCAGCTTTGCAGCTCTGCTGGTTCTGATGATCGCAAGCACTAAATGTCTTGCTCCAAAGGATGACATCTTTGAGGGTGATAGTACTGTGGACCGGGAGGCAGCCTCATGTCTTATTAACATATATGAGAACTGGGTGAACAGACAATCTCGGAAACGTCTTGATCTACTGTTCTTCCAGCTACATTGCATGGCATTGCTCGCAAAAAGAACCAACTGTGTCAAGATCAAGCAAGACTGGGTCTCCACGGGTGAGGTTGTTCGATTGGCTATGGCGTCTGGCATGCATCGTGACACTGGCGGAAAGATATCCGAGTTCGAAAAAGAGATGAAGAAGCGGATCTGGGCCACGATCATGGAATTCGAACTGCAGTCTTCTCTCGAAACCGGTCTCCAATCCTCGCTGACAGACTTATATTTTGACACGCCACCTCCTGTAAACCTCCCAGACCATGCCTTGGTACCCGACTCGCAGCACATGCCAGCTACCTTACCAATCGAGAACTTTACACCGACGTCTTTTCTGGCGGTGTCTTTGGAGTCGCTTCCACTCCGTATTCACCTTACGCAATTACTAAACAATCCAAATGTTCATCTTCGATACGATGAAGTCCTTCGTTACGACGCACAGCTTCACGCCTTCCTCTCGTCGCTTCCGGTGTGGGATGATCCTCGGGCCACGATACCATCTGCTTTGCTTGACCTACAGCTTCGTCAGTACCTGCTCATCATGCATCGGCCCTACGCGAAGCTTGCCATGCAAAACCAGCGCTTCATATATTCTTTCACCGCATGTGTCGAAGCAGCAAGCTCTATAATTTCTGCACATGATCGCTTGGTGCACAAAGGGATTCTAGCTTTGAGCAATCTACGCAACGACGTGCTACGAGTCGGAATAGGGCTGTCTCAGGTTGTGTACCAGAATTGCGAGTTCGACAATTCTACCGGACCTTCAAGCTCCTCTTCCACTCAGTCTTGCCCACATATTGCAGATGGGACAACCTGTCGTGCAGGATCTACTTCAGCCAAGGATGGGATGCCGGACGACTCGCTATATCTTGCTGTTTTGCCTCGAGAATCCTTTCTGGTCAGAACGCTGATCGTGTCTTCAGTCGAACTCTTGGGTCGCGCGCACTACATCTTCGAGCGGAAGGTGAAGCGCCTGGGTACTGGATACATGGAGTACTGGCCACTCTCTGCCGCTATTAGCATGCTCCCTTCGCCACCAATGTCATCCCAACAGGCAACATTGATTGAATCTATCGCTATCCCGAACGAGGATTTGCGCTCCCGATACACGAAGGCTCTCGATAGCTTTAAATCACTGACATCTGAGGTGATGTCGAGACAAAAGGATCCAGCCATTGTCTCGATACCTAGTCTTCGTAACAAAACAAGCAATGCTTTGCCACTCGATTCCATGACTGGAACTAGTTTTGGATCGCCACTTGTCACCATAGACGATGCACCGTACCCGCCGATACCATGTCTGGCTGGAGGTATCGACGCCTCCACAACTTCGACTAGTAATTTCGATGTATTGCATGACACGCAACTTGACTTCGGAGGTTGGAAATTTCCAGACTTTTGGGAATTCGATTTGGCTGGAGATTTTTGAGAAGCTGTACGGACAACTTCTTGCGCCGTCAAGAAGGGCTTTGATAGAATCGTCTATTCCCGTGCAGCTTTCCTTGACATTCTCTGCGATGCTCGCTAATAATAAAGCGGATTAGAGGTTCTCTCCCAAGTCTCAATATACCTTGTTCGTGGTCTACAGAGCCATCTCTTGGCAAATTTCGATTTCTCCCACTCCGCAAACGATCCATTTCAATCAAAAAAGCCTAGAGCGAGTGCTGATGTCTTTGTTGACAAGACGTTGCAGGGGTGGTGTGGCTCATTTACATATGAAACCGTAAATGTGTAGACCGGCGCTTGGCGCAACTTATGTCCCATGGCTCTGATCAGATGCCCGATCACTCCATTGCTTATCGACAGCACTCATTTCTTTCTCGAACTTCTCATTGGGGCGCATTTCGTTGCTATTAAATTCGGCTCAAAGTAATTTACATCGTCTGACAATGGGGCGTGCTATTCGCCCATTTTCATCTTCTGCGCTTAAATGTTCAAAGTTTCACAAGTCCGAGCAACGCGTCTCAAATATTGTTAGCTGATACTGGTGACCTCTTACAGTGCACGGGTTAGTTTCGTACGGCAGGCGCACCTTTATTCCAGATGTACCTTCTTCCTCGTCTCCAGGGATCCTCTTTGAACGCGCGTTTCCTCTTATCTTTTGACCGTGGAGTGAGCGGCACTTACAATCATTCTCTGCCATTTAAGATTCTACTAAGTCTTCCTGTATACTCCTCAGTTGGTCGGCCAGTACTCCATATTGTATTTCGTCTGGATCAGAAGTAAACTACCATGGTCAATGAGATAGGTTATCAAGATGATGTCCGGTACCAGCATCATCTGAAGCACCGTGGCTGGGCAAACCAACAACTCTTTCAGGCTTTTTGGATCGTGGTAGCAGCGATCGTTCTTCAGAGAGTCGCGCATAGGACCCTGAGATGGTGGAGCAAGAGATGGTAGGTTTTCATTACCTACGAAAGGTTGCGAAAACGCTAACTTCCAACAGCAACCGCGAACATAAACTCCTCCGGTCACAGACACCCTATCAATACATTCTCAGTCGATGCATGGCGTTTATCGATGCCATCTCTCATCTCCCGATTATCCTGACATCCCAACTCATCTCTTTTACTTTCTCCCTAGGCCGGGTTATTGTGCTAACTGCCTACTTGGCCATTATTGTATCAGCTCTCCTTTCCGTCGATGCGCCCCAACTATCACAACACTTTCTGGATGACGTTGCTTTTCGAGCTGCCTGGGTGACCCTTACCCAAGTGCCACTCGTCTACTTCTTGTCCACTAAGCGTGGGCCCATTAATATCCTGGCGGGCCTCTCCCATGAGCGGATCAACTGGGTTCATCGATGGGTTGGTCGATTTCTATTCATAAGTGCAACTACGCATATGGCGATCATGAAGTCTTCGATCTCCATGCGAGAAATCGTACATTCACATGATGACAATATGGCGGTTGTTCGATATGGTATCGCCGCGTATGTCACGCTCACATGGATCGCTGTCAGCAGCATACTTCCAATACGACAATGGAGCTATCGTGTGTATTACCTGAATCACTGGGTTTCAACGCTGGGTTTCCTCTTTATTGTCTTCCAACACGTTCCGAAGTACGCGCGGACGCCAATTCATCTGTCTCTCAGTTTCGTTGTGTTTGACAAGTGTTTGGTTGGCTACGGCTTTTGCCGCAACAACATTTCAGTACGACTACTGAAAGGTAGTTTCTCGAAGTTCAAAAGGGGTCCCGGCAGGGGTACATTGGTAATGGGATACCCCGTAGAGATGATAGAACCGGATGTCACGAGCCTCTCTCTGCCGACGAATGGATCAACGACTATCATCCGTATCTGCAATGTACCCTTCTCTTGGATCCCAGGGCAGCACGTAAGGATATACATTCCAGCACTTGGTCCATTCGAGATACACCCGTTCACACCTGCGAACTGTCCAGACATCTCACCGCCACCACCACTGCCGCCGAGAAGAAACCAGGATATTGAGAGCAACGAACTGATCTCTCTAATGTGTAACTCGCGGTCTAACGACATGACACTGATGATACGCGCACACTCCGGTCTGACCCGTCGGCTTGCATACCACCACTCAACGTGGCTCTCTCTTCCATGTCCCAACGCAAGCCAACCTCAAACCTCTCTGACCGCATATATTGATGGACCTTACGGCAATCCGCCCGCCTGGGAAGACTATGAAAATCTTGTTTTTGTCACTACATCGACCGGCGTTTCCTTTGCACTCGCTGTCATGGACTATCTGGAGCAACTGTGTTTTTCGGACCCTCAACGTCTACAGACTCGTCGTGTTCACTTCATCTGGATCATCAGGCACCTTGATCCGCAGTTTGAAGCCACAGGAACCAACGCGTTGGACAGGTACAGCACGATGCTGACAGAGTTGGGTGTAAGAGTGGAAAGCGAGCTTTACGTCACTTGTGAAAAGTCTGAGACTGGAGGCGGCATGCAAAAATACGATCCTTTTGCACACTTGCGCCGACCGATACTCATTCGCGCTACAAGCAAACCACCGTTGAGTATACGCAATCCAGACGAGATCTACGAAGAGTGGGACCGAGAGTATGAGGATGCAGAGCTGAGTTTTACGGACGATGAAGACGTCGATCCATTCATGGACGATTGTGGGCTTTCCGAAGATGACGAGACAAGCACGCTCGTGGATAGGCATGAGATGTTGGATGACAACCGATATTCCAACGTTCACTGGATGCCGGATGAGAATACTGCTTTGGAGGATTCACGACCGCTTTCGTCGCCAATACGCACTCCTGCGGCGCCGAGAATGCAAGTCGAAACACCAAAAAGTTGTCAGTGTGCACTCATCCAATTTCAACGCGAAAAGCTCAAGCCAAAGAAGAAGACGATTTCGTTCAAAGACGTGTCGCATGGCCAGCGGCCAGATATACCGTACCTGCTTCGTACATACGCACCGCGCACTATAGATGATACCAGATCAATGGTCGCTGTATGTTCTAACACAGCAATTGCTATGCAGGCAAAAGACACAGTGTCTAAGATCAACATGGATTTCGCGCTGGGGAGAAGAAAAGCGGGTGTTGAGATCTTTGTGGAAGGTTTTGATTGAAGTTCCTAGGGGTCACATAGTTGTTACACAAACATCTTTCTTTTGACAAAACTGCATTTGCTACGGGTGCTTGTGACTTAAAACGCTCTTCAGCTTGACCTATGAGTACGTGGATACGACCACCATGGAAACTATACAATGTATAGTGTGATGCCACGCATCGCCATTATTCTATGGAAAAAGACGAGGGCAAAGTTTAAGGATTGACCTTGTAGTTATGATGATAAGGGTGTTACTGAGTAATAATTAGCCTTCTGGTCGGGGAGTAAGTCAAGTATACAATACTCATATCTCTCTGTTATGATCGCTCATCCGAGTTATAGGAGCAGAACGTCGCAATACCAGTTGAGTCTCCATGCATTCTCAAACAATACTTCTGTATCAATGAGTCATCTCGCGGATCAGTGTGTGGGCGTATCAACGCACAAGTGTTCCCAGCTAGTTCTCAGGAATCTCAGCCAGGCACTGTGTCCTCAATCGATTCATAAGCCGGACTATCTGCAACCTTTTCGCCCTCGGCATCATGTCCTTTGGCAGAGTTGTCGCCAGTAGGCTTAAATCCACTCCCGATACCCGCTCGCGCCAGATCCGTGTCCCACCTCGCCACTCTCGCCGCGAAATATGGGTCTTTCGCTTCTCTCAAAACAGACTTGATTAAGTTCTCTCCAGCCTCAGGATCAATGGGCTTGACACTCATATAGAGCCTTGAGTTGAAGTCCGTAATCGTGTCCATGTAGATCGTGGCGTTGTCTGCGACATATTGTTCCAGATCCTCTGGGTTCCACTTGCGGTCTGCATATCCTTTCTTGAACGCAGCCATATGATCATCGAGCCAGGCGATGTACTCGGTGTTGATAGCGTGGCGCTTGTCGTAGCATTCGAGTGCGGCTGTCATCTTCACGAGGATTGGATCATGCTCGGGTAGTGTCTTTCGTTTGTCGACGAAAGAAGCCCACAGTTGGGTTTGGTGATGTTCGAACTCGCGCTGTGAGTTGACTTGAGCCGAGCGCAACTTCGAAATATCGTCCAGAGAGGTTGCCATCATGACCAAGGCGAACGAGTCGTCTTCGATAGACATGGTGAGATTGGCCATTGGGCGTCGTGGAGAACGATAGCGCGCGATAGTAAAGCGCGTGCGACAGCGGTGCAAGGAATGAGTTGTATCAGCAAAATTTGTTCCGCAGGACAAACGGAGTTGTCAACGGTGAGTGATGTCACGTCAAATCTCCCAGCTGTTGAAAGAGGAAAGAACAATCAGAACCTTCGAGGACAGAACAGAGAACCCAACGATTTTTGAGACTATAATGTGCATCTGTCTCGAGCAACCCATACACTTCAACATACATAGAACGAAATTGTGTGAAACTGGCGTCCAGAGAGTGGAGCAATAAGATTTGTTAATTATGATTAGCTTTCGATAACGAATGCATCTTGAGAGCGATGATGTGAGAATATTCTCATACCATATCACCAGCAGTCTTCATCAACTACAAACTAAGCATTTCTGCCTAGAATGCCTTCCTTGCTTTCTCCGTAATGCTTAACTTCCTGGGCGCATTCCCCCCTGTTGCATCGATGCTTGCCTTGCGCACAGCATTGTGCAGAGCCTTGTCACCATCATCGCCGCCCTCAAAGCTCCACAGACTTGGGCACGGCCCGATCTTCTTCCTCAAAATCCACGTCTTGAACCACCACGGCAGAACAGTGAAGCACTGATGGCTCATGAATCGTCGCTGCGGGATTGCGAAGATGTAGTCAAGCTCTTCGAGGGTACGCTGCTTCGTTTCTGGCACGAAAAGGAAGATCAAAACAAGGGCGACGAGATTCAATCCGGCGTAGAAGCAGAAGGCACCTGTTGTCGTCATGGCTGCCAGCATACGTGGGAAGGTGATGGAGAGAACGGCGGCCCAGAAGAGGCAGGTGGCGACGGCCCAACTCATGCCAACTTCGCGATGCGAAAGTGGGAAGACTTCGGCGGAGTACGTGAAGGGGACGGGGCCTTCGCCAGGGGAGTACCATGCTCCAAACTGAGGAATTGTCAGGCTTTTCTTCAATGTGTGGATGTTTATGTTGGATACAGGGAACTTACAATGTAGACGAAGAGCGCTACGAGACCCAGATGCGCAGAGCTGTTAGAAGGAATCAAGTAGCAGAGACCTGCAGCGAGTAGACTCCAACACATCTGCGGGAAAGTGAATAGCAGCAGCGTGCGGCGACCGAAGGTATCGATTGTCCACTGTCATTTGTAAGTCATCATTGTCGATCCAATCGAGTGAGTTCGCCTTACGATAGCTGGCCAGGCAAAAACAAAGTTCACCGCACCAAAGCCCATGGAGGCAAGAAGGGCTTCTGTGACACTGGCACCGGCCTGCTCAAAAACGGTCGAAGAGTAGAACGCGATAATATTGACTTGTCAAAGTTAGCGCGCACTTCAGATGTATCATTGGGCTCAACTCACTTCCGCACATCTGCTGTGCAAGCATAACAGTACCAGACGCAACTGTAGCTCTTCGAAGTCGGGGGACGGTGAACAGTTGCGTGAAGCGTGTGAAGAAGTTGGTTTTCATTGGGGTCAAGCTGCTCTCTGCACGAAGCTGCGCATGAATGTAGTATAGATCACGCTGCGCAACTGTTAGCGAAAGCTCACACAAAACCACACACGACGTTATCAGACTGGAAACACTCACAGCAGCCTGAATCTCGTTATTCCGCAGACGCTTCAGCGATGCATATGCCTCGTTGTATCGGCCTTTCTTGATGTACCAACGTGGGGACTCTGGACAAAAGAATACACCGACAAGAAGAGGGAGCGCAGGCAGCAGAGCTGATCCAAATTGCAGGCGCCATGAAATGGCGCCAGTGTCTTTGACAACCAAATTGGCAACAGTGCCGAGGAAAATGCCGAACGCGGTCCATAGTTGCCAGGTCATCACCAAGGCTCCTCGAATCGAGGCCTTCAGTGTTATTAGCACTTCCGTAGGGATAGTTGATTTCTACTTTGGACTCACAGGAGCATTTTCTGCCGCAAATATAGGAATCGTGGCACCCTTGCAACCCATACCGATACCGAGGAGGAGTCTAGTAACAAAGAGTTGTTCCCATGCTAGGCAATATTAGTCAAGATGTAACGAAGTCGACAGGGGCGGAACACGTACTTTGAGAAACGGCAGAACCGATAGGTGACAAAGCGCAGAAGACAGCCGAGATGAAAATGCAGCCACGGCGACCGAAGAAGTTGTTCAAAGGATCAGAGCACCAGCAGCCACTACAATTTGTTAGTCACTGTCTTCGATCCAAGAAACCCAGGCACGCTCACAAGAATGCAGAAGCAATGTAGGGTCCGGCATTGATAAGACCTTGCAACCATTGGTTCGTCTCCGCGTTAGGGTTGGGCACACCAGGGCTCAGTTCCGCTTTCACAGGAATACCAAGTGCGTCTGGGAAGCTCAAGTTGGCGCCGTTACTTCCAGTTTGATCCCAACCTTGCACAGCCGCTCCGACGGAACACAGAATAATTGTGATGTAGAGGATTTTTGGTTGACGCCATTTGTGCAGGACTTCGTTGGAGATGGAATCCTTCTCTGCCTCTGTGATACCTGAGACTGTGGTGAAGTTCGGAGGGTCACGAGCAACCAGGGCACCCCTGCGAAGAAGAGGATGGATGTCCGCGAAGTTGTTCTCCTTGGCGAATGTGTCGACGTCTCGAAGCATTTCCTCCTCGCTCATGTGAATGAGAGGGTTCTGGATCCTGATACCAAATATGAGCATGGAACTGCGACTTCGGTCACTCTCAAACGTACTTTGCAGAAATACTGTTGGTTGGCACACCCTTTTCCTCGTGAGCGCTGTTAGGTGTCAGTCATTAAATTCAAGACTGAATGAGAATTGAATCTCATACACATCATGCCGCTCAGTATGAGGAGCCATGCTCTGCTGGATCTCCTTCTCGTGGCTAGTCATGGCGGAAGAGCTTGATAGAGTTTCGAGTTGGTCGAAACAAACAGGTGGGGACGCCCGGCATTTTATGTCGCGAAATATCTTGAAGGGAAAGCTATGCGGGGTCCCCTCACACGTGAGCCTATCCTGGGGTCCGGTCAGAGTTACGTAGAGACTAGCAGGGATGGTGAATGTGAAGGTTTTGTTTTGGCAGTGATCAGCAACATGAAGTGCATGGCATAGTCAATATTTGTCGCGACGGGATCGCATCAAAGAGGATCTTGCTCTGGGTATAGCTGGGTAAATTGTCTTTGCCTACGTTCATCACAGTATACGGCTTTTCGTCGCACACAACGAGATTCATGTTGTTACACAACCAGGCTGACGGTGATCAAGCTCGGATGCCGGGATTCTTGTCGAGCTTATCTCACGGTGGCTTACTCTTGAACTCTTTAGCGCCATGGGTCCCGCGCCTCCAACGTGCACTAGCTTGCATTAGCAATCCGGGGTGCCCGCCCCTTCACCAACCCCGTTGCCTAGTATCTCCATTTTGCGGGGCGCGTCACATGCTCATGTTCCATCGGCGTTTGGTGGCTCATTAGGGGTCCAGATTTGTTGCCGACGTCTGGCCACCTGATGTTCGTACAATTTCGACGAGTTGATGCGAAGCCCTGGGAGGCAAAAGGTCAGTCAAATGCCATGTAATCCGAGTGTGATTGCGCAGTCATCTCCTGAGCAGCAATTCAATGACTTGAGTCTAGCATTACGCACCCTGGCGATGCGCCTCAAGTGTTGCTCCCGTCACTGACGTCACTCTCTGACCCGATCACTGGTCTAGGCAACGCTGATGTGACTCGCGATGGATAATGTCCGACCAAGCGGAAGTGTTCTTCGCTTCAATGACCTCCGGAGCTATACCCTTGCCTCCACCATTTTGTAGTGCGAGACGCCACGCGAGGGGTAAGTGGATCTTGTGCTGGCATCTTTTTGCAGTGTTTTGAAAACCTCGGTTGGATGGCTGATTGTAAGTTTTTCCTCAACGTTCTTCGATCCACGTCATCATCGATTTTCATGCACAAGGTAAGATAGAGTTTTATAACATTCTAGATGCCGATCGCTTTTCTCTCCACATACCTCATGTCGCATTCGTTGCCCCCATGAACGAGCCTTGTGACAATACAACAGCAAGGGCTTGAACAACAAGTCGATTACTTGTCAGACATCCCTTACCCTTGCCGTACCAATTTCAACTACGGTTTCCTCGTCTACACATCCATTACGTGATGTATAACTATCAACCAAACTTGTACATATGGATCCCTTTCGTACACCCAGCCTCATCCATGGCAAAACCCGCACACAAAGAAAGCGGTGTGTCCGACCCGCAACCCAGTCGCAAGGGCGGCGATCACGTCTGCGAGATAAAGAACCCTTCGTACTAGCCTGCTCGTGCCGGCACATCCCTGCTATAAAGTCACAGGGTGTTCGAGCGATACCGTCTTGTATAAAAGGGTTGAACCTTAGAATCCAGAGCAAGTGCATACTTTGCAACAACAAATGCCACGACAAATAGAAACTTCAAGCCAGAGTGAAAGTCGTAACCTAGACACGCATAGGAACAAGACTTATTTTCCACATACCACTGCCGTACATTCTCTAATCAAACATGTAATCTTTCTAACTACTCATACCAAACTGACAGGATACCAGTAAACATTATAATACTAGTCATTAACAAGCCACAGCGCAATTCATCACACGCAACGTACTATACACACCTTCGTCCATAAAAGACCTATAAACTCTACTTAGTAAACAACCACCACCCAACAAACCTTGATCATCCCCTCTCATCACACTTTTCTCGCAGCGTCCATCAATCGAATTGGATAGCTCTCAAGCTCCACCAAACGTCCCAGTCCACTCAATATATCCGCGCTCGGTAGCCATCCAGCGAAACGTCTGGAACATACCACGGTATACATGTTTGAGCGCCGGATTTAGGTAGTGGAATATATGCTGTATTACTACATTACGCTGCTAGAGAAGTGCTGGTTATTTGTACTATTATGCGAGAATACACGATTACCTCGAGACTCTACTCCGCTGTACGCTGACTTCTAACTTGATAGTAATGACCATCTTTCTATAGAGAAGTAGTTACAGTTTATGCAACACAGGCGGTCGATATTCACCCGGCCTGGTCAAAATTTCTTCGCAGTTCGGTTATTGAATGGCTAGAGTGCAGATAGGGATCCAAGAGCGACTATGAGAAGGTACATACAGACAAAGGCCCTGTGCCATACAGTCAAATACGGGGGTAAAACCACAAACAAAACAGGCTTTCATACGAACGCGTGTGTGCAAACAAAGCGGCTAAAAAGCCAGGTCACGCAAAAAGGCACATCTCACAGCACATCAACACAAAGGCACGAACCATCAATCCGAATACAATTCTCATTCTCATTCCCAATCCAATTCCCATCCCTATACCAACCCACGCTCCCCCCACAAACTACCCGTCATGCCAAAATGCCATGGTATAGTGCCAAAAAAGGAGTGAAAAAAGCAAAAAAGCACAAAAAACGCCACCAAAAAGATGCTGTACAAAAGCTCAAAAACGCTCATACTGATGAAGATGATGATGATGATGCCGCTGCAAAACAACTACAACAAAAGTCGTGATCATGTACATTCGTAGGGTCGAGGGAGTTTCAACCCAATGCTAAAAGAAGGAGCCGAAGAGTCGTTCCAGAACGCCGAACAAAACCTCGATGAAAGATCGTTTAATCGCTATCGCTTGCTGTGCGCCAAAAAACCTGACTGCAATGTCGTTCGTCTCATACAGTGATGGTGTTTCGTCTTCTTAGATTAGCGGACCAGCCATCATGGGATTCAGAACCCTTGTGTTGGCGTCCAACGGCGACTCGTACACTTGATTTGGACTATTCAGAGACCCTTGCCTCGGACGGTAGTATCCGTTAGGATAGGCTGTAACCGGGGCAACAAACGGGCCCTGAGGTTGTGGAAGGGCGCCTGGTGGGGGTCCGTTGCTCATGTTCCGGTTGCTACGACGACGACCGAGAGCCGGAGACGACGGGGCACCCTGAGTTGTTCCCGATGAGTTTACCGAATGCATCGAGTCGTTGGAGTTGCTCCTCGCGTGATTTGAAGTCATGGTCACATGTGCCATGGCTGGGTTCTCAGCGGGGCCGACCGGACGTCGGAACCCCGGTGTGAAGGGATTGGTTCGTGCTGGCGCATTGCCAGGCTGTCCGAGCGCTCTCATCCTGGTTTCGATGAGTTCCTGAGCTCGGCTATTGCGTTCGTCCTGTGTGAGTCGAATGGGCCGATTGACAGGCTGAGTAACACCTTGTACATTTGGACCTGGCGACTGAGGAGGCCGGGCGTGCTCACTAGCTCGCAATGTGCGAGTGGATGCTTGATTGCTAAGCTGACGCCGAGATGGCTGTGGTCTTAGATTGATTCGAGATGCTTGAGGTCTCATCCCTTGCTGAGGGTTGACAACGTCCCGAAGGTTGATGTCGCGGAGGTTGACTCGCGAGCTGGTAGGTCTTATGGTAGCCGTAGAGGATTGTTCTCTCAGCACCTGTCGCGAACTTCGGTTCCTCAGGCCTCGCGATTGCGACTGTGCTTGCACATAAGCTGCCCACGGGTTGCCGGCAGCCGGGAAAGGTGGAAGCCCGGAGCCCTGAACATGCATGCCCACATTGCCGTAGACTGGCGAGAAGTTTGCTGAATTTCGTCTGCCCGCTGCTGAAGGAGGACGTGCGCCAACACGGCTTTGGGGTCGATCCATCATGTCCAAGATCGCGGCCGTGTGCGATTGTGCGATGGTGTTGATAGAATGCTGAGAACCAGGAGTTGAGGTTCCTGGCGTCATGATACCAGACGCATCACTGGCTGAGCCGAGAGAAGGTGCACGGTCGTTCCTCATGTGATTTGCCATGTTCACTGCTGTGGGGAATGCAGGAGACATGGCGCTTCGCCTGGGTGGTGACATGGGCATGCGCGAAACCACTCCGAAGTTGAGAGCATCTTCCATAAGTGGTGTCCGTAATCGTGATGGAGGTCGAAAAGGCGAATATGTCTGTGCTGGACTTGGTCGGTTTCTGTTCGACGTCCGTGGCCGAGTGAGTGGCGTGATAGAGCGAGGTTCCACGTCTATCAGTGCGCCTGCCGTGTGATGCTCTTGGAGGGCTTGCTGATGAGCAGCGAACATGATGCTGATGCGTGGATCGTATTCTCGACGAATCGTCCGTGGAATCCTGCGCCCGACGCCAGGCTGCGAGTTATCGGAGTGCTCCTCGAACTCCCCCTCATTTGCTGTACCGCCTTGAGCAAATCTATGATTGGCAAAGCGAGAGGGGGGGTTGGCAAAAGCCACCTGGTTTCGCAATTGAAGTTGCGAGCGCCGAGTTCGAAGAGAGTTCATGGCCATGGCGACGTCTCCGTCCTGGTCAGAGTCGTCGTCATCCGCCTCGCCGTCCTCGTAGGGGGCTGTCGGGGGAGCAATGACAGACGATCTTCGGCGGAGGCCACGAGAGGCATTCACGATTCGGGCACCAGCTCGCGAAGGAGGGCGGATTGGGGCGCTAGGCCGAGGACGATCTGCAGTAGGTGTTAGAGATCCGCCCATCCGGACTCTGTCATTTGAAATCGCAAGCGGCTCCCACCCAACGGTTGTTCTTCCTCCATCGCTATCGTTCCCATCGTCTTCACCCATTTCATCATCGTCGTGTTGCAGCATCCACCCTTCTTCTCTCAACAGAGCCTGCGTATCTTCATCGAGCTCCTCAGCCGACGCGTCTGTAGATGTTGACGAGGATGGTCCATGTGAAGACCTGGAGCCATTTGCTCGGTTGAGTACGCGTGCCTGGAAATGATTGCGCTGCCCTCTGGGAACTGGACCCTCGTCTTCTTCATCGTCTTCCTCGACGACGCTGGAGATGTTAGAGGAAGTCTCGGACTCTACAACCCGACGCGCTCTGGCCTGTGCTCGTGGCCGGCTGTTGGAGGGCTGGGGCGTAGGGGCTGGTGTGGACGAATCGGCGGATGTGGATGCGTTCTCGTCGTCGTCGATGAAGTCGTTCATGGAGGAGTCTTCTTCGTCTTCCTCCTCCTCGTCTTCTTCCTCGACTGTGTCCATCTCGTCTCCTTGCATGTCTGAGACAATGCTCTGGGAGTACGAGCGCCTGCTGCCAGCCTCGCTGTGCGTCAACGGCCGGCGGTGCAGATGTGCAGAGGTAGGGCGGACGCCCGCGCCCAGAAATCGCCGCATGACGAACGAGCCGTGGGGGAGGTAGTCCTGCCAGTTCTCCATGGGATCCTCGAAGCCTTCAAAGTCGCCATCCTCCATTTCCATCTCAGCGTCCAGCTCCGGATCCTGCTCTGACATGTCGTCCATGTCGCTAAACCCGGTGAAGCTGTCGCCCCACGAGAGCTCGCCGGATTCGTCGAAGATCAGCCCGCACTGTGTGCATCCTCCGTCCTCGAGCTCCCACGTGCACACGGGACAACGGTCCACGCCGTCCTCCTCGTCGCGCATCACGTGCAGTGAGGGGCGGGGGTGCTGGAGTGCCTTGAAGCTCCCTTTGAAGAGCCCGCCGGTGCGGGGGTCGGCGTTGTCTTTGTCTAGCTGCACGGCGTCGGCCTCCTCCTGCTGCCACTTGAGGTGCTCCTCCATGGTCTCGCCGGGGGGTATGAGCTCGGCGCGGTTGATGAAGACGCCCGTCATGTCGCGGATCTGGCAGCGATTAGTGGGACTCGATGGCCTGTCGGTTCGCACCCTCGCTTACCACATATGCGGGGGCCGGCAGCTCCTTGACGAGGATGCGACAGTCGGGACATGTCTTGCGGGTCTTGTTGTTGACGAACCACGTGCAGAGACACTGGGTGGGTTAGTCATGGCATATGGGGGTGACGCAGCATGCTCCTCACAGTGTAGCAGTACGTGTGGCCGCACGAGATGGTGTAGGGCTGGTAGAGCAGGCGGTCGCAGATTTTGCAGGTGAGGTGCGAGCGCAGGTCGCTGAAGTCGGCCTTGAGCGCCGTCAGCTGCTGTGTGTGGTCAGTCGACTGTTCGTTCGCCCTCCACCTTCCCATGCCTCTCACCTCGTCTGGGCTGCTCGGCTGGGGCACCTCCTCGGGCTTCTTCAGCATCTTCTGCTTGAGGCTGTCCTTGCTCGCCGCCCGCGTCGGCTTGTCTGCGTCGGCCAGCTTGCTCGCGGAGCGGCTCGCAGTGGGGGTGCCGCCCCGTGCCGCCCGGGGGCTCGCGGCCATGTTGGCAGGCTGCTGCGAGGTGCTCGCGGCATGGGTCGACGAGATGGACGACGAAGAGTTCCTCGGGCGAGCCGTGGCGGGCGGGGTTTGTGACGGTCGGTCCATGGCGGGTGCGTTGACTCTACGGCCAGCTGCAGGTGGGAAAAGGAATTTTGACGTGAGCGACTGCCTACATGGGAATCAGACGGAGCCGTCGTTGGCAGTCGCGGTGCATGCAATGCAAGAGCGACCCGGCCCTTAGAGCGTTGGCTGACAAGCGCTGCACGTCCCGCACCGCTTTCGCCTCTCACAGTCGCCCTGCACATTCACTCGATTCCATCACAGCGCCTATCGAGCCATGTCTTTTGCACCGACAACCACTGGCAGCGCAGCTCCACATATACATGTAGACAATTAAGACTTGTGACAGGCTGTTCACCACCGCCATTTCAGCAATCAATTCTCACTGCACACGACCACACTCATCTCTCACACAGGCTCACTTTGTATACCCATCAATCCATCATACACAACCATGCGATCGTATATTCCATTACCGCGATATGCGGGAGCTAGCTCTGCGTCCACTCGTAGATGTGATATATTGTGACCTCTGCGCACAGTCGCATGTCGCCGAGTCATGCATGATGTGGATCGCGCCGTCTTATCGATTACGCACCCTGGCTCTAACTCCCTCTGTCGCAAGAGCAAGAAGCTCACCAACAGCATTGCAGAATTGCCACACAACCTGTCCTATTCTTTGACTATCTGCCTGCCCTCCATCAAGATGCCGGACAAAGAAACCCCCAAATCGACACAAGAAGAATGGAATGGGGCATCCGCTACCAAATTCGAAAAGTACGCCTCGCCTCCAAAGCGTGCGACAGCAACGTGCAGGATCAAAGAACGCGTAGCTGATACCGCAAATACAGTAAAGCGTACAGCGAATACTACGACCCTTGCCAGGAGATTGCAAACAAGAGCATACGGTGTCTGAATCGCAACGGGGGTGAGAGAGCCATGTGCACAGATTTCTTCCAGTCAGTAGCCACCTTACTGATCTCGCAGCCTTATGATATTTCGCTGAATGGCATACTGACTGTTGATTTCTTATAGGGCATATCGAGATTGCAAGGAACAATGGGTATGTTTCTCCTTTTCCGCCAGTGTCGCAGACCTCGTCCGTTTACGTACTCGATCTTCACGCACACGTGAACATGCAATCGCTGATGAGCTGCAATAGACAAACGCGAGAAAGGAAGCCAGGAAGGCCAAGGGGTGGTTCAATTGAAAGCATTGATGATGATGTGTTTGGGATGTTGGCTTCTCCACTCTGCATTGCATTTTACGGCGTTTGGGAGCATTTACCATGCTTGTACATATATTGAGTAAGGCGATAGATGGCCGTCAGAAAGACCGAGCAATGCCGCTTCAACTGCATACCAGCCTTGACAGACACCAACGACACTCGTGACATATATGACCTAGCCACGTGAACCTCACTCCAGGAATTGGTCGGCAAGGTTAACCGTCAGCAACGGAATTCCGGTAACCCTCCACCTCCACACATCCGAGCACCACGCACGCAATCCTCGAAACCGGTTACATGTGGCAGACTCGCCTTCTCCAATAGGTCCCAAAGCAGAAGATCGACGCCGCCGCCCTGACCCTGCAGTGCTCAGCCACTTTCGACCCCACCTCCCCCATAGCTTTAGCAGTACCCCTCCACCGCTCAAAACATCTCTCACCTCACCTCTCACCTTCCCACTCACAACCATTCCACTACACCTCCAATCCGTTTTATGCAAGCCACGCGCAGACTACTTACACGAATCATGGGCGTCCAGAAGACCATCATCAGCGAAGGCTCCGGCCCCTCGCCCAAGCGCGGCGACCGCGTTACCATGGAGTACACCGGCTGGTTGCGCACGGCCGATGGCGGCAAGGGCAAGCAGTTCGACTCCAGCGTCGGGCGTGGTGACTTCGAGACGGCGATTGGTGTTGGACGCGTCATTCAGGGTGCGTTGTGTTATTACCATCAGCATTGGCAGAGACTTCGAAGCTGACGATTGACCAGGCTGGGACGAGGGTGTGCCCACGATGAAGCTCGGCGAGAAGGCCAGACTCGATATCAGCAGCGACTACGCCTACGGGAGCCAGTATGTATAGGGTGGGAGACGTTGGGGTGAAGTTCAAGGCTAATGACTTGTAGGGCTGTTGGAGGGAATCTGATCCCCGCCAACTCGGCTCTCATCTTGTACGTACTACCTCCACATATAGATACGGACATATCGCTAATTTGTCCCCAGTGACGTCGAGCTCAAGAAGATCAACTAAGCGTGCAGTCGAGCAGCATAGGGATGGGGAAAAAGCTTTCCGCAAGCTCAGGATAGCAAGGATAAGAGTTTGAGCGGCAGCAACTTCCGTCAAGGCAGTCAATACTACTCTCTTGCTCCTACAATCTCCATGAACACCAATCCCATGTTGATACCTACCTCAAAGTACTCCCATCACAGTGCAAGTGAACCCCCCATAAAAACCCATCTACCACCCACTAGCCCCAAAAACCCGTGACGTCATCGCAACCCCATCTCCAAATCTTCCCAACACAAAAAAACCATCCCACCACAGCCCCATCAACCTCCACGTCAAAACCCCCAAAAAAACATGGCGCCAACAACCCACGACGCAGCAATAGACGCCCGCTCCCACTCCGCCCTCAAAACAACAAAGCAATCCCTCGCCTACCTCCTAAACCCCACCTCCCCCACCGCCCCCACAAAACGCCGCACCCGCGCCCTGCTCCGCGTCTTCCGCTCGAGCCTGATCTTCGTCTTCTGGCGGGTAGTGCGGTATGCGAAGTACGTTGCCGTGGGCAGTCTGGTTGCGACGCTGGGGGCCGGCGCGTTTGGCACGTTTGTGAGTGGTGCGGGGTTTGTGTTGGCGCCGACGGGGATACTGGGTACGGTGGTTGCGGCGAGTGTTTGGGGGGT